ATAATAAGTATAATAGGTAGAGTTCTTAGCAAACTTTAATTTTACTATTTACTATTAACTAGGAACGCTTAATAGCGCTATAGACGCCTTAAGCTAAAGATTAGACCTAATAGAGAATAAGGCTAACCTCTATAATACTATATTATAAGCGCGTAAGGATAGAATGTTAGAATATAACTAACTAAAAATTAAAGCTTAAGCAGCCTCTTTCTAGTATATAGAACTAGAGGTATATAACTTATAAGACTACTCCTAACTCTCTAGGGAATAAAGAGAAGAATATAATCTCTTCTAAAATAATTTTAATAAAACCTAGAGGGACCACTAATAAAGGGTAATTATTAAAGACTAATACGCACCTATCTTAATTAGGAAGCTATATAGATCTAGGAAATAGGGGCACCTAAGTATTAAAGAAACAACGTATTATATTATAAATAAATATACTATTCTAAAACTTAAGTAAAAAGTTATAAAGGAAATAAGCAACTATTTAGTATACTATAAAAATAAGCCTAAAAGATATAAGCCTTATAGACTCCTATAACCACTACCATCTATAGAGAGGCTATAGTAAAGCGTAATAATAGACTTTATAGTAAAACTTCTAAAATTACTATAACTAGGAATAAAACGTATATGCAATACTATTATAGTTATAGTAAATTAACTTATAAAAGCTACTAAGTTTAGACTAATAGAAGAGTCTATATTAGTAGAGGAACTAGTATATAAGATAGATAATATACTATTTATAGAATATAGCCCCCCTAAAGAATTTATTATAGACTATAATAAACTCTTTATATCTAAATACTAGAATACGTTCACTATAATATTAGGAATATATAGAAAACTCTTAATAAGTTTCTACCCTTAAATAAATAGATAAATAGAATAAATAAACTAGACACTAAAATAGTACCTTTAGTTCTACGTAAATAAATAGTAAGATAACTAGGTAGAACTCTTACCTACAGCGTAATTAGTATATAATAGCTCTAGGTTAGGCTTAATAGGGTACTCTCCACACTATACTAACTATAGATATAAACTAATTATTTATTAGAATTCTAGAGATGTGGAAAGCCTTTCTATAAGAGCTTATAATAAAGCTTAGAAAATAAAGGAACTTTATAAAATCCTATATAAAAGAATTATATAAAAATCCCTCTTAGTATCTAAAAACGCAAATAAATAAAGGATTAAGGGACTAACCTTTAAGAAGGGGGATAAAGTTTTCCTATTATAAAAAAATCTAAAAACTAAAAGGTAAAGTAAAAAACTAAATTACCTATAGGTAGGCCCCTTTAAAATATAAGAAGTTAGAGAACTAGTTATAAATAAATTACTTCTACCTATAGGCACTAAAGTATATAATACCTTCTATAAAAACCTTCTAGAACTAGTACTACTAGATACTCTAATTAAGACCTAGCTAGAACTAGAAGATAATAAGTATAAAGTTAAGGATATTAAGGACCTAAAAATAGTTAAAGGTTAGTAGAAATACCTAGTTAAATAGAAAGGATAGCTAGAATAGTATAATATATAGGAGCTAATAAGAAACCTTATAAACTATAAGGAATTACTAGAGGACTTCTACTAAGGAAGGGGACACCCTTAGAGAGATTATAAGCTAGTATAGTAGAAACTAGGTTAGGAAAAGTAGTAGTAAAAGCTAAAAGATTAAAAGAAGGGTTAGCCTATAACTAGGTAGAATTAGTAAATAAAGGTAAAAATAGTAATAGTATATAAGTACTACTAGAAGCCCTACCCTCTACTAAGCCCTTCTCTTATAACTAATCTATTGCGTTAGTAACCTAGAGATTATAATAAGTAAAGAAATATTTCTTTACCTTAACCTTAGCTAACTCTAGTTTAAGATAGGTAGTTTTAGTATATACCTAAAGAAGAGCTAACTACTTCTACTCTTTTTTTTTATAAACTAAGGTCTAATTATCCTTAGGGACCTATAAGCTATAATTAGTATAAGCTAAAATATAACTAGCGTATTAACCTAAGGTTACATCTATAAAATAGTAGAGTTTTAACTTCTAATAATACTTATAACTAAGTAATATCTTAAGGCTTTAGAATTTAACTTTTAGTATATAAGTATAACGTTTCTAAACTAATAAGTAAGGAGCTTTAGGCATATTTAGGATAGAAAGGGAAATCTAGATTAGGGTATAACCTAAGTAGGTAAGAGGGCTAGCGTACCTTTATACGTCTAATAGGTACTAATAGGCTAGCTATACTATAGGAAGCTAGACTAAGGTATTAGAATAATACTCCTAAGGGGGGGGATAATATTATAATTATAGTAGGACTAAGTAAGGTAAGTAGGGAGGATTACACTTAGAATATTAATAGTAGAGGTAAGCTAGATTAAGCCCTATAGGCTAGCTAGATAGGTAGCTTATATTATTTATTATATAATAAGGCCTAGTATAAGTAGGAGACCCTAGGGACTTTAAAGGCCCTAGGGACCTTAGGAGGTCCTAGGACTTTAGAGTCTAGATAGGATCTCCTAGATAATAAAAAATAGTATATAGTCTAAAGGGACTTTAGAATCTTTCCTATTCTTTATAGTTAAAATTCTATAGTTAAAATTAGAGTATATCTTCTATACTAAGATCTATTAGTCTTCTTATATAATTATTACCTTACCTTCTATAGTAAGGTTAGGATATTCTTTTACTTCCTTATTATTATTTATCTACTCTTGTCTACTAAATACCCATAAGGTCTAACCTAGGTTAGGTACGTAAAAACCCCTTATAATACTATTCTCTTTTATAATAATTTCTAGTTAGCGTTTATTATAAGCTTCTAGTAGTATAGAGAATAGTAGTAAGATTATTATAGGTAATAATAATATATCTCTATTTTATAGTTAAATTAGTGGTTTATCTAAGTATTCCTATATATTTACTTTATTAGTAAAGGTTACTTCTTTACCTTTAAACTATAAGTAAGGTATTAGTATCTACTTAACTTCCTTATCTACTATTTTAGATTATTCTTCTTCTATATCCTTATAAAGTTATAAATTAGTTAATAGCTCTAATCCTAATTTATTATTAAGTATAAGGTTATTAATAGTATCTATAATAATCTATTCTTTATCCTTAACTTTCTTTATTAGAATAGTTAGTATATTTAACTATCTAATAACCTTATTCTTAGATCTATAGTTCCTAATAATATGGCCTAGTTTACTATATATAAAATATATATAAGTCTTAGTCCCCTAGTATTAGGTTCTATCTAAGATATATATATTAGGCTTATAAAAATCTAGTCCTTTTTCTTTTCCTTTACTTAAGTAGTTAAACTAGATATCTTCTATTAGCTAGTATCTATAGAAGTCTTATAATATATATTAAGGTCCTTTTAGTAGTACCCTATAGACTATAGGTACTAGTTATCTAAAACTAATATTTCTTAGGTTATATTAAAATTTCTATTATAGTGTAAACTATTCTCTATTAATCCTAATTAATTTATTATATAATTTATTAAGGGTTCTAATAATTTCTCTACTATATAGAAGTTCTTCTTATAGAGGTTTCTTAAGATCTTATTTATATATTATTATTAGTAACTTATTATTCTAGTTAAGTTATATAGTATTTTTACGGAATTCTACTATATACTTAGCTACTAATTATTACTATATTATAGTTTAAATATTTCGTGCTATAATAGGTACCTTATTAGTAATTCTAAATATCTATTTAAAATATTTCTTAAAGTTAGTATAGTCTTTAATAATATTAACCGCGTCTATATAGTTATCTATATATTCCTTATCTTTATTATTATAGTCTATTTCTAGATACTTAGTTATATAGGGTTAAATCTATTCTCTAGTATTATCTTATATATAAGTAGCTATAAAGATAACCTTTTATTTATCTTTAGGTTATTTATTAAGTTTAAAGAAGTAGAGGTCTAACTAGAAAAGCTAGATATTAGTATACTTTCTATTACTATAATATAAATTAGGTTTATATACTTTACTCTTAGAGTTACCTATTAGAGTAATAGTATTATTATCTAAAGCTATAGAAGAAGTAGGAGTTCTTATAGTTATATTAAGGGTATTTAAGATATTAAATCTAGAAAGAGTAGCTAATTCTAAATAGGTTAGAATTAGTTCTTAGGTAAGACTTATAGAGGAAGAAGAAAGAGATTCTTATTAATATAAAAGTATCTTATAAAGTATAATAAGTTAATAAGGAGGGCCTAAGTAAATCTAAATAATAGATTAAAACTTAGGTTAAATATAAGAATTAATAAGATTCTTCTATTCCTATATATATAACTAATCCTATAATATCCTATAGTTTTATAAAATCCTAAGTATAGAATCTATAGGATTCTATAGTATATTACGTAACCTTTTTATTATATAGTTCTAGTGTTCTAAGGCTTAGTATATAGAATACTATAGAATATTATCTAATTCTTTAGTAGGGCTATAGCTACCTTTTATTATAAGTAGCTTTCTTCCTATATTAGGTCCTGGATCCTAACATAGAGTAGAAAAGATATTAACGCTTCGTTTTTCTATAGAGAATACTTTAAATAATAACTACATAACGTTAAGAGAAAACAAAATAATAACGTTAAATATAATTTTAAAAAAGTAATACTTATACTACGCTCTATTTGTTTATAGTATATTGAATAAGAAAGAAAATATAGACTAAGTTATAAAGAGAATGAAATCAAACTAGGATAAAATTATGTTTCTATGTTTATTTTTCTAATAGCTTACTATCCCTAAATTAGTGAGGCCCTACTAGGTGCAGTGGCGGCGGTCGGTGGTGACATCACCTCTACGCGTAAACGAATCCCTGTCAACAGCCTCATTTGTCAAGCGTGCCAGGTCTTTGTAAACACGATCACCTACTTACGTAGCGTATCGTCCGTCCCACCAAACCAATGCGTCGAGAACACCTAACAGACAGCTCCGTGTCTCTGCCACCATGAGCAGCTACCTCCAGAGCTTGTCCTACTTCTTCCGCCTCCCATTCCACATACAATGGCGCACCTGTCTCGTGTAAGCAAACCCGCGAACAAAACTTACGCAGCATTGTGCTAAGTCCCATGCATAGGCATCTCCCACGATTCGTGCCTCTCTCCATCCTTCGTGTGACTTCTCCGGAGGGTCCGCAGCCGTTTATCGTAGCGCTCCCGAGCCGCAAGAACAATGTCATCCCGCTATACGTCTTTGTGCCGCCTGCGCCGGTGGCGCTAGAAAGTGAAGGCGGCGTGAGCATACCAGTGGAAAATGGCGAGTGGAAGGTGCCCGTGGTGCTGGATTTTCACGGAGGTGGTTTCATCATGGGTAGTCCGCTCGAGCAGGCACCATACGCGGCCATGATGGCGAGAGAGCTCGGTGCTGTGGTCATCAGCGTGTCGTACCGCATAGGGCCCTTTCACCAGTTTCCAGCGGCAATCCACGACGCTGAAGATGTGCTCAGCGCGATACTCGACACGGACGAAGTGTCCAAGGCCAGCAAGGTGCTGCGGAACGAGATCCAGAGATACTTTGGCATGACGGTTGATGAAGTCACAAAGAAAAAGAAGCCAAACGCCCTAAATGGCATCCAGAAGATCAAGCTCGATCCATCGCGTCTCGCCATCTCTGGCTTCTCTGCCGGAGGCAACATTGCGCTCAACATGGCCATCTGGGTCCCACCCTGTCCGCAGCTTTTCAGTTCCCCGACCACAACAACAGGCGCAACAGCCCGAACTTCCACTACGATGCGAGGGCCATCTCAAGCTGACACGTTCTCACCGCTACTGCCGCCCGTACGTGCGCCCACAATGCTCGACGACATCTGCCAGCCGTGGCCATCAATACTCCCACCAGAAAAGGCACAGCCGCGGATGATACCATTGCTGCTGTTCTATCCCTCCCTCGACGCGCGCCTCCTCCCACACGAGCGACCAATGAAAGAGCTCCCTAGTGCCCTCCACCCCGACGACAAGAAACCCCAGACACAACGGATGGCAAGTCTTCCCGGTACAAAGTGTCTGTTCACTAAGCGAAAGAAATACTATCTTGATCTTCTTACGACACAAGAAAAGAAGTATTGCTTCGCTTAGCTAAGACACGAGGCAATGTACCAACCCCACTTCTTTGAGACATACACTGACTTTGTACCTTTGCAGCCTGGTCTCTTCTCCATCATGGGCCCGACATACCTTCCCAAAAAGCTCCGCGCCCATCCGCGCGCAAGTCCCGGCCTCGTAGACCCTCACAATGTCCAGAAAAATGCCGCAATTCTACTAGTGCTCCCTGAGAAAGACACGCTCGCCGTGCAAAGCGACGTTTGGGTGGATAAGATGAAGTCCAATGGTTGGAACGGCCCTGTTCGTTTCGGTGATGGCCGCGATAATGACTGGAATGGGCATGAAGGCAATGCGCCTGCGCTGAGCCGCGGGAACGGCGGGATCGAGGTCTGGCATGCGCCTGAGTGCAGACATGGTTGGACGCAGTTCCCGGTGTCCGTGCTTGGTAAACATGAGAAGGAAGAGAGGAGGAAGGTGTTCGAGAGGACACTGGATTTTGTCAAGGAGAACTGGAAGAGGGCGTTGCCAATGGAGGAAGCGGGGAACACGAGTCAGGAGCTCCGACCACTTGAGATTCCTCCTGGTCAGGCTGGGGAAGGGGCTCAAGTTGGAGTAGGCGCGGCAGCGCCACAATAGGTACTGCATCATGGGCGTTCAACTGTATATTTGGGCTGGCCTGAGTTGTATAAGATAAGGGTACAATATGAGCAGCATAGCGTGGAGTGGGATTTGGCGTTCACATAGACGGATATCTTCAGCGGCCGCACAATGTGGTCATGAAAACCAGACATCACGATCAAAACCCTCTTCTGTTGCTTCATCGTAGTGCTTGCGACACAAGACAGGGCCCTCCGATATCACGGGCTACACTAACATCTCATCGCCAAGCTAGATAACCGCGGCTTCCTTCCAAACATAGTCTAGCCTCCCATGTTATCTTCCTCACCCCAACTTCGACAACATCCTCCATTGTTCCTTGCCTTCATTCAAGCCAATCATGATTTAAATTCTTCTGTATATTACCTGTAATCAGATCCTATCACATCCACCGCAATGGTTCCACCCATCGTCAAAAAGAGCTACTGGACCCTCGCGGTGCTGGGCGGCATCTGGGCGCTCCTGCTCGCGTGCGCGATCCATCCCACAGCGCAGAGCCAGTAAGACGCCCACACTGGCAGTCCAACACAGTAACGAGAGAAGCGGCTAATGAGGGATCAGTCTTGTGTACATGCACAAGCTGCACCATGGATACTTCCAGAACGTGAAGAACCCGGAGGAATTCGGATTTGCGAGTACGTTATCTTTATCTTTCGTCCTCTCTGCGGCTGGAGGTGAAGCTAATGTGGTTGGTGCGATGCAGAGGGTCAAGTCACGCCGTTCTGGCTTGAGACTAGTGATCGGGAGAAGCTTTTCTGCTGGCACGTGCTCCCGCTGGATGTCTATCTGGATCATGAGAGGGAGCTTGTGAGCAGTGTGCAGGACGATGTCGTGGAGAGCGGGGAGTTCAAGAATACGTTGGGGGCGAGGTTGCTGAGGGAGGATAAGGACGGTAGGTTGGTTGTGAATTTTCATGGGGTGAGTGCATCCCCTTACGGTCCCACTTCTCGAGAAGTCTGTGCGAGAATGGTGGTTTTGGTATGCTGACGGTGGTATATTATAGAATGCAGGGCATGTAGCCCTAGGCTGGCGTCCCTCGATTTACCGCTCCATGAGCGGTATTTCGCACACGCACACACTCGTGTGCGACTACCGCGGCTTTGGCATCTCCACAACGAACAACAAACCTCATCTACCCACGGAAACCGGCCTCATCACGGACGGTATATCCATCGTATCCTTCGTTCTCAACGAGCTCCAACATCCCGCTTCCCGCACCATTCTCCTAGGCCAAAGTCTCGGCACCGCTGTAACAGCAGCAACAGCACTGTACTTCACAGACCCAGACTCTGCTCTCCTCCCACAGGGGCTTGTGCACCCTCCAGTCGCAGCAAAAGCCCCGCAGCCCTTCGCAGGCGTGATCCTCGCCGCAGCCTTCACTGACTTACCTACTCTCCTGAAGACCTACAAAGTCAAAGGCATCGTCCCCATCCTCTCGCCCCTGCAGAACTACCCTAAAATAGCAAATTTTCTATCAGCAAGAATTATAGACACATGGCCCACGCTGGCCCGCCTGCGTGCTCTCATCACCGCCGCTACAGGTTCCTCCACACCCTTCCATATAACCATCCTGCACGCCCGGAACGACCAGGAGTTTCCCTTCCAGATTGCAGAAACCGTCTACAGTCCCCTGGAAACACTTATGCTAGCGGAAGAAGGAGCGAGTAGTGTGAGCGAGAGGAGGAGCATTCAGGGTGGGGAGAGGGTGCAGAGAGGTGCGTTTGCGTATAGGAAGGTGGAGACGAAGGAAGGGGAGAGGACCGTGGAGGTCGAGGTTGTGAGGTACGGTGGGCATAGTGAGGGTGTGGGGTGGGGGCAGGTCAATTTGGCGGTCAGGAGGGCGTGGAGGAGGGTGGATGGGGAAGGGTGAAGGGTGTGGAGGAGGAGTATAGCGGAGACGAGATCTAGCGTTGTTGACGATGGAACTCCAAGGTTCATGTCGAAATGCAAGTCATTAATGAGGCCGGTTTCTGTACTTGATGAGACTTTTTTCACATAACAGGATGGTGTCCCAGGACAGTATAAAGACGATCGTCTTCAGCGTTTTGATAGGCGTAAACTTGCGTCTCCTCCCTTTTCTGGTTCCATAGATAGCTTCTCGTCCTCTTTCCTTGACTTGGCTCATCAATTTGGCAGTACACGCGCTAGTGTGGTACCCCAGATCAGGCTTTGTTCGAGTAACGAGTGCATAATGCGGCCCGTGAAAAGATTGTCGCTCATCGCTGAATCTGAAGTATTGGCGCTTGTGCCGGGTGTCGTTATAAATGATATCAAATCTTTAGTGCGTGCGGCAAGATGCTGCCACTCAATGCTCGGACTTGAACGAGGCAGTGGATTATTCCCTATCCAGCGTGTAGGGTTCATATTTCCACTGCCACTGCTCATGATCTAACAACAATGCCTGGGTGTCTTCATCTATTTCATCGGCGGATACATCCTTGGATGTTGAATATGAAGGACCGAACGGTTCTCGTGAGCCATCTACGCCATTGAGTGATGAAGGTCGCGAGAAACTCTCAGGTGACATCGGTTTGAGCTTTCTCAAAGCGCGAGCCGTAGACTGTGCTGGTAACTCAGCAGAACGGGTTTCGGTGCGAATATCGTCCATTGTTGCCTCTTCGTTGAGACGTAGGGCGTCTCGCTGCACCCAAGCATTAAGGTTCCACATTTGTTGATCCACGGTCTGCTGCAACTCAATTGTACGATGCTGTAGCTGGTCCCTCTCTTTTCTTAGATCGTCAATCGTCTTCTGCATCTCGCCTCTAACGCGCTCCGCGGTACGAGTTCGTTCGTTCTCTACTAGCCAGTCGTGTCTCTCTTTAGATAAAAATAACCTCCTGCAGCAGACTCCGAAAAGAGGTTGATTGCCAGAAAACTCTTGGGCAGTATCAATCAACGCGAACGCCTCTCTCACATGACCAATTGTAGGTCGCCGTGCGGATTCCCTCGCAAGCATTTTCCTCACTTGATACTTGATTTGATGATCGAATATAACATCCCCCTTCGCAGGTTGTGAAAGCCAATCGTAGATGGACTCAAGGTTTGCTTGAAAACTCTTATCGTGTTGGCTCCTCAGATCTCGTAGCATTTTCAGCCCTGCCACTTGCTGGCTCGTGTACATCTCTAGCAAGACGCACCCCAGTGAGAATATATCCGCAGGACGACCGCTACCCTCATAGGCAGCCACTTCAGGGGCGAAATACTTCGGCGTCCCACGCTCGATCCCCTCGGTGGTACTCATAGTTTGGTCGGAGAAGTCAGTGGCCGTGCCAAAGTCCGTCAACCAGAGGTTCTCTGCCGAAAGAAGAATGTTCGAAGGTTTAAGGTCCTTGTGTCGAATGCTCTGGCTGTGCAGGTATTCAACTGCAGATATTATACAACCCATTCTTCGAGCTAGAAGCAGTGAGCAGCGGTAGAACTCCGATTCAAGGTTCCTGCAAGATAATCCAAGTGCCGTCATTCTTTCTTCTCGTGCAGAATCCCGATCGCTGTTCGGCAGCAAGGATTCGAAATCTTCTAGGAAGGTCGCTAGATCGCATACTGCTACCGGGTATAGCAACAGCCCGAGAAATTGTCGATGTGAGTAGGACCCGGCGAATCTGATGATGTGGTGATGGGACACTTTCTTCAGGATCTCGATCTCTTTTCTTTCTGCCTCCCCAATTTTACGCCGACAGAAACGTCTTTTCCAGGCGAAGGTATGACCTTGTACATTTGTTTCGAACACACTACCCATAGAACCGTGTCCTAAGAACCGGCCTTGCACTAAGGGAACCTCTTCGTGGCTCTGGAAATCCACGTGAGTGCCTCGTCCTGACCAATTTGCCAATACAGCGTCGAGATCACTCTCGGACGTCGTTCCTGTTGGTGCTAAAGTCCGTTCGGATAGGTCCGTAAGCGCACTATCCCAGTACCGAGCAGAGTCGTTCTCGATAGGGGTCCACGTGTCGTCCGCATCCCAGTTGGGTAATGGGGTGGCTGGAGAAACCCTGAAGTTGTCAGGCTTGGAGGGCGTGGACTGATCGAAGATTTCTAGCCTCGGTAAAACAGGTTGCTTGGAATAGCTAGAGTCGGCTGTCGACTGAGGCCGTGCGGAGGTGCGGTCTCCGGGGTCGCTCTTCAGGTCATCTTCGTCAAAATGTCTTACGGGCTCATGACCATATGTATATCCAGGGTCCATTGTACCAGATCTCGGTTTTTTCCTCAGTCCCAACATTGTACAGCATATTCTCTCGGCTGATTTGTTGCAATCAAAGCTGTAGAAGCACTGCTGATGCGTCACCGTGTAGTGCGCTCCTCCCCAGATCGTGAAGACGAGGCTAGTCTCGCCTACCAGGTAATGAAAAGCGAGAGAACACCTAGGAGAGAAGTAGCCGTTGGGAAACGAATCGCAGCGAAGAGTGCCGATGAGGCTTCGACGAGCTGGGCATTTCAGACGTCACGTTCACAAGTCGCGGGGGCTGAGGACTAAGCCTCATCGGAAAGGGAAGCTGCAATGCCCGCAGCCAATGATAATACCCACAAGCCAGCGTAAACATCAGCCTTGCGAGCTCATGCAGGCGAGCTCGCCACCTGTAATCTAACTTGAAATGATCTTCACACTTTCGATGTTGTCGATTCATGTGAGAACTTAGAGTAGGGCATATCCTTTTCATTCCGCAAGATGTCAGCTGCAGAGGTTCTCCAGCTGTCTTGATTTCTTCCGCACAATATCCACGTTATCTGTCCAATCGTGCCCCATTCCATATACTCTAGTCGTAGAAGCGCCTGTTACGACTTGAAGATGCTGTCAAAACTTTTACATGATCCTTCAATCACCTTCCTCGTGCTTATTCCCATATATCCATTCGTTGCATATGCAATCATCTAAGCCCAGCTAAGCGTCTTTCCTGAACCTCAGAGAGCGCGCGGCTGCCGCTAATGAACGCCACGAAACCAACAATGGTCGCAGGCGGCAGAGTCTGGAAAAGGTTCCAGGTGGTGTAGTACAAGAAGAAGATACCCTCCATTGCAAGTATAGATCCGAAGAAAAGGGCATGCGATATTGGCGCGTTACCCAGAGCCTTGCTGAGGTGGTTCGCGTTCGCGCCCACTGTCGCCCAGACAATGAACAACGCAGGAAGAGCAGCAGCAACAGCAGCTGCGAACACCAGACTTATGATCTTAGGCGGGGATTGCGGGTCATCGCGGAAGATATGGTGGATCTCCTTGTCGGCGGCGTAGCGGAGGGGCTTCTCCGGGATAGCGAGGGGGACGTTGGGGTCGCGGGCGACGTTTAGGTCGAAGACCTTAGCTTTGTAGGGCGTGGAGGAGCCGAAGGAGCCGATGACGATGGATGCGGGGATCGGCTTCGAAGAGGTGAGGAATTGGTGCGGGAGGTCCTTGTGGGCCTGCACATGTCAGCTGCGTCTGTAGCCATTGAACCACACGACGTACAAGATTAACATTGCCCTTTCCGCTGTCTTTCACATTAAAGAGGAAAGACTCCTCTACGCCGGTTGCTGGGTCCGTAAGGGTGAGGAAGGCCTGGTGTGGCCGCGTGGCCTTCTTGCCGTCCACAGTAGTGACTTGTAGCTTCAACGTGTCTGTAGCGCCCAACGATACGGACTTGGACAGCGGTGTGGTAGGGCTCAGCCTAGAATATCTTGATTAGTACATATTGACACTGGGACCTGGGAGTAAACTTACTTGTCCTTCGCACCTGCACCCACTCCAGCGCCTTTGCTTGATACGGTGACGGTGGCATCTTCGAAACTCCAGGAAGAAGCAGCCGAGACAATTGCAGCTGAGCTGACAAGCAGCGAGGGAATCAACGACCGAAGAAGCCTCATTTTGACGGTTGTGGTGTTGACGTGGAGCTTCTTGAAGCTACATTAAACTACGTACCGCGTAAGCTGTCCTCTTGGAACGCCGAGTATTAACCGAGCCAGCATCAAATCACGTGACCTGCCGTTTCTAGACACAGCTTCAGACGAGTGCAGTGACCAATGATGCTCAATACGCAGCACAGCATATCTAGCATTCATCTTATATTGTTCTGTGAGAGGCGTATGGTATGGCGCATCATACCTCCCGCTACGAGTTGATCGGAGCACGACGTCACGCCAACCTGCCTAAAAGGGTATTTTACGAGCTACATAGTCGAAAATCGTCGATTACTGCGGACTACATCCGCCGGCGGCCAGTTCCGTGGCGGAAGCTTGCCGTCACGTCAGACCAGAAGCGCTATCATCACACATGAGTGACGAGCCTGCTAATACTCAGGGGACAATACCGAGAAGGAAATTAATCGTGAACAATGAGCCGGTCTCAACTAATCGACCGTTTTTACGAGCCGTCCTTCCCGGCGCACAGGTCAGCCATCTTAACTCGACGATGCTTTTAACGCCAGATTTGCCGTCATGTCAATTCGCCGGGACCACACCACATATGTGCCTGGTAGGCTTCAGGGAACAACACTGAGGAGGATTTGCCTTTTCTGGCGTGCCTACATTACGTTGCTTTCCACTAGCCTCCCAATCATGCTTGACAAACATTACTCCACTGCTGACGCTAGGTAGACTAGACTCAGTCCTTGTTCGCCGCCAAAGTCAACTCACTGATCCTCTTCGCGATAGCATCCTCCACCGTCAGCTCCCCATCCACCTTGTGCCAATGCTGCGCTTCCTTCGAACGCAGCTCATCCTCCTCCTTGAACAACGGCTGCATTCCAACACCAAGCATCGTAAACTCCAAGAGCTGCGCAAGATCTCCACCTATCGGATGTGGGGGCCATTGCTTGAACGCCACACTCATGATGACCGGCTTGACCGCCTTAGACACCGGGAGCTCTACGCCGAAGCCGCGCTTGCCTTGAGAACCTTGTTCGATATCTTCTTCGGTGATGACGGGGAGTTCGTTATCGCCACACCTCGTCCACTTCTGCGATTTGAGGTCGTCCTTGGTGGGCGCGTGTCGGTGCTTCGAGGTGGTGGCTCCGGCGGACTGGTTGGCAAATGGTCAGTGACTGTGAGGTATGAATGACCAACAGGGGTATTACCTTGGGACCCTTAGCCCGGACTGTAGAGATAAAGTGCTTGTAGCTCGGGGCTTTCGTCTCTGCCTCTTCGAAAGCCTCCTCGGTCATCACCGGGCGAGCGAGGCGCACCTTGTTGGTCTTCGGAACAATGACGCCAGGCTCGTATTCGGTATACCTAGACAAAATCTGGATCAGCGAGCCATACAACCGTAGTACGGATATGGGATTGCTTACTCGTAATAGTATACCATGTCGATGTCTTTCAGACTCGAGAGCTGCATTCCAAGCATGCGGACGCTAGGCATAGCGATGCGAGGATGGTCGGTTGGGAGTAGGAATCGAATGTAGGCTCGATCCATCACCTCACACCACGGACCAGGAGTCTTTGCGTTCGGGTTCTCTTGCACGATGCGGTTGCCTCCGCCCCGCGCGTCGATGATGCTATGCAAGTCAACGTATTAAGTGCGCTACTCACATGAAAGTGGAGCATACTTACAGGCAGCCATAATCTTGTAGGGACAGAAGCACCGGTGTGAGCCTGGCATTCTCGAAGACCGGGAACCAAGAATATGCCGTTGAGCGTCGTTGGTTGCGAATGAACTCGCGGTTGTACTGAAGAAGTTCCGACCAGCTTGTGGCAGAGTACCAACAGTCCACTTGCTCGGCGCAAGTGACGCACCTCATGCGTTCCTCCGGATTGTAGTCCTTCAAACGCGCGTGGCACATATCACAGCAGTAGGTTTGGGCAGAGGGTGGGGCATTGGGTTGGGAAAGGACCGGGTCTGCTACACCTACCTTGGGAGGGAAAGCCGGCTGTCGGTCTTGCGACATCTTGATCTCGGGTTTTGTGAGTTGAGTCAGTAGAGTGAGGTGGTGGTGGTATGTGAGAGAAAGTAAGAGTATTTGATCAGGGCTTGGCATGCTTTTCGACGCGTCTTCAAACGCACGCACAGTTGCCGGGGAAATTGCGCTGCCTTCACCTGGAAGGAAGGTGAAACATAGAGAGCTCTTCACCGTGGACCGACATTTCGACGTGCGAGTACTAGTTCTTTGTACTTGACGTTGGCAGCATGAAGTGCCGGTTGGTTACGGTCGACTGAGAAACGCGCATAGTCGGCCATTGTAATCTCTATGTCGGTAGACCTGCGATCCTTCTTCTGATATCTGGGTTCCCTTCCATTCAGTCATAATACAAACTTGCGAGTTTACGGCAAGAAAGGGTCGAAACGAACCTTTGGAAGCCAAGAGTCTAACGCGTTCCACACCCTATTTAAGTATTGATTGTGGTATCTGAAGGGTCAGTAGAACTACAGTAGCAACTGTTTTGCGTTGTGGTTTGCTATTAATAGCCCGAGCAGATGGAAAACCCAAGTAGTTGACTGGGAAGCTGTAACAGTATCGTCAAACGTGTGATGAAGTTGTGAAGTTGACTATCGATCTCCCCAAAGAACTCACATCCTTTGTTGACGTCATATCCTCCTCGAACGGCAGAATATGACAGGGGTATCACGACATTGGCAGCTGAACATTAGTTCGTGGTTGTGAGATTGCTACTGTCCATGTCGTTCAGTAGTGCGTTGCTCGTGTAATGAAAATGAGAACGTTTTAGTTGGCATGGGTAGCTCGATGAAATGTAAGATCGCATCTTGAGACCGTGGTTATGTGGGACGGCATAGGGAGAAGGTTCAAAATATTCCACTTGCTACTTGGGTCTATCTCTTGCTATATATTGAGTTCGGGAAAAAGCACTGCTCGAGCTCGCCCAGCAAATTATACAAGCTGAGCCAGCATTGCTGCCCAAAACGAAGCCTCTCGTAACCGGAGATTCCGGGCAAGGTAATGCCGGCAAGCCACAACGCACAAGCCTGCGAATAAGAATTTTTCAGTGATGGCTAAACATGCGATTCTGTCCGAGCCTCCAAGGACAAATTGACCACAGGATTGCGTCTCTGACGGTCTTTCTATCACGCTTTCGAAGCCTCCTCCAAGATTGCGGCGTTTGCGGGCGTTTTGCGACGATATCACACCACCTCGTCTTGCCTGGTCTCAATGCAGCCACTTCGTTCGCTGGATGTCGTGCAGCAAAACACGTTGCTGTTCGGCGCTTACGGTCCGCACTCGCGGGACTGTTTCCTCCCTAATGCGATGCGTGTTGATCGAGATCGAAGGCGCTGACCCTGCGGCGGCGCAATGCCACAACGTCTTTTTCCCAAATTCCCGGGTCACCCTCATGCCAATGTAGCCTGAATGTTTCGCATGGCTTTTCGAACGCTTCATGCATGTCATCTTAGCGGGCCGCACTGTTCGAAGGGTTCTGTGATATATTCTCCGCAACGTCGTAACTCCAGATGGCTGGTGCCAACCTTGGCCCTGTGCTGGGTGAATCGGCGATCGTGTACCGCCGTGCATATTGCCGCGTCCCTGCATCCACAACGGAACTATTCTTGAGGGTTTACCGTTGTGCATCCGCAGCGATAGGGTTTCCAGGGGCTATTCTTACAGCTGTCAACGTCGTGATACCGGGTTTGTGGTCGCAGCTACCACCATGTGTCTGGCGATGTAGATACGACATTGTTAGGGTACAGTTGCCAGCAGCTCCTACACACCTGTAAGCTTTTCGATGAATAGACCAGATGCTAGGGCTGTACCTGGTGGCTCTTCCGATGGTTGGAGGGTGTTGACGCCTTCTCGTGATGTACGGAACAAACTGCCTATGGCAATTGTAACTTGCAATACGATTGCATAGATGATAGGGAAGAGAAGCGATGACAACGGCCATACCGACTATGGCTTGCAAGATCCTGCGTCATCGCCCCGATCCAAGCGTGAAGTACTTGAAGCGAACATCGTGAAGCGGACGCCCACCCTTACGGGCAGCAGCAACACCAGCCACCCAAGAGCCGCAAAGTGGGACACTCAGCCCACCCATACCCTAGCTGTAAGTGATTGAGAAAACGGCGTAATTTCCGTTATGGAGCAGTAACACCCGAGCCGATCATTTCCAGATCTTGCTACCGTCTCAGCAGGGTCCACGAAGGATCCAAGGCGCACGCCACAAACGTATATATCCAGACAGGCGTTGAGTGCTGCAAAAATGTGGGCATGAATCACCTGTGTAACTATTGACGACGGCAGTTGCGTAAGATGATTCGGCAAGCAAGTCGAAACATGTTCCTTGTTGCATTTGATTATACCTGGTTACATGTTGCATCTTGTCCCAACAGTCTCAGATGAGCCGATTCTTCACTGTGGATGACAATGTTAAATAATTCGAATCGTACATCCTCTTGGTACTGTAGCTGAGCACCAAAGCAAATTTTCATATAAGAGCCGAAGGTGCACCGAAAGGTTGAGCCAGACCGGACAGAATACTGTGATGATGCGGTAGAAGTCCAATTACGTGTGGGGGCTTCATACCTGTTGTCGTAACGACTGCACCAAGTCCCTGATCGCGGAAGCGGGAGAGCGAGTCCGAGCAAATCCGTAGATCAGACACACCAACGTCGCTTCCTGACCGACAAAATCCGACAGGGAGTGATTCAGATGATCCGGAGTAAAGGGTGCCCGGCAGCTTGGTCACGTCTGTGGCTACGCGACTTCGATTTGTGACGCTCATGTCACGCAGACCCCCTGCTCAACGTCGAACTCTCGTGATCCAGCAGCCCTCAGATTGGCGGTCCCTGAATCGGTTTCAGATCGTACTCCACGCTCAATCGAATGAAAAGTTGTCGGGGAGATCGGGATGGCGGTGCCAAACACATGAGCATTGGTCGTGTCTGCTAAGTTTAGGCGCATAATGCCACGTTGGGAGCAGGCGTCATCATCTGAAAAGCAATGTGTGGTAAAAGCAATATGGTGGCGCTGTTGGAACACCGACCTCAAATTAAGATCCAATGGTTGGGTTACATGAACTCCCAAGCTAAGACACGGAAAATACACCCGAAATGTACATGTACGAGCTACTTGAGCCTAAATTCCCAGAAAACCGACCGAAGTCAAGCGCATGGAGTCGTCATCGATGAATGAGAGCTTGAAAATAATCAAGAGTCCACTGCTGCGCCGAAAGGCATACCATGAGCCACAATAAGGCCCAGCCCCATTTCAATACGGAGGTTTTGTATTGTTGTCTCGGAATGTCGCTTAATACTATAGCTTGTCAGTCGAGTCAAAGACAAGGGAGTACCCTGCAACCTACCCCAGATTTGTTCGTGCCATCCACGACGCAAGGCTCGAGCGAACCGATGACGGTAGAGTTAGTGTCCATGCGCACCGTAAGAGTCTTCCCAGCATGTGTTCTCCCATTAAGCGCAGAGACTGCATATTCTGCCTCAGCTTTCGTAGAGAATCTCGCACTTGCTACACCCTTTGAAGCGCCCCGAGAGTCCCTATGCACGTTGGCTTGCTCTGGGCGTAAACCAGCGCTGTTTAATAATGTTGCGAGGTCGCTATTCCCTACGCTATAATTTAGACCCTGGAGAAAGATCCCACGGGTCTCGGTGATTACCGCCCCATGACTCAAGTTCACAGGAAGGCCCCCAGAGCTCTGCGAATACACCGGTTGCATCGGTGTTCCAGGGTACTGATAGACAGATGGCGGCGTGTAGGGCGGCGCTTGGTAGTAATTGGTGTATTGATACGTAGGTTGTGCCGGCACTGCGTAATGAGCTGTGGAGACCGTACCCCGTTGGCCGAAAACCTGGTTGACAGCATTGACATCGATTCCAGAGCGACCAGGGGAGTGGCCTCTATCCCCCACGTCAAAATGCCGGTTGCAATTGCATTTAAGCAGGTCCCAGTACCCTGTGCGCAAGCTTGTTGCGAAGACATGGATCACTACTTGTCTGGAGTTAGCACCTAGAGGATGGAGTCAGTCAAAGGGCGGTTGGTGTGCAAGGACGTCACAAACTATAAACGGCGTTGGCATCTTCTTTGTCCCTCAGTTTGCACCATCCCTGCATGTCTCCCCGGACTTTTCCTTCGCATACATTGGACCATCCAGGCTGTTCTTTTACCACCTTTCGGATGTGATCTTTGAAGCCTTTCCAGTCCGCAAGATACGGAGCTTTACGCAGCTGACCAGAAACGACGAGAAGATATTCGCCATCTGCATCTTTCCTGGCGACTGGGAAAGACATTCTGATATTCGGAAACGGAACCGTAGAATCTACGATATCAATAAGGGAACGAGGAACTCTGGATATTGATATATGAGAGGAGATATTGAACGAGCGTCGTTTGAATGCAATTCAAGTAGTGGGATAGCGGTGAATCTTATATCATCAAAATTTACCAAGACGCGCTAGCTTGTTGACGATGAAAGTGATCTGAGATCTGAACCGAGCAATAGGATCATCTCCCAGCTCGCCGAGAAAAAAAATCTACGGCGCTGAACCCTTGTGCAGTGCATTGTCAGTGAAAGGGATTGATTGCAGGGTGCGCCATGGCCGAAAGAAGCACATTGCGGCGGAAGCTAATAATCTAGAAGGTGGAGCATGGTTGAGAAATCCCATTCCAGATCGTTGCGTCCGCAATATGGCGTAAGCTAGACTAGTGGCGCAATGCCAGCAACGCTTAGGGTATGCATGTGGCTTGGCCTAAGTCCTAGGTGCTGATGGGCACCGAAGCACCACATTGCGGGCTGTCATAACTGTGAGATACTTGTTCGGAGCGGCTGTTATATTCCTTTTCATATTGTCACGTTGGGAGGCTATTTGCCGCATTGGGAAGAATTTGAGGATATGGAAACCGGAGTGGGAAGTGCAATGTTGACCAAGGTATGTTCAGGCATGACCTTGTTCGAGCCGCCCTGAGGGTTAGGCACTTATACAATGCCTCATTTTCTTGAATCTTCTTGCGGAGACGTTGAAGAGCTGTTAGTTATTCGCGAAAGCAACGTGGTAGTAAAGTAATCAGACGACTGTGCAGGGAACGTCCTGTTTCGAGCTTGACAAGTGTCGATTGATGCTACAAAAAGTCGCCGTCACAGTGTTATAACCCCAGAGTATCCATGCCAGGAGCTTCCAATCTATACGAAGTCAAACGGGCCAGAGTTCACCTCAATCAGTCCTCCAGAGGACCAGCTTCTGATCAAAACCGCCGGTCAATAGAAACTCCTCTTCCTGAGTGTCACCAGCAGCAAACTTGGCCTGCCCGGCACAGAGACATCGGATCTTCGAACCAGGCTCGTGAGCGTCCAGAGATGCCCTCAATTGACCCGTGTTCGCTTCGAATCCGCGCACAATACCGTCGTCCGAACTAACGTAGATGCCGGAGCCGTCAGGCCGCCAGACTAGTCGTGGCGTGGAATAGGCTGTTTGTGGAGCCATGGTAGTCACGTTGACCATGATGGCCGCTTCTTCTTTTTCCTGAAGGAGAAGATTAGCACGAGCTTGTGAAGCTTGTGTTACCGGCTCTACGAGCACTTGCTCGGTTCTGTCCGCCGTGGCCACTTCTTCGGGAGGTAGAAGCAACTTTGCTATCAGCAGTTTCATATGTGGAGTCGAGGAGGTTGCAACTGCAACAACCGAAGCATCGACAGGATTGACTTGCACATCGACCGGTGTAAATGCAACCCACGAATTGGAATGTGGAGCCAGGTTTTGCTTTCCAAGAAGCGAGATAGCGGACCCTTGCCCTACCGGTGTAATGGCGTAGTAGTGGAGGAACGTAGAATCCCTGCGAGTGAGAAGCAGTATAGGACGCGAAGTTTCAGGAGATCGAATGAATAGAAGTGTTTCGGGGACGGTCGGAAGTGACATCGTTGCGATGGGCTCCCCAAGTTGAAGTGCCGCACGGTCGGTACTGATACTGTATAGGAAGATTTTAGCGTCCCACCCCGCGGTAGCCACAATGGTATAGGATTCTGTGGGCCATGTAGCTAGTTTAACGACGTATTTTCCGTGGTCTTTCCTCTGATCCAGGACTTGCTCGGTCTTCGTGTCGAAAAGTAGCAGTTTACCTGACATAGAGGCCGCCAGCACATACCTACCTCGAATGACTGCAAGGTCTAATATAGGTGAGTCTTGGAATGTAGAGTATGACTGGACCACGCTGTGCGGAGAAGAGCCGGGGTCGATCAGGTGTAAGCGCCGATCTGCCGTTGTTGCTGCTAAGTAAGTCTGCAGTTGCGGCTTGGATGGCAGGAGCAAGCTAAGTGGAGATACATGGAGAATGTTGCTCCGCGGCGAAGAGTTGACAACGATTGGTTTTGACGGGGCTATGAACACCGGTCAGCGACGTAACAGGGATGAGAGCTGAAGACTCACCGATGCTTCGCCACCCACGATCTTTGTCTTCCAAACCTAATTTTTCGAAATTCAAACTCGTGTCAAAGGTCTTTTTCTCTTGCAATATCTGCTCAATGGTGATCTTGAGATTGCCGCTTCCCGTATCAACGGGAAGCCCTGCCTCATCGATAAAGGCAGCCAATGTCTACGTCACGTTAGCTGGATATTTATACGCTATTGACGTGATCACCTCTTTGTATCCATTTGACCTCAGAAAATGAGCCACAAGCTCTGGAACCGTCGGCAACATATTGCGTGACGGCTTCGAGCAATGACAAGGGAATGTAATGGCTGTTGATTGTCAAGTGTGGTGTAGCAATTAGCGTGGTCAACGAATGCTCGGCGTTAGCCGCGCTTAGCCCCGTCGAAATTCTGGGCTCCGCCAAGCGTTCACGTGCGGCAAAAATTCACCTACCCACATGCACCAGCCGATACCTTCTTAGTCTGCAGTGAATTAAAGTTCGCAGACTTCTCTCATATTTCCGGAACAGTATGGTTGTAAGAACTTAAATGAACGAATAGCGCTGCCGCCTAACGCTGTCCAGACGACAGCAAGTCATACCTTGCAGGACCGGCTCGACGAGCTTGCCAAGCTTCAAACAGATACACTAGAGAAGCCTTATAGCATTCATCATAGGCTTTCCCTTGCCAATGCATATAGGAGTCTGGGATATCCTGATCTTGCCGCCGGAGATGCCTACAAGGCGCTTCTCCTCGTCGATGAGTGTGTGGAGACGGGCGAATTCCACGACGAAGCCCTAGAGGCTGCTACAAGTGATTACCAAGAGCAGAGCGGCTCCCTGGAAGAGGATACCGATAAGGTAATCCAATGGGCCAAGTCTTGCGGGTTGAAACACGCGTAAGTCTACGCGAGGTTGCCATTCCGATCAATGGACATGCGCTGACCTTCGTTAGGTATGAGATTCTCATTCCTTGTCTTATCTATTGCGGATGTCTTAGAAGTGCTGCTGGATTTATTAAACGTGCACTCAGAGCTTTTCCTGAAGAAGAATCGCTTGCATCCTACCGCAAAACGCTCGACTTAAAGCTGCGCTCGCACTTCACATTGAAGAATAATGATATTGATGCAATCAATATCGAAGACTACCCTGATAAAGGATTTGTACGCCGAGAGCTCTATCCATGGAACCAGCACGAGCCGGATAGGTTCTCTCCTGAGGCACTCCAATTTCTGAACGAAGAAATGGAACGTATTGCGCACAAGCTTGAGGTCAGGGTTTCGGAACTTCCATTATTGGGGTAAGTACAAGACCTGTTACCACGTGATCGTGGCTACCTGCTAAGCTAATGACTGTAAGTAGTGAGCGTTCGTCTGCGAGTGACAACAGTGCCTTTGTGAAACAACTCGGCGTCTTTGCGAAAGAAGACATCTCGCCTGGAGAAGGAATATTGACAGAGAAGTCTCTGCTGACGGGCATATCACGACTGCACGACTCTTACTGCGATGCCTGCAGCATTTCTCTTTCTAGCACAGACGATGATCCGCATTCCGCCACAATATCATGCGACGGGTGCGATGAAGTCTTCTTCTGCAGTGAAGAATGCCACGACCTAGCGCAAGATAACTACCATCCTTCTCTGTGTGGCGTGAATATGGAACAGAAGGTCTCAGCAAGTGAAGCCGCTGACTCGCTGTACACGCTCTTGCTGGTGCGGGCCATGGGAATGGCTGAAACACAGGATGTCCACCCGCTTGATCTAAAAGAGGTTCGCTACATCTGGGGCGATTATCACGGCCTCGATCTGGGTGAAAATTGTGCTTTGAATTCGGATCCATTTGCATCTGTTCCACAGACTCTATCATTCTCTTTTGAAGCTAATGTTTTGAGACCATTGCACGTTTTGGAGAAGATGGACGTCAACATTTACGAGCAAAGCCATCGATATGACACGTGGATCTTCAACACATTGTACGCGAAGTTTCGAGGTCAGTTATGGGTTTCCACCACATGCATTACATCACTAACATCTGATAGGCACAGCATCTGCGCAACAGGGCCTTGATGGCCGGCCTGAGATTGGCGCTGTGCATCCTATGTGGTGTCTTGCAAACCACAGCTGTGATCCAAATGTAACTTGGGAATGGAAAGGTAGCATGCGCTTCTGGGCTCGCGAGCAGCTCGTCGATTACGAGCGGCGAGTTCCGAAAAGACCTGGGCTGAAGAAGGGAGAAGAGGTTTTCAGTCACTACTGCGATATCCGACTCTCAGTACAGGAGAGGCGTGAGTGGGCCGTAGGAGCACTAGGAGGCCTCTGCGTATGCCCTAGATGCATCTGTGAGGAAGCTCAGCTGAAGGATTGAGTGTGGGCAAAACGCGGGTGTTCAGCTCCAACTCCATCACGAGATCACAAGCGTTGTCGGAAAAGCGCCGTATCATTCGGTCCTCTGCGCAGTCGGTCCAGCCATGAGGAATACATGCATCCGCTCCTTTCAAAGCCAAAACCCTCATTCATCGCGTCAGCTGTGGCGATCCCATCGCAAAAATGGTTGAAAGTCTTCCCAGTCCGAAACGGATTCACTTTTAGGCTTTTAGGCGTACGCTTGTCTCGCTCGAGGTTCGGACATCACGACGCCGCTATTCGTCCTATCTTCCCCTGACTTGGGTTTGGTCAAACATCAAGGCTGCCATGTACTTGGGTAGGTATTACTGATCAATGAATTTCGCGGCGTGTGAACGATCTAGCGCGCGGCTGTACGGGTTGTACCACGCCGGTATACAGGTCTAGAGGCGCCAAAAACGCCCCCACTAATCACTCCAAGCGACAAGCTTCCACATGCCTGCACATCACTCATCTCTGTCTGCGAATAACACATCTGTCTCTTTGATTCGCTGCGGCTATAATATCTGTGGGGCACCTGCCTTGTCTCTCATCAGCCTCACTGTTCACGTGTAACCGAGTCCTCTCTTATTGCTTTTGGCAACTTCGGCCAACCACAAGCTCCCTGTACCTATCCCTCCACAATCCTGATCCGGCCGCCCATAACCCTGCGAACATGGAGTGGAGTACGCCAAGTTAAACTCAGCCAAGGTCTAGCGTGTACGCACCTCAAGGCCACTTACGGCGCCCAAGACCACACCCTATCACTCAAGCGTCTCTTAATCAACCGGAGCAGATACTTTCTGGCATGAACTCGCATGTGTGACGGCTCGCGCCTACATTGATCGGTGTGTCAGTCGCCGAGAAGCCAGGTTCGGGGAAATCGGGTTTGGCTTGCGGAACTGTATTGCACATCCCCGCGCCTATATAGTCCTAGTTTCGTGAACTTGCGCTCCGAAAAGTTTCGGCATGATGGCAATCGCCTGCTTGCGGCTTTTTGTCATGGTGCCAGCCAGGCGCGGCAGGTGAATGTCAAGGTTGGAGCCGCATCACGTGGCGCAAGCATCTTCAGCTGGTCTTCATCCCAAGCCATTGCGTAAGCTCCGTTTCGCAAGGACGTGCGGCACAGTAAAGCGTTCCGTTTTCTGTCGATTGTAAGTAGTCAGTTTCAGATTCCATAAGCAACATTTGTCCGATCGCTAGAGACGAACATGGGTCACAGAGATCAAGGCGGAACATGCCAGGCGAGTCGACTCACAATGAAGGTCTTTGCATAGACGGTATGAATCACGGGAGATTGGAACGCGTCAACACAATGCAACTCGTGTGATTCCACTCGGATGGAATCATGCGAGGGTCTCCAAGCCAGTTCCAACGAAGTAACGCAATCGTAATCATTCATCTCCGTCCGGTGAATGCAGCCAGGCTATCTTTGCCAAGTACAGTCGTGAAATGTCTTACGACTTTTGCTCCCAACTAGGTAACACGTCCTATGCGAGCCAGCTACGCGAGGTTCGGTTATCGTATTCTTGGACAACCCCGAAGAGTCCGGGTAGGACTTTCTAGAGATTTCCAGGCCATGGCGCTTGGCCCCATGAAGACATGGCTTCAATGCATATTACCAGTGGCGAAGCAATACTCAAGTCCGGGGCACCCTGATGAATATCCGCTTCATGGAACGGACGCGCAATTAAGCTCAGGGGTCTTCGTATCGAATGGCAAGACGTTGATCATTGTTACTCTGATAGTCGCCAACTTGAAATGATATACAACTGTTACGCCTCGTGGGACATCGGGAGTGGTGATTACCTGCGGTACCCCCACACGGACAAGTTGTAAGAGGTCAGGGGGCTTCTCCAAGTAGTGAGTGCCACGCTGGCATTGGCATTTTCTCCACATATGCGCCCTTCATTTATCGACGATCACTCGGTGGACCGCATGCAAAGGGGAAACATGAAAAGATTGCTAATGCGAAAAATGGCACTGATCGCTTCAAGGTCTTTGACAATAATAGAAAATTCGACACTAGCAATCCGCTCATGCATCTCCCTCGCACTGACACCCGAATCGTGAGACCAACCGGCAGGCTGCCCAATATCCAACTAGTGCAAAGTACTCAAGCTCAGACAAGAGCACATGTCCGACCGAGGGTTGGCTGAACGGAGCACATCCCTCTACAGATCTGGCATCAGGTCCCATACGTATGCTGCATGTCTGCCTACCGTCGATGAGGCTTCCGACCTCTTCCCAACTGGCAACAAATGCATGTTTCTGACTGGTCTGGACGATTTCGTGGAATAAATCATGTAAACACGATTTCACACCATGCGGTCTAGATAGCACGGTTGGAGCTATCAGAGAGAGTCTACACCACCTGTTCAGTGCATAGATAATCAAACTCGACCAGAGCTCGAAGCCAAAATTTCAGTTCACTTTCCAGCGCCCTACAAGCAACACCATAGTTGCAACCTTGAGCTTCCTCTTCCATCAGTTCAGCGGAAATCCTGTTTCGTAAGACAAGAATCATAACCCTTCAGCACCCAAATAGAGCTTGCAGCATCCAATGCACCCACTGCATCGCTGTCGGTGAACCTCCTTCTACCCGCATCGCCCCTGCTCCGTATCTCCGTGCTTCGCAATGATGATCTCTAGCTCCCCTTCGTCAGCCTGTCTCCCGCCTCCGCAATCATTATACTCACCATTACAGAAGCCACCAACCATGACATACGGAAACTATACCTCATCGCACCACAGCCAATTCTTTCCCATCCTTAGCATCTCCCACACGACCCCTCAAGTCAATCCCCGGGTCCACCCAGTGCTTCCTTCCCGGAGTCAGAGTCGCCCAGTCTCCCCTTTCCATACAGCTACTTGGCAAGTTACGAGCACGACCACTGTGCATGTCTACTTTTTATCTCCCCTGCTATCACTCATCCCATGATCCTTACTGTATATGGTTGAGCAGCACATGTATATTGGAACCAAGGGAAAGTTGTGTCTTTGAAACAGTCGTGTTTATGTACTTCTTATTTCACGCACAGTGTTTGCAGGCGCAATTACATCTCCATCATCGCCCATTAGTCCCTAGTCTCATTATATACACACCCTATATTCATCCTCCGCTGAAGTCAATTCGTAAAGTCTAATGCCATGCCATGCCGTGAATCCGTGACCCATATGCTCGTATAGTACGCCGTTCCGAAAGAAATCCATGAGTATCTGAAAAAAGCTCGCTGTCGTTATGCATTGCGTGAGTGAGTTCACGCCGAAGAACCAACCCAGCTCCTCCGATTCTGCTCCTCCCAAATAACAAGCTCGCGTCCGGATCGCTCGCCTCCGCGCCTTACACGATCGATGCCGAGATGTTCGAGGCCATCCCGACCGACATGAATGCCAAAGCCGTACCGCGTCTTGCCTGGCTCTAGCGTAGAGTTGTGTCTCTCAACGCCATCTTTCTCCACGTGCTTCTTCCCTCTCCTCGCGCCCTGCTCATCCTTCAAGTTATCGCGGGACGGACGCATAAGCGAAGTTACAGACTGCGCCCATGATCGCTCCGCATACGCTGAGCCCATGAGCCGTGCTACAAGCTCGGGCTTCGTCTGCGGGCGGCTGAACGCGCGGTCTGTGAGGATCGGACTTTGGTATACCCAGCTGATGATCTCCGCAAAGCTGGTGCTGCGGTGTGGGAGCGCTGCCCGCCTTCTGCCGGGCCAGACAGCCAGCAAAGTGACGGCGTAGAGCGCGAGGAAGAAGCACAGTGCGTAGTACCCGGGTAACTCAGCGGCAACGCGAACGACGTCCGAATTGGGGTAGTACTGCGTCCAGAAGCAGCCGCCCGCGAGGATGGGAATTGCGAAGGAGGTGAGCGAGACGAGGGATAGGATGGCGTTCTGGTAGTGCTGGTTTTCTAGCGCGGCAAATGTGACAGAGAGAGGAAGGCGGGAAGAGTAGTCGATGAGGAGGGAAGTTTCTGCTGTTGCGCCGCCTTTGGAGGAAAGCGAAATGTACGGGCGAAGAACGCGGAAGGTGTAGTCGAAGGTGAGGATGATGAGGAAGAGGATTTGGCCAATGAGCGCCGGGATGAATGAGTAGAGGAAGTTTGAGGCGGAGAATCCGGCAGCGTTAGTGCGGGCAAAGACCTGGGGAAGGAAGCCCAGGCGGACCGCACTGTTGACGAAGCTGATGACCAGGAATGCAACCAGAAGCACCATGGCGGTGACGATCCAGAGCAACACGGCTGAGGTGCGCAGCCACCAAGGGAGATACCTCAAACGGACATTGGGGCTGCGGATGTCCATGCGGATAGAAAAGTCGCTTGGTCGATGGCTTCGCCGTACAGCCGCTGCATCCGGGTATGTGCGCTCTGCACCTTTCTCTCGGATACGCCCGTCTTCAACTGAATACCTTCGGGTTGCGACGCCTTCTTCGCCGATGCCATGGAAGACGTCATTCGGGCTTCGTGTCGTGCTCCAGTACCCCAAGCGATCCGATCTTCCTTTCAGGTTATCGAAGTCCCTTTTCTCAAACGTCTCGGCGCCGCGGTAGTCGGTCGTGATGTTCGAACGTTCCATGAGCGTCACGATATCGGCCAGGGAGCGAGGATCCCACTTTAGCCCCGTTGGCTTCCGGAGAATGATCACCAGCACAAGCAGTGCTACCACCAATAGTATGTATAGCACAATTACCGTCCACATAACACCCTGTACAGCCACCCATCGCCAGACTGTTCTATCCATATCATATCGTACGTTGAAAGAAGACGCAAGAAGGGGTATCGTCCATTGAAAGAGCCAGAAAATGAAGAAGCATACGCCGACTAAGGGCTGACCGGCGCGGAAGTACTCTGTTCTGGGAAACAGAAACTGGGTCGGGTAAAGCTGCAGAAAGATAGCCTCTGACCGCTGGTGGTACTGATTTGAGGCCATAGCGATGAAGGGCACTACCCGCTGCAGTGCGACCTGCACCTGGATAAGCCACAGAAGAATGAGTGCTCCGAGCAGTGTTGGCAGGTACTCGAAGACGAAGTATCGGTTGTCACCGAATACTTGGTAATCCCATAGTCCAATGCCGTTTTGTCGGTTCGAATAGATGGCACAGAAGATGAGAGCCGCGAGCATGAGTAAGCATGTAAAGGCGAACAGAAGAAGCCAGAGAGGACGAAGAATGCCGGGCAGAAAGTTCAGTGGCGCGTGGGGCACGTCATGAGCGATAAAAACGTCCTTCTGCGCCTTTTCTGGCGTCCGTTCCTGATGTAGTTGTTTCACTGCCAGCGCACCTTCCTGTGAGCTCGGCGCTTGTCGGGACTTCCTTTGCGGCATGTGCCGCGATAATCTGTCTTGAGTTCGAGCATTCTGCGCCATATAGCCCAGACGCTCATCGGACACTATGCGCTCGACTGGGTAGTCGGCCTCATCTTCGGGGTCATCGTCAGACACCTGTGTCGCATCTTCGTGATCTTGCGGATACATGCGACTGCCTCGCACTTCTTCATCGCGCGTGAGCTGATCGATAGCAAAACGGATGTAGGGGGTCGTGTCCATGCCGGGGGTGGTGGCCATTGACTCCGAGTCCATGGGCCGCTGCCTGCTTGCCTGGGTGTCTGATCGCTCTTCGACAATGGTGGAGACAGGGCGGTCGTTGGTGGGTGGTGGGTGGCGCTGGACGCCCACTCCCCGTAATGATGCTATCGCTGCGTCGGCGTGGTTCTGCAAATGCTCATGACTTTCTGCTGGCGTGCGGTATTGAGAAGGCGGTGTGGTGTAGCGGAGCTTGCGAGTATCACTCTCGCTCGACGAGTTCTCGGAGAGGCTGTAGTAGCCCTCTGAGGCGGCTTGAGACGCAGCAATGCTTTGCTGCGAGTCTGAGTGGGAGAGACGTGGGCGACTGACTGTGCCACATCGTCAGTGAGTGCTACCTTGACTGTTGCGTCGCACTTACCGTTAGTTTGCTTGAGCTGGAATGGGGACTCCAGGCTCATGTCGCTGGGAGAAGCACTAAGAGTATGTGGGTATGCGGAATGGCTGCATGATTAGTGTACCACGGGACGCGCAGTCGATTTTGTACAGCTGTGACCTTGGTGGCCGATGCTGCAGGTGGCTGGCAGAGGAGGCTGGGAGGCCAACCTCAGGATATTACATGTCACAGCGAAGGCATTGGTGCGACAGGCTTGCTGAAGAAGGTTCTATTGGGACTATCAAACTAGTCAAGATGCTGCCTTGATTCCTGTGACGTTTCAGCAGGATCCGGACACGTCTGATGGTGTTGAACTCTCATGATCGTCATGTACAAGACGCTCGCTTAGCGGCGAGCTTTGGCCAACAGCCAGCCCACCACGTTGCCAGCGGATCACCTTCAAACGTCCGGATGTACTTAGATGAATGATACCATATCGTGAATTGATCCAACCCTACAGCCACGCTCAGCTCGAAGATCTGCGCGAAATGCGTGGAGATTAGGCCGTTGTGCTTTCCCTGCTTCGCCAGATTGCGGGGTCGAAACGCCTGGTCACGTGTGGCTTTAGCGTCCATAGGTCCCGCGTCTGTTGACGTGGTAAACAGTGCGAATGCGCCGGAGAGCATTCTTCTCCAGAACCAGCACCACTGCCGCCATTCCTTTGCGCGACTTGTCGCAACTCAACTATTGATTCTCCGCTGCGATGCCGGCCGCGACAGAGGCAGAGTCTCGCTCGCCCTCTCCCGCGCCTCCTCCACCGATAGCAGACACACCCGGACCACGCGCCCAAGGTCTCATAAGGATCTACAATCAAGCCGTCGAGGCGACGCTGAAGAAGTGTTCCACTGCCAATTTTGCGTCGTGCTTCCCTACCGCCGCAGAACAAGCACCCGAGGTGCTGGAGAGTTTACGTAGCCAAGTTCTCAACCAGCTGCAACGAACATGGAAGCTTAACTTCGATGAAGTAATGGCAAAGCGGAACGTTGTTCAGCTACTCAACTCTTTGGATCAGTCTATTGAGGACGCACGGCTGCGAAAGAAGCGCGCCGAGGCCAATGGCGGGCCTGTCGAAACACCTGTGCCGTGAGTTCTTCTCCACTATCCCTGGCAACACCTGCGATCGCACTTATCCTGACCATGTGCTATTAGCCCGCATACGTTACCGCCTGCAGAAATCCACCTAGCGCACCTCATGCCTTTCCTCGAGACGCAAGCCGCCGAAATGAACACGCGACTTGCTGACACGCAGCAAGCCAACACGCAACTCCTCTCTACCGTCACGTCACAGCGAGCGGAGATAGAAGCTCTGGTGCACGGGCTCGAGAACGTCATTCGAGATTTGGAGATGAGTGCGCAGATGATGGGCCAGGAAGACGTTCAAAGCTTGAGCAAGGAGATGAGAGAGTTCGAGAAAGAGATGAAGAAGTGAGACAACATACGGTACGGGAACAAGAACGAATCACCTCGTGCATCACCACGATTGCACGATATAAGATTTTCAGCTTGGGATGCCGAAGCATGCGACGCACTGCGCGGTCGCACTGCAAGTGACCAGCCAATGAACTTCGCTGCGCGTCTTCGGCAGCCTACCGACGAGTCCACGCTTCGCAGGAGGACCGCATACGGCACCGTGGGAAGCAAGCCGGCTATTAGCAGGCCAAAGCCGTATGCATGAAGCAATGCGCAATGCACGGTCACTGGTATATCCTAGTGTAGCAAAGTCGCACCCCCAGGAAGGACAACGAGGAGGCTAGTTGCGGCAGTGGATGCACGATACTGTGCCTTCAAAACAGATGAAGCTTGACAGGATGACGCAGACGTGCGGTGCGCGGATGTTGATATTGGCGGTGGCAGTTAACGGTAGGCGAATGCAGTCGGTCAGTCTACATTCATACGCATTGTTCAGGATATCGTTGCATTTCTTGCTCTCATAATAGCGAATTCAGAATTCGCGTTACTGTACTCTTTGCCTATCCTCTTCTTGCATGCTCCCGATCGATTCGCGCTGACGCGCAGTGGACCATCCCCTGACCGCAGCCAGTCCAGATATGCACTTCCGTTGGTGGAAACCCGTCCTACCAACATGGTCACTTATGCGACTCTGTTTTCAATGCCGAGAATCCAAAAGCCGAAACGTGGGGCTCCACGTGCCCAATCTCCAAGATCATTACCAGAATCGCAATTTAACATCAATATATACAAGCCCATTGCGGCGCATCCACCGGCTCAATCAATCTAACACCGCCGCGGCAACAATGAAAAAGCATGACAGCAACGACATGATAGGATGGCGCAAAGGCACGCTTGTGCGTAAGAATCGTATATGATGGCTTAGGGAAAGATCTACTATTATCGCTCGCGCTGTCCTGAAGGCCCGCATCACGACTGTCCAAGATGAAGTTCACCACAGCACTCAGCGTCGCGGTCGCCGCAAGCTCTGTCAATGGAGCGACACTGCAGCCTAGACATTGTGAGTCGTTCATACCTACAGTGAACTCATCTTCATCTAACGCGACCAAGACACGTTCCCCTCCATCGGCAGCTCCACCGCCTGGCAGTACGTCCGCCAAACCGACAACTACCAATCCAACGGCCCCGTGACTGATGTCTCCTCGAATCTCGTCCGTTGCTACACCTCTAGCAACAAGGGAGTGGCGACGCAGAGCGTGGCGGCAGGCAGTAGCGTGACGTTCAAGGCAAACCAAGCGGTTTTCCACCAGGGCCCTATCCAGTTCTACATGGCGAAGTAGGTCCCTCCTTTCTCTTTCATCTGTGTATTATTGGGAGGGTAGGACTAAAAGATGAAAAGGGTCCCCTCAGGCCAAACAGCAGCAACCTGGGACGGTTCCGGCAACGTATGGTTCAAGATCTACGCCGAGAAGGCTACCGTGAGCAATGGGGCGCTCTCCTGGGCCTCTCTTAATCAGGCCTCCTTCAGTGCGACGATTCCCAAGAACGTACCTAGCGGCGAGTACCTGCTTAGGATCGAGCACATCGCCCTGCACGGTGCGAGTGCTGCCAACGGAGCGCAACTGTACATCTCTTGCGCGCAACTTAGTGTTACTGGGGGTGGAAGTGGTTCTCCTAGCCCGCTGGTGGCTTTCCCAGGAGCGTACAAAAACACGGACCCGGGGTTGAAGGTTAATATTTATTCGGTGAGTGGCTGAATATTTGATGTAGGCAACGGCATTTAAATTAACACACGTGCAGGGTCAGACTTCGTATACGCCACCCGGACCCGCAGTGTGGACGGGCTGAGAGTAATGCTGTAACTACGTGCAGCTTGTAATCTGAATAGTCTCGTCTTGTAAATTCTGGTTCTAGTCTCAACAATGCGTAGTTGCATGTTACATCGAATACCCCTTCGCGTGGTCCGAACATTCACCGAACAGACCCAGTGCGCTTACATAACACTTCACCAATGACACCATATCGGACTACCTAGCGTAACTCCTGTGCACTGAAATGGAACCTTTTGTTTCCTTCCGAGCGGTCCGTTCCCACGCGTCCCTAAGCATGATTGGTCCTCTCATCGGATGGTGGACCCTGATTCCCCGCAAAAGAGTTTGTTGACCCGATCTTTATGACGCTCGTCAACATGCGCTCATATAGACCGTGAATTTCCGGAATGGGGAACAGTCGTCTGATCTCATCCACAACAACAGTACCCTCTCACCAACCTCGTAGTAGGAGCCTGTTCTGACCTCATCGCCTTTTTGCATTGTACATACTCTAGGGAGCTTGCCGATTACATTCGATCCAAGTCAAGCGCTGTTGACCGGAGTAGATGGAAAATGCCTCCAATAACACTTTGGTTCCTGCAAGCGTCGCGCTCGATCCGCATCGCCTGGCTCCTCGAAGAACTCGGCCTTGACTATGACATTCGCTTTTCGAACCGCATGTCTAATATGAAAGCGCCCGAGGAGTTTAAAGCCAGCAGTGGCAACCCGCTCGGAAAGTTTCCGTCGCTCAAAGATGGCGAGGTCAGGGTATATGAGAGCGGCGTCATCACAGAGTGCGTGGCACAGCAGCATAATGGCTAGGCAAGAAGAAAGCTAACCAGTGGGCTAGATACCTCTGCGAGACGTACGATAAGGAGAACAGACTAATACCCAAGGATGTGGACGAGAGGATAAAAGTGCTCCAGTGGCTCCACGCAGCCGAAGGCACATTCATGATCCACAGCCTCGCGATAACCTACGCGCGATGGAACATCCCCAAGCAAGCACAGGACGACGGCGTGCTCGAGCAGACCGAGAACGGCCTCGCCGTTAATGTGCAGAAGGACCTTGACTGGCTGGAAACGGAGCTGTCCTTCTCTCAAGGTAGCTTTTTGTGTGGAGAGCATGTCACGGCGGCGGATACTATGATGCAATTCAGCATTGACTTCATCTTGGTAACGGGGTTGGGGACGCAGGGGAGGGAGTGGCCGAATATACAGAAGTGGTTGAAGGCGTGTAAGGAGACGGTGACGTTTAGGAAGGCGGTGGAGAAGAGTGGATATGAGTTGACGGCGAAGCGACCGGAGGCGAATTGAGAGGACGGTGTATCCGGGATGCTGTCTAAAGGGCATTAATTCAAAATCATCACGACTTTTTGGAAAGGATTGAGCAGGTGAGGTACTGCGTCAGTGAGCAATTTATCATTGTGCCATGTATCATCGCGAGTCATCAACTTTTCAACCGTTGCGGCGGCGCATTAGTCTAGTGAATTCGGAAGGTCCGCCCAAGGCCTTGCGACTGCTATTTAAAAACCGCACGCCTGCTTCCGCACCGCGCTCGATGGAAGTCAACCCACCATGGCGCGTCTAATCGGTCTAGCGCTCTTGGTCAGAGCACTCGCTTTTCGACAGTAAGTAACTATATTCGTCTGTATACAACTGAAGAAAAGCTACTCATGTGTGAAAACAATAGACGCGAAGAGGACTCGAAGAATGCGCGCTTGATACAAGCTCTCGCTTTTCGACAGTAAGTAACTATATTCGTCTGTATACAATTGGGCAAAGCTACTAACAAGGGAAATTAATAGGCGAGGAGAGGACTCAAAGAATGCGCTCTTGATCCAAGCTCTCACTGCTCGAAGGTAAGTAATTACATGTGCGTCTACAATCGGTAAAAGCTACTAACATGTGGCAATAACAGACGTGAAGAAGACTCGAAGAAACTTACACTACTCTGCCTTCCCGCCGAAATCCGTAACATCGTCTACGAGTACGTGGTCGACGACAATCGATGGTCGTATCCACTCAGCGGAAATACCGTTAGGGGAAAAGCAGTTGCTTGTTCTTCAAAGGCATATTGGCGAAAGGGGCAGTACGCACCAAAGCACCGACCTCTTGCCATGACTCTCACTTGCCGCCAGCTCTACGTCGAGACTCGCCTCCTTCCCTTCAATATGACAACTTTCAAGTTCGAGTGTCTGTCACACCTCGACGAGTGGCTCTCAAGGACGGCACCGCCCTACCTGAAGACATTCCGCGCGGAAATTACCCGACATAATCATGTTGGGCTTTTCCAATCTCTCAACGTCGAGTACCTCCCTCCCCGGAAGTTCGGCAGAAATCGCATTTGGGACTGTGCTCAGTGCGAGGAGTTCGAGACTAAGCGTCGTTTTCAACTTCTGGAACGCGATGTACGACCGCCAACGACATCACCAATCTGGTCAACGGTCGACCTCTTTGGTCCACGACCGCCTCCCCCTATGCCAATGCTCGTTCTCAAGGAGCCTGACGAACTGGAGGATCGCTGGCCTATAACACTCAACCAGCTCCATTTGAGGATCCGCTGCCGTGAAGACCATGTTATGGCTTACGTTGAAGAGGTGCAGAAGGCTCTCCAACAGAAGGGTATCGACCTTATCATTGAGTAGGCCTGGAGACATGACATTCGAGTGAATTGTACAGGAAGTTGGAGCTACACTAGAGTACGCGATTATGGCTGGAATAGCGCCGATGATATCGAAGAACTTTACGGTTGCATTGTATAACATTACAAGACGAGATATGGAAAGACCGGTCTTGCTGATTGCTGGAGTTCACTTGCCTTTTGGTATTGCCTGATACGGCACGCAGAGGCGAAAGTATGTAGTGCAATCGATATCACATCTAGCGCATCTCGGCGTACCATAAGACATTGCAGCTCAACTTGACACTATTTCAAGATCGTTAGCCGCCATGCTTCCTGCACGCTTCCCAACAGTCATTGTCACAATGTCGCTAATGTGAACCTGGCCATTATACCTGAAAAGCGCTTCAGCACGGAGTGCACACCAAGCCAAGAAGTTTATGAGTCTCAAATCCCGTGTCATTGATTCTTCCCTCATCTGATTATTTACCTAATCGTCCTCGGCTTAACCCACCTCTTCCCATGACCTCTCCCCTTGAACTTGCTCATCTTGACAACAAACACACCCCTATCGATAGTATTCACCACAATCCACCCACTGGGAAACGTGAAATGGCTCCAAGTGCCAAAATCCCACAGCGCCTCTCCTCCACCCGGCAGATCATCATCACCGGGGTACACATCAAAGTACGCAATCTCTTTTACGTTTCCGCCTGTGGGGTCCCGCGGGATGCCAGAGACGTCGAGTACACGCAGGCCGGCTTGGTAGTTAGACTGGTATGCGAGGCCGTCGTAGACAAATTGGTTGTGGTCGACGGAGCGCGTTGAGGACTTGTAGTAGCCGGTGTTCTTGGGGGCTTCAAGGTTGGTGATGTCCCAGATGTAAGTGACAGGGAAGCCGTCGATGGCGGGAGAGTCGGCGGGGGTGCGGTCGGGGTCGATTTCGCCCTCGTCGAGCTCGTCGTCCATGATGAGGTGGGTTTGCCATTGCAAATCCAACAACCACCCTTGGTGCGTGTAGCTGGCACCTTTATAGGGGGTCCGCGAAATGACTTTGCCGGCGTTGGTACCCTGCTTGTTCGTCACATCATAGATGGTGAGCGTATCCTCGTTGTAGCCGTAGCAGATCTCCTTTCCGAAGTACTTCTTGTGCGGGCCACGGTAGATGACACATTGCGCATCATGCACATAGCCGTCAGCGGAGGCGCATCCAGGAGAGGTAGGTTTGGAGGGATTCTTCATATCGATGAAGATCAGGCCTGCGGCGCAGGTCGAGTTGCGAGGCTGAGCTCCGACGGCAAAAGCATTACCATTCTCAAAGTTGACAACGACGTTATGCGAGCGGCCGAGCTCGAGATAGTCAGTAAAGAGGCCGGTGAGGTCAGTCGCCGTACTAAAGACCTTGGGCGTCTTGGAGTCGACCTTGAGCAGTTTCTTTAGATCGAAGATTTGTACGCCGTGGTTCACGCCCTCGGAGCCGACGATGAGGTAGTCGCCGCTCACTTTGATTTCTCTCCAGATGACAGGGCTGGCTTGGGCTGGCAATCGCCCAAGGTAGACGAGCTTTCCTTTGCTGGTGACTTCGGCAAATGCAGCTCCGTCAGTCTGCCCGATGGCAATGAACTCGCGGCCGCGGTAGCTCCATCCCCAGGAGCCGGATCCCTCACCACCATCGCTGCCAAGCTCTTCATGCGTCTTGAAGTCGTAGAGATCGATATCCTTGCACTTGTAGGTCTGGTCTGCGTCGCCTTTTACAGCCACAGCCTTTCCGTTGGTGCACTTGATGACATCTTTGTTTGGGCGCTTCTTGTCGAAGCCGTTCCACTTCTTGTTATCGTATGCACCAGCAGCCTTGTGCTTGGCCCAAGCGGACTAGAAATCGTAAGTATAGACCAGGAATCACATTCTTTAGCACTGACCTCCTTAGCTTCCATCATCTGAGCCATGACGCGACCAGAATCGTAGTCATCTTTGGAGAAGCCGTAAGCTAGAGGCAGCATTGCTGCCGCCGCGACTGTAGCGAACTTCATGTTGGGGGATTGCAAAGAAGCTCGACGCTTCTGGCCTGCTTTGCAAGCAGCACCGTATTCTTATACCCATCTCCGCGCCGGTCATCTCCATTGCATGGTCCTTCCGCAGCATCATTCGCCATGCAAGCCACGACGTTCCGAGATATCGAATGTAACCCTACCTTCCTAAGCCAGGTAGTCGGGAGTCCTGTACCTCGTCTGCAACGCTTGACTACAGGTCTCGGCGGTCTTGGTGAATGCTTGTCGGTGAGAAATTGTTGTGTTGTGATTTGTCGCGTGCAGTCTTGGCGAAGAGCTCTGTAATCACATTATCGTCCAGGATGTGGCCGTGCTATATGCATCGCGGACCGCCAGTGTCTGGAACGCGAAGAATAGACAGGAAACTCGGGAAGGACAGTTGAAGTGAGAGAACCGAATGGCGAGTGACATCAGCGTAAACCTGAGGCGCACCTTAGATAGAGCGGCTCGGAGGGTCCGGCGCGCCGAGGAAAGATGCCGTTCTCTGCCATGTTGTTGCCGCGAACCGGATCGTCTTGGACGGAGGCTGTGGGAAGTGGAGGGTTGCTGCAATGGGAAGGAGCCAAGCCAGATAAGATACGACGCTACCAAGCACACTAAGATCTGCACCAAGCTTTCCCCGGAAATGTGGATGAATGAATTGACCAATGGACGAAATTAGCAGAATAGCTCCCAACTGTAAGTCTACCGTATCCAAAATGGTGCGCCGTTGCGTTGTACAGGTAATTGCCCAGTCCGGTTGTCGTACACGCCGACCGCTACCAACTCCTTATGCCAGACCACTTTTTCTGGTAAGAATACTAGACCGTACAATCAAAGCTTCGCATCGAAATCCACATAGGCTTCCATTTGCTTCTGAGTCATTTCCGCCTCCTTGTTGCTTGCGAAATGATTATGGCGAGACAGATAACGCTCACGGAGAGTCTGAGGCCTCTCGCCCTCCAGGTCACGCGGCGTGCGAGTACGCTCACTCTGCGGCTTGTTGGCGGGCAAGAGTGGCTCAGGGAAGGGGACATGAGGAAGGGGAGAACTACCTACGCGGGGCTCAGGGAAGTCTAGGAATGAGTAATCAGCAGGCGGTCGGTGTCGAGAGGGAACAGAATCACCAATAGGCCAAACCCTGCTTGCATCAAGATCCAAAGGATCAAATTCATACTCCGGCTTTGGGTTTGCGATACGAAACACTGGCGAAAGAGATAGCTCTCTACCTTCTCCTTTCAAAGGCTGCTGGTCCCGCGCGTTCTCGACCGTCGCTGCCGTTCGCGATGCCTCGCGACCGGTTTGGCCGTTGCTCTTCTGTGTCGGCCCGGATACCAACTTCGAATTCTCCCAGTCACTAGCCAGCTTCTTGTTCTGGGACATCGAACGAGATAGTACACGGTCATGTACTTGATTGAAACGTGCGTTCTCTCTCTTGTAGTTCTCAGCGCGGCGCATCTCGTGCGCTTCAAAAGGAGCCGGAGGAAGGTCTTTCCATGACGGTTCGCCTGTCAGGTATCCGTTCCTGGGATCATCGCGTTTGCTATGGGCGCGACGTGTGATTGCATCTTGTCTCTTCGCGACCAGCGGAGCCTTTGTTGTTCGTGGAAGCCTTGCGACTGTGGACCCAGTACCAGCAAGAAGGGATATGGTTGCGTTCAGACGGACATTATGCTCGTAGTCGGATACGGTTTGCACGCTGACGCTTTTGGTGACAGGCGCGCCATTCTGGTCCCTCTCTGCCTTTGCGACGTCTGCCTCGTTCTCTGCCGTCTTAGCTTGTCTTAGCTGCTTGTGTGTGGCCGCGTCGTGTGCCGTTGAAGCGGAATCAATATGGACTTTGTTTGCGCGGCTCTGTTCAGGTGCAGCGTCTTCATCGGCACGCCTCTTGCTAGGCATACCGTCCGTGTCGTATTGATGGGATTTATCAATACTATTCATAGACCGCGTGACTCGCTTCTTAGGTGATCGCGGAGGGGGCGCTCTTCGAGAAGAGCCGCGACAACGCGCCATGTCTGGATGGCGTTGTTGAAGTTCGCTCGACCAGGTGGGTGTTTTTTGGTTGGGGTGAGTGAGTGAGAGACGTGCCGTGGGCGCTCTTCGCTCCTTCTAGGGAAATCGGTGTACCTTCACTTCGTAACCTAGTCAACGCAGAGCCGTGTTGAAAGCTATAGTACCGTGCATTGATCCAGTGGAAGCGACGTCCTTTCGTCGTAGTGACACACCGCGGCTTGAGGCGAAACGTTCAACCACCAGGTCTGGGCGTTGATGGATCCGGTCCGTTAGAAAGGCTTTTCAACTCGAGAATCAACGTCGCATAACTATACCAATGTCTGCTGTGTAAATACATTCGCATTTGTGTATATCGTTCGAAGCTGCAGAGCAATTTGCAGCTGAGCATGTTCTTAAAGCCGCCTTGAAGATGCTGTCGATGTTATTGACACTGGCTGCACTTTTGACGTGATCTTTTGAATGGGCATCACCTAAGCATGCCTCACCACTGACAGTGCCATACAGCCATGAATCGTACCGCCCTTCGAACATAGAGGCTAAAGGAAAAGCTTTGTACCCTTTCGGCACCTTTACTCTCACGCGTCGAGATGAAGGCGGAGCAGTGGCTTCCCAACGAAAACACGGTTGGCCAGTGGAATACAGTGCCCTGGGGTAACTCAGTCAGTGATACAACTTGAGATTTGCGCACTGAAACTGTATGACCGCTGTTTACGAGGGCGCCGCCGACACAACTCCGAGATATGCCTGCGAACATTGTCGAATCTTCAAAGAACATGCCTAGTATTCAATGATACATCTCTTCAAGATTCGGCCATACATTCGGTAGATCGCGCATTTCTAGTTGACGAGCAGCTGAGCGTCCTAGGAACCGGAGCGGAGTGAATCGGAGGAGACGTGACTCTGATAATAAGCAGGGAATGCGGAAAGCAGACTCTATTCTGAGTTCGCATTGAGATATGTTAACGAGACGCGTAGAGCGGATGGGAAGGAGGCTTGACGCGCTGTCGAAACAGGCTAGCTTCTCTGCCGCACGGACCTCGGAGTTTCTACAGAGGCATTTCGGATAGATTCGACGACGGCAACATTCCGAACGACTTTCACTCATCGCCTCCTATCAGGAAATGGATGCGCACACCACATATAAAGACTGCAACATGTTGCGCCGTGCTAAATACTGCACAAGCAGTGTTTGGGCTGGCCCCGCGTCCAGTACGGAATCTGCATTGTGACTCAATACCATCCGTCCTCCGCATACGGCCGAAGGAACAGAACCTTGACCCCAATTATTGCATGACTCTACATTGCATATGCAGTTCAACATGTCCGTACGCCAGGAGATCATCTCAGAACTCGAGGCCAATCGAGGGATCTACGTCACCTTCCTCCAGCAGCTGATCCGTGCGCCATCCCCCAACCCATCAGGAGACACTACAGAAGCCGCAAGAGTCATTAAGGAATATCTGCTGGAGAACGGGATCAAGCCCGAAATCGTCGCGCCGTTACCGCATGCGCCAAACGTTGTCACCGACTTCCAAGGCGGCAAAGGAGCGGGGCAGCGCGTGATACTCAACGGACATATCGATACGTATCCCGTAGAGAAGCCTGACGTGTGGGAAAAGGGGCCATATTCAGGCCACAGCGATGGGAGTATGATCCATGGCCGGGGTGGGGTCGATATGAAAGCTGGAACCGCGGCATCCGTCATTGCATATGCTATCCTGCATAGAAGAGCTAAGAGTCTGAACGGAAGTGTAGGTCTCATGGCTGTATCAGATGAAGAGACCGGAGGGAAGTGGGGTACTCGATATCTACTTGAGAATTGCGGAAATCGCTGGCTAGGCGACGTGGTCTTAAACGGCGAGCCTGGTGGTCTTCAGTCTATCCGATTTGGCGAGAAGGGTACGTTGCGAATCGCGTTTAAGGTCGAAGCTCAAGGCTTAAACGGGGCTTACACATTCCTTTCGCGCGGCGCGAATATCGTGGCTTCTAAACTTATCAATAAGCTTCTAGAACTGGAAGATATAGAATCTCCTCTGCCAGAAGAGATTCGGAAGCATTTCAACTCGCGAGCTTGCAAGATCGCAGATGAAATCATGGGCGAAGGTGCTTCGGAAGTGCTTCTCAAGCCTACCGTCAACATAGGAACCATCCATGGAGGCGTCAAGGTCAATACAGTCGCCGAACGATGTGTATTCGAAGCCGATATTCGCCTGCCTATAGGCCTGGATGCCGCGACAATTCTCCATCTAATTGACCAATACCTAGAAGACTTCCCTCAAGCTTCATACAAAGTGCAGGAGGCAGCCAGCAACCCAGCAAACTTCTGCACCGCAGACCACCCTTTTGCAGAAACGATTGCGAAGTGTGCCGAAGAATTCACGAACATAAAACCAGTCATGCTGGCTGGATTGGGAGGTACGGACTGCAAGTTCTTCCGCTACCGCGGAATCCCAACGTTCGTGTATGGCCCATCACCCAAAGGTATGGGTGGTAGTCACGAAGCGGTGTCCATTGACGAGTTCATAGCAGTGGTAAAGACTCATACATTGGCTGCATGGGACTACCTCTGCAAAAGGTAAAGATGCTAGCCAGGTCGCATTCTGACTCGCAAGCCCCAATGGCTACCTAAAAGTAGCTCAGTACTTCGTAACGGGACTAGCCTGCGCGACAATCGATGTTGCTCCTGAGTAACACGGGATTTCGAATCATCAAATAATAGAACATTCAAAGATACGACGCAATATCGCATTGTGACTCACAGCCCTCGCCTCGCGTTTGTGGAGTTGCGCAGGTGCGATCCAGTTTGGCTTGGCGGGGCGATAATTGTAGATCAGGCAACCATCCCATCCACTATAAGTAATACCATCCCCGCCTATTATGCAATTGTGACTGCACCACTTGGATATTCCCAAGTTTTGACTCTTCAAATAACGATCGTTTGCACCAGCCTAAGGAGTGCTGGTACGTCCGCAACCAACATGCCTCCTCACGTTTGTGGCTGTTACTACTTTCATCCAGCGGCACTTGAGCGATGTTACTTGCCGCAAGTCAAACTTGACGCTCATACTACTATCTTGTCGACTGCATCCAGAACGGTGCTGAAGCAGAAATTCATCAACTCATCCAAAGACGAGCTTGAAGAGAGTCCGAATCGTTGCTTCGGCCTCTGTGCTGCCTCAAGCCATCCTCTGTTGGCCCGTACTTACCTAGCTAAGCTTGAACCAGAGTTCTCATGGCTGACTAGTCATTTGTAGATACGCCTTTCCACTGTTCGATGGAGTCGGTGTGGTAGACTTCGTTTGCAAGGTCGGAGATCGCACTGTCTATGGCCTCGTGAAAGAGAAAGCAGAGGCGCGAAAAACTTACGAGGAAGCCAAAGAGCGCGGCGAGAAAGCTGCGCTTCTAGAGCAACTACCCGATGCTGCAGATGTCTTCACTACGTCTGTCAGCAACATCCCCAAGAATTCTATTGTAGAGGTCTCCGTTACCTACATACAGGAGTTGAAACACGATGCGGAAGTGGACGGCGTTCGATTGACCGTACCCACATCCATTTCCCCCAGATATGGCTCATACCCTGGGAAACTCATAAAAAGATCATCTGTAGATGATACAGAGGGAATCTCGCTGACCATTGACGTAAGCATGGCTGAGGGAATTCCGATCAAGAAGGTTCTGTCACCTTCACACCCTATCGAGGTTTCATTGGGCAGTTTGTCAACAAGCACCGCCGATGAGGATCCGTCCTTGTCGAAAGCGTCTGCTACCCTTGCCCTGAGCACCGCACAGCTGGAGAAGGACTTTGTGCTTCAGGTCGTGGCCAAGGATGGAGGTGTTCCTCAAGCCATCTTGGAAACCCACCCAACACTCCCCAATCAGCGAGCCTTGATGACGACGCTTGTAAGCAATCTTGAAGCAGTTCAACATCAGTCAACAGCCACTTATATAGCGCTCAGGTCCCCAAATTCAATTTGAAATCACAGAAGCCGGAAATCATCTTCATTGTCGACCGCTCCGGGAGCATGGAGGGCAATATCACAACCTTAGTATCTGCCCTCAAGGTCTTTTTGAAATCCATCCCTATCGGGTGCATGTTCAATATTTGTTCCTATGGTACCAGTCATTCTTTTCTCTGGCCAACGAGCCAGTTATACAGCCAGGACACACTGGCAGAAGCAGTTAAGTACGGACGGAATCATGGTCATGGCTAGATACGTATGCTGAATCACATGTAGACACATCAGCGGATTTCGTGCGAATTTTGGCGGCACAGAAACGCTGCACGCGGTAAAGGCCTGCTTCGAAACTCGCTTGAAGGAGATGCCAACCGAGCTCATGCTGCTGACCGACGGCGACATCTGGTCCCAGCAACAGGTGTTCGATTACATCAACGATCAAACCAAGGCGGGCGATGTTCGTGTATTTCCGATCGGTATCGGCGGAGGCGTTTCTAGCGCCCTCATTGAGGGTATCGCCCGTGCTGGGAAGGGATTTGCTCAGATGGTGGCAAATAACGAGAAGCTTGATAGCAAGGTTGTGCGGATGGTATGTTTTTCCACTGTATCCTGCAAGGCTGGCTTGTGCATTGCCATTGACATCAATGTTGACCATCTTTGCAGCTCAAGGGTGCACTCACACCCCACATCAAAGATTACCGCTTGGAAGTGAAGTACGAAGACGACAGTATGGATTCTGTCACTGACAGCTTGCGCATTCGCCTCCAACTCCATGATCAACAAAGCGATCAAACCACTATGTCGCCTGATAAGATGGAGGCGGAACCGATCTCATTATATGATACTAAGGCCGAGGAGGAACATCCCAAGTCTGATGAAGGAACAGACATTTTTGCCGGTCTACCGAAGCTCGACCGGCCCAGGATCCTACAAGCACCTCATGAGATGCCTCCACTCTTTCCATTCAATCGCTCCTGCGTCTATCTTCTGCTTTCGCCTGCAGCAGCCAATGCGAAACCAAAAAGCGTTATCTTGAAGGGCACATCGCCGCAAGGTCCTCTTGAGTTAGAGATACCCGTCGAGGTTCGCACGGCTCCTGATCAGATGATACATCAGCTAGCTGCGCGCAAAGCAACCCAAGAACTTGAAGAAGGCCGAGGCTGGGTAACGGAAGCCATAACAGATGGCGAGAAGCCTGGAGAGACAACCCCGATCAGCAAGAGGTATCCCGCGAAGACAGCTCTACTACAGCGACGTGAAGCCGTCCGATTGGGTGTGGAATTTCAGGTCGGCGGTAAATACTGCTCTTTTGTGGCGGTAGAAGCCAACGAAGCCGAGATCGCACAGAAGCGCCAGCAAGCAATTAATGGCTCTGTGAAAAAAGCCTCTGGTGAGAACTTCAATGACTGGGAAGAGTTCATCCCTACCGGCGGGGACGCTCATTACTTAGGTTCCTCAGGTACGTCTATTCCGACATGTTCTAGATGTTGGTCTTGTCTCCAGTGAGCTTCATAGGGTCCTCGAGATCTAGATCATGGCTGATCGTGGTTGTAAATGCCAGCATCAGTGGCTCTTGCGTCTAAAAAACTGATCGACTATTTTGGAGAACCTCCTGTTCCTGCTGATTCGAACGCAGCACCAGGTACGCAAAACACTTTTCATACCAACAGTAAACGTACCCTGCCACCCGGAACCACCTCTGCTCAGCGCTTTGAAGATCCACAAGGTGGAGGCGCAAGGACTAACCCTCTTGCACAACTGCATGGACATTTTGCTGCAACAGGAGCAAAAGTGGCCCCTACGAGAAACACCTCCAACTTTGATCCTGAGTTCCTTGCGGAACCCCCCACGGACTCGTACACAGATGGGCCATTGCTCTCCCAGGCAATGCAGCAGCAATTTCAAGGATGGTCGTACAATCGCCCTGCTCTACCCGGCAGTGTCGGGTCCGAATCGCTTGCCAAGAGCAACTTGGCGCCGCCAGCGCCGACCAAAGGAAAGAAGAAACAATCTAACGTGTCTACAGAGTTTGCTGACTTCCTCGAAGAAGAGACTTTTCATGACGAGGAGGAATTGGACCTGGATTTTGGAGGGTCTGTCGCGATGTCTGGACAGGCTCAAGAAGAAAGGGAAGACTCGGATGAGGATATGGGCTATGGTCTATTCGATAGCCCGGGGAACGGTACAACCTCAGACGCGTTCCGTAGTTCGGCCTGAGCTGACATGCTCACAGATGTCCCGAGCGCTCCGGCATCCGGAGCGCAGTTCTTGAAGAGCACTACGTCTTTTGACTACGAGGAAGATGATAGCTCAGGTGTAACTCGGTTCTTGAAGGCCACCGACACATCTTCTGAGAGTGAAGATGACGTCCTCGACGATGACAGTGAGGACGACGATGAAGCAATTGTTTCTGCAGGGAAGGGCACGTTGCTCGAAAGCATCATTGCCCAGCAATTGTTCGATGGATCCTGGAAATCTATCCAGCCTTCGTTCCAGAAGAAAATGGGCATCAACTCGGACGATTACCGCAAGCAGGTCGATGGCCTAGTGTTATGTGATTACTCGCTTGATCGTGGGAAGGCGGAAGCTGCTTTGAGCACGGCACTCATTGTTCTTTATCTCGAGCAAAAGCTATCCGATGAGGAAGAGACATGGGAGTTGATCGTAGAGAAAGCAAAGACGTGGTTCGGGGACAACGTGGATGAGGGGATGATGGAAGCGGCGTTCGCAACGGCGACGGAACTTTTGAAGGCGTAAAACGATGATGATAGTATGACCGAGGGGACAATGCGGACGTTCTTTACAGTTTAGTAACTTACAGCATTTGCTCAGAGCTAGAGGAGGCTCTCAAAACAAATTTTCGTTGCCTTGAATCCGCTGTCCGAGGTCCCTAGAAACAAGGCGTTCAGTGTTCTACAAGCATTAAAAGCTTGTACAACGACCAGCCTCGGATGTTTGCAAAGGCTTTCCATTCTCATTGGTGTTCTTGGTTGTATTCATAATGACAGTGCGTTGTTCCCCACAATGTCGCGCCACCAACCCTAGTGAAACAGACCAGCTATCGCTTGCCGAGGCACTCCCGCTACCAGCCCTGCGCTCATCTTCCGCTCGATTCTCGCATCCTTAATCTATCCTGATCGTCCAGGTTACTATTCCAGGGACTGGCTTGCATAGACCACCCCACCTTAATCTCACTTTACAGGAGACATGTATGCCCAGAAGGCTAGAAGACGTTCAGAAACGCTGAAAGTGGACCTAAGAGGCATAGATCAGCAAACATAGTTTGGTGCAACCACAAAAGTAGGGCAATGGCGCTCCTGCGATATGTCGATGTTTGTTTGAAACAAAAATTGTGGCGCTGGGCGATCGGGCGTTGATGCCTCGGCTTTGCTACCTGCAGGGCTGTCTACAGAGTAGGGGATGCATAAAGGGAGCGCATACCTGTTGAACGTTTAGACATCGGCACCAGAGCACTCTCTTCACACTCGTTCCTTTTCTTCTGACCATTGTCGCTGGTTGTGCTGTGCACTTTACATTCATTTCAACGCACTCACTCAATACTATACTTTGAAGATGAAGTACACACCTGTTTCCGTTCTTCTTCTCGCAGGTCTGAGCGACGCTCGACCCAGGCCCCAGTTCAGCATCCCGGGCTTCAGCATACCTTCCTTTTCTCTGCCCACCAGTTTGCCGACTGGAGGCTTCGGCTTGGGCTCTGGATCAACCGGTCTCGGGTCCGGATTCAGCATTCCTTCCTTTGGAAGTCTTCCTGCTGCTACAGGCGCGGCCTCCAACGTGGAGGCGACTGCGACTGCGACTGCTACCCCGACGAGTGCTGCAGCTCAGCCCACTTCAACTGGATCATCCGGTGGAAGCGGAACAGTAGGCAGCAACTGTACTCCTCAGGCTGGCAGCAGTGGTGGACTCGGTGGCACTGAGAATGGTGTCACGGACAAAAACTGCTGTACCGGTCTGACCGTCATCTTTGCTCGCGGAACGAGCGAGATGGGCAATGTCGGCACTATATCCGGACCGCCGATGTTCAAGAGTTTGAGGTCGAAGTTGGGAGATGGCAACGTCACGATCCAGGGTGTTGACTATCCCGCGGACGCTGCTGTAAGTCTACATATATGTTCCGCAACACGTCACACGGCTTCTGACCCTACAAACAGGGAAATGCAAACTTGGGCGCCTCAGGTGGTCCTACGATGGCCAAACTCGTCCAAACCGCCAAGTCGCAGTGCCCTGACAGCAAGATCATTGTATCCGGCTACTCCCAAGGTGCCATGGTGGTCCACAACGCGTTCAGCCAAGGCATCTCTGCCTCTGATGTCACTGGTGCTATCATGTTTGGTGACCCACTGAAGACTCAGAGCATTAGCGGTCTGAGCACAGACAAGATCAAGGAGTTCTGCGCAACGGCGGATAGCATTTGCGGTACTGGAGATAACCCCCAGGGCAGCCATCTCAGCTACGGAGATGTCGCCGAGGAGGCTGCAGACTGGGTTGTCCAGGCGGCTGGCTTGTCTTGATTCCACGTCCGATATTTTGAGGTGGATGGCATGGCGAATGTAGGCAGGATTGGATATAAGGGTGGATCTGTGAGGTGTTGGGACCCGACACTGGAGAAGCGGGCATTTTTAGCGCCTGCGCTAGCACAAATTAGACTAGTATCGTTACATAACGCGTAGTGAAACTTCAATGTTCTCTGCACTGCAACCCCTCCGTCGAGAACTAAGTGTGAACATTTCGATTTGGAAGCATCTTCAATATCCTGTCCCAATCACTCCATTATGCCAGCTAAATGTAGGGACCGCGAGCGCATAGCAGCTTCAGGCACGGTCGACATACCCTCTCTTCCTGTCGGTGCGATCCGAGGCAACCTATGCTTTCGCTGCTTCAGCCCTTCTGATGACATTCTAAAATGCTCGGGTTGTAAGCGAGCGTACTACTGTTCTGCGAAATGCCAGAAGCTTGATTGGAAGCTCATGCACAAGAACCATTGTACAATATTCAAAACAATCAACAACGTCGAGGACGAGAAGTATCAAGCATCTAGAACATGGGAAGAATATCGTGAGTATCTAGTAAGTGGGCTACAAGAAGGTGAGGCGCGTGTTCTTCTTTGGCAAAAGCTGATTAGTTGCAGTTGATGATGGTTCGGGTGATCCGAAATGCTGCACCAAGAGATGACGATTTGCGTTATATTGTTCAGTGTGTAAGGTCTGTCAGTATACTGAAACTCCATACTGACTCTGACAGAGCCCAAGCTTACTGTGTCTCCTGTCGCCGCAGCGCAGTACAACTTGCAAGCCGCAAGCTCACCCTGAATCACTGCAACGATTGCCGCCTGGTCTTCTCGTGTCCTGACTGCTCGCCTGCGCCAGAGCATTCGCCCTCGATATGTGCTGCCTACCAGAACTTCCGTCGCAGTGAAAATTTCCGCATCAACTTCTTTGAAGATACCGGAAAAGCAACTCCGATCACATGCACGCAATTCCCATGTGAGACCCGCAAGTCTCTCGCAGATGCTGCCGGATGGTTCGATTACTACACGAAGATATCCGACAAGCAGCAAATTGAAGGGAAATTCAAGCCTGATTTCAGCAGCATCGAGGATGATATCGACAGAAACGGCTCAGATAATGAGAAAGACGAAGCCGAGAGAATGCTCATGTTTCTTTTGTATGCGACGGACAGCCTCACCATGCCATTGACCATTGCATCAGCCCTTGAGGACCTCCATTGGGATAATCCGCATCTCAACGTTCACATGCTGGGTGCCACAGATCGCGAGCTTACGGCGTTAGCGAATTTCGAAGAGATGCTGCACCTGGTACCCGGTCTACAGAGTCTTCACATCACAGCTGTTGGCCCCGGTATACCAGGCCCAACCGATGGTACTGTTCTTGCGAAGCAGAACCTCGACTGCTGTCCTCCTTGCAAGGCAGACGGGCGGCAGCGGTCCATCTCGCTCCACAAGGGCGTTTACCACGAGTTTTCTCAGGGCCCTACGTTTGAAAGACCCGATCTTGTTGTACTCTTCAACAGTGGATGGGTTGACGGCGATGACGCGAAGTCACACTGGGAGCCGACCATCCAGGCTCTGGTTGAAAACAATGTGCCAGCGTTGTTCACGACGTACAATGCTGGAGAGGCACAGAATGAACAGAAGAGGTTGAAAGAGCTGAGAGCAAGATTTGTGACTGAAGTCGGTCAGAATAAGTGGAGAGGCTTAGTACCCACACCTGAGTTCATCGACGAAGAGCATGGCATGTGGTTCAATAACGCGTACAGATATATCATCCAGGGGAAAGAGTAGGCAGCAAAGCTTTAAGCTATTGAAGGTGGCGTTAGAAGCAAAGAAAAGTATCGGACACATCTACAATGCCAATTGAACAAGAACCGAGAAGATCTCGGATTGACAGGCTAGCCTGAGACCTGTCCTGGCAATACTAGCTATTTTCTCAACACTACACAAAAGCCACACAAGATATGGTACTGAACAATCCAATAGCACCTCTTTCCACTCTAGCCCTCCAGATTGGAAAAATTTCATGGCAATATCTCACCATCATCCTTCGATGGAAACCCATCATGCTCTTGGCCACACACCTCCTTCGGATGGACCTTTCTTACATGCTGCTCCTTATCTGGATCCGACCCCAGCTCCTGCTCCTGCTCCGTCTTCTTGTCTTGCTCCTTCTCGTACTCTGTCTCTTGCTTCTGTAATACCGTGGAATGATCGGGTTGTACCTTCTCGTACAAAGCCATATAAGCCTGGGAATTTGCGAGGTCTCCCACAGGATAAGGACCAGTCGGATTGTTACTGACATCACCATCGTTGCATTGCCACCAGTCGTTGGAGCCATCTTCGTCGGTCCTTGACACCACAAAGTAGTGTCCGGTAGCAAAAGTAGAGCCAGAGTGATAGATGACTGCGCGCAGCTTGTACATGAGTTGATTCTGCTCGCTACCGTCAGCTTCTACGTACTCTGATAGGTCTAATGTAAAGGCTTTCTTGTCGAACACCACCTTGTACGCGAGTTTGTTGCTCGAATTCCAATCGGTATTTCCTTCGCTGACCTCGTGGCGCACGAACTTAAGCATGAGAAAGTCTGGAAGTGGTTTGAGGAGCCAGAGCCTCTTTTCGTGTTCACATTCATCGAAGCCGTACGGACATCCATCATAATACCTCGCATTGTATGCAAACAGTCTGTCCACTGATATCGCCTCCACCTGGGCGGATCCACTCATCGCTTGCGCCACAGTAGTTGTTTGCAGGCGTGGCAATGGTATCAGTGAGATATACCAGCTTGGGTCGGACAATTCCTTCACCTCAGAGGAATTGCTACATTTCACGATCTCTGAAGGATAAATGCGAAACAGGCGATCGAAGACTTCTCCATAGTTCGAATCATGTTCTCGTAGGTAGTTGAGGAAAGCGCAGAAGTATTCGGCCGTGTCTTGCTCCTCCCTTCCCCTGTAGTCTGATATCTCGGAAAGTCTTGAGAAGGTAAATTGGAAGGCAAAAGGTGGAACGGCCGCTGGTATACCCTCACTGCGAAGTAATTTGAGAAGATCCAAGAACTCCCACATCAAATTTAGTTCGAACTCCTCTTCCCTATAGATGCAGCGCTCATAGTGGTCCGAATTAGTAGGGTTTCGATTGATTCCCAGCTGCGTTCCGACAGACACGTCTGACTCTCGTTCCAATTTGTAGGGATCAACGGCTGCCAGTGCTTGTAGAATCGAATTCATGTAGCACGTGTGCCTCTCAGGATCGCGAATTAACCCCCTTGGGGTAGAACTTCTCGGTGGGGAAGGGCCAGGCGTTACCTTGCTTAAAGACAGGGCTGTGGGAGGCCGAGAACTTGAAAAATTAAAGCCCTTCACTGGGTCGCTCGTAGTGATTGACCTTTTCAGATCATGAATTGCATCCATCATTTCTTGCATCTTATCACTCAGTAGATCCTCCCTCTTCTTGTGATGCCTGTGAACGAAGTTGGCTAGATCCGCTTGCTGGGTATTCATCATTCTCACGATAGAGATCTGCCGATTGAGAATCGTCCCTAATAGGTCGTCCGTCATATTCTCTTTGTTGGTTCGGGATGTAACGTAGTTGGGTGTGATTATCAAGATTGTACAGAAACTTGCTCAAATAATGAAAGATCAACAAAGAGCACTCGCAACAAATAGTCTCGCCATCGTGTGACGCGATGTTTGAGAGTCAGTTGAGCAATCCAAACAAACTTACAATAGTTTCCAAAGGGGTGGGTACTGCATCAATCCAGCCTGGGCAAGCACAGGGTGTCAAAACATCTGACGGGACACTGTAATGCACAAAGCTCAACTCAAACGATTGCAAGGGTTCAAACAATGCCAAAACATAGGCTCTTAGGCGTTATTGTAAGAATGTAGGTCTGGTCAAGGGGGAGTATAATATTGCTGGAGTATGACTAGGAACTATTGGAGGTTGCTTTGACACGCACTGTCAACATATACTCGAGTGCACATGATGGTGTCGGTCGAGGGTGCGTAGGTGATGATCTGAACAGACTACCTACAAGCCCGCGAGTGAGACTAGATATCACGGGCATCTGCCCGTTCTTCTGTGTCAGCTTGATAATCGGCTATAGCTCGCTATACAAAGCGTCCGCATAAGATAGGGGGGAGATAGACTGTCCAAGAGAACTCAAGCGGTTATGCATTTGCGAAATATTGAGCCGATAGTGTATGGCCGACATTCATATCTACGAGGAAGCTATTTTCTGCGTGCGAAATAAGTGGGTGGACAGCAAAGCAAGAAGCTGCACACTGTCAGCGAGATCGTGTCCCAAATCTCATTTGGGTGTCAACAGTAAGAATTTTGAATGCATATATGCATTCTTGTGGCGAGGAAAGTCCAGGTGGTCTGAGGAAGAAGATAGGATGGAGGTGCTGTGGGAAGCGATTGCGCTAGCGAAAATTTCCTTCAGTCCCACAAGGATGATCAAACCAGTTTGCACGACACGGTGTAACCACGTCAATAGAGCCAGAAGATCTTTTGAAGCGCAGTGCTACTTTCTTTGCTAACAATCTTCAATATATATGTTAATTTGTTCATCATTCACATCAAGCTTAGTAACATCCGATATGGTCTAGTGGCTAGGATACATCGCTCTCATTCGAAGAGATCCCGATGTGGCCCGGGTTCGATTCCCGGTGTCGGAAAGAGTTTCTTTTTGCGCGTTTAGAACGTTAGAACAAAGTGTTAGACGTAGTGCTGCTGTCACTTTAGCCATGATATAGTTCGTGTGCGGGGGCTGCAAAGACAACCCCACCAGCTTGCCAAGAACACGAACATCACGATGCGTCTATACGCTGAATGGGAGAACCCTTTTAAACAAAGCTCGAATTAGAATGGTATGCATCTTGCATATCTACGCTAGCGCTTGTTGAGTCCTATGTGTAATCCAACCTCTTCCTCATCTGCTTTTAGCTGACACGTCCATCACCACCAGGCAACAAGCTAACAGTCCTAGTCAATGTCTGTGTTGCTGTGGCCATTGAGGTTACTGTGACCGATGTTGTCTTGGTGATACCAGCTGGACCTGAGGTAATCAAACACGAGCATGCCGAGGAAAGCGACGAGATACCAAGACCGACCGAAATTTGGACCTGACGCTTCCTGACGGGTAGCTCGGTGGGGCAGCTGACGTCGTAGAAGGTGTAGGGAGACATGGGGTTGTAATTCGTGTTGGAAGTACTATGCGAGATTAACAGTCGAACAGTGAAATTGATGTAAGAAACGACATACGCATCAACAGTGAAAAGCATGCAATTAGCCTCTCCGTATCCGAAGCTCTTGCATTGCGAGTCGGCCTTGCATGCGGCGCTGCAAGCGGCGAAAGTGTTCTTGGTACCAGAGCTGTCGAAATAGTACGCAGCTGTGTCCTTGGTATAGCCAACGATCCCGCAACCCGCGGAGCTAGGTTCGGTTAGCGCAGGGCACTTTGCAGGTCTCTTCGTCTGGTTACATACGGTGAGGGAGAAGCAGTTGGGGATTGAACGGTGGTTGTCGCCTTGGAAGATGTAGTTGGGGGTGTGGATGAGGTGGTCGGTCCTTTCGTCGTCGTTGTAGGCTTCGGGTTTGGTCAATACAGTCATGCTTCAGTAGGAAAATGACCTACCCTGCCTGGCCCGCTACTAGATGTTGTAGGCGGATACAGAGTAATTACAACGGTTGTTTTCACGGTCGTAGTAGTGCCGGCAGTGACAGTGGCAGTCTGTGTAGCAGTTCCAGATTTCAGGATGCTGCTGCACAGCAAGAGTGCCTCGGAAGTGTGTCCAACGAAGGAGTCCAAACCACACTGAGATACTGTAGTCTGTTAGCAATGAGAACTCCGAACTCCTAGCTATTTTCAAATGGTCATATTCGACAGCACATGGCTCCGATTAAGACCGAGCATTGGTGCCTCACCATCTGGAATACCGCCTCTTGTGCTGGTAGGCCGCGGACGTTGTCTCGCTTGAATTGCTGCGGCATCGACGCTGGCAGCCAGCACCGCACCGAGAAGAAGAGATGCCTTCATCTTTGCAGTAGGACTCGGAGGCTTTCGAGACGCAACACGATATCGTCGGACGTGCTGGAGAAGCTGTAACGATCAGATAGGCGAATCTATTCTTTTTATAAGTGTGTGTGCATGCGGCAGGGTCTGGCAGATGGCTTGTGATGTAGCATATTTCATTTGCGAATAGATGAGAGATGTCCGTTCGAGCGCATTCGATACTTCGGTCGCGTCGCGGCGGGCCAGGCCCATCGTAGGCCGATGCTCCAGTCCTGATTGAACAGCGCGCGTCTCCATTGCGGATTCAATTCACTTTGTTCGCATCGTATCTGCATTCGCACCTGCGCCGAAATCGAGTCTTCACCATCCTAACCAGGCAGTGGGCACTCCGAAGCCTCGGTAGCGTGCAGCTGGCCTAAAATATCCGCGTGAGGTCCACCAAAGAGAATATGCTGAAGATTATAAACCATATATAGCCAAAGTAGGAGCAATTTAGAACACGGTAGGTGGCTGAAGCTACCCCGGTCCCGAACCCGGCAAATCGCGTGTTCATATGACATTAACCTACGATCCTAAAATAATCATTCACGGGCATCGGTTAAGACGTCGCGCACAGGCTTCAGAATCGAAGATCTGCTTTGAAGATAGAAACTTTCCGTAAGTTCAGGTATACTCCTCGGTCTTGTTCACTTGATAGGAACGTCCGAAATGATCTATAGATATCTTCCAGGCCGCATTATACAAGGCGGCACGATACCTGTGCGTCAATACCGAGCATATAGGGCTTACGTCTGCATGTACTTCGCAGTGCTTGGCTCGGAAAAGTATCGTTGTAGTCCTCTATATGAGGTGCAACGCAAGGATCCGACGCGCAGCGAACCTCTTCATGCATGCGAATGAGATGCAACCCTTGTATTCTACTATTCTCTTGTAATAGTGAAATGAATCCGCCTCGTATCGTCGTTATGGAAGCGGAGATGGTCTGTAGCTAGCTCCTGAAGTGTAGCAACGACAGAAAATGACACCCCAAGGTTGTTCCCAATCTTCCTCCACATTCCCTGGAGACTTTCGGGGTTATGGCGATACATTTTCCCGGTTGGGTTGGCCTGATGGTCGTGGGCTGCAGCGCTCACTGCACCAACCTGTCGACCAAGAATCATGGAGCCCTTTTCAGGACGAAGTAACTTCGCAACTGCCGTAGAAACCTTAATTTGATTTTCGTAATCGAAGAGGTGAAAGAAAGACCCGGTGTAGACGATATCAAACGTGCCTCGTAACTGTATGAGCGATGAAAATTCGTCAAAGATGTCGGCCGTCAAAAAGTGGCTCTGTAGGCGGTCGCGGTCGCGGAATAACTGATAACCCAATTCGATGTACTCTTTCCGGAGATCACACCCGTAGATATTTTCCGACGGCGCACCGTCTGCCACAAGTTGACGGATTTCTTGCCCAAAACAACAGGCCATATCCAACAAACGTTGACCTTTACCAAGGCGTTGCAGAAGCTCCGGATACTCTTCGGTATGGTTCATACTCAAATCAAGGAACCGGAACTGACCAATGCAGGGGTATGGAAAGATCTTCCAAGCCTCGTCGCGTACCTGCACGACATGTTGAATTACCTCCTCGGCTGGAATCCCGCTGTAGCTCTCGAGCAGATGGCGGGCATCCACCGATAGCTGGGAGTCATCAGGGCGTTCAGTGAACCAGGCCACGTTCCGATCTTGCAGCTTGTTGGAGCCCATCTCCAATGAATAGAAGAAGAAATGATGTTGTTATTATTATTCAAACAACGATGGGAGGTGCGGTGCACGCGATATGGGTTCCACCTGGCAGATGTCGTATTTCATTCGACATCGCACGTGACGAAGGACATTGCGTCATACAAGCGATCCGCGGAAGGTTCCTTCGCGACAACGTCACGTTCAGAATCTATCTCAACGAGAGTGGACAGACAATCCAAGTCATTACTTGTCGTTCTTCAGTCAGGCCGTCATCTGTAATACTCTGGCCTGGTGCTTACACTCGCGATCGGCGTGCTGTGGCACTTCATCCCGACTAGCCGATCGGCGTGATGCATGCATCCATGGTAGAACAGCTATCTACTCCTCGCAATGCACGAAAGGTGTACAAGATCATGCAATTCTGATTGACAACTGGCAGGCTGATACTCCACTTTCCGCTGCGTTTAGCCTTGCGTCCCGCCACGTCGCGTGGGCATGGCTTCGCCTAAGCATGCAGGCATTTGCATACTATAGCTCTCAACGTTCGGAACTTCCAAGTTTAGTGCCATCCAGGATCATGTTTCTCCGTCATCGACTACATATGCAGGGATACGACGCTTCTCTTGCGTTGACATGCCTATCCTAAATTCGGCCACCTTACGTAGAAGCATCGTGAAGAAGCCGATTCAGACTAGGATCCAGCGTATTAGCCGTGCATTCGCTTCTCCGCAATATCACTGATCTCGGAGGTGACATAGCCCATGACTTGTTACTGTTTCCATAAGTCGTACGAGCGGGCTGCTCCCGCTCGGCTGGCACCACAGGCCCACTTCAACATGAAGGAGCATTGGCTTCATGAGGTATATCAGTAATGTCTTCATATGCGTCGCTATCATACAGAAAGTCGTGAAAGATCGATCGATTCCGCTCACCCGGCTACTAATGTCTGCACGCGACAACGTCCCTAGAAGAACCGCAGGTCGCCTTCCCGAGTGTCACTGAAAAGTACGGATAGCCATGTACGAGGCAATTCGTCTATTTTATGGTGGTTACTGACCGTTCGACCAGTCAAGACTGACTGCCTCAAGGAGGTATACGTCCGAAGGTCACCCCCCTAGTATCTTAGTACAAAGCTCCGGTACCGTTTGCTCAAGACGGAAATGACATCGCAGCGTCACAGTTCTGGCGGGATATGACGCCAGTAAAGGACACAAAATACAGGGGATCTCGCTGGCAAAGGCGTGGCACGTTCCGACTTCTGTATATCATGACCGTTTTCCACGGCCGTGATGTGGGAAAGCAACAGATCGTCCCTGAGCAACCGGAGCAAAATGTCCGAGAAAATCACTAGCGATCCCTACGTCGATACCGCGAGTATGATGATTTCCGAACGTAGCTTCGGCAAGCACGAAAGCATGCATGAAGACGGTGGGAAGCAAGCATGGTTGACTGTCGTGGGCTCCTTTCTCGTCTATTACTCTTCCTTTGGTCTTTTGAACAGCTTCGGATTCTTCCAGGACTACTACCAGACAACCCACCTTAGCACAACATCTCCATCCACCATTGTGTTTATTGGCACCCTTCAACTCGCGCTTATGAACGTTCTGTCTACGGTTTCTGGGGGAATATGCGATGCGCACGGAATCAAGGTTTGCAGAAACATCGACTTCAAGCTGTTCGCTTACAAGACAGTAGTATCTGTACATCTTCTCAGGGTTGGGCACATCAACTGCACTTTTGGCACTTTCGTTCTGTCCCCGAGGCGCGCTGTCGGAAATATTCCTGGCACAAGGATTACTCCTGGGCGTCACTGCTGGCTTTGGTATCCAACCAGCTTGTACGGTTGTGGCCCACCATTTCAACAAAAGCCGCGCAAGGGCTATGAGTATAGTTTGCGCGGGTGGTGCAATCGGAAGTGTATGCTATTCCCTCATGTTTATACGACTACAGCCCTTTTTAGGTTTCGCGTGGACAATGCGCATTGCAGCGATGAAAGTTCTGTAAGTTTCTCTGCGGGGGTTCCACGGTCCATGCTAATATTGCAGTGTTTGTCATTCGGTTGCTCTGTTTCTATCCAAAGACAAAGCTAGCCAAGTAAAGATCACAATCAGCTCATTGTTAGACTTCCATGGGTTCGGCGATGCCAGGTACGCCGTACTAGCGCTTGGAGGGTGCTTCGCAAATTTCGGCCTCTGGGTACCAGGGTTTCACATCAGTAAGTGCATTTTCGTCCCAGTACAGACGCGACTGATCTTGATTAGAGTCATACGCCATGAACTTATACCCAACCCATACGACTGGACAATATCTCTTGCCGCTCATGAGTGGCTCTAGCGTACCAGGCATGATCGTGTAAGTTGAGTCAATCCTCCGAATCAACACAATTGACTTCACATCAGCGGAGGCCTTCTTGGGGATCACTTCGGTCGGCTCAACGTTATCTTCCCGATGACCTTCTCCTCTGGATTCCTCTGCTTATCGATCTGGCTTCTTGAGTCGTCACTTCCGGTTCTCGCGCTCTTTGCCTCACTGTTCGGGTTCACCTCCGGTGCTCTCATTTCGCTACTGCCGTCCGCTGTCAGTCAAATCGTCCCTGACGACAAGGTCGGCGCAAGAGTGGGCGCATTTTACAGTATTATATCTATTGCGACGCTGACTGGAGCTCCAATCGGGACAACCATCATAGGCAAGGATCCCGCAACCAGAGAGGATTATCGTGGCTTGATAGCTTTCTCGGTACGTCTCCTCTCGCAATGCGCCCGATCAAACTGACTTCACGGAGGGCTCAGCAATGGTGATTGGCTCGCTAGTGTTGTTCGCAGCGAGACTCCTTCACAGCCGGAATTTGCGAGAAAAATGGTGAGGGTATGGTAATATTGACGCTGAAGGGCAAAAGGCGTGCAACAATATTGCACACCAGATTGTAAGACATGCTGGGTTGTTTTGCGCTGAATATTTCCTGTACAATCCCTCTGCATTTGCGCCCCCAGTCGCAGTGGGCTGTACCGCGGCTAGCGTGCCGAAATCGGCTTCCTACTAACACACAGGCAGTACATAGAGTGTCCTTCGCAATGTACGTTACCGCATTTGCATTCAATCATTCAATCAAGTTTCAAGCACATCCATACCATCACATATTTTGTTTCCAATATGGCCACAGCCCCACCAGCAAACCTCCCAGCCCGTACATCCTCCCATCTCCTAACGAATCCCAAAACACAGGCTCAGTATATTATTCAGATCTCTCGACCTCTCCAATTCAGCAAATCGCTAGAGCTACGCAACAGCCGCCTCCCTGTCTTCTATGTCCTTGATGGCAACGCAAATTTCCTTACTGCCGCAGAAATCTGCTGGCGTGGGGAAACAACAGTGAACTGGGCCGGTGGCGGCATCGTCGTCGCGATAGGATACCCTCAAGATCCCACAGAAACGGGGCATTTGTATAATTTTGGGGGGTCGCAATCGCGATTATACGCCTTGTGCGGCCGACGGGACGCCAGGTGACGCGACTGGCAAGCTTGGCGGCGCGCTTGGTGGCGCGGACACGTTTTTAGAGTTCGTTGAGAGTGAAGTGAGGCCTCTAGTAAAGAGTATTATGAAGGAGGATGGAGCTGAGGTTGCTAAAGAGGCGATTTGGGGGGCATTCATTTGGCGGGCTGTGTATTTTGCATGGCTTATTCACGGGGATGGGCGGAAGATTCGATACATATTATGCGGTTAGTCCGTCGATATGGTGGGGTGAGAAATTCCTTGTGAAGAAAGAGAAATCTTTCCGTGGGGAGAATACACGTTTAGAGTTGAGCTTTGGTCTGTTCGAGGAAGAGCCGGAGCGGACGCCCAGGGAATCAGAAGAAGACTTCGAGAAAAGGCTTGTTCACGCGGAAGAAACAGCAATGGGGCCAAACACGCGGGCGATGTACAGACTACTGAAAGAGAATGGCAAAATGGTTAATGTTAGGCTGACTGTATTCGATGGCGAAGATCACGGGACCGTTTCTACGGTTGGCCTGCTGAGAGCTCTGGTACAGTTCTTCGCGGATTAATCATACACTCGGCAGCCCTGCGCTATACGAGGAACTCCTGGTTCGGAAACCGAGCCTACCTCTTCTGAAACTGTGCCTTGCTCGGCACTCCTGGTGAACCTATACTATTATGGTGTTGTTTAGGTATACTAAACTAGCTTGCACGTGGTCTATAGGGTGTACTCTTCGCCTTGATGGCAGCTCGGGATCAAGATGAAACATGCACTTGGATGACACAGTTCGCATGGGCACGTTCACTAGATCTAGAATATGATGTGGCCTATCTCTATCGACCTCATTCAGCGCCCAATTCTTCTTGGAGCTCCTTTTTGACCCTAGCGATCTCATTGGCCATGTCGCGTTCAAGTCGCTCAATTTCTGCCCTATCCCTTGCCAGACCTTCAGTGACTGTGGCCAACTCTTGGTCCTGGGTGCTGATAGACTCTGCAGAGGGGTATTTCTCGCCCCGTCTGTTCATAGCTATGGCCTGTATATCATCAGCGAGTGTTACTCGCAAGAGCCTGTTAACTCACCTTCTCTGTGAATGCAGCCTCCGCGGGCTCGTTTGCGGCCCAGAAGGCCATAAGGTCCCTAAAGTCCTCTTGCTCGGCCCACCAACTGTCTACAACCGACTGGTCCTCATGGTACACGCCGGACCCAAGGAGCCCTGGAGCAGCCCTGTTGAACCCGCCTCCGGTGGTGACCCAACTATTGGCGATCAAGGCCAGCAGCATCTCAGCACACGCGACCTCGTCGTCATTGACCTGGTAGCAGACCGGGAATGCGTCCAGAGTGAATTGACCTGGACAACGCACGTTGCAGACGTGCTTCACAAGCTGCATCAGCCAGTTGCTTCTGTCGCCCCGTGTATGTTGTTCTTGCCGGTCGATAAACTTTTGTGCACGACCAACGTATTGCAGAGGCCGACGCAATGGCCCGTCCATCTCGTCGGCCGAGAGCCGTCCAAGACGCACATCAAGAGCGTCGCAAAAGCTTTTGATGTCCTCGGGCTTATAGCGAGTGCGTTTCCGGCCATTGTTCCCGTTTTTGCAGAAGAACAGAGGCTTGCCGGCCCGGATATCTGTCATGTCGGAAACTCGCTGATAGGCATTGTCGACCTCGAGAGTGTGCATTGACTCGGCGATGTCGCCGTAGCGACGAAGGTCGTCTATGACCAGCCGCAACTCGTCCGGAGTATGCGCACGACCTCCTTCCTCCTTGTTGGTCAAGCACAATATGTAGACGACCGGGGCCAAGACGTTGCCCTGCTTCATCCATGAACTGTCGTCCTGAAACATGGCCCTCACAGTATCGTTATCGCGGCCCCAGTATAATGCGGCCAGGTTTCCAGAGGCGACTGCCTTCAACACGTCCTTTTGCATGCTAAGGAGGACGCTGTGACCGTACCATAGCCAGTAAGGTTCAGTGAGCTGGTCGGCCACGGATGGTATGTCCTTCAACGCTTGTTGCCACGCTAGCTTCACGGCCACGATATAGCCATGCTCAATGGCCTTGTCGTATCTAGGTCGGCCGACCGGTAGCCGCGGCGTATCGTCCTCGTCCTCGTCCACCGCGACCGCACCTGCTTCTCTATCCCGGCCTGCGGCCTCAAGCCAACCTCGTACCAGCCCTTGTGCACCGGCCTCCGAGAAACCTGGAGGTTCAGACGGAGGAGCGCGGCGTACTTGACTTAGGGGCTTGTCATCGAGCGCTGAGGCAAGCCAGTCCATGCTCCCCTGATCGACAGAATTCTGCCCTCGGGAAGACCCACTTTCACACGACTGATTCATCTGCCCATCTGGCGCAGTAGAAGCAGCGTTGAAGTCACTACCATTGTCCCCAACCCACCCATCCTGCTCGACGATATCGACAGAGGCCTGCCGTCGGAGAGCTTCATTCGCATGGTCCTGAATCTGCTGACCTAGCCTAGGGCCAGAGAAATCAGACTGCGGGGTCTCTTCCATTTCCACACCAGCAATTATCCCATCCATTCCGTCCTCGTCCTTTTCCGGTTCGTCCTCGTCCTCGTCCGGTTCGTCCTCTTCGGCTCCTGTGTGGTGACCTGCTAAAATTCGGTTCGACCTGCCTTGTATTAGTTGACTCCGCGAAGGGAAGGGACGAGTGACCGCATACCTGGCCCTCTTCTTGATGCCCTCCAACAGTCTGACGTGCGTTAGTGGCATACACGAAGTAGTATTTGTCAAAAGTGTACTGATGATTCCTCTCCGTCCGCTTCCGCGGAGCAGAGCCCTTGTTCCGACGACCATCAAGCCCAACTATCGTGGCCTCGCTATCGTGATAGGACCCATCCCATTCAGAGGGGGCCAGTAATTTGTCGTATTTGCCCATCGTAGAATGTGTAATGAGTGAGAGAGCAGATGGGAAGAAATCTTCTTAATGGCAGTGCGTGCGGCAGGCTCTGGAGCGCACCTTCCTCTCGATCAAGAATTGCGTCATCGTGAACACGGCAAGCGCGTCTGGTAGCCACACTCACACAAGCACACTTACATCTACAATTCAATTTACTTCAAGATGCCGCCTGCAAGACGCCCCAAAGGGATACCTAGACAGGACGTATTACGGTGGGTAAGGTTTCTGGAACTGGACGTCGACTTGGATGCGTTCGTGGACCCTTTCGCAAAGGACGCAGAATTGGCCGGTACAAGGTAATTTCAAGACAGTTCAGAACAATCAGCATTGCTTACGTTCCACTAGAGAAGAATGGCAGGACGCACAGGCGAAGCTATTTCAGCTTCGCACCCAGGACAGGACGAATCCGCTCGTGGCCGACTTGGAAAACAAGAAAGAGATGCTGAAATTGGTCATTCGCGGGAAGGAAAAGGTCAGTTCGGAGATTCAGGAAGCCGTACCTAATACGCCACCAGAGGAAGTTGCCTTGCAGAACTCTGCATTGGCTCTTGCTCGTGAGGTGGGTATGGAGGGCCTCGATCTACTACGTACCCTTTTGGCACGTACTGGCGAGGTTAAAGGCTTGGAAGAGATGGTTCCGCGTTCTGCGTGCGTGGAATCCATACTCAAGGAAGCGGGTCTGGAGGAAGAAGCCGAGCTTAGGAAGGCTGTCGCGCTAGTGAAGATGGCGAGAAAGGCACCTGGACTGGACGAAGACGACATATTAGGGGGCGCACGACAGTTTCTGAAGAGGGCGATAAGACAACAAGCGAAGGTCGGGACAGACACGGACCTCCAGGCCGTCATTGCCCTATTCCTCGCAGCGCGGCAGACACTGGGTCTCCAAGATACCAATGAAGGCGGCGATGTCATCAAAATGGTCAACAAATTGCTGGTCCACTACCACAGGACCGGTGGAGGGGACAATTTCGAGATGTTACTGGTCATGCAGACCCAAGCCGGCGGCTTCCCGCTACTTCAAGACAAGGTCAGATGAGCAGATCTGTGTTGAAAAGAGCGTTCTGACTTGTGATAGCACGCAATGGCCGCCAGACTCGACGAATTCTCATCATCACGAGGCCTAAAGTCAGATCAGCTGCTTGAGCAGGTCAAAGAAATCTTCTCGTTGGTAGATAAGGCCGGAAGCATGAAAGCCCTTGAGGATGCCTTCATGGCCGTCGGAGTTGCAGGCGGTTCAAACCAGGCCCTACAACGGAGGCAAGCTTTAGACGACGCGACTGCGTACCTAGACGGAATTTCCAGCCAAGAGAAGATGTGGTCAGACCATGAAACATTCATGCAATCCCTATGGTCAAGCGGCGAGGCCAAGAACACGGTCCAACAGAAGAGGGGCGCGCTGAGTTCGACTTCGAATAGGGAGTCTAGTGCCTTGCCTATGGCAACGCCGCTTAACAGCTCGCGGCCTGGGACTATGTGGCCAGAGTCGAGCAATTCAGGCCTAGTACCAGTGGTGTGTTGCTAAGTTGGGTTAAGACAAGGATTAACGAGTACAGGGGTCAACGGCGCCTGGAAAGCGGAGGTCAGAGAGTCGGGCAGGTGGTAACCCAAAGCGGACCCGCTCGCAGTATTCTGTGACTTGGGCCGTAGAAGACCAGTTCTCGCAGACACCGCAGAATTCTGTGCCTCTCTCGGGACAGGCAGGTCTTCATGGTACACTACCGCAAATATTTGTGGGAAGTGACCATATGAGTACGCCACTGGATAGAGACCTCCCTTTGCAGGATTCTGTAATTGGAGTGCGTCGAGGAGCGATAGGGACTGTGGAACAAGACGAAGCGCCCATTCGTCGACTACCAATCGCGTTCCTTATCCCTGAGACGGATGGGACGGTGATCAGGGACGAGCATAAGATGGACAAGGAGCTTGTCAACTGGCTGTGGGGCGAACTCTTTCGGCACATTATGGCCAAGAACGAACGCCGGCTGTTGTGGGACAGACTCGAGGCTACAAACGGACTTGCATCCTCATGAAGGTCATCGCGAAGAAGGACTCGATTTTCGACCAGGGCGATACCAGGACGTGCAGGACATGTCGCAGTACCCACAAGGCCACTCGGCCTAGGCCGTGTGCTATGTACACCGAGGTCGAAGGGGACGAGCATCCGAACGTTCTCTTTTTGCCACTACCTGGCACAATGAGGGCTGGGAAGACCCCAAGCGATAGGGGTTATTGGGTATTAAACGCATAAGCGCTTGGACAAAGGCCATTGGTCGATGGTCGTCGGCCATTGTTTGCGAGTCGTCGATTGTGTCGTTGAGATTGGGAATTAAATTCATACACTATCCAATTTTGATACTATCCAGATTGGTGCTTTGCTATATGGAACTCCTGAGACAAGTCATGCTCTCTCATACTCATACTCACACTCATACTCACACTGGCACTCACTGGCCAAGCCTGGCTGACGTACGACTCGGACCAAGTCATCCAATCTTTGGGCTGTTCTCCGTTCATCGTCACACTGAATAAGGCCTTGATGAACTCTGTCCCACGTTCCCCGCCATGGTCTAAGACTGGACCCGCTCACCTAGCCTATGCTTCCAGCAAGCCCTTCTCCAAAACTTTTACGCCTTCAACCCTGAAAGCATCCCGATAGTCGATCTGCTCTCGTGTTTGCTCGAAATGTACCCTACCATACCTCAAAAGCTCACCAAACGTACCCGGGGCGCAATCACTGCCCTCTTGCTGGTCAAGCAAAACACCACAGTGGGTATCAGTCGTCAAGTTCTTGCCATGCGTGATCTTCTGCAGGCTGCTTTCCGTCAACAGCCTCCATGTGGCTTCGTACGCCTTCTTGTACTCCTTGCTCTCCGGGTCTGCATCCAGGCGCGTGGTGAAGACCTTATGGATGTCGTTGCCGTCATACCCAACCGTCTTCTCGGCTGCCCAAATCTCGTTGAGTGCATCGAAGCAGAGAACATGCTTAGTGTAGTACTCCACGCCGTCAAACCCTCCATTGGGCTCCTTGAGACTCGCCACCCTGCACCAGGAGAGAACTTGGCCAATATATCCTAGGACCGTAACCGGATCAACCGTGAACTTCCAGTGGAATCCAGCGGCCTCGGCATGGTCGAAGTTGATGTTTTGCAGGAAGGACATAATGAGCGGTGATTTGACGATGCCGGCCCAGTCGTTTTGGTCCTTCCAGAGATGCATGAAGAGCTCGTGCCATTTCTTGATGAAAAGGTCGCCTTTTCGCGCTACCACAAAGGCGTTGGCCATGATCATATCCCACTGGATTGCGGCGCTGATGGTGAAAGGCGAATTGTCGTCGGCAAGCTGATCCCAGCATATCTGGTCCAGGCTTCGGAAAAGCATGCAGCTGACGTCCAACCATGCACCTCCATATCTATATATTGCAGCACAGCGTAGAAAGTCTGCAGAATGGGGCCCTGTGTATGGTCCAGTCATTGTCCCTTTGATAAAGGTTTCTGGAAGCTGATCGGGCTCTATCCAGTTCAGCGCGTGGTTTGGATGGCCAGGGACGGTGTTGAGGACACGGACAGTCCAGCCCGGAGCGTGCAGACGGACCCAGTCGCATATGGTGCGTTGGTTCCATGACGGCATAGCATCGATGCCTGCATGCCAGTACGTCCAAATGTTTTTCTCCGACGTGACTGGTACGTTTTGCTTGAGCGCAGCAATGATCTCGGCGTCGGTACGTGAGTCCTTGCTGGGAACATATCGAACCTTGGAAGCGAACTGAGGTGGGATGGGTATTTCTGGGCCTGTCATGGTGAAAGTTGGTCTCAAGATAGATGAGATGAGAATCTGCTGTGTAGCGTTAAGTAGATCACCCAAGCCAGGGTGCGCTGGGGTACTGAAGTTATATACAGGCAGGAATCCTGCACTACCAAGCTTCTGACAGCGGGAATTTTATCCATCGGTGTGCATATGGATCCGATGGTTGTTGCGACGTCTCGTTCAGCTTATCGCCATTCGGCATCACGCTCGGTCAGTACGGAGTCCGCTGTTAGTAGCTATTCCATGTTGCAAGAACGGCCCAAAAATGGATGAATTTTCACCCGAATCATGAAGACCCGTACGAGTGCTGCCGCAACCGTAATACCTTCGAGGCTGGATCCTGCAAAGCTTGGTCCCAGATAGGATCTACAAAGGTACAAGCACAAATTGTGCGCGCTGACGTGAGATCGCCTGAGCTGCTAGGCGCAAAGTAAGTCTCAGCGATCCACTCTGGTCTCGAACGAGCACCGTGAATGAGACTTCGCAAGGGTTGGCTCTGACGTAGATAAGGCCGCCAAGAGGATCGCCAGGGCCCTCACGTGACGTCCAGTATCTAATTGGCTGGCGAGACGCGTCTTCGTTTAATCCACTAGCAACTGCACGCTGGGCAATGGATTGCGAAACATTCGGGCATATGGGCATATACCTAAAATGTAGCCTGAGCGTAAGCAGCTAGGAATTTCACTGACGTACCTGCGCCTAGTTCGCGCATTATCTTTTGTAGGCATCACGGCTCAGTAACCTTACAAACGAAAAACGGACAAATCCACTGGCGAGAGCTTCAGCGTGCAAAAGTTGTTGACGAGGTGGTTATAGTCCCTGGTGTGAATCGTAACCCTACTTCAATTGGAAGAGCTTACCTAGGTATCCTCCAACTCTGAACTTGACGCCTCCGGCTCCGGCACCGACTAGTATCTCGTCTGGGATGCTGAGTCGTTTCAAATCATACTATGATAGATACCACACATTACGCGGACGAGTTCTTCGCCAAGACTGTGTTGACCGAGGACTGTAGATAGTCGTTGAAGAGGGGCACCAAAGGGCGAGTGAAGACGCTGTGACCTGGTGGACTGCCGCATACGTGGCAAGCATGCGAGCAACTTCGCTCGAAAGACTGTGAGTACGACCGGATGCCAGAAACGAGTGGGAACAGCTTCTCATGATTTGTGAATGTTATGACGACTGCGATATGATATGGTGGGTGCACGGCAAGTTATCTCGATGTTGAGGATCCGCCGCCTGTTGACACAAGTTCGAAAGACGCACCGCCGCCGTCCGAGGTAACAACAGCGCCAGCATGCGAACCATAGAGAGGCTGAAACTTCTAAAGTGCTCGATCATTGCCTTGTGAGACAGAATGACTCTGCTAATAAGCCTACTTCGAGCATGAACCGTGGTCCGTACAGGTCAAGCTTGGTAGGACCATTATAATTCCTTGATAGAAAGGTTTTGTTGAGCACCCCACCAAGACATATCACCAGCGTCTCCTAAACGACCACTCGTCGCATACCTAATACCGTGCAACTGAGCCAAGATAAATCACACGTGTGATACCCTTCCCCTTCCTCAGTGCCACCTTCGGCAAAAGCGAAACACCGACGAGCCTCGACCGAGCAAAACACCTACCCATCGCCTTGTCTACCCATACTCCAGCTCCGCGCAGGTCATGCCGTGGATATCCTTCGACCCCGCCGTCTGGGCCGACGACAATGACACCACTTCCCCTTCGATCACACCCATCGCCTACCAGCCGCTCAGCGAACGCGAGAAAGCAATGTACCCCGAACACTGGGACAATAAAGGGGAAGTTCTCGTAGGCCTCGTGAGATTTGTCATTCACAGATGGGTCCGGCGATGTCGACGGAGATTTGGAGGGTCAGGGGGCAATGGTGTGAATGCAGCTTCACATCAGAAAGAGGATAAGCGGGTGTGACAGTGAGGAGATGTATCGCTTTTGGGAATGGAAGACAACGCAGTGCCTCTTGGCTCTGGGATGGCCGGGATGGACTTAGGAGGACGTGGGTGCTGTAGCGGAACGATTGCATTGGGCGAAGCTTTGTTGAAGACGCACTGTTGCATGTAGCAATGCGACTTTGTTATTTGTGGATGAGGTAACGGCTAGCTAGCTAGCTAGCTTAAAATCAATCTACAGTGCCAACGCAGGGATGGACGTCGGGATGCGGATCCTTCTTCATGAATTAGTCGAAGGTAGCAAGCTACAAATCTTTGACTTGGCTAAGTGCCGAAATGAATTGATCGTGGCTGAAATGCTTCCCACCATAAAGGTAGCTGCTGCATTATACTCGCTAAATCCCAAATCGACGAAGCGCCTCGTTCAAACGTTCGGCAGAGACCCTAAGAGGATCATGTATCATCGCATCCAACTCGTCCTGGTAACTGCGCGCTTGACGTCGAGGTATTGGTTCACTTAATTGTTCTGCTGCCTGACTAGACTGGTATAGAGTCTGTGCTGGCGCAGGAGGAGCTTGCGGCGGTGCCGGCATAGCAGGAGTCTGGGACTGTGCGCTCTTCTCGTCCATTTCCTCGCGCAAGGTCTTAACCTGCTTTTGGATCTCCTTCCACAGAACAAGATCGTCCAGATCAGTGTGCCCCAGTGTTTGTGCCAAAGCCCTGTGCAGAGCTTGCAGGTCGTTATTCGCGATGTGCTGGTTCTCCTCATCCTTGTTACCTCCCGCGGCGATCACAAGCAAGCTAGCGACGAAGGCTTCCTGCATGTATGCAAAAGAGAATTTGTCGGTGATCTTCGCGATGGCGGGACACAAGTCATCTGGGAACTCAACAGCGTCATTATCCTTCAGCTTGCCCTGCCAGTACTTTGCGTACTGAACCCGCTGTTCGTAGTCGGGATCTGGGAAGTAGTACTTCCGGTCGAACCTGCTGGGTCGCTTCGAGATACCCGGGTCCAGGCGATCAAGGTGATTCGTTGAGCCAACCATCAGAATACCGTCGTTCGACTTGAGGCCATCTACTTCGTTAAGGAAGTATGAGCGAACGCGATCATTAACGATAGAGTCCAGGTCTTCGAATACGAGGTAGCAGGGAGCGACTGCACGGGCTTTGTTAAAGATGGCTTGCAGAGCGTATTCTGGGCCTGCAATGGAGGAGAGACTGCGCACGTAGAGGGTCGGCACAGATAGCTTCTTGTTACCGTTGATGCCGCGCTGGTAAAGACTGTGCATCATAGCTTTGATGCTGATAGTCTTGCCGTTTCCAGGTGGGCCATAGTAGATGATTCCTCGCTTCCAAGGAACCTTCAGATTCTGGTACGTCTCTCGTCCGTCGAAGAAGTTTTCCACATCACTAATAATCTGCTTCTTCATCCCCTCCTCAAGTATAACATCTTCCCAACGGCTCTTCTGCACAGACTGCCAGAGCTCATGGCTCTTTTGCCAGTAGCCTTGGTCGAACACCCAGACTTCGTTGTGAAGTTCTTGGGCCCACAGTGTCGCCTCCTTGATCAACTCGTCGACCCTGTGGGTATCCCGTGTGAGGATGTATTGGTTCGTTATCGTAGGATACGAGCTCTGTCCATCCCTGCCATTGGCAACGTATAGGATGAGCTCTTGGTCATTCCACTTGTATAGGTATTTGCCAAACACAACGTGCTCGGCATACGCGCCCGGGCTGGGGTCCAATCTCCGCGATGGCGGAATGTACTGGCGCCATTTTATGGCTCCGCTGTATACAGGATCTTTGACGGGGTCTTCGAGTGGCGTGATCGAGGCATGGCCGGCGGAGGCGTATGTGAGGAGGCTGGCACCGCGATCGGGCACAATGACGAGATCGAGATTGCGGTACTGGCTGCGAAGGGCTTCGACAAGCACGATATCGGTGTTGACGCGCTGGCCAGAGGAGTGGTGAAAGTACTCGCGGGCCGTCTCGTCGCCGCCGTGGCTGTAGCTGCCCGTCATACTGGTGGCTATTAGACTTGCGGGGAAGCTGCTTGAAACGAACAGGCAGTGACGGCCACTGCGACTAGTAAAGTTTTGGGGTTGTGGAATAGCGCGATCAGTCAACCAGTGCTGGGTGCACAGCTAGAATGTCTGTATCGACGTGAGGGTGGTGCCTGGAGCTCCCGTAAGCTTCCCGCGTCATCGAGGGGGCGGAGCTGAAACAGCAGGAAGCTCCCCACAGTGGGGGCCTAGCGCGTCGCGTCTCGATCCATAGCGCGTTTGCTATCGAAGTACAGCGATCTTTCACCACCATCGTCCAGGTTTGACCTTCTATGGTAGACTTCTATAAAGTTATCACTCTACGGCCATATGCAACATGTTGCTGGTCTTGACGCCGCAAGGTCGCCAATGCCGCCAAGTACCCAGCCGGCAGGATTCTTCAGCGAACGCCACCAAAAGTCTTGGAGTACACCTCTCCGCATCATCTGACGTCCATACGATGTCGGATCTCCTCGGAGACTTGTACAACACTGTCGCAGACATTTCTTTCGAAGTTGTGGGTGTTGACGCTCTGTCCATCGCTCATCCGTTGTTTCCTCCTTTTGACCGGGCCGTTCTGTTGTCCTCTCGGGCCCGGGGTACCATGCTCCTGTGATGTACTGTGCGCGACAAGACTTTGCGCCCTTGTGATCATTCGAGTCGTAAATCGCCGTTCGGGGGCAAATAGTGGCTACTCTCTGGCATTCCTTGACTGTGGACGAGACATGCACTCCATGCGAGAATCGGTTGCCTGTGCGCTCGTTCGAAGCTAATTGCTAAGTCATCTGCCTTGCGGGCTTGCGATTAAACCAGACAACTCGAGAAGACCTAAGGGAGCTTCCGATCCCAATAATACAATGCAACGCGCAAAGCCGAGACCTGACACGCAGCGTGAAGCTACCAATTGGAGTCCAGCCAGCTTCCTCTGAACGCACCTCTTCCACCCGAGGCGCTATCGCGAAGAAGCGAGTTCCTGTAAGCAGTGAGCAGCGTATGTCTACAAAAAGAGTGCTTGGCTATCGAGCATTTATTGAGACCTGCGTTACCAGTCTCGCCCGAACGCTTTCCAGAAGGATATTGCGTGTTCATGTCGCTGGTCTGCAGAGCCAATAGGCTAATTCAGGGATTGCATGGATGTTGTGGAAAGCGATCCTGCAGGTCCCGCAATTCCGGGAATCAATCACTAATGGAAATGTACCACTTGGGTACTTGGCAGACTGTGTGGTCATCTCGAGAGTTCGTACCGTTGCGTGTGCAGATCTATCCAACAGCGCTTTGGATTCGAACCAAACGAACTGATTCTCCGATCTGGAAGTGCGATATGACTTTGAACGCGCTGGACCGAGATGCAAGCACCCGAAATCGCACAGGAACAACTATCGACATGCACAACTAGTCGACTTTGGGTATCCTGCTGATACCTCCGGAGCTTCTAGCTCTCCCGCTGGACCGAACGATGCGTCGCCTCCGAGGGGAGCCCCGGGGGCAACTCCACGTCCCCGCGCGTGGCAGCCGACCTCCGGGAATCCCACACACCAGTTTTTGGTGGGCCTGGTGGACCCTGATCAGCTACTTTTTGTGAGCCTGCGTGACCCCAAATGTTGCGACGATTTGAAATTGCGTATCGAACGCGTCCACAGCCGATCGCGAGACGTGTTGACGTTATGTCATGCTTTCGGGCATGGCTGACGCCCAGAGACTTCGCAGAAGCTTAGCATGCACAACCCCTGTCCCACACAACATCCACAATTCGCATGTCCCTTCGGTTGTCGAGCCGCTGTCTGCGCAAGACATTCCCGCTACTTCCGGTAGATGACTGCCTTGAGTGGTTGCCCAGCCATGACAAGCTGCGGAGTAACGCCCTTCACGAATACCAAGCAGTTGATCGCAAGAGATGGCCTGATGTACGGCTTTGTCGTTGTTGTGCTCCCTGACGCATCAAAACAATCCCGTCTTGCGCAAGCTCTTTCCTCCCACCACCAGGGGTTGTCAGCCTGCAACAATGCGGCGGCGTCAAAGGGACACCCTGACCAGCCGGGCATCCAATCTGCAACCGAAGTGACCCGTTAATTTGTAAGCGCGAGCAATACGCACAAAGAACACATTCCGCATTGCAGCGGTGGTGGTCAAGCGGTGCGATTGGAACTGGTAGCCGCCTATGCGATGATGTAAAGATCGGGTGCCATGGTCGGCGACAAGCTTCGGCGCGCCGTTGCTCCGCACCCACATCGCGGCAAATTCGACCTCTCTCGTGGACGCATCTGCAAAGAACGATCGGCTGCTGCACAATCTCAAGCTCTTTGTCCAGCCCGCCTGGGCCTCGGTTTGTTCCAAGGGCGCCGATCTGCTGCAGAAGTGGCTGATGCGTCGATGCAGCGGTACACCAGCAATTTGCCCGTCATTCGATGAACCCCGTCCCACTACGGCGACAATTTTAGCCGGTCTGGGGAAATCATCCCAATCGTCCGCTTTAGCTCCTGTTTAGGTTTAATTAACATGGGCCTTTGCTGGGACCAGAGCTTAAGAGGAGCCATGTCTCCTGGCACACGTCGCTCCGGACCGGCGAACCTGATCTTATATCACCCCAGTTCCCCAGATTGGTTCTCTAGTTGTTTGCTCCCCAGATTCAACAGCAACCCCGGACTGGACGCTGTGCTCGACTCGCCTTCATTTTCGCCGCTTGATACCCATTTCTGATATTCAGAATCTAATTCCAACACAATGGCGACTGCTCAAGAGCACAATGACACCGTATGTTTGTTTTGCTTCCAACTATTGCATGCTTTCGCGTTTGCATTTCCGTAGTAACAGACTCTTGCGCAGGCTGCTGGACTGACCGGTACGCACGCTCACCATCCAGTCAATGGCACGAGCACCTTGGACCACGCTGCAGCCAATGAAGGCATAGCCAAAGAGAGGAAACCTTACGACTATGGTGAGATTCTACCTTGGAAAGTCTTTAGTCGCGTCATCTAATCCTTTTCAGGCGGCAACCCGCTCGCTCACATTGCGACCAACAACCCCGACTACCGACTTACGGCTTTCGGTGGTGAATTCCAGCCTGGTCTGTATCGGTACGTCACCTCAAAGCCAGGTATCTATTAGCGATCGCTAAGAAAATATACAGCGCCCCGAAGAGCAACTTTGCCAACCCAGCTCCATTGGGTCTGTCCGCTTTCGCCCTGACGACTTTCGTGCTGTCTCTCATCAATGTCGGAACACGCTCCATCGGCGAACCCAACATCGTCGTAGCGATTGCTTATGGCTACGGTGGTCTCGTCCAGTTGCTGGCCGGCATGTGGTATGTATTCACTAGCACTGTTCCCAGTAGATATGGTTGCTGACCACGACTGCAGGGAAATGGCCGTCGGCAACACCTTTGGTGCCACCGCACTTTCATCCTACGGCGGCTTCTGGCTCTCATTCGCCATCATCCTGACCCCAGGCGGCTTCGAGATTGCCTCCACTCTTGAGGAGAAGAGCCCTTTCCCGTTCTACAACTCGTTCGGATTGTACCTCATGGGCTGGTTCATCTTTACGTTTATCCTGCTTATCTGCACCCTGCGATCGACAGTGGCCTTCTTCTCGCTCTTCTTCACGCTAGACTTGGCCTTCATGCTCCTGGGCATTGGCTACCTCAGAGCGGATGCCGCCGGCCCCAACGAGGCGTGCATCAAGGCTGGTGGTTACTTTGGCCTCTTCGCTGCGTTCCTAGCTTGGTACAACGCGCTCGCCGGTATTGCGGACAGCTCCAACAGGTTGGTCATGCACTCCATAATTACGACTCCACCCCATGCTAACGTTTCAAAGCTTCTTCGTCATCCCCGTCGCGCACTTCCCATGGTCCGAGAAGGGTCGCGAGGCCCGCGGCAAGCCCACCAACTCCTCCGAGGCGCACACCGCATAAGCGTCTGCATCCTCACCCCACCACCAACAACATCTACGCCCTCTTATTTCTGCTGTAGTTACGCGCGCAAGAGTCTGATGATTGAAGGATCGACAGACATGATTCCCCAGCGCTAAGAACGGCTTGCGAAGCGCACTTTTGCCGGTGCCCTAGTGCGGCCCGCGCTCTTGTATCTTATTTAATACCATTACGATGTTCCTCATTTTCCCCCGTCCTCGCGATCGTCGCGTCCTGTGCTGTTTACGTCGTTACGTCATTCCTGCGCAGCTCTTCGCCGAGTCGTCGCGCCGCCGAGCCACTTACCCCGCACCCCAAACCGCACTCTGCGTTGATGCGCGCCCGGCGGTTCTACGCAACCAATCCAAAATTGATGGTGTTCGAGACGCCCGTATGCGGACGGGTTGTGGTCATGAACGACTCGATCTGGCGTGTGGCTTGCTGGATCTTGTGCACGCTTGCGTAGGCCGCGACCGCATGGTGCCCAAGCTTTGCATGGCAGCTGCGGAGGGGCTCGGATGAGGTCAGCGGCATGGTGCTGGCTGTGACGTCGTGAAGAGGGTGGTCGGCGCGTCGCGTGTAAGCTGAGACTACGACTGCTGTATTGATGAGATTGCAGGAGTCTCGATTCAGGTGCTTTACCATGGAGAAACAACGAGCTCTATCACGCTGAACTCCGGCGTCTCCTAGGCTCGCTGCCAGTCGCAGAGGAACGACAATAAGACAAGGCTTCGTAGCGATATTTGTGCACGGGCTTTCTCAACATTGTACGTCTGAAAGTAGCACACTGATTGCAACAGGTATACTGGCCTGTGCGGCGTGTTATATGCTCGTCGCGTAGACCTATATCATTTGGAGACCATCGGGTCGGCTTGGCTGATTTTCAACTTTGAAATCCTTGGACGTTCGACATGTACTTTGGCTCCTCAACTTGTGTCATCTGAAGAGGAATATCCCTTCGTGAAGTATCCATCGAGGCGTCCCATACCTGCTCAAAGAGCTTTACCGAGTCCATCACAACCAACAACTCCTCGCTGCGCCATCGCAATGAGAACTGAAATTAGCACAAGCGCCGACATTAACCGCGATTACGCAGGCCCATGGAGCGAAACATCCTCTTATCAACGTGATCTGAAGTGTGATCGAAGGATTCTGGGTCCGGAAAAGCGTATCGGAAAAGCACCACATCAGCACTAGGTACTCTGAGGCTCATATAAAGACTCGCCAGTGCGAGGTACCAACACTACTTAAGATAGAAGCGTAGAGCCTACGTTTGAATGATTGTACGCAGGGAGGCATGACCCGTCTCGCGCACCGCATCAACACCACAACCCGGCTCGTGAGCACAACTTGGAAGACTCAACACAGCTCCACATCGCAGCACTCCCGCACATATACCACTTTCCCAAAGATGTCTTCCACAGCACCCTACCTCCTCCACCTGACGTCCCGTCCAAATCAAGTCTCGCCCCAGACGTGGAAAGAGTGGTACGATTCCCTTCCCGACCTCGTCACCTCGCATGCTTCCGTACGTGCCACGTTCTACGAAGAAATCGATCTTCCCGGCACTCTTCCATCCGCCTCATACCGCAGTTTTCTAGCTGTTTATCAAAGTGATGTTGAACAGCCGTTGGAAACGAAGAACTCCACGCATTTGCAGACCACCAGCGTGTTCTTTGAAAATAATGCGGCGAAAAGCAATGCGAGTGGGGAGAATGCAGATCTCGATGCGAGGAATTATGCGTTGGTGCAGGTTTATAATCCGCAGGGTGTTGGCGAAGGTATACTACATCTGTCCCGGCATGAGCAATTAGCTGACCCTTCCAGCCCCTCCTCCCGAGATCTTAACCGCAGAAGCGCAGCCCGCAGACCCAGACGACTACGACAATTGGTTCCGCACTGAGCACATCGGTCAGCTTGCTGCTTTGCCTGGGTACAGACGTACACTGCGGTATAAGCTGGGGCCTAAGACGGCGTGGACGAAAGGTGAGGATGTGCCGTTGTTCCTTGCCATTCATGAGGTGGAGGATGCGAGACTGTGGATGGAGGGGAGGGCGGAGGCGGCGAAGACAGCGACACCTAGCGAGTGGGCGGTGAGGAATGTGAAGGGCTGTAGGGTATTTACTGTGAGGGGGTGGAAGTTGGTGCATAAGGAGGGATACTGATGGTGGTAAGTGTTGTACATAGATTACGTGAGCTGCTTTGGGTAGGCAGAGGTAATAGAAATATGCTAGGCGATCAAGCGAGCTCGGGATATCAAAAGTGTCCTCTTGTTTGCCTTTCGTGTCCAGTCCTCTTGTTTGCCTTTCGTGTCCAGTCCTCTCACTTCCCATATGATCCGCCCATATATAGTGCAAACCCCATATAGGTTTGCCTTCCTCCCTTCAACCAAGTCTTTTCCCTCTACATCATTCAGATCATGACGAGAACACCGAGGTCGCGCGCCTGCTCAGGCTACGACAAGCGTCCAAACGGCCCTAGTCCTAATCCTTCAGGCTGCGGGCTCATGATCCATTCCCGAGTCAGGCAACTTAAACCAGAGATTGGTCCCTATCAACCTCTTCACCGAAGTCACCCAAAATGTGAGTTGACAAAGAGAATAGAAGTTGGATATTCGATGTGACAACAATGTCTAACAGGTCTTTTAGCTTCAGAGATCCCTGCCGCTGTCGTTAGGAAGACGGCGATGAGGATCTTCATCGGCGATTTCGACTTCAAGTGGGGTGCAGTTGCACGCTGGCTCGAGGACGACAGCAGCGCCAGATTCAAACAACTTTCGAAGTTTCAGAATAAGCTCGAGAACCAAATGTTCGGAAATATCGAGCTTGTACATCGCGTAAGTTGCCCTCGCACTCAATAAAACATTCGCGACTGACCACAGCATCAGGTCTTCGATGTTGCCGCTTGCTGGGATCAGGACCACACTCCTTCTCTTCTCAAGGACAGCACTCGCTTCCAGCGCGATGTGATCTGGAGCGAAGCCTTCAACGAGCGCATTTTCGTCACCATCATCTGGCCTCTACGCGACGCCGTCAAGCTCAACGAAATCATCGACTGCGACGTCTGGAAAGAGATGTATGGTGCCATGTGGGTCGCCTTCGCAGAAGCTGTCTTCACCAATGCCACTTGGTCTCAGCAAGCTAACAGCTACCCTGCCATTGACATGAAGCCTGTCTTCCAAGCCGTCCGTCAAGTGCCAGAGAAGTACTTCGCAGACCGCCCAGAATTCGACCAGATCCCGTCTCATAACCTGGAGTACACTTGCGAGGAAAATTTGGAGGGGTGGATGCAGGCGCGTGAGAAAGCGAAGGAGAAGGTAGCGGAAGAGCTTGGGATGCGGGAGCGTAAAACGACAGGAAGGTTCTACTGATCGTGTTTCCAGCTGAGTGTTGCTGGTGGGGGCAGGCATGCTTAACATTCCGGTTCACGGCGGTGCAGCATCAACTCCAGCCCCAAAGAGTATGATCCCATTCATATTGACCACAGACTCTGATCACGAGCTTCGAACCCGACATGACCGATTTCATACAAAGTAGCGAATTAGTAGGCTCAGTGAAAGACGTTCAAAGTAGCAAAACAGACTTCACCTTTCACTCGCACATCCGAAATTCTTCCACACAAATCCACCTTTCACTTTTCACCTATATATACCTCATCTTTTCTCCTTAAGTTAACAAAACAACGCATTGGGACGGTTCCAAGTCAACACCTCACCTGTTGGCGTAGCGGTCGAGGACTCCAGGAACTGTGCGGGATCAGCAACGGAGGGATGCCGTCCTTAGTATGGTCACATGCTAGGGGATGTTGCTGGGGCCTGTAACAGGTCGGGGTATCACATGCGTTGCGAGGGGAGTGGTTCGAGTCGAAGAGCCGATTCTCTTTTTGTTGTTTGCTTTTTGCTTTTTGCTTTTGGGGGTGAGTAGTGAATGGCACGGTACAAGTCCTAATGCAGTACTGTGCTCATTTTTTTCTCCCTTCCTGCCTAACAAAGATGTATGCAAGCTCTTCTAATGCGCCGCAGATATGCCACTGGGTGCGCGCAGGCTTGTGCTAACTGAGTTTTGCGTGTTGAGGACACAGGCAAGCTACCTGTCGCTCTTGCCAAAATTGGACTATCGGCCCTCCCTCGCCTGGATATCGCTCATGCGGTAAACAAGCAAGCTGCCTTCGCCTTGGCTACGTCTGCGTCCGTAAATAAGGCCTACTCAAATGTGCGCAGTGTCCTTACCTCACCACCACCACTTATCGTCAGTACAACTCGGCTCGTGACAGAATGCCGCCGAAACGCCGCAAGGAGGAAATCGAACAGCCAAATGCCTACGGTGGATCCGGACGTTATCCAGCTCTTCGCTTCGAGAGCCGTGCGTCAGCAACTTCTCCAATCCCTCCATGGTACTATACTGATCTTCTTGTGGCAGACAACAGGCGCGACAATGACCAAGTCTTCCACCGAAACGCCATCCGGCTCTTCGCTAGAGACTTCGATTTTTACGATGATGCAATATTGGCCTGCTTGAGGCGGGATATCAGTGTCGCGGGCCTATACACCGATGTAGTTATCGAACGCAAATTAATAAAGCTCAGATGGGAGCTCCAACAGGAGATGCTTGGATCAGAAGACCTTCAGTCTCGAGTCAGTATTCTATTCGCAGGCCATGGTCATATAGGCTAACATCGGAACTAGGTCTTCGATCACGCCAGGAAATATGATGAGACCCATGCCGACGATGCAAAGCTAAAGGACAAGCCGAAGGAGGAACGCGACGCAGTCTGGGCCATAGCTTTCAATGACGTCGTCTTCTGGATTATGGTCGACCCCCTTCGACAAGGTATCAAGGTGGACAGATTCCGTGCTATCGAGGAGTGGAAGAAGATATACCGCGCGATGTTCATTACCGCCGCCGACACCATGTACATGGGTCGTTTGGGCGGACCAAAGCTAACACACCAGGTGGATATGCAGAAAGTGTACAGCGCTGTCCGGAGCGTGATCGTCAACAAATTTCCAGATCGCCCGAAGTTTGATACGATTCCGTCGCAGCCAGCAGGATGGTGGGATCAAACGCATCGAAAGACAAGAGTCAAGCTGCAGAAAGCCAGTGGAGGCTCTGAATGGGCCAATGCAACCTTCCTAGCCACGCCGAAGGAGGCCAGGTCGAAGAAGGCCAGGTCGAAGAAGGAGAGGGATTCGGCTGCAGCGCGCTCAGATCAGCCCCTATCAGAGGAACAGTGACTGAAGCTTATGGATGCAAGTGAGCAGCTAATGGTTGCTTTCTCCCTCTTACTTTGTCATGATCTGAGACATCGAAAGCCGTTTACTCAATACGGGCAAGGGATGGGACTGGATGTTCCAGGCAGGACTTTAACACTTCTCGAAGGCTCTTAGAGTCTGGTTCATCAAAAGTTCAAGATCATCATTATCATTTCCATAATCCCACTTCTTTCGGAATACAGTCAGTCTTATGGTGCTTTTAACTAACGGATGAATGTGGAACTTTAGAGGTTGAGGTTTCGTTATGGTGGTATCTTTGACTTCGACTTGAATGCTTCGTACGTCACTGTATTAGTACTGCACATGTTAGCGCATCGGCCGATACTCGGAGGTGAATGCATTGGGGACAAGGTTGAGAGCGATGAAACATCAAAAGATCAGCCAAAAGGGCCCATCATGATTGCCCTTCGTCAGTCTCGGGGTATACGACAACCTGAAAACCAAGGCCGCGAGATGTGGGAGCAGCTTCATTGCGTGGCCTGTCGTGGTGATCTGCAACCCGCCGGAAGTAGCGAGAGCTCGGACCAGTCGCGGCCAACATCCTCTTCCTTGCCCTGGGACGTCATCCAAACATTCTCGCTGCCTGCCCACACTGCGCCGCTTTCACACACATCGCCGTGACACGTACAAGCTCAGCACGTTGGCTTTCTTGTAGCACTCCTCGCCGCCTGCCAACCGCATATTCGGTCCCAGTACCACCCCGCGCATCGGCCCCAAGCTAGTTTTCCGCACCTAGCCTCACGACGTCCACCACACGACCGACGTCAAATTGCGACCTCGCACGCCGCCGCCTGCCCCTGCGTTTCCAGGCACTCCCAACGTTCTTCCACGCGTGTTCAGACATTGCGTAGCCACCAAGCCGGTGATACGCTGCACATAGATTCTCCAAAATGTCCGGCGAAGCATGGTTGTACCTGTTGGCGGTGCTGATAAACGCCGTCAACCTCTTCCTTCAGGTTTTCTTCACCATTATGTACAGTGATTTGGAATGGTCAGTGCTACACTCCTCAATATACGACATCTGCCGGAGAATAAATCGCATACTGCGTTCCGCGTTGCGCCGCTTATCACGCACATGCTAATTTTGCGCCAGCGACTACATCAACCCTATCGACCTTTGCAACCGCCTCAACACTTACATTATCCCCGAAGCCGCCGTCCACGCTTTCCTGACCTTCTTGTTCCTTATCAACGGATACTGGGTTGCCCTAATTTTGAACCTCCCTTTGTTGGCCTGGAACGGCAAGAAGTATGTTGGATACAAAGCCGCATGGAGGACCGTATTGACTGGGAACAGGATCTTTGAGAACCAGCATCTCTTGGACGCGACTGAGATTTTCAGAAAGCTCAACGTACACAAGAAGGTCAGCTTTTCTACCCACTTCCTGCGCGACATATGGCCGCAGAGTAGCCCACATACTCGCCCGCTGAAGCGCAAACGCATGTTCAACTACTGACTTGACCCAGGAATCGTTCATCAAGCTGGGTTTCCACTTGGTCATGTTCTTCTTCTACCTGTACAGCATGATCGTCGCCCTCATCCGAGACGAATCCCACTAGGAGTTTGTGGATTTGACATCGAAGGGGCGCAAGCAAGGGCGCATCTTGTGACTGCATCAATACTGATCTTCCAAATCATTCTGGGCGAGATAATTCAGTGCGAGGCTGGCATGGAGTCTTGATGCAGGCGAACTCGGCCCAAGGAGAAAGGACATATTGGGGGAGTGGAAATGTCGATATACCATTCTGATTATGGCGCAAGCTTCTGGACGGATACTGGGAAATGTCGGGAAACGGGGAGGAATTGTGTACGGCTTGCTGGGCGTATAGAGCCTGACGTTCGTATGACCATGATAGCGTGCATTATGTTGTATATGAGACTATTCAATTTAGACGAATCTAGCATACCTTTCGACGTGCAGACATCAATTTGCATGTCGTAGAGTTGGATATCAACCGATCTGGTCGGGCACAACGAGATCACGTGCTCGCATGGAGCCTAGTTCACCAAGCATACAAGCCAACCAACAGCTTTCGCAAGCTCATCTTTGAGTCCAGACACCATTACAATTCACAACATCTCACCTCTGTCAGGCCGTTCCTGGTAAAGCCGTCTACAGGTCTTGGCACACGTCTGGTCGGCCCGTGCGCAAGATTTCTTGAACCACCAACCTTCTGTAGTAGAGTGCACACCAGTGGAAATCCAGACGCCTTCTGCAGCCCACAAGCTCTCCTCCCTCCCAGTTCCTCCCAGCGCTTTTTAATGGCAGGATACAGCAAAGGCGCAGGCCGGGTGCCCACCGGTTTCGCGGCGGAAACATTCATCAGCGAGTCGAGCTTCCGAGAAGGTCACCGCGCACTCGAATCCGGCGCAAATTCGAAGAAACGAAAGAGGGAGAACAAAGGGAATTCGAGCGTAGTCTCGGGCGCCGGAGCGTACAAAGGTCCTTGGGCGCGATATGAGGAAGAGCGGCCAGATGCGGCGTCCGACGAAGAATTCGGCAGCGATGAAGAGGTGGAGATAGTGTATGAAGAGGACGACATAGAAGACAATCCTACGGCGGCACCTAAGAAGCTCGCAGGAACGGATTATGCGGACACAGAAGCTGCGGGCGAGACGAGCGAGTTCGTGGGCAGCCAGCAGTACGATTACCAAGGAAGAACGTACATGCACATACCGAATGGTAGGTTCTCTTTCTCTGAGTCGAATGCCCTCTGCTAACTGCGATGTAGATCTCGATATCAAACTGACCGGCGAGCGCGACGACACCAAGAACTTCCACCCCAAGAAACTCATTCACACGTACAAATACCACACAAAGTCCATCACCCAAGTGCGCTTCTTCCCTGGCAGCGGTCATCTGCTTCTTTCGGCCTCCGCCGATTCCAAGATCGCCCTGTGGGACGCATACCATCAACGAGAGCTTTTGCGGACATTTTCCGGGCATACAAAGTCTGTCAACGACATCGACTTCAACCCTAGCGGGACACAGTTCGTCTCGGCGAGTTATGATCGCTACATGAAGCTGTGGGACACCGAGACTGGAAAATGTCTCAACAAGTTTACTTCCGGAAAGACACCCCACGTGGTGCGAATCAACCCGAGCACGCCGCACGAGTTTTTGGCAGGAATGGCAGACAAGAAGATCCTCCAGTACGATACTAGGAGCGGAGAGATGGTGCAGGAATACGACCATCATCTGGGTCCGGTCAACACGATTACTTTCTGCGACGAGGACAGGCGCTTTGTCAGCACGTCTGACGACAAGTCCCTCCGCGCGTGGGAATATGGCATTCCCGTCCCCATCAAGTTCATTGCCGAGCCTTACATGTTTTCCATGGTTCGCTCGTCCCCCCATCCTTCAGGAAAATACATCGCCTTCCAGTCCTCCGACAACCAAATCACCGTCTATTCCTCCACCGACAAATTCCGCCAAAACCGCAAGAAGAGCTACCGCGGCCATAACGTGGCGGGCTACGCACCGGACGTCGCCATCAGTCCTGACGGACAGCTCATTAGCTCCGGTGATAGCGGAGGTTATGTGTGCTTCTGGGACTGGAAGACGTGCAAGATGTGGCACAAGATTCAGGCGAGCGATGCGCCAGTCTTGGCGGTGCAGTGGCACCCGCGGGAGACGTCCAAGGTTATTACGGGTGATCTCAATGGTGTACTCAAGTACTGGGATTAGACGGCCGCGGGAAGACGGAGGCGGGAAGGCGGACGTTTCAGGGCAAAGGAATATTTTAGAGTTTGTGGAATGATACCCATGCTTCTTCACCAGACGCAGCACCACGTCGATTCAAGGCCCTCGGCTTTCTTCTTGACTCAACGTACGATGTTTTCCCTCAATGAAGGACATATCAGCAGCTTACTTCCAATTGCGGATGCATCGGTGCGACCGGACTTCGCGGTCGACTCTGAATGTTCACCGGCGGCGACCCACCAACAAACAGTCATTTCCCTCTGCGCGACTGCGCATGCGACCATGAGGTAACTCGCCACCGGGATTCACGATCGTTGATGGGACGGCGGACGTCAGTGAGCACGCGCTTGGGCCGAGCGGCTCATCTCGTGTCGCCTTGCTGCCCCCCGCCATAGCCTGCAGCCCTGTGGTATCCACCCCGCGCCCTGTGCCTCCGCCCTCTTTCCACCCAAACACTCCGTCCTTTTGCCTCCCATGTAATCACAAGTCTGTTTCTTTGTTTTGTTTCCCATCCTTCCCCAGCCCTTTTCCTCCGGAGCTTGCGCACCGTGATTTTCAGAGAGGCATCTAGCCTAGGCAACAGGGCAGGCGTGGGGGCGCTTACACGTTCTAGGGAATCCGGTGACTTGCCAATTCACCAGCAGCGTCGCCTGCTTTGTCCAGTCGATTGCTCCAATGCTTCAGCCTAGCCAACGGGCAGCGTCACCGCGTCCTCGGCTTTCCCCCGCCTCCTGACTGGCTCTGCCTGCCGTGCCTTGCAGCTTGCCAGTCATCACAGTGTGTATCCGTCGCGTCGCGGCTCTGTTCTCGACCGAACATGTTCCCCTCGGTGAACGCTTGCGTCTCTGTGACTCTTCTGGAACGCCCGCGGGCCGTCTGCTGGACGCTTCTGGCGCGCCCGCGCACGAGGATGCCTGCTGTCCCTTGCCGTTTCTGCCTGTATTCCTGACCGGCGCGGTATAGCCACGATGAATCACTCAGGTGCGCGCGCAAATGGGGGGAAAGCCCACCTTGGGATCCAGGCACCTACGTTTGCGCTCGTAGGAGGTCTCCGATGGTGACGAGCACGCAGGACGCTCAGTCAACGCCAGATGCATCCCTGTTACCGGCCTCAGGCTTCTGCCTGCCGTATAAATCTTCCTGTTGGTTATGTTTGTCGGAGCTTTCTTTTTCTTTCATACTCATACCATCTGCACAAGACTCATATACTCCTTCGACATTGCTCAATACACCATTGTCCAATACAGTCCTCTCAGCTTCAGTCTGCCATCTCATCCGCCCTTTGATATACATCATTGCGCAGACGACATCCTCGTATAGCATCGCTACCTGCTCGCCTCAACTACTCCATACGAGTGCCTAGCGAATCAACTTCCCCAGGTGAAGACACCCTCAAGCCTCAGTACAGGTCAACAATGTCTTCGAACGCCTCTTCCTCGTACGGCTCGTCCTACGCACAGGACAAGGGCGCCTACGCTTCTCGCTCTTCCTCACCACGGTCTACAACCTCGAGTAAGTTACCTCCATACTCTTCTCAAGCTAGGCATCTTCTGACTCCTACCAGCCTACTCGTCGCCGAGTTCGTCAAGCCTCTACGCCCACCGCGGCCACTCACAGCGGAACAACCGTTACGGCAGCAAACCCAGCGGCAACGTCCAGGTTACCCAAGGCGGCCAGTCGAACGGCCCGTCGAGCACGTCCGCTGGGAACGCAGGCTACTATCAGTAGTCGTCCGCTCCCAATCTTGTTATTCCCTTCTCGTCGTGGCGTGAGTCATGAGGGAGAAGGGAAGCGTGGCTGTCATCCGACATGACAGCCGGGAAGGCAGCTTCTAACATGGTTGCTTTGGCATATTCTGGCGTCTGGTCATGGTTATTCGCTTTTGCGTTGGGTTTGGTATTAGACGGTCCGCTTGCTTCAGTGCTGCGCACGAACCCAGATTGTGGTCTGCTTTCGCCCGCCAGGATCTTTCTTTAGTGTCTGGGATTGTATCTCTCTGTTTCATTGTTCTTATTTGTCTGGCGTTGGGACGCGGGTCGAGTCCTTTAATGAACAGAAGTGGATCTCCTCGCTTTTACGCCAAATTGTATTACCGCACTTTAGATAGCATGCAGCTGGATGGGTCTCATATCTTACTTGGTTGGCATCATAGGACACACATACATGGGCTATCAAGCACTCCTCAGACATTACTTCTCAGACGTCGATTTTGCGAACAGTAAAGTGAGCTGGTGAAGTGAGGTTACGCAGGATGAAGCGTGGTGTCAGACTAATGCTCCTAATTGGCTACGCAGGACCCACCCCTGAGCCACGATGCCGTGCGAGATGTAGCCCTATGCAGGGACGCCTGCTGTAGGTGTAGTTCAGCGCCTGACTTTGTTTGCTACTGCAAGGTACCATCGGCTGTGATGGTGTACGCGTCCTGTGTAGGCTGCAATGAAGTAGCTGCACAGAGACTTTGTTTTGCTGGTAAAGAAGACATGGAATAATAGGCAGCCTAGAAGAACAGTTTGTGAGCTAGGCAGATGCAGTCCAGACTTTCCTTTCAGCCGGTGCTATGTTGCTATGTGAGTAAAGCACATTTGTGCTTTGGGTGGATGTGGATTCGGCTGCCTGTGCTGTCTCACTACGGTGCTGACGAGGCCCCGTCTAACTCTCCTGTATACTCGATTGCGCAGCTTGATGTTGATGCCTGCAAAGGTAGCTGTGTTGCAGTGGGGAGCCACGTGGAGCCGATCGTGGCGGGCCCTTGGGCCGAAGCGTTGCTGCCTGAGGCTTTACAGACAATCCAAGAGTTGGAAGAATATGATTATAGCATAGCTGCTCTTGTCTACTCTAGGAGGGCATCCACATCATTTTAAGACCGCCCGCATCTATTTTGCAATTATACTCGTACAACGTTCCAAGTTTCCTTCTCTTACTGCAAACATGCCACCTTTCTGCCCACCCGTAATCATACGCTCCCATTCGGCACCTGCACCGCCCCATTCGCCGTTCCATTCGCCTCCAACGCCTTTCCAAAGAGCTCCTTCACCAATTGCTTCTTATTGATCTTGCCCATGGCGTTTTTAGGTATTGCATCTACAACCTTTAGCTCCTGCGGGATCTTGTAATTCGCCAAAATCTCCTTCAGCGCCTTGCGCATATCGAGCGCAGACCAAGGCCTGCCTCCTCGTCCCGCCGTCTTGCCCTCCGGACTGAGGACAACAATTGCAGCGACCTTTTGACCCCACGCATCGGATGGAAGGCCTACGACGGCGACTTCTTCTACTTGTATGAGGGAGAGCATCTCGCGCTCGATTTCTAGCGCAGAGACTTTCTCGCCGCCGGTTTTGATGATGTCGGCGGACATGCGGCCTTGGATGAAATACAGCGGTCCATGTGCCCAATCTTGACTGCTCTTTCCGGCACCATCCACGTTCCTGCGAATGGCTACGTCGCCCGTCTTGAACCATTTGCCCTTGCCGTCTGCATCCTCGACGAATTCCTTGGCGGTGGCTTCGGGGTTCTTCCAGTACTCGCGGAAGATGGTGGGCCCGCGGAGCTGGATCTCGCCGTGGCGCTCGCGGCCTGTTGAAGGGTCGATTTCCTCGCCTTCTTTGATGACTTCGTGGGTCTCGGTGTCGACGAGGCGCGCTTGCACAGAGGGAAGCGGCCAGCCGACCGAGCCGTCTACGCGGTCAGCGAATGACAACCCGCAGGAAATGGCCATGCCGACTTCGGTCATGCCGTAGCGCTCTAGGAGGACGTTTCCGCCGGAGAGTTCTGTCCACGCTGATTTGACTGGTGTAGGAAGGGCGGCAGACCCAGAGATATTGAGCCGCATGTTTGAGGGGTGGAGAGCGGTCTTGCTGGCGGACTGGAGCTCTGGGGACAACGAGGAGTGCGAGGATAGGAGACGCGTGTAGATTGTGGGGACGACGGTGAGGAAGGTTATCGGTTTCTTTGCTGGGTCAGGGCTCGGTAGGAATGGTGTTGCCAGGCGCTCCCAAAATGCAGTCGCATTGAACGGAAACTGGAACTCTATCGTGCTTCCGGCGAACAACGGCGTCAGAAGGGCGTTCACGGTTCCGTGGATGTGGTGAAGTGGTAACACATGCAAAAGCACGTCTTTGCTACTGTAGTCCCAAGCCTCCAACAGCGACAGAGACTGTGCCGTCAGTATATCCTGGGAGAGAAGTACGCCTTTCGGCCTGTTCGTGGTCCCCGATGTGTACAGCATCATGCCGCCCTTGTCGCTCTCTGGCTCCTCCAGCGTGACGTAGTCGTCCGTTTTGCCCATCATGATCTTCTCTTGCTTGTAGTTGATCGGGCTCGTCTCCATGCCCTCCTTCAACACATCATCCGCCTTATCTTGAAATTTTTCTGACGAGAGGAGCATGAGCGATTCGCTCTGATCGATGATATACCGGAGCTCGTGTGCAGGGAATGTTGGCGACAGCGGAACGGCGATGGCATGCGCAGCCAGAATAGACAATAGAGTCACTGTCCCATGTTAGCTGAGATAGTTCCGGTCTCGTGAGTAGACGGGCTGTACTCGATGCGCACCTACATAATCGTACCCATTCTCCACGAGAAATGATATTCGCTCTCCAGCCGTGCTCTTTCCATTCGCATTCTTCTGCAGCTTGTCCTTCGCAGCCGCTACATCGTTTACAAGTTCGCCGTACGTGAAGGTCCTCCCTGACAGGCTGTGGATCACCGCAATGGACTTCCCATCGTGCTTCTTGATCGCTTCGAAGATAGGCAGGCGGGGCAGTGTTGATGCCATTCTGACTGTAGCAATTGAATGCGGGTGACGAGGACAATGCGTAAGATGACAACGAATGCGACTTGCAAAAACGAATGCGCGTGTGAGAGAGGATCTCTGCGCCCACATGAGTCCGGACGAGAGCGTGACCGGGGTATTTGAGGGCTGGATGCACGTCGTTCGGCAGTGAGATCGGGGGTTCCGGGATCTAACTAAAGTGGACGCGGCCGATGATCGTTCACTCTGAGTGTTCGCATCTCTGGATCCTCTTGCTTCCCTTCGTTCAGGTCGTAAAGCTGGAGAAGGTATAATTCAGCTTTCAGAACATGTCGTCCGCGATTGCGGCTTCAATTGAACGTTCGATGTGCTGTTAAATCGGACGACAGCTCTCCAGGAACAATTCCGAAAGGACGCTTGGCGCTCGGTTCGGCTTTCACTTTTAGCCCCGAGGCCTCAGGATCAACCACGAACATCGCAGAGCCTCTCACTAGTTTCCAGAACCCACTCCTCCGGATCCTCGGCTTTTGATGTTCCTGCGTCGGGTAGCCGTCGCTTCGAAGCGCTTTGCGTCAACAATGGCGCAGTCGACGACCCCAATGGAGGATGCGATGAGAGCAAAGGTATACTACCGTTGTATTTGTAATATCACGAGTCGTAGCTAAAGACCGCGCAGCTCACCGAGGCTTTGAAGCCTACGACCCTGGAGATCTACAATGACTCGCATCTGCATTCGCATCATAAAGCCATGCAGGGTGTGACCAGCAAAGAGGTAGTTTTTTTTTCAACTCTGTAAGAATGCCACATTGGCTGACATATTCCTAGACACACTTCCGGTGAGGACCGATATAAATATGCTCAAACCAGGCCTAGAAATGACTGACATTCTGAAAGCGTGGTCATCACATCCGATAAGTTCAAGGAAGCTAGAATGCAACCTGCCAGGCACCGCATGGTTTACGCGCTCTTGAAGGATGAGCTAGCACAGGAAGGTGGCATACACGCTTTACAGCTCAAGACGCGGACACTTGATGAGGAAGAGCGGCAGAAGCAGAAGGAGCAGGCTGAGTGATAAAGAGTCCTACAGTCCTTGGGAATGTCGACTCAGCTCTAGAAGAAGAAGAAAACTACATTGAACCGAGGAGAAGTAGTTCGTTGCAGTATTATATACACTACATGGATTGCCGATAGAAGTCGAATAGACTCTGCTGATTCACATTCGCAGGATCAACGCAGGAGTTTCTAGTCAATTTATATAAACGTCAATCTCTTATTCATACTAATATTGTCACAATAGTGTAATAGCTCAACAATATAACCACCATTTCTCAAATGTGGTCCTCTGCCTTTTGACCTACCAAAACCTTTTTGATTTGTAATACAGAGTGAACTAGGGGGGTCGAAGTGGTATAGCCGTGGATGGTGAGTTCTCTATCTCAATCACGATCAGTGAAGGGGCCCTGCTTCGGGAACCTTAGCGAAGGACGGTCTGCTTGATATTCGCCCGGGATACCAAAGGTCGACGGTACCAAGACCACCAGTAGACCAGGCCCGACGAATCACCACAATCAGTCTCCACATAAGGGGCGTAGCCCCTTCATGAATTTCACCTAACAATCCGTCCTTCCGTTCCGGCCGATGAATTACAGTGCTAACCACACGTTGCCCCTGTAGGACGTACTAAGAAGGCCATCTCTCCAGCCACCACCTAGTCTTCTTGAAATCTCAGATATACCTGCAATGCAAGTTCTACATCTTCATCGAAGGACTTCACGGCACCATCTCAGACTCTTCTCACTCAAGGATATGAAACAACGGCCGCGATTACTTCGGGCTCGCCCTTTTCCCTCAACCCAGACACGGAAGGCATACAGACCTCGTCTAGAGTATCCGTCAAGATCTATACGAATACTACGGGAAGCAGCTGCGTTTCAGTAAAGACATGCCTTTCAAGGCGTCGTAAATCCGTATCGGAACCACGAGCAGCCATTCGGTAAGCTGGCAGCTGGCCCACTTCTGGGGCTTAAATATCGTCTTAATGAAATGCCTCGACGCGCACAGCGCGTTCATCGTCGAGCTGTTCTGGTACGTTTACTCTCCGGACGGACCCGTGTGCGGGCCCCATCACAGCCCGAGCAGCATCAAACAGTCTTCCCATCATGCTCTTGGGCCGCGAAGATGGCGCAGGACATGGCGCATAGGAAAACTCCACTGCGGCATGCAGAGACGAGGGATCGTTGGAATCTGGATACAGTGCTCAGGGGTCGCGACGACATTGCCATCTTTTTAACACATATACCTGGCAAGCAAATGAGCGTAGAAGATTACATGATACAGACGGACAGCTACCTCTCATTTCACCCTTGGTTTGAGATTGAATGTTGGAGCATCTGGGGCTGTATCAAAGCGGACATACCGCTGGATCGTTACGGATCGCTTCGTGAATCCGATGTCGATGGACAAGACTACCAGTTCCTGGATATTGACTATCGCGTTGAGTGGGTGGGCGCGGATAAGAGTGTGCTGGTAATCTTTCTAGGGACGTGGGAGCGCACGGGACCGAACGCTCCCGAGGACGGGAGTGACGATGATGTATCGGACTATTCTGATGCCCGTTGTATTCTGGCAGAACAAGTTAAACCCGTAATGTACCGTCGGATTGGCTTATGGAGTGTAGGAACGGCCAGATGCGGCGGAGACTGCGGTACACAAAGGATTTTGCGCAGGCTTCTCGGTATGCGGGTTATCTCGTCAGAAGAGCAGTGGAAAAGGAGGAATACTCGTCTCATATAAGGTTTGTCGTTGCATTTGAAGAACACGCAGTTGTATACTACATCTGAAGACCTACACAGAAAAGAACAGGCTAGGAGAGACCCTCGATCACTCAAGCATACCTTGTGGCTATGGGTGGCATCTGTCTGCCTAGGCTCTGCCAAGGGCGTGGAAAGTACGCCTTCCTCCTCCAGAGTTACGCGATGTCATGGTAACGCAGGACGAACTCTGTTGGTATTCCTTTTCGTACGTAAACTACGTTATCAAAAGCGTTAGACCGACCGTGTCTGTACGCGGGGTCGAAGGTCCCCTTTCGTCACGTCCTCACCCACGGGGAAAATTCGCCGCTGGACCGGAGTAATCAGATTACACCGACCCGCGATTTATGCGTCGAAGATCACGGTGGAGAACGACCCGAGGAGTTTGACATGCTCGTGAAGATCACGTTGGGCCGCATGCCGAGATGAATATGCAGATCGAAGTATGGTCATGGAAGGCCAGTACTGAGGGCACCGACATGTTACCGTAGCTCTCAGCTCCAGCCAGGGTCTTTGTAGCGAAGAATTCTACCGCGACGAGGAGCTTGGTAGCGAAGAAGAAAAGGTCCGATGCGGAATGTGGAATAGCGTCCAATTTCTCCCGGCAACTGGAACGATTTCCATTCTCTATGCGTTCAGTTGAGTCAAGAGTCGGCGGCAGGCTAAATGCCAACATCCATCTCTTAGAGGCTACATATATCACCGTCTTGTATGTCTATGCGGAGTATCTTGGGAAAAAATCCCGAATTTTCGCTAGATGACATTGGGTGGTCGAGGGATTTCGTGCTCCATAGTTTTCAGATTCCCGCAATTTTCAGAGTTAGCTTTTTGGCTCATGTTCAGAGACCTGGCTGGGGGCAGAATGGCTCCGAGATGAGATCGCAGATCGTCGTTCGGCCGCTGAAGATCGATACTGAGGGTAGCGACCAGTTCTCGTCACAAGAGTGGGCCGCATCAAGTCCCTATTCACGTAGGTCTCGGGCTAATAAATACAGCTATGTAGCTGCACTCTGTGCATCATTGAAGTGGCCACGGAGGTTTCTGCGAACAGTACACCATCAGTGAACAAAGAAAGAGACAATGGCAAGGGTGGAGTAAGAGGCAGTTGCTCATGTTGTCGAACCGCTTCCGGTGGGGTTCACGTGGCATCTAGCCATCACCCTGATGCCAATAGTAGTAGAGCGGTGTTGGCTTTATATGACTGATGAATAAGCGTTTCTTAGAGCCGCACGTGGTACTGGTATCTGTCAACCAACTTGATCTGCCATCGAAGGATGCAGGGTAGCGAAGAGACGCCCCTCTTTCTACACCTTCGATCAGCAGTCCCGAGATGCCGTCGAGACGATCCATGCTCTCGCCGCGCTGGACATGGTGGACTTCACTTCTGCCCAGTCCTCGCCAATCTTGCAGGTGTTTTTCGAGGATCGTGGTACCGATCTATTGATGGTGGTGTTCGCTGCATCGATGTAGCTTGCCATGTCAACCCACGGGCGCAGACACGTGCGGAGCTGCATCGAAAGGAACCAGGAAAAAATTCACGCAAGGAAGACGTTAGACATGCGCCACGAAGATCAAATTTGAGGCTGATGGGCGTGCATACGCGCGAGGCGGGACGGTGGCATCGACACTAGCGTCCCTGATCGTTCCTCGGTCCTACCTCGAAGATGGAAGGCACGCGATCCAGCTCAGCGACCATGCGCCATTGAACCCCCAGAAACCAATGCCTCAGCTTCCTACTCACCAAGCCACCAAAGAGTCATATTTTCGTTATTTCAGAATTAGTTCAAACCATCCAGGTCTCCCCGTCACAAACCCACACCCACCTGGACCCTTGCTTCGCTCTCCAGTCAACTCAAGCTTTCCTAGCGCGGACCCAAACCCAATCGCGCATCCACATGGTGCCGACTCGCCGTATTTTTAGCCCGCAAATGTCCCAGCCGAGACGCACACGTCCCTTGCTGCCCACCGTGGAGCCCGCGCTCTTGCATACAGCACCTAATTGCATACCTAATTAGTTGACCAAAACACCGCGCTATCGAAAATCTCGGCGGAGATTCTCAGCCACGGCCGGCAAGCCCGTGGCGCCTTGCGTGCGGCGCGACATCAGCTGACATGGCCCTTTGCTACCCAACAGTTCGCCCACGCCCTTCGTGATATGACGATGCTGGGTGGACCGAGGCTGGGCTGGTGGATTCGAGGCTTCCGGTTTCGAATGCCAATGGAAGCGCACGGCCCGGCGAGCATCCAGTTCGCATGGAGAGGCTAAGCTTTGTGCGGCATTTCTTGGCTTCAAGACGGCCGTCGAGACTCGCGGGGAGTGAAACTGTGTAGGGCTTGGCGTGTGGGAAAGTGAAGACAAGACATGGTGTTTGTCTTGGCAGTGGCAGGGTTGTTGTGCGGGAAGAGCGATTGAAGGGAGGGCTAAGCTTCGGATGTGACCGGGGTTGGAAAGCTTGAGGGAGATGCATTAGGGTTGCAAGGGGGCGGTTGGGAGGGACGTGGCTGCGCTGGACGTTGAGAAGGCAGAGATGAGGGGCTAGGTGAGATGTTGTGCCTACCATGCACGTCAGCTCGAATCAACGGCGGAGGGGCGTCTGCTGTGCACAGAACGGCGCGATGATGGATGGTCATGGCATTGGTGGTGGTGAAACGGCAACGCAGGGAGGGACGGCGCTGTACCCAAATGGGCACGCCGTGATGGCCTCATGCGCTGTGCTTGATGTTTCGCGACTCCAGAAACGCAACACCGGCCAATACTCGGCCACACTCCCTTATACGCACCTCCCAATTCCAATCGAAGAAAATTCAGCTGAAATGGACGTTGGTTAGCCGCCCCTGAGCAGCGCGCAAACTGACCGCCACGGGGTCCAGCGCGCCTCTGAGCCTCACCGTGAGCCACTGCTCAGGGCACCAGGCGGGCGCCGCCCAACTCAGTGCCGCAATCTAGCCCCGCCCTCGAGGCCAGAAGCGTGCGCCTGCGACACGCCCGCGCTTCCTCTCGTGACCTGCATGTGCATCGGTCGGCCCTTTGCGTCCCCAGCGCACTAGGTCGCTCCGCCCAGGTCCCAGAGGCATGGTGCATCATATAGTGGTTGATCGACGTGTAGAAAGCGCGCAGTACCTTGCAACTCCGCTCCGCGCACCCGTTGTACGCTCCCACGAACCACGTTGTTTCTTCGTCTTCAGTCTCCATAATTTCGCGGATCCTGCGGCGAGTAGTGCAGGAAACGTCACATTAGAGAGCCTTGACGCATTGGATCGGGGGAAACGTTTGGTGAGGGAAACGGGAGAAGCTTTACGTTCTGCGTCTTGGACCCTCGCATCGGGCTGTGTTTCCGCTCGTTTCCGCTCGTGCAGCGCCCTCTTCTTATACAAGGCTGCCGCCCACAATAGTCTCATCGTTTCGGAGGTTTCTTTGGTACTTGGAAGGACAATCAGTTGAAGCATTCGAGCACGTACTACAGCACGTTCACTGCTGTCGACGCTTCAAGGGTCCTACCTTCCTAATTCGGGAGAATTCCACCGCAGCTCTCACAACAACAGAAAGAGCTATCCATTGGATCGCAAAAAATCACAGCGCAACACACGCAACACAAAAGTACACCGCCGTTTTTTTTTACACCGATCTCACGTCGTGAAACGCACATTCAACCCCGCGACTCTCTTCTTCCTGTAATTTCAATTAATATCTGGACCCATCCGCGCCGCTCGCCCTTCCCACTGGCACGGTACGGCGCAGCAACCCTCTTGAATACCTAGATCTACAAGCCGGACCAACGACCCTCACAACACCACCATGCTCTCCAAAACCCTCTTCTCCGCGCTGACCAGCGCCCTCCTCCTCACACCCACCGGCGCCGCCCCCTCGCGAACACACTGCCGCTGCACCATAACCTCATCCGACGCCTCACCCTCACCACCCTCCACCTACCGCGACTCCCCTCGAAAACCCAGACACCCTCATCCCCACAACAGCAACCCCGCCAGATCTGTGCGTCGCACTGGGTCCGTCACTGGAGAACCTGCGCCTCTCCAACCCCGCGCTGTACGAGTCCTACATCTCGAGAACAATTAGGCAAGAGGTGGATGCCGCGACGTCGGCGCAGAGGCCGCTGAGCACGACGGTGTTGTTGCGGTTGGCGGCGCAGCAAGGGTTTCAGAATCTGGGTGTTGTGCTGCCTGGTGCGCCGCCGCGGGAGAGGACGCAAGAGAGGATAGAGTGCCGGACGGAGATGGGTGAGGGAGGGGAGGCGTGGAGTGCATACCAGGTCAGCTGGGTGACGCTGGTGGTGCTGCAGGTGGTCGTTGCGTTGGTGGTGGTGGCGTGTGTGGCCGAGGGGATTATGTTCGGGATGAGGTGGTGAGTTATCCCTCTATGCTTTGCTTCTGGCTGTGGATGAGAATGCTAATTCGTGAGTAGGATGAGAGCACGCAGACCACACACATTCGTTGCCTTCCCCAACCCTGGGCGCCCCACTGTGCTCCGCCTCAGCGGCGAAGAGAAGCGCCTCCTCGCCATCCCCGCAACAGAAAGAGATGACATGCGCAGTCCGGGTGCAGAAAAGAAAATGCGCGCCTACGCATCACCAGGCTGGAAGTCGCAGCGATACTCGTACACTGAGGACGAAGACGACGAGTTCAACAGACCTGTCATGTGATTGCGGTCCGTAGTGTTACTTCTTGTATTAATGTCGTTTGAGACGCAGGCGTCTTCCAGCCTCGTCTCCTGCCGCGCTCCGAATGGGAAAGCGCGTTGTAAATATCTAATAATTACATGAACCTCCATCGAACATTTATTGCCAGCGTACCTGAGTGAGACTCGATGCCAGTTGACGCTGGAATGCATTGCGGTCGTAGTTGGGCATCGAGCGGATGAGCGAGCGGGGAACGCAGAAAGATAATCTATATATGGGAGCAGACCGAAGGTACTGTCGGAGGGGTATCAAAGGGCTTTTCACGGCCTTGCTGTGCAAGCGGGGTAGGGGAAGGGTCTCCAGGGTATCTAGGCAAGGAAGGGTAGGGGACTCGGAGTCGCATCGGAGGCTAAGGGTCCTTCCTTATCTTTACCTGATGGGCCCGTATCTATAGCGATAAGCCATTATATACATTGGGGAAGCAGCATGTGAGATAAGGAAATCTATGGATCGGGTATCTTTTCGGGAATCGTATTAGTATCGGCGCCAGGCCGATGTGTCGCTTGGTAATGTCGCAGGGAAGAGGTCGCTTGTGAAAGGTCGCTCAGTGTCGCTGGGCAGTGTCGCAAGGGACTCAACAAGGTCTATTGACGAGTCGAAAGTAAGTCTATCGCAAAGGGACTTTTGTCGCAAGGGTATCGTAGAAGGGCTTAGTCGTTATGTCGTATAAGGGTATCATAAAGCAAGATCGCTTGGGTCGTAATCGGTCGTCGCGAATCAAACATCACCGGTGATGCTGAAGGTAGGTAGGCTGTTGAAAAGTCGTTCATTGAAAGCTCGTAAGAACAGACTGATGGCGGTGTCGACACCGCCATCGGAGAGGTAGAGGTCGCAAATCGAAGTGCTGGTGTAGAACTAGCGTGGACAGGTCGTGTCGGCATGGCGTCGAGAGCGACTGGGTCCGTTCAATGCCGGCCGTGACTCCGTGACTCCGTGACTCCTTGACTCCGTGCGCCGTAACAATGATTACAAATGTACAGTCGATGGGAAATATTTTTGAAGAAAGAACAAAGGGTAGCGGAAGGAAGAACTTCTGATCGAAGCTGGCCGCAACCGGAGGGGATCGTCAAGGGTCTATCCGTCATTGTGACAGACCGATGAAATTGTGGTTGGTGACGTCGAGCTGTTGACATTGACTTCTGGAAACCAGAACTCCTTGGAGTGGTCGACTATCGGACGAAAGGGTTGAACTTGTAACCCTGCTCGTCGATTACATCGACCCAGAAGACATTGTCGCCATTGTCTTGCCGACGCCAAACCTCTTTGATGAGGTCGATCATCTTGCGGAAAGGTTTAGCAGGCAAGCGCCTTGAAAATTCCTGAAGACGCTTGACGGCAAACTCTCTGGATTGACACACCTTTGTATCGTTTGCATAGACATCGAAGAAGTCTACAGAAGACACGAAGCGTAATTCAGACGCAGCGCTAACGATGAGGATGTGTTGAATACAGATGGTGCCGGATGACGATGGGACAGAGTCGATAAGATCCAAAATATGCATGGCAAGAGAGTTAAGCCATAACTTGGTATCCGTGTCTTCGTAAGATGTCTCAAAGCGCGGCATGGGGAACGACTTGAAGTCCGCAAGTTCACCAGAGTCGGACTTCTTCGCTCCCAAGCGCTTCCGGAGAATGCTCGGAAAGACGCTATAGATCTCCAAAAGACCAGCGCACCGATAGGCTTCAGCAACAGCGACGAAATCTTGCTTCGACGTCTGCTCGTCGTCTAGTTCCGCAATCTCGTCCACCGAGGGGTACTCCGCGGCGAGAAGATCCTCTTCTAGAGTAGCTGCGTTCAGAAGATTTTCGTGGTGACGTCGGAAGTCGATGCTCGCGTTCCCATCGCGCATGCGCTCTCTGCGAACAAGCCTTCCAACCTCTGCAAACAGGATCATGATCGTAGGAGCGATGCCGGTCCACGGATGTGGCATGATCTTGCCATCAGGTTTTCGTGCAGAAGGAATCTTCTTGGGGCGAGACCGCAACCCACTAGGAGCAAAAGTCATAGCGTTTGGGTTGACAAAGCCCATCAGCATCTCCCAGTAGATGATGGATTCCTCGAAGAACTGAGTCTCACGCTGCTTTCCTGGGGCGCCATCGGCGTGGTTGAGGAGCTTGGGAAGAATCAGACTTCGGGCCGCCGACAGGAACTCTTCACCAAGTATATCACTGTCATGCCAACCTGTAGTGGTGCCAAGGAGCATAGTACTGAGGAATACCTTCGTCTGGCTGATTGGATCATTCTGTGCGAGTGGGAGCTCCATCAAAAGCGCGTCACGCGCTTTGCGCTGCATGTCTAAGCCAAGCTGTGCCATGTAAGGAAAGGTGTTGGTCAGATGAGCGGCCGACATGGACATGATACCGTAGTAGATGGAAGGCGTCTGCTGGTAAATGCGACTAATTGTGGTTCGGAAAGGATTAAGGTGAGAGTCGAAACAAGAAAAACGGCCACACACTTCTTTGAAGTAGTGCTGGATGAGAACAGACTCAATATCGTCGGCAGTAGTGGCGGAAGGTGAAGGGCTTGGTAGCCGGTAGAAGTCAAGAAGCAGCGACCGAGACAGTCGAGGGCTGGAACTCGCCTCCTCATTGGCAGGCTGTTGCAATACTTCGCCGTTATAGTTGACGCATTCCGATGGTCCTGGTTCAATATCAAACCCGTCCAGAGGCCCAAACGAAAGGTCATCCTCCGGCATGCCCATTACATCGACAAGGCCATCCATCATTAGGGGATCGAAGTCGATGGGATCCTCGAAGAAGAGAGGCTCTGGCAGCGGGTCCATCTCAGGGGGTGATCCATCACTGGGCTCAGGTGTCGAGTCTTCCGAGGAGGTCAGGGACCCAACGGCCATGGGCGGCGGCGACTGTTGGTGTGTGTTTGTGTTGGTTGGCTCAGCCGTCTGCTTGCCTGCAGGCAGAACAGCTGCCAAAGCCTCGAAGTGACGCTCCACATCCGGAGTTACTTTCATGGGCTTCTCCTTGGGACTTGCCTTGGTGACGGTAGCCGTCGAGCCATACTTATGCGGTGCCGGAGCAAAGAGTGTCGGCTGGAAGACCTCATACTTGGTCGACCACTTGAGGGTCTTCTCGTAGCCGGGGCAGGCTACGTTCCGCCTCTTGCACTGGAGGCAGCCGGGTGCAGTCTCGTCGCACTTGAGCTACCTTTGAGTTAGCACATCCTTACGTAACCAGCAACAGGAGGGAAGGCATACCCTCTTGAGTTTGCACCTCGCGCACCCATTTCTGCTCTTTGTCTTCTTGACCTTGAGATCGTTGGTAGTAGGCTTGACTTGGGCTTGCGCCAATGGTGGCATGTCGGTTAGCGAGCAGAGCGGAGAGGGGTGGTTGCAGCGGTGAAGTAAAGAGGACGAATGTGGGCTGACAGGAGCGTGATCCGGGGTATATTTTAAATAATGTGCGTTTGACGAGCTAGAAGGCTGCTGATAGTTTCGTCAGCCATGATACGCAGCAGCTGATAGATAGCGACGTGGTCATTAGGTGGGAGGCGGGCAGCCGAGAACGGAGCATCTGTGCTGCAGAGCGTCCAGGGCGGCGTTTATTGGCGAGGGGCACCATGTTGCAAAGTCGGCCTGGGGACATCGCTCCAGCGAGTGGGCAGGCTCCGAGCTGCAAAGCGGCCGGCCGCATTTTTCGCGCGTCAAATTGATGCGTGTTCGCCTGCCAAAATGCGAAAAATGAAGCTGGTGATGTTCGGTTACGGAGCCTCACATCGCACGATCGGCAGACCCCACTTTCGCTGCCCCAACATTCCAGTGGATGCCATGGATTGCATCACCCGATCCGGCAAGGCGCGCGCCTGTCCACGGCTTCTTTCCCCAGAGGCGCTGCATCATCACCACCTCACTGCCAACCACGATCCCCACGATGATGCACATGCATGTGCGCACACCAAAGCAATGGCTGTCCGCGCGCCATGACATGGAGAAACTCCATCTGGGCACCGGCGTGACCGTTGCGACCTGGCTGCTTCGATCTGGACCCTTTATCGAGCAGCACCAGCGCCCGCGCGCGCTCTTGCGAGAACTACCGAAGCGCTACAAGCCTTCTAGCGTTCTTCCACGACGCCATGCCGGCGATAGAGAGAAGCCGGAGGGATCCATCGCTCAAAGAAAGTGGACGTGAGCATATGCAACCCGGAGCTGCCCAAGCGAGTCCTTTTCCACCAACTGACAACTCGTTCATCCTAAGCTTTGTTCCACACTGGCCCACCACCCCAGCTTTTCGTCAGTAGTGCGGTTGGTGTCACCTCGGACCGACGTGCCTACAGCCACCCAACACAGATGCTGTCGCGTGAGATAACCTAGCGTCTTGAGTGCTACGTGAAAGACTTGAATGCCTTTGCGATAGGAAGACACTGAGATACGAGAGTATCGCCGACAAGCGGATCCGCATCCTTTATCGTTACACCGCTTGATGCCTTCGAGTCAGCGGCTAGATGCGGATCAAGATTATCTTCTTGATCTGCGTGCCTTCAGGATCGGGACGAACATCTGGGTGCAACGTGGGTCGAGTTACACCAGGATCCGTGGTGCATTACACAAGCTGTCTTATCATTGTGCCCTAAGTCTAATCGTGCCTGACGTACAAGCGCCTAGTACTCCGCCCATGCTAGTTGTCGTCTATAGTCGTCTAATCGCTACAAACAGGACGATGAAATGCTTCTTCGGTACCGAAACTTGATCATGTACGAACTCTAAAATTTCTCCATGAAATTCTTCCGGACTGTCCACATTCGTGCACGCTTGCCGTACATATACATAGGGATGGAGAGGAACATGCAACCGAGCTGGATACCGCCAACAGCGATGAAAGTATCCTTAGGACCACTGGCCGCAAGCCAGTGGGTGAAGAACAATGAGAAGATGAATCCGTGCAGAATGTCTACGTGTTATTAGCAAAGAGCGACCGATAGGAATGTGGACAACCGTACTTTTGCAGAAGTTGAGCGTGACCAAAGCCTCCCCGGCGTACTGCCGATACGAGTCGACCACAAAGGTGACTGAGGTGGTAGATCCAAGCGAGCAGCCGAAGCTAATCACACCGAAGAAGACGGTGGGTACGATCCAGTTGTCCTTCTCTTCGGCGCTCCATCCAAAGCCCATGAGACCAATGACCGTGCTAATAGTAATCGGGATCGCCATTACAAGTCGAAATTCTGGTTCGTAAACTCCGTCGTTTCGGCGAGCCATGTAGCGCACAACCACGTCACTAATCTTGCCTGCCACAGCCGTACCCAGAACGCCCCCTACGAATGGCGAGACGTAGACAAGACCGACTTGAAGCGGTGTGAAATTGTATGACTCATGGTTTTGGTAGATTTCGGCCATAGATTCGCTGAGTATGATCAGCCATCCTACAGCTAAAGCGTAGACCATAGAGGACCACAGAACAGCGGGGTAAGCCAATAGGATGAAAGGGCGTAACATGACCTTGTGCCACTTGTCCTTGACCAGGCGGCCGTTCCATGGCTTGAGAGACTGCACGTAGGACTTTTGAGGCGCCTCGCGGTAGAAGTCCGTATAGTGTATGGACGAGACCATGGACACATGGTCAGGATCAGTGTAAGATTCGGTTGCAGGGTGCTCCAGATCAATATCAGGGTGAGGCTGTTGCTTTTCCAAGTCTCTCTTGATGGCACTTGGAACAGGAGTATGCGTGGAAGCCTCGTCAGGTGAAATTGTGTCAGGGATGGTCCCAAAGTAGTCATGATTCTCGGAAGATCCCTTAGCGGCTGCGGCGCTGCTTTCTGGGTGCTGTTCTGAATCGACAGCGAAGCCCACTCTGTGCGCTCTAAGTGGACGCGTTGGATGATCCACCGGAGACATCGGTGAGGTGGGAGTCATTGGCACAGAAGCAGGACCCATATCATCTACCTTGTGGTGACTATGTCGTGCAGGTAGATGGAAGTGATGGCGTGCTCCTGGACTGTGACTGCGCGCTCGCTTCGTACTCCGCCCTCGCGCATGTGGAGTGCGATCCCAAAATGTCTCGGGGACGCAGAAGAAAATTAGGAAAAAGCAGAATGCTACGACGATTGCCACAATTCTGAATAGTGTTAATTGAGCTACTGGCGCGGAACAGTAATGCACTTACTTAAACACCCATCTCCAGCCCATCGACTGCACGACAGCAGCGCTCACCAAAGGGATGAGGTTTTTACCGCCTAACAATAGAAGCGTGTATATTCCAAGTCGATAGGCACGTTCGTGCAAGAAGAAAATCTCGGCTATGGTTGCCGAAGGCAGGCATTCTACCGGCGAGACTGCCATACCTTGGACAATGCGTGCCACTACGAGTGAGGCATCTGGTATGTTTGTGAGGACCATTCAAAATACTTGGATGTAATGACTCACAACTCGGTGAAAATGCGCACCACACAGAAGCTAGGCAGAAGAGCACAATTGCAACGAGGTAGACTGAACTCTGTTAGATCATATGCTATGGTTTAGTGTGGACGGACTTACCAGGTCGCTTGCCCCATAAGATGGCTGTAGGAGAGGCCACCACGCTGCCTAAACCCAAGCCCAGCATGTAGAGTCCGGTCGTTAGAGCAACCTGAGGCACAGTAACGTCGAAAGTTTTGGCAACATTGTTGAAGCCAGCGGCCAGAACAGGGGTCATGCCGCCGCCGACCATGCAGTATAAACCAAGCGAGATCAAAGCAGCGTCGCGACGAAGTTGTTTCCAGTTTAAAGGATCGTTCGCCGAGTCCTCTGGCTGCGGATCTAAAATGAATTTGCCATCTTTTGTTCGCTTCTTTTCCGGCTGTCGATGCCTTCGCGACCTGGCCGAGCTACGCGAGCCTGCGGAAGCACTGCGAGGTGCGGGTCCGTAAGGGGACGGAAGGGAAGAAGCGGATGTGCGCGCGTGTGCATGTTGTAGACCAAGCGGTTCATTCCGCTTGTGCACGCTGGAGAGCAGGATCACGGAACCTTGAACGCGACATTAGTATGGTCTCAAAGGAACATGATTCGTATCGCTCACCAGGGACTTCATCCGTGTCAGCGTCCAAGATACCAAGATGCGACTTCTTCACGGGTCGTTCTTTCTCGCTGTGTTGGCCTTCCGTTTCTGGCGCCTTCTTCGAGAAGAACCTCGCCATGGCGCTCTATGCAACCCAATCTATGCTCAGATAAGTCACCAGGCTGCGTTTGAAGCAAACAAACAGACGCAGAGATCCCAGGATAGGCCGGAAGCTGCGGTTCTATCCAGCGGCAGCGTCGTGAGAAGAAGATGGCAACCAGAGAATAATAGAGGTAGCGACCACGAAAGCCATGCTGGATAGCGGTGAGGGTGGCAGTGTGACATGATAACGTGAAGGTTGTTGTGGGTATGTCGCGGGCTTGGGTCCGCGCTCATTGGTGGACTGATGTCATCGGGCTCTCGGCGTGCTTACGCTATGCTAATCAAGTCCAAGATCGCTGCCACCGTGATCCGGGGTAAGAGCACTCATATGACTATCCGTGCAGCACCTCCAACGCGTTTACCGCCGGTGTTGCAACACTCGGTCTGGGGAAGCTGTGCCGCCGTTGCCATCCTGCACATGTGCACATCATAGTGAGCAGAAGTCTATGTTTACAAGATTATTACTGTCGTAAGCACGCCAGAACTTGGGCGACAGTAGCGTGGGGTTCATCTGAAGGCATTCGGCCTAGATATGCTCTCTCTCTCTTCAATGTAAACGTCGGTGGTACACTACCTACTCAAAACTCTGGAGAGCGATCATCTCTACTCACCCGAGGATATACCGTGGATAATCGATTTCAGAAGGCTTATCATCTGGGAGGCCACCCGCCGACCTTCAGATGTACATTAGAGCTGCTTTCACCTCGCTGCATCTCTCCAGGAAAGGTGATGGCTAGGATCACTGCAGGAATACTGATGCCCAGATCTGCGTGTGCACTGTACACGCCAGCATGTAACCGCCTGTGTACGAAGCTCGCTGTCCTTGTTTGCAAGCCGTGGACCCTGATGGATAAGATCGACGCCTAAGCTAATAAGACGCGAGACCCTGAAAGTTGAGCCGCACAGAGGCCGAAACAGCACGAGCGTTGAGCGCTGATCTTTGCAGAGCTTGGATGAGCTGCAGGGCCTTAGATGCACGTCACTCTTCCCACGAGGCTGCGACACCATATATTATTGACTTGCGACATCTACATCTCCAGACACCCGTATGCTTCCCACATGCTCGCGGGGACTCGCGCGAGTTCTGCATATCCACCTACCGCAACCGGATCAGCCGATACCTCTTCTGCACCTTCATTTCTTCGCGCACCTCCGCTGTCGCGCGCGTCTAGTGCCCAGCGCAGGCGCTTGTGGCGTGGGCATGTTTCTAATCTCGTCGCTTCGTCAAGTCGCCATCACTCCGTAGGGCGACAGCAGTCGATTTCAGCATTCAATGTGCAGCATGGTCTGTTGCAGTAGGAATGGGAATACCGGGCCGCTGACACGGCTGCTCGCAGGTGACAAAACCGACATACGGAATCGTGCAACCAGCCCGCATCCCTCTGCAACAATCGAATGTTTACCCCTGACAAGCGGCTCGATGTTGCCGAAGAGCGACTAACCCGACTCGCCGCATGGCTTTCCCACGAAGCTAATGACAATAGCTTCTGGCTTCACGCACGCTCTGCAGCCAGCCACAGGAAAAATAAAGAGATGCGAGAAACACCTTGTGCGCAACCGGCCGTGGCATCTATACCTGGCTTGTAGTCTTTGCCGGGAGCTCGAATCGTGTATTTATCCTTGCACCCAAGCTGTCATGGTTAGGGAAGTACAATGCGAGGGTCCCAGTACATGGCACTGATCTCGACCGCCGCATTGGGTTCAGCCCTAGGGTGGAGCTCTAGAATGGTTCCTAGCTTCTACTTTAGGACCGCGATACAACTCGAACTCTGTCTAAGCGAGCACTGCTGCCTACTGGATACCGTTCGCGAACCACTTAGACGGAGTACAGCAAGCCACAATTGGACTTCAATCACACTCACTACAGCCATCTCGACCCGACCAGCCGCTTAGTCCCCATGAGGCGTGGTCATCCACAGTAGGGCCTGATGCGATTCGCCTTTTCCTGGATTTTCCAAGCGGACTGCATGAATACGAAGGAAAACGGCGGCTTGTGCCGCAAGATGCAGAACACAGTTCGATGTCGGCCCTGCCGACGCTTCTGCAGGTACCGAAGGTGATAGGAAGCTAATATTCATGCAATTTCCAATGTTCTTTTCTATTGTCGTTCCCTACCGTCATTCAGTCGTCGTTCAGTGCTTCGTCTTGAAAGGTTGAACTGGGTCATACCTAGTCCTCCTCCCACACTCCCTAATCCAACAGCAGCTGTTTGGCTTGCGTCCCTTCGTTCCAGAAACGTCCACCACACTCACTACTGGCCATACTACAGGCCGTCCGATCACAGTATTCTAATTATTAATTCAATTCGACCATGTTCACTCAATCTGTCGCCCTCGGCCTTCTGGCTTCTGCGGTCTCGGCGTTCGATGCGTCCGCCAGCAACAATGTTGCCATGTACTGGGGTCAGGGAAGCTCTCAGATCTCTCTTACGGAGCTCTGCAATGATCCTAGTGTTGACATTGTCAACATGGCTTTCGTAAATCAGTTCCCCAAGCGGAGGGGTGAATACCCATCAACCAACTTCGGTACGTACATGTTTCCCAGCCTTCATCCGTCATCTATCACCTAGACTGGCACGTAGCACCTAGGCTACTGGCAATGTAAGTATCACAAGGCTGACTGCTTTACAGCGAACGCATGCGATGACGTCTGGTACACTGACGAGTTCGGTAACCTGTCCGGTCTTCGCTCAAGCTGCCCTTCTATCCCAGAAGGCATACAGACTTGCCGGAACAACGGCAAGAAGGTTTTGCTTAGCATTGGTGGAGGTTACCCCATCGACTACTACCTCGAGAGTCAAGATATTGCAGAATATCTCGCAGACTTCCTCTGGGGCGCTTTCGGACCTCCTGATGATGACTGGAAGGCACAGAACAAGCCGCGGCCTTTCGGCGACCAGTATGTCGACGGTTTCGACTTGGACCTCGAAGCTTTGATGGACCCGGCTCCGTTTGACGGATACCTGTCCGCCAACTACCAATACCTGGTCAACAGGTGGAAGAACGTGCTCTTCCCATCCAAGGCTGGCGACTTTTACATCTCGAGCGCACCACAGTGCATTGTTCCGGACTCGAGGCTGGCCGACGCCATTAGCCAATCGCACTTCGATTTCGTGTTCGCGCAGTTCTATAACACAGCTCTGTGCAACGCACGAAGGGGATACGAAGGCATATCTACCGGTGCCACAACCTTCACCTTTGACTCCTGGGTCGAGTGGCTCAAGCTCCACTCTACTGTCAACCCGAACGTGAAGCTTTACCTTGGTCTGCCTGCGGACAAGCTAGCTGCCCCGTTTGACCAGTCTGCCTACCTTGAGCCTTTTGAGGCCAACGACGTCATCAAGCATTACAAGCAGAAGTACCCTGAGATGTTCGGTGGCGTTATGCTGTGGGAAGCCACCTACAGTGCCAAGAACACCTGCAGTGGCACTACATACTCGACCAACATCAAGGCTATCCTCCAGGGCTCCTACCAACCCGAAGTCTGTCCCACTCCCACCTCGTCGTCCATTGCATCCACCAGCTCCGCTGTCGCCACCCCCACTGCTATCAGTCCCGACGGTTCTTGTGGCCCCAAGAGTGGTTACACTTGCGCGGGATCTGCGTTTGGTCAATGCTGCAGCCAGTACAATTACTGCGGAAGCGCAGAGATCTACTGCGGTGTCGCCAACTGCAATCCTATCTTTGGGAACTGTGGTGTCTCCAGCAGCAGCAGCTCAGTTGTATCAACCATCACTTCTAGCGCCGTTATCTCGTCCTCCAGTGTCGTCTCGTCCTCCAGTGTCGTCTCGTCCTCCAGTGTCGCTTCGTCCTCCAGCGTCGCCTCGTCTTCCAGCGTCGCCTCGTCCTCCAGCATCGTCTCGTCTTCCAGCACCGTCTCGTCTTCCAGCACCGTCTCGTCTTCCAGCACCGTCTCGTCCTCCAGCGTCGTCACCACTTCTAGCCTTATTTTCTCCTCTTCGAGCATCACTCTCAGCACCGGACCAGCTTCTATTGTGACCCCCAGCGTCTCTGTTCCTTTCCCTAATGGCAACTCCACGACCAGTCCCTTCCCGACCGGTACTGGTGCTTCTAGCATCATCAGCTCTTCCGCGTCTGCTTCGTTCCCCACGGGCAACTCTACCACCGTCCACCCCTCTGGCACTGGAGTCAGCACTTCTGTCCCCATCGGAACCGGAGCTTCCAGTATCATCTCCTCTTCCAGCGTCGTCAGCAGTCCCTCTGCGCCTTACCCCGTCTTCAACGGCACGCACTCTGCTTATCCCACCGCTGCTTCCTCGACTACTGAGCACAGCTACCCTGTCTATACTGGTCCTGGTTACATTGTGTCCACCTCCAAGGCGGGTCAAGGCTACGCTGTTCATACCTCCAAGGCGGGCCAAGGCTATGCTGTTCATACTTCCAAGGCGGGTCAGGGCTACCCTGAGAAGCCCAGCCAAGGTCATGGCTACTCTGTCGGCAAGCCTTCCGTCACCAGCAAGCCTAGCTATGCAGCTTCCTCTCCTGCCCCTGCTAAGACTACCTGCATTACCACGACCTACGTGGACATCTGCGAGACTGGCTTGACTACCGTCACTGCGACCATCACCAAGACTTATACTGGCGTTGCCCCTAAGCCCACGCCCAACGAGGTTCCTGAGGGCTGGTACACCACTGTCACTGTCTGCAACCACTGCGGACCCAAGACTACAACCGTAACTCTGACCAAGCCGTATCAGACTCCGACTGAGGCGGCGTACCACACTCCCTCTTCTCCGACCGGACCATCTGCAGGTAAGGGTAGCTATCCCGCAGCCCAGCTCTCCAAGGGTGGCTACGAGGCTGCCCAGCCCTCGGAAGCGGCCTACGTCCCCAGTAAGCCCGCCGGTGAGGAGACCGTCCGTGTGACGAGCAAGGTCTACATCACCGTCGTGCCTGTCCCTGCGTCCGAGGTCCCTGGATACAGCGCAGCAGCCACTCCTGCACCCTACGTTCCTGTCAATGGCACTGCGGTATACGTTTCCAGCGGAACGGCCAGCAGTACCGGCAAGGGCGCTGCAGCTTACACTGGCGCTCCTATGTCTTACAAGCCAGTTGCTTACGAGGGTGCTGCGAGCAGGTTCAGCGTTGGCGTGAGCGGCTTTGTGGTCCTGCTCATAGGTGCTCTTCTTTTGTAGATGTTTGCGTGGACCACCTAGCGTCTTCTTTGAGGATCACAGGTGGTGGCTCTTCTCAATTCCCTTACGTGTTCAGGCTTGATGAATGGATGGACTTGGTGATGATCTTGGGTGGATATATGGTCAATACAAAATATGCATGCTATACGTATACGCCGACTTCGGAGGTGTCCAATGTGAGGTCAGTGTCTGTCTTACTTCGCGTACCTGAGACCTGCATGTGAACTCGAGGGTGCCGTTCACGCTTGGCCCTGGCTTGCAGCCGCAAGACAGTTTCATTGTACTCGGCCGTTAGCCGGTCTTCTACGTTTTCGTTCGTCTACTGAACAGTGACGGTCATTTTAGCTGCCGAGGTTCTCATCTCCGTTATGTAGCGTCCCAAACTTCCCCACGATGCTAACAAAGGGCCGATGCGAGGGAAAACGGCTGTTTGCGCCAGTGATTGGCTAAGCGCGCAGGCGAGGGAGAAGTCACGGCGAGAACGGTGTCTCAATAAGTGTCCATCCTTGCTTGCCTGCCTCGAGACTTTTGCTGCAGAGACAGCTCCATCTCCATGAACCTTTGCAATCGCCCTCGCATGTCTCGCCGGCCATGCCTGCCCGCCGGCGGGCTCCTCTCTTGCCATGGTCGAGGGAGCCATTCCGAAGAGAGCCTCGGGCGACATGGGCAAATGCCGCCAAGTATGCAACAATGCGCTGGCACGACGGACGGCCATGACACTCGTCGCCTAGTTGCAGCGCACACAGTCAATTGCGCGTGCATCCGATGCGCAGTGGCCCTCAATTGACCCTTCGACCGTATCATAGCGAGCAATTCGCGCTCCGGCTCCGCGCCCGCCATTGCCCAACCACGACACGTCTGCCATGCCCAGCGCCTGACGACACTTGCCTCCTCGCCATTGCCCGGCGACCTCTCGTTCTCGCGCGCCTCGCAGCGCTCTGTCGCCGCCTGCACAGCCGCTGTGGCTGATTGCAGGTGAGGGCCCGGCGGTGACGTTGCCGTCTCGATACGCGACGACCTGGCAGCACGGCGGCAAGACGCACCGCAACGGAGACGAAACTCAAAAGCACACGCGCAGGAAGAGTCGGTGAAGCATGCCCGGCGATTCGTGGAGCGTTTCTTGTTTGCGAAAGTGTAGGTATACGTCGTTTCCTGCGCGTCCCAGCCTCCCAATTACGGCTCACGACAGCACCAACCACCCCAACCACCTATCTAATACCTTGTGCACCCGGCAATGGCACTGCTCCCTGCCATCTCCCTCACTAACGGTGTGCTCTCCAGGCATTGCAGCATTCCTCCAGCCGTCTCGCTAGTCTCAGGACTGCGTGCGCGCCATCCGACCCAGCTCTCCCACAGCTGCCCCTTCTCACAACACCACCACACCTCTCGCCGGCGGCCGTCGCCTCTGGCGGTGCTCGATTGCGTAGCAGCAGTCAGGGCCCGTCAAATTGACGTCTCCCGCGCCCGACGCGTCCACCCTGCACCAACTCACGCAGCCCATCTCTGACGATACCCACGATAACGACCCTCCCGCATACGTACCATACACGACATCGTTACAGCAACGCCAGCAGCAGGCTGCCGAGTTCTTCAGGCAACAGCACAATTATTCACGAGCTTCGAGCTCTGAAGGCAGCGCCGCGCATAGTCTTCGTCGAACGCCAAACATCGAAGACGTACGCCAACGGTTCCGCTCTCCGAGCCCAATTGACCCGCCGCCGCAACCGAACCAGCGCACCGTACGCTTTGCCGCCGAATATCCGCACCTAAGTCCTGGTCCAGTCGAAGGCCTTCGCGCGCGAGACTCTGGTCCTCAATTTGAGTTCGAGCCGCATCCAGCGCTAAGAATTTCTCAGCGGACTGCGTCTGCGATCCGCTTCGTGCTCGAAGAAGCCATCCGTGGACCGTACCCATTCACTCCAGACCTTGCTGAGGAGAACGCGTCTATGTCAGATTTGACAGCCGGAGGTAATGGCCGCGCTGCCAATGGCGGCGCGCGCACAGGAGGCCCTGTTCCTGTCACCCAGGCAGACCGTCCCAATATCTTGACGCCACAGATGATCATGAACAACCGTCGTCAGCGGGAAGCGCGGCGAGAGGCTGAGGAGGAACGAAAGGCACAGGAAGAGCGTAGGAGAAGCGCAGAACGGAGAGCTCAAGCTGCTGGCGTTGCAGGCGCCCCCGTAAATCCCGATGCGGGGATGCAAAGACAACCCCAACCACAACAAACGTACGATAGCGGTTATGGCTCGTACGGTCCACAAGGCGCGAGTTCGAGGCAGCCTATACCTCCAGCAGCGGCCACACTGCCACCATCAGGTCGCATACAGGATACAGCATCCGGCGCGCAGTCTAGCAGGCCGCGCGCAAACTCTCAATCACAGCAACAGCCTCGTCCTGTTCAGCAACCCTCGTCTACCGCGCAACCTTCGTCATCCAGACGACCACCACCCGTCCAGCATTCTAGAAATCCTTCTGCTCCCGTCACATCAGCGCCTATTGGTTCTTCCGCCCCTCCACCAGCTCCGCCTTTACCAGGCGCTTCTTCATCCTCTCAGCAGCGCCAATCTACGACTTCGAATTTTCCACATGCTTTTGAACGGTGGGAAACGCTTTCATCTCATTGGGAAGGTCTTACATCGTATTGGATACGGAAATTGGAGTCAAATACAGACGAAATGCGTAACCAGCCCCTGGTTCAGCAACTGTCTCGCCAAATCACAGATCTGTCAGCTGCAGGTGCAAATCTATTCCATGCGGTCGTTGAGTTACAGCGACTTCGGGCATCATCAGAGCGCAAGTTTCAGCGATGGTTCTATGACCATCGCCAGGAGCAAGAGCGGGCGCAGGAACGTGAAGCCCAGCTTGAGACAACGATAAGAGAGGAACGTGCTGCGCGCAATCAGGCTGTGGCTGACATGGAGCGCCTGGCTACCGAGAAGAGGAATGCGGAACGATCTGTGCAAGAGATGAAGCGCGAATTGCAAATATCTAAAGAAGAAGCAAGAAGAGCGTGGGAAGAACTCGGACGACGCGAGCAGGAGGAACGTGATCGTGTCTTCTCGTTGCGGGACGGCCAGCCTACTATGATAGGCGGCGTTCAGGTGCTTCCGACAGCTCAGGCGATGGGCAGGCACGGCAGCGTCCGTTCGCACGGAGACGATACGTATGCTGGAAGCTCAAGCGGTCAGGGTATTGAGCAGCATTATACGTATGAAGAAGCGCAATCGCCGACGGATACTGACCCATTCACGGAAGGACGTCACCATGAGCCTGAGGCTAAACCGGTCGCTCAGGGCACCTACGTTCCCTCGGGTGCTGGTCCTTCGTCCCTGTATCAGCCAGGGTATTCCCAGGCAGCCGAACAGCCCCAGGTCCCCGCCCCTGCTCATACTCAACAGGCATCTGGTGGGCACCAAGGACCGAGCGGCGCACACCAATACCCCAAGGAACCTCTAACATCCCAGCCGGAAGCCTTCTACCAACAGCCAGAAGCCTACCTCCACCGGGACATAGCCGCCGGAGATCCAGAAGACGAGCGCTCAGCCATAACCTCGCATGCCGAGGAGGAAACCTCAGAAGGCGAAGACGAATATGCCATAGACGAGAACGGTAACTACATCCTCGATGCCGCCGGGCACCGCGTTCCCTTCCGCGCGCTCCGCCGACAAGACTCAGATGAATACGACGTGCAAGAAGACCGGCGGCGCGAGATCGAGCACCTGCAGCGCTATGGCAGTGCGGCGATAGATCCCAGCAGGTACGCTACCACCTCGTCGGCGGGATCGGAGCACCATGGTGGGTTCCCCACGAGCAGCGCACCGGATTATAGCGGCTCCGGATACGGGAGCGAGTGGACGGGCATCAGGCACCATCATCCCACGAGGCTGAGCGATGTCATGGAAGAAGATGAGAGGAGTAGAACGAGCCCGAGTAGAGCGAGCCAGGCAAGCCGCGGGTGGGCTTGAGGGAACTAATAAGATTGGGGGAGAATAAACTTTCGAGGATATATTTTGGGTGTAAAAGTGCAAGAGGTGCATTTGCGAGGGCGTTTTGTGGGCGGGACTTTGTCGTTGGCTTCTCGGGTTTATACTAATGTTGCTTACCGGGCGCCGGCGCATCTGTTTTGCTACCCATGGTAGACGATCAGATTCGAGGGCGTGGTTAAGATATATATTTCCTTGCTTCGAGCCTTGAGCGTCCGCGTCCACTCGTACCTTTCGATCGCCGTCCATCCGTGCCGCACACTTCTTCGCTACCGTCGTCCACTACTCCGCCGAGTTCACACGACCGTAACAACCTTCCATCTGATAGCGTCTTTACACAACCACCGCCTATTCGTCCTGCATGCATTTTGGCAGCGCTACGATCTATTCGAAGCATCATCTCGGATATTGCATAGCGGCTTATACCCTTGCTCCTGTCTCATTAACTGTTCTGTCATCCTGCCATGGCATAGCGTGTACTCTTCGATTCTTCCCGCCGGGTTTAAATGCCTACGGCACCTTTTCTGTTTGCGTAGCTTTTGGCGTTTTTTTTCCTGGATGCATCTAGGTTGTACGTTCGCCGTGTATGAGTATTCCTTGTAGCGATGGTGTTGATTTGGTTTTGGGATTGTAGCTGGATAGGAATGGACTGAGTGGCGTGGGTTAGTTAGGCATTGAGGAATCTAAGCTGTATGGTGTTGAGATGAGTGTGCTGTTACCTGCTGTTTGGTGAGGGAATGCATCTTGAAGTTGATGTCGAATAAGGTGTTGTGAAAGCCAAGAAGGCGATGAGAAGGGGGTCGAGAGTGGTGAAAGTGACATCGTTCCAAAAGCCTGCAGTCCACCCAGTCCCTCGATATACAAAGTCTTGAGCTCTGCCTCTGTGCTATTCAAGCGGTGATAACTCTAACACGGATGCGATCCCAACATCAGGAAATCTTTCAGCACGATACCAGGCAACGTGGGCCCACGTGGCGCTAACAATGACGCTTCCCTTCGCAGAGAACGTTTGTCTCACCTTCCTAATTGGCAAATTAGCTTCAGCTGCAATGCACGATAGTCTAGCCACTGGATCTAGCCAGCTAAAGGAGCATCGCGATTCCACTTCACTATGGAGTCGGTTGATGGGACCAAATGCTCTCCAGAGCAGCTGAAACCTTCTGACTCTCTTGCGCTATCGTTAACTTCCTGGACTACCTTTCTTACGCATCATAGTGATGCAGCGAAGCATTTGGTGTCGGCATTGCTTTTCCAGCCTGATGCCGCACGACCAGCCCTGCAGACAGCCCCCAAACTATAGTTGAGGTCATTGGTCCGCACTCATCTCGCACCTGAGCCAAGGCATTTGTTCTCAGTTTAGCGTACATACAGGGGTTTCTTGGGCGAATTAAGCATATTCCCACGGCAGCTGGAACAGGCTCGCGAACCAGATCTGCCAGCCACATTGGCATCGCGCTCACCATCGGTGTGCTGCGAATTACGACATGCCGCCTATCGCTCTCATACTTTTCAGCCTCGTGTAATCTATGATATAAATAGTGGCTCCAGAAGTCGGCTGTTATTGTGAAGTCTTTCCGGACGCATCGGTCAGCGGTCACCAAAGCCCTTGATATACGTACTCCGGCCATTTGTATCGAGGTCTTCCTCCATTGAGAACCAAAACAGCGTCCATGTCATACGTTCGACATCCGTCATGCTCGCACTACTCAAGACGTCTTTGCGGGGTGTGTGGGCTGACGCCCAACGGGACCTTCGCACTATAAGGTGGAACGGAATTCTATTGAGCAAAATAGTACTTTCCTGTGTTATTCTCATCTGGAGCCTTGGACTTGGTGCTCTTTTGGTCGTACTGGGACTGTTTCAGCATCTGGCATTGAGAAGCGGAACGGCTTGCGGTCCTGACGGTGTATTCATCGCGAATCCTGAGCAATACAGTTTCTGGAGTGGAACGGGGATCTTCCAAGTGACCTTGGCCTTTGGAGACTACTCCTTTGGTAGAGCAAAGTTAATTGACGTCGCATGGGACGTGGTAAGACTCAGAGATATGCTGTCCCTACAACTTTGCGCGCTAATTTGAGATGACAGGCTTTTGGTCGCCTTGGTCAGACATTTCTCGCCTTCTGTAGTTGGCGCGTCTTTGCTTTATACGTCACTACGTCCATGGAAACGGCTCCGATCACTTACGACTCTTTTCGCGCGATCTTCATAGGTACTGGCCCATCTCTGTGGACTACACTCTGCCTGATCCGGGATTTCAAATTACGAAAAGGTCTTCATTCCAGGATCGCTATGGCGTTCATAGTAGCTGCCATGTTGTTGACACTCGCCTTCCCTACTTTTGCCGGCGCCATGACTGGGTACACCAGCATTGTAAAGGCTTACGTGCCTGATCACCAGAGCGGCAATCGGATTAACTTCGACAGCTTCCTTCCTGTTCTTTACGTAATTCACGATGGCGAGAGAATTAAGAAGGCAAACAATTACTTCGTGACAGACAGTCCGACATTCAACTCCAGATCATATGTATGCATGTATGCCCAACATTGAGCGTTCGCTATTGACAGCTTTTAGGATCCGATCCTGGTACGACCAATGGGTAGCTATAAATGCAGCTATGCACGAAATGATGCCCCAGGTTCCGGGCCAAACTATGCCTGGGATGCATCCTATGTCTCCAAATCACCATTCAACTCCGAGGAATGCTTTTTGCAAAACAACGTGTCAAAATGTAAGCTTACTCGCTTTCCTCTACGATAACGGAAAGAAGGCCAATAAACTTGAATTGAAACTGAACTATTGGAACATTTCATCAGCTCACTATGCCAAAGATGTTGAACAACATGGTTTGGATCAATCATCCAACGTCAAGACTACTTTCATGGAATTCGATCTCGAGCCTCCGACGCTTAACATATCGGCTTCATTCTTCTATGACCCTACTCTGTACGGCTCAGCAGACAGAGTCTCGCCACACTTACAACAAAAAGCGCTTTGGATATGGTCGAATGATACATACAACTACACATATTTGTCAACATTTGGTACATGCCAGCCAGACGGAGGGGTAAGCTATCTTCTTCCATTATCCGATCGTTTACAACTGCTAATGAAAGCAAGAACTACCAATGGGGGTTTTCCTTCATTCAGCTGTTCATCATGAACATCATGCTTCTCATATGGACACTCGGCATCCTCATCATGTGGTACCGGGCCCAATCTACAATGCAGAAACGAGGCCGCGTCAGTGTAGCCGGTGTACACAAGGCTGTGGTCGAGCTCGCAGAAACCATGCACAAAGAGCTAGATGCTGAGGACTTTGACCTGAGCCTTTCAACGGAGGCACAGATCAAACAACGAACAGCGGCGGCAAAAGGAGGTAGCATAGCCTACGATGCGCCGCTTGTTGATGAGAAAGTGCCGGACGCATCATTCACAAAGTGGCTCAAGCGCGAAAAGTGGTGGCTCATAGTAACGTTTGTCTTCATCTTTGCGACAAGCGTCCTGTGGGTGTGGTCCGGTCCTGTACTTTCTTATGCCCTGATCGGTCCGCCTTGCGGGCTGATTTTCGCTCTTTCGGTTGGCTCGACAACGAAGAGTAGAACACTCTTCTTCTTGGTATGGGCAGTCTTGGGGTTGGTTGTGGGTCTTAGTGTTGGTCTGTAGCGCAACAATCTGCGATCTGATTGAAAGGTTTCTCCTTTGAGTAACAAAAAGTCTATAGAGATCCCGTCATACGCTGTCACGACTTACTCACAGAGATCTGACGGAATGGCCTTCTGTGGGATGCTAGACGATTGTGAGATGATTGGGGGTTGGCTTCTTCCCCGCTTTTCAACCCGTTCTTTCCCCGCTTACGAAGCCAATTAGTCTAGGCGTTCGTTACATGCCTACTCCCACGATCATTGTAGTCAGCACAACGACAGCTATTGGCGTGCGAGGCGATCTCTTGACCGAAGTCCGTCTTCGCTATGATCAGACAAGGTCTGGACTCTTGTACTTACCTGACAAGCTGTCGTAGCATGATCATAAGACCCTTGAGTAGGATTCCTCGCAGTAGTAAGTTGCTGCCGGGGGCTGTAATTCCATTGAGATGTAATGTATAACATTAGCCTCAGTTTACCGCGTACACTCGAATACTTTCGGCCCCAACAGAGTGACGTCCACCATGTCCCAATCCTCAACCAGCGAGAATACCACCAGCACCGTTCCACCGCCCTTGACTCACATGCTCGAAACATGTATCTACGTTTCCTCAGCCTCTCGCTCTGCAGAGTGGTACTCCCGCATATTCAACATCACGCCAGACTTCGTGAATGTGCGTTGGGCGCCTTCAGATCCGTCATAAACACCGTATGCCTCTTTCTAACACGTGTCAGGACCGCATGGCATCCTTCCCCATTCCACCTACAACCCTCCTGCTCTTCACCCTCGGCTACACCTCCGCCGATAGTGACGTACCTAATCGAGGCCGCATAGCAGGCCACGGTCCGACGCCTGAGGTCCTCAACATTCTATCCAAGAGCGCCTCGTCTACCCTTGATCCCAAGAGCCAGGCCTTGAAGCAGCACTTCTGCTTCGCGGTTCCAAACGCTGAGGATGTAAAGAAATGGGAGCAGCATCTAAGTAGCGAAGGGGTCAAGATTCTTTCGACGATGGACTGGGAGCGTGGTGGGCGGAGCGTGTATTTCGAGGATTTGGATGGGAATGTGGGGGAGGTTGCGAGTCGGGGGTTGTGGAAGCATTGGTGAGGGGGTGATGTTTGGTGTAGAAGACGCACAGTCGTGGAATCCGTCTCCCGACATGCAACTTCCTGCCACCCTCTTAAAGGTCGAAAGAATCTCATCATACATTACGACTCGACTCAAGTCAGAGAAATCGGTGCGCACGAAATGTAAATACTCCTTGTCCAGCATCGACCCATTTCAATGTTGTACACTTAAGCACATGATACACTGCCTATGTCCCCACCAATTCCTGATTCCGACACCAACATCAATCCAAACCCATGAGATCAGACTCCAAACTCCATACCCATGCTCACACCTCTCGTGTACCTCTACTCCTCCATCTTATCACCACTCACCACCCCTGCATTTCCATCCCCTAAATGCTTCAACAACCAACTTCTCTTAAAGTACGTATTCGGATGCACAATAGTATCCAAGTCCGTCGCACTCCACGTCCCCTCATCTTTAACCTTCTTGATTTCCTTTTTATGCGCGAATTCAAACACCCGATTACACGCCACATGGTACCTCTGCTTCTTGACGTCTTCCTTAACTCCCTGCAGCACCTCTCTATCTTGTATGCCTACGCGTTGAAGCAGGCCTGTCAGGTTCTCGACGTTGAAGGCTCGGTAAGGACACCCATGCGCTTGGCCCGGTCCGGGGAGCGGCTCGGTGAGGATTTTCTGGCAAGAATAGGGTGTGTATCCGCGGCCGCGACGGTTCGAGTCGCCGCCTACGTCGCCGTACGCGTGTCGAATGTTGTACTTGTACTCTTTGTGGAATTTATCGTCCGTCATGAGCTTGAAAGAGCGTCGCCAGAAGATGATACATTCTTCCAGTGAAAGACCGATGCCTTTGAGGAAGAGTGTGTATTGAAGTCGACCGTAGTGTTTTAGGTGGGAATTTGCGCGGAGCGTCATGTGTAAGTTTTGCATGCAGAGAGGGAAGTTCTGTGAGAGGGTGTCGATTGCGCCGGAATTGATGGCGGAGAGGCCGTCGATGTTGGCGTCAGAGGAGGAATAGGCGGCTTCGGGAGCTGTGAAGGATTGGGAGAGGTGAGCGAGGATGGGGGCGAGACGGTCGTCTTCATCTAGGCGGGGGAGTGCGCGGGCAGTCAACTATCGATTTTGTCAGTGTCCTTCCTTTTCGAGATTGTCGTTATGCGTACCTCGAGTTGCTCGTCTAATCGCTTGGTAAACTCCGCTACAACCAAGCTTGTCTGCTCTTTCGCCGGCACGTATGCCATTCCCCTCTTCAGAAGCACTTTCCTCTGGCTAACAAGCTCTGGTACTCTCTCCCAGTCCACCTTGAACCAGTCTTGTTCCTCTTCCCTCTTCGACCCAATCGCAGCCAGCATCTGGTCTCGCAGCTCCCGCTTCTCATCGTCTCCAACCTCTTCCCACTCGAGGTCCAAGCTCCTCACGAAACCTTGTCGCTCCCTCGGGTCGTCTTCTCTGAACCTTAATCTGAACAGGATCGTCTCCAAGTGCGAAAACCGCCGCCGCAATTCCTCCGTCGAAGAGAATGCAAGGCGGAGAATGAAGTGGGAGTAGTGGTCTCGTTTCCTTTCCTCCTGAAGATTCGTCCCTCGTGATGTATTCGCCCGAAGAGGAAGATATTTGTTCAATATGCTCGTCATGTACTCGGCGGTCTCCTCAGGGCTTCGATTGCGAAAGCTGCACGCCTCCAACTCGGAGAGTACTAGGTCAAACATCAGCACACACTGCACCGTCAAATACTCGTAGTCCAGTGCACACCTTTCAATCGGTTTATCGCCCATGTTTCGAATTCCTCGAGCGTGATCTCTGCCGTCGGTGGCAATGTGTAGAAGTTGAGCCTATGCTTATAATCCTGCTGTGCATACTCCGCCTTTGCGAATTGCCGCTTCTTCGGATCGATATTCGCACGACGTTTCGGCTCGACTCGAGAGTAGTCGTGGCGGATCATGGCGACTTGTCTCTGAATAGGTGTTGGCTTTGTTTGCGAGTTGCTGTGCGCGCTTTGGGGCTTTGGGAGCGCGCGTAAAGTGGGACGGAAAGGCGCGTCGCGTTAGAAAAGCGCTAGACCTAGACTAGACTTGACGTGTTTTAGCGCGGCATTGCCCTTGTCTCCTCATCGCGCGTCATGCGAAACCTAATTCCAACATTGGTCGTATATAATGGTGTCTATAAGGCTCTCTATCGCTAGTCTCGGATGCGGTTGCCCTTGAGCGCTTCATGCACAAAGCCTTTCTCGCTCAACCCAGCAAATCGCCTATGGCGTTCACGTATGCCGACGGTACTGTCTTCGCACCCTCCGCAAGAAATTCCTCCTTCTTGCTCACACCAGTCAACACCGCCAACGTGCCACCCAGCTTCCCGTCAATGCCAAACTGAATGTCCGTGTTCAGCCTGTCGCCAATCATGCACGTCCTGCTCCGGTTCAGCTTGAACTTGCCCTCAATGGCATCCATCATAGCCTGACTCGGCTTGCCAAACGAAACAGGAGTCTTCCCGATTGCCTTCTCGAGACCTGCACCGCTAGCTCCAGCGCCAGGGAAGAAGCTGTGTGCCATGGGCAATGTGCTGTCGATGTTCGTCGCGAGGTACTCTGCGCCGCGCTGCAGGTATTGAAACCCGATCGCCGTCTTCAGGTAGTTCATGTGGAAGTCTAGTCCGCTGAGGACAATCCCTACGTCTGGATCTAGCAATGACCCATTGGCAATGTTTGTAAAGTCCTCCGGTTCAATGTCGCGGCGCAATGCGGGGTCGGTGCCACCGATATAGGGTACACCTTCTGCCTCGAGCTCCTGTTCAATACCACTCTCTCCCATGACAAACACTTTGTTCTTTGGTGCCGGTAGCTTGAGGATGCGGGCGATGTATACGGCGGCGCTGTACGACGAACCGAAGACCTCGTCCTATACACACTTTAGCCGGGAACATATAAAGGATAAATGCGACCTACAACTTCAGCGGGTATGCCCAGCTTGTCGAACTTCTTCTTGTAGTCGGCGCGCGACTTCGTGCTGTTGTTTGTGACGAATACTAGCCTCTTGCCTATCCGCCCACATTAGAAACGTTTTAGATCCAGGGACCGGTAACATGCCTTTGCTCCTCAACATCTCAAGCGTCTCGGGTACCTTCTCGAACATATGGTCACCGGACCAGAGGACGCCTATCCTTCTTCACAATCAGCAAAATGCTCCCACTTGCATTGTCCGCACTGTGGTATGACTATGGGGTCACACGGAGTGAACCCGAGGCTGGGTCGCACGCACCATCGCAGTCGAAGAGGAATACCTTGAGGTTACTCGTCAGCAAACGTAGGTTGTCCTAGAAAGAGCTGCTACTCACATCGAATCTGTCGAGAAACTCGTCAATGCCGGCCTCGTCGCCCGACAGGAACTTTGGTTGTGACATGGTATCTGGCGTAATCAAGATATCTCGACCAGAGGAGTGCAAAAGACGAGAAAGACGGCGTTGTGGTGGATGTTGTCAGTGAAGCAACATTTGGTGGGGTGCTTGGCGTCGGGTAGGTCTGACTCGGAACGCTTCGGGAAGAATTCCGAAAGTACTTCACATAACATACATTCGTTACTAGGGTATCTACCGCCATTGCCCTTTATCCAGCTCTCCACCTATAGCTTCGGACTCTCTAGTCAATCAACAACAATCTTCTTCTCAAGCTCTTCGAAGTGCTCAAAGAAACTCTCAAACAAATTGATCGCATACTCAACGTCGTGCGCCCCACCAGTTTCCCTGATGCTGTGCATGCTCAATTGAGGGTTGCCCAAGTCAAGCGTGCGAGCACCCATTGCGGCTGAAAGCATAGGCCCGATGGTGCTTCCGCAGGAAGAGTCGTTCCTAACGACGAAAAGCTGAAGTGGTACGCCTTCCTTGACCGAAGAAGGGCTTGCGGAACCTCTCTTGGCTAGACGAGCTGCCTCTTGCACCAGCACTATTCCGGGTGAATTTGTAGCATATCGAGCGTTGGCGTTGATCTTGATTACAGTGCCCTTGTTCATCTCGGGCCGATGCTGTGACTCGTACTTTGCGGGGTAGTTGGGGTGTACAGAGTGGGCCATATCGGCGGAAATTAGGAAAGATGTCGCCAACGTTTGTTCGTAGACGGTCGCCGAGTCAACATCCAGCTTGTCGTAGGATTTGTCGGAATGGGAGCTCTCAGAAGGAGGTAGCACAGAAAGGCGACGAATAACAGCAGGAAGGACTGAATGAGGGTTAGATGAAGGGAGCGCAGAACTAGGAATTATTCAGGCAACTCACGGTTGGAGTCCGCACCCTGTGCGGTTCGGCTTCCTATCTCCTCGTGGTCGAAAAGAGCAATTAGGCGGATGGTGGAGTCTTTCTCTAATGAAGAAGACGATGCGACGCTCTGAATCAAACCCTCCACGCTGCAATAGGACATCATCAGGTTGTCGAGGCGCGCAGAGAAGATGAGTTCGTCGTTCAAGCCGCCCACGACGGCTTTCTGGGTGTCATATAAGACCAGCTCAAAGTCTAGGATATCGTTGGGGTCCACGCCAGCCTCTTCGGCAACTATCTCAACAAGATATGTGTGGTGCCTCTTCATAGGAGCAGCCAGCGGTTCAACTGGTCCCTCTTTGTTTTCCTCCTCTTTGGCGGCTTCAGCAGACTTACCCTGCCTATTCAACTCCGCCGCGACCATGCCGGCGATGGGGAATAGCTGAGCTTCTTTGTTGAACTTGAAGTCTTCCTGACGATCGAGATGAATAGCCAGGGTCGGAACCCGCAGAATGGGCTTCTCAACCTTGACCAGACGGCTCTCGATGTTGCCCTGCTTCGTCCTGACCATCAGCCGCCCAGCAATGGACAGGTCTCGGTCGAACCACGTGTGCCATAGACCACCTCCATATGTCTCGCATGCCACCTGGAGAAATCCATCGCTCTGACGTTTGGAAACGGGCTTGAGACGAAGGCAACATGAGTCGGTATGCGCACCGATCATGCCAATAGGGTTACCGGGTTTCCACTTCTTGCCGATGGCGAATGCGACGATGGAGGAGCCATTCCGGGTGAGGTAGTACTTCCCGCCTGGCTGCAGGGTGGACGCCCACGAGTCCCGCTCCTAGGGTGTAACAGGTCAGTGCTGTGTGCTTCCATCAACGGGGACCCGAGCCTATTCTCTCTGCAGGATAGAAGAGGCTCCTGCGACTACATGTCGTGCTCTCCCGTATATGACGAGACGGCATAACTCACTTTAATCTGCTTAAAGCCCGCCTTCTCTAGCCTATCCTTGGACTGTTTGACAGCATGGAAAGCTATATACAGTTAATGTGGGCCTCTTTCGCATTTCTACGGTAGAGCGTACGGGTCGGTGAATCGTTAACGAAGGACAAGAAGTCCTCGGCGGCTTGGAGCGATGGCTTGGTTGACATGGTTCGTACAGTACAGGATGGGATGAAAGGAAAAGCAACGTAAGTGCAGCCTCGCGGACCAGAACGTAGTAGGGCGGCTCGGAGCGTTGGGCCTCCTCTGAGCATGAAAGGATGGATAGGCCGTGGCGGTCCGTCGTGGCGGTCTGGTGTGTGGGGTTGCAGCGTCTACAGGCCCCAGGGTCGCGGCGACGAGACGCATCGGCCTGCCACGACCGGGGGTGGCTTTCGTGTTTGATTGGGTGGCAGGCACGGGGGGCACGCGTGCTGGAGGCAGGAACATCAAAACAGCGACAACCAAAACAGCTTGACGTGACAGCCGACCGTGGGACCTTCGCGCGTCTTCCCGTCCGACCTCCAACATCCAGCATCCTCTACGCCCACGTCCTGCCTTATTCCTCCCTCGGCCGTGCCACCCGTCGCTCGAGCTCGCCCTGCGCTGTCCGGCGCTGCATCGACGCCGCTCCCGCTCCTTACTGCTGCAACCGGCGAGCGTTGCCCTAGCGGCTCGTCCCAGGAAGCGTCAAAACAACTTTGGACGCCCGCACAACAGCCCCCGCCTACCGCCCGCCGCCACACAATAGCAAACAACAACAATACGATTGTCATGCGCTACGATCGCGCGTAAAGAGGAGGAACATTGCGACACTTTCCATTGCGCGCGCCGACGAGTGCTGTTGGCTGAGCGCGCGGTGACGCAGTACAAGGGACTCAGCACTGGTTTCGAACTCGCCTTCACCCTACAATCGCATCCTTCCCGTATTATCCTTCAGCACACAATAATCACCAGAAGACTGGAGAAGCTGCTGCCTCGGCCGCGCTTCCTTCTTTGATACATAACCCCGCCCCCGCCGGTGGCTCGGACCTAGAGACCTATCCCGCCTTCTACATCCTTCCACGACGAGTGCGCTGGTTGCGACAAGGCGCGTAGGCACTGCAATGGCGACCGAAGATACTATGGCGCCCGTTGCAACAACGGAGCGCGTTGGGGAGGATGCGCGCACGCCGGCCCTGATCTCACCGCCTGAGTCGAAGACACCGCCAACAGCGACCCACAAGCGCAACCAAGCCGACTTTGCGCATGACCGCAACTCAGAGCCAGTGGATGCTTCGGCATTGAGCAAGGCTTTGGAACATTTTGAGCGAGCAGGACGCGCGCCAGAACGACCCATTGCAAGTCCCAGTCGCAAACGCCAGCGTATCTACGGTGATAGGTAAGTTTGCTGGCAAACATTTCCCGACCATCGGGCTGACCAGGTGGTAGATTCATCCCCAATCGAGCTGGCCAGGATCTTCAGGCGAGCTTCTCACTGCTCCACGACGACGCTTCACCCGCTACACCGTCACGAAGCGCGAAGCGTGCCCCGCACAATGAGCTGCACTTTCAGCGGAGTGAGTATCACCTAGTGAAGGGGATAAGCATTCACTAACGAATGTACAGCTGAGGAAGCCAATCGGACATATTCCGCCGTCCTGCGACAGGAGTTGTTCGAGGGATCTGTGCCCCAAGCTTTGCCTCAAAGTCTCTCCCCGACCGATAGTGCCAACCTGCGTCGCTCTGGGCGCTCACATACCCCTCCAGCTCATGCTGCAACGGCACTACCAGCGCCTAATTTGACACCGTCTACCCCACATAAGAACTTCTTCAACTACTCGGGGCAACCGACACCATCAAGAACTCCCTCCAGCCGACATGGCATCAATCTCAATGCGCAATCCGATCTCTACAGTCTCTCACCCATCAAGCTTAACAGCCAGCGAATGCTTCTCAGCCCACAGAGAACACCGCGTGCCGTATCCAAAGTGCCGTACAAGGTTCTCGACGCGCCAGACCTGGCGGACGATTTCTATCTCAATCTGGTAGATTGGGGCAGTCAGAACATCCTCGGCGTCGGACTAGGGTCTTGTGTGTATATGTGGAATTCTTCAAGTGGTCGGGTCACGAAACTGTGCGAATTGACCGATGACTCCGTCACGAGTGTCAGCTGGATACAGCGCGTAAGTCGCTAGAAATTCAAACCTCATCATGTGCCAATCTGACATCATACAGGGTTCCCATCTCGCCATTGGCACCAATCGAGGTTTCGTACAGATCTGGGATGCGACTACACAACGTCGTCTGCGAACTATGACTGGCCACTCTGGGCGTGTCGGTGCTCTTGCTTGGAATGAACACATCCTTACATCCGGTTCACGAGATAGATCGATATACCACCGTGATGTCAGACAGCCAGAACAATGGCTTCGAAAGCTTGTCGGCCACAAGCAAGAGGTTTGCGGACTCAAGTGGAACAACGACGACATGCAACTCGCATCGGGTGGAAACGACAATAAGCTTATGGTTTGGGAGAAACTCAATGCTGAACCCACCTACAAGTGGAGTGAGCATCAGGCCGCCGTGAAAGCCATTGCCTGGAGTCCCCACCAACGCGGTCTTCTAGCCAGCGGTGGTGGTACCGCTGACCGAACAATCAAGTTCTGGAACACATTAGTCTCTTCGAATGGACCTTCGTCTGCATCGCTTGCTGCCGCTTCATCTGCAGCGTCTGCATCGGGCCCCGGCGATGTGGACTTCCAGTCAACAACGCCAGCCAATCTGATCAAGAGCCTGGATACTGGTAGCCAGGTGTGCAATCTGGCATGGTCTAAGAACAGCAACGAAATCGTATCGACTCACGGATACAGTCAAAACCAAATCATCGTTTGGAAATACCCCAACATGCAGCAAGTTGTTTCGCTCACTGGCCATACATACCGTGTCCTTTACCTCGCGATGAGCCCAGATGGGCAGACCATTGTCACTGGTGCAGGAGACGAAACTCTTCGCTTCTGGAATTGCTTCAAGAAGAAGGAGAGAACCGGGAGCCTCAACAATACCATGGATAAGTGGGGTGTCATTCGATGATGCTCTACCGCCGCGGCGGTACTTAAGACATGGCTTGACATTTCTTGTCTTTTGTTACCGGCGTTCATTTTCTCAAAAAGCAAGCTTGCAAGCGCGAGCTTCTTCTCGAAAATTTTCCTCTATCTTATCGGCATTGGGCGGTGTAATATGGTGTAACAGGCGGACCCGGGATACCACATGCGATCATCTTTTGGCATTTTCATATGAGCATGCGTCTTGGATTCAGCGGATTGGATATCAGCACGACATTAAGCATTCAGCGTGCGTCAACACGCGCGTCTCGTCTTGGGAGAAGGACTTGGGCTATTTTGATCGAGGCTGACCTTGCCTCCAATTAGCTGGGTGTGGTTTATCTGGTGGAACAATGTGCGGACGATTCTGCTGGCATCTGCTTCGGCGACATTTGGATCTCTGGAGCTGGAGTTCTGGGCATATGGTTGGCGCTTTGGAGGACATGATGACCATGACTGTACATTACCCAAAGATACCACCTTGAACGATATTGTTAACTTCATGACTGTCTTCTACCTTGGTCTGTGATCGCTATTACTACACGCAATGAGGTTGCGGATCCCCCGGTTTCGCTCCATAGCTGATCCTTCCTGCTGGCAGGAAGAACAGCGCAACTAGCGCGCCGCCTCGCACTTGTGGGTAGCTGTGCTCAATCAGTACTTCTCTTGCATACAGCACTACACGGATCGAGATTGCTCACTGGTGCGTCCCCGGCCCGGGACTCGTCCATCCTGCGCCCTGCCAGCCCTGCATCCCCTTCAACTCCGCGCTCTTGTCCACCTGCACCACGCAATTTATCTCGCCGTAGGGATGGCTGTGGTACTGCCCGCTGTACTCGTCGGAGCTCTTCATGTATACGGTTGTGATGCTCATGTAGCGGGTTTCGGGTTTGGGAAGGGAGATCTTGGAGCGGCGGTATTTGGCGCCTGTAATGGAGTCAGGTGGCGTGGAGGTGGCGTGAAGAGAAGGTGAAGGATCGATTTCACAGTAGAACTGTGGATTGAGTAGGATAGAAAATTGAGACACCGAAGTCAAAGTTGACAGCTTGTCTGCTGAGTCGTCTTTCAGAAGCGATGTGAAGAAGAATGGGTAGGAACTGGGATTTTCAAATGTTACCATCAAGCTCAATGTTTGCGACCCAGCCTTCTTCTAGCCCTTTGCGGGTTAAGGCACAGAGATCCTCGTATATGGGGGTTCCGGGGCCGTAGGCCTTGTTCAGGTGTGCTTCGAGTTCGTGACCCGGTGTCAGATTTTCGACGTCATCGAGAAAGTCTTGAATGCGGGAGAGGAGCTTCTGTGCGTTGGGGTGTTTGGAGAAGTCGACTTCAGTGCTGCCTGTGTAGTCACCCATATTGTTATGTTGTGAGTTGGGTACTGAGGGGTGAGATGATTGATGTTTCGATTACAGGAGTCTGCCTGAATATCGATCCGATGCGGGGAGGGGGTGATATTTCGCGGCCAGGTAGAAAGCCAGATGACAGTAGAGATATCAAATTGAAAGCTGGCGCGTTTATAGTCGAAGTCTTCTCTGTCACGATCCCACTAGCGGTAAGCTTAAGGTACCTTGACGACCTACCGAGGCTCCGTCGTGACCCGGTGATGAAGTTATCCAATAAATTGTAAGCATCAGAGCTCTTGACTAAGTCTCCAGAGCCTTACCTAATAACAGTATCCGGAGCCTCTTAGTTAGAGCCCACCCTTTTCCCGCAGGGTTTCACATAATACTGCGAGCTGGCGTAAGTGCTGTTCACGGAGAGTATCCGAACTCGGACAGGTGGTGAAGCTCGAGGTCGGCCTTACCCCGCAATGTGAGAGCTCGGGAGATCGACTCGGGAGCGCAAGTGACTAAAGCCCATAAGCACAGATAACCGAGTACGATAGTTGGTGGAACGAAGAGCTGTGTAACACTTGGTTTGAGGAAGAAAAGCTGGTGACGAATTCCCGAACATATCGCTTGAGCCAACATGTCAGCATACTGTCCACGTGTAAGCAACAGATCGCATCACATGCAATGTGCATGCAACCTCTTCTATCAACGTCTGTCTTCGCATTTCATGTGTATAAAACGAGTATCGCCTACAACTGATGCCTAGCACCCAACCCACCTTTGATGGCATACGGCTTCGGCTTTCGGACGTTGCGCGGGGATAGCAGGGGCATCGTACTAGTTGACGAAGCAGCTGAATCCATGAGTTACATTGGAGCAAAGGACCTTAGTTCTAGATTCAACGTTGACACATTGACACATTGACACATTGCTTTTAAGCGTCTAGCCGAGTTATCATAGGTCGTGTCCTGCTTCGGATTTAAGAAGTCGAAGGCTAGTATTACCAAGCGACAACATGGATTAGGTAGTACCTTTCACTTCGAGAGATGCGTACAGGAGTGGTTGATGGTCAGCGTCATTTGTTCCCCCGAGGACCTTGGAGAGGGCTGTTAGCCACGATGGGCGATCAGAGTATGTAAAGATACTGTCAAAAGTAACAAGACACTGCGTTCTAACTGGAAAAACTCGGGCTTTCCTAAATTTGGGCTGTGTTGCAACTCAGGGGCAGCAGTGGCAGGAAGTTATCATGGACCTCGGCGCGAAGAAGGTGAGTCGCCTATTTCGAACTAGCTCGTTCATCACAGGGAAGGTGCTGTTCAGATGCGAACCCCTGCTCCTGTTACTTTCCATCCTCCACCTATCACGTCAATTCTCCGGGTTATTCGATCTAAGTTCCCTCTAGCGCATGGCAATCTTCAGGTACCGCTCAGGGAATGCGTACAAATACCCCGGATTTTGCGTTCAAGACGCGCGGTCCACGTTGCGGACATTAAGTTCTCCCGACGTGGACCATGTCGTCTGCTTTAACCGCTGTAATCTTGATCTATTAGGACGCCTCTTATCTCACATGTTACTTTTGGAGTCATCTGCGAAGTAACCCCGTCATCCTTCGAAATGCTACCCATCACGCGCGCGCATTCGTCGTGTGCACTCCACGGAAGCCCGACACAACTCAGCTGCATGATCAAGCCTTGTGCGTGAACGGCTCTTTCGTCGATCCGGCTTGAGTGCCGAACGTGCACGTGCTGCTCGCAATCACGGCGTCCTGAATCCGCCGGCCAATGTGGTCTGCTAGATGTAGAAATGCGGGGCTAGCGTGGCTGGACTCAAGTCCACTTACCGTTGCCGGAATCACCGATGAGATGAAGGTCATATGAACGAGCAAATCATGTTGGTTGACCTTGGAAGGCAAGCCGCCCCTGCTCTTAGGCGTTTTCTGACTGGATGAAGCCCAGCCCCCACTGCTGTCTACTGCCAGTGCAACCCTCCTAATTCAGGCCAAGTACGAGGAAGCGGCCCTGGATTACCTATATCTATTAGCTTCTTTAAAGCTCTCCCTCGTGGTGCAAGTACCCAGTTAGGACTCAGTGAGCTTTCCGAAGGGTCTCGAGACCGGTCCGGCTGAAAGGAAAAAATACAACTACTGGGATCCGTCTTGGAACGAATTTCACGAAATACACTTCCATCAATCTGCCTCATCATATAAAGGTGAGCCCGCGGAGGCGGACTGATTTTGATGAGCGACCGAGCAGACCTGCCGCTAATTTTGGGATCGGTCCTCTAACATCACCCTTCACTAGAATGTTCATTAGGCGGTTTCGCAACTTGGCACGGCTTTCTAGATCCGTCAGCCGGCATACTCACAAGCGCCATCGTGCACCTGAACTGCCTACCTGGGTTGCTATTCCGTTATAACCCTGCACGTCGAATCGCTGTTGAACGGATGAGAGCGTGGAATGTAACAGACCGCGGCGTTGACTAGCATCTAGTTGATCTCCACGAATAAGCGACATACATTTTGGAGACATGGTTCATCACCTGGTTCGCCTTGGGCATGAACACGGGATGCGATGCAGCATCTGTGCAATGTCTGCTTCTCCCCGCGGACTACAGCCAGATTACTCCTATAAAGATACCTTAAAGCACGCACTTATAACCACTATCAACTGTTTTGTACCACACTAGTTGCCGGTCTCTAAGTCATCTTGCAACATGTTCTTCAAAGCTGCTGTAGCTTCGATTCCACTTTTGGGCAGTGCCATCAACGCAGCCCCTCTCAATCAACCGCCCTTCAAGCCTTCCGATCAGAAAGTCTCACCAGCTCGAGGACCGAGCTTCATCTTCAATGAGACTTCACCAGCAGTCGACCTGAAGATTGCATCGGTAGCCGCGTACGCTTTGCAGGAGACTTACGATGCGAGCAACTGGTTTTCAAAGTTCACTGTTCAGAATGTACGCTGTTTGATGCAGGAAGATCTCCCACATACTAATTCCAAGACAGATCGCTGATCCCACTCGTAAGACCCTGCAACTGTTCCGCTCCGGTGTCGGATCTGACCTCCTCAGATGGATACGTGAACTACGTTACCCAAGCTACAGCGCAATCGAAAGGTCTCTACAAGACGCAAAACAATCAAGTCTACATTGGAGTCGACTCAACAACCGTCCTGAATCCGAATGGCGTTGGGCGTGATTCCGTGCGTATTCAGAGTAACCGAGCATATACACACGGTTTAATCATCGCCGATTTGGCACACGTTCCAGGCTCCAACTGCGGCAGTTGGCCAGCTTTGTACGTTTTGCTCTTCTATATTACCTCTGCATATCTGACTCTCACAGCTGGATGGTCGGACCCAACTGGCCTAATCAGGGCGAGATTGACATTTACGAGGGTGTCCACCTGAACACTTACAACCAGATGACTCTCCACAGCTCCCCCGGCTGTGTACCGGTGTACAATCAGAACGGAGGCATGACTGGCACTCACGTATCCGAAGCAGATTGTGGCGCTGGTGGCGGTTACAACGGCTGTGGTGTTCAATCGAACAGCGCCACTTCTTACGGCACCGCCTTCAATGCTAATGGTGGCGGGGTCTATGCCACCCTCTGGACTTCATCTGGTATCAAGGTCTGGTACTTTGCTGCTAGAGATGTGCCAGCGAACATCAAGTCTGGCAACCCCGATCCGAACACTTGGGGTACTCCTCAGGCCAACTTCGCTGGCTGCAATTTCGATGCCAAGTTCTCCAACATGAACATTGTAAGTACTCAGACTGTCACAGAATGCGAATTTCGGTGCTCACATCTTCGGCGTAGATCTTCGATATTACCTTCTGCGGTGACTGGGCTGGAGGCGTCTGGGGCTCTACATCTTGTGCCTCAATCAACCCCAGCTGCAATGCCTACGTTGCCCAGCAGCCCCAATCTTTCGGCGACTCGTATTGGCTAGTAAACTCTGTCAAGGTTTACAGTGTCTAGGTTTATTTACGATGAGGCTTTTGAGCGCTCTGGGCGCTGCGCGTACTTTCACTTCTTGTTCTATACTTGGCTTCTCTTCTTGTGCATATTGGAAAGCCTGTTATGTAAATACCTTTGTAGGCAATCCTCCGACGGCTCAACTTCCGTTGTGAGGATATCAGTTGGAGGACGATCCACATGGAACCGACAGAGCACATTCGCTTGATAACTATCGCGTCTCTCGAGAAGGGACCTGAAATGAAACAGTGCACCTTGCTCTCTGCATAACCTGATGAACTAATGCTTTGAGCAGCATGCCAACCTTAACAGCAGAACTCGAACATTGATCAACAGGCCATTACTGATTTGATGCGAGCGGCTGGTGCTTGGCTTACGGTGGCTTCAACACGGGGTCGCTAGGCCAGACGATATTTCCTAATTGCCCGAGGACCGCAGCACAACATAAGGCGCATAATCACGAGGAACCTAGAAGCTAACAACTAAAAGGCGTAATAGATAAATGCGCATTCCCAATGCGATGACGCTCACTGGGATCAGCACATGGTGTTGAGCCGGAAGCGGCTAGCACGATCGGCTTCCACGAGCGTCAGATCTCGAGATCTGGCATACAGGGGTCTGTGCGCACTAGATCTACACCATCTTTGGTCCTTCATGACGCACTGCTTCGCGAATGTCGAACAACAAATACAAATGTCATGTCAGGTGTTGAAAGCTAGAATTTTGAAACTCTCCTTTCTTCCTCGATGCCGTTGAGACGCGCACGCGAAACAGATCCGATTTTACCCACCACCAACATGGCTGCCAACGGGAAGTTAGGCACCGGGAAGAAGCGCGTGCTTGTCGTTGGAGCTGGAGCTGCTGGTGAGTGGTCTCCACCGTCTAGGCAAAAATCTTGTGCTGACTTGTGTAGGAATGTCATGCGCCCACCATCTTGCTAATCACCGCGATAAGTTCGATGTGACCCTAATTGATGCTGTCGATTACTGCGGTGGACAAGCTTTCTCTGTTCAAATCGACAAGGAACGTCATGGCGCAGGCTGGTTGAATCAGGGTGTCCAGGGCGGCAGCTACATCTTCCACCACACCATGACTATGTTTGCGCGCCAAGGTTACCACGCGGATCCAGTGAAGCTTCAAGTCTCCTTTGGCAAAGGCAATCAATTCTGGAGTAACGTTTACCCCACCAAGCTTCTCGAAAGACATCAGAAGGAAATCAAGCGTTTTAAGTGGATGATCTCCATTGTCCGTTGGTTCGAGGTTTTCTTCGCACTCATACCTATTAAGATATTGATGAAGATGTTCTTCTTTTCGGATGAGTTTGCCAATACGGTCGCCTTGCCTATGGTCGCGCTGTTCCTCGGTACTGGTCAATATGCACCCGACGTACCCTCCATCATCCTGGAAAGACTAGTCACAAGCCCGACCTACGGAATGTGGTATCCTGGTGACAAGCTGAGTGTCGCAAGCAATCAGCCGCCAATGGTTGTCTTCCCGAGGTTTGAGCACTTCTACCAAAGCTGGAGGAAGGACTTAGAGTCCAAGGGTGTGACCGTACGCTTGTCCACAGAGCTCACGCAAGTGGTGAAGAGGGACAAGAACGGAGTCGTAGTGAAGCTGATTAAGCGCACGCCAACACCGGATGCACACAATCCTAACAGCGCATGGGTACCGCAAAATGATGGAACCGCGGATGCAGATGCCCCGGAAGAGACTGAACACTATGATGAAATCGTTTTCTGCGTATTGTACGTGACATGCTTTGCAATCGGATTTTCGAAGGCTAATTCGATCCAGGGCTGATACCGCCAAACGTATTCTGTCACGTTCGGCTACATTCCGCGAAAAGCGCATCCTGGGCAATGTAAAGTTTGCGGATGATATCACTGTAACTCATTGGGACAGTGACTACATGAAGAAGCATTACGAAAACTTCTACAACGGAGAACAAGCCGTGGAGAAGCTCTCAGGCGTCGACCAGACCACCCGCGTCAACTTCGCCAAGAAGATGTTCAAGCCCATGTACTATATCAAAATGTACCCTCAGGATCTTTCCAAGCTGGAGATGTGCTTCGACTGCACCAACTACCAGAGCCAATTCCCACCCGAAGTGCCGTTTGACAAGCATGTTTTCCAGACCATCTACTTGAACAAGAACAATAAAAACCTTTGGTCCATCGACGAAATTGACGAGAACAAGATCATCCGAAAAGATTGGTGGCATCAACTTTGTCACTCGTGGACACACTACGCCTTCGTAGTGCCTTGGATGTGGCTGCTTAACGGTCGCAAGCACACACGTTACGCTGCAGCATGGACACTTGTCAATGCACACGAGGTCGCTGTTATGAGTGGTATTGCAGCCGCGGTCGACCTTGGTGCGCAGTACCCCGAGGATCTAGAACGCGACAAATTCGCTTTGCTATCCTTCAGGCTGTACTACCTTCTCACCTACGGCAAATGGTACCGCAAGAAGGCTAAGCAAGAGGGTGAGGGTAGGGACTGGGCCAGTGGCGAATACGGCAGCGTCTACAAAGGTCCTGGCGTCTCTAGTATCGAGAGGCTGACGTGGAGGGAAGAGAACGGGATGAAGACGAACGACGTCGATTAGTTTCCGCGCATTATGGACATAGGCAACGTTGAAAAGGGCCATTGTCAACCTTTCAAAAGACTCGGTCAAATAGAGTAGCCAGTTCGACGCTAAACCTTTTCTGAAGATGATGCAAGGTGCTGACTTGCTCCCGGGCGCTAGAGCAAGGGTCGTCACGATGTCATTGATAGATGATGTTTATACCCGCTAAAGTCCGCCAAATTCCCGTAACAAGTCCATGGAGTTACAAGTCATGTGGAGACGCGATAAATATCGCATGCTGAATTGTCGATTCTATACATGTATAAAAGCTCAGGAAATTCATCGTACCTTTCTCCATCACTCCATCATTCGTGCAAGCCAGTTACGCGAGCCATTTTGTGTCTTTCGCCCTTCTACCAACAACACTTCGAAAAAAACCACACTATGGCGCCAACCACCGAGCTCGACATTATTTTCGGTGCCATGACGTTTGGCAAAGAAGGTATTGCCATTATCGTTGGTAGAAAAAATACAATCAATGACACCCACCAGGCGAAGAACAAGTCCGCACCTCGAACCTCTCAGACTGTGCGGCCATCCTAGACACCTTCCAGAAGCATGGTCACTCCGAAATCGATACCTCGCGCTTCTACGGAGGCGGCACTTCTGAAGAATACCTCGCCGCGCTCAAGTGGCAAGACCGCGGCCTCGCCATCGACACTAAGTTCTTTCCCAACGTTCAGGGTTGGATGGGTCGCCCAGTAACTCATCTCGACGCCGAAAGCATGCGTAACGGCCTGTCTGAGTCCCTCAAAGCCCTGGGTGGCGCAGAAAAGGTTGATCTGTGGTACCTGCATGCTCCCGATCGGAGTGTACCTCTCCAGGAGACGCTCAAGGCCGTTGATGAACTGTACAAGCAAGGAAAATTCAACAGATGGGGCGTCAGCAACTACATGAGCTGGGAGGTCGCCAGTATCTGTGAGATTTGCGACCGTGAAGGATATAAGCGCCCTGAGGTGTACCAGGGTGTGTACAACGCGCTCTACCGCACCATCGAGCAGGAGCTCCTTCCCTGCCTGCGTAAATACAACATGGCATTCTACGCCTTTAACCCTCTGGCCGGCGGCTATCTGACGGACCGATATCACCGCGACACCCCGGACTCTGCCGTTGAGGCAGGCAGCCGCTTTGATCCCAACAGGATGCAGGGGAAGATGTACCGCGCACGATTTTGGAATGATGCCTTCTTCGACGCGTTGGATGTAGTACGGGCAGCGACCAAGGAAGCAGGTATTAGGGAGAGCGAGGCGGCGCTGCGGTGGATGATGCATCATTCGCAGCTGGACAAGAAGTTTGGCGACAAGGTCATCATCGGAGCAAGCAGCGAAACGCAGCTAAAGCAGAATCTGGACGATTTTGAGAAAGGGAAACTGGATGATGGGGTGCTTGCGGCTTTCGATCAGGGGCGGGAGCTGTGCAGGGGGGTGACGTGGAAGTACTACCATTGAGCGGTGATGCGTCGTAGATGGCTTCCAAATCCTCATAACATCCTAGATCCGTAACCAGGTGCTACCTCAACTCTGGTTTTAAGTGCACTGTGCTTCCTTTGGACATGTTATCAACGGCTAGGCGTATTCGGTGCTCACTTCGTGCCATATGTTGCGAGCCTCAGTGTGGTGACAGCAAATCTACCTATGCGCAGTCCAAGCCCAGGACACATTCCTCTTCGACAACCGACATCCTAAAACCACCACTGACCAGCAATAACACCAATAGGCCCTCCTCAGATGTAGCAATGTAATTAATCGTCTGACCCCATAGCCGAATTCCATAACCTCATCTTCACTGTCATCGGCCGACAACTCAACTCCTGTTCCTCGGTCCAGGGCACATAGCTCCATCTTATTCGATCTGCAGAGTAGCGCGGAGTAGCATCGTCTACCAATTCTTCGACTTCCACAGCTCCGTCCTGGGCGACCACAATACACTCGTTTGTCTCATGTGTCTGAGAGCCTACGTTGTGAAACTTGCGCGGTAGGTTAGTATTATTGAGAAGGATGTATCTGCCTATTGCAGAGTTCGCTGGCTCGGGATATAGCGGCCACGACGGCGGAGCTGCTATCGTCAGAACAGTCTAGAATCTGCACAAGATATCCGCAGCAACACGATGAATGTCTGTGTACCGCAATCCTCATCGTGAGGGACAAAGAGCTACTAGAGCTTTTGGAACACGGAAAACGTAATTACTTACCGCAAAGTTGACCATCGTTGCTCCGAGGAAGTCCCAACCTCAACAGCCGGATCTGGTCCTCGCAAAGGAAATCATACGGGATACCGTACATGTCGCAGTACCTCTCCCACTGAGCCTGGGTCTTCATCCACAGCGGCTCCCTATCACCTTCTTTGCGCATCCGGCGTGTCATCACGCCCGCTCTCCATAATGCCTGCTTTCCATAGACGGCCTCCTTCGGCATTTCCTCAGTAACGACATGAGGCGGATTATGCAACGTCCAGAAGACGGATTGGTAGCTTGAATCATCGGAAAACCAAGATGGACGCCAGGTGAGGCTGCTGTTGTCGACGAAGCTAGTGAGGACGAGGAGATCCTGCTGGAGACGCTTGAGCTGCGGGCTCGCTTCTACGGCTGCCTGTGTTAGATCGGCGGGAATGGAGAAGGTGGGAACCCGGGCTGCAGAACTTTGCTTCTCCGGTGAAGACGGAGCTGGAGATATCGGCGTGTCTGCTTGGAAGTTTGCCATGGCGTATACTTCTGCAGTGCCTTTAAGGTACGGAGGTGTGGTTGGGAACTCCATTTTGGGGGTTGCTGCGCCGCGGGAAGTATTGGGATGAGCGCAAACGTTGGGTCGCGTGCGTGAAGTTTGAGTGGATGTTTGCTGGTCAGGCGTGTGAAGTTGCAAATCCAAATGACGGTGTGAAACGTTGAGTGTGAAAGTGAATAGCCACGAAATAACGCGTGAATCTCGTCACAACACACCTGTTCTAGACGTGAGTAAGGCTTACCGATCCTGAGTGTGACGGATAGCCGCAGTCTGTTCAATCTTGGGTTATGACCCATCGGAGATCTGTTTGCACATTTGTTTGCATGCTACAACAGGACAATAAGAGACTTGCGCATAGTATGGGCACTGAGGAGTCCAGGGCTGAAACAAACAGCTGTCCGACAAGATACGAGTATATTTGGTACTTATCGTCTAATTTACCCTTTTTTTGACTGCTCACGCGTATTCGACTGTGTTTCGCAGTGTTCCTATCGCATTGATGTTAACTTCTACGACATCGCCCGGCTTCAAGAACTGTGGTTCCTTCATGGCGTAGCCGACACCTTGATTTTGGATTAGCTTTCTTTCCGCAGTCATGGAGCACTTTTCTTCTCCACTCACCACTAGGAGTTCCTGTCATGATAACAGTGCCCTTCTTCAGCGTAGTTCCCTGGCTGCAGTAGCTTACGATGGTGTGAATCTTGAAGCACAGATCATCGATTGTTTCACTCTGCCTTACATCTCCATTCACAATGGTCTTCAGGTACAGCTTGGAAGGGTCGGGCACAACCTCAGTGCTGACAATCTGCGGGCCTAGCGGCGCGTAGGTGTCAAACCCCTTGGAGAAATTCCATTGCGGCACAGTGCCTGCAAGCTTAGGGTCGCGCTGCAGCTTTCTTGAGCTGACATCATTGCCGCACAGGTAACCGCCCACGTATTTGTAGGCATCGGCTTCTGAAACATTCAGGGCATCCTTGGAGATAATGAAGCAAAGTTCACCTTCGTAATCGGCTTGATTGTCTTGTGCTAGTTTTGGAATAACAATGGGTGCGCCATGGTCGTTCAGGCAGGTGTTGGCCTTGATGAAGGTGGAAGGGTAGGGTGGTAGCGTGCGACCACCTTCCTGAACTACAAAATATATTCAGTATGTATTTTAGGATACACGGGTAGTTTCTCATACTGTGCTTGATGAAGTTCAGCCCGATGCAGCGAATGATGGGGACTTCATCAGTTGTCACGGGACCGAGGAGTTTCTTGACCGTTACTTCTTGGTCTGTAACCTTTGTCGCAGGGTCGAAGATATCGTTGTTGGCGACCTCGATGACTTTCGCCTTCAGTCTTGTCTCTTCTGTTGTTGTACCCACATCGAAATCTGGTGAGGGTAGGATCGGCTCACCCCGCAGGGTCTTGCCGTCTGTCGATTCGAACCGTATGAGACGCTTCCAGGACGGCATTGTGAGGTCAGTGAATTCGTGCAATATGATCAATGGTGTGAAACTAGCTCTCGAGTGTTGTTGTGAAGAAGTGCTTTGAATGCAAGGCGATGTCGGCCTGGTGAGGTGGGGAAGGCGGCATAGCGACTACGGAATTAGAGCCGGATAGTCTTTCGGCACTCCATCATTGGCCGGAGACAGAAGTATCTCCACCACCAAATGTGGAGATGTTCGTACACCAGAAATCGTACAAAAGAAGCTGCAGCGATATACTCTTCATGTTTTCGCAACCTGTCACATTGAGCAGAGCTTCTCCATGCACATCCGTAGGACCGATGTATCGTACAACTTTCAGATCGGGCGAAGGGCAGACACTTTGAAATGCCTTCCGCTACAGAGCTACTTCACGGTTAATCGTCTTGCGCACTCTCGCTTCGGTAGAAACCCAACGCTTCGATCATCGGCTTGTCGTCGAATCGATACAAATACACCGTCTCGTTTGCACCAGCGAATAACTGGTACCCATACCACGATGGAATGCAGAACGTATCGCCCTGTTTCCATTCCAGCCTCTGTCCATCAATGACGGAATGGCCCGTCCCAGATATAACGTGGTACACGCAAGATGTCGTCTCGCGCCGCGGTACCGATGACTTTCCAGCATCGATACGCTCCGCTGAAGGTCCCAGCGTTTTGCTAACTGCAATAGGTCAGGTTGACCGTGAGTGTCTAAAACATTGTGATCTTACCGTAACTTCCATCGGCCTTCCTATACTCCTGCGTTGCCCAGTCTCCTACACTCTTATCCAGGGCCGCTTTCATAGCCTCCCAGGGAAAGACAATTGGACTATGCCAGGAGTCTACGTTCTCAGCAGGATATCTCTTCTCTTTGAAATGCTCAACGAAATGCACTGGGAAGTGCTGAAACTGTGGTAAATCCAGTCCGTCAAGCCAAATCATTGGCCCAGAACCATCCTTGCCGTGGTCATGCCAGTTCCAGGTGGGCGTAAGGATCACATCACCGCGGTTCATTTGGATGCGTTGCCCATGGACAGCAGCAAAGCCACCATTTCCTTCTATTACAAAGCACAAAGCAAAGGCCGTGTGTCGATGAGCTGGTGCAGTCTCATTTGGCATAACCAGTTGGAGGCCCGCGTAAAGTGTGTCCGTTGTGTATGGGCCTTCTGTTCCCTCCTCAGCGCAGTTCTCCAGTAGCGGGCACATGATCGATGTGATACGCACCTCTTTTCGGATTGATCAACATGAGCACCCTCCTTTCTGCATCTTTCTCTTTAACGAGTTCGCCCGCTTTGAGGAGATATGGACGCACATCCTCGTACCGCCAGATGTAAGGAACGCATTTCGGATTTGGCTTCGGCGGGTTATATTTCACCATCTGCGGCCAAAGAGGTACCGCGTTGTACTTCGACGCGCCTTGAATGACATCGTCTACAGTCTTGATAGTACCGTTGACCCCATTTGTAGCCATGTTTCTCGTAGAGCTAAGAATCCATCAGCATGGTCAGCTTCTGTACTATGCGCATGCATCATACGCCTCTGGAATAACTCACGATAGGTAAAACGCGCAACTACGTCGCAAGTACTCAGATTACTTAACGATCAATATGTAAACTCAGCAGGCTTTCGACATCATACAAGAATGATTAGTGTTGGCCGGTGATGGATCACGGGGAGTTGTTGCCGGGTACCTAGCTTTCGGTTCCCCGCATTCTTATCGCGTATAATCTAACGTACATCACTTGCACATGTGATCGATGCCAGGCAGCTACCTCTTTCGGAATCTTTTCTTTTGTACTCCTACTTTCTCTGTAAAATGCCTTCCTTGTGTCGCTATGTCGAACATAGAGCGGAGATGGACGATCAAGAAGAGACCATCGAGAGATGCAGATTCCACATTGAATCACTTTTAGCGCGAAGGGGCCATTCTGGACTCCAAGTAAGCTTACCTTGGTACCGCATAGATATGTCTTGACCAAGGATCGTAGGAGACGTCGTATCCATCGCGAAGCCTGAATTTTTTGAAACGACTTCAACACACGCCGCAACGGTTCGACGATGTGCCAAATTACACCAATGACGCATCCTACCAAACAGCGCTTCCTAAAGAAGCAACTGTCAAACTCAAGACCATCGTCGCAGGGGCCGGGCTTGGTGGACTTGCAACGGCTATCGCTCTCCGCCGACGTGGCCACGAAGTTACCGTCTTCGAAAAGGCCCCAGAGCTGGGTGAGGTCGGCGCCGGAATCCAAGTACCACCAAACTCTTGCCGGCTCTTGATGCGGTGGGGTCTAGGTCCTTACCTCGAAGGGAAAGCGGTCGAGCCAGAAGCCATCCATTTCCGGCGTTGGCAGAACGGAAAGGTTATCTCTCTCACCAACTTAGTTCCGGATTGTGAAAAGAAATTCGGAGCTACATACTATGTAGTCCATAGGGCGAACCTTCAGCATGCGATGTATGAGCTTGCACTTAGCTTGGGCGTTCGTGTGAGGGTGAATGCTGGTGTTCAGTCTTACAATGCTGAAGGTTCACGTGTTGTGCTTGAAAACGGGGAGACGCACAACGCAGATCTGGTCGTCGCTGCCGACGGAATCAGATCTGATGCAAGAAGAGTAGTCTTAGAAGGACATGACCAACCTCCACAACAGTGTGGGTATGCGGTATACAGAGCGATTGTGGACGCGGATCTGATGCGGGCTGACCCAGAATTGTCGTGGCTGCTTGATGTTCCAGGGCAAAATTTCTGGTGAGTGTTTCTCGGGGATTGTTGTGCCTGCTCGTTCTGCGAGACACTAGAAGGAGCGATTGTAACACAGGATAGGATCGGAAAGGAACGACATGTGGTTGCTTACTCAATTGCTGGCGGTAAGTCTTTCAACATGGTTCTCTCGCACCCCGAAGACTCAGGCCCTTCTACTTGGAACCAAAGCAACGTGATCGAAGACATGAAGCAGCACTTTGAAAGTTGGGATCCAAGGTGAGCTGTTCCAATACCCAACGACTACACTAGCCCGCCCGCTAAGAGAACGTAGCCTCGTCAAGGTCATTTCTCTCATTCGAACGACGCTCAAATGGCCGCTGCTTTCGGGCAAGCCGCTCCGCAGATGGCTTTCAACCCGTGGTAATTTGCTGCTGATTGGCGATGCTGCGCATAGCATGGTGCCATACATGAGCGAAGGCGCAGCAATGGCTGTAGAGGATGGTGCCGCGCTTGCAGAAGTGTTATCACTTGTTGAGTCACCGTCACAAATTCGCTCAGCACTTGAAGTATTCGAGCGTCAAAGGATCCTACGAACCGGCCAGATGCAGGAAGCTAGTCTTGTGAACGGGAAGCTATGGCACTTTGCGGACGGGCCTGAACAAGAAGCGCGGGATGCAGCTATGAGGTCAGCGATGGATGGAGACGTTGGCGAGAGTCCGAATCAGTTCAGTGACCCTGTGGCGGCACAGTGGACGTATGGATACGATGCGGAAGTTGAGATTAGAAAAGCGTGGACTAATGATCAAGCAGATAAACCAAAGCTATAGCGCTTGCAGAAATATTGATACCCTGTATTAACACAGGATGCCCAATACAGTAACAAGATTCGTATCAAGATTCTGTGATGTCACTTTACATTGGCTGCGCGTCCTCGAGAAGAAGATTGGGAGTACGAAGTCAATGCTAGCCCATATCGTGGGGCATTTGCACCAGATAAGAGAATGCGCATCAGCGCTAAGGAGCCAACCCCTGTCCGAACAGCATTGCACCGCATCATCCATCGACTCATATATGCCAATATGTGGCACAGCATACCGGATTGTTAGGTACACCGTGAATCTGTACGTGGCGTCAATTTTCATGCCAGGATTCGTATGCGGCACCACCTCGCTTACCAACTGTTCGGCCTTCGGCCTCTAACTTCTGCGACCTCTCCTCCTCTCGACATCACTGGACGTTATTGAAAGACCAGAAGCTTTGAAGCACGCGACATTGATTTACCACTTGCCTCAAACTCATGTGACATTTTGCGCTGCGCCCCACGAAAGACGCATTTTCCTCAGTTCCAGCTGAACTTTCCTAATGCGGTAGTTGACCAACCGCTCTCTCCGGTCACTGGCTGCTTCAACTTGATCGCACACATGCGTGTAATTTCTGTCCCATGCAGTATGTCGGAGGATGCATCCCCCACAAAGTGGCGCACGGCACAGTCGGCATGATATTAGGTTTTGGATTTCGAGCTCCGGTACTGCCGTTGTTCAGTTCAATGTCCAGTTCCGCAAGAGCACATATCAGGCCACGATGAGGCTGTGTCAATCCCAAGCTTTGCTTGCACAGACAGAAATGGAAGCAGCGAATGAAGAATGTCCCCATCAGGCGCAGGAGACGTGGTCGACCAGAAACCAGTGTGGCCGGAGGTGAAGCTGCACGTCAGGAGCAGCAAGTCAAGACAGATCAGAAGACATCTCGTGGCGGTAAATCAAAGTATCCGCCCTCTTTCGTAGCCAGTGGACGCGTCGTTTTGTTTCTCAACTACAGGATAGTTACGAGCATCAAATCGGGCTGCGTCCATTCTGCATCTAATCAAAAGTTCACATAAGTGCATACAAGACGAGGCATCGAGCTTCCTTGTAGCGTCTTCGATCTTCAGCCGCATTCAAGCATGGTTCTCAGACTGTCTTTATGTGCGTTGGGTCCGACCTGTCTGGAAATGTCTCTATAAGGCTAGTGTTTACGACCCTGTAACGTATCGTACGGGAGGCAGGGTGAAGGGTCGACCGCAGGCAATCTGGGGTTTGGTACGCTTTATGTCGACCCAGAGAACTGGTAATTCATGTATGACGTTCTTGATGTATGCTTTGAAATCCTTCGGTCGCCCTCAAGTGGGAAACTGCGATCGTTTACCCCGCACTAGCTCAGGCCTGGCCTTGCATGTAGAAGGTGCGAGGCGACGCAGCGCGCAGCGACCAAGCACAATTACGGTCCTAAAATTACGCAAGGCGCCAGCATACGAGGCTTTTATTAACCAGGTGATCGCCTCGACAGCCTATTTCTTCCTTCCTCGTATTTGCTTCATCGCCAACATCAACGTGGATTCTGCTTTCAACATCCTCATCGGAGGAATCTCACGTATTTGAGCCCTACATCGGAATCGGACACGATGTCGTTATCATTCCTCCCAACCGAGCTGCGGCAAATGATAATCGAAGAGGTGCTCACGACTCCTCTGTCACCGCCTAGCGTCCCTAGCGAAGTCCGTGATCAGAATTGGTCCTATCCCCACAAGTTGTGCGGGCACCTCCACATGGGACGCAATCCAGAGGTCGCATTTAATACGCAAGAACCCTGGGGATCGCAATATCTCTCATTGCTGCTGGCCAACAAAGCTTTCAGAGCCGACACCGAAGAGGTACTGAAACGCATCGGGCGACAGATCCGGCCTACTCTCGATGTAATGCTGAATGGTGATGGCAATCTTCGGGCCACCTGGTTACTTGTGTCGCCGCCTGCGATAGAGACAGAGCATTTGAATGTCAACCTACGAACGCTCGATTGCATGAAGATATGGGGCGACGAGGGCTCTACGAACGGTAAGCGAGAATCATTCACGACCTGTCGCCCTCGCTAATCGGATACGCGATAGTGGAAACCAAGCGCAACGCGAACATGTTAGTGGGCCGATTGCTTCATCGCATCACCAGCGTTGGTCTCAACCCTTACGCAAAGTGTCAGCACTCACTGGGTACCCGGATACACGAGCTACGGATCACCGTTGTCGCTCCGACAGTCACGGAAAACGAAGGCACGGTTGACGAGAAAGCACCACTCGCAGCAAGGTTGAGCGAGTATCTCAGCATGGGCTACTTGGGAAAATGGTGCCAGAAGATCGATGCTATTGATATATTTGTGGACGATCGTAAAGCATATGCTTTCTCAAGCGCGAAGAACTCCTTCGTGTTGGATTGGTCACACACGTGGCGGCGCGACAGCGCAATGGAGGAATAACAGATGGCAGACGAGTTGGCACTGCTTGGGTGGACCTTGTGTATCAACAGCTCTTTATGGTTTTGGCGCATAGCGATGACGAATGACGAATTTTCTACAACCTGGCAGTCTGATCTCCAGACCGAGTTGTGGAACGAGCCAGAGTCTGATATTCCAGACTCTAAGAGGTGACGGATGTTGAATCACTGAACATGTACATCATAATTCGGGTAGCAGCACCATTAGGGTCGAACATGCGCCGGCAGTGAAACGGAGTTAGCTCGGATTTAGATAGACTGGAACCACGTGTGACGTTGCGTCAACGATGTTCCCCACGATTCGCGCATCGCGCAGGCGCAATGCCCACACCAACAACGCGTACTGATGCGTATGCGTCTGCGACGTCCTCATCGCTTGACCCCAATCTCCTGGCTCCACAAGATGCGCTCTATACGTCCGCAGCTAGCGCCGCCTTGAGCGCGAGGAAGCGCAGGCAGAGGGCGCGTAGTTCAGACCGCAGGCAGAAGGGTCAGTTCAAGAAGTTGCTATGGTTCAAGCAGCCTTGTGAGTAAAACAATGAGCCTTGCGAATGGCAATAACTAACTTGACCTTTGATTAGTCCCTGACAATTACACGGACGAGAGGACGTTCCTCGATCACCTCCAGCGCAACCCCCGCCTACAGCCCTACGAGTTCTGGTCGCTCATGGCTGATTCGACCGTCATTGTGCAGCATGTTGCTTCTGTCGGTATCTTCTGTTGCTGCTTCGTTGCCATCTACATGGAGCGGGTGTCCCCAATATCGGTCGTAAGCTGGGCGAGCTTCGGCACCTTCCTGGCTTGGGTATTATGGGACTACTGGATGGGTCAGGAAGAGGCAAACACTACAGCCACCGTTGCCAGTGTTCCACATGAGAAGGCCAAGCTATCAAGCGACAATATCACGGAATCGGACGAAGCGGAAGGAGCAACCGGGAAGGAGCAACCGACGGCAGGGCATTCACCATATCCTCCGAACGTTGACCCAACCTCGTCATTATCTCCCCGTAACCAACAACGGCTGGCGACTGCACGATCGGCGCTGCTTATCTATGCTGCCTTATTGGGGTTAAGCCCGATCCTCAAGTCGCTCACAAAATCCACAACAAGTGACTCTATCTGGGCGCTGAGCACATGGCTGCTTTTCACGAATGTTGCATTCTTTGACTACGGGAGTGGAAGTGGTGCTCAGTGAGTTCATTATTGAATCCCCTTTCGGACACGGTCTAACCATGCGCAGTCTCCCAGCCTCCATCTCCACCAACTCTGCGCTGATGGCATCCACCGTGCTTGCCTCTCGACTGCCGTCGACGACACACGTTTTCTCTCTGACTTTGTTCTCGATTGAGGTGTTCGGCCTCTTTCCAATCTTCCGTCGGCAGCTTCGCGCTAAGTCGCGGAACGGCAACATCGCCCTGACCGTGGCGTTGGTCACCACAGCCGGCGGTGCTGTGTTCGCGACACTGACAGGCGGAGGTCGTGGTGCTTGGATTGTTGGTATTGTCCTAGGCAGCATTGTCACCTTCCTCGCGATGGGCATCTGCAGCTGGTGGCTTATTGGTCTGCAAAAATACAAGAACGAAATATACGGTCCTTGGGATCCAGCTCGGCCGATCATCCGAAGGCGCTGGGATTGAGACCCTTCGTAGTGGGCTCAATAACGTTCGAATGGCGATTGTGGTACGCGAACCAAGTGCAGGAACCATTCTCGGGCCATGCGTCGGTGCAGCTGTTCCTCATGGATGGGCCGGCCCATGTGCGGTCAATTTGGTTGACCAGGTACGGCTTTGTAATGACCTCCAGATACAACCTCCCATTTTGACGCTCCCATCTCACGAGTTTGTTGGCAATGTCGTCTTCACCACCACGCACAACCTTCCACATCCGCTCGACTAGATCGTCTGACCCCACATCGTCACCGCCAACGAAATGGACGGGTGACCAGGGCGCATGTGCAATCATGCCTCTGCCTTTGCTAGCTCCGATAATGACTACTCTGTCTAGGCCCTTGACTTGCATTAGCATGCTCCTCAAGAGGTTCCAGAGTTCAGCTCGGAACATCGGTATCCAAGGCCATGACTCAAAGTTCAGCCGCAGGCACTTCAGCCCAGGAGCGTCAACACGGAGAGAACCCAAGGTCTTTCCCCAATCTCCTCCTCCCCATGCTAGGTAATGCAACCATTCTCTTGCAATACCTGGGTGGTCGGAATGGACGTGTCGCGCATCGATTTCAATATCCTTTACACTGTCCCGGAATATCTCGTATTTGTCCAGAGATCTGAAGAAGCAGCGGACGCGGTCGACGGTCGAGAAACGGAAGCGATTCTGGGCGAACAGAGGGCGGCGGTCGGCTTCGTAGTAGACGCGGCGGCATGTCTGGAGGATGTTGACACCAAGACTGGGAGCTATTCCATCCTTAGACCTCGGAGATCCAACAATGGCGTCTATGATAGGCTCAGCCGTGACGAAGCAGTGACAGTAGATGGCATTCTTGATTTCTGCAGGAAGACAGAGCAGAGGCGACTGGAGCTGAAGGTTCGCTGGCGGAGCGATGGGCACACATGACATGTTTAGGGTGGGAGGAATAAATTACGGAGAAGAGTCCGTCGGGGAATGGCAGTTCCATAAATATGTTCAGAGAGAAGGCGCCCCCAGATTTCTTCAGCCTTGGAGAACGTTTATGACTTGTGGCGTGTTAGCATCCATCGCTTTGTGTGGCTGACCGCATGCGACTACGCATTTTCTGACAGAACCTAGCAGCTACAATAAAAGACCGGGTCATATTTTTGCCGACTTACGTGGGACCGCATTCACGATTGTTGTAGGGTCTGCTCCACGCAGTCTCTTCCTAAGAACATTTCTAGAGCACCCTGAAGGACCCTGAGCTACGCGTTAGGGCAGAAGAACCGGCGCGTTTTCTACGCGTGTTCTTCCGGCTGGTCCTCTCAACATGGTTGACGCGGCAGCTTGAGCGAAGAGTTATAGATAGAGGCGTCGCGGTGCGACGATTCTGTCGCCCAAGAGGCTGAAGAGACGATGTCTTCGAGCCGAGACGATATGGTCCCCGATGCGGCGCTGAGCTGAAGAGGCTGCATGACTGCCAGGGCGTTGGTTGGGCTTACTGGGCCCCCCTTTGCGACAACAAAGCAACGCATGCTGCAATACTTCGAGGTCGCCTTCCTTGCGACCATATGGCTCCCCAAGTACGAGCCCATTTTCCTGATCAGACGTGGCCCCCACCAGCTCCCCTGGGCCCACAATGGACGGCCAATCGGGGCCGGGATGGAAAGCGCGAAACAGCTTCGCGCTACGCTCCCCGCCTTCGCATTTTCAGCCCCAGCTTCGCTTCGAAGGTCTGCTCGCTGACCTCGTGCCAGTCGCGGACGCGTTTGTAGCTTTCAATTGATCTTTGTAATCCTCTCTGAAGCTTGAGTCTTCTGGTGCGCGTCCTTCGGTCTCTTTTGAACATTATAGCGGGTCCGTAGGCCCCTCTAGTTCGCCCACCATGTCGCTGCGACCCGATGACCGCAAAGGACGATCGCGCTCAAAATCGCCAGGAAGACGCGATCGCTCAAGGAGTGATGTGCGAGCACCGTCGCCTGGTCCAGGGTATTTTGGGGGCCACTCAGCTGAGCATGGGGGAGCTTCAGCCCCGCAGCAGTATGGATATGAGCTTAGGCAGCCGGGGCAGCTATACGAGTGAGATTCCCCAAACATTCTGCTTCTGTCGCTACTCCAAATGAAGAGCACATAAATACTCGAACAATCAAGACTGAGACATGGCTGCTAGTCCCGCGGGTAGCGAGCCCATCACCATGGGCGGATACGCAGATCTGCCACCCGAACAGCGCCCAGGCTATGCCCAACACCATGCCCAACACCATGCCGCCTCGCCAGGAGGAGATCCGCGATCTTCCAGCGGACCAAACGTCCAATATTCGCACCAGGGACACGTCCAATATTCGGCAGGACAATACAACTACTCTACTACACCCGCAAGCGTGAGCCAGGCTGGACCTGTGCGAGCGCCGTCACAATCAGGTGGCTTCCAGTACGCATCGGCACCGCAAAACATAACGTTCACGGCCAAGCCAGTCGTACCTACGAAACCTCCCCCGCCCGTGAGACACACATCGCAACCATCGAGCCCACCATACCCTGCCCAATACGCGATGCCGCAAGCTCCACATCCAAACTCCGCAGCGCAACAAGGAGCGTATCCTGCTGCCCCGATGCCGCCTCCGCCAATGGGGCGGCACTCCCCGCAAACCGGCCACCAAAGGTCGGCATCGCATGCAGGACCTCCAACATCTTATGGAGGACATCAAGTGGTAGAGATGGTTCCAGGCGGAGCTATACCAGGAGGCGGCAAAGCACCAGGTGGGCGACCTCACAGCTTGTCAGTGAGTGGAGGAGCGCCAGGAGGATTGAACCAGCGCATGGACAGGCTGTCAGTGAGTGGAAACAGGCCGGATATTCAGACGATTGTGCCAGGAGCGTTTCCCGGGGGAATGCCACCACCGAGTCCGTTGCTGGAAGCGTACCACGGTACATATCAGTCGATATCACCCATGCCGCATGCTATGATGATGGACGATGATCTGGACCACCTGCAGCCCTTGGATAGCCTGTCCCCGCGAGGATCTAGCGCGTCCTTTCACGGAGGACATCGAAGGGCGCACTCTTCTTCCAAGCGCTCACCGAGCCCAGCACGAAAATCAAAACACAAGGATAAACTCGCGCTAGAAGCCTATGGGAATGTGCGCGATGACCGCGATCGTAGTCGGGACGGCAGGAGTGACAAAGAAAAGAGGAGAGTCAAGATATACGACGCGGAAGAAGATGCGCTCGCACTTGTCGACGCCCTGAACGGGCGAAACATCGACTTCGATACCATTATTGACATCCTCCCCGCCCTCTCGCATGACCAAATGCTCGAGCTGCGCAACGAGTACAAGCGCCACTGCAAGGTGCAAGGCCGCGGCATCAACATTGCAAAACACATCAAGCTCAAGACGACTGGTAACTTTGGAAAGATCGCGTATGTGACCGCGCTTGGGAGGTACGAGAGCGAGGGCTATTGGGCAAATTACTGGTACCAGTCCGGAAACGCAAGAAGGGAACTCCTTATTGAAGCGCTAATGGGAAGACAAAATTACGAGATCAGAGAGATCAAGGACGCGTTCAAGGATAAGCGCTATGGTGATAGCCTAACGAAGTGCATGGACAAAGAACTCAAGGCGGATAAGTTCAGAAAAGCCATCTTGATGGCGCTGGAGGGGGAGAGACAGGAAGAAAGCGATGTGTGGCCAGTCGATTACCGCAACCGTGACGTGGACACATTATACAAAGCGCTGAAAGCAAGAGAAGGAGGCGAGACCGCGATGTTGGGTGTTGTGGTTATGAGGAGCGACAGCCATTTGAGGGAGGTGCTGAGGACGTATGAGCGGAAGTATCAGGGCAACTTTGCACGCGATGCGCTGAGGAAGAGTAACAACCTCGTTGTAAGTTGCCGAGCTGTAATAGCTGCGCTTCAGGAGTACTAATCATTCGTAGGGCGAAGTCGTTGCGCACATACTAAACGGCGTCATCAACCGCCCCTCCCGCGACGCTATGCTTCTGCACCACGCCCTCATGGACTTGATTGAATCTCCTCAAGACCCTCCACGAGGTTCATCAGCGAAAGTAGCGTCTGCAAGTAAGCACGAGAAGCAGCAGCGATTCGAGCTCCTCATCTCGAGACTGGTGCGATTGCACTGGGATCGCATGCACCTGCAGCGCGTCAAGATGGAGTACGATGAAAAGTACGGACGAGTAGTAGAGGAAGACATCGAGGAGGCGACAAAGGGTGACTTCAGGGAATTTTGTATCCAGCTTTGCCAGACAGGAAGATGATAGGTATATGGTGAGGCAAGGTGGGTATTTGTTTGGTCTGCAAAACTCCACTCTACTGCGTTCGAGGAGCGGCCGTGTTCTATACCCGTAATGTCAATTCTGCTTGCATGCACAACGTCCAAGCCTATGTCGTGTGCTATCCTTCCAGCTTCAAGTATGATCGGCTTCTGCCATCGATGAAGAGCTTTTCAAGGAGCTGCGCGGTGCCGATATGCTCATAATAGTAGCTTTTTGGCTGCAATGGGGAAGCATTCCGCGGGTAGGAAGATAGGATTACGAGACGGGGGCATATGTTCCGCCGCGGATGAGGGAGGGTGGTGAGGTTCAACATTTGGCGTGCGGGGAGACGCCGTTCAGTCTCAGGGCCGTGGATAGATAGAGGGACGGGGAAGAGATCAGCGAGGGTGATGAGAGAGTCGAAGCGCGGTGATATGTTTGAGCTGTTTGGGGATTGTTATGTGCGTGGTGTTGGGTGGGAGGATATGTTTCAAGAGGGCGTGGAGATACGGCCTATCTCAATTGTGTGATCGAACTAGGTTTTTGAAGGACGTAAACTTGCAACTGCGTGCCTTGCAACAAGCTACCCGAGATGGAGAATGCAAAAGCCGGATATGCACCTCTGGGAGCTGTCGAAGAGGAATAACGAGCTGCTGCGACTACGGCGTAAAGTTTCTTAGGCTTATCAAAGAGCAAGCTCAGGCTTACCTAGGTTGCGACAAGAAGGAGGATAACCGAGCAAAGCAAACCATCTCGCGGACCTAGATAGGTGGAACACAAATCGATCTAGGCCGACTTCCATCGTTTCATTACGCCGCCGCCAGCACTAGAGGGTAGGCTAAATATTAAGCCCGCTTGTAGACTATGATGACGTTCTCTCCTGCAAGCGAGTGGCGTGCAATAGTTCTGCCTCCACTTATGCCGTCTAGAACGGAACGACGATAGCCCTTCCAGCCTCATACAGCAGTGACAGCGCCACTCGCTAAGCGAAGACACATATGGATTCATACATCGCTCGAAACCTTAAGGTGTTGAATGTACAAGGTATTATTAAATTGGGCGTATGCCTGTCTCTGAAGCCTAGAGCTTCTATTAAAGAGCTATGTTGCTTACAGGGGTATATGAAGAAACTGGCGACGGCCGTGTGATCGTAGCATATTTTCGAATATGCGCCTCCATATCGCTCAGTAGCCTTTACGGCGCTTTGCAGTGACTCGACCTGGCGTCCATCACAACGCCATAGCCCAGTCTACCGCAAGCTTCCTCGAAATACTCTCTGGATCGTCCAGGGGAGCAGTAAATCGCGGGTTCGAGACCAAGGTACGGAGGTGGGTTCGGTGACGTATTAAGTAAAGAATGTCTTTGCGGTTCGAGTACGCTAGGTCACCCCGTGTGATCCCGCTGCTCTACGTAACTCTTCCTCTCTGCATCGGTGACGAAGAAACTCCTCTCGACCATAATCTGCATCGACCGTTCATCCGAGCCAGTCCGTTCATGATCGCTCTTGCTCTCTTTCATCCTCAAACTTTTTTCGCTATCACTGTCACTGTCCTTCCTAGTTGGCGGAGCAATCTTAGAGCCTCTCTTGATCTTCTGGAGTTGCACCTCGCACCAATTAGCTGTCTTAGGAAGTTCTTTTCCGGGCCCTTCACTGATCACAAGATCAGTGCTGCCTTCTCTAACTGTTCCAGATTCGGCGTCCGCAGAGAGTGTGTACATGTCGAGTTTCTTGGCGCCCGAAGGTCGTCGCTCATGGAATGCATGTGAACCCGATCGATTTCCGTACGGAGTGAGGGGTAATGTAGACCGCTGAGTGGTGAGACCAAGCCTGGTTAAGATGAGCTGGAAGAGTGGGCGGATGGTGGCCAGGCTACCCGCGGTGATGGCTAGGCCCTGCTCGACGGTTGACCAGATTGCAATGTCCGTCGTTTCCCACAGGAAATCCCTTGACCGGAAATTCTTCATGTATGGGACGCGGGCGACTACAGCAGCACTTGCGCTAAGATACGATTAGTAACGAAAGCCACTTGGCGAGAACTATAACACTCACATGCAGCCCATAGCCAAAAGGGGGATCAGCGCGATCTTGGTTCTGCGCTTGAGCTGTAATCCTATGACCAGGAAAGCTGGTAGGATCGCGAACGTGAAATCCGATATAATGCTGAAGCAGCTGTACAGGTAGCCTAGCGCAACAATGATGTCGATGTTGACGCAAGTTCCGCTTTGTGAATAGTCATCCCAGAAATATGATATCGGATGACATTGGAAAAGCGTGACAAAGAAAAAGGCCAGACCTGCTACAACAGAGATGAGCATGGCAAAGTAAATGATCCAGATATGAAGCTTCTTGACAGCGATGCGGAGGAGGCTATTCAGAAAGACACAAGTCAGTCAATGGCATGCTCGCCCTCAAGACGGAACTTACAAGAATCCAATCGACAACTTTGAAGTGATCATTGAGCAGCAATAGAACAGATAGCAGAACCACCAGCAGTGCCGTGCCTTTGCATAGTTCTCGACGGAAAGATGCCATCGATGTCTCCCCGTCCCGTAATGGACTCCAAGCATCGAAGAACTAGCGTATGCAATGAAGCCAATCTTTACCAGTCAGTGATGTCGATACACTATCGGAGACATAGAAACTTACCATAGCAACACCCATCAAATAGTCATCCCTACCGAATGACTTTATCATCCAGGTACGCACGTAACATCGCAAAAAGTAGGCGATGACTGCAGTGACGAGAAACACAATGTCGACGGCGAGCAGCTCGGGGCCACGCGTGGGAATTGAAGAAGCCATAATGCTCACTTCCAGTGTGTCCTGCCCTCAGGCGCTGGGAGAGGGAGGAGACTTCACCAAAACATGCGCGGAAGGTACATTAAGAGATCTTCGGGGGCCCAGCCGCTTTGAGGCTGTTTGCCCGTGTGCTAAGACGAGCCGATAGAGCCCCGGTAGGCCACATGGAAGTGGGCCCGTACGAACCCTTCGCAGCTTTCCCCGCGGCAGGGCCGGCCTTTTGTTTCAAGCATGCGCCAACAACCGCGAGCATGTTCCCGGGCGGGATGCTTGTGGGGCGGCTGCATCTCACAGTGCCGCTTTGGGTTATCTGATGGCGTACGAAGTCGTTTAGCTGTTCCAGATGTTGGCGTGACTCGAGAGCATAGGCCGCGGTCCATGTCTGAAAATGCACACGAGAGTGCGGCGTCACATCATCTTTCCGGCTCCTTCCGCGGCAGATGCTGGTTCGTTTTCACGGCGACTGCATATGTTTACGAACAACATCCACTGCGGATCGCCCTGTCCCCTTTTGAGCAAAAGCAACGAATATCACACGCATGGCCCTTGCAGGTACCAGGGTACAGAATCGGTTGCTTACCTCCGATCCTCGTCTCGAGTATTTCATGCCAAACACTCAACGAATGCGCGATGATGTACTCTATGCGATGGCAAGAACCTCGATTCGCAAAAGAAGCTGGCGAAACTTCCGGCTACAGACAGCGTAGTATCGGGCCCCCTCTCCCCCACAGCATAAAGTCGATGCTAGACATGCCGTCACACGCTAACGCGGCCTAGATGATCGACCCAAGGAACATTTGCGCACCAACGGGCAGCGGGCGAAACAACTGCAAAGGGGACCTGCATTGCTAGCCCTTTATGGGCCGCGGATTCGGCACTTGCAAAAGCGCATCAATCCTTTCGACGCCACTCCCTTCTGGAAGAGCACATCAATGCACAAGACTCTGGATGGGAGCGATAGAGTTTAGGCCCCGGCACGTGCAGCACTGGACTACAACAAGTTGCACGGTAGCAGTACAAGCCAATCATAAAGCTGCGCTCGATAACCACGTATTTGAGTTGGTTATAATTTTCCCTAGCACTGGTAACCACCATGATTCGTGGCTGACTCTCCACGCCGCGGACCTCATTGCGGCACTCCCCGATTGTACTGCAGCGTGGAACAGCGTACGCGATGAATAGATTAGAGGATTCTTGGTACCTGTAGATGTAGGCAAATCATTGCGGAGAATATTGTTCGGGGGTTGGTGCCATACGTCGAGCGAGAATTTTCCGAGTGGATCCTCGGGGCCCACAATGGTTGCTTTGCACAACTTCGAAAATCGGATCTTGACAAGCTTCTTCAAACAACTGTCTTGGATATCTTTAATATCTGGTGTATAGACCTTTCATTCTCCCGTATGCCTATTCAGCATCATGGGCTTGTGGTTTAGCGGTACCACGAGCTCCCTTCACCCAAGGTTTCCAGATGTTTCAGGCTCCATGTTATAAACGCCGAGGTTCTGAATTCTCGTGGAATCGGGCATGCAAGCTGGCTCTTAAAGGCAGTCTTGATCTCTAAACGGAAGAAAGTGGTGTCTTGAGAAGTGGCATAATTTTTCCTTAGCACCTATAGAACTTCTTAGTTGTCTGCAAGAGCACAGGAGAGGTCCTGGGTTTGATTCCTAGTAACTCTACCTTGTTTTTGAAGCCTTCGGAGACTCGAAAAAGGTTGTGCAGCATTGTTCTTGCCGTCACTGTCGATGCTGGGACTTGGTACGCCCTACTGGTGAAATTACTCTGCCTATCATTCTGGATTATCAAGGCGCGTGCTTTTAGAATTGTGCAAGTAGGGCATTTAACATCTAGTGGAAATCTTGCCCTTCGGGTCCTTACTGGTTGGCGTCATCTCGCCACTTTTTGTTTCGTCCCTTGTCTTTCTTACGTCGCACATCATACACCCAATTGACCTTGAACAACATAATGCAGCTCTTCAATGCCTATTCACAGCTCTGGGGAATATTCACGGCATTTCTTTGATCCTTCTCTATCTAGTCTTAACTCAGCATACCTAATACAGGTTGGCAATAGTGAGTCGATCTGCAAGAGGCTCACAGTGCTTTCTTGATAATTTCAGCTTCAAACCGAGTGGTCTAGAGAGTTCCTCGTTCCGTGTATTCGATTAACCAATCAAAGAGGTCGATGATTTTGATTATGAACCCCTGAAAGAACGAATCTTGTGAAGATATTCAACGCCCAAAAAGCATATGGCTGCAGGCGCGAGCCACCAAATCGAGGTACTCTTAGACAATGAACTTACACAATTTGTTCAGGAATGTCGTGCAGAGATCATAGTCACATTCGTCCAAATCTTACCTAAACCCGCTTCTACGCTCATTTCTTATTTTCTGATCAACTCCAAGCTCGTCTTAATTCGACTATGCTGCGCAAACCCCTAACTACGCCTTTCGCTTGTATCGTGATCGGTCGATGCGTTCTACGGCGGTACCTTCCCTCGCTGGAAGTACCTCCGCGATCCGACAAGCGAAGCGCTTGCTATGCACCTGCGGCATTGCTGACCGTTATGCGACAATACCGCCGAGTTCAACAGGTTATTCACTTGCTCGAAGCAGTTCGACCAACATATTGGCTGCTTATGGTAATGTAAAGCGATAGGGGTAACGAGGAGTCCTGATCAGCGAAAGTAGTCGGCGCAACCACGGCGGTATGTATGCGCACGCAGCAGATGCAGGGACAAGGTGTTGCTTCCGACAGTGGGATCTCCCGCCTGACATGAAGATCAACTGCCACAGACCTTGGTGAGCTCGTGCTCTTCAGTACTTACGTGCTCTGTGCACGTGCCGTTACTGAGAAGCCCCGAGGTCCCACAAAGCCCACGTGAAGTGGACCCACGCCCGTTGTACCATTGCGAAGGCTCTCCCGCGGGCTGTGACAATTGGACGGGTCGAACTGTTCCTGGGCCTCTGGAAGCGTTGTGGCTAGGTCGACCACTTCCAGTACGCGGTCGTTTCCACCTTCTGTTCTGCTCTTGAACATCAACTGTGACCTGCAAGTGACGCCTACCTAACGTACACAAAGCTGGTCTTGCCACAGAGCTAATGCACTGTCGCAATTACCTGTCGGTCACTGAGCATAAATCTGGGCGAATGTTGTTTCAATCCCAGCAATAGCAGACGCATCTTATGAATATCGATACCAGAGGTATCCCTCCAAAGCCACGAGAAACGTAACGGAGCTATCCGAGGTAGGGAGAGTGATCGACTGGTTTGATTGAGATGCTTGAACCCTGCCTAGCTGGTCAATGCCCACATGAGTCAGTATCGAAAAGCAAAGCCCATTACTCCTGATCTTCGTGGACGCGCGACGTTCTGCGAGGTCTGTAAAGGGCGCTCTACGGTCCCTATCTGAAAGCGTTACGACAACATGAGGCTCTCAAGCCCACTTGCGGTCTCGACGCCCACTTGCGGTGAATGTCCACTATTGCCAATGAGGGAGGTGGGGCCGTGTGTGGCAGAAGGGGCCTAGCCTAGCCCATGCCGCCACGCCAGCCAGGCGGCAGCGGATGGGCGGGCGTTTCGTTTCACCACAACCTCACGTTCGAACCTTGGAACTTTGCTGCCGGGAGCCTCTCCGTAAGAGTACTAAATGCCACTAGATATGTGGTGCAGGAATTCCTTGCGCGCATGTCCTGTTCATCCGCGGCGCGCAAACCCGCTCGCCACCTTCCTGCGCATGTCGTGACGGACGCGCATCTGATGCTTGCTACTTCCCCTCTCCCAGGTGCGTGGGAAACCTCGGTGCTGTATTAAGTTTCGATACCACCCACCATTGATTCATTCTCGAGACGTCCTTTTCAACCCTGCGGTTAAATGTGCATCCGTCTCAACAGCTTGTCGAATCTGTTGTGCGTACCGCGACAGATTTATGCACTCTACCTCGGCCATTGGCGGAGTGATCCCATGATAACAGTTGACCAAAAAGTCAATTTCTCAGGTTTCTAGCGACAGACTGTACGAGAACCCTCGCAAGCGGTAAACCGTTCCAGAAGTAACGTGCACACTGTTTCTGTGCTGTGACCATATTTGAGGCTACATGAATTGCGCATAGGTTGGCCAGAAGGGCCCTGCAGCAAATCTTGTAAGTTGCAGTGCGCACATGCTCGCTCGCACCTACTCAAATTCCTCAGATATCATTCAGAGTAATATTCAAGAATAACAATGACGCTGAGGACTGTCCAGTAGATATCTCATTCTCCACAAATATGCACTTAGGCGCATTGGCCCCTCACTGTTGCCTGCTATCTACGACGCGTAAATGGCAGGGCGCGTTTTTGTACATCCAAGCAACAACACCATCATCGTCCGCACTCAAACCACTCTACTCTTTTCAAAGTCTCTATTCTACATATGAACATCTTTCCAGACCAACGACAGCTAAACGGACAATGACTTCACGCACTACCATGACCTCAACTTTCACCCCTCTAATCGGCCATTGCTCCTGCAACGCCCTCTCCTACACTCTCACTGCCGTACCCCTTATAACCCACATTTGCTACTGTACCTGGTGCCAGCGCGAGTCCGGCTCCGCCTGCGCAATTAACAGCATCGTTGAATCTTCCAACTTCCACTACCAGCTCAACCCAGCCTCCACCTCCCAGCCCATCGCCCTCATCTCTGGTCCCACGCCCTCAGGAAACGGCCAGACCGTCGCACGCTGCCCTGTCTGCTTCGACGGACTGTGGAAGTACTACGGCGACGCGCGGCATGTGACATTTGTCAAGGTGGGGACTTTGGATGAGGAGAGCTTTAGGAGGGTTATGGGTGGAGAGAGGGTGCATATCTACACAAGCACGAAGCCGGAGTGGGTGACTCTGGAGAGGGAGAGGGAAGAAGGCATCAAGGTATTTGAGGAGTACTATACAAGGGGCGAGGTGTGGACTACGGAAGCGCTGGGGAGGAGGCAGAAATGGATGAATGCTTTGGAAGGCGCAGGGTCGTGAGGATGGGAAGAGCAAGTTACAGAGATGCCAAATGAAAAAAACACTTTCCTCGGTTCTCCTGCGCAATAAACAGCGTCCACTTCTAGCGTTACGCGCAAATCTTTGAAGCGGCTTTCTCTTGGAGACGTATGTTGGCAACGACCAATCAGCTTCGATGCAGCCCCGCGGACATCACCGTTTAGTCACCAGGTCGCTTTGCGCTTGCTATCAATCTCTGGTGTTTCCTACTCATATTGCTGATATCGCAATCATACGAGACCTCCTCGTTACAGACACCTCTATACACCCAAGCCTCGGTATGTTGTCTCCAATGCAGTCTTGGCTTGTGGACCTACTCACGATGCCGCGGGGGTGTAGGCCGATGCAATATAGCTCCACGCTGCACATCTAAGACTGGTAGAAACACTCGAAGTATCTAAAAATTATTGCTCACCATTTCTAGGTGCAACAATAAAGCATCAACTTGGATCCTACGGAATATCACCTATTAATCGACCATCATCACTGGTACCTCACAATGTCCACAACCGAATCCTCAAGCTACAAACCGGATATACCAAGGGAACCAGTAATTCAAACGAGTGAAAAAATACACATCGAGCTCACACCCAATGACCTGGACTCTCTAGCCGCCACCCGCTTCGTCCGGTCTCCCTCCGCCGGCGCAACGGTCCTTTTCATCGGCACCACGCGCGACACCTTCAACGACCTCCCCGTATCCTCACTAGCCTACACTTCCTACGCACCCCTCGCCATGGCCACTCTTCACACCATCGCCACCACCCTCCTCGCAAAACACTCCCTCACCAAGATTGCCATTATTCACAAGCTCGGCGAGTGTCCCATCGGCGAAGAGTCTATTATCATAGCAGTCAGCGCGCCGCATAGGCAGGCGGCGTGGAGAGCGGGCGAGGAAGCGCTCGAGGAGACGAAGAAGCGTGCGGAGATTTGGAAACTGGAGAGATTTGAAGGGGGCGAGGGCGTGTGGAGGGCGAATAGAGATGGGGCTATGGGGGTTAAGGTCGGTGAGAGAGAAGGCGGGGAGGAGAAGCAGCCAGAAGGGGCAGTTGCGTAGGAGGGGGATGAGAGGAAGCTGAAGGCGTGGTGCAAGAGATGACGGCGCGATGCATGGCGGGGGAAGCTGTAAGATGGGGCGGATGACATGAGAGGTGAGCTGTCATGGCGGGATGATTGTGCAAAGAGCTGGGAGGCGTGGAGTCGGTCAGCCGTGGAACGGCGGCTGTCATGTTGTGGACTTCGTTTATTGGAGTGAGTGACATCGTTTATGCAGTTGTTGTCCAGACATAGCTATGATGGGTCAAGCTGACTTGATCTACTGCTGGGGCGAAGCAGGAACAGGACCATAGCAGAGAGAATGGTTGTACAGCAATCATGATTTGTGCAATGAGTTGTTAACCTTCGCTCGAGTTGGCCTATCAACACGACCTGGTTCTACCAGCTGCTTGGTACAGCTCCAACTATACATAGCAGGCAAGCTTACTTTCAGATGCAGTGTACATGACATCAAGATTACTGTAGATGCCTTGTAACATCGCTCACGACCTCGATGAGGTGTGGTTAAGATTGATCAGGGTCTGGCGCCTTATGCTTTCCACGTCCGGGGTCGATGCTCCGCTTATACGAGGACGGCTGAAACTAGATCGAGCGGCTGCGGAAGGCAATGGTGCGCTTGTAACACAAAGGTCTCGGCGCATTCGGATCGCCAACCGCAGCGCACCAACATGAAGCACTAGGTATTGGGGTATTGCTTTGGCGAATAGAAAGTAGCACCGGATAACCAGCAGTCGGGAGCCATGTACCCCAACGCGCCTTACCGATCTCCCGTACCTTTCGGTGCACCAGCAGCCGGACACGTATCTGCACGTGCAGTCAACTGAGCGAATATTGGCACACTCACTTTAGTAAAGGCAAACAACGATCTGCAATGTCAAACTTTGTCCATGACGCCAAGCAGGTATAGTCGCATCGTGTATGCAATCAGGCGAAGCTCGGTAAAAGGTCTTCGAAAACATCTCCAGCTGAGACCATACGGAGACCATACGGGATGTACCGATCCCGTAGCTAGAGTCCCAAAATCCTGATCTGTCTACTGTACACTAGTATCACACCCACACATTATCGTACATGTCGGATTGTCGTTATCGAGGCTTTTCTGAAGTTTCTGAATTGCCGCTTCCATCCTCCTCCGCGTTGACCGTTTCCTGTGAGGCTACCAGTAGGTCCATTATGGAATCAGGGACGGCGTCGCCGGGTTGGTAAATGGTATCGTAGTTCAGGCGACCCCTGAGTCTTGCCCGTGCTTCTTCAAGATTTGCTATGTCAAACGCCCACATGGTACCACCCAGTCCCATCGTAGCTAAGCTGACACAGTGCATCGTCGCAAGGTTCAGAGCTTGCGCTGCGTCATGGAACGGACTGAAATGTTCGTGTGGATTGGTATTCGGCGCGTAGAAGGCAGGCTTGACGCGGAGGTGACGCTTGTATATAGCTCGGCGAGTGATGGCGGTAGCAGCAAGGAAGCTTGCAGCTCCAAAGGCGAATATGGACAGCTGCCGTAAGGAACGCGCGGATGCGATGGGCGTGCTCTCGTATGCAGGTTCAGGCGGCGGCCGCGGAGGTGCGTTGACCGGCGGTGCGGTTGGCCGGGGCATGATGCGAGCGATCGGGAGCTTCTGGATAGCTTCCATATGTGCCTGCAGGTGCAGTGCAGGTGTTGTTGGCAGGCGATTCGGGCAAGTGCAGCATCAGCTTTCCATGCTGCGGGCCAGCTGGTGCCTCGGGAGCGGGAATGGAAGGTACAGCTCAGCAACCGTGGTTGGAGCTTCAGGCCGGTCGAGAAAAACGCTGAACGGTCGATGCGTAAGAAATTGGCGGCCGCAATGCCTGTAAACCGGGATAGCATCTGGATGGGCACGAAAAGCTGGAGAGCCGCAACAGCGACTAGCCGCATTCGGAGCGGAATCGGGGAAACGTTTCGGCAAGCAGTCCCAAGGTCTCCACCGAGTCAGCTCCGCACCATACAACCTCACGTGTGTAACTGATCCACTTCGCCTAGAAATGGGCCATCGGGCCGTCTGGTCTCTGTCAACTGCTCCACTCGTTCCATCCTGTCCCGACCAGAGACATCATCAGCCCGGCTCACGTTGTGTTGCATCCATGAGTACTGTCCATTGGAAGCCCACAAGTCTCGCTTGGGGTCCGTACACGATGATGGAATCCGACTGCTCGGATCTAAAATTCCAAGACATTGACGTGGTGTAAGGCTCCGCGGGCTGCACGCACACGCTCATCAGCTGTCTAGGCGCGTCTCACAGGAGCAACGACGACTGTGGTACGCCGGCGTGACGCCACGAGGACTCGAGAACGTGCATATATTGGCGTATCTTCATACTCAGGTCTACAAGAGCTGATGGGACGACGCGATGCTCGTGGACCACTTGTGACGGACGGAAAGCATAGCACCTCGATGCATAGCTGGGCCCAGCATTAGCCCTTTGACTAGATGGCCGCAAGCTCCTCCAGCAGGCGTCTTAGGATCATCGACTTCTTCAATTCCACATGGCTACAAATGGAAAAGCCAACCTGTCTGTCCCATGCCCGAAATAGCAGCCAATTACAAAATGAAGGCAGCTACAGAGACAACCCCCATTCGTTTACTCTCGACTTTCTTCACGTGACGGCCACAGTCATCGATGTTGCGGTTGGTCATACTAGGACTCGTAGCGACCCAGCCTTGCGCAGGACCCGCTGATCTCGTCCGGCTGTCACCATCTCCGCCGTCAGTCGCTTAGTCTGCATGCACATACTATTGCTTTTGAGTTACCTCAGTCTTTTTCGTGGGCTTAGACAAACTACACCTACATGTATCTCGAGAATAGCCTTATGATATCAGACTGCGTCAGCATCCTCCAATTACCGGACGTTGACAACATCGACTCGGCACTGTAGAGCTTGGTCGCCCTGCCACCAGGGGTAGTTCCACCTAGCTGCAGCTTTTTCGTGGCATGATCCCAGCTCACGACCACACGGGTCAGCTCTGATCCGTATATGCAGTACACGGTGTGAGTAGAAGTGCCTCGCGGCGAAGTCGGGATGTTGGCTGGCTAGGGCGAACATGGCTTCTTCTCGGGGCTAGGAATGACTATAAAGATGCCCACTTCCACCGAGCCTGGAAGCATCACAGCACCAAGAGCCTCTTCTCCTCCGCTGAACACTTTCGCTTCACTTCAAACGTCCACCTTAGTCGCTTCCCAAGCAGCCTCATCACTTCCAAGATGCTCTTCTCAAACGCCTTTGTCCTCCTCACCTCGGCCTCCCTCGCCCTTGCCTTCCCAGGAGGAGGAGGCTACTCTACCTCTTCGTCTTCGGCACCACCCGCGTACCAGACCACTTGCTCTGCTGGTAAGCTGACATATAAAAACATAATATCGTTCATACTCACTATCATAGTGTACTCCACCAAAAAGGAAGTCGGTAGCTCGACCAAATATATCACAAGCACCGCCTATGTCACCAAGCCCTACACCGAGACCGTCTATGTGACCAAGACCGAGACCTACACCAAGCCCTACACCAGCACCGGTTACTATACCAAGGTAAACACTAATCAGATGGAACTATTGAATCTGGCTAACTGTTTCGGCAGACCAAGACCGGCTACAAGACTGAATACACCACCAAGGTCTATCCCGTCACCTCCTACGTCACCAAGACGGAGAGCTATGTCAAGACAACGACGAGCTTGGTCACTAAGCCCACATCGTAAGATCTCCTCTGCACGCCCCAAATGGATAACGTCTAACCCCCCAATAGGAGCGTCGGAACCAAGACGGAGACCAAGCTCGAGACCAAGACTGACACCAAGGTCTCCACCAAGACCAAGGAAGAGGCAACGACCATCACCAAGGTCGTCCCCTACACCACCAGCAAGGTGATCACCAGCACCAAGTGCTCTACCAAGGGTGGCTACGGCTCTGGCTACTAAGGCGATCTATGAAAAGCGTCTGTGTTTCATGATAGGATGATATCACGATTGTGGGTGAATTTGGAACAATGGATAGGACAAATACGCTCATTACCTGTGACTTGGAGGATCACTATGTCGATATGAATGGAACGGTCCTTGGACTCATGTTGATACTCGCTCCTTAGATTTCCTTTCGTGCCTGCCATCTAATAATAACTTGGTCACCCTAATTGCCTTCTAATTCGCCTTCTTGTGCCTGCGTCTTTAGTACCATACAGCCTTGGTATTTTCGGTACATCTGCTAGCAATTCGTCTCTGGCAGGCTGGTACGCCAGCCCTTCGTCGATCTGGATTGCTGGGACCCTAGAACGATCAATAGTCCGCGGTGGCTGGCGTACCGGGATTTTCAACCGTGCTGACGGCGCAAGTGTGCAGTCAAGCATTTGGAAGCTCCGGCTACGCGTGTAGCGTACCGTGGAGGGTAAGTGAGGGGTTATCGATATGATGCAAGCAAACGTATCACCACGGCACATCAGCCATATACCGGTAATAAAGGCAGTCGATATCGATAACACCATTTGAGAGATCTACCTACTTCCTGGTTTGCATGTTATGTGGATCATAGCCTCAAAGTCGCATTGCTTGAATACAGTTCGAGACCAGTTTATTGAATCGATGCGTCCAGAAGCGACACGTAGGCAACACTAGGAGAATGTTCCGCACGCTTTCTCATAAACGTCTGGAGGCAGTAGCCGTAAACGTGAGAAAGGATCCAAAAGTAGCAAAGCTGGCTGGAAATGGCTGATCATTCCACAAGTGATTTCCCCACACGTACGCATACACTTACTTGGTTAATCTTAGGCGGCGGTCCCTAGCCTTCGACTTTTAGCTGTTCGTGTTTAACGGTACTCTAATCGATACCATCGCAAGTTCCTGGCTACTTTTGGTCCAGATGCAAGAATCGGTGGCTTGAGATCTCAAGCCCTTGTGGTTCCACTCCCAACACGGTGACTGCACTAAGATCAGGCAGGATTTGAATAGCCTGCGAATACGCCCACTGCAAGTCGCTAAGCTGCCCTCTCCACTCGTCCAGCCTTGGACCCATCTCCACGTAACGCGTTACTTGGCGAAGCTGGGGCGCATGCGGTGCGAGGCCAATAGCGTGTAGCAGTCTCCGGTTAGGAAGGGATCCACCTTGCTTGCATTCGCTCTCCCACTGCAGCACCATATGCGATAATCGCTCGCTGATCAGTGCATAAACGAGGCCCGCAGGCACCCGGACAGGCACAGCAGAGCTATGTGAGTGCGGGGCGGAGTTGTTGAGAACTAGGGTCTCTGATCGCCGCTAGGATTTTGGTGATGTGCAGGTGCAGGAGGAAAAAGCTGTTCAACCTTGAGCCCCACTCATCCTGCGGTGGGCAGGCAGGCAGTATTCTCGGGAATATAATCGCAGTCATGTAGAATGAGGCTCCAACGATCACAGTCCCTTACAGTAGGACTCCGAGATGTTGGAAGCCGCCAACGCACGTTTTGCGCACCTGCGGATAGCGAGCCATGGGACGTGAGCCTGTAGAGTGCAGTTGGTTTCCCGCCCTGCTAATGCTGACGCTGATCACGGGAAGCTGACCGAGTTGTGTCGTACTCGGACTGCGTCACCAGCGCTGAGACACCTGCTTGAGGAATGGCCCGAAGCGGTATCGCGTGCCAGTGTCGTTTTCGTGAGCAAGCAAGCACGGAAGATCGATGTCAGCGCGTCACGTTACCTTGCTGAGCGAAGCGTGGTTCATGGACTGGTGGGTGTTGTGTTCTCGCTGCGCGAAGTCGAAGGTGGGTGGAAATGCAGCACTGATCGGGGTTTGGATGTTATGGCGTCATTATTTGAGCCTGATACACCCATCGTCATATCAATTCGAGGCCCGCTTCTACATTACCCAGAACAAAGATCCGGGGAAACGCGGCGTGAGTAGAGAGTTTGTACTGCAGTGAGCATAAGACTGCAATCAACTTGAGACCAGACCTCGGACTGTCAGCCCATAATCAGCGACTCCATCGCCCCATCATCGCAGGTTTCTCATGAACATTGTACTGGATTCATTTGGAGTCGTGGTACTCTGACTCCGCGAAGGTGGCATTGACGGTGGGTATGCAGTCAGCAAATGTTCTCGCCGGAAGTGCGCGGACGTGAGCGCTTGACATTGTTCCGGACTGCGTGAACAAGTACTTGAAGGATGTTTCCTTGCAACTTGGCTTGCCTAATATACGCCCATGCAATTCTTGCGAGCCCAATCAACGCGCGTATTGGTCCTTCCTCCGGTTTCGAGATCGTACCCACTTCCGACTGTGTTGAGATATGACTCAAGAGGTACTAACCGTTAAAAAATAGCCAGAATGTCGACCAAAAGACAAGTCTTCCAAGCCAATTCGTCTCCAAAACTAATGCTCTTGAAGCCATGGCTACTGGCGGTGAAACAAAACGGAATGGTGTACGTCTCCGAAACCAATAAAGTCGTAGAGAGAGACGTGAGAGACCGAGCCGTGCGCATCCCAGATCTTCCATCACTTACCCTTTGTGTTGTGAAAGATTATAACAATATCTCTGAGATCATGAACGGTTTCTGTAACTTATTACGAGGTTCCGCGTCCGAATTCAGTCACTCCGTCAAGGCACGTGTGTAAGTAGTTTCAAATCATTCTTTTGACCCATGAATGAAGCGTATCTGGAGTTCTCCCCCGATCGAAGGGATATTCCTGAGACAACTTTCGTGCAGGTTGCGGTGCTGCCGTTCGAGACCGATGTCGAAACTGAGTGCTAGTGAATGACAGCCTATGAGGCTGCTTAGGTAACTCGCATATGCTACACTCACGATATGCTGGGTTAGATCTTGATGTTTTGAGTTTCCCGACGGATGCACACGTAAGGGTTTTGGAGCCTTCTGATTAACTGGTTCGTCCCGGAAAGTCGTGAGAAGTTGTCCTGATGTTGTGGGAGGCTAGGGTTTGTTCGAAAATGGCATTGTCGTGTTCAAGCAAAGGTCGGTCAAGAGTTCCCTAGGAATTGAAGTTCCTACAAGTCCGCCATATAATGGTATGTCCTGAGGTGTTTGGGCTCTGAATTTGTGGCCTGGTACTGAATTTCCGATGCTCACATTTACGTGAGAGCGTTGGCTTAATTATTGCTGGATGCAGGCGTAACATCCTATTTGACTTTGGCATCGGTTCTGCCTTGGTCATATCATTCGAATGATCTCCATTGTGAGGCTTTCACAACGATGGTCTGTGTTTGCAATGAGCAAACGGGTAGTGCCCTGGATGACTCTTCTGTCGCATTATGTTGTAAAGGTTTTGGGAGGAACAGCAGAAGGGTAATCGCGTGTCGAGGTGATCTGCGAACCGTTCGCGGGTTGCGAGCTGACCAATCAAGATCAGATTGAGCGATAAGGGATTCTGATCCGTGCCATTGCATCATCCTGCGAAGCTCCACATCCAATCCCACACCCAAAATGGCTGGAACATGCGCCATTTGTACGAATGCGCGATGGCGGTGTCGCTTAGATGCTGAGCGTCGTTCTTCGCATCGAAGTTTCCGACCTTCTCTTTGAGCTTCTGATCCTGCCAGCGGCGACATCTCCACACGATGCCTCCAAACGAGACATCCCCGCTCCTACCGAATCCCGCTCTACAGCCCGTCTCGCCTCATCCGATTTCTGCAGATAGAGATATACCACCTGACGATCCATATGAGGATGCTATTGCGAATGCTACAGGAGGAGATATTGAGAGATCAGTTAGCAATGTCAGCAACGGCGATGCATCGAAGCATCAGGGCATGCCGGAGGTCAGGAAGCGCTTGAAGTACATCTTTCCAGCGATATGTATAGGAGTAAGCTTCACCTAAGCTTGGAATAGTCTCAATAGCAGAAGCTCATAGCATTCAGGTCTTCCTTTCAGCTGCTGACCAGACCCTCGTCGTCACAACATACGGCACGATCGGTACGGAACTGAATGCTCTGAACTTGACCTCGTGGATAGCGACCGCCTACTTCGTTACGCTCACTGCCTTCCAACCACTATATGGCAAACTCAGCGATATCTTCGGACGAAAGTCATGTCTCCTCTTCGCGTACGTCGTTTTCGGTCTCGGTTCGGCCTTGTGCGGTCTGGCTCGAAATATCGAGGAATTGATCGCTGCGAGAGCGCTCGCGGGGATTGGTGGGAGCGGCATGACGACAATCACGTCAATCTTGATGAGCGATGTAATAAGCCTGAGAGACCGGGGGACATGGCAGGGCTATTTGAACATCATATATGCGGCCGGATCAGCTGCAGGAGCGCCAATAGGTGGCTTACTGGCCGACAGCATTGGGTGGAGATGGGCTTTCATTGCTCAGGGACCAATGTGTCTGGTCGCGGTCGCAGCTGTTGCACTTGTCTTGCACCTGCCAAAGACCGACCACTCGCATTGGGTACAGAAGCTATCCAAAATTGACTTTTTAGGGGCCATCGTTCTCCTTGCGGCAGTCACTGGAGTTCTTGTCGGCCTGGACCATGGCTCAAATATATCTTGGAACAGTACGTTTTCCGCCCCCTCCCTCCCCCCTTAACGGCGGACATGGTTGACAATGAACCCCCTTGATTAGGTCCGATCACGATCGCAGGATTGAGTATGAGTCCTCTCTTCATCATCTTCATCCTCGTCGAGAAACACCTCGCAAGCCACCCGCTAGCTCCGCTCCGCATCATCGTCAACCGCACCTTGTTCGCCTGCTACCTCTGCAACTTTTTCAGTTTCGGTGGCTGGCTGGCCGCTCTGTTTTTCATACCACTATACTGGCAGGTCATTGCAGATCTGCATGCCGCACAAGCCGGTCTCCTCTTAGTCCCATGCATCATATGCGGCGTGAGCGGCTCGCTCTTTGGTGGAGTATACATGAAAAAGACAGGCAAATATTACTGGATCACGGTCATCGGGTACTCGAACCTCGTTATCGGGCTAGCAGTGACCTTGCTCTTCGCAGGCATCATCAAGGAAAACATACCTATTATGGTGGTGGGCACGTGTATCACTGCATTTTCGAACGGTATCGGGGGTTACCACGACGCTGATTGGTTTGATCGCGAATGCTAAACACAAGGATCAAGCTGTAGTTACGGCATGTTCGTATCTATTCCGCTCGCTAGGCTCGGTGGTTGGAATTTCGATGTGCGCTACGGCGTTTAATCAGACCCTGAGGAAGACGCTGGAAGCTGCGCTGAGCGGGGACGAGGATGCAAAGGAGATTGCGGAGCGTGTACGGTCATCGCTGGCATACTTCAGAAGTTTGGAACCTGGGTTGAAAGAGGTAGTGCGCGAGTGCTATAGTAAGAGTGCGAGGGCTGCGTTGGCTGTGAGCGTGGGGTTGGTTGTTGGGAGCGCCTTCTTTGCGTGGTTCATCAGAGAAAAAAGACTTGGGAAGTAATTTCTCGAAAGAACCAAGTGGCACACACAGGTAAATCATTGAAAAGATTCAGCGCAACAATTTTACTACGTGAGTCACCGCAAGCCTATGACAGTATCAAAAGCAACTCATGTGCAGAGGTAGCTATACGGGCACATCGTTGTTCATAAGCCGTCGGGTAACAATCTCCTACTCCAGGTCTCAATCAACGCTACTTCGACGGCGTCACAAAGGGCAAAACAGCACTCAGTGTTCACAAGCATCCCCATTTCCACAGTTGGTCATCCGCTAGAGGAATCAAGCTTGTTCACACCGAATTTCTTTTCTCCATCGGCATATCCAATGGTGATGTCAACTGCATGAATGTCAGTATGGTGGGCGCGCAAGATACGCCAGGCAACGGAAACTGACTGTAGTAATAGTCCAGCACGGGGCCTTGGGATGTGCCGTTGAAGACCCCCCTGTCCTCCTCCTGGGCTGTAGGCGGTGTCGTGAGGTTCGAGGACTGTGGTGCCACCACTGTTGGTGCATGAAGTACCGGCCTTGTTGATCTCCACTGATTGTCAGTCTCGCTATTACCACCAGGCTTGTCTAGCATGGTTGGAGACTTACATAGCCTCTAGTAATAGTGCTTGACCAGCAAACTAGTAGATTAGAGCCAAAGATGCAGCTATCTAGTAAAGGAACTTCCTTTCGCTAATCCAAAATTCGTTTGCGACGGCTTAATGCTACCATTAATACACAACTCCTATATACGTGGGAAATGGAACCCAATACTTGCTAACTGGTGGACTATTTGCTGACAGCGCGAAAGTTGAAAGCAGTAGTGGTCTGGCTCGCTTTGAAATACTTGAATAGCCGTTAAAAAGGTGAAGAGGGCAGAACCAGGGCCAGATAATTTTATCTCTGGTTGCATTAGGTATGGCATGCTGTCACAGATCATCTCTGCTAGAGCCGCGACCGACTTTTCACTAGTAGAGTCAGAGAGGATCCGCAAGAAGGCCTGTTGACCTTACCCCTTTGCAGTAGAAATTGCTCCGCCTAGCATGCTGCGATGTCGTCTTGCGATAATCTCGAAGGCCCAGCAATGGGTCAGGCTATTTGCAGTCATGATGTTTGGGAACCAGAGAACATCCACATTCAAAGAAGGCGAGTGCCCGGGATTGGGCTTTGACCAAAATCGAGGAGACGTTGCTTCAGAGTGTAACGTGATTTCCCACTCTCGAAAACTCTTGAGAATATTTTGGAAGTCTTTCCGGAGCCGCTCCACCGCGGCAATGTTGGATATATCTTCAAGGTCTACCATGTCATAGTATCTTTCTAGTAAGGCCGGAAGCTTGCTGGCTTTGTTGAAAAGCAGCTGGATCATAGAGCTGGGCTGTCCGCGAAATGGGGTAGTAGTCCATTCCTCTCGCGCAAGAAACGTCTTCCGCCGCTGTAGGATTGAACTGATCAACTGGAGAATATGCCATAGATGATTAGTAACGCAACCCGTGTGGACCCAAGGACTCATGACTTACTAGTAAGGGTCTGAAGCCAACGAAAAGTGTGTGCCAGATGCCACTGCTAAATGGTTCTGGTCCGAGACGTTCTGCTAGATCACCAACGCCCTTCATGTGCATCATCCAACCAGGTTCCGGCGTTGAATCCAACGATGGGACCATGATCTATATGAAACATTGTCAAATTTGAGTAGACAATAAGATTCTCCAAGTCTCGCACTTACATCGGTCACTGCCAGGCACAGGATCGCGGCACTGTGCTCGATGAGAAAGGCACCCCGAGCTTCCTCGAGGGCTTTACCCATGAGCCTAAGGGAGTCTGAATACATCTCAAATATCTGGGGCTGAGATAACTTATTTCCGAGTTTGTGATGCCGTAGGGCAGTAGCCAAAGTCTTGATTGCAGAGAAGAGGAATTGCCTGTTTCTTATGCCTACGGAAAGCAGTGGAAGTACTTCGACCCATGCTCCGCAGATCTGGTTGTGATGCGAATTAGACTCCGCTGGAATATTGCTGTTGATAGGGGCATAGTTTTGGATAATGACTTGTATATCGTCTTCGATTCCCTCACACCGGGTTTCCAATCGAAGATCCATTTTACTAGGCGAGGCTACCTGAAAGCCTCTACTGGGGCGAGCATGGTCGTCGTGGGACTCAACAAGGGCCTTCTTTTGGTGGCGTGTGATTTCTTTGCTCTTATCTTTCATCTCCACCTGATTTTCGATTTCGAAAGCGGCCTGAGACACGAACACGAATTCCTGCCGATACCCACTACAGGGAACCCGTCGGAGAATGCATTGGGAACATGCTGGCTGTTTCCCATCGCACTTAAGAAGCGGTCAGCAAGTCAATCTGCACGCTTGTGCGGCGCACGCGACAGAACTCACCGCGAGCTTCCGAGATCTGCAAATTTGACACACGTTCCTCCGTTTCGCTCTCATGATATAAACTATGCCTGCGATGGCATGCGGAGGCCAAAGACTGACGCATGGAACTAAAGTGAAAGCTAACTTTTCAGGGAGTGTTGTTTCGCCAAGACTCCCAGAGGTCTACTGTGATATACCGGTAACAAAGGGTGCGAAACGGGCGAACTAGTCCCGGCGCCGTAGTAGGACCGAGTCCCAATTGTTCGATTATTAATCATACGACTGCAAACAATCGTCTTGGCGAATATGGTTACCTTAATGGGAATAGTTCAGCGGCTGGTTTGTAGACTGGGTAAATCATGGCGACCGTTGAGCAATCACGTCGAAGTCCCTCAGATCTAACCTGGTCCGATCACATCAAGGGTAGGCTGAAGCGGAATCTAGTGCCATGACTGGTTCGATTTGCAACTGATCAACTTACTAAAGCAAATCACCATCATGATTGCAAAGCCATCCAGATTTGTGAACGAACGGAGGACGGGCTTGTGTTGTAGCTAATAATGCCTAGGTTTCCTTATCGATAACTTCTGCTTGGCGAATATGATTTCCTTGAAGAGCATAGCTTGTAAATGGCCTGATCTAGTTTCAAGATCAGTTGCATGGAATTGTAGAACGTGGTTAATACTGTTATCACAGGCATTACGCCCGTTGCGGCGCTCAGGGCATTCTACCGCGGACATCTTTTAGTCCGAGCATTAGTAAAGAGATGAAAGTTCTGGACAATTTTAAAGGTCCAAAGCCTGAACAGAGACATAAATAGTTCACCGCTGCCCTCAAACGTCCACCAGAAGACCTCATTATCATCACTTCTATCAACGTTATTACACAGTCCCAATTGTCCAGTCAAAATGTCCCGATACGCAGCAGCTCACGCCAACCCTGCCGGCCCGGGAGACGCTCGTCCAACAGCCCTTCAGATTATCAAGGATGAAGGAGCTGAGGGCAAATTAGTTGGGAAAGTTGTGGTCATCACAGGCTGTTCCTCTGGAATAGGGATCGAGACGGCTCGCGCCCTGTCTCTGACTGGAGCAAAGCTGCTGTTGACGGCAAGAAACCTGGAGAAAGCCAAGACTGCGCTGGAAGGGATCCTCGAGCCTGGGCGCATTGAACTTGTTGAGATGGACAATACTTCCCTGGAAAGTGTGCGTACCGCCGCGAAAACCATTCTCATGAAATCGAACAACCAAGTCAATATCCTTATCAATAATGCCGGTATCATGGCGTTGCAAAAGCTGGAGAAGACGAAGGATGGCTTCGAAATGCAGTTTGGGGTCAACCACCTCGCCCATTTTCTGCTCTTCCAGCTCTTGAAGCCAGCCCTCCTTGCCAGCGCCACCCCTGAATTCTCATCTCGAGTCGTCAACCTCTCTTCTTCAGCCCACCACGTGGCCGGAATCAATGAATCAGGCAACTACAATTTCGAGAAGACTGATTATAACGATTTCGTTGCGTATGGACAGTCAAAGACTGCGAACATCTATATGACCAATGAGATCGAGCGGCGGTACGGCTCCCGAGGACTTCACGCGACCAGTGTTCATCCTGGCATGATCACAACGCCACTCATGCAGCATATGGACCCTGAAATACTTGAGAGTATGAAGGGCAACAAGGAGTTGTACAAACAGATGAAGTCGCCAGAGCAGGGCGCTGCGACAACGGTGTGGGCTGCGATTGGGAAAGAATGGGAGAATAAGGGCGGAGAATATCTTGCTGAGTGCGGTAGGACAACCCGTGGCAATGACAATCACGAGATCGCGGGCGTAGGGTTTGCAGGTCATGCTTATGATCCCAAGGCAGAGGCTCGCCTTTGGAAGGATTCGTTGGAAATGGTGGGGCTCACAGACGATCAGTAGGCTGCTCAGACAGAGATAGCAAGAATGACCAAGGCTTTTACAATGTTCCTACCTGATTTCATATTGTCAGTCACAATCTTTAGGAGTTCCATTCTGGGCGACGTCCAAGGGCTACCTACGAGTAGTCCAACCGCTCAAGCAAAGGAAGTCAAGCCGCGTCAATATCCCATTCACTCGTGCTTCAGTACAATGCTGGTCTAGACAGATATGATGGGTTGGGTCTTTGATAAGTACTGTTGCAACTGTGTCTCAGTATCTAAATTTTACATTTGTATCTGCACTAAAGTCCATGGCCAGCCATCCTGTGTCGGCGTTTGACATTCAATAGTAACAGCTGGGACCTTCCCTCCACAAGGTCTTGCCAATCCAAAGATTCTAGTTGGCGGGCTTATATGGGACCTTGAAGTCATCGTCCTCATCATTATCCGATACAGCCCTCTTGGTATCAGTCGTCTGCAATATCAACATCTTCTTCATTATCGCCGATTACGGCCCTCTTGATGTCAGATTCATCCAGGATCTCGAAGTCATCATCTCCGTTCGCGGACAATTCCCTCCTAGGCGGCGGTCTGCCAGCATTTCCGTTCCCGTTTCTTCCATTTCCCCCGGGCGGCGGTGGCGGCGGCGGAGCAGGACCACCGCGTTGCGCTTCGCGTTTATCAAGCGCCGATGCAGTGATATCGGATATTTCCCTTCGAGGTGGAGGCCTACGGGCACCACCATTTCCGCCGTTCCCTCCAGGAGGCGGGGGAGGAGGAGGGCCACCACGCTGAGCCTCACGCCTGTCAATCGTGACAATGTCGGACACATCCCGCTTGGTGTCAAGGCCGTCTGGAATATCGAAGTCGTTGTCGTCTTCGTTAGCAGATAAATCTCTCCTAGGTGGCGGGGGACGCGCCCCTCCACCATTGCCACCATTGCCACCGTTGCCTCCGCGGGGAGGTGGAGGTGGAGGGCCTCCACGTTGAGCTTCCCGAATGGCGACAGCTGAATACGTTAGCTTTAAGTCCACAGCTCATCAAATTAGGAACAACATACATTCACCCTCGATGGTAATAGGCAAGGCAGCAACCAGGCCAGCTAGTGCTGCGAATGCCAGAGTTTGGTGGAACTTCATTTTCGATGGACGTTCGACTTTGAAATATTTAAGACGTAAAGACTGAAAAGATGAATGTAATATGGGAAATACCAGGCGAGAATAGAAGATGGTGTACAAGCGAAGATGGAGGATCAACCTACAGAGCTACAACCCAGGACGCATCGTGCCTTTTGAGCGCGAACGAGTCTCAAGCCGCGCGTTCGATGAGGGAGACAAAACATGCTCAGCAACTCTGCGAAGAGGACTGTCCACTGATCGTTGTTTCTTTCGCTCCTCAGCAAGGCTGGTACGAGTGCACGAGCGTGGTAGTGGCGTCACGAAGAAGCAGAGCATTGCGCATGGCTAGCTGGGCTCTGACAGACTGACGCGTGACGACAGGGACTTACGTTGACATTGCCATACGCTGTGTCAAGCTATGCCTTCAGAAACACCAAACGGACGAATGCACGCAAAAGATGAAGCATCAAAGTTGCGCGTTCTACGTTCCTTCTGAAACATCCTAGACCTTTCCCTTTCCGGTGCTAGCGGAAGCTTAGTGGTGCTTGTCGCGCTAGGTGTGACGATCGGAGCTTGAAGCAACACGAACTGATACCAAGAACATCATAGATCACCCTTTCTCCATCGCATTAGAAGAGTTACCTTGCCGGCCTCATGAGGCGCAAGACTGAGTTTGGGGTTGGCCGACGCAATTGTCTCACATGCCTTCGTTCACAGAACTTCAAACCGCCTCCGCGCTGCGACTCAGCGTTACGGCGTCTGAAAGCTCATGAGCATGATGGCACGTTGGGTGGGTAACGTCCCAACAACCTAACCGCGGCATGAATCGGACATGGCATTCGCAATCAGGCTACGCATACACGAGTGAGTCACATCACGCTACCGAAGGCGAAGCTACCATAGGTCTTGGAAGTGTATACGGAGATTAACAATCGCAATCTCGATGTGGGCTATCTGTTCCCTGTCGTTTACCAGCGAGAGCTAAAAATTGAATGAGTATCCGCTCACAGAAGGACTTCTAGATTCCTGTGACCTACAGTGCCCAGCAATTGCACAGCCGAACGGAGGAGATTGACCTTCCTATGTTGGCCCCAATGTAAGCCTTCTTTCGCGCACTCCTGCCTTAATACCCGTTTTTTTGGACCCCGCGTTTCCGATACACCAATTCACCAATAGGAAATGAGAACAACCGCCAAACTAGGACAGGGGCAAACGTTCAAAAGAAATGGCTTGTAACTTATCAGCTGAAAGCCCCTAGGCGAACACACACAGCATCCGCGCATCATTTCGCTCTGTCTCCCCTGTGGCCGTTGCTGTACTCCGGCCCTGTCGCTGCCCTTTCTATGTCCGAACAACGGCGTTTGACAGCTATGCATCATAGTGACGGCGCGCATCATGAGGAGCATAACCGCGAGGATGGAACCACAAAAACATGTATATGTCCCAAGGCCTCAGCTGAAGTGGACATAGTGTTAGTCAAACTCCGCGATACTTGTATGATCAATCGTTACATCATTGCTCCCTAAGCCGGCGGCTCTACCTCGCGTCAACATTACAATTGAATATGCCGCCCACGAATAACGCGACGAATCAGCAGGCCGAAATTGAATGCTACTGCCTAGATATTCATGCGCCTTCCGAAGTATCTCGATGTCCATCAACGCCTAAGCTTACTATAGAATCTGCACGAAACGTAGCCCAGATTCTAGAGCTTCCCCTGCTAGTCCTCGACGAGGTTACGTCTGCCACAACTGGCGTCCCAATAACATTTCAACCTTCGAGCGACGATACGCTTCTAGGGAAACAAATTGTCTGTGGAAAAGGTGATGGGGTGCAGCGAGAATTCCCGAGCGCATTCGGTGAGCTCTTGCGTTCACAGGAGCACGACCAGTTCGTGAACCGAGTCGGAACATCGCTTGTCTTGTTCTTGTTCCTGCTCGTTATGGGGCATATGGCGTGGAATAGGTGAGCCGCCCTATAGTACACCTTGATCGCTGCTAAATAAGACTAGATATCTCCGTAAGAGATGGTATATCGTATCAAGCCATTGTGAGCTTGATGCCACCGACCGTGAGGACCTCTGGGAAGAGAACACACTCCACGAAAATGACGGCTACATTATCGAATGGATCGAGAAGAGCCAATATCCACAGGCTGGTTTCGTTATGACCTCGAACCGATGAGCCTTCACGAGACCACGACAGAACACTACTTGGACAGTTCTGAATGTTCTAACGTCACCACCGACTCGGCCTAGAGGGCTTCCTGGGGAAGAACAGCAGTGCACGGAATTCAAGCATTCCCGCCATTTTTCGCACACAGTTGAACAGGGCCACATGAATAACCATAGAAGCTCGTCAGCTTACAGGAAAGCCGCACACTCGAACATATCTCCCTAGTAGTTGGCGGTGGGATATGCGGCCGTCCTACCCTATAGGGGAACACTGTAAAAAAAACCAATCAGCAAGTATTGATGTCGATTTGACTACTAGACGACTGTCTGGCCTAAAAGGATACATTACTTCGTTGGTCCGTGAAAAAGCTAGACCTTTTTCGTGCAAAGATGCGACGCTACTTGAAAGCATACCCACTTGGGAAGATAGATGCAGACATACATATAGAATTGGCCGACTGTCAGAGAACTGCTTTCCAACACGATCAAGCTTGTCAAGGTTCTTGACTGTCATGCAATTGCGCTTCTCAAAGCAATCAGTCCTTTCATTGACACTATGGCACCTACAACCATCACCAACGTCCGCATCTTTGACGGCGACAAAATCAACGATCAAAGATCCTCCATCAGCTTCGACCCCTGCACCGGCCTCATCGTCCCCGAAACAGACGCAGCCACACTCATCGACGGCTCAAGCTGTACTCTCCTCCCCGGGCTCTGGGACACCCACGTCCACCTCTCTAACCCCACCGCACAATCACTGTCCGACTCCCTCGCCCTATGCAAGGATATGATCGAACACGGCATCACCACAGCGATCGACTGCGGAAACCTACCCAGTGCGCACCAGCAGATCCTCCAAAACACCTCCACCGCCCCAGACATCCTCTACGTAAACAAATTCGCCACAAGCACAGGAAGCACTCACTCAAAGTTCCAAATGGCAGGTCCCTCCAGCATCGTCGATACCGTCGAAGACGCCGTCGCTTTCGTGGACGAAAGAGTGAAACAGGGGGCACATTACATCAAGATCGTAGCAGACTTGCCGGGCCCAAACCAGCAAGTTATAAACCAGCTCTCGAGATGCGCACATGCCCACGGGAAGATGACTATCGTGCATGCTTCGCGAAATGCCGCGTTCCTGATGGCGCTGCGCGCTGAACCACCCGTGTCGGTTATCACGCATGTTCCGATGGATGAACCGCTCACGCACGAGCAGGCTGAAGTGATGAAGGAGAAAGGGATAGTCTCTGTTCCTACGCTTGTTATGATGGAAACGTTGGCTGCGTCGGGCCGGTTTCCGAATGTGTCGTTTGTATCCGCTATGGAATCTGCAAAGGCTCTGCACAATGCCGGTGTGCCTATTCTGGTGGGGACTGATTCGAATCAGAGCACAGTTGCTAGGGTGAAGCATGGGGAAGCTGTGTGGCGAGAGATGGAGCTTCTACAGAAGGTAGGGTTGTCGAATGTGGAGATATTGAGAGCGGCCACGGGGCTTCCTGCAGTGCTTTTGGGTTTGAATGAGCGAGGGGCTGTAAAGGTGGGCAAGCGGGCTGATTTTGTGCTTGTGAGGGGTGATCCGACGACGGATATTGGGGCATTGAAGGAAGTTGTTGGAGTGTGGAAAGCGGGGGTCGAAGTTTTCCGTGAGGGGGATGCTGTTACTGGCAAGGAATGAGTCCTACTTCAGACTTACGATGTATTGCAACTCTACTCTCAGTCGAGAAACGTGTATGGAAGAAGTCTTAGCTCCCTAGCAAGGGCGCCCTATCGCCACTCCTTCCCTGGTCTTCTTTCCTCCGCCTCGTTCTCTTGGCTATTACCCATCCACATAGACACACGACCAAAACCCCAGCAACAATGCCCAACAAGCTGCCCACTTCAAACCAAGCATCCGATACTTGCCTTACATCTTCTAACGAGGGCGCTATCGTGTGTTCATGACGTGGATTGTCGCGTGTTTGAGTAACCACGGTCGGACCGTGTGAAAAGGAATATTTGGCACTTTGGGAATTCGTTCTAGACGTGAGCACCTCCTCGGCTGTAGGCATAGTCGTGTAGATTGATCTCCTCGAAGATGGTTCGTGTGTGGTATGCGTAGGACCAGGAAGCAAATCCCCAATAATAGATGCGAGGTCCAGAGAAGATGTAAGAGATTGGCATGCCGAGTGTGTCTTCCAATGGGCTTGATTGCAAACGTCCACCGCCCTCAACATTCCTTCCCTTCTCACGGCGCTCTCAACCCCCTCCATCCGCCGTGCCAATCCCTCTAGCTTTTTCTCTACTCGCGCCTGCGCTTCGTCACTGCTCTCATTCCCGCTCGCTTGGAGGCGGTACGACACTGGCGCCCAAACGCCGAAGACGATTGCGCTTGCTACGCCTAAGATTTTGAGCGCCCATTGGAAGATGGTCTCAAAAGGGAAGGACCTCTTGGGGCGACATTGGTTTACGAGCGTGTCTGCATCACTCTCGTCATCGCCAAGCTTATGTTTCTCGGAGATGCTGCCGTCTGAAGTTGTGCGCGAGAGGGTGGATGCGTAGGTTGGCGGCTGGTACTTTGTGAGTCTGCTCTTCTGATGTGTCATAGCTGGGAATTGGGCAGTAAGGCTGGAATATTCAGCAGTAGTAAAACGTTGGGGATTACTGAAGTACACGCCTGGATGCTGAGGCTGTGCAGATGCATGTCTTGTGGCCGAGTCAGCGATCCCGCATCAGCATTCGCATTCACCCACATGAGATAGTGGGGTCGAGAATCTTGCATACAGTGCGATGTGTAAGCAACATCAACCAAACGGGACACGGCTTTTGCAGGAATAAGGGTTCTATAGGCTATAAGCTACACGTAGAGCTACAAATACCCGTCTGTATACACACAAAGGGAAAGGAATTTGGAAACAAGGATTTTCCGCCATGCATGTCCGCTGCCAAAACCCAGCTTAATATGCAACACTTAGTCTACAAGCAAACTTTGCAACCGCGCTTCCGTAGCAATCACGTCCAGAGCCTGCTTCACTTCGAGAACTCTTCGGCACTCGCCGAGCCAGTCCTTGCTGAGCACCTTAGCCCAGCCTTGGAGGCCGTTCATCTCGCGAGCTGCTGCATCGAGGTCGCCCTCTTCGAGGAGTGCCTCTGTCCTGGCGAGGACGGCTTCAACGTCTTGTCCTACAGCGAGGCCAGACTTCTTGAACAGGACCTTTGACATGGCCAACGAGGCAAGGTGCGATGCAACACCGGCATCTTCGGGGAGAAGAGCAGCTTTCCGCACCTCCTGAGCGACGCGTCGAAAACGGTCAATGAGCTGTGCCGAGTTGGGAATGCCACGCTGGTATGCAGCGGGGTTGATGCTCGCAATGGCGGCGCCGACAACCGCGTCATCAGCGGCAATCTCCTTCAAAGCAGCGAGCTCAGTGATGAAGGGCTTCGGTACGACCTGGTTTTCCAGAGCAGACTTCACGGCCTCTACGGCGACCACAAGATGCTGCGTCTTGAGGTTCGCATCAATGACCTGGTTCCATTCTGCAGTCAGCTTCTCTAGCTCTTGTACGGAGGAAGAGAGCTCGTTGAGCTTGCCAAGTCGGCCTTCGCGCTCCGTCTCAACCTGATCCCGCACAGACGTGGCGAACTGGCGCTGGAGGGCGATGCTCTGCTCAAGCAGCTCGTTCTTCAGCTTCTGCTCGTAAACCTTCTGGGCGGCGTCCAATTCAGAGCGCATCCTCTCCCTGTATGCCTGAGCAAGACGCTCGCGCTCGTTCTCGTACTCCTCCTTCCACTGTGTCTCCTGAGACTTCATCTGGTGGTCGAGGCGCTGAACAAGCTCTTTTGCGGCAGCATCAAACTCAGTGTGAGCGGCATTGATCTGTTCCTCAGCCGTCTTCTGGATGTTCGCCTTGAGCAGGTTGATGTCCGACACGACTTTGCTAAGTTCCGACTTGGCCTTCTCCAGCGTAGAATCGTACTTGTTGTCGCGAGAAGAGTCGGCATTGATGACGGTGATGATGTCGTTTACGATCTTTACAACGTCCTGCACTACGGGTTCGCCGGCTTGCGCGACATTAAGGTGATCGATCTGCGCAATGGGCTTCGCTGGGGTTGCGGCAGCCTTCGCTTCCTCTACTGGTGCAGGCTTCGCTTCTTCCTTTGGCAGCAGTTTATGGCTGATGGAATCAGCAGGCTTCTCCTCTTTCTTGGCCTCTCAAGGGGCCTTGTCCGGGGTAGAGGGCGAGGCGACCTTGGGTGAAGGCGACGACTTGTCGTGAGCAGCTTTGGCATTGTCTTCGACAGCGCTGACATGCGGGCCACTGACGGCCAAGTCAGAGCCGCCCTCGGTGGCTAATCGCGAGGTAAGGCCGCTCTTTCCGGCTATGGTGACCTTGTTCTCACCCGTGGTCTGCGGGTGCAATCGTGGCTGGCCAGCACGTCCAGGGAAGCGTCTCCGGAACTCGCGTTCCTCAAAATAAGCCACGGCATCCTCGCCAAAGGGTATGTATTCGGTGAAGAAGTCGTGGAAGTTGTCCGAAACCAGCGAGTACCACACGCCACCAGCGTATCCGAGGGCAGACAGCAGCAACGTGTAGAACAAAAGGCGACCGATGCGACGCTTCTTCTTCGGCTTCGGTGCGCTCTTTGGGTCGGGAGCTACGCTGGCGTTTCCGGGGCCGGTAGGAGGGAGGGTCGTGGGCTGCTCGACGGGCGCAGAGCGGGAGGCAGCCGTCTCGGGAGCCGGTGGTGGCTTCGGGATGTCAGACGGCGGGATTGTCGCGTTTTCGACGGGTGCACCTTGCGACGGAGTGACGGAGGGCGCGGGATTGGGAAGGTTGGTCTCGCCCAGCGTCTTTTTATCGTCGGCGTAGAAGCGCTGGGCTTGCTGCCACTGCGGGCGGACCCTGGGGGCAATTGGCCTCAGGGCTGGCCGGGCGCGCAGGATCGAGGCGCGCAGCATGATGGCACCCTCCAATGCTTCGAGATGGGGAGTTCGAGGTTGGCGTTGGTCGTCCGACAGCTGCAGATTCTTGGAGAGCTCCAGCGTCACAAAGCTCGCACGGGCCGCTCACTGATCGATCCCGTTCCGGTCCGGTAAACACTTCGATCGATGCCTCAGGTCTACAACACCAAAGTCACCTGTCCCTCTCAGGGTCCAGCGCTCCATGAAGCGTTTGCCTGAATTTAATCTCATGGGATACTGTTTGCTCTTCACTAATCAGTCTAATAACCTATCTCTAATTTACATGCAGCTCTGCCACTCATAGGTTCCACGTTTCTGCGGCTGTCTCGGGCTTCCAAATGACAAACTCAAGTCCGGCATCCGGCTCCTACAAAAAGCACCTTTTCTCACCGACCGCACCCTCGACTCCCATCTTCTGATTTCTCACAAGGGTGCCGTTCGTACGACACGTCGCTGAGACACGTACTTGAACACCGCCACCTGCTCCTCGGCATTTCAACGTCATCGCACCATGACTCCTCTCCCTTCTAGGCAGCCATATCGCAACACCGATTGACCTCGCTCGCACCCGCCTGGCGCTCTTACCCCACTTCATCACCTGCATTGCATTTACACTGCAGTAATTCCATTCCGTGGCTGTTCTACCCCACTTAATTTCTCTTGCCGGAGCGATCTCACTCCAGCTACGCGGTCCTGATCACTTGGACGGAACACCTGTTCTCAGCCTCACCGAAAATGGACGATCCGAGTCGCGCAGGCTCCCACCTCGCGCGTGACCCATGTCTCTACCCCATGGACCCGATGGAGATGTCGTGCTTCGACATACGCGCTGCACATGTGCCAGTAATATCGGCACCACGGCGCTCACAAGATACCAGAACTGCAAAACGAAAAGGCACTTCATCTCCGCCCCGCATCTCACTTGAAGGTTACACCAATGGAAACGGGTACTGGATCACTTCCTCTCTCGTCACCAAGCGCAGCCGTCTACAACAAATCAACCAAGAATCACGACTGGAGCAGCAGATGCACCAAAGCACGTGTCTAAATTTGAACGCGGACGCACAAAATGCGGAAGCCGATCTCTGGATCTTGCCTGACTTCGACGAGTGGGAGATCGATAACGACCCCCCGCAGCAAGCGCACCACCAGACCAAGAAGAAGCAAGGCGCATGGGCACCGCTCGTCAAGCGCGCCGCGAGCTCGAATCGCGAGCGTCTTCGCCGGCGGCTTGAGGGTGATGGATGGGACTTCGTAGGCGGCAAGTACGGCGAGGACGACGCCGCACTGAAAGAAGCTGCTGAAACGAGCGAGGCAAGCCAGGAGAGCGTGGACGAGGAGTTCGACGTTGTTGTCTTGCCCATGGTACGCGCCGCCTGTTAACCGGACATGCAATCTGACCATCAACGTCCATTTACGTCGTGGTCAGACCTTCGATAATACCTCTACTACCTTCTTGTGGGTTCTTCTTGGCTCTAGCTCTGCTTACGACACGATTCACGACAACTCGTTTCTCGGTACATACATTCACTATCCTCTGTCTCTTTGCGTCTTAGATCTGTACCTTCTCTCATCACGGACCTCCCTCTCCTTTGTCCTAGCTATGTACCTCCTCACCAATGATACCCCGACCGCCTGTATCACCATTCTATGTAACAGTCTCCGGAGTTTTCCGTGTTTCACGGAGCGTGGCAAGAGTTGGCCATATCAAAAGTGGATTACACTATATATATGCACGTTCTCGGATGGCTCTTAATAATGTCTTTACGAACCCAATGAACTGGTACCAAACCAAACTCGTCGTACAAGTGATATATGCAATGAAAGCTTGCATTGTCGATGAAAACTGCCATCCTAATCATACAATCAAGAATCTCTAACTCTTCTCGCGTTTGGAGGAAGCAAACAGCCCGCTACTCTATCCTCTTCTTTCCCTCTTCCAGCCCCAACAGTCTCGCATCACTCTTGCCCCGCTCATGCTTCGTACCGACTAAGCCTCCAACAACAGGATTGTGCGACACGCGCGATAGGGTATCCTGCATCGACTCGATGGCGTGGGGAAGCCGGTTGAGCTTCGGCCAGTTGACCTGTGCATCCATCAGCATTTGATTTGTATTTCTTGACAGGTGATATGAGAACTTACGTAAAGCGTGCCATTGCTCCAGATGAAGTTCAAGGAGACAGCAGCGAGAGCCAAGCAAACTAGTATAATGATTCGAAGCGGCCACACCGCCGCCTCGGGCGCGCGACGTGTGAAGAGACCCACGAAGACGAGGAACATGCTGGCAGCGAGGATGTAAGGAATAGCCTGGATGAACAGGGGCCGACGGTCTGCGAATAGCAGCTGGCCCCCGATGGCAGAATCTGAAGGAAGGTAGGTGCCTAGGAAAAGATCGAAAGCGTCCTGTCGCGGGCCGTCTGCGAAGTTGTTCAGGAAGTAACGTGTGATGGAATTGTTCAGGTCCTGGAGGGCGCCCTGCTTGGTGCGGATACCAAGGCGGGTGAAGTCTGTCTTGAGTGCTCCAGTGCCGGAGTAGGACTTGGACACAATATCGGCGTTGTCGGCCCAGACGTTGCGGAAAAGAAACTCGAAGGCTTGATCGTCTTCTGCGTTTTCGCCTTCGCGGATGATGCCTAGATCAATGAGCATGCGCGAAAGTATGAACCGACCAAGCATGCTTTGTACGACGTTTGTCCTGTCTAGACAGTCCATGCAGTTCGTGCGGACAACAGCAGTCTGATGCCGTCGAACTTCGACCCGTCCGGAGTCGCCGGGCATGTCTACGCCTCGGAAGTAGCCGTGTTTGAGAACGTGTGGCGCAAGCTGATCCATGAGGAGCTTCGCGCGATGCCATTGCAAACCTTTGGTCTCATTGTGAAAGTCGAAATATACATAGTGGATGCGGTCATAGGTCGTTTTGGCCTGCTGTGGTTCTATAACGTGGAATTTCTCGGATGTGATTTGGTCGCCTTCGACGTTCTCCTCAGGGGAGTTGACGAGGTAGTCAACCATCTGCTCATATGCCTCTTTGACGTTCTTCTCACGGCCCTTTTGATTGACTAGATTGACAAGCCAATTGTCGCCATAGAGGCGGATCTGCTCGGCGAAATGCTTCTTGGCTGCGGGGAGGGCATTTTCGACTCCACGCACTTGAAGCCTCGGTGTGTACTTAAGGGTGTTGATCTCAGCCCAATAGACGGGTACGCTTCCACGCGTCTGAACGTAGGCCAGCACCTGCACCTCCTTGCCTGCATTACCACCCGCAGCGCCGTTCTGGTTGGATCCGTAGCCACCAAGTCCACCTGAAGCATGGTCGTTGAGTATGATGGTTTGTTCCGTCTCATTGAAGTTGGACACATTGCCGTTTTCGTCAATGCCCCTGGAAAAGTAACGCGTGCCCGCGCGTAACCGTGACCGACGGGTGATCAAGATGAAGGTCAACGGCGTTCCCTTGATGGAAGTGTTCTTGATCTCCATCATGCCATACATAACAGGCAGGATAAATGAGTCCACCTCGGGGTGCTGCCCGCTAGGATGCCTCTGACCATATCCCGTAGTGAGCCCACCACGAAAGTCGATCAGGTCGCTCTGCACGAATCGGTTCCAGAAGAAGCGGTCGTCGGCCCGCTTCCATAGCGGCACTGAAGGGTCAAGGTGTGCCTGTCGCTGGAAGCTGTTGGTGATATCGAACGAGTAGGAGAAGTACAGCGGGGAAGTCTTGATCAGGGTCTTGAGTAAGCTGAGGTACGTGTCCTCATCAGGATCGTGAAGTGGACGCTCGCGCAACGGCAAGAACTCTGTGGATACGATCTTGTAGATCATGTGACCCTTTATTCTACCCATGGGTTGGGCTTTGGTAATTACGATTATGTACTTGTCTTCACATGCTCATCAGCCGCGCTCTTGATACACGATGGAGTGTCGAACCTAGCCGCAGCTTGATCATTCCCAGAATGCCAGCAATGCTGGATACGCGCTTCGAGCCCAGAAGCTTTCCATCGTGCAGACGGATGTCACCGTTAGGGCGGTCTACCACCAGCGTCGGTGCAGCGGGCGAGGACGGCGACGAGAAGGCGTAGTGCGAGGGTGACGAGTGCACGTTGATGTCGCGGAACGGCAGGCCGGCAGCCATGGTTAGAGGTAGCGACTGTGCTGCAGCTGTATCGTAGACTAACTAGCTATGCTGCAGACCAGGTTGAACGGACAAGAGACAGTCGGGCGCAGTGAGTGTATATATTTGAGGATTCTGGATAGGGTCCAGATGTCGCCAAACGCACCTGCCCGCGCACGTATGCCAAGCCCCGTAGAGGCGCTAAGGTCCCTCGCCAGGTCGTCGTCACGCAGCTACCTTTCATTCATCCAGCGCTCAACGCACGCCATCTGCCTTCCCGACCGCTTCGGATACCCAAATTCCTCATCCCCTCCCGCGACACCTTCTCCCGTACCTGCCGTTCTCCCTATCGCCCGCCGCTCCTTCCCCGAACATGTCGGCAAGACCGCAACAGGGCGGCCGCCCCGGAGGCTCCAGGTTCGCGCAGTTCAAACTGGTGCTGCTAGGTATGATTTGAAGCACACACTGTCTTTCTAGTGTAGATTACTGACTAGTGCAGGCGAATCTGCCGTCGGAAAGGTGCGCGTACATATTCAAGGCAGCAATGAAATAAGCTCACATGATGTAGTCTTCGCTGGTACTGCGCTTCGTGAAGGTACGCTTTGGAACTAGACCTACTGAGGCCGTAGAAGTTAATGTGGTTACAGGATCAATTTGACGACTACCGAGAGTCCACCATCGGCGCCGCATTCCTCACCCAGACCATCGCCCTCGACGAGTCCACCACAGTCAAATTTGAGATCTGGGATACGGCTGGTCAGGAGCGCTACAAGTCGCTCGCGCCCATGTACTACAGGAACGCCAACTGTGCCGTTGTAGTATACGATATCACACAGGCTGTAGGTGTTGGAGGGTATCAGGAAGGAAGCATCCCGCTAATAGCTACAGTCTTCGCTCGATAAGGCGAAAGCTTGGGTAAAGGAGCTCCAACGCCAAGCGAACGAGAACATCATCATCGCCCTTGCCGGTAACAAGCTTGATCTTGTTACCGAATCGCCTGATAAGCGGGCCATCCCCGCTGCCGACGCAGAACAGTACGCCCGCGAAGCCGGCCTCCTCTTCTTCGAGACCTCCGCAAAAACTAGCGAAAACGTGCGGGAACTGTTCACTGCCATTGCTAAGAAGCTCCCCCTGGATCAGGGTGGTCCACGGAACCTCCGCCCGGGTCAGGGACGACAGAGTGTAAATCTCGGGCGAGACCAGACGCAAACGCAAGGACCCGCAGGCTGCAATTGTTAGAGAGAGATTTGCATTGTTCGATTGTTATTCGTGCGCTTGCAGGAGGCAATATCACGAGCCTCTGCTGCGTTTGTGCGCTTTGACCTGGTTGTCCATCCCTTGCCATCGGACATATTAGGCTGGTCTTTGGAGTTGAAGGGGTTGTTCACTTTGCGCCTAAGAGATGAGTTTCGAGGCTACTCGACCATTAAATTTTAATCGGTTCTGTCCAGCTTTTTCTTGTTCATTGTTAGGTAGGGTCGTCATCTGCAGGCTATATCCACGTATATCTCGAATTTCTGAGTCTCACTTTCATTCTTATCATGCAAGAGATGTTGCGTTTCCCGATCACTTCTCTTCTTGCAGAAACCGTTACGAAACCCCTGAACTCACACCCATTCGCTATACACAGTGCCCTATCCAGACACCGACGTGATAGGAAACAACCAATCCTCCTCCCGCAAGTACATCGTTCCCCTTTCCGTCTCCGTCACATTGATCCCATCCACCCAGTTCGTCTCCTGCCTGGCGGTTCCCATGTTTGTAGAGGTACTACCTTCACGTCAGTATCTTCAACATGTCAACAGGCGGGAGCAACCCGCAACCCCTTTCTGTTTACTCACGCATGCATCTTCCGTCTCAACACTACCTCATCCTCCGTCACCTTGTACAGCAACTCTCTGTTGGGTCCGCATACCTGCGTGCTGGTGGATGTGGAATTGGTGGTGCAGACAAGATCGCATTTGTTAAGTGGGTCCGTGTCGTGGAAGTGGAATGTTACGATGGTGTGATTGGAGAGGGAGACAATGGTTTGGAAGTGGGCGATGAGCCAGGTAGGCTGGGTTCTTGGGAGGGCAGATGCAGGGAGGGCTAAGGCAATGTGGAGGACGGTGAGGAGGAGGAGGATTGGGAGAAACATATTGCATGCGAGGCGGTGGAGACCGACAGAGAGGAAAGGGAAAGGAAGGCAGGTTGCGGTGGTGGTTTGGCGCGTGTGCCGGACTTATACGGGCGCAGTAGGTAAAGCAAGGAGAGCTAGGTGAGCGCTTCCAATCTTCGTATGCTGGCTAGGGACGTACTGCCGGAGGTGGGGACAAACTTATCCGTTGGCGATCGGTGCTACCGGCGATCAGGGTACCGGTGCGTGGCATGTCCCAGCTAAACGCGTTCTGGGTAGACGCTACTATGGTGTGTTGTCCTGTTTTGGCTCTTCCACTACAGACAAACATATCTGGAACTCCATTGACGCCGCTTCGACAGTAACGATCCAACAGATGCCTCCGGGCTTGCTCAAAGCCGAGTACCACGTTACCTGCGTACGGCCAGCTAGAAAAGGAGAGCAGTTAGTGAGATATCTGGGGCACACCAGTTGACAAATAGACTCAAGCTCTGTCTCAAACTACGTTGTTTGACTGCGCTTTTGCTGTTGAACCGCTCGGTCTTGGTCAGATGCAACGTGTCTGTAGTACTTGTGTGACTGTAGCTGCTAAGACTTCTCTCCCTTCTGTTTGCCACCTCTCGCATGTCCGCTCGAGTGAGAAGAACGGTGAAATGAGCCGACATGCTAGCATTTTCGAGTTTCACTCGGCCATTGAGTTATTCGCGATGACAGCTACATCGAAATATTGTGAGTGCTGCACATTGTCTCGGAGACTATCTACGTTCTCCAAGGGTTCGTAATGATCCTAATCTATGCTGAAAGCACGTCTATGCATCGCCCAACGCTGAGTGGTACAAGCAGTACAAATGTAAATTTACCTCTCTAGTGCCTGTTCGGCATGGCACACAGGGACTCGGATTATTGGAACAGAAGAGGCATGTTCATTGATGGAAGAAAACACTAAGTGAGCAGCCCATAACAAGTTGTGTACAATCAATTGGAGGCGCAAGGTAAGTAGCTAATTTACATGTTTATTGCTATCATTGGACTACGGATCGACAAGTCACATTTATTCATTACCGAATGCTGCTCTGTTCGCAGCCACGATTTGCTTCATCATATTACTTAGTCCAAACTGATCGATTATTTATCTTGATACGTCAGCGCAGCGGGGAGAAGGGAAGGGAACAGCCTCACAGGTTCGTGGTAACAGAAAGATCTTTCCAAGCCTCCAGGCTCTTCGTCTCCTTCTCGAGAACGCCAGCAACAAAACCTACCGCATCAGGGCCAAGAAGTAGTCTCCTAGGAAGCTCCCTTCCCTGAGCTCTTCCCGTTCCGGTAAGTGCCTCTACAATGAGAGCTGCACCCTTGACCGGATCGCCGGGCTGGTTGCCGTTGAAAGCTTGAAACGCACCCTTCAGTGGCGCCAGCACAGGTTCGTATTCGGGAATTGGGTTTTTGGAAACAAACTTGTTATCTCCAGCAAGGAAGTTGGTGCGGAAGTACCCAGGTTCAATCACGGTGACCTTGATGCCGAAGGACGCGACTTCCTCGCGTAGAGACTGAGCGATACCTGCGATGGCGAACTTGACACCACAGTACAAACCGCAGGCTACGCCGCCCTCCCAGCCGGCGATACTGCCCATGAAGGCGATGGTTCCGTTCTTCTGGGCTCGTAGGATGGGTAGAACGGCCCTGGTGACAGCAACATGCGCAAAGACGTTGGTGTGGAAAGCTGCTTGAATTTCCTCAGATCTATGTTTATTAGACTATCCAAATAAAGGTACTTGGTCTGATTACTTACGAAGCCTCCTCTACCGCCCCCTCCCAGATGTAGCCTGCATTGTTGATAAGAACATCGATGGTGCCGTAGACAGCTGCGGCTTCCTTGACGACCCTCTGAATCTCAGCGTCGGAAGCATTAATGTCAAGGCTGATGGGATGTGCGCCGAGATTCTTGAGCTCAGTGAGCTTGTTGGCGTTTCGTGAAGTCGCGATGACCTTGTGGCCTGCCTGTAGTGCTTGTTTGGCAATCTCAGCACCAAAACCGGAAGAGGTGCCCGTGATGAAGAATACGCCCATGATAGTAAATTGTCAATTGAGCGTTGAAAATCCGAATGTGAGAATGTCTGAGTGAGAACTGAGTATCAAATGCCCTGAGTGTAAAGGCTGACGTTCAGACCTATAAGGACGGATGGCGCCTCCTTCTTATATCTTTAAGTCCCCGATAGTCGTCGCCTACGTCAATATCGCAAATTCTTCGTTGCCTTGCATTTTTTACTCTCTACATGTGTGTGTACGGACAAATACCTGGACAGGTGGAATTCCACTATGCCATAGGCTTACAGAGCGCAGGGCGAAAAGCGATGCTCGAAGCGAGTACCTAAATCCGACGGCACAGCACCTGGATATGCAAGACTAAGTCCGTTGGTTACCGTTCGCTTAGACACCCCAGCCTGACCGGTCACCTAGAGGGATAAGCGAGCACTATGCACCAATGACGAACGCCTGCCACATGGCAGGGCAGTCAGTACCTATGATACCAGTTGTAAGGTAGATATGATCATATAGAAGAATAGTTATGAGTTCGTTATGCTCGAAAGAGCGCATGTAATGAACAGTCTTTAAGACATATCGTCCAACCAGAACAAAGTCCTGGTCAACTGGGTGTAACCCAGGTTGACGAACGCGAGAATTCCACTTTGTCCAAGTAGTTATTACGGCTTGAGATGGTGTAAATTGATTTCATGCGCGAGCATCTTAGGGACCTGGCGAGTGCCTTCTCTCTAGCCATGGATCCCGCCCACTGAAAGGATCGGTAAGCGAACGCCGCATTCATGCATCGGGGCTTATGCTAGTGGAGCATTGAAGGCGTCATACGCTAGTATTTCTGGCTTTGCGCCTAGACTTCTGGTTGAACTTGCTCGTTCTTATACAACTAGAAGGTCCTTCTTCTCCAAGTCCATCGAGCCTGAGCTTACCCGAAGATGCGGGGCGTAAGGCAACCAAGCTTGGTACGCTGGCTATGACTTAGACACTGATTTTCAGTGAAATCTAGGATGGGACTCGGGGCTGGTTTAACTCTCTAGAACAGGTAATCCTTCACCCTTGTCACTATGGTCGTACAGTCTTGGTGAGTCAGCCAGTCGCAAAGGTTGTCGAAATCTGGAAATACTACCGCGCTACAAGAACACAGCTTCTACATAATTCCACAACTAAACATTATCTTCTTGCCAAGGTGAAACCCAACCACTTTGCAATAAACAATGCTGTTTTAGATGGCCAGTCTCTACGCTAACATAGCAGAACAGCCGCATTTCTATACTATTTCAGACGTCGTTTGGTCTATAGAACTATCCGATTACTCCTAGGGACATGCTTCCGTACATTGCGAATCGATAATGTCTGTCATTGAAATACGATACGCTCAAAAGCAGCTGCTAACTAGTAATATAACGAGAGAATGCAACTCATACTACTGCCCACACAGTTCCCCCAAAATTTGCTATCGTATAGAACAATTGAAGCCCAAGAATCTTGAAATTCTTCATTTCTTAGAGCTGGAGAGGTCGTTTCCAGCCTCGTCAAGCTCCACGACTCCGCGTTTGCCAGAGCTGAACAGCTCATTGCCAGCCTCGTCGAGTTCCACGATCGCACGCTTTTCCGTGCGGGCGAGCTCATTGCCAGCCTCGTCAAGCACGACAATTGCGCGCTTCACCTCCTCAGCGTCGGGACGAATCTCTGGCCATGTGAGATCCTTGGGATTGATGTCCCATTGCACGGATTCCAGGTCACGCTTGGCACCCTTCTGCGTTGCGTGATAGTACCTGCCCTCTGACCGAACGTAGTAATATACCAATTGCGCAATGACGACGCCTACTGCACCCAGAATGTTGTACTTTTTGTTGTCACCGCACTTCGAGAGATCATTTTCATGCCACGCCCTGCACATCTCTCCCATAAGGTGTTCGTCACTAATTCCTATCAGTAAGATTGACTGTGGTGACGATAGGCAAGTTTTCCTCTTACTCCGCACGAATTTGTACTTCAAACCACTGGTCGTAACCAATGACATCGCCACCATAGTTTCCATTGTACCCGTTTGTAACACATCCTGCCTGACCTAGATGGTGTCAGCGAAAAATGCAACAATATAGACAATAGGTATTGTCAACTCACTTCCTTGTTGGTCTTGCGGACCACCTGTGAGATATCTATGCTCACCGGGTTGCAATCTCACACTTCTCCAGGGAAAGTCTTCTGGGCTTATGTTCGAGTCGCTAGCTCTCGTGGTACCATATTGGTTGAGTTTATCGTCGTGAAAGGGCTCATTACCTGCCCCGCCTTCTGTAGTCTGCGACGAAGGAAAAGATCTGTCGTCGGGACCTCGTTGACTGTGGGATTTCCCGTTAGCTTCGGTGAGGAGTTCTCTTCCTTGAGCGAGATACTGACAAGATACTCGAGCCAATTATACAGAGCATGATGTAGCAGTCGATCTCGGCGAGGTCTGTCCAACCTTCGATTCTGAACACCCCTCGTCTTGGTCTATCTCTGCTGCTTCCATCTCCATATGTGACTCTCTTTGCGAGGGGATTTAGGCTCACATCGCTGACTGGTGCAGCAAGCGTTATAGACGATGTGAAGGACAGGAAAATGGCACAAATTCTAATCGAAAGCATGATGAGACGTGCGTAATCTTGAAAGAGGCTGAAGTACAATAGGCTGTCAAGTAGAGATGTGGCCTAGCGAGTTCTCCTGAATTGTTCTGAGAACAGAGGAACGGATGGGAGAGTCATGAAATTGATGAAAATGCGGACTCATTATATATTCCCCCCAGAGGGCGCTGCATCACACCACAGTAACTTGTTTGAAACCAATGACAGAACTCAGGCAGGGCCTCATGAAGGTCGCGTGCGACTATCCCAACGTGTTGACCTCCATACCTGGGCGAAATCTGGGTCCGGATTCAGGTTTCGGATGATCAGTGAGACTTTGAAGCAGATATGCGGCAAAGTTGCACATGAATCTGCCTTACTCGGGCGGACGATATGCTGTGTGAACATACATGTACGTACATGATTACCTGCCGGATTGCTCAATGTAGAACTATGGATCGGAAACCGTGGAACCCTTGATCGGCAAGATATCTCTACCTCGAGTGGAGAAGTTTCTGCAGGACCTGAAACCAGGTGGTACTGTGACGGTACTCTTGTGAGCCCGCCCCCACATTGACCAACAACGGACGCTGTAAGCCCGCCCCCACAATCACCAACAACGAAACGCTGTTGAACATGGCACGGAAAGACATACACGAGCTGACTTAGGGATGTAACAGAATAGTGAAATAGAGGCGGCTCTTTCGTCATCTACACTCCTGCGTCCAATCAGTGATGCTATCAAGTTGCGTCATGTCTTTGCGTTGATGACAAGCTCCACATATAATCCTGTATACTTGACTTCCGGCTTCAGTGTGTACATTCCTACGATCGACAATGACGACTTTTCGAGACATGTTTTCAGGCTGTGCACAGCAACGATCATCTTTGCAAAGGGCAGCCGGGCGAGAAATGCACATAAAAAGGGTCAAGAGTATCCGTCTCATGAAATCCCAACACAACAATCAAGTCAGAATCAATAAATCACTTCAACCAACTTCAACGTTTCTCTGATTTCCTATATCAACCAACTTTTGTCTTCCACAAAGCCGAATACCAGATTCACAATGCAATTCTCAGCTGTCACTCTTCTCATTACCAGCCTCATGGCAAACGGTTTGATGGCTAGTCCTTTTGCCGCGGGTGACCTTGTTGAGCTGAACGTTGAGCAACGCGAAGGTGGCTCCATCGTCCAGTACGGACAAAGCAAGAGGTCCATGGCGCCGCGAGCGGATTGCGGAGGATGGTTCCAGGCAGAATGTCCCAAGATTTGCAGAGAGACCGACATCAACTCGCCCGAATGTGACACCAAAAATGGCGGAACCAATACGGTCTGCGATAGCCTTGTTAATGACCTTTACGGAAATAGAGAGACTGTACTACAGGACAAGGCTCAACAGATCTGCTGGAAGAACGAGGATGGAAACACTGGATGCTGCATCAAGTGGACGAAAACGGTGACGGGCATCACCAAGGGAGACTTGATCGAGCGAGCCGATAAGAGTACGTGGACATCGCATCCTGGGTCATTGGCCTCATGTGTTCAATCGATTATGCTAACTTCTCGTAGTCAAGTCAACGTGCGACGCCAACGGTATTTCAGGAAAATACAACACCGTCAACATCCGCGACGTCTGCTTGTCCTATTGTATGTCCTCTGGTGCCGGATGCAAGGACGAGTCCGACTTTTCATGAGCTAAAGGTGGAGGGGGGATTTGATTATGGTCTGAGCATGTGCTTTTGGACCCGGTATCTCTCTCGTTTTTAGAAAGTCTTTGTCTTTTGCTGCAAGCACGATGTAGTCTACCATGTCAATAAGCGAGTATGTTCAGTACTCTCTCGTATCGCAATAGATTGATCGAATAGAAGGATCTCCCGAGGTCATTTCATTATCCTATGTGCCAAATGTGAAGCTTGCAATGAGCAACCGAAGTTAGAGACGTTATTTCACTGCTGGTCTAGTTTTTCGCATCCAACAGACCCTAACCCACTGTTCAATAGTTTAGCGCGTGCATCTCGTGCTAAAGGTTCGATCTGACTTCCATGTCCAAAGGAAAGAAAGGTCAAACCAAGTTTCAACAATTAACTTGGCCTCACTTGAGTCGCAGTGAATATTGAATGAGTTGAAGATCAATCTGAGTTGCTCAAAGCTTAGCGCTCAGTTCCGGTGCCTAGAAGAAGCCCGAAGCATCAGGCAACTATGCCGGAGCCAGATCATCAAAGCTGGAGGGTAAAATTGGGGCAAGCTGTGAACAACTGGTCCAGTTGCAGATCGGATATGATAACTCGAAACCTACAATGGGTAAGCTTAGGAAGTGTGTCAATCACGTGAAAAGGGGTTTGTATCTTACCCAATCAATAGCTCATATTCGCCGGCAGAAACATGAAATTATTGAACTTCACAGATATATCTCTTGAGCTTAGTCTGTGACTGCATTTGATGCTGAGAAAGGCTGTTAGTCATGTGCTAGATGCAGTATGTTGCCTAGGTACCATTTATCTTGGCGAGTAAGACGGAAACTGGGAAAGGCTGAGTAGGGATGTCCGACAACCTTCCCGGTCGCAGGAATAAGCATGGTCCCATCAGTCCCACGATCGATGACTTCCTTTCCCGGGTCCGCAGGATTCTCAGGCTGAACCTGGCATTCAAAAACACAGCCCGAGAAATGGAATATCCCACAGAACTTTGGCCTAACGAGGGGGCTCTGCAAGCTAATGACATGGTTTTCAGGTTGTTGCGGTTCCGGAAGATACAAGATTGGACCCCAATGCGAAAATGATGTCATAAAGGTACCCAACATGTGAGACTGCTTTCATAGCCTTGCCCTCGAGATAATTCGTAGACGATAAAAATAACACCTGTTTACGCCGTGGACATTGGAGGGCCGCTAAGCATGTTGACGATCAAGCGTTGGTGTAAGGTTAACGATGGTTCCAATTGGTGGCACGTAGTCCCTGTGTCTTACTCGACGATCGTTTGTCTCGCATTGGTGCTGAAGAAAGGAGCTGTCCTACACGTCGATCATTTGTCTCGCATTGGGGCTGGATGAAGAAGATGTCTTACTCGTCGATCTGTCTCGCATGGGGGCTGAACGAAGGAGATTTGTTTTGCTCTGCGTAATATGACGTCAGAACACGTTGCCTTCTTCCAAGCCACGAGTGATATAAGCACGACGATTCTACACATTACACGCTCAACCTTACGACGTTCATGAATAAATTTCTACGGATAGTTCGACCGCCGAAACTTCAACATGAGCAACAAGACCAAATTTGATAAGGATGATATTTTATTCCATCCATCTCTCCCTGTTGTTTATTCAAAAATAAGGGGACTGGCCAAGGAACTTGCCGTCCTCGGTAAAATCGACTTCGCTTCCAAAATTACAGATCTTCTACTGTCGCAAAATCGTACAGAGCATGGGTTCAGTCAAATGCAGTTCCTGAAGTTTGCCTTCGAACAAACAGGTGACTGGCCATCTACCATTCCTGAATCAGCACGAAGCAAGGACGCCCTAAATGAGCTCGAGATTCCGGCCTCAGGCTCAATGGATGAACAAAGATACAATGAGCTCATCAACCGGACGGAATTATCTCAACGAGATCCCCCTCTTTGTCTCACCATTGCAGTTGTATTATGCGAGGAACGGGGCAAGACAGATGTAGAAGAAATCCAACAAGATGAGAGAGTCGTCAGAGCGCTCGAGCAGATCACGGAGCATTTCCACGGCTATGTCGGGGCCCTGATACAGCACCGTAAAATCTGGCCCCTCCTAGCCAGTGGCGTAATTGCGCAGCAGTTAGGGGTCGACGACGCAAAATTGTGTGCGACGGCGGAGGACGTAGTAGACACAGTTCGCATACGACTCGAACAAGGCCGACAGAAGGGCGAACATGAAGGGAGACCGATCAAAGAGCTGCTCCAAAGCCTCGTAGAGAATACGAGGAAGAACGCAGGTACTCTCTACGAAGAGTCACATCAAGATCCGCCAGAGAGCTATTTACACAAACCCGCAACAGAAAAGGATATCAAAGATATGGAGAAGCGACTCAAGATACTTCCTTTGCCAGATGACTACAAAGAATTTCTCCTCGCTTCTAACGGTCTTGAATCGGTTTACGATGGCCAAGGGATGACACCACCGTTATCCAATACTCAGAATGTTGTGCTCAGCAACCTACAAAGTCCTGTCGAGGTTCCATTGCAATTGATCGAAGATTCAACAGGAACAGCCCAATTGATTCGTGAAGCCGGATACGATGCATGGCCGTCAGCTACCAAGCAACTCGAGATTGGACGAATGAACGAGCATGTGTACGTTCTAATAAGTCCCTCTGACGTGAAGGCGACCATAAAGGCCTACAGGAAGGCACTGGCCAGTGACAAAGTCACCGATGTTATGAAAGCAGAGACCATTCGTGCAATTGAGGATCTGTATGGCTCCCTGGAAGATTTCGAGAAGATGGAATGGGCTATGGTATATACCGTGGATTTTCAACCAGTCTGCCCTGTTGGTACCTTCCGGAATTGGTTGGAGGAGACGGTTCGCCTATCTGGCAAGGCGTATAAGAGTAACAGCGGCAACCCTTGTCTCGCATACGGGTGTAGGGCGGAACAGGCGAGGCGTGGCTAATAAGTTGGGCTAGCTAAGATAGCGGGGTACCTAGCTCTTGCCTTTTACTCCCCCACTGCTCTGCGCCGTCAATACCTAGGTAGCACATCACTAAGATTTTCCACTTTCCCACACCCCCAAAAGAATGTCTTCCGTCTCCCAATTAATCACCTACAACATTCCCTTTCCCCCATAGACTACAACGTCGTCCGCGCAGATATTTCAGTTTACCTTGGGCCCATGGCCACAGTTGAAGCCACCGTTGATGACAACAACGGCGCCCCATGCGAGTCTACCAAATCACCGCACCGAGGGAATTGACACCTATCGAACTTGAGGATATAGAGAAGGACACTGAAAAGTGGAATGGGGAGTTCATCAAGTTTTTGAAAGAAAAGCCGTCAGGAAGTAAAGAACATATGTTGCAATCTTGCAGTTCTACATTTGTCCCGATGGAACAAGTGGGGAGTTGCTAGCTGACTATTATGATAGACATTGAATATAAGGACTCTGAGATTCGTCGTGCGAGGGTGGAAGGGGGTTCTACGGAGTCAAGGGAATGAATGAACGCGGCAGGCCTCGACCGGCGATAACTTGTGGCAGGGTGTTCCTCGACCCACAGTGAGGAACATTATCATAGCAGCGTTTGCATTCGACATATCGAAATGAAAACTGAGTGCACTGGCAATTTGATTTAGAATCTACTATTTGCATGTATGATTTATTAAGGAAAAAAGATATGCTAGTTCGATGTTGAAATTGTAAAGTTGAGATCGACAGTCCCGAGTACCCAGAAGTCTCGTCCACCACTCAGAATGCTTCGTGATTGCTCAGAGGCTTTAATCAGAAGTGTACACGTTCTTGACCTTTATTGAAGCCCCAATACGTTCGACTTCGTACCGTCCGCTACCCACCCAGATGGTAGCCTTTGCCGTCTCGAAAATGGTCCACTCCAACATCTCATCCACCCGTTCCACAGAAATGACATTCTCGATTGTGTAGTCATTGCATGGAGGAATGGTTACAGTTGCCGACAGATCAAAGCCATCTGCCGTAGGCGCACGGACCTCGACGGTTCGTGACTTGCCCTTCACTTCCGAAACAATGACGCCTTCCTCAATTTGCACTCGACGTCCAACACTTGTCTCAAGCATCAGAGCCTTACCTGGAATGTCTATGGATGTCACGCAATCGACTTCAAACGCGCACCCTGGATTGAGATAATACTGTATCTGGACGTCCCGTGAAATGGCAGTCTGCGGTTGAGGTTGCGATGGAACTGCTGTACTGACGAGAGCCGCGGGAACTGGTATATCCACAGGTTTAGGGTCAGAAAGTATAGGCACCAGCTCACACGCAGTTGTATCCTCTTGCTCGAAGTGAATCGCAGTCTCGCTAAGCAGACTCTCTAGGATGAAAAGAGCATTTAGCGCAGCAAAATCAATGCCTAGCCCTGAGCACTGCTCGAACTCAGCATTTACGCTCTCACTAATGGCAGTTAGTGCGTCCACAGATAGGAACCGGTCGAAGGCATTCTCAACGAAGTCGTAGTCTGCCTGCGTCAGAACTGCGTTACGTAGACGAATGATATCGTATGCGAGAAGCACGACAGCCACGGATTGCGTAACGGCCCTTGCATCCTTCTCGGTTGTTGTGCAAATGTCGACACAAGTCTCAAGGAGAGGCTTCAAGAAGTCGTCTTCCCATTTCGGTTGCGCATTGACTGCGGTGCGTATGGAATTACCAAATTTACTGCAGATGAAACTGTCAGCAACAGTGCTTATGGCATCTCCAGGACGGCTCCAATCCGCCCCTATCCCTTCACGTATAGTTAACGCTGCAATTCGAAGCAAGTGTTCGTAATCGGATACGATCTTTTGCTCAGAAGAGTTTATGAGATTCGAATTGTGTCGCATGATGCCAGATATGCGTATGTTGTTCCTGTAACTGAATAAGGGACGCGGATGGTTGAGGCAGCTTTTATAAGCAGGATGATCAGCATTGTATCCGCATGATGTTCCGCAAAAACCTCTTTCACATCGGATCTGACATTGTTGTGCCATTGTCTCTGTAGAATGTAAGTCTCTGAAAGCTTTCGCCTAGTCTTGTTAGAAGCATGTGAACATCGACTGCAATTTACGGGGGGAACTGGAGCTTTTCATAAACTTCAGACAGGGCAGGGAAGTTTTGAAAGGAGTTCGACTGGCATTGAAAGCGCATTCCCTAAGCCCGGAACCCTACGATACATACTGTGCTTTACCAGAACAAAACGTCGTTCAAATTTCATGGCCTTCGCTTAATAAAACAAGTATGGTTATTTCACACAGTGCTTACCTCTCAATTACACATAGCTGGCGGGCCTACTAGTATGGGTTGAAAATACCTGTGGTTCCTAGCGCACAGCCTCAGCGGTGAACCCACGGTCCACTTCACCGCCCGACCATGGACAGGAGCCTGCCCCTCATAAACAAGGCTAGAAGGCGTGCATAATTGGGCTATACGCCACCACGCCCACACCATATGGATCAACCTGCAAGCACATCTCTGGGAGCTTCAGCCCACGAGGTTCGGGGGGCGCCGCGCTACCACGCTCAACGCACGCTCGCCACGCACGAACGTCGACCACCGACCATGAACATCAATGCGACCTTGCCCGATTTTTCTGACTATCAAAACGATCTCTTTCGTCGCCGCAGGAGTATAGCGGAAGACCTTGGGGCCACGTGTAGCATCTGCCAGACCGACTTTCCAGCGGAATATTGCAACAACAGGGTCGTCAAAACTCCGTGCGAACACCTCTTCCATTTCAGCTGTCTGGTTAAGTGGCACATTAGTAACAACGCGGGCCGCAACACCTGCCCCTTGTGCCGCACGAAGCTGTTCAGGATGAATGCGCCCACACCGGCTGCTCAGCTCGATCCAGACGAGGTAATGGCCGCCATGAGGGCACGTGTACAAGAGATGGGCGAAGCCGCGGTGCTACAGAGGAGATCTCCAGATGAAGTACAGCTTGTCGAGGAGGTTTACCCTGTCTTTTCGGAAGAGATCGCCTCTCGAGCTGGTGTGTACGCGGAGCCCGAGCAAGACGACGAAGTGGCGATGAACGATCAGGAGCAAGAATTTGCCGTCGATGAACTATTCCAGGAAGCCCGGCGACGACGTCATAGCCACGGATACCTTTCTTGGTCTGAGCTTGATAACCCCAATGTCGACCCGATGGATCATGGCGAAGCGAATGCGAACAATGCGCGAACTCGAGGAGACAGCATCGATACCCTCTTTGTGGAACACCCTGAGGACGATGGTATAGATATTGATGCCCTCATCAGGGAATCCCTTGAGGATGGCGATGGAGATATCGAAAACAATCGCTCCCGAAGCAGGGCTGCTTACCCCGTCGTAGTCGAGGAGGGCGACAGCGATGACGAAGATGCGCGCCTTTACATGCTCGGTCCACCATCTCGTCGTCGACACCAAGCACGGCGAAACATGCAAATCCAGCGCGATCACCTACGAGACGCCCTCTATAGTCGTGTAAGTACCATGTCTCAGGTCAGTCGTGCGAGCCGAGCCCGCCGTGAGCGCAGGGCAGACGCTAGGCACCGTAGAGTGCTCGAAGGGCTGACCCAAGAAATGGGTCCGGATGACGAGGAAGTCCAGCCAGGCAACAACGCAGGAGCTATACCAGGCTCACACATACCGACCGGCTTAGACCTCCCCCAGGGCTTTGCTAGAGATACTGACCCCATTCCTTGGTACGCGCCCACAAGTCCCCAGCACGCACGTTTTGGCACTCTACCAGACGTCCTTTTCGGACGCAGCCCTACCCCCGGCCCAGGCTCACCTCTGGACCCGCGCCATCGCTCAGCCTCTTCGGCTCCGATTGCGGCTCGTGTTTATGCTCCTGCTCTTGCGCCCGCTCCCAATGCCGTTCCAGCCCGGAGGTCCGACCATCTTACCGTGGATGAGCAAATCCAAACGGCACGTAGTAACATCATGCGGAATTACCACTACGTGGGCGAGTTCGCGAACGTCGAAACGATAGCGCATGATGGTTGGTATCATACGGTTCTTCAGAGGCACCCTGATGTTCTCGTGGAGGTTCAGGTGCGTGCTGATGGGTACTGCATGATTGGGGAGCATGCTATTTTCTTCCGGTTCCGTCGCTGAAGAGCTAAATGAGCCTGAAGGCGGTCTCTGGATATGAGGTATGATGGGATTGGATTACAGGAAGTCTGAACGTGAAAGTGGAACGAGACCGCTTTGGTATGTGAAGCAATAGAGCAATGGACAAACTGGGTAGGACTTTGGGAGGCTTTTGCTCCAATTGGAGGATGAGGCACCAGCGGCTTGGATGACAGAGTTTGGAATTTTCGGAAAGAATGTTTATGGGCTCAACCATTTGAGTGGCAAGTACACGAATCCCAGAGTTCTGTATTCCCACTTTGCGGTATTGTGAACACATGGTGAAGTCTTGGAGGTGCATGCCTTTTCCCATTGCGCCCGTAGAACATCGATCATCTGTTTGCAAAATGCCATTAACGTGTTTGTATTATGGAAATGCAAGAACCTCGACCAAGCTTGATGAGCTACTACAAAACCTCAACGCTAGGTCCTATATATTGGTGCTCATTATGCCCACAAATGCTTCTGACATTGCACTCTTAGAAGCCACTTCATAGCAAGGGCATCACGCCGACTCAACAGCCGCCCAACTCCAACCACTGCCCCTAACATCCCTCAGTATCTTCCCCCGCAACTCTTCTCTCGCATTCTCAAAGTCCGCCCAACCCTCCGTTTCCACAATCGCCGAATGTTGCTCAATCATAAAACCTCTCATCTTGAGCGTCACGAGCATCCCGAACATGGACAACCCCACGCTTCCATCCTGCGCACCGGTACGACTGAAGCTCAACCACTTTGCCCTAGGGCGCCCATAGCTACCCAAGTCTTGAAGCACCTTGTAATAGCACGCCGTAAGATCCGGCGAGCCATCCGTATACCGGGGGGCCGGCGCATTCGGCGCAAACATGTCGAGGAAGCGTTTCTGAATGAGGCCGGAGATGAGTGCGCAGTCGGATTCGTAAGCAGACTTGTCAGAGGTGACGAGATAGCCGGTGTGTTCGTCAACGTACGAGTCGCGCCATGCAAACTTAGTACCAGGCATCCAAACGACAGTACGTTGAGCCAGTGTGAGTGCGACGATACCTTCCCAGATGAAGAGACGAGTGCCGCAGGCGGGGCAGCAGTCGTTCTTATGGCCGCGTCGGTTGGCGTCCTGGCCGACGACGTGGTCGATGAAGCAGCGGTAGTGCATCCAGCAGCCGCACGTGAGAGGGAGGTAGGTCGATCGGACCTTCGCTGCGTCGTGCAGCTTACCACATGCTGAGCAAAAGTTGTTTTCTGAGGGGGGGTAATTGTGTTCGGAGCGCCGGCGCAACAAGTCGTTGTCGACGTATTGAAGGAGCGAGGGAAGTAGGGTGATATCCAATAGCGGCCGTGTCGCAGTTTGCGTGGTAAAGGTACGAGATGTTTGCGTAGCAGCTTGGTCACTGCGCTTGTTCGCTACTGGTGTTGCTCTGCTTCGGTCCATGTGCGGCTGCCAAGAGTGAATTGATGGAGTCGTAACCCCGCCGTGTTCCCCATCGCGAGTCTTATGTGCGGGCGGCGCGAGCAGCTGCATACTTGGCGAGAGCTGGCCATATGGAATAGACGAATAAGCCAAGGCGGCAGCAGCAAGCGTTTGTGCGTTGGGAGCAGACATGGTTGATTTGGTAGGTTGCGCGTCGAGGTCGAGGCATGGAGAAGCTGCTAGGGAACGGGTTGTTTATGAACATGGAAGGCGCTGTCCACTCAACCTGGGGTCCGCGGTGAAGGCGGACAGGGTCACTGGGCAATTACCGCACGGCAGTGAAATCAGCAACGTATCGTGACTATGGAAATGGGACCGTGTTGTACACGTGACTAGAAGTGGTTTGATTTCATTCTCCAATGCTATACATGGATGGTCTGGCTTTAAGCCTCTAACTGCCTGCTTCTGCAATGCCTATTGCCGTGTAACTCAAGAGTCCCAGGCCTAGGTCGTTTGTCATGCTAATCCTCAATCGCCCAATCATTTGAAAAGGCTTTTTTTTTTGCAGCCCCGTACAGAATGCAGCTATCGTCAAAGTCCACTCAATACAACCTATCTGCTAACCTTTCTTCTTGAAAAGAATGCGCCGGCAGATCGGACAGTCATCAGGTACCTTCTTGTTGTCCTGCCAGAAAACGTACTCTGGCGTTGGGAGGGGGGATGATAGGGATGTTGACTTGGCGCAGCATTTCTTGCAAGTCTTCCGCTTCAGCAAGACGGTTTTGCCTGCGAAGACTGCCGGTGCTCGATCAGAGTCCACTAATCCGTCTTCGTCAGATTCGTCCTCATCCATGTCCTGTGTACCTATATGCTCGTAAGAGCAGGGCTGGATAACCTCAATACCCTTTGCGCCCAAAGATTTCTCGTGGACGATGGCCGTCAATAAGAAGACTGGAGAGTGAGAAAGATACTGTTCGATAAGTTCTTGCGCAGGCGCATGCGACATCGACGGGGTTTTGTTCGTGTCCGCAAGGCTTAGCTTCACTGGAGGCGGGAGGCTTCCGACCACGGCTTCGTCATGTTGGTGTCGCTCGTAGGCTTCGTACACTCTTGCGAAAGACCGCGCCAGCTGCTTTATGAAGGCTTTGATGCGTTTCTGCTCGTTAGCTGCGTACTGTCAGCATCATGTTACCCCTGGATCTGCTTTGCAGAAGCGGAACATACCATCCTGTTGAGCTAACTTCTCCGCAGGCGTGCTCGACTTCTGGAACTGTGTTGGGCCCGAATGTGTTGGCGGGGCTGAATATGTTGGGGCCGAAGGGACCCAGATACTCGGGGCCGCCTGATTCGATGTGAGACGTCGTCTTATTTTAGGATGTGAAGTGCAAACATTACCTTTTGGTCCGCTCCAGCAGTGTTTAGTTGCTCATCCAATTGCTTATGTTCTTGCAGTAACTCTTTGTGCTTTTCGACAAGGCTATCCAGTCCCGATTTGCTCGCCAATATGTCTGGCCATGCGGTTGAGGTGGGGGAGCTTTTCTCTAGTTGCTCCTTGATTTTCTGCTGTTCTTGTGCCCAAGAGGTGTACGGTACCGCCAATGGATTCATGGCATACGCAGCTGGCGATGGCATTCCCGGAGGCCAAGTTGAGCCGATCCAACCTCCATAATCAGGCTGCTGTATGGCAGACGTTGGTGTTGGATAAGTGCCGTAAGCACTCATTGATGACGTTGTAAATGGTAAGTGCTGGATAGGGTGCTCGCTATCCATGATTATGGCATTTTCCAGGAGGTGGAAGTGGCCGGGATGGGGATCACTGTGATTGAACATCTCAAAGACAAGCCTGAGCCTGTAATTCCAGTCAGTGTACGTCTCGAGCTGCAAATTTCTGCACACGCTGTTTTACCCCAGGATGTATTGTACCACAGGAGACAACTTGCAGTACTTACCAATCTTTGCCTAGGAGTTCGACGGCATGACCATGCCTGGGGTCGCCAGGGTACGACTTCATTGTTGGCATGACTTTTTGAAGTAGATGAACAAAGTACTTCTTTCGATCGCCGCCGGTCAACAACGCGCTCTTCTCTACGCCTTGAGAATCGATCTGAACTGAGAGTCAGCTGATAACTTACTGGGTAGCCTAATTTAGTTTGAGTCGACTTACATATGCACTTAGGCGGCTACCTAGATCCGCACCTCTCGAGCCCGGCGAGAATGAGAGGGGCTTCAGGTCTACTCGAGCTGGCTCTCGCATGGCGAACAGCGCTCGCATACACTTCTCACCAAACACATGATCGCATTTGAACCTCACGGGCTCCTCAGCGTCGTCGTTGCCGGGGGTCGACTCGCCGTATAACTTCCAGCAATAGGAGCATTTGCGGCTGTTGTCGTCCACCGACTCCATCGGTATGGGTACCAAACTATCCAGAAACTCTTGCTGCGTCGCGAAGGTGGCTGCGTCAGCCTGCGGTCCGCGATACAGTTTCTTATGAGGCTGCATCATGGACGCAATGTATTAATAATCCCTGCGCGGACAAGTTAGCGAAACCCGGCCTCGGTGAAGTGCGGCCGCGACAGGGTGGTAAGCGTGTGTGTTGAGAAGAGGTGCAAGCTAAGAGGTGCAAGCATGTTACACAGCTGCCTGCCGCATCCGTTTGTATATGCCAAGACGCGCTAGCCAAGTACGGTATAGTCATTCACTCAATCGGCTCTAAAGGTCGACATGAACGATACCTAGGTCCTCAAGGGACAACGTTCTGGCATGTAAGAACTCGTGACTAGCAATGGGTTGTTATAGCTGGTGGGTCAAATCTGCAGATATTACACACAACAGATAGACGCATAAAGCGCCCTACAACCTGCGAGAGGTATCGTAGCGACCTTTGTGGCGCTCGAACAGTTGAACATGCGCTAGACAAGCGACATGAGTTTGTAGGTGTTGAATGTGACCACAAACAATAAGCTCAAGCAGTCACTCTTGTTGTAGGCAGCAATAGAAGATTTAATTCGACCATCCCAAACGCATCGTAATTGGTGATGCTCTACACAAGTGAACCGACAGGGATGCCGAAAGAAAACGGACCAGTGCCGTTGCCGAACAGCTCACAGGCCTAGTTCATTAGAAATTGTGGTCGAGCAAATCCAACGGCGGCCCTGCTGTCCTTGTAATCTGCATTTCCTCCTCGTTCAACGCTAGAACCTCTTGCGCTATGGTTCCATATGGTCGTCTATTCACGTTTTCCTGCAGGCCAGAACTCGCCGAGCCCTTGGAGAACGCCTACCTGGGCATCTTCAGACGGATTTTGTCGCGCTCAAGTGATAATGTTGGTTCACGGAAAATATATCGACCTGCGGATAGAGGCGCGATGGTCATATTCCCAATCATACAGAGGATGACTGGCGTGTGTGCCGAGCAGCGTGTAGGTAGCGTGAGAAGACCGTCCGACCTTTTCGAGTGTGAACAGCACTTTAGTTGTGTCGATGTGCGCATCTTCCTTGATCAATTCCTTAGATTCGGGCGGCGGCGGAGGGGCGCAATTGAAAATAGTTTCGATGTCGTGGAAACGTAGGCTCGACAGCTGACGGTGCAGGTCAACAATGTATCTGAAGTTTTTTCAGCAAGCCTGACATGTCACATAAGCGGAATACGTACGTGGACCTTAGTATGTTAGCCTTGAAAAGCAATCCGTCCACGGTTCCATCGTCCCGTAGGAATCTATGTTTTGGCGCAGGTAGTAGTGAGCAGGATGCTGTCATCATTGTACCAGCATTTGCGCAAGTGACCTTGGCATTTTCAAGATCGATGTGTCGTCTCGTTGGAAATACTCTGCTAATGTCTTGAATAAAACCAATTAGGTGAGCGAACGACGAAAATTCCATCTCGCTGAACGCTCGGGTGTCGTAATTCTTCAGAGATGCTGGCAAGGGGATGACCTAGGAATCCTGTTAATGGAAGCTGAGCACTCAGATGTGCACAGAGAAGAGCTTGTTCCTCTTTCGTAGCATCGCTCCTCGCATGATAAGTCAGTCGTGATGGGCAATTTGACTGATAGTCCTTGGTAAGAATGTGTGCTACCAGCAATATGGATATCAGTGACATAAATCTGCCACCAAGTCCGCCTCCAGCTCTCTTCTACAACTGGGTCTTCGTTGCCATTCTGCGCGGCAAAATCCTTCTGATGCATACCCAGTATGAATGCTCCATTGATCGCTTCGTCCAGCAACTCTCGGCCTCTTTCGGGTTCATTGCTTTGGTAAAATGTTATCGAAGCTAGCAATAACGCTTGTATGAAGTACGGATTGGGCATAAATCGTGCTGGATTCAACCATCCAGCTTTAATTGCCTCAGCCGCGGCTCCTGCTAATGGCCTTGAGTCGATTGAGTGGGTGAAGATCGAGCCAATGTCTAAGAGGACGGGAAGAACAGTCTGATAATCCTTCTTCCGTCGCGTTCCTCGTCTCTAGTGCCCATATTGGAAGGCCACACGGATGCGACACATGTAAGTATGTGTAGTACAGAGTCAAGAGCTGGTCGATCCAGTCCTGTATTAATTGTGCACCGCTCGATAGCGTGATTTCGGAGTTCTCTGATTCCAGGCCATCGCAAACGCTTCGTGAGGAACTTCGGATGACCACTTCCCACGAGAGTTGCTATCTGTCCCATTTCTGAAAGTCTCGGAAAGATGATTCGGTGAACGAGGTTCTTCAACCATTATCTAAATGGCAGGCCGGCGTGGACGCCTACCACGTCGCGACTCCTTGTACTCGCATTCTTTTTAATCCCTACAGCAGCGGTCCACGGGTTGCAGGCAGGTTGTGTTGCGTCACAGCGAACTATCTTTAACCTGCATTGTATGCACACAAGAGCGACGCGACGAAGAGAACGCCTGACAGAAAATTTCAATGAAGACGTATCGGTATTTTCCATGTAGGTATGGTGTCCGTGGATAGAGTCAGCGGGCTCAGTCCGCAGTCATCGTGCAAGCAGTTTCAAGTGACGTAGACGGTTCCACCAAATTCTGGGACTACATCTTACTGAGCTGATTCAGTTTTTCAAACGAGGCCCCAAGGCTCTTCAATTCATATGCAGACAACGTGGGTACCTAGGTACTTTATCAAAGACGGAATGTGAAGCTCGCAGGAAAAGCAGTAGCCAATCACAACAAGCCGCTAGTGAAACCCTGAAGCAGCGCGTACCAACCTGCGGGACGCGATAGCGAAGACACGCATACTTTGGCATACTCTTAAGCCCTTTGCAGCCTTGATTGAGACAGTATTCAGAGTCGTCGTCCGCGAGTGGATACATCACGTGTCGATCATTCCACACATCCCGCAGAGCCGCGAGTGGCGACGCGCCGGCGTTGTGCCCAGACCGACTTTTCGACGCCCCTCGGTACCTGACTAGCCCCTCCTAGACAACTACACTCCCTCATTCGTTTTGTATATGTTGCACAGCTTCTCAAACCTTTGACTCTGTGAACATTCTTGCCAATATTACACGTAGCATTGCTGCAGCTAGACTGTACCTAGCATCGCTCCCACGAACGCAGCATGGTCAATCTCTACTTCCAGCCCGATGCGCAGCTTACGACGCAGGACCGCATGGTCCTAGACATTCTACAGAAAGACTATGATAGACACAAGAAGGTTAACGGCACCGAGCAGCAGCCTTCTCAGGATTCAGAAGACTCTGGCAAGAAGCACACTCGCTTCGACTCAGCCTCACCGGAGGGTACGTCTCCATCGCGCCTTCCTACCTAGGTATCACCACCAGAGCTGATACGATGCAGATGCCCAAGAAGCCGAAGAGCAGGCTCTCGCACATTTGAAAGAGCTCAACAATCCCACTTCCGACCAATTCGAGCCCACCGTCTTCGTGACCGTCGACTATCCGAACATTACGAACCCCCTCCTCCGCAAATACATCGTCGAACCGTACGTGCGATGGGGCCGCTCCGTTGTGCGCGTCGACACCGACGTCGTTATGCTCACCCACCTGCTTCTTTACCTCACCACAAGCATCCCGTCGGCTATCTACCTCTTCTACAACTTCCACTGGTGGCACGGCCCGCTGCATTCCATCATGCAGCTATATTACATGGGCTCATACACGTTGATGATGCACCAGCACATTCACATGCGTGGCATATTAAACAAGGCGTACTCAGCAGTTGATCTGGCCTTCCCTTACATCTTAGACCCGATGATGGGCCACACATGGAACTCGTACTACTTCCACCACGTCAAGCACCACCACGTCGAAGGCAACGGCCCCAATGACCTCTCCTCGACGATACGATACCAGCGAGACGATGTTTGGCATTTCTTACATTACCTCGGGCGATTCTACTTCCTCATCTGGTTTGATCTACCGCGATACTTCCTGCGCACGCGCAAACCTGAGCTAGCACTCAAGGCGGGTGCGTGCGAGATTGCCAGCTATGTTTGCTTGTATACCTTGTTCACCTATGTGAATGCGCGGGCGACCGTTTTCGTGTTTCTCGTACCGTTGGCAATCATGAGATTGGGTCTGATGATAGGCAACTGGGGGCAGCATGCGTTCGTCGACGAGACCGAGCCAGATTCGGATTTCAGGTCCAGCATCACCGTGATCGACGTTGCCGTAAGTACCGCGCTGTCCCAGATCACAGGGACGTGACTAACTCAACATAGAGCAACCGCTACTGCTTCAATGACGGCTATCACACATCGCACCATCTGAACCCCATGCGTCACTGGCGCGACCATCCCATTGCCTTTCTCGCCCAAAAATCCACATACTCATCCGAACACGCCCTCGTCTTCTACAACATCGACTACCTAATGATCACCTTCAGCTTGCTGGCGAAGAATTACGAGCACCTCGCCAAATGCCTGGTACCGATGGGTGATCAGATGGAGCTCAGCATGAAAGAAAGGGCAGAGATGTTGCGCAGCAAGACCCGTAAATTCAGCGAAGAGGAGATTGCCGCGAAATGGGGCAAGCAGTTTGCGAAATTAAAGTAGAGCACATGCACCGAGTTGCGACGGTTTCAATGGCATACATATCACGATCTCGAATCAGCTTTCGTCCAATACTTCAGTCGTGCCATGCCGACTAACAGTATTCCTAAGCTGTACTCAGGCCGCTTTCAGGGTGAACGCTCTCAAGCTAGCCTCGGGTTCTGTGCAACGGTCAGTCACAGCACATGCTCAATAGTTGGGGTCAGTCACGTCCAGTATACAAGTTGTTTCTCGCATTGTACGCCTGTATATGCACTAGGTTCTGTGTGCTGAACACGCCACACGACGTGCCTTTACTGGGGTGCCGCCATCAACGGCTGCGGCTTGAACACAGTCTACACGGGTCACTCGATCGATTCAGCGACATGGCGCACCCCGATGTAGTTGCAGAGCATGCTACATAGTGTCAGTACATCTCATGAGCCACAGTGGCTGACACAAAGAACTGGTCCCTTTGGCACCAAATCCTCATTCCCTCGTGTCAAGATATCATGAAGATTGGCTATAAGAACGGTAGACCGCAAGCAGCCTAGGGCAACTCGCTTTGCAAAATGTGCTTGAAGCCGCAATCCGGTACTGTATCGTAGTCTTCCATATCATTGCGAGAGCCTGTCTACGTTCTAGTGTCGGCCACCATGAGCTGGCAATGTCGACTTGGGTCCGAATTGTGAAGCGATAGGTTGAACCAAATTTTAGGATATATTATTGCTCCCTCTAGAGCCTATGGTGCATTATTTTGGAACTTTCGCAAGACCCTTGATATCAGGTATGCAGGTCAAGAGTCCAGACCGGCAGAGGCTGAAGGCCGTGCCTGTTCCTGGATCGATGGTGACAAGGCTACGCTCACATAGGCTAGCAGCTTCGCCTCCAAACTCGGCGCAGGGTCTCCACATCTCAACTCCACAACCTCAGATGTCTACCATCCGGTCATGCTTCCGCTGACAGTGCTCCATACGCCGTTCAATTGCGGCAGTGTGTCGATCTACCGTTTCACATCATAGACATTACCACTCTACAGCAGCCGTACTGCACACACGGGTACGGCGTAGCATCCGGCGCAACTTTAAACTCCCCGGCTGAGTTCCTGCAGCCCCAGCTACACAGGCCTGCAGCCAACAGCGCCCGACACCTGTCCTTTTCCCTTTGCACCACGCCCATCCGCCCTCGGCTCTTACTGACTCTCCACCGCACACGTCTGTCTGTTTGCGGAGAACGTGCCGTCTCAACCGACCTTTATTGATGGAGTCGATACCTCCACCAATCCACTCGGCCCCTCTGGGCGGCGCCACCTTGCCGTGCTTGAGATGACCAGGGAGTGTAGTGCTTAGCAGCAATATGATTGTGTCGTAAGGCACCTAATCGGGAAGTATCCGAAGATGAGTGTAGCGATGCGGCGTGCGTACTCGCTTCTTGCCGGCGACGGCGTGAAGACATGATGTGATGTGTGAGACATACACCTGGCTTTTCAAGACTTTTAAGAGCCGGTGTGTCCTCGATGTCTTAAGTGTGTTGAGTTGTTGTTTCATTTCAAGTCTTTGTTCGCAGTGCATCATGCGGTCTTCTCAATACATTCCCTTTTTCTTACCTTTCTCTTTGGCCTGGCCTTTTCAAAAGCACCAAGGTTATGGCACATCCTCGTCTCAGCTTCATAAGAATCTTCAAGATGCGTGGTATACCGAGTACTCCAAGGACAGTGAGAACGAGGTGACTACGCTGCCAGCGAAGAAAGGACCTGCGGCCCCCCACGACCCCGCGAACGTCTATAGCTGCGCTGGACCAAAGGCCAAAGACTTCCCTGGAAAGGACGACTGGCTCACCTTCGACCAAATATGGGAGATCAATGAAGCTGTCATTGAAACTGCGAATGGCGGGAACGACTACAACGACTACCTCCAGACCGCCATCAAGGAGGTTGCTTTCGACAGCAAAGTCGATGCACGGCTAATTCTGGCTATAATCATGCAAGAGGTATAGTTTCACTCCCCTTTTCTCCTCGCCAGGATTCAACACTAACTCTCAGCAGTCCAGCGGCAACGTCTCCATCCACTGCACCGAAGGCACCGCCTGCGGCCTGATGCAACACCGTGGTTCTGCACGCTTCGACCCATCCTCCCCTAGGACCAGTATTAAAGCCATGATTGAAGATGGCACCTACGGCACGCCCAGCGTCCCCGGCTTCTTGTCGTATTTTAACTGCGATGCTTCTTCCCCTTCCGAGCTGACGTGGATCAATACGCAGCTCATTAATGGGAATCCGTATGCGGCTGCTTACGTGTATAACACGGGTCACATTGATAATGAGGATTTGTCGACTGATAGGGGAAAGAGCAATTACTATGCTCATGATGTCTTGAGCAGACTGCAGGGGTGGAACGGGTGGAAGGCGGGGTGTGAGCAGAGCAGAAAGTGTAACGGATTGGGCTTTCAGGAGAGGAGTTGTTGGTAGGGAGAGGTAAAAGCATGTCTTTACGAAGCTAACGCGAACATGATAACTTTTCGTTTTCTGCAAATCCGTTCAATGGGCTTCTGCATCATCGTTCGCTCTTTCCTTCTGCGTGCACTGTTCTTTCCTTGATGTCAACTGCCTAGCGGATGCACTAGTCGCCCGTTATTCTGCGTTCTAACGAGGTCTTCCAGCTAAATGCACCCGGTGCTACCAGACCAAACCTACAGCTTGCATCACTAACCCACAGTGCACATCATGACGAGCGCAGACGAGCTGCCTGTCGACCTCAGCTTATTCATTGCCACCCCAAGCACCATCTACGCACACAGCAGCTCCGCAAGGAAACGGACACTGTTCGAATGCACATCGGACGGAATCGTGAACGCTCGGGCAGCAAAGGACAACAGTAGCTTGCTAGTGGTTGCCGATAGCCAGCTCGTCATCTTCCACGACCCTGCGCGCGGAGGTGACAAGAAGTATGCGCTAAAGCACTACGAGGGCGAGCCTCGTCTGCTTGTCTTTTCGCCCGACTCGCGCATTCTTTACTTCACCACCACGCTCAGCACTTCGATACAAGCCTACTGCATTCCGACGGGTGAGCTCCTCCCGCCACCTCAGATACACCCTTCACCACCTAGCATCCTCTCCATCTCGTCGGACGGAAACATTCTACTTTCCGCGTCGCCTGCCCCACCGAAGATCTACTTGCAAGATTTGAGGTTCGGTGGCAGTGCCTCGGTGAGCTTCCAGCCAGCAGACGCCAGATCCCCCGCAGCGTTCGCTACCTTCCAGTCAAACGAGATCCCGACTCCATCGTACACCTCGTTCCTTTTGGGCTTCCAGGACGGTACACTTTCGCTGTATAGGTTGGCGCTTCCAACGCGCCGCCAGTCATACCAAGATTTGCACCACAATCAGACGCAAGCATTCCTGCTTCGGCCGACGCGGATCGGATGCATCAGGAAGCTACACAAGCCAGCGATGGGTGGAATCACCGCTGCTGAGTTCATCCCCGGGTACAAAGCTCGAGCAGTCAGTGTGGGTCATGATGGACGCTGTCGGCTAGTAGACCTTGAAGGTCGCGGACAAGTGCTCAGGACGTAGCACGTCGATGGGCCTGCTACATGCTTGGCTATCGCATCGGCTGGTCCCGTGCTGTCAAGGGGCCGAAGCGATGGACACGTGCTCCTTGGCGGCGATTCGACTCGAGAAGAGTCAGAGGTAAGGTACGAAGGCAGGGAGATATTCATTGCAGTTGGGTGTCAGACTGGCAACGTGCTTGTCTTCAATATGATCGGCCTGTTGCTGTATAAGGTAGAGATGGATGCGCCTGTTGTTGCGCTCGATTGGCTGGGCGACATGAGCGCACCTTCAGCCCTGCCCCGCCGGAACCGCTCTTTGTCGACTTGTCTCGAGGAGGAAGCGGAGGACGACTCGGTGCTGAAGTCCATATTTGCCCACTACGAAACGTCCTCAAGCGGAGGGCTAGAGGAAGCGTCAGGCACAGTCAAGAGGAAAGCAGTTTCTCGAGAAAGGAGTCCTATCCGCTTTGATGGTGGAAGAGATCTATTTTCGCGGGAGCCAGAGACGTCGTGTCTTGGCCGCAGAAGATCGGATATCTTGAACGGTCCGACCTCCCATTTTGAAGCGGCTCTAGAGCCTGTCAGGAAAAGATCGTTCCTGCGACCGAGGATAGCAACGGAAACGTTCAAGGATCCTGCTAAATACTCCATACCCCGTCGTCCTGTACCAACGGCACCGACGAGCCCCACTGCTGTTGCGGTTCAGGAAGTCCTTCGAAGAACAGACTCTCGGAAAGTATTCGATGTGTTCTTTTCCGATGCATTGCGAGTGTCGCGATCCCGCTCACCGTCCCCTTCTTCATCGGTATACTCCCAATCATCCGACTCGGAAACATGGATGACACCACCTACGACACAGAAGCCAACGGGAAGGAGTAGTCCTGTTGAGTACAAGCACCCAAGTGCTATTACACAGGCTGGGCCCTCGCGCTCAGCTATCAAGGCCCAAGATTCTTCTCCTGTAAGCCCGAACTTCTCTCGACCATTGCCAGCTCCATTGACGCAGAATTACTCTTCATCTCGCCCGCGTCGAGTTTCTTTCGTTGATCGCAGCTTTTCATGGGAGAAGGGCGATGAGGACCGCAGATTCGAGGAGCGGACAAGTAGCCCTGCTGAAAGAAGTCCCTTTCCAGCACTACCTGGCCAGCAAGAGAAGAGAGACTTTAGCTTCGAACTAGGATTACATGATCAGGAACTAAGATGCGAAGAAGTGTACGATGAGAAGAAGCGGGGGCGCGTAAAGGACGAGCTTGGGAGCCCGGGAAAGCGCAAGAGGGAGAGCGGCCTGCTAGGAGTCAGGAGGAGCAGGGCTTCTATCACAGGGGAGCAAGAGCTGAGACAAGAACATCAGAGATTACGACGGGAGATGGCTTTGCTGAGGCAGGAGTTTTCAGCGCTGAGGCAAGCGCTAGTAGAGTCGCGGTCGCGGTCGCGGTGATGGTTGGATTGGAATATTTCTCAATTTCCTATGCTCCTTCGTCTTCCTTGTTTTCCTTGCAAGTCTCCAAGCTGTTTTGCGTCGCTCCAAGCTCAGATGCGCAATCTTATATACAAATCCACTATCGAGAATCCTCGCTCTCTCTCGTCATTCTTGCCCTCTTCTCGCCTCGATCAGGAAGCCCAGTAAATAATGACCGTCTTCATTCATAAATCATCGGCATGCGCACACCACGCACTGTCGTCCACCATGCACATCTCCACACCTCCTCCCCCTCCTTTCCGAAGCCACGTCTTGAATGTTCTTCCCGCTCACACCCACAAGTCTCTTCTTCTCCGCCGATCCCTCCACCCATTACTCCACCCAACCATTCCTCCCAAGTCCCACCCCCTCCTCTACTCTCCTTCCCCTACTCAAACCTCTCCTTCTCCTCATGCCCCACCAGCGTCCGCTGGCCTTCGTTCCCCATCCACGCGTTACTCTTCCTCCGCACGCCGTCTTCCGTATTCGATTCTACGACGCTGCGCGCGAGTTTCCAGAGGGCCCACGTTTGCAGGGAGATGGCGACGAGGAGGAGCAGCAGGACGAAGAGGATGCCGAAGAGGATGATGACGGTGATGGTGAGTTGCTGGGCGCGGAGGTCGTCGCTGTTTCCCATGGTGTGGTAACGTTGATAAGAGAGAGGTGTGAGGAGTGGAAAGGTTGGGACTGGGATATCGATGGATGGAGGAAGTTGATCAAGGTAAGCTGCAGGTCCGGCGGCTGGAGAATGGCTGCGATGCGATGCGATGCGATGCGATGCTTGAAGTTTGGAACAGAGTCCCAGGTTGTGTCGATACGCGACCGGTGGTTTGCTTCCCGCAGGGCTTAAGTCAAGCGATTACCACGCGGCGCGGTCTGTTTAAGCTTAAATCCCACGACAAACCTCGGGACCTGTTCCACGCGTATAGGCGTTTCCGTCCGGGAGAATATCGGGTGTTTGGTGTTATATCGCGCAGAGTGGCTTCTGCAGCGAGCGATGCGACGGCTTGGCTGCCGATGCTATGGGTCAAGACGTCGCGTGTGTGTTTCAGCGGCATAGCATGTTGTATCGACGTCCATTTCAGGTAAGCATTTGGAAGACTTGCTGCACTGAGAGTTCCTGGAGGGTAACCCGGTTGAGTTGGGCTAGTTTGGCGGGATGTGGAAGATGCGCTAACTAGATCGGAGAACGCACGGACAGAGGGTGAAGGGCTTTTCCTTAAATGAAGTAACAGTATTATGTAATTTACACAGAGTGAGAAGAAGAAGTACATCGTGGATAAAAACAAATTATGTAAGAACGAACAACCAACAAGCAATCGATGCTGTGCTTTGAAGCTGCACAGTGCACCCTTCGATTTCTCCTGTGGCGCCTTGCCGCCTTCAGCGCATGCTATTTAAGTTGTTTCGTTGCAATTTGTGTTTTCTATCCATCTCAATCATACAACTGAGGAATAACCTCACCCAAATTGAGCTCAACGTCAAATTCGGACGATTTTTCCACAAGTGCATTCGCCTTGACGCCCAACTCTGATACGACGGGCTCGGTCAGCTGCTTTTGGAAAGCGGTCGCATCGCGGAGGATGTCTTCAAGCGTTGGCGATGAACGGCGGTTAATGGAAGCTTTTGCTCCAGACAAGGCCGATTGAGGGAACAGTCGCAGACGTGAAGTCAGCCGGTTGATGTAGAGGTGCATGTCTTCGGCAGTGTCAAATGCCTTGTTGATCCAGCCGATTCGTTCGGCTTCGCATGCATTGATATCATTCGCACTGAGGATGTACTCCATAGCTAGTCCTCGTCCGATCAGCCCTGGGAGAAACTGACTGCCTCCGCCACCAGGAGAAAGTCCATTTCCGACTTCAGGTTGGCCGAAGAGGGTATCGTTCTTGGTTGCAAAGCGCATATCGAGAGATACAAGCAATTCGCTCCCTGCGCCGCGAGCCCTTCCCTCTACTGCACCGATGGTGACTTGGGGAAGGGTGGAAATATTGAACATGAGCTCAGCGAAAGCTGGGACACTGTCGACTGCACCACCTGTCAGAATCGTGCGAGCGAACCTGCGCGTGTACTGGAATCACTACATACCTAGATCAGGCATCGAAAGATCCAGATGGGCCATGAAGAATCTTGGGACGTCACTATTGAAGATGACAATCTTGGTTTCGTTATCTCGCTGGAGCCGTCTCACGATATCCGTCAATCCATTCGAGGTATCCTGATTCCACAGGTTGACAGAAGAATCAGCATTATGGAATGTTATTTCCAGTATGCTGTTGTTGAGAGACGTCTTCAATCCGGTATATTCGGGAAGTTGTAAGGCGCTGACGGCCGCGAGGAGAGTACAGGCGCCTATCTGAAGGCGACGCAAAGAGCCAGACATTGGTAATATGTGTCGTCGGATTGAGGATCTCGTGTAGTTTTCGTGCTGGGTTCGAATTAAGGAGATCAAATGATCCCTCTTTATGCTTTTCGCGTATGAAGACACATAGGTCCCAAATGTTATGGACAGAATATTCGTCCGAAATTCCGCAACTTGCTTCCAATGTGAATCACGTTTGATCTTCCTACTAGTAAGTTCTCATGAGGCACCCGAGAGTTAGATAAGCAATTCCAAGTTATAGTAACCCGATCAATGTAGTCGAAGCATGTATTAGTGAGCCGAGCAATAAAGACTAGGACACTCTTAACGTTATGTTCCAACTTCATCGGTGGAGAAGTATCTTAGAGCTCGAGGTTCCAAGCTTATGCAGGTGCAGCACATATGTAACTTAACAGTAGTTTCTTGACACAACGATAATACGTTCTCTAATTTTTAGTGGCGCAAATTGACCACCAACTTGCTGCGGGATACCTTTCCTTCCCGCAACTTGTTCAATCCAGATAATATGGCATCAATTTCGCCAGCCTCTACACTGAGTAGAAGGTGGCTCAACACATTCATTAGCAGCGGTAAAGTTGCAGAATGAAAATGATTAGTGAACATCACCGCACTGGGCACCCTTCATTCTCATCGTACACGCGCAGATGGAAGAACGTGAAGTTCGTTTTCGTAACACATAGAGATGCTCTATCATCAGTATCCAACGGAAAAATGTTGTACCACATCGTCAAAGCTGAAACGGGATATAAATCACCCCGAAGACGATAGATTCGACCCGCCATCGCACGCTAAGCCGTCCGTCCCTTTTAACATTGTTCACTAATCCGTGATTTAATCCGCGGCCCGTGCAACTTGCAGCACGCCGTGTACGTGTGATTCCCGACGACCTTGAGTCGGGCCGAAAACCCAATGATGAGCCGTGGTCCTAGTAGCCTGATAATGCTCTTTAGCGTGTAGGGTCTGCCGACGATTACTATCATGCCAATTCTGGCCTTCAGATATTTCCACACGCCCGGGACAATGATCATGCCGACAGTGTTCGTCAACAGCTGTATTCGTCCTGGATTTGGTCCTTGTGCAGCTCCCCTTATCAATCGCCACATCGGACCGCAAGACCCCTTCATTGCGAATGCTTTGGTGGATTGAAGAACCTTGACGCCTAGTCGTATAAAGACCTATCTATCCTGTGACATGACCATCTTGTGCAACTCTCTTAACAACTAACGTGATTCTTCCATTCCCCTGTCCTTAACATCACCATGTCTTTTTCACCAGACAAAGACATTCCAAGTCTTGCCGGCAGGGTTATCCTTGTGACAGGTGGGAACAGCGGACTCGGTAAAGAATCAATTCTCCAACTTGCAAAGCACAACCCGCGTCAAATCATCATGGCTGCTCGATCGCAGGCCAGGGCTGAAGCAGCCATCGAAGAAATTAAGAGCGCCGTTCCTGATAGCAAGATTGCTTTTCTGCACTTGGACCTGTCGTCTTTCGCCTCGATCAAAAAGGCTGCGGCTTCAGTGTTGGAGCAATATGATCGTTTAGATGTGCTCCTGAACAACGCTGGACTCATGGGAGTTCCTCCAGGATTGACCGAGGATGGCTACGAGATGCAATTCGGCTCCAACCACATGGGCCCTGCCTTATTCACCAGGCTTCTCCTTCCTCTCCTCGACAAAACATCAAATCTCCCAGATAGCGACGTTCGTATAGTCCAACTAAGCTCCGAGGCATCCCAGTTCGCCCCCAAGGGAGGCATCCTCTTCTCTCAACTGAAGACTCCACAAGCAGACATCTCGGGCCGTGCTCGATACGGCCAGTCCAAGCTGGCAAATCTCTACTTCATCAAGTCTCTGGCAAAGCGCCATCCAAATATCAAATGCGTCTCACTTCATCCTGGAATAGTCAAGACGGGAATCGCCAACAACACGTTAAACAACCATTCCTTCTTGTCGTGGATTTTCAGTCTTGTTATAAAATTATTCTTCACGGGCGTACGGACCGGCGCACTTGGACAATTATGGGCAGCGACAGGGCCCTCTAAAGAGATACAAACAGGCGCATACTATACGCCCCTAAAGAAGAGGAACTACCGGAATGACACGGCGGAAGACGAAAAGATAGCGGAGAAATTGTGGAATTGGACTGAGCAGGAGTTTTCATCGCGAGGGTTGTGAAGGCGGTGTTGCCGTACAGGTGTTGGATCTGCAGCATTCAGGTGCCACGATTGGGAGAAGGCAGCCTACCTGAACCGGATTTGAGGGAACTATTTCATTCAGTGTTGCGGTGGCAATGATCTGATTTGATTATTTCATAATGTTTCTTAGTCATGAGCTACACAGTCCCGAGCACGTCCATTTAAATGTCACTACCTAATTCGTTCAACTGTTCAGAAAGATGAAGTGACACCTTCTCCGTCGTGGCACAGGTACCTCCAGACCAGCAGCAGAACTTCGCCATGAAGCTTGCCGGGATCTGGAAAAGAGAACACAAAGCCAGTCGCAGTCGCAGGAGGACAAAGATGCGCTTCGAAGGCAGTGGGATAGAGACTAGGAGCTCATAAAATCAGATGTGCGGAGGACGGAGGCAGGGATGTAGAGAGGCAAAGGAAAGACGCAGTGGAAAAGTATCAAAAGCATCCGACTCACAGATTGATACATCACTCAGCCAGAACATCTTGATGTAGGAATGAAGAAAAATGCATATTCATCCGTGTCCTATGCGACACCGTCATTAGGGCGTATGCTATGTACTCGCTCGCTGTAATTCATTCCATGAGCCATTTTGTTCCAACAGACGCCATGCGCCGTATGCAAAAGCGCTATTCCATCAATGAGATAAACAAGAAGGGAAGGCTTGAACAACGACAAATTCAGGACCGTGTCTAAAAAAGACAATCCCGATGTGCGGCCGTGACGTGTGTAAGCAAACAGTCCGTAGAGTAAAGTCAAACAATCTCCAACCTAATGATCACAATCCTCATCATAGTCAAGCGCATCCTTTAGATGTGAGGGGGAGGGATACGTCGGCACCTAACCAACGATTGCCTCAGGTGCAGGCTCGTCGAAATCGACCTCCTCATTCTCGATGTCTGAGTCGGCACCGAACCCAGAGTCCCTCCACTTGCGTTCCTTGACAATCTTGCCGGCCCGGCTCTTCTTGCCGATCTTGACGCGTTCGCTAACCTTGGTCACCTTGCCGTTGGCAACCTTGTTGAGGTTAGTGTTTTGCTTCTTCACCACCACGCCCTTGACCTGCATAGCCTGCACGGCCTCCAGGGTCTCGGCGTTGCGCTTCTTGAGCGAGTTGGCGAGGTCCTCGTTCTGTTCTTGAAGTAGGCGCTGGGAGTCAAGGAGGGTGTCGATTGTTTGGCGGGAGTCGAGCTCTTGCTGAGCGAAGGTCTCCTTGAGCGTGTCGATCTGGGCACTCATCTCAACGATGGTCTCGGCGCGAGTGTCGGCCAGGAGGTGGAGCTGTTGGATCTCGGTCTCCTTCTCGCGGATAGCGGATTCGTGGTCGAGCACAGCCTGAGCCGCTGCAGCCTCCAAGTCGCGAATGCGTGCCTCCAGGGTCTGGATCTTCTCCTCCATGGTCTGCTGTCCCCGGATCCACTTCTCTTGTAGACGTGTGAAGTGGAATTGCTCAGTGGAGAAGGTCTCAATTGACTGCGTGTGCTCCTCCTCAAGCTGAGTATACTTGTTTTGGAGTTCTGCATACTCCTGGTTTCGCTGGGCCACCTCTTGCTCCTTCTGAGCCAACTCCTCACGCAAGTCACGCTCGGTATCAGCGGCCTCAGCCGTTATACGCTCAATCTCAGCCTTCTGTGCATTCACCTCGTTTGTCAAATCAGTGATGTTGGCTTGTAGGGAAGTGATCGTGCTGTTGGAGGTGTTCTCCAAAGCAGCGTATTTCTGCTTCAGATCGGCGAGCTGCGATTCCAGGTCTGCGATGTGCTCATCACGGTCCTTCTCGGTATCGGCGAGTTCCTGGGTCAAGCGGGCGACTTCTTCGTCTCGAGCAGCGATGGCCGCCTCTAGCTCGGTAACGCGCAGCTCTAAATCAGCCACAATCTGCTCGGCAGTCTGACGGCCCTGTGTCTGGGTGTCAATGGACTCTTGTAAGGCAGACTCGCGTTCCCGAGCATCTTCCTCCAGGTTCTTCATCGTTTCCTCCCGCTCCAGCTGGACCTGGAACAGCTTGGATCGGAGACCTTGAGACTCCAGTCCTTCAGCACGGAGGCGTTCCTGCAGATCTGCAATCTGCGTGTTTGCCTCATCGAGCAAGACTTCAGTCTTTTCTCGCTGGGCACGCTCCGCATCCAAATTGGCATGAGTCTCGGCAAGCTCAGCCGTCAGGTGCTCAATCTTGTCCTCCAGATTCTCGATCTGGTTCTCTAGAGCGTAGACACGGTCTTGCTCCTCTTGGAGAAGGACCTTGGACTGGTCATGCTCCTCAGTTTCGGTGACGAGGCGGTTGCGGAGCTGTTCCAGATCTTCTGCGAGGGCAGTCACTTGTTCCTCGATGCCCTTGATGTGGTCCTGGAGCTCATCGATATACTCGGACTTTTGCTCTGCTTCGCCTTGCGCCTGTAGGTGAAGTGCATTTTCGTCCTGTAATCGGGTCTGCAGCTCAAGAATCTCAGCGGCATGTTCTTGCTGCATCTCCGCGATAGTCTCCTTGAACTGCGCCTCCGTGCGGTTCGTTGTCTCAATGACGTTGGCGAGCTCGGCGCGGTACTTCTCTAGCGAATCCCGAAGGCGGGTGAGATCCGTCTCTTTGTCCTGGACTTCGTCCTGGAGGCCGTGCATCTGGCTATCCTTCGCTTTGAGATCCGCATCCTGCTGGTTAGTGAGCGCGTCCAAGGTGGCCACACGCTCATCGAGGTCCGCGATTTCCGTGCGAAGACCATCATTGCCTCGCTGCAAGTCAGCAATCCTGTTATCAAGGTCATCGTTGCGGGCTTCAGAGCGTTCCAAGAGGCCCAGAGAATTCTCATACTGAGCGCGCATGACGCGAGCCTCTTGATAGTGCTGCTCAGCTACGGTCGTCTTCTCGCCCAGCTCAGATAGGAGGCCCTCGAACAGTGTGGGTAGCTTGCGTAGGAATGCAGCCTGAGTGAGGCCAAGAGAGCACCCAGGCAGCAAATTCTCCATCTCCTCACGAAGATCTTCGAAGACACGACGGGTCTCGGCGAGAATGGTATCCGTCGACGCGCCTGGTGCCAGGATATCGAGGTTTTGAAGCTCGATAGAGAGGACGCGTAGTGCGCCTTGCGCCTCGGCCAGCTGCTCAACAAGCCGGTCGATCTCAGTTTCATACCGCTTGATCGCCTTGTCAGAGATCCTATCCGGGACTGAAGTGGGATCCATCTGCGATACTTCGGCCAAAGAGTCATAGCTAGTCTGTGTAAGCGTCCTCAATGAATCGACAGTGACCTGGCTTGACAGCGCCTGTACACGCGTAGCGTACTCGCCCATTGGCAGAGGCTCTGCATCTTCCATGTCGGGGCCATCGGGGTCGTTGGGATCGATGGCCAAGAACGGTTCGTCGTCATCATCGTCAAAAGCGCCGTCCATCATGTTATGGTCAAACGCGCTCGTCTCGCGTGAGTCGCCGCGGTAGACTGAAGACGCACGCAGCTCCTCAATTTCCTCTCGCGCTCTACCAAGCTGCTCGCGCAGATCTTCAGTCTGATCGTCAGTCAGGTTGATCTCGCCCAGGCGACGAGCCTCGATCTGGTATTCTAGCTCCTTGATTTGGGCGTTCTTCTCCTTGAGCTGGTTGCTCAGCTCGATGTAGGCCTTTCGCAGCCTCTGATCCTCCTTCTGATGGTATTCCAGATCGTTGTACTCTTCGGCAAGGTGGTTGCGCTTGAGCCTGCGGCGGGTGCGACTGTCAATGGTTGCCTTGAACGGCGCGAACTGGATCTGGCTGCCGTTGCTCTCGTCGACCGACTCCACGCGAATCTGGGCGGGCATCGACATGCGGGCACGGCGGGTGGCATTGGTGGGTCGGCCCCGGGGGGCTCCAATACGGCGAAGATGGGGCGTGAGGCCAGGCAGTGGCTGGGTCGAGGCTGATGGTGTCAACTGCATGTCATCCTCGTCTTCGTCCTCCTCGTCGTCGGCAAAGGCGACCACGGGCTCCGAGTTGCGGCGGGCATGGCGGATAATCGTCTTGCGAACGGTGATTGGCGTTTGTGACTGTGCGCGGGAGACAGACTCCTCCATCTCGCGGGCCAGTTGATCGTGATCGTCGGATGCCATCCGCACGCGCTTGGCCGCGGGTGACGATTGCCCGCCCGAGGGCGAGGCAGGGCGCTTGCTGTTTTGTGAGAGGTCGACGGACGGCGTGCTCTTGCGAGCCTTTCGGCGGCGAGGAGCATCGCCAGGGCCTTCTGGATGGTGGTCCGACGCGAGGCCGCTGGGGCGAGCCATAGCGACGGGAGTGTGTGTGTGGTTTACTTGTGTTCGAGCGTGCTCTGTTGCGTGCTACAGGTGTCTCCAAAAAAAGTGTGCTCAACCGTGACGTGTTACTGATTCAAGTGGGTTTGTCGAGCAAACAGGGTAACAAGTGTATCAAAAAAGTCGAGCAAAGGCGGGATATTTTTTGTATAACTGGCGAGGGGGTTGAGGCAGCAGCAGTGCGGGCGGTCGTGCGTGCAAATTGCTGGTGGCTGGGGGACCGTTGGTTTTATGTAGCGCTACGTCAACGTCCACGGGCAGCACGCACGAGCCAATCAAAATAGTCACGACCCATGACGTTCACGCGTCGCACCTTCTCCACGCGTTTTCGACCGCCGCGACCCCTCTCTCCGCCCGTCATTCATCAATATAGTTCTGACGATCGACGACGACCAGCCTACAAGATTTCAAGAGGCTGGCCAGGCACGGCTGGGCTGCCAACGTCACTGTGAAATTATGGCGGGTACGCGTTGAGCTTGGGCCACCTCTCCTGCCGCACTTTCAGACCAGTGTTGCCAGGGTCCCTCTTGTTTCTTGTGTATAACCGGACATAGCTCCGACAGGCATCGAGTCCAATCTCACACGGAACAGGCGTTTGCTCACCTCCATCGTCTGTTCTCCAAATGTTAAAGGAGGGACAGGATTTTTTTGCGCAAGTGGTGGCTAACACGTCAGTGTTTCACACCGCTACATCGTGCACAGACGACTGGACGATGCTGCACTACTTCCTCAGTAGAAAGTCGCTTTCTACAAGAAGCCCCTTGGTCGCGCTAGCCACGCCGTAGAGGCCGCCGAGTGGCCATGTTCCCCAAAAGTTCCTACTCGTCCACTGGCCCCAAGTCTCCTGTCTTTGTAGACTCTTTGGCCCCGCGACGCCCTGCAGGTCGACCTTCACTTTGTCGAATATGCTGGGCAGCGAGTCGGCATGGTACTTTCGCCTCAGGCCTGTGTATTCTTTCTCGTTGTATATCCGCCAGAATTCGTCCTCGGTGTAGTAAGCGTGCGCGTACAGACATTTGATTCCCCCAAGCTCGGCTACTTTCGCTTCGAACTCTCGGTTGAGCGCAATGAACTTTCGAGAGTCCTTGGGGCCCATGCCCCAGATACCGATGTCCAGCAGCATCTTTTCAGAGTCGACATTGGCCGTTGAAAAACTGCACTCATCTCGTGGCGGTGGCTTGACTGGACAGAGCCATAGAGGCCAGAATCCAGTCTTCTCGTCGGTCCACTTGATGAAAGCCTCTGCGCTCTCATACGGAACACCCAAATCCTGGATGATCGCTTGCGAGGAGATACCAGAACGATGCAACGCATGTATCATGGTCCTGCTATACATGTAAGGATCTAGGAGCCTTCGTGTGAAATCATTGAAAGGTGTGACGAAGTAATTGAAGGCGATCGCGCCTCCCCAGAAGACTCCTCGATCGTACCGAAAGAAGTACGACTTTACTGGTATGCTTTCTTTGTAGGGCTTCTCGCCATCTTTCGTGTGCTTGAGAATCTGTTCAGCGTGCAAATAGAACCAGGGATCCGAGGCTTTGTCGAAGCATTGAATACGACCTGCAAGGAGTAAGTACGCATGTAACATTTGTTCTAAAAACTTACCTGGTATCGGCGCAGCTTGCAGTCTACCAACCATAATCACCCCGCTGTCCATCGAGTACAGGATGCCGTCAATGTAATCGACGCTAGGATCATGCTCGACCTCTTGAAGCACATCGACAGCTTCGTTTACGCTGCCAATCGCTCTATACTCCAACTCGACATAGGGCTTCGCATCGATGAGCTTCATCTTCAGGAGAGTGACAACACCAAGCGACCCGCAACTTCCGGCGCACGCAAAGAACAGGTCACGGTGCGGGTTCTCGCGGTCGCCAGTCGCCCACACAACCTCCCCATTACCCAGAACCACCTCAATGCCCTGGACAGACCTGTCAAACAAGCCATACCGAAACGAACTCGACTCGCCCGACGTTCCCGCAAAACCACCTCCTACAGTGATATTTGGCAACTCCATCACGACCTTCGGCAACAGGCCCTCGCGCAAAGTCGCATCTACCAACGCGTCCATCGGAACGTTCGGCTCGACCAACACGGTCTTCTCTTGCTTGTTAAACTGTAGAACATGATTGAGCCTGCTCGTATCTATGATCTCGTTTCGTTTTCGTACAGAATCTCGCGTTGAGAGCGTGCTGCCATGGTAGATGCGAAACGGTGTTGAGGAACGTTGGAAGGCTCGGACTTGCGCTGCGATTTGCGCTACCTCCTCTTTGTGCGCCTCCATTACAAAGCCAATTCACAGTAATAGAACAACTCACAAACGAACAGGTAATGCTATCAAACGGTACGACGCGAAGTGAGATGCGGCTGCTGTGGCGACGCCATTTGTGGTGGACGTTGGCAGCTGAAGTAGGCCGTAAGCACTTGCCGTCTGAGCCCGCAGAGCCTCATCAAATGCACCTTTATTTCTGTTTTGGGACGTCATCGCATGTTTCTCGGAAGTCACGGAACGAGCTCCACCTGCTAAGACACCAGCTTCGTAGGCTCGCTTAGCCACAATGTACTCGGGTTTTACACCTCGATGCACTAGCCTGGCAACCTTCACAACCCTGCACTCTCACGATGCCCATCTACAATCGATAGCAACACAGGATCCGAGCTTCCGATAGCGACAGCCTAGTAGGCACTGTAGGATACCATGGATGAACACGAACTCGCCGTCGAGCGCATCCGCTCTCGCATCTCCCATTTCTACACCACAAAAACCGCGTTCCGCGTGTATCACGGAAGCACAAACTCCACACGCCATGCTGACTTTGATCGCGCCTATATCGTGGACGTTAGCGCCCTCGACAACGTTCTCTCTATCGACCCTGCCACCAAGGTCGCTATCGTCGAGCCCAATGTCCCCATGGATGCCCTAGTCCGCGAGACGATGAAGGTAGGCCTGCTTCCGCCCGTCGTCATGGAGTTCCCAGGAATCACAGTTGGTGGGGGGTTCGTCGGTACTGCGGGGGAGAGTAGTAGCTTCAAGTATGGATTCTTCGACCGGACGGTGCTCAGTGCGGAAGTTGTGCTTGCCAACGGGGATCTGGTGCGGGCTTCGGCGAAAGAGAATCAAGAGTTGTTTGAGGGGCTGAGAGGAAGCTTTGGGACGCTGGGGGTGCTCACATGCGTGGAGTTGAAGCTCATCGACTTGAAGTCGCACGTCGAGGTTACTTACCACCCGACGACGTCTATCCCCTCCGCCATGCAGAAAATGCAGCAGGAAACGAAAAAGGGAGACGCAGACTACATTGACGGCATCCTCTTCTCCCGCACCTCGGGCGTCGTCGTGAGCGGGCGTCTCAGCTCTCAATCTCCCTCTTCCACCCTTCCACTCCGTACCTTCTCTCGCCCCTGGGATCCCTGGTTTTATCTTCACGCCAACCGCCTCTCCTCCCTCCCCGCCCCCACAACAGAACTCGTCCCCATACAAGACTATCTCTTCCGCTACGACCGCGGCGCCTTCTGGATGGGCACCTACGCCTTCCGCCACTTCCTCTTCCCCTTCACGTGGCTCACCCGCCTCCTCCTCGACTACCTGATGCACACACGCATCATGTATCACGCCCTCCACGCCAGCGGCCACACAGACCGCTACATCATCCACGACGTAGCCTTTCCCGCGCCAAACGCAGCGGCCTTCGCTACCTACGTCGACAAGGCGTTTGGCATCTATCCGCTCTGGCTGTGTCCTGTACGAAAGGACGGGAGGACGAGCATGGGACATCCGAAGACGTTTAGGGGTGAAGTGCCGGGAAAACCGCAGGGCGCGGTGTATGAGGACGAGTATATCAATGTTGGGGTGTGGGGACCTTATCCATCGACTGAAGCTGAGTATGTCCGCGCGAATCGCGAGATCGAGGCTAAGGTTGGGGAGTTGGGTGGGCTGAAGTGGCTATACTCGCGCGTGTTTTATACGGAGGAGGAGTGGTGGTCTATCTACGACCGCGAAGCCTACGATAGGTTGAGGGGGAAGTTCCACGCGGGGAGTTTGCCGAGTATTTGGGACAAAGTTAAGGACAGGGGAGCGAAGCGGGATTTTGGGACGGGAATCAAGGGGTTGCTCAAGAGGTTGGTCTGGAGGAGTGAGATACTCAAGGGTGTGTATGGGGTGTATAAAGCGGTCAGAGGGGGCGATTACATGCTGAGCAAGAAGACATCAGCGTGAACATTATTACATTAAGACGAGATATGTTTACAGACTCTCCTTCTCTGTGATCCTGAGAAGTTCTTTGCGCACTTCCTCCCAACACCACTCGTCCTTCTTCTGCTCTCGTAGTTCCCGCAGTACCTTCAGAACTGCCTCACCGCCGCTCTCCCCTTTCTCATCAACAGTATACACCCCACTTCCCACCTTCCCATTCGTGCCCACAGCCGCATCGACCTCATTCTCCCCGCCCGCAGCAGCAAATCTCCCACTCGTAGCAAGCCACAGATTCCTCTCCCCACTCTCCTCATTAGGAACTAACAACCACGGTCCAACGACCGTCTCCACCGCCTTACTCAATACCTTCGCCACAATCCCAAAATCCCTTCCAATCCCCGTACTCACGAACCCGGGGTACGTATGCACAAAGCTCACATCCTTCGCCCGTCTCTGCGCCTCTTCTAGCAGCAGCGTGACCGCACTCGCCGCCTGTCCCCTCGCCTTGAGCGGATTCTTCAGCGTGCGCATCTGCAGCTCGGTAGCTGTGATGGGTCCTTCCTTCGTGCCTGTGAAGATGGACACCACACGCTTCAGGCCGGGTGCCGCTTGCAGCAAGGGGAGAAGGTTGAGCTGGAAGCGCATGCGGGAGTGCAGGACGAGGGAGGCGGTGGCGTGCATGCCTTCGCTTGTTTCTTGACCGACGGACATGACGCCCTGGCTTTGAACGAGTATGTTGACATGTTTTTCCCTGACTTTGATTTGTTCGCAGACGGCGTCGACGTTTTTGATGAGGGCGACGTCGGAGGGTATGAATTTGTATGTGCCTTTGGGGTTGAGGGTGCGGAGGTCAATTAGGATGCGGTCGGCGGCTGTTTGAGAGCGGCCGATGAAGTATATTGTTGGATTTGCGCAGTGGCGGGCGAGGGCGAGGAGTGTGTAGAGGCCTATGCCTGAGGTACCGCCGACGAATACGGCTGTGAGGCGGGTGGGGAGGGTCGCGTTTGACGCCTTGATTGCGGTGAGGGCGACCATTATCGGGGTCGTGGACAGCGAGATATATGTTCCTGGAGCAAAATCTCGTATGTATCGAATTGAAGTCGTACGTCGATGTTTCTCAATCTGGGATACGAATGAAATGTCTTCTCTTCAGACGAGCGGCTTCGCGGAATATATGCGACATCTTGTTCGCACAGAAATGACGCGCAAAAGCAATGAATCCCCCCGACGCGCAAATATTCCCTTATCAGCAGATATTCTGAACGAGCGGAGGTTATTGTTACCATCAAGCTACTGTTTTGAAGCTGCTGCGATGCGTGCTCGACCAATCAGAGAGCGAAAGCTTCGCATAGTCGGTGGCGAGTTCGCCCGCGCGCTAACCTGAGCTCGGGCCCAGGGTCTTCATGATGTCATTGTTGCTTTCTCCTGGGTCTGTTTGTTTGGTAGATCGCTGGAATTGCCTGCCTCGAGGTTCCGATGGCAGATTGTGATGGAAAGTTGGTGAGTGATGGCTCTGGGGTTGGACTTGACGCGTTGAAGTTGGAAGGCGCCGCTCGCTGTCGTGCCAGCTGCAGGTGGAGGCTAGCGCGTGCGGCTTCCTTTCCTCCATTGCTCCCCACGTTCATTCTCTAGCAACGCAACCATCTCTCCTGTGTATACGGGTCTTCTCTTTGATTCAATTTGGACTCGACTGGTCCAGCCGACCCATGAAAGCGCTTCAAACAATCATCCATCCACTTCATGACCAGCTGTTTCACTGTTTCACTTCTCTTGTGCTCACAACAACGCACCTTTTACACCGCTCCAGCAGTACACCCGCCTAAAGTTTATACGCGCGTCGGAAAGTACTCCTTTGACGCCCCCAATAGTTCGGAAAGGCGATCTGCAAGGGCCTAACACAGCATTTGAAGCAAATGACTGCAGGTCACAATACAACATTGTGGAAAATGGTGGTATTGCAGCGGTACTTCCAGCTGCACAATCGAATGCACGGCGACAAAGCGCCTTGGTTGAAACGATTGTTTTCCGTCTCGAATTCCTTCTGTCGAGCGGACTACTCTAGACTAGCGAACATGCGGACCCCGCGGACTCAACACCATGCTTCCAAATCTGGGGCTGAAGATCAGACTAAAGAAGCCGCCATGACGACATCTTAGGGCGAGAGCTCATCGCCTTACTAGCCCCACTACCGGGGCAATAAGGTTAACTTACATACAAACGGTTTAGTCTAGCTCCCTTTGCGGGATCTTTCGTCTCCGTTCGCCACGATTCACTCATTGGTTGCACGGCATCAATCAGGATGGTTACCATTGCGCGAACAGTTCGGTACCTCCATCGTCAAGCTTAGTGTCGACGATGCTTATGATCCTTGCTCGCAAACTCAAATCAAATGCCGATATGCGGCTGGATATTGACGAAATCTGACGAAATCTGTTACCGAAGATGGACTCTATAAGACTACTTGAAGAATTGTAAGACCGATTGAGTCCTTGCCTTACCTATCTTGTCTCCTAGGCAATCCCATCGAGTGTAATCCCGCTCCTCAGACACTCACGATGGTGCTCGCTACATCGCTCAGCGCCCTGCTGTTGGCTGGCTTTGCTGCTGCGAGGACCTGCTCGAATTTCTCCATACCTATCGAGATATCGTCACGACAAGGAGTTTTTCCCGATATCCCCGCTGAATCCAACCTCGAAGTGACTGACTTTGCGCAAAAATTCAGCCAACAAGGACGCAACTATTCAGCGACGATTCTGAAAGGATATGCAACGGTGCAGGGGAAATATCAGATCTCAGCGAAATACTGCCAGCCTGACAGTGGAAAAGGTTCCACCATACAGATACTGTCTCATGGCATTGGCTTCGACAAGACGTACGTAATACTCTCAACCGGGTCGAAGCCTTGGAGATTGACACTCATGCAGTTACTGGGATCTTTCTTACAACAACTACAACTATAGCTATGCCAAAGTAGCGAACGCGGCTGGATACAGCACCCTTGCTATCGATCGTTTGGGTATCGGCAACTCATCGCATGGCGACCCGATCAATGAAATCCAAGCCCAGCTCGAAGTGGAGGCCTTGAACGCTGTCACCACCATGCTGCGAGCCGGAAAGATTCCAGAAATCAAAAACCACTACAGCAAGGTTATCCACGTTGGTCATTCATTTGGCTCGATCCAGTCTTACTGGTTGTCGGCGTTGTATCCAAACAACACCGATGGTCTAGTCCTCACCGGTTTCTCCGTAAACGGCACTTTCCTACCCTCCCAGACTGTTCCGGCTTGGAACTTGCACAGCGCGCGCTTGAATCAGCCTCTTCGCCTTGGGAATGCATCGATTAAAGAGCTACAGTCGATGTCTAATGGCTCGCTAAAGAACAGCAGCCTCATCCAAGTTCTCCAGACGTTGCTGAAGAGTGGTGGTGTTGCCGTCTCGACTGACGACATTTGGAATGATATCGCAACTACCGAGGTCGACGACATCATCAACGGGTGGAATGTGACTGGCGAGCAACGCCTTGACTACCCAAGCGGCTACCTCACTCACAGTGATCTCACCGCTAACCAATTTGTCTTCCTCCGTTATGGCGCCTACGACATCGGCCTCGGAGTCGTTACAGAGCAGACCAAGCAGCCCGTCACAATTGGCGAAATTCTCACGGCCGGTTCAGCTCCCATGATGTCTTCGTTTGGTGGTCCTGTAATCATCTTCACCGGAGAGTTTGATGAGCCATTCTGTGGATTAGACTGCTACGCCACTGGTGGAGCTGCGCCTAGCATCCCGGCCCAGGCTCAGCAAGGTTTTCCGAATGCGAAAGCGTTTGAAGCATATATTCAGCCAAACAGCGGACACGGAATCAATGCGCATTACAATTCCACGGCTGGGAATGAGTATGTGCAGAAGTGGCTGGCAGCGAATGGATTGGGCGCTCGAATGGCAGAGTACGACATGACAGCTGGCCATTAGGACTTGAAACGTCATAAATCAAGACTCGGTACAATATTATGGCCTCTTAAAGCCAATTTCACGAGATTGAATTCGTGCCTGGTATGGTGGTGATGTTTTAGTTCGCTTACTAATGCAGTGCATAGAGCGGCGATTGTTCTCCCGTCGGGTCTGGAGCACTGCATGGGACAGCCTCTCGGAACGCGCGATGCTCAATTCCAAGAACTCAACCTATCATCGTGTTCTTGGTGGAGGCGTGCGCACGTCCACGACGCTGCAGAGCCGTCCTTCCAGTGTTTGAACCCGGATTGTCATCCATTACTAACCTCGCCCGACTCCTCACATGCTGCTGCAATCAAACCATGACTTAAGCGAACATTAACCTTGCAATTTTGCAGGCACGAGGCTGCAAGATCGCTTGGCGATGGCTATTAAATGGGTGAGTAATGGCTGACGAGCGTCGCGTTAGCACCAGAGCCGCATCAAAAGAGCAAGGGTTCTTGTTGCAAGCGAGGCGCTACCCGCAACGTTGCGGGCCGTCCTACACGCGGGAAGTTAACAAAGACCACTTTAGGATGACATATCGTTGCTCATGGGTTCTTCCGCGATGCACGAGATTTACTAGGTGGTTGCCCCGTAGGCTAGCGGCCCTGCGTATGAGAAAGACGGTTGTTACACGAGGTCTCGGGTGGACGCAGCCAATCGGACACGAAGCTAGAGAGGAGTAAGTGACCAACCTGTTAGTCAGTATGGGATATCGAGCCTTGCATGCATATGTTCGTATGGGATGTTGTGCAAGGCACACCAAGAACGCACAACTTGAGCGTGGCGAAAGTGGACGAAAAGGCAAGGTTTGCCGGATTGGCAGAAAGACCGTACTCGAAGCCAGTGGAGATGATTACAGGATGCTTTGAAGAGAGCGACTACAGGGGCAGAGAGGGGACGGCTGAAGAAGTATAAGTAGGCCTTTGCATCCTCGATGATGTGACCACCACGCTTCAATCAGCTCCACCAGCATCGCACAGAGTGACTGAGCATCAAGCATACCTCAAGATGAAGTTCGGATCCAGCATCCTCCTCGCGGCCCTTGGGCTCTTCAACGCTGTCCGCGGCGATGGTACTCCTCTCCAAGTACCACCAACAGCATGTCACTAACACCTCGCAGCCGTTCCCTGGGAACGTCTATCCAAGAACGACTCGGTCAGCCTCTCCTCCCAATACCTCACGAACGCAGATCTAACTCACCCAGATGCTCCTCATCCTCGATCTCCAAGTCGGCCTCTACCAAGTCGCCCGTGACTGGGATCCCACCCTGTACCGCGAGAACGTCATGGCGCACGCCGAGCTGGGCAAGGTCTTCGACCTCCCCGTTGTAATGACCACATCTGCACAGCAAGGTCCCAACGGCCCTCTGCCAAAGGAGATCCTAGAGATGTACCCCGACGCACCGCTGATCAAGCGCCAGGGCGAGGTTGAGTACGTTCCATCCATCCGTGCTCTTCGTGTCACGATGTGTTGCAATGCAAATAGCTAACGAGCTTGTCTCCAGCGCCTGGGACAACGCCGACTTCCGCGCCGCCATCAAAGCCACCGGCAAGAAACAAATCATCATCGCAGGTATCACGACCGACGTGTGCACCGCGTTCCTGGCCCTTTCCCTGCGCGCAGAAGGATACTCCGTCTTTGCCAACATCGAGGCTAGCGGCACGTACTCGCAGCTCGTCCGAGACACGGCGAATTCCCGTATGCAGCAAGCTGGCGTGCAGCTGGTTAGCATGTTCGCTATTGTCTGCGATCTTATGCGCGACTGGAGGAATGTTCCTGGTGCGAAGGAGGTGCTGCCGTATCTTGACAAGTATCTGCCTGTGTATGGGTATATTGCGAGGGGGCATGCGGCGGCGATTGCGAACGGGTCGGTTATTCCGGGTGAGGCTGGGTTGATCTAGGTGGTGAGTGGGAAGCTGTGGTCTGAGAGCGCTTTGGGATGGAGCAGATGCGAGATGATAGGGATGGAACTGGAAACGGTAGTTAGAAGAGTCGGGTCGGGTGAAGTACGAGTTCAGAAGAATGCGGCCCTACCAGGTAGCCAGTGATCATTACTACGATTCAAGGAAACAATGAAAACTTGGTGTCCTAACGAGCGTCCCGACACTGCAAGCCTTTACGAAAAGTAAGAAAGATAAGAATAAGATCGATCGTCATTAACACACCCAGTCATTGGCAGCTGCCCCGCTAGCGGCGGCGTACCTTAGAGCATCATGGGATCCTCGTGCAAAAGCTATGCCCCGACGAAGTTGACCCCGCCAGCGAAGGACGCAAGGGCGTTTGACTGAACGTCGAGGCTGTTGGCCGCATCGGTAATGCTGGAGATGCCGGCGTTCTTCAGCCCAATTGCAAGCGTAGTGAGAGGAACGCTGGCGGCCACAGCCGCGGCAGCAAGGGCGTTGACAGTCGCGGCGACGATTGACATCTCGGAGGCGGAGAATGCGGCAATCTCTGCAAAATAGGTCAGTTGATGCTGCATATTCATAGGGGAATCAAACAACATACGTTTCTGGATATCCGCAATCGTGGCTTGAATGTTCGCCTGGAGCGTGGCAATGGCGGTAACCTGTGCTTGGATACTGAGTTTTAGTTAGTAAATGACCAAAATTGATATTGAGCTAGGTGTCCTTACGCGGCAATCAAGTTGGCTTGCTGAACAGCAAAGTTCTGCTGGTTGATCGATGTAGCCACAGAGCAGACCTTCTTCTCTAGGTCGGTTGCTAATTGCCAGAAAGTCCCTTGGGCAGCATTTACGGCCTTAACAACATCGAGGACCGGAACTAGGTTGTCCGGGGGGTTTACAGAGACATTACCGGTGAGCTTGGCATTCGCACCCGCTAGAGAATGTCAACAACACTATGGTAGTCATCGTTCGGAGTAGCCTACCAATGGCGTCGGCGTCAATACCGAGGGCTGATGTGGCAGTTGAAAGAGAAGCGGCGATGGAGTTGTAGCCATTGCCAGCCAGAACATCAGGGACACCCTTGAGTGGTAGAACGGGGATATAGGGAAGGCCCATGCCCGGAGTGCCGGGCAGTTGAGGCGCAGCTTGCACGGCGGCAAGTGCAAGACACAGGGAGGCAGCAGTGTAGCGCATGGTGGAGATTCTGGCTAATCTGGTGAAAAGCTAGTCTGTTGATTGATCGGGATGATGTTTAGGCTCTTGCTGGTTGCACGGTATATATAGCTTGCTCTCACTGAAAGTGGTTCTTGTTTCCTCGTCTGCTGTAGATCTCGACAGCCAGTTTACCGGCAGTCTAGTATGACCGGCCCTGGAATGAACTCCAGGTTTTCGGGCATAAGACATTGGAATGTTCCGATGGGGTTTACAAAAAATGTGCTCGCTTCTTGCCGCGTTAACCGCGTCGCATGTCTACTTCGCGCGGGATGTGCATGAAAAAAGGTCAATATTGACACCTTAGCAGAGTAACGATGTGCTACAACTGTTGGCCAGCAGAACGTGGAGGTTGGACTGCATGGATAGGCAGTGGGCACGCTCTCGGGCACACTAAGTGCCATAAGAAGTTGTCTTGCCGCTGTTAGTCGCTGGCATGCGGTAGTAAGCCCGTCGAGTTGGTGCAAAAGAGATGGTCTGCTGGCTGTTCCAAGTGTTTTCTGCATGAAGACGTTGCTTTGGTCTGGAGCGGCAGGAAGAGCAGCGATGGGAGGGAGTTCAGTTGGAAAACCAACCTCGTGGGTGCTTTTCCGGCAGGGCGCACGACATGCGGGCGCTTACAATCCACAATTAACGAAATACCTTCGTCGCTTTTGATGATAGGTTACCGAGTTGAAACGGATGCGAGCCTCTCGCATCTCGGCATGCCGATCCACCCGCTAGCCGGCCCGTACCGTCACCCAATCGGCATCCAGAGCACAACACATTCGGTACCGCAACGTGCTTATTCGGCATTATTGACCCCAAAGCATGGATCTCGGCAGCTTGTACTCCAAAGACTCCGGGTTTCTCCGCTGACGACGTGCTTCACAACACACCTGAGCTCATTCATTCCACGGACCGTACGCCTCTGCTGATTCGACGGGAAGGGGAATGGGTAGTCTGTACCCAATGAATCGGCCTGCATTTCAAGGGCAGCGGGCTAGATATTTCGGCAAGGGCATGTTTGGGTTACTCTGGCGATGCTGCCGACCGATGTTGGAAAGCAAGCCGAACGCCAGCTTGTACACATGCCCAGTTCAAAAGGAATTCACTTCAGATCTACCTACCAGTCGAACATCGTGGATACTGTCTGGAGTTCCATTCGTAAGAAACATGATTAGTGAACGAAACGCCAAGGTTCATGTGAAGGACAGTGTTACATCGTCACTTAAAATCCGCAAGGACTCTAAGACATACTTACAAGACCGTGAGCCTTTAATCGTCTCTACCTCAGAAATCTGCTGAGCATCCATTACGATAGCTTCGCTGGCCGATCAGCTGCCCACCACGGAAGAACGGCAGGGCATGCTACGACTACAGAAGAGCGTGGACAGCCAACAATGTGACACCACACCTTGAACAAGAAAGTGGTCATCAAATCGATCACCACAAACGTGTATATTCAACATACAGTCAACACGGGTGTCACAATAGTACCCAGCTCCTGTTTCACACAGATATTCCCCTTCAAGAGCGTTCTCAATGCAATGACAATTCCATAGTCAACAGACTCCTCCTGGTTAAGATTCTTGCTTCTGACAGCGAACATCTAGCACTTCCCAGAACTTACCCATCAGCAAACAAATATGTCTTACCGCATCGACGAATCCATTATTGCCAATTTTCTCACCAACCATACCCGTCCCCTCCGGATATCCGCACTCCCACCAGATCCCTTGTCGCGGCAATGTCCGATCTGCCATGAACGCTATAATACACAGAATCGTGCCTACCTCCACCCACTGCTCCCCGCAGATACCCCCGAGTACCCTGTTCAGATCCGCAACCGCGGCTCATGTAGTCACATCCTAGGTAGGTGCTGCGTAGAAAAGCACATCCGTGCAGGTCAGCCCTGGAGCCATACATGTCCCCTGTGTAGAGAGGAGTGGTTTCCAGCGCCAAATGCAGCGAGGACCGAAATTGTGGGGACACTAGACGGTGTGATAGGCGCTTTAGAGCGGTTGGAAATGCACGACGAGAGGACACGGAGAGAGGTAGAAAACGTCGAGCAGGCGTTGGATAGCATAAGGGAGCTGCTCCATTCACAAAGGTGGATATAGGTGCTTTCATTACCCTAGCTTGTGTATGCATTATGCAAATGGCGTTCTTCATATGTATCTACTATCAGGACATGACCGCATGCGCGGAAAATAAGCTGTAGCAGAATGGCGGACTTTGCTGGTAAGCGTTTACTAACAATTGGGAGGGACAACCCCGTGTTCCTTCCTCCAACGCTAACACTTCGTCAAGCACAACCGACATATGTTATCTATTCCTAACGGTCATGCACAGTCTCCTGATCGTCTTGTCCCGATTGTTGTTCGCGATTCAAGAGCGGCGCCACCGGTCTCTGTTCAATACTTTGTCCACGATTCTGGTACATCACTGCCAGCCTTTCTTCAACCTCCCGCACTGACGCTTCGATCTGTTCACTGCCTTCTTCAACCGAAAAAGTCTCTAACACTTGCCTCACAAAACCGGACCGAGAAGAACGATCTTGCCGCCGAGCACTATCGCGGCGCCGCACGATTCTTCCATCGTGAACGCCACGCCTACGGGAAGAGTGTGCTAGCGGCTCTTCAGGTGCGGCCCACCACAGCTGGCGACATAGCGGACACTTGTTGCGCCACGCTCCGCGACTGTTAATATGCTTCTCGAGACACCGGCGACCGAAGATATGGCGGCAGCACTTGATGCTTCCTTCATCGGTGGCGGACATGTCGACGCGCATGGCCCATTCAGTGGTGTTTTCGGGGCTGGGACGGGCCTTCTGCGGCTCTACGTAGGGTTCGGAGCAGATTGGGCAGTGGCGCGAGTCTGGGTCCAGGCATTCCAGGTGGATGGGTGTCGTGAAGAGAACGAAGCCAGGGGACGACGAAGATGGAGCATCTGTGGTGGGTGGTGGCTGTGTCATGATAGTTGCTAACTGAAGTATTGGAGCAGAAGAATGAGAGTGTAGAAATGATGCTGGGATACGGGCTGCCATGCTAAAGCTGTGCAATGTGAATGTAGTGGATGGTTGTTCGTTTGCGAACAGGCAGGCAATCGAGACATGCTCCTGTGTGCAGTTTCGATGGTGTGAAGAACATTAGTTTGGTGTTACATTCGTTGGTAAATGTGTGGCTGTCGATGAGCTTTCACTGCCCACGTTCTTGTTCGCTCGCGTATGCTTACCGTTGGCAGAGCGGCAAGCGCTGCAATGCCAGCGGAGAGGTTAACATCAAATGTTCGCAACATCCTCACTCATGTTGTCCAGCATTCCAGCAACCGCAATGATGAGCTCCCGCTTGATAACGAGTTGCTGCGAGTCATTCACCCTTTTAGCCGTGGATCCACTCGACTCGCTCGGCCTATCAGAAGTCACAACTTCCAGCGCTCTACCAAACTATGTACAACGGTACATTTTTTTGAAGCGGGTAGAAGCGAAGAAATGACAGTCCGCCATACTCCACGTGCTGCACATATCTCTCCGAGCGCGCCCTGTTGTGGGGTCATGATAAGGCTTGCGGAGCAGTTCCGAGCTGCCCGATCAAGGATGTGACGCACCGTCGGAGCACCGCGCACAGCACGTGGTGCCTTGAACATCATCTATTGACAAGCTTTCAATGCGATCTCAGCAAGTGAGCTTGGCAGTCTTACTGGATATTGTGCAGGACGGGACGAAGATGTTGAGTCTGCCAGCCGTCGGGCTGAGTACTTAATGGATGCGATGCTGCCACCATGCATTGTCTTACGATTCCACCGGATCGCTTCTTTCATCTGCAGCAGCAAGTAGTTTGTATCTCATCAGAATGGTCAAGTACTACACGTCTCTCGCTCTGCTAGGGCTCCATGTTGGTGCAGCGATCGCGGCCCGCCAGCCGTACGACGTGCGGAAGATCATAGAGGCATTCAAAAGAACCCACGACGACCTAACGATCCTTTGCGCGCATCGAGGGCTCAGGTGAGCATTCTGAAGCACATACAATATGACCTTGCTAAAGAACCGTGCAGATGGAACGGCACAGCCGAAAATTCAGTAGATGCCTATTGGCGCGCAGCAGAAGCCGGAATCGAGTGCATCGAAACCGACATGCGACTCTCTAAAGATTACTTCATTCCCATGATCCACGACGGTGGACTGGGCCGTTCCACTGACGTTGGTGAGCAAGCAGGCAAGGAAGCTTACAACCCGTACACTGGCCAGGGTTACAATCCCAATGTAGAGGTCCTGAACTACGAGGGCTACATCGAGAACCTCCATTTGCGCGATGAAATGGGGCGTGTGCGTGTGGAGAAGGTTCCTACATTGCCCGACATGGTGCAAGCGATTTACGAAGAGGGTATGAATGTTGTGCTCGAGCTTGACTTCAAAGATCAGGCGGCTGTCGAACCTGCGTATTGGGCTTTGAAGACGCTGAAGAACGCGGCTGGCGTACCGGCCAACGAGTGGTGTATCTACAAGCTTCAGGCTACGGTACGCGATACGCAAATTTTATGAACACCATTAGCTAATTGGACTGTAGTGGTACAAGACGCCTGAAGAGTTTGAAGCTCTACAATGGGTGCAAGATGCGTTTGCGAGCGGCGTTCAGCTGGCCTTCATCCCTGTGTATGACCCTGCAATGGAAGACGAGATGGACACTCTTGCTTCACTGAAGGCATTCTCGCAAACAAACTACACCATCAGCGCTGAGATCGAGCTTCGATCGATAGACGGCGTACTTCAGGATCTGCTGGACTACGTTAAGAGCAACCAATCTACCAACGTGAAATTCAAGACTGCCGGTACCTTCTATGCCCCTGGCGACATCTTTGCCCCCGGAACCGTAGACTTCGACAGGGCGAACTACACCTTTCCCGACGACGAACACCGTAACAAATCTGTCTACACATTCCAGGACAACAAAGCGCCCCCTCTCATGGACAGTCTCCTTCCCGATGGAGCCTCAGTAGATGGCCACGACTACCGATCTGATTTCAACTGGATCATTGAGCAAGGGTATGACTGGGTCATCACTGATACACCTGATTTGTGGGCAAGGAGGCTGGAGAAGCAGGGAAGGAGGAATATTACGTGGATGTTGGCGGATGGGAAGGAGGTCGCGAATGAGACGCTCAGTGGCGGGTGGTACAAGAGGCGCGAGCAAAACTAGAAGATTGATGAAATAATCTGATTGTAGAAATTGATTCTGCCTCCGCTCTGGTACATATAATACCATATCTGGCATAATCCATCTTTGCGTCTCTAAGCAGTCTCATTACTGTTCGCTCAACCTGACGACGCCTAGTTGAAAAGGGGCAATATCAGCGTCTCCATCGCGATGATCCCGATAAACACTTGTAGGCCCATGAGCCAGGAAGGTAGTAGATTAGGGCGGACGTAATTGATCGTAACCGAGTTGAACAGTACCCAGAAAGATACTGCTCTAAGCACGTGTCAGATCCCTTCGAGAGCTGCCTGCGAACGGTGCGCCCAGCCACGTTGGGACAAATACGCCATAAGACCAAACGTAACATAGTACAATACAATGCCGACGCATATGATCGTCATTTCGCTTATAGTATACGGAAGCCAAGCAGGGTACGGCCACAGGTAATAAGAGAGCAGCCAGTATTCTGGAAAACCCCTGCTACTGTGTGAAAAAGTTGCTCCGTCCCTGTCTCTGTAGTTGCTAAATGAGGCGGCCCACAAGCTTCGGCGAGTATGGGTTAGGAAGTTGGAGGGAGTGGTTGTTTCGCGATCGTACTCCTCTAGAGACACCAAGCGGTGCTCGTGGAAGATGTTGATGGACAGGTTGTAGCTCTCGGCGGCTTTGAGATAAGCCAACAGAGCTAGATCTTGTTGAAAGGCGTCCTCTTGAAAAGCTTCTTCTGGTGTCGGTTGTCGTTTCATGTCGGTGCGAAAAGCTGTGCTTATAGGATAGTAGTCCACGCGGAGGGCAACACTCTCCGATCTGCGTGCGCGAAGGCGAGAACGGAACTTTTGAGACGACGCTATAAAGTGTTTGGATGATCCAAAGTCTAGGGTCTCGACCCGTTTCACATAAGAAAAGCTTGCGAGACGCGACTTATTCTGAGGTATAGCGCGTGCGTGGTCCAACTTGTCGAAGAAGGCCTTCATCTCCAGCACTGAATATCCGTGGCAAGAGACGTGATACTCGTTGGACGTCAAGTACTTTTCTAGTGTTGGTTTGGCCTCCGCGTAGGTTGTTTTGCAGGCTCGGAGTATTTCTAAATGGCAACTGAGTTCATGAAATGTGAGGCGCTTGATCCTTTTCTCGAAGAGCCTATGGGCAAGCTGCTGGAATTGTTGGGTGGTGCGGTATCGGATGTTGTACTCGACTTCATCCACAAGCTGCTCGTACACCCGGAGTCGGAGCTCCTTGGGAAGGTCAAGGAACCGGAATGGCTTTTTGGGTGTTGCTACAGGATTCATAGCGGTGCAACAGCGCGGCACCCACAGTGGGAGGAAACTTGAGGTGAACATGATGTTGCTGTTTCAATTTCGATGAATCTGCTCAACGTATGCAAAGATGCGACAAGATATAAAGTTTTGCGATAAAAATTGTATTTTGCTTCTGTGACCAAGACCCACGGTTATGGTCTCGATAACTATGGTACTTGTCTTTCCCACGAGCCAGATTTCCAACTTCGGTCGCCCAGCCATGTCAACCATACTTTGCACCACAACAACTGTAACACCCGCTGACCGCTTATTCACGCTTGCTAAAAGATACTGCTGCTATTTTCGCACGCTCAGATGAGACCATAATGCCGAGATTAGGGTCAACGCAATCTCGAAGACAAGGTATACTAGCACAAGCAGAATAGCCAGCGTGTGCGCTGGTCCGATAACTTCTTCGTTGGTGATTGTGGGTACGAAGGTTTCGTGTTGGGCTTGGGTAGCATCAACAGCAGCTGATTCCGTAATAATAGGTGGCTTTCCCTCATTCGAAGCTACCGATCCAACCGCGTTGGTGCCATTCTCTTGAATTTCTGTCGCTTCGAGTTCGTACGCGCCTCCCTCCTTCAAATCGATGCTTTGGTAATCCCTGTGATTACTTTCAATGGAAATGGCGTCCTCGCATAAAATATTTGACAGCGGTTCTGGTTGCGCTTCGGTTGATCCTTCGTTCAGAACCGAGCAGAATTCCCTCCATCGCTCCGACGTTAGATCCAAGTCCTCGTCACTCGTTTGAATACTCTGAGTTCGTAATGAACTGGCATCTGAAAGCTCCGGACTGTCGCTTACGGCTGTCAGTAGTGAGCGCGAGGACTTGTTCGATAAAGTACAATCTCCCTCGGAGACAATCTCCGCGTCAGGAGACGCATTTAATTCCCTTGTAATTGCATCGGCATGATATTGTCGATCTTCGCCGCAAATCTGGCGCTCGATTGCAATGCTGTTCTCATGAATTTGCAAGCGTGTGTCAACGCTCATAATGTCTTCGTCATCGCATCCTTCTCGTTTGGGCAGCGGTGTGAACCAATACGTTGAACATGTAGGGCAGGTGATAGGATCGGGCCTCCTATATATGCTCTCAAACTCCGCAAGACAGGTAGAGCAGATACGGTGACTGCAAGTCGGTAGGTTGACGCGGATATTTGTATTGCGTTGGCATTGCACGCAAGGCTTATTGAGAAGGTATGCGCGTGTTGATTGGATGCGCTTGAGGCTCGATGCTATAAAGCTTGCTGGTGTTGAGATTTGGTCGGTCATTGAGGTGGACACTGTATGCTGATAGAAAACAGCAGCGAGTGTTTGCTTATCTAGAGGCCTTTATCCTGCTGGACTGTGAGTATGTGACATCGTGTGTAACGAACTCAGCACCCAACTCAACTGTGAATGTGTATGCTGTCATATCTTCAACATGTCAGCTGCATTCGTGTGTCAAGGAACATTGAATTGACTGCGCATGTCGTTCGTTGCTATGGTGTTCACTTCATTACGTCATCTGCATGCTGGGGACCGCGCTCAATAGAGAAAGAGCGAATGATGCTAGGAATTAAACTAATCTAACGCCACTGTGGAACAAGAATGGGATAGCTGGGGATAGGTTTAATCATATCGTCTTCGTTGACGAGGAGGTGCCGCAGCGTCATCATCGCTACCTGAGCGCCGGCTATGACCAGCCCTGTCAACATCGTGAGACGCAAGATGATCCTCCGAATGAACGATAGTCCTCCCACCATCGCTAGAGACCTCACTTTCCGTTTCGTTATTTGTATCTGTATCTGATTCTGTTTCAGTGCCAGCGCCAAATGTGACCTCGATTCGTGTAGCCTCTAGTTCGCTGTTCACTGAAGGGGTGATGGTTGAACGTTCGTTACTGGAGTTTGCCTCTTCTTCATTTGCTGAGTCCTGCGTCTCGGTGTCTTCCTCGTCGTCAACCTCAGCGACACCGGCCCCCATCAAGTTCCCGATTATCCCGCCATCATCCCTCTCCAGAGCGTCTGCCGTTGCATCCGCCAGCTGTTGATTAGCGACTACGATTTCAATCATTACTCTTCTCTCACGACTGGGCACCTCTCGGGTCAGTCGCTCCTCGAACCACATCTCGCGGCACATAGGGCACGTGTGTGAGCGCTGGATGTACCTTTCGAAGCAATCCGCTCCAAAGATGTGGTGGCAGTTGGGTAGATCGATTTCCATCATGCGTTCGTGCGACTCGGACGTGTCTTCGCGGCATATCGGGCACTCTCGCCTGGAGGTGCTGGTATCGACAGGCAGATAGTGAACGTGGAACTTGATAAAATAGGCAAGTGGGCGGAAGGGTACAATGTGGTGCTCTTTGTCTTCTTCTGCGAACATGGCATCGAACCTTGCCTCGCGAGCCTGATCTTCTTGTGCGTCCATATCAATGTTGTGGATGCGATGTGGGATTTCTTCCATGACTCGTTATCTTGTTTGCTAGATAGAAAAATTCCAGCCGATTGTTTAAGTTCGTAGATGGGTTGTGGGTTAAGTAGTCTTCTTGGATTGGAGGACAGATTTGGAAGGCTAATTTGACGTCGTAGATATCGTTCGCGTTGAGGATGACTATAAGGTACTCAAAGCGGACGCCTTACAATTCAAGTTGACCCGTGACATAAACCCATTGCTCAATGATACGCGATATCACCGGCAGCTGCATCACCGTGAAAAGAAAAAGACATTGCAAGAATTTTCAGATTCATACGACTGACTTGACAGTTCGTGACAATGCTGAGTGTACTTTTTTCCACACAAGCACGTACTCAGAGGCCAGGACAGTGTTCATGAAAGGTGCTTCTTGGACCGGACTTCATGGATGGAGTGCGCTGATCACAGAGCCCCATCCATCAGTCAGTTTCCTGTCTTGATGCGGAATCACTTCACTGCTTTCCTCACTTTCGTAGAGATAGATTATCCACCTTACATTGAACCACGAAAAGATTTGGGGCGTCTTACGAATTGGAGCGGATAGTACGTTCCCGTTCTGTGATCCAATACGTGATACACATCCAGTCCCTGCTGTCTGAGCAGTCCCGCTCCCACAGAGCCTTTCCACTACAAGCTCTATCTATTGATCGAGTTTCATAGCCCAAGTGGATAAAGGCCCAATCAAGCAAGTCAGTAATACCCCTACTGACCTCATTCCCCATCTTTCCCTGCTCGGGGACGAATGGTTGCATGATCGCGAGGTCAGAACGACCGATGATGGTCTTGAGAATCGAAGGGCCAGCGTAGACAACATCGTATGGGAGAGATCGGTACGACTGTGGAGAAATAGTGCGACAGCGTCTGGCAGGCGGCAGCATGGTGCATGGGGATGATGCTCCGGCACCGCAACTGTACCGACAGTTACGAGGAACCCGAGCTTGAGGACGACTAAGTTCAGAATGCGCTTTTCGCACCTGTTTTGTCACTTTGCAATTTAAGGCGGATTGTTTGTCTTAGACAATCCTGTTTGAGACCCTACTGATCAGCTTTCCTGGTTTGTTTGCATGTTGGAACCTTGACTATGCGGTCCTTTGTCTGGCACCGTGGATGTTTGCTGGCTATCAAAAGACTCCGATGTCATACTCGAAATCGAAAGGCATATAGAGTTTCTCACGTGGCATCAACCGGACCTAGATTCTCATATTACTGCAGTTGTTGCTACTTTTATCACACCGTAAGCATCGCCATGTCCGCAAATCGGCGAGAAGGAAATCCAGTCGAGGCTCGCAACATCAGTATAAACATCCATATACAGGTGTCCACAGGTCTGAGTTTGGGATGCAGCTGTCAACCCACGTTGCAGGGGCAACGACAGGGCCCTTTCCTTCAGTCAACTCACCCTCACCTATCGTCTCGAATAGGAAGCCGCTCGCGCATTCCGCTTTCGCTCCACCTCAACGCAATCCACCCTTCAAGGATCCCAAACAACGAATTGAACGCACCTTCAGCTCCGTATCGACATTCTTTGCGCAATTGCACCATTCACGCGATGGCACAGCGATCGAGCCGAGAGTCAAATGGGACATCAGACGGACAACCCAACGGCCACACCTCGCATAACACAGGACCAATTGATTGCAGCGATGCCGGTATACTAGATTTAGCAGATCCAGGTCGCGTCGTCCGTCAACCCGAGGCGGCTACAACAGGCGAGCGGTGCGCGACCCATTGAACTCGCGTACGCAGTTCAGACGCTGACTTGAATCCAGAACGCATCTTCGCGCAACACAAGTTGCAAGTGTCGGCAAGAGCACGGCCAGTGTGCAAATGGTAGGGGAGCCGAGGGATACTTGGGCTGTTGAACAGTACGTCCTGACTTCCGCTGGACCTTCAATGAGGGAGGTTTCCTAGACATGTCTGACGATGATAACAGGGAGACGCTCGAGAATCTTAGCAATGCTAGTGTTCTTGCCCGCTGTCGACAGCACCTGCGCGAGTGCGACCGTCGCCAACGTCTATTCGCCGGCGCCATTCAGCGCTTCGAGATGTACAACCAGTTCTTCGCCAGTTCTTGTGACAAAGCCTATCCCAACGGGCCTTCCGAAGTAATTGCTACCTTGCATGCAGTGCGACGCGCAGGCGACGAGCTCTTTCCCCCTCGACGCGAACTCACCCTTGCCGTGTCCAGGTTGCGCCACTTCGTCCTGAGCTTGATCGAGCGGCTATCACCGACTAGCAGCGTACGGAACGAGAATTCAGTCCTGTTCAACGATCTTACCCATGACTACGAGGACGATGAGAATGTGATCCGCATCACAATAATGAATGTTACTGCCGAGATGGGTGCCGATCCGAAGAAGAAGCTGGAGATGTTCATGAAGACTTTCAAGACGAGACTCGATTTGCTTAAGTTGCAGTGGGGGAGGCTGGAAGTAATCGCAAAGGAGTGCTTGGGGGAGCTTGAAGACGACTTTGCGGAGCTTTAAGACTCTTACTGGATGGTGGGAGACATGGCAGAGAACATATGACTTTGAGGGTGTCGCTGCATTCGGCATCTGGCATAGCACTGAGGGTCTATGATTGTGACACAACAGTTTGATATAGACTACGCGACAACGTTGAATGGAAATAACGTGGTGCAGATTGGTTCAAGAAATTAGAGAGATTGAAGGTGGCTGATCCCCTGAGATAAGCGAAACTTCCTAAACAGGCATACTGTGGATTGCGGCGTCGTAATTCCTTTTTCTAGTCATGATACATCTGGTTTTCTGTCCTAAGCCGCTTTCGTCACAGGGCACATTGCATAGCTGTGGACAAGTCCCTACAAAATTAAGTTTCCCAGTCCGTTTTTATTCAGACTCATCAACGCACAATTCCCATCTGCGTGACATCTACAACTTGAATCTTGTTGACTGTTTGACTGTAAATGCTATACACCGTCATAGGTAACCGCCGATTAGAGGCGGAAGAAAACAATCCAATGCGGCGTAGTGCAAAAAGATAATAAGTGAAAAGTGGCCCAACGAAGCGCCACTAGACGCCGTGTCTCTACTGTATCACTGGATTATGCACTGGAACGCTCATCCTTGCGAAACATATCAACTTTGGCATGACTCCCGTATAGCCTCGCCCCTGTCTCAGGTCGGCTAAGAGCAAAAGGTGCACGAAACCAATATGACCACAAAGCTCTAACAACTTGTCTGCTCCCCTCTCAGTGCCGCCAGAGATCCCACATTGTAGTATTCCTGACGGAAAGTCATCTTATTTACTCCTATAGACTATACAGAAGACACCAGTCCGCATTGCCCCACATACGCCGTCTTTCCTGCGATGCATTCCACGCTCTTCCTTATCCTCCTCTGCATCGCCTCCGTATTCCCAGTCTCCAACAACGGATTCCACACACCAACATGCCACCTCAGTCCCCCAAACATTGCCATCTCCAGTACTTCCATCCCTCTCGCAGATCACATCCTCGAACTCATAACCGCTTACGGCAAGTCCACCGCCTCGACCAAAGCTGCGCTGGACTCACTGCGCTATGCCGGCCTTGATAAACACGCCGACGACGCTCAGATCCCAATGAGGCGAGGAAAACATTCGTATTCGGCGATCGGGATTTTGTTGGACTCTGCGATAGTACGGGCGGCCAAGTTGGAAGAACAGTTGGTATGTGTGCAGGAGGCGCTGGATAAGAGGGCGAAAGGGGATCCTGGGGATACTTGGTCGGGGATGAAGAAGGTGGTTGATGTGCTAGTGGAAGAGCTGGATGGGCAGAGAGGGAGGCTGGAAGAAGGGAAGAGGGTCTGGGTATGGGTTGTTGGAGGGGGAAGGAGTGGCGGTATCTGAGTCGGGTCAATTAGCGTGATGAGTTTGGAAGGGCTGAGAGGTGACTCACGTCCGGATGGAGACATCAGTTCTTCTTAGAAGCTTGCGGCGCCCTGGTCTTGAGATGGGGTCGCTTGGTGTACATAAGTCCGGGGATGCGACCTGTCTGAGTGCGAGGGGTCGATGCAGCGGCCTTATCAGGCTTCTGAGTAGAGGAAGGCTTCACTGTTGTAGATCTACGCGTGCCACTTCGGGTAGTTCCAGCTAGACGTTTCATGTCTTCATCCATCGGAGAAACCTCTCGGTAATCCTCGGTCTCTACCGACGTGAAGGAGTCCTCAACACCCTGCGAGACCGAGGACCCTCGATGCGAGGGTGAAATGCTCGTAGACGCGGAAGATGGCACAGTATTCGTGAGCTGAATGATATCTGGTTTCTCCACGAGAGGCTGGGTCTTGACTTTGGGCGCGGTGTTCAAGGCCATCTCAATGATGCTAGTGATCTCCTTCACCAGTTCCATAGCTGGCCCGTCTGATTTCCCCTTCATAGTCTTGAGGAGGGTCGAGTAGACCTGAGTCTGAAACGACCCCAGGATTGTTGTGTCTTCAAGGCGTCCTAGTAGATGATCGATGGCCTTTTCGGTATCGCACTTGGCCTTCTCCTTCTTGTCGAAGCGAGCGATGACATCCATGTCTCCTTTGAGCAAAGCGGTATCCATTATAGCGGTTGCGACCTCCTGATAGAACTCATCGACGCGGTGGCGAGGATTCTGGTGGGCGTATCTCTCCATGGTGCGCATTGCGACCTGGTTGATATGTGATGGGAGATTGTGGTAGACGCTATCATCGGCATGCTCTTCTAAGTCCGTCACGATGAATTCGTTGGTCTTGATCTGGCGTTCGCTCTTCGCGATGATGTGCTTGACGACCTTCGTTCCTACGTATCCTCGATCATTGGGTAGCTTCTTGAGATCGGTCTGGATGATGTGGAGATTCGCAAGATCGGCGCGCTTGGACTTGAGTACGTCCTTGTGTGACTTGAGAGCTTTTGTGGAGTTAAAGTTGGTGACATTGGTGGGAGCGATGGTGTCAGGAGAATGCTTCTGGCGCTTGCGCACTTGCTGATCGCCTGGCTGCACATCGGTGGAGGCCTTGCGCTTGAGCATGATGGATAGGAAAATTAGATACTGTTGGAACTTAGATAGAGTTCTATCAACTCGGGTGTTAGGTAGAAGGCAATAAGTTTGGGTGAGTATAGGTGTATGATGATGGGTGACGGATGCTAAAGCTGAGCGATTGAGCGATTGATGAATGCTGGGTGAGCAACACCACCATTGACGACGCTGCACAATAAGAAGCACCGACCGCGCATTATCCTGCCAAGGAATTCCTACCGAAGAGTCGAGCCTGAATACCAGCCACAATATAACGTACAGTACCCACTTTCAGAAAGCGTCGAGGTGAACGGTGAATGGTGAACGGTGAATGCCACGCTATCCATTGCGCACACTGCGCTCCCTTTGTTTCAGATCGTAATGTATCATCAAGAAATGGAGGATCTCAACCAGGTCTATTTAACTCCAAGAATTTAGCGGCATTGATTTATCAATCGATGACTTTGTGGATTTGGTATCAATACTGCTCTGAGCACGGTTGTGAGCCGTCATTAGTAGATATCCATTCTGTTCACAAACATACATTGCGTCTACCAGAATTTGTATACTGGGATGATCGTGCCTGTAACAGTAAAATGACAAGCGCTCAAGAACAAAGTGTGCCGAACCAAGAAAAGCCTCTCGCTGCCTGGGCAAACGAGATAATCCGTCCATAACATGATCTCCAACCGACACACCTAAACCACTTCAGTTCGCAGGAGCATACTGTCCCAACAGACACACCTGAGCAACCTCCGACGGTTTAGAACTCCTTCATGTTGGGCATGAAGAAGAAGGAAACCGAGTCATCTATGCACATGTTAGTTTCGGGATCCTGGTTCTGATACATCTGTACGCTTACCATGAGCGTGCCTACACCTGGCGGCGCTTCTGGCGCGGCACAGGAACTTTCTTCTCCCCATCCTCTTCGTCATCGGAGTCCGTCTCCTCCTTCGCCCCCTTCTCCTCCAACGCCTTCCGCGTCTTCCAATGCGTCTTGGGATAGTACTGATTCACCCACTCCATGACATCCTCACTCTCGTCACTGCCGCCCCAGCGATGGGCAAACACTTCCGTCTGCTCCCACCAGAGTCGTCGAGACTCCACAAGATCATTCTTGTCCCTAAGCTTGCGGTTGGTAGACGGCACCGCGACGCCAGGATCACCAATCTCACGACGCTTCTCGCCATCGTCGGCTACGAGCCGGATCTTGTTGATGCCGCCGGCCTTGGGGAGGACCTTGCGCGATTTGGCTAGGACGATTAGTTTCTGCAGGGTAGGCTTGTCGGTGGACTCTTGAGCCGGGCCCGTATCCGCATCGTCGGCGTCGGAAGAAGACATAAGGCCGCTGTTCTCGGTGACAGGCGCGGCTTCAGTGAATTTGGCGTCCTTCTTCGACTTCGCGAGACGGGAATTAGCCTTCGAAAAGCTGGGCTGCAGAATACCGTTCGATTTGTCTCCGGCCATTTCGATGTCTGTAGTCGAACGTGTCAGGCTTGTGCGGGGTAGGTGAATGTGAGTGTCACGAGATCCCCACCTTGCTGGGGTAAGTTGACGTTTTTACTTACAGAGAGGATCTGGGCGGTAGATCAGACAGGAACTATGTGCTTGGTGTGGTTGTTTGCGTTTCGTGCTGACACTTGAGTGTGTGTTGGTTGATACTTGCGCAGGCTGTGTGCAGTGGGGTGCGTAGAAGAGCTCACAGAGCGCGGAGGGCGTTTATAAGTAGCTCAGCGATGCAGCTATGACGGAGTGTGTGGACAGTGCTCACCAAGAAAGTCAACCTTCTTTGTAGTACACTGTTGCGCGAATGAAAGATACCTCGGAATGGCTGATTCACTGGTTCACTGGCTTGGCGTAGGCTAAGGTGGGGCGGGGAAAGAGCGGGCTGGGGAGAATAGTGAATACCAATAGACACTATGGCTACAGTAACACGATGCAAAAATTTTCTGTGCGTAATCTATCGATTCATACCAGGAGGTGGCGGTCCACATGCAAGATGTCGAAGGTTCATGTCAGTCAAGGGTCGGAAACAGTAAGGGGGGAAGTTGCTAGATGAGTATAACCATTTCTAATCACTTCAGATAGGCGGTGAACACTACTCGGGAAGATATTCATACTACTCATCCCAATCAAATGCACCACTCTCAAGTCATGATTGTTATGTTCGAATATGGTCATGCTTCGTCGCAGCCAACGCCACGTCCAGTGGCGCTCGGACGCATGCATTCGGCAGTCTATCATACAACTACATCCCCTTGTTTGACATACGAAGAATTACGCTAGATGAGATTGATGTTCAATGATTCGATACATTGGAATAAAAGAGCATAGTTAGTTCTTGCGCGTCCCTGTCAATTGGTTCATACCTCTTGAGCCACTCATCGTCGCTTGAGTCTGCCCCTCCGTCTAGCTTCGGCCTATTTGGCAATAGGTCGATGATATTCCAGGTGGACTAGATGTTGTTAGTAAAAGGCGTGATTGAGGTCGAGCTACGGGTGACTTACAGCTTTGCACGAGCTGAAAGGATGAGTGCGAGCCTTGTTCCGCGAGACACTTGGTTGTGGAAGCCGTTGTAACTGTCGCTATAAACATGCATTTGATTGGGCGTATGAGTTGAGGACTTACAGATCACCCATTGCGGAATGAGCAGAACGCTCTATCTCTAGCAAAGCCACGGGCCATCGAGGTTTCTCAGATAGGTGTGGACTGAGGAGGCACAAGCTCTTGCTGCTGCCCCCGAGAGAAAGTAACACATGCGCTCTCATATCAAGATAAGTGTATGAGGATACTTAAGTGACACACCATGTCGAACATGCTGTAGCACGGGCATGGTAGTCAGGCGCTCAGCAAGATTCACAAGATTTAGGCAGGTTAAGGTAAAATGTAACTTTGATATGTTGTTACGAACGGATCAAGAAGCTGTTGATAGAAAAGCCCGTTGCTGTGTTGCAGGGTATAGATATCGTACTCATGGATACTGAGCAGTAAAACAAAACAAAAACCCGTTGCTGTGAAGCAGGGTATACAGATCGTACTCATCCTTGAGTAGTAAAACAAAACTCGCACGCCATTACATAAGAAATGATGTCTCCGACTTGACCTGATGCGTGCCGAAATGCCGTGATACCCCAGTTAACATCTTCATGCCCTCATCCGCAAACAAACCAGGACTGACCCCCCATCACTCACGCCTGGCGGCCTTCCTCACCCGCTCGATGTGCGCGTCTTCATCCTCCCTCTGCCGCTTGTACGCATTAGCGGGGTTCATGTACCTGCCGGCCTGACGCTCAGTTTCCTTCCTCATCTTGAGCAGCTTCTTCGCTCCAGCCGACATTCCTGCTGTCTTTGAAGGCCGAACGTTTGGCCTGTTATATGCATCGTTGATGAGGTCGCCAATCTCATCGTTGTCCTGGCGCGATTCCGGCTTCGGCATCCATGCAGCGACTTTCGCAGCTGCTACACGCGGTTTTGCAACGCTCTTGTCTGCTGCGACGAGCTGTCGTAGCATGCCTGGGATTTCATTGGAGCGGAGACGCACGATGGTGGAAGCCTGCTTTGAGGCGGAAGCGGCTGCGGTGGCTACTTTGAGGTTCTTCAAGGCTTCTTTCTCAGCCTTCGCATCGGCAGTGGATTGAGGCTTTGATGGAGCAGGAACGGCAGGAACGGGCTTCGGAGTCTTGACTGTCGTAGACTGCTTGGGCTTCTGGGTTTGGATAGTTCCTGAACCGACAGCAGTAGTACCGCTTGTACCCATGCGAAGATCGGTGCGCAGAATGGTTACAGCAGGCTTCTTGCGACGAGCTATCTTCTTCGGGGGTGTAATGGGAGCCTGTCCACCCGGAGAAGCTACCTTCGGAGATCCGTTGGGCTTGGTAGGGAACAGAATTTCTGCTGCGGGATCTGTAGAGTCGGCTTCTGGCGAGGGCGACGTTTTGGCTTTCTTAGTCGCTGGAGTGTTGTCGGGAGTGTCATTTTCATAGGCGGTGGATTTTCGCTTCAGGCCTTTGCTAGTGGTGAGAGCCTCTTTGTTTGAGGCGATGCCATGGACGGTCTTGTCTTCGATGGGAGATCCAGGACGCGATTGATCGGTCGGTTGAATTGCTTTCGCAGAGTTGGTCGTCGTAGTGGATTTGGCGGATGAAAGCTTGCGAGAGCTTGTTGCGCTCGCGGCTGTCGCTAATGAGCGACGGACGTCAGGCGCCCGTGTCTTCAGCATGTTCGATGTAGAAGATCTTGGTTTCGGGAGCAAAGGATGAAGCAGTGGAAGAGGTGCGTCGTGAGCAAGAGTGCTGGGTAGTGCTCAAGGCAGGAGAGTGGGCGAAAAGGTGGAAGGGATGTTTTGAGGAGCGTAGAGACTTATATTTTTACGGTGAAAAGCAGTGACCAGTCTCAGGCAGTGAACAATAGGGAGAGTGTTATTGTGCTTGCGGTGAATAACGCCTGCGGTGAATAATGGTCATAGCTCTCTACGGCCCACCCAAAAGCTCGAAAGGCACAATAACTGGTTGGCGGCAGTGAAAAGACGTGAAAAGGTAGTCTGCTATTGTTGCCGTAGCGGGTACTAACCTTCGAACATGTGGCCGGTAAGCCGTTAATATCGAACATTTGCACCTCCGTGTGCCTGAAGCGCGACCGTTGGGATCCAACCGTTGCGGCTCGTCTGAATCCCATAAGCCCTGCTTAAAACGGTACGCTGATCGTTATAGGCACCCTACGGGTCAATGAGGGTGAGACATGCGGATGTGACAGGGTGGTACTGCCTGGTGGACATCTGTGGGCGTACTTTACCATCCGTCTATTGAGCATATATGAACGTTTCGAGCGGGTCTGTGGCTAACTCGCACATGTAGACTTTCCGCTCTTTGTAGAAGCTCCGCATTATTTCTTGTTGATCTTTGGCGGCGTGCTCGCTTTCTACTCCAGCGAGGTGATTTGCGGCCCTTTGTGAACGACGTGCGAGACATTGTAGTCAACCGTCTAGAAACTGCCAAGGCAAATTTCAACTTTATATGCCATGGACTCCAATGTCCCATCATTCCTGTTGCGAACTGGTCCCCTGCCGTATGGCCTTTCCGTGATTTGGTGGGCGATCGATGTTAGGTGATACCATAGGTATCACGGAGTGCATACTGATGGCCGCCGTTTGAGATAGGTAGGGTCGATTCAAATGCTATATAGCGAAGGAGCTGTAAATATACGAAGTCCATGGTTGTCCTTTGATGTCAATCTCTAATCGGGATGGCCTAGGACCCAGACAGCATACGCAATCGCGGCCATGGCAGCGGCATACCTCGCAGTATCAAGGGCCATGGATGGGTCAAGGGTGCACTGACGTACAGGGAAATGCGCGATGGCAAGGATGTTGCGGCCAGATCTCGCGGGCGGCTTGGCGTTTCCCCACATCTTGTATGTACCTCAACAAAGGCCACGGAAGCTACACATAACCTCCACACTGCCAATTGTTCCTCGATACACTTCTCGGAACAGATCACAGTCATGAAGGTCGCTGTCATCCTCGCCCTGGCAACCGCCGCTGTCGCCGACATCATCAACAACGAGGTACATACCGCTGCCCCACGCAACCGGCTATGTACGCATCAGTATAGCTAATATTGACCGTAGCACCTCAAGACCGAAGTCATCAACAAGGTCGAGTGCAACCGCCCCACCAAGGCCGGCGACGGGATCCAAGTACACTACCGCGGCACACTCGAGAGCGACGGCAGCGAATTCGACGCTTCATACAACCGCGGCCAGCCGCTGGGCTTCACCGTCGGCAAGGGCCAGGTCATTAAGGGCTGGGACCAGGGCTTGCTCGACATGTGCCCCGGCGAGAAGCGCAAGCTTACTATCCAGCCTGACTGGGCGTATGGTAGCCGTGGCGCTGGTCCTATCCCGGCAAACAGCGTGTTGAGTACGTATATATGGGGAGCGAAGTAGTGTGGGCATGCGCTAACGGTATGCAGTCTTCGAGACGGAGCTCGTTTCGATCGACGGTGTTTCCAAGGACGAGTTGTAGACAGTGGCAGCGGTTTGATGGAGACACGATACCCGGAAATGGCGGTGGGTTGGGTGATATGAGCGATATGGCACATACGATATTGATGACCTGGACATAAAAAAGACATAGGTTTTGGAAGCCACCGTGCATAGCTGGTACACTACGATATATGATTTACTTAGTGATATCAGCGGTATCGGCACAGTGTCCTCCATGCTCAAGCGTGCACTGATGTACTGCTCACGGGTAGATCCAATTCTTAGGAGAGGAATGCTGTTCTTTTATGGCGTGCCGGTTAATCAAAGCAGATAGCAAAGCATGCCCAGCGAGGCAAACGCGACCTTTAAAGGCATTTGCGCGCTTTGGCGGATGCGTTGATGGAAACCTTGGAACAGGGTGCCTCACGTGGTTTTAAACAAATCTTGGAACCAATGGAACCAATGTTTAGGTATATATTCAACAGCTAAACCACCGGTATAGGCGCGATTTAGTGGGACCTTTATGAACATCCTATATATAACCAGGATCAAACACCGATCCCAGTCTCGGCACCATATCGCTGTTGAGGGTTTGGGGGTGGAGAACCGCAAGCATCATGAATGATGATCATGAACTATATTACAGTGGCAGTATGGATTGAAGAGATGGCGGTTACTGGTCACATTCCTAGGGCATCGAGATACAGTATGGGTCGCCTATTGTTCGTGGGGAAGTTCTCCCCGCTATCGCATGGCTCCCTTTCACCGTGAGGCATGGTCTTCACTTCGCTCTCCCAGCCACCTTCCGAATTTTGGGACAATAGGTACGCACGGGCGGTGTCCAATTTTGAGGGCGCAAAACAAGCACAATAGCGAAGGTTTCAGTTCAACTGCAGTTGATACCCGCGGGCCCTGCTACTCTTCGAACCCCAAGAACTTTCGCTCCACCCACTTTGCAGCACACTCAACCTCATTTTCACAGCACTCACATAATTCTCCTGAGCTCTTCAGACTCGTTCATTGCATCGAAAAACCTGACATTCTCCGGTCCTCGCTCTCTACCCCTTCAACCCACAAACCACAACACAATCAGAAAGACACATACACCAAATCACTAGCAAACATGGCCTTCAAGATTGCCGACCTCGTCGCTGAGGCTACAGGCGTGAACCCTGTCACCTTCAAGACCAGCTTCGCCGATTCACCCTTGGCATACCCAGAGCAGGCCGACAAGCATCCCGAGATGCCTGAGCCTACCACCGCGGAGAAGACCGTCGAGAAGGCGCCTGAGAAGACCACCGAGAAGGCCACGGAGGAGACTAGCGTGAAGCTGGCCCCTGAGAAGTCATCATCTGGCACTCCGGCTGCCCAAGCACATGTCCAACAAGCTCATGAATATTCTGAGCCCTTGATCGAGAGCGAGCCAAAGCGTACCGTCGCCAAGTCGGCTGCCGCAAAGTTAGATTCGAGCCGTACCACCTCCGGAAAGCGTCCCAAGGCACCTCGCGCTGTGCGCAAGCCCAAGGCCACGCTCCCCAAGGCCGCGAAAACTGGCGAGGAACCTGATATGAGCATTGGTCAGCACGTGAACCAGTCCGAAGCGACGAACGAGGGCGTGAGCAAGAAGCGCACCTTCGACGAATTCGAGATAACCGCAGACACCGACATCGCGGCGCTGGAGGCACTGGGGAAGAAACCCGTGCTTGAGAACACAGAGCCAGCTCTTGAGGCTGTCAAGCGCCCGGCGACGAAGAAGGTGAAGACGGATTCGGGCAAGGGGGTCGTTTCGCGCGCGACGAAGAAGAAGAGCGCGGTGGAGGCGGAGTCCTCGGACGAGGAGGTCGAGCACATCCCGGCCAAGAAGCCCGCGAAGAAGGCGGTTTCGCAATCTACCTCCAAGGCCACACCCGCCGATGCGAAGGTGAAGAAGCCTGCTGCACCGAAGAAGACTCCTGCGCCGAAGAAGGCTGCTGTGACCAAGAAGTTGGAGAAGGCCCTCAAGGGCAACAATGTCCCGGGAAAGGCGACGAAGCTTACCCCTGCGCAGATTGCCGCCCGTAAGGCTGGCAGCAAGTAGGACTTCAAGCTTATAGCACATGACGTTTCTGTTCCGGGGAGCGAGGTATAATGATATGGCGTGATGGTTGTCAAGGATTTTCATTGCATTCGGTCTGGCGTTGGGCTTTACAGCTAGCATCGGCGATAGTCACTTACAGATGAACATGCCTTTATGAATGCGTATATTTCGAAATTTTCCACTGTTCATGCTGTCGTGACATCGGCGTGTGTTGATACAAACATTATGCCCTCGTGTTGGACTCACTGATTACCACACATCCGCAATCACAGGCAAACATCTGATCTTCAAATATATGAATGGCTCAGGATGCCTTCATATGTTGTCCATCGACTATATACATCACCTCGGCACTGTTCTTTACAAACATCATTATATACTTTCCTTATGACAGCTCAAACGTGTATATATAGCATCTGCAGTGTGTTCAGTACCAGTTGTCTGGCTCTTCGCGACTACATGTACCTTGCATATGCGATGCCTACGACGCGGCTCGCGCACGCTGAAACCCACCGTGTCATGAAATCAACCTTTTTATTATCATGCTCGCCATTATGAAAAGTCGGCCGCAGCGCCTGCCCCAGTGGCACAGTGAACGCTGCGGTGGCTTACGTAAATATCCCCTTCATCATTCACCCAAGTGACGCGCTGCGCGGAGATCTCTTGGCGCGCCCGCTCGAAGTCAACCAACAGTCTGCTTTTAAATACCCTCGCGACTCCTTCTCTCGTGCGCTCACAGCTTACAGCTCGCTCGAACCCTCGATCGAGCATTGCACATCGACACTTCTTTCCACCTGTCACACTTCGTGATAGCAACCATCACCTCGCACCTATTTCCTCAGACACTAAAGCCTCGAGTTTCTGACGACGATCCCCAGCAATGGGGCGCCTCATGAGGGGTCTGAAGCGCAAGGCTTCCGACGCCGGCGACGAAGTGCCAGCAAAGCGCGTGCAGCGCAACTCCCCAAGTGAGTCCAAAGACAATGATGAATCTACTCCCCACTGACGACAGCGCAAAGCCGACGACCTCGACTCCGAGTTCGAGGTTGACGATTATCAACCGTCAGATGCCTCCGACGTCGAGTCACCTAATACTCCGCCTGCCGAAGAGGACATCTTATCCGAGCCGACTGAGCAGGAGATAGCGACACGAGCACGAGCGAATGAGAAGAGACACGAAGCGACACTCAAGCGTTTCGTCGATCCAACAGCGCTTAAGATCCTGAAGACAATATCGACAATCAGCAGGATGAAGTACAAGAGACAACTCCAGCAAAGCCTTGAGACAGTTGACCGAGAGGTATGTCAATTTCTTCCTACTAATTGCCTACTAGTACTAACTTTGCACAGGCGCGCAAGCAGGATCGTAGGAAGTTGAAGACCAAGTTCCGGGCTGCGGTCAAGAAAGGCTTCAAGGTCTCGATTCAGCCTGGACAAGTTTACACCTTCCCTTTGCCACAGGTAGATCACGCACCCAAGGAGCCTCGTGACCCAGAGCAACCAGAGAGGCTAGCTAAGCGCCGCCCTGAGGTTCTCTACAACCGTGATCCTCAACGCGCGGAAGCTATCAAAGATGCCGTAAGTCAATACCCATCCAAAGACCTAATGGGTAATGCTAACATTTTGTGTAGCTCTATCCACGTCGCAATGGCAGCGTCATGGCAGCTATTCCTAGGGCATTCGCAGCCATTGCACGCGATCCCTGGATGCCAGATCACCTCGACCTCGAAGACGTGAAGAAGCCGTACGACCGGCTCTTATACACTCGATCCTTGAGGTGTGGCCAGTCCTACCATAGGTTGCCCGAGGAGTTCACGTTCGACGGCGTGCCGAAGACCAAGCCAAGCTCGTCGAAGTACTTCTCTCTCAACGAGGATACGCACCTTGCAACGGGAAAGAAGAGGAAACAACGTGCGGATGAAGACCTTGATACCGTTGAGGGCGCTCGTCGTGACCGACCTATCCGGTCCCTCGCCGCAGCTCACTCTTCACCAGTCTCTGCTAGCAGCGAGCCTATCGCTACTCGCTCATTGCCCAGTGCCATGTCTGATACAGCTGAAGACCAGGTGTCAGCACCCCAGTCTCCAGTCACTACCTCGTTGGCTCCAATTCCAGCTCCAGTTCAATCCCCTGCAACAACTCCTGTTGCACCAACTGGTGCTACTCAACCGACTGAGACTGAGGCCACGCATCCAGGACCACGCAGCCGCCGCAGGCAGAGGGAGTCTGATGAGGACATTCCCCAATCTTCAAACCCAAAGAAGATTGCTAAGCTCACAAAGCTCTTTGCACGCACCGAGGCTGTGAAGCACAGGAACCCCTCCACGACTGTTTCTGCTAGCATGGGACCTCCTGCTGTTAGGCCAGACGACTCCACCCGGTTCAAACCCTCCCAACCCATCAAGCGGCCTCGGCCGGAAGAAGAAACCGACGCACAACCAGCCAAGCGCGTTAGGACTTCTCCTGTCCGGCAGCCAGAGGAGGACGTCGAGACTCCCTATACCTGGGAGCCACAGAATCGCGTAAAGACGTTCAGCGCCACGCAGCACGAGAAGCGCGTTAAGGCTGCATTGGCCGAACAGCGTGGGAAGGAAAATATCCCCGTTGCTCAGCAAGAGAAGCAGACCAAGACTGGATCGGTCATTAAGCCAGTCAAGCAGAAGACTGCTCAGCGTCTCGAAAAGGCCTCTCAGCAACCGAGCAAAAAGCGCGCTCAACCAGAAGAAGACACCTCCACTCGATCTTCGAAGCGCAATAAACCTGCCACCGCCTCGTCTGGGCCCCCGGAGAACCGCTATGGACTCTCCGAGAACAAGTTCTCTAAGAGCCGCGCTCCCAAGTGAGCGGGCTCTGTCCTTGTCTCTCGCCAGACACCATTAGCCGAACAGCCAACCTCACGAACAACATCAACAAACCCCTCTTCCAACTCTGAAGAAGAAGAGCCAGCATCAATACACCACCGACAGAACATAAAGATACTATCCCCCGTCCCGCCCCAGGGCTTGAGATCCTGGTGTAATTCGTATATCGTTTCCAGTCATCAACAAAGCCGGGGGTGAGCAGGATCAGTGCCTTACAGTGACCCAATTCTGGCGCCTCGTCGTTCGGAAGTGGAATTGGGGTTTGTGGTATGAGCTGATTGAGGGGTATATATGTGGGACTCGACAAGATGGTGCGTTAATGCGGCGGGAAGGGGAACATGTGGCAGGAAGGATCGGAAGCAGAGAACTAATAAAGATTAATTACATGTGGTAGAGTCAATATCGATCACGCTTTGAGTCATGGTTTTCAGTCACGTAATATTATTAATCGCAGTCCATATCATCTGATATGATGCCGTTTGTTACCACTTTGATCCAGAACGATGTATTTGAGTGGGCGCACCCAGATTGGTAGCAGAAATGCCAGAGCATATCCTCTTTGTTTACATGCATCGCATCGAAAACTCTGAAGTAAAATGAGGATACGCCTGACATGCTCTTTTCCTTGAGAGAAGTCAATTGTAGGTGTGGATCATGATTATGGATGTTTGTGTGACGGCGCAGAAAACTTTCCAAAACATAATTTTGCAGACTGCATTTTCTGCATACTTGGACATCTCATAGTCTATGAGTGCCTGTTGGTGATTGATCATGGTGCGATAGCAGACGTACCCTCGAACAAGTAACCTAGAGCCTGTGTACATCATAGGGAGAGTGACGCATACTGTGTCCTCATACTGCCCGCTGGGGAAGGTTTATATGTTACGAACCTGGCTTTGTGACGTGATTACAAGATACAACATAGGCCATGTGGTCTCATACGCTCGGAACTTGCTTGTAGGCCACTGTGCTAAGCATAATCCGGTATATTTGTGTTTTCCCCAGCGTCCGACCCATTGCAGGTAATTTTCCTACTGTAATCAATTAAAATAGGCGGGGGAAATGAGGATGTGCTCCCTCTCGACGATGGCTATGTTCTATTGTGTATCACCTAAAATGAGGACACCCCGCGCATTGGAAGCGCATGCAAATTGGCACAATAGCAGGGCACAATAACAGAAGACTATGCAAGAAAACACCAATCTGAACGAGGTCTTTCCGTCATAGGGCGCAATGGTCACCCTTAAAATTTCCCCTCGCACTGGTACTCACATTCACCTTCATACTCTCTAGCGCGAACTTTCTTGGCACCGTCACTGACGACGCGCACCGCAAAACCCCGCGCTGCTCAAGTCCGCTACTCTCCCAGTTACTTCTGTCAACCTGTTAACACCCGTCGACATACCCTCATTGTCCAGCTTAATAGCAACTCTTGGATCTCACACATTCAACACTCAACCTCGCAAATACTTGCGCTCTATCTACAAGGAAAATGTCTCCTCATAGAACTCCCTCCTCGTCTCCTCGCCGCAACGGTTCGGTAAGTATCAGAGCCTCCAAGAATGTAAGATTGAACACAAGACCTAACTGCACGTCAGCCTTCATACATGCTGCCGACCATGGCATCCAAAGCTCGCGCGCATCGCGCTACCCCACTGAAGCGGTCCGACTCGGCATCAGCTTCAATGGAGAAGACACAACCATCTGCTGTCTCAGCGCAAGCAGCTAAGGCCAACACGACCGTCACCAATAGCGCGCAGGCTCAGCAGTTCTGGGACCGTCGTGGGGTCCCGGGCCATCTCTTCGAAGTCAATGGGATCAACGTACGTCCACTATAGCGCCCGATTTACACATTAGCTAATGTCTTGGTTCAGAATGCGGATCCGTATACTATCGTTCAGTCGCCAGCAGACACTGCTACAGACGCGCCCAACGCACCTGTGGCTCCAGCACCTCCCATGGCTCCCTTAACTCCGACCGAGATCGTATGACCTGTCACCCCTCAATTTAAATTTTCGTTCTAACAGAACTTAGGAGACCGACAAGCATGCGGTCGTTCCGGCCTCGGTGCCCACCCAAGAGCCCACTTCTGCTAAGGGCACCACTGGCAACCTCGCTGTAAGTTCAAGGCGGTAGACCAAAGTATACACGCTGATAACTGTGACAGTTGAATGCTTCTGATACCGATCGTCACGCTACTCCCACGCCCGATATCACCCACGCGATCGAGGCCCCCACCAAGCGCAAGCGTTCCGACGACAACGAGACGCCCATCAAGAAGTCAACTGCGGTAGAGCGCAAGGAAGGGAACGTAGGCAAAGGCAGCACCGACGCGGAGCCGCCCTCGAAGAAGCGCAAGACCCGATCGAGCGCACCGGAGAAATTCCTGGAGCTCGGCTCCGATGGTGACGACGACGTTGTGGTAGTCGCTCAGCGCAAGCGCAAGAGCGCGACTATCGTCAAGGCGCGGGAGGATACGGCTGCCATCGAGAAGTTGAAGTCCGCCGCGAAGTCTCAAGTCTCTGAGCTCGACAAGCTCATCAAGCAGGAGGAGAAGCGGAAGTCATCAGCAGCACGAGGCAACATCTTCTCTCGAAACCCGAAGTTGAGGCGTTCGTTCAATGACACGCTTTCGGCTTCGCGCATGAGCCGTCCGCGCCCGATCCCGCAGGCAGTCACGTCTGCCACTCCGCGCAACACCATCGAGGTTGCCCGGTCACCCATTGCAAAGGACAGCTCCTCCGCCGTGCACGCTCCTGACGCTTTTGCGGTCGATGAAGAAGACCCCAACGTCACTCACGCCAACCTTCGTACTATCAAGTACATCAACGTTACGGCAACCGTCCGTAATGTGCACATCGACAGGATCGTCCAATCTCCGTTCCAGTACCCGAACGTGGTGATAGAATTCGACGAGAACGATCGCCCCATGAAGGCTCAAGTCACAAAGATGACTGACGACGAGTACAAAGTGGCTTGCGAGGCGGCTTTGGGTCGTGAGAAGGAGAAGCGCAAACTCGATGCTAAGCTTGCTCGGAAGAATAAGTTTGGTACGGCGGAATCCTCGTTGCACAAGGTCCAGGGTGGTAAGGTTGCTCGTAAGCCTCGCACGTCGCGAGCTCGCCCGTAGGAGTCTGTCTCTTTCTCCTTGCGTATGTATCCATCTTCTGCTTCATCAAGTTGTTCATGGTTTGAGCTTTTAGCTTTGTGTTCTACAGGATGCTGGAAGTAAAGGTCACAACAGGATTACATAATTGCATCTTCATTCACGTCATGGAATCTCATTGCCGCAGCACAAAGTGACTATCATTTTGGTAATACTTTGTATGCTTGACAGCGACTGCAATTCTGTACTATCTCAACCAAATACAGTGTGATCATGTCTTTGGGTGCATACGAAGGTGTGACCACAAAACATTCTCCCATTTAATAAATTGTGCTACAAAGCATGGGAGGCCACCTGCATACAACCTCAATCAATACATAGAGCATTCATTGAACGACTGCGCAACGCACATGTGTGGAGAATGTGTCATGGCGTAGGGTATTTACATGGAAGCAAAACCTTAATCTGTTCTGGTAATGGAGACGACTAGATTTGTGTCGGTTTTAGGCGTTGATGTTGGGCAGATCCACCTCACGCGCGCGCCATAAGCGCTGAACCGTTTCTAATCTACAACTCCCAGATATTAGTATACATGAAAACTAGTTTCCGCGTGATTCTTCTGTACGGTGGACTGCGCGATCGCGTAACACACTTATTGTTCTCCTGAGTGGTGAATGAAGATGACTAAGCGTCCACTCACTCTCACTTCAACACCAACTTCCCTCCCAGCCAAGGCCGGAAGTGAAAGACAGGGCGCGCAGCCAGCGTCATGGCTTGGCACAGGCGCACCTTGAGGGGTACACGTCCTGTCGGGTCCTGCTGCACACAGAATCGCACTCAAGATCAACCACTCGATCTTCGCAAGCTCCCTGCTACTCACGTCATTTTACACCTTTCTTATCACCTCTACTCTCCCATCATACAGAGAAGCTCGTGTCGATGCAAAAGCACGATGTCTTCCGCCCAATTCCCGAACATCCCGTCTGCCCGGCCGCAAAAGCGCGCACGCGAAGTTGCTGACGAGGGCGTCGACGAGGGCGTCCACCAGCGCATTCGCACCTCTCCAACTAATGGATATACTACGGCTACTACATATCGCCCCGGCGGTGTCGGTATCGGCAGGAATTCAGTAGCTGCTCACGTGCGTACCTGCCCTTCTTACATGGTTACGCAGTTACTGACTGTACATAGAACCTCTGGACGAAGACCAACTCCGGCATCGAGCCATCTCTGGCACTCGCTTCCTCTGCTGTCGCTATGCCCCAGCCTTACCCCACAATGACCGTACCTCCGGTCCGCCCTGAGACCTACAATACCAGCAGCAGCGCGCCCGGTGCGACTTCTGCTCAACAGCCGCCCCCTGGCATCACTACTGCTTTCGCGCAGCAGAACCATGGCAAACGACCAACATTGGGCATGTCCAATTGTCCGAGCGCAGTAAGCTACCTCTCCTCAGGGGTCGTAGCGCCAATGAGCCTCGACCGACGAGCGGCACATCAACCGCCAACTAACACGCCTCCTGTCTCTCGTGGCGTCTACTGCCCAGGTTCATCTGGCGCCTCTATGCTGAGCAGCCCAGGAGCACGACCTGATGTGGACCAACAGCCTGCTAGGAATGGCGCACTTCCAGTGCCAGCGGTCAACCCAGATCTTTGGCCTTCACTTCACCAGCAGCAGCCTTCAGCTGGAAGTTCAGGCACAGCTCACCCAGGTCTGCACCCGCGGCCACATCACATCCCAACTGCGGCGCAATCTCCACGGTATCAGCCAAATTCAATGCAGAAGCAATGGTTCGATGCTACAACATATCAGCTGCAGAATCCATACCTTTTCGTTCCAGGCATATCTCCAATCTCTCCGACCCCATCACATGGTGCCCTACTGCATCCATACCAAGTCTTGAGTCTCCGTTTCCTACCACCAAAGGAGCGGTATAAGAAGTACGTTGAGTATCACGGTCTGCTCACTTCTATTTATGGTCCGTCTATCGACAAGACACCCCAGGCTATCAACTTCTTGCGTACGAGGCTCAGCCAGCTTTCAGCATGGCTCATACATACGGAGCAGCTACAAGAGCGGGACTGGCAGAGGCAGGGCGTACTACAAAAGGCCAAGGAGGATCGCCGGCGCAACTATGCATTGGCAGAACTAGGCTTGGGCATCACAGACCTTCCAGTTAGTATCGGTGATCTTGCGTCTAGGGGTGCTCAATCGCCGAATTCTCCTAGAGTCTCTCACACTCCTGCGAACCCGAAACAACAGAACACGCACGGTTCCGCTCCGCGACTTTATATGCCCAACCTCAACAAGGTGCCATCTCAAGTTACTGCTGGTCGCCACAATGGGTATTCATCCGGTACGCTACCTCGTGGTTATACTGGGGAGGCACCAGCTGCTTCAAACCCTGGTCTCAGTCCTCCAGCGACATTGCCCATCGGCCATGTCCAAGGTCAAGCGCAAGGGCCGGCGTATGAATTTCAGACTCCATCTACAGGCCATCGAGCTTCACCAGCACATTTCCTTCTGGAGGGTGGAGCTGGACTGGTCAAAGATCTGTCAGTGCAGAACCCACAGCGGGCATCCGCTTCCTATGGGTGCAGCTCCTCTGCTCCCATCGTAATCGACGATGAAGATGAACCACAACAGGCTACCGTTGTCCAACGCTCGCCGGGGCTAAACCCTGCTGTCAAGCGCGGTCCCGCAAAGGAAGTCATTCCGCCGAGGAAAGCTCCTCGTATCGATTCGTACACTAAGCCAGTCGATCTTACTGACGATAATGGCGAGAAAGCTGCAGCATCTCCGGCAATGGATACTCCCCTTCCCGTTGTCCAAATATCTCATTCTCCCTCGCAAGGTCCGCCTACTGTGACTGAAGTCTCGCCTGCTACACAGGGTTCCCCTCCCGTACGGAAGACCTTTGAAGGTTCGAAAGACTTCGAGAAATACGAGGCTTTCCAGAAAGAGTTCGAGGCGAAGAAACAGAAGGTGCAGAACGCCATGCCCGGTGAGCTCACCTCTTCTCTCGCCACGGAAAACAATCGAGGCCTTTACAAGCACGAGAAACCTTGGATGGCTTTCAATGCTTCTCGTCAGCGTGAGATTAATGAGAAGGAGGAGGCAAAGCGGAAGGCAAAGGAGAAAGAGGAGAAGCTAAAGGCTCGTCGCGAAAAAGATGCAGCGACTAAGAAAGAGAAGCGGAAGGCAGAGCAAGCCGAGAAACAGAGGGTTGCTGCTCAGAAAGCGAGGCAGGAGCAGCGCCGTATAGAGAAGGAGGAAACGGAGGCAATTGAAGCTGCAAAGAGGCAGAAGGCTGAGGAAGAAAAGGCAGCTAAGGCGAAGCAGCAGCAAGAGGAGCTTAAGGCTGCCACACTGCAGCAACAAGCCCAAGCGCATCCGGACACAGACCGAGCGATCGACAAGGACACCTTTGGTGACGATGATGACGATAACGATGAGCTGCAACAGGTCATATCCGGCCTTCTAGGGCAGTCCCCGCAGCCGAAGGAGCTGGAAGAACAGGCGGAATCGTTGCGCGATGCGTATATCACTACCGAGAAAGCTATCGATAATAACAGCCAAGAAGATGCACAGTCGGCACCTTCTATCGATATTACTCCTGAAGCGGTACCTGAGCATGATGACCTGGCGGATCTCTTCGAGGAGGAAGTCGAAGAAGCATCAACGACCCCAGACACCACTGCTGACGACGACGACATGAGCAGTCTCTTCGAGGCCGACGACGACGACATGCGCAGTCTCTTCGGTGATGATGAAGTCGAGACAGACACACCAACCACCTCTCCAAACGATTCCCTGGTGCTCGACCAGGAAGAAAACGGCAAGACTTCAGACACATTGACTGTAGCGATATCAGCAGCGGCCCAGTCAGGAGAGCCCGGAGCCGCGCCGCAAGAGCAGTCACGTTCCGATGCTCCAGTGAATGAGTATTCCGAGCATCAACATGCAGATCAAAGCAATGTGGAAGACAGCCCTGAGCTCGCGGCCAAGCGCCTCCAAATCCAAGCACTGGAAAACGATATTGCGCAAAAGATTGCCCAGGCGTCGACAACGACAAACTCTCTGTTCAAGGCTAGACTTGAGCAAACTATCAAAAAGCTCGACGAGGAGAGATGGCTTTTGGAAATTGAGTTCGCAGGCGGAATATAAGCCTGCTCCGGTTCTCAGGAAGCACCCAATGGAAGTGGGTCCGTGATACTCGCAGCAAACACCGACCGGACAGCAAGGATCATCGCGAGATTAGAAACTACTACCAAGACCCTACGCGATATTATCACAACGAGCAAGACCGAGAAAGACGTTCTTGAAGTAAACAGCAGGCACTTTGCTGCGTATTTTTGTTTTAGGAGAATTCACGAATAGAAACACCTCTTGGGCTCTTGCATGGGAGGACCACAAAAGAGCCCAATCGACGACAGCAGAATCATTTGTATCAATGATTCTCAGACTGGCCACTTGGAAAATGACGAAGAAGAGTTGGCCCTGTTAAATTGGGTTATGACACTCGGAGACCGGTGCCATAGGATAAGATTGAGTTTATAAACGGGCCTTAGTTTTGCGGTGGGAAAATAAGGACAACCCAGTACGTAAAGCCATGGCTTACACTGCCTTACGGGAATTTCGTCTGCTTTTTTGCAAGTACTGCATGTTGTTAGCGTTCAGTTTTGTCATGACCAGCATTCATGGATGCTCCGGTCTTCATTTGCTTTTACATGTATTGTCAATTTGCGGCTCGGTTGCATATCAGTGCATGTTTGTTATTCTATAGTCTTTGCTTTCGACCAGCATCCTGTCATGGATGCTACGGTCTTCATGCGATGTCTTTTATGCACATTATTTTTGAAACATAAAACTAGAAATCAATCTAAATTGGCCCGCTCCTCTCCACTTTGATTTGGATGCTCTTCTGATCCTCCTTTTCACCTTTGTGTCATAACTTACTAAAGCCGCGCACATAAACATGCTCCATGAGTGTGTGGTGCACAACTGCTGGACGAGCAATAGCTCCGCATTCGACCTATTATGTTGTTAATAGATTGGCCCGCTTCACAAACGCTTTTATCACCTAAAGATCTCCAGGAATTCTCTGCCCTTTCTAAATTACGGCTTTCCCGAAGCCCTTACCATCACCCTTAAATCCTCATCCATGTCATACCACTCATGAACATTCACAGTGCCTTCATCGTCGCTACACAAAACCCCGCTCTCGGTATTGCATGCCCGAGCTTCCTCACTATTAAAAGTTTTCTCACATGCCGTCACTATCGTGTTGGCGCAGGAGCATGCCAAGAAGGTAGTCAGATTCGGGAAGTAGTTGACAGAACCAAGAGATGACTTGTTCGCTGTATCGGATCGCCAGTATAGTCAGGTAGCGACCTCTGAAAGACGCCAGGCTATCTTTGACAGACCTCCAAGGCTTTTCTAGAACAAGAGTTTTCCGTTGCCACGGCAGTGGTAAGGGCCGTCCACTCAGTGCTGTTTCATTCGTGTATGGTGCGGTCCGATCGAGAATTCTGGTGGCTTACATATGAGAGACGAGGTGCGCAGGAGCGAGGAGATGAGCTGAGATCCGGCTCAGCATTATGATTGCATCTGGCAATAATTCGAAGTTTTAGGGAGTCACTCGTTCCTAGCACCGAGGCCGATGGTGATGGGTGGTTTCCGTCGAACGTCTACGATGCACCTTACCTTGAGGCATGCTATTTCACTATTTCCCTGTCCAGACTGGGAGCAACACTAGCGAATATATGCCAAGGGGCTGGGTCGATCGAAAGCGGTGAGGTTTGGCTAAGTCGTGAACTTAGTGTAGCATCTTGAACAAAGTATTATGCGGAATACAACAGGCAACACAACCAAAATAAAGGGGATCTTTATGATCCAAAATCCCCTTTAATCTGAGGGTACGTGCATCTGAGAGTTGATATCAAACCGTCTGGATCTTGTGAGTGCGCAGAGGATGCAATTGAAACCTAAGATCAGAGTAGTTCGTCGCTGATAGAGCGCTTTGCCAACAGGTCTAAGTGACGAGCTAGACGTGTGGTTGACGTATCCCCTGTATTTGACGGTTGCACCTGAATGTAATGGAGGCTGCGTTTGTACCCAATCTGATCGTGATCACAGGATTGTCAATTGGGTGCGCAGCCTTTGAGGTGGAAGGAGCTACTTATTTTTCATTTCAGGAAGCTACCCTTCAGCATAGGACAAACTTAGACGAACCATTCGGACAGCTCATATGGTACGTAGCAAATGCTTACGGGTAACGACAAGTCGGGAACTTGACTTGATCCACAACATTTGAGCACACATGATCCTTGCACATTGAACCCTCCCACCACGAGACGCTCATCCGAGGAATCTGGCCCAGCCGCCTTTCATGACAGTATGTCGTTAAGTTCTCCGGAATGCGCCCATTATCGACAGGGTGATATTCTTGCGGCCCAGAGACCATGGAATATATCCTCCCTTCAATCTCGTAGAACCAAGACTGGACCATTTCATCCGGGAACCAGGATTTGCATACCCCGCCGCCGTTTCGATTTGCTTGTCAAGGAAGTCCCTCGGTATAGTCCGTTATTTGGGCTTGGAAGGCGTAGTGACATTCGGTCAGATCCATCTTGACGACTTCACCCTTGACCTGAAAAATAAAAGGGACAAATTGATCAAATCTGTCGTCGGGATTCCAATTCATCCATTGATGCACGGTAACATTAGTGGGGATCTTCGGTGGGTTCATGGCAGTGTTGTTAAAGAAAACCGCACAGGCAGTGTAAGCTCCAAGGTTATTCCGATATTGCCCATCGTGCATGGCAAAGCCGGTGCATTCGGATACGTCCTTCGGATTATCCGCTGAGGTAGTGCTGGCGAGTGGTAGAAGCGAACAGAGAAAGGTAAAGAGGTAGCTGCGCAGCATCTTTATCTGAGTCTGATGGTGTGGATATGCGTGGAAAGACCGGGAAGGAAATGTAGCATGAAGTGACGGCCGAGGAAGGGTACTGCGTTTATAGCGATTAAGATTCGATCGGCTTCCTCAAAAGCTGACATCGATATAAGAAGGAACCTCGACCGACAGTTCAGGTTATTACACAACAGAGAGGTACTCAAATTACGGGCTGGAGATTGAAAGTGCCACAAAGGGTTACACACCGGCAGCTTCGGTTCAATGGTTGCACGACTTGAAGAGTCATCATAGTCTTGTGTTCCCAATCTTTCTGCTGTATCATTGAGTCATCCAGAGATGGTCAGGTGCTGCGCAGTGACCTAAGCAGCGGCGCACCTTGCAAGAGCGTGCGTACATAGATGGTATCTAGCATTGAAAAATACAAACTTGGAAAGGGTGCAGCAAACACATTTCAGGATATGAATGGACTTGTTAGTGTCTTTAGCTCTGGGATCGTATCGAGATACACCAATAGTGCCGATCTGCATCTGCCCGCCACCAAGCATCGCTAAGCTTTTTCAAAAGCTTGTCCACCCCAACATCGCCATACTCCACCTACGCCGCTAATGAAGACACGGAGGATTTGGCCTACAGCTTCAATGTATTTATTAATATGTATCCTTGAAAAGTGTTGATAATGCGCTAGTCTTCCGACGCAGCCGGGCGGTCGATCGGTGATATCAGAATTGCTGCCGGGCACAGTGCCGGGGTCCCCACTAGGGCACGCGACGTTCCACGGAGACGCGGCCAACTACGTCAATGCTACCCGGAAATATCACAACAAAAAGCGCAAGCCTTCTCCGTTCCTATCGAAATGAGTGGTAAAATATTCTTCTATGTAGGAATGGCCATCTTGTTCTGGTGATTGACTATTTTCCCTTGCACAAAGCCTGCATCTGTTGCTTACACACTTTTTGTACCTCATTGTCTTCCTCTTCGCCTATCGAATCTCACGTTTCACCATGTCTGACGAAGAGAAGCAGGCCGCGTTTGGGCGGCAATCACAGGGGGCTCTGGTACCCAACGTGAGCCCCAATCATAACGAAACCGCACACATGAGTGAGCTAGAGAAGCACGGGAACTTCGTCTTGACTGAAGAGGAGGCATTTGCTCATGCGCACAACCACCCTGAGGACACTACACCCATCTACATTGTCTACTCGGCCGACGATAAAGACAATCCCCGCAATTGGCCACGTGGCGTCGCTATTACATTGGCCTCTTCGCGAGCTGGCTGAATGTCTTGACCTGCTGGTGTGCGGGTAGCATCTCTTCTGGAGCAGGGCAAATACAGGAAGAGTTTGGGGTGTCTCAGGAACTGACGACGCTGTTACTTGCTCTGTATGTGTTGGGCTTCGCCGTTGGCCCGGTTGTCCTAGCTCCGCTATCAGAATACTTCGGTCGCCGACCACTCTATGTGGTATCTTGGTTCGTCCTCTTCATGTTCCAATTACCAATCGCCCTTGCGCCAAACTACGGCACGCTGGTGGTTTGTAGATTCATCGGCGGCTTTGCTGGCGGTGCTCCTCTCACCAATACCGGTGGCACCATTTCCGACCTGTTCAAACGCGACGAGAATGGGGTTATCATGGCTTTCTATGGTGTCAGCAGCACGTTTGGGCCTCCGTCAGCTTTAGTCATCAGTGGGTATCTGGCCCAGAACGAAGGGTGGCGCATGGTTTTCTGGACCTTGTTTGCCATCACAGGAGGGTTTTGGGTACTTCTCGTGCTCACTGTTCCAGAGACACGTCATTCGAAGATACTGGAGAAGAAAACGCGACGAGTGCGCAAGCATATGGAAAAAGAAGGTCTCGCTGTTGCCAAGTATATCAGAGAGGCTGATGCAGACGAACGGAGGGGCATGATGGGCCTCTTCAAAGTTTCTCTCACTCGACCATTTACCTTTCTCTTTACCGAGCCCATCACCATGTTTGCAGCAGCATACAATGGGTTTCTTTATGGCTTGGTCTACCTCTTCAACGAATCTTTTCCGCTGGTTTTTGGTGCTGGTGGGCACGACTTCAATACTGGGGAGCAGGGCCTATCTTTTCTCGGACTTGCAATTGGGCCGCTCATCGCGTTCTGTTTCTACCCGCTTCAAGAACGCTACTATCTCCGACGAGTTACGGAGAATGATGGGAAAGGTGTGCCAGAGGCCAGAGTCTGGATGGCGCGTTACGGAGCCCTACTCATCCCAATCAGCCTTTTCTGGTTCGCCTGGACCAGCTATCCATCTGTACATTGGATTGTTCCCATCATTGCATCATCCCTCTTTGGAGCCGGCATCTACATCGTTATCCTGAGTATCTTGAATTACTTAGTCGATGCCTACCAGGTCTACTCCGCGTCAGCGCTGGCCGGTACGATTTTAGTACGCAACTTGGTTGGTGGAGGCTTCCCCATGTTTGCCACGCAGATGTATAAGAAGTTGGGGAACGAGTGGGCGTCGAGTCTACTGGGCTTCATTGCGATCTTGCTGGTGCCGATACCCTGGGTGCTTTTCTATAGAGGGTACGTTATCAGGAAACGGAGTCCGTGGGCTTCGATGCATCTAGATCAGGATGAGGATGTTCCCCATTGAACGGGATCTTTGATTCCTCTACGGCATTGTTGCAATGCTATTCAACGCGTTATATTCATATATAAATTGATAGAGGATTTGAACTGCTGCGGTGTGCGTATGCTCTGATTGGTGGAATAAATCCTACGCGGAGACGCCAATGCAACATGAAGATAACCTGGTTTTGGGTACCTTATACCGAAAACCTACTGTGCGACTATAATCCCGTACCGAAACAGTGCCGCAACGCGATATTTCTGCCATGCTCTGTGCACGATGTACTCATATCCTCTCAGGAACAGTACTACCACCGGAGGACCCTGATGGGCGGTTTAACAACTATCCAGCAGATCATCCACATTGGAACGAACATTACTCCTCCTTGGCTGAGGTCGGCAGTCATGCTCAGGATGGGTGCCGACTCTGCTATGAGCTATGGGTACGCGTTTTGAAGGATGGTGTGGCAGAGGACAGCAAGTACAGCTATCGGATTGAACAGAAGACCAAGGAGCCGCCAGCTTCGAATTCTTACAGAGAGATGGTTCCAGCAGCCTGGCTATATTTCAAGATAAAGCCTATACAGAAGACCTGGAACCCCGGTTATACATTTGGTCTCTGGCTGATTGAAGGTCTGACATCCTTCTGACAATATGTGGTCGTTACTGAGTGAAACTAGAGCCTAAGGATCCTGCAGCATCTTACGTCTCCGCAGCAAACAGTGGCGATGAAGCTACCTTTCAACTTTTGGACAGGTGGGTTTCGACTTGCTCTAAGGAGCATCCGGAGAGAGGTTGCCTGGTGACAAACACGGACAATTGGCGACCAACCCGACTGATACAACTTATCTCGCCACTCAAAGGCAAAGTCATCGCAACCGAAGTCGCCAATCTGGCCACACAAGACCAATACATCTCGCTCAGCCATTGCTGGGGACAACATAGACCTACGACATTGCTCACTACGAATCAGGCTGAGATGGAGAACGGGTTCGATGTTACCATGCTTCCGCAAACCTTTCGCGATGCCGTACAATTAACCTGGCGTCTTGGTATCCGCTATATTTGGATAGATTCCCTATGCATTTTGCAAGACAGTGCAGAAGACTGGCAGCGAGAAGCAGCGACAATGGGAGATGTATACCGGTTTGCCTACCTCAATATTGGGGCAACACGTGCCAGTGACAGTACTCAGGGAATGTTTCATACCCGAAATCCTGGATGGTTGGAGGTTCCACGGGTCACTATTCAGTTCGAAGGTTACGAACCTCTGAGCTGCATACTGGGAGACGAGTGGGCGATATACCGCCCAATTCCAGAAGGCCCGTTGATGACCCGAGGATGGGTCCTGCAAGAACGGCTGTTAGCACCACGTATGGTGCACTTCGGAGAGCGCCAGATTTCCTGGCAATGTAGGGGTGGGTGGTCGAACGAGATGCATACCAGTGCCACCGCTTTGCAGAACGGTTTCCACAGTCTTTACGTCAATGAACAGTCAGACATGTTCGAGGCGCTCTTCGAGGAGCGTAAGAATGAGCAAGACACAACGAAGATCGTTGCGCGTGCGTGGTCCGAAACCGTGCGCCAATATGCCAAACTCAGGCTCACCTTTGCCAGTGATAAGCTTGTTGCTTTGTCTGGCTTGGTATCCCGCTTCTCAAGGGTCAGGCCCGCAAATGACCAGTATCTGGCTGGTCTCTGGAAAAGCGAGCTGCCAGCCTCGTTACTGTGGTACTGTTCGAAGCGATCAAAGCGCTCAGAGACCTACCAGGCACCTTCCTGGTCTTGGGCGTCTCTTGAGGCTGACGATATCAACACTGCAGCGATGACTCGCGGAGAGTGCGCTTCCCTAGTCTCTGCTAATGTTGATGTTGTGGACAAGGTCAATCCCTTCGGCCAGGTGTCCGGGGGCCAGGTTACTATCAACGCACTGGTAACGAAGATAAGAGTGCTCTCGCAACGATATGCAGGTGAGCACTCGGCATACAGACGGTATACCTGCCTATTGGAAGAAGTCGATTTGGAGGGTTACTGCCACGATATCCCAGACTACAAGACACACGAGGGCGGGATGAAATTTGAACTCGGACAGCTGTACTGGGACGACACTCCATTGCCAAATGCTATTTTGGATGTGGCGTTCATAGTTGGCTCTACAAGAAACGAACAAGTGGACTTCGGCTGCCTGTTGTTAGAGAAGAAGGGTGAGGTTTATGAAAGAATTGGATATATTCAGTTCGCTGCTGAGAAGGAGAAAGGAGAAGTGGCCTTGGCGCGCAAAGACCTGTTTCAAGATGTTGTAATCATCTGATTAGTTTTGAACAGATGCGGAGGAAGACGGTAGCAGATAGCTGAACATGCATGTGCTGTGCCAGTGCAGCTCTTATGGTACCACACTAACCCCAAGAGAGCTAGCCCACGTCCTCCGACTTTCGGCATCCAATCACCCATCCATCCCAAATTTCCCTAAGTATCACAACTCTATCCTCTATTCTCCACGAAAATGGCAGCCCGCACCCTCCGCATAGGTACCCCGCCTCAATTGCCCGCTCAAATCGTTTCATGCTCACAGCCAGATAGGCCTCATCCCCGGTGACGGCATCGGCCGCGAAGTCATCCCAGCCGGACGCCGCATCCTCGAGGCCCTGCCCTCGTCATTCGGCCTCAAGTTCAGCTTCTCACACCACGAAGCCGGCTTCGAGACGTTCCAGAAGCGAGGAAAGGCGCTGCCTGACGAGACGGTAGAGGCGCTCAAGAGCGAGTGCGATGGTGCGCTTTTCGGTGCTGTGTCGTACGTCCTTCATATCCCACTACAAATCGCAATTGAACCTTTCTGCGACACATAAGACTTGCTTTTTTGAAGCAGAGGTGCTAATTAAGGTCATAGGTCCCCAACGACCAAAGTAGAAGGCTACTCATCTCCTATCGTCGCCCTCCGCAAGCGCCTCGCCCTCTACGCCAACGTGCGCCCTGTAAAATCCACGCGCTCCGCCGCCCGCCCCGTCGACCTTGTCATCGTGCGCGAAAACACAGAGGATCTCTACGTAAAAGAGGAGAAGACGTACAACGCTCCGGACGGCTCGCGCATTGCCGAGGCAATCAAGCGCATCTCGGAGACGGCGTCGTCGAACATCGCGGCGATGGCGGGCGACATTGCGCTGCGCAGACAGCGCGTAAGGGATTCTGGACTTGCCAGCATACATAACCGCGGACTGGTCACCATCACGCATAAGTCGAATGTGCTGAGCCAGACGGACGGGCTGTTCAGGGAGGTCAGCAGGAAGGTCCTCGGCGCGGAGAAGTACCAGATGCTCGAGATCGAAGAGCAGATTGTGGATTCCATGGTGTACAAGCTGTTCCGCCAGCCGGGCGATTACGACGTCATCGTCGCGCCGAACCTGTACGGCGACATTCTGTCCGACGGTGCTGCGGCGCTGGTTGGTTCGCTCGGACTCGTGCCCTCCGCAAACGTGGGCAAAGACTTTGTCATTGGCGAGCCGTGCCACGGATCTGCGCCTGATATCGAGGGCAGGGGCATTGCGAACCCCATTGCGACCATCAGGTCCACTGCGCTTATGCTGGAGTTCCAGGGCGAGGAGCGCGCCGCGGCGAAGATCTACGAGGCGGTTGATGCGAACCTTGAGGAGGGCAAGCTTCTAACACCTGACATGGGCGGCAAAGCGACGACCGAGGAGGTCATTGAAGACGTTTGCAAGAGGCTGTAGAATTGAAAATGGATATTATGTATAGAGAGGAGTAACTTGTACAAGGCTAGATACCATGCATGTAAAAGCGTCTATCACGATCTAAAGCTCCCGTATATGCACGGTTCGCCCCCGGTACCAATTCATATTCAAGATTTCGAAGTCAGACGTACTCCGCCGCCGAGTCCTCTAGGAAAACGCCGTGCTATGATATGATCGTGCAATACGCCTAGTCCAGCTCATCGTCGTTCGCCGCAGCTTTCGTCTCGGTCTTGTCTCCACCGTGCACCTGATGGACCATGTCTTCCGCGCTTTCTATGCCATACGTCTTCTTCGCCTCGTCGGTTGGGATGAGCTGGAAGATGACGACGAACAGCTCTGTGTTTGTACTCCGATCTTTGAGGACATATCTAAGAGAGTGCGTACTAAGTTAGTCAGACCGCGAACCGACCAAAGAAATCTTCACGTAGGCTATCCTGCAGTTGTCTGATAGATAGCGGGACTGTACTTACCGAAGCGGCTGCCCATCCCAGTGTCCAATAATCGATATCGCAGGCAACCCGTACCCAATCTTGAGCGCAAACTCATTGAAGTCGACATAAGGATTGAAGAAATCGCACTTATATTCTCTCCCCTCTTCGAACGTGAAGTCAGTCCTCTTCGCCTCGTTTAGGAAGTGTTTTTGCCGCTGGCTAGTCGTTGCAGGGACACTGTATTTCTCCCGCACGTCCACACCATCGCCCTCAGCACCCTCCGCATACACAACTGCCTCGCCCTCTTTCTCTTCTCCAGCGTCCGGTTCCTGCGGTGGCTTGTTACCTATCCGTAACACATTTATGGACGACAACAATGCGCCATAGAGATACGGTTCGTCACCGTAGACGTCGCCGTCGAGGCCAGGATCGATCCACCACTTCACGATGCCGAAGGCCTTGTCAAAGAGGGGCGGCAGGCGGTCTCGGATCGGGTGGTCGAAATCATTGCCGAAGACGAGGTCTTTCCCCGATATGGAGCGTTTGGGTGTGAAGGCGAAGGAGATGGAGTAGCGGTCGTAGGGGTGCTGCGGGGTCGAGAAGTAGGGGGATGAGGACGGTGAGCCTTCAGGTAATCCTTTGGTAGTAGTGTCAGTGTGGAGATGAAACGTGGTGAAGCGCATGCGCTCTAGGATACTTGAGTCCTATGCGCGAGGTTTCTAGATGCTGTCGCGTGCTGCAGTGATGAGAAGGGCGTACCGCGGTAATCTTTGATGCGCACTTGTATCCGCGCGTCAAGGTGCTCTGAGGAGATGTTTATGGGCTTCTCGGTGTTGACATGAACATCCTCGTGCTTGGAAGTGTCGTACGTCGCACCCGCCGTCACCTTGAGTATGTACTGTTCATAGTGGGGCATCGTAGACCACAAATATTTCTCTCGCTGTAGAAGGGTATGAATTAAAAACTTTATGAGGGTCCGAAAAGGAAAACTGCTGTGTTAGGAACTGAAATCGGGCGACAACGCGAATGTTTGCCGCTGTGGAAAATTGTTGACGATCACGATGACGTTCGGAGGGTTTGCGGCGGAAGGAGCGCTTGCAAGCGCAGGGTTCTCCACACGCTAATCTGCTTCGGCTCTCTAGCAAACCAAGGTAGAAGGTCACAACACTACACTAGAGGTAATAGAACATCCACCAAGATGATTATTAGCTATTAAGGCTACAGAAATCGCGAAGGACGCCTCTCTCTCGAACGGGTAACACTTTCATACTGCTCAGACTGTTGTGAACTCATCAAGATTCACGCGCTGATAAAATGACACGTGCCCAAAAGTCTCCCAGTATTGCGCAAGACGATCGTGCGAAATCAAGAGAAGTTGAGATGTCATGTAGTCGTCTAGATACTATTAGCATCCTCCGTTTGCTTCGAGTTAATGAACCAAGACTCACCATCTCTGAAGCCTCTTGCAGCAATGTGGCCGACGCTCTTGACGATGCGTGCTCCCCTTGAACAGCTCCTCATCCGCGACTCGTATCAGACCACTAGGACCAATGTCTGGCGCTATAAAGGTGTACTCTCCTCGCGGTATATTCGGGTCTCCTGTGAGTTTGACCGCTTCGAGACGTCCTCGGTAGACGGGCTCGTCACCGTCACCGTGTTCATTCTCAGTGAAAGCCGGCGATGCATGCAGGGTGGCGATGCTATCTCCCATGCTATTGTCTTCTTGCTCTTCAGTCGTGCCTTCACCCTCAATTATATCTTGATCCCAACCGGCCTCGTCCCATTCTTCTTGGGCGCTTGGTGCAGTACTCCAGGAGTCACCACTGCTAACACTGCCCTCGCGCTCTGCTGCTCGCAGAACTGATTCTGCCCGCTCCGGCAACGGTTGGGGGTCATCTGGTTGCATGACCACCAAGAACTCACACCCGTGGCCAGCGTAGTCCCCGCACCAAACCCCTTGCCACGGTTTCTGTGGAGTGGGTGTGTAACACTCTGCAGGCAACGTGCCCCATGTCGTGACGTCTTCCCCCACGCGCATACTAACCCCGTGAGGTCGAGACGAAAATTCCATCCACCGTCTCAATCTAAAAGTCGCAGAAGACATTTCTGAGGTATTTGACGGTCGGTGGGCGACATCGCGGAAGCGGCTCGGCGATTCGTTCAGCGTACGGACCGGACCCGGTATCGTGAGCGGCGGCCAGACAGGCGTATTGCGCGAGATGGCTTGTTGAGGCAATGGCCTCGACAGTATAAGTTGAGAATGTATTCCGGAGCTGGGTCGGGGTAGCTCATCAACAAGGTCCATGGGGACTTCTCGCGTCAGTCGACTGCCAGACTGGGCAAAAGCAGCCGCATATCCACGAGCATCCAAGCGTACCACCGGCGCGTTGAGATCTAGCCTTATGCGCGGATTGAAAGTGTGTATGATCGCGTGTGGATTCCAGTCCCATGTCTTGAACGTAGGTTGCCGCCGTTCCGCAACAAGCGCATATCCTTCGATAGCATTGAGACGATGATCATATCTAGCTATAATAAGCTTCCCCGTATGGGGTGTATCTGAAAACCAAATCCTGTGCTGCGCGATGAACCAGTACGGGTGATGCAGCTTGAACAGTTCACGCCAAGTCAAGCCATCGGGCTTGGGCACGTCATAGCCTGGCACATGAGCCTGGACAAACGGTTGGTACAGCGTGTCTTGTCTGGAGTGTTCAAGAAATGCGCGGTTTACCAAGCCGACTGTGAGCAGGTCTGTCAAGGGCAGGAACGTAAGGATGTGGTGTACTAGCTCTGAAGGGAGCGTGGAGATCGAAGAAGCTGCGTGCTCAGCCATGATGACAGAGAGTAATTCCGGGTCGAGTCTTCATCGACTGAAAGTTTCCAGAGCCTTGTAGATATACTTGGAAATAGGAGGTTCAGCGCGGATTCGTGGGTAGTCGGTACAAAGGACTACTCAGTCGGCGACCGCGCTGAACGCGTGCTATTACCGACTGCTCCGGATTCACAAGGACGAACACACTCCAAACATGTGGAGAAGCGCTCGGCAGGTAGGAGCCAAACTTGGCCGTTGTTGCTATCTGCTGCGATGTTGTGGCACCTTCCAGATACCGCCTAGCAGAGGCACGCCTGGTACTCAAGATAGACGACAGACCACGGTTCCGGGGCTCGACAATCTGGAAATGAACAACACCTGCTGTATTCGACACCGAGAGCGTGCCGTTTGGGACGGATTACGAGGCCGTTGCGATATCGGGACAATTCCAATGATGCGAGGCAGGGTTGTTCTGCAACCAAAAATAATCTCCGAACCCAGAGTTGGGTCGATGCAGGCTTCGATACCACGGGGGGTGACTGCAGGAGGGTCAGCCGACGGCTCGGCGCAATAATTTGCGAAGAGGGAGGTGGGTGAGGTTGGTGGGCACGAGACTGTTCATGGTGTTGATGTCGCCTCCATGATTGCACGGGCCATCACCGACGCCGACGCCGCGCTATGAAATGTGGGGAAGCGTGATGGACGTCACATCTCATCACATCGTCACAGCTGGCGCGTGGTCCTTCCTCGGCCCCCAGGGCCCTCTTACTCAAGTTGAAGGTCCTTATCAGTAACGTAGGCCACACCCTGAAGCACGCAATTCTCTTGTCGACAAGGTGATAACCGATCGAGATGCATGCCCCATTTCCTGTGGACTGCTGTTGGGCGCCACTGATGCTTGATTCCATCGCACCATCCTCGATAACCACTATCAACACGTAGGCTACACAGTCGTCTGTCTGTTCTGTGCACGCATACAGACGACCACCAGTCGTACGTTGGGCGTCGGGCTCTGCCTAGCTCTTGAGATCGATTGCTTATATGGGCTATGCCATAGCTCCAACTTACCAACACCTTTTCATTGATGAGAAAGTGGTCCATGGCTTAGAAAAGTAACTACCAGTCTCGAGCGAAACTTTTGGTAGGGCAACTTGCTCTTGGCTAACACATAAACTATGTCCTTACTCTGTCCAGTTGTAAATCGTAGGCAACGAGCATCGAGGTTGAACAGGTATATAGTGACTTCATGCGACTGCGAGTTCCTTCTATGTGGAATAGTTTTCATGGCTAGCAGGCTCATCTAAAGACCGACACAGCCATTAGGTCTGTTTGCCAATAGCCTCAGGGAAGTGAAGGAAGACCTCGAATTATGGCCCGAGAGCATTTGAAGCACGCGCCTTCACCTGAGCCCAAGCTACCTTCCCTCGCAAACGCCCGAAAGCGATCTGTGAGAATACGTCTGCACTATTGTCTTCTCTCGCCCTCCCCCTCTCGTTGATCCTACTTTGTATACTGTCTGCAACTTTCTGTCGCTACACACCAACACTACAAGATGACACTTTCAAAGATTCTTCGACTTGCGGTTGTAGCTGCCGCGGTGCTGGGCGCCTCCGCACATGTGAAGCGAACGCCAAGGGAGATGGTTGAGTATCACAAGCAGGTCGCGCGCGACTCCGAAGCGCTTGCCCAGTGCCTCGATACCCCCGATCTGAAGGAGTTGAATGCTCGCATAATCGTGGAGCGTCGGGAGTCTTTCCATCGACTTCGCAAGGCCCGCGGTATTGACGTCGATGTCCAGCCTCGAGGTTAGTTTTGACTCATGCTAGTTTTCAGCAAACACTAACGGATTATCACAGCGGACAAGCCGGCTCTCGAGAAATGGCATAAGGTGAATCACGAAAAGACCGCGGACGTCAAAGGCAAGGACTTCAAGAACGATGCCTCCCTCTTCGGGTTCGACCCCAAGGCCGCGAACGTGAATCCTTCTGTTTGCGTCCTTGCCCCAGAGAGCATTTGGGGACCTTACTTCCAAGATCGTGAGGCTTACCGTCAGGATATTCGCGAGAATCAAAAGGGCGTGTACCAGCGCCTAGCTCTGCAAGTCATCGACATTACCACTTGCAAGCCGCTCCAGGGTGCCCGCGTGGATGTCTGGCAGGCCAATGCTCAGGGCCAGTACGCAAAGGAAGTACGAGTCTACACAAAAGAGCGCCCAGATGTGCACTGGCTGACCGGCGCGCAAGCCACTTCGCCCTGGGGGACGGTGGACTTTGACACCATCTTCCCCGGCCACTATGCTGGACGTGCAGTGCACACTCATCTGTCGGTACGACCCAAGGGGAAGTTCAACAACCCTGATGGATTCGTGCACACGGGCCAGCTCTACTATGACGAATATCCGCGCCAGGAGATCGACGTAGGTTCTCCATCGCCGGCTTCCGATATATGCTGACCCGTCACAGAGGTTCGACCCCTATGCGAGCAACACGCAAGAATTAGTTCTCAACCTGGACGACGGATTCGCTCCAGACGCTGCATCAGAGAAGTACGATTCATTCGTGCAATGGGCTTGGCTTGATGGTGGCAATCACCAGGGTATGTCATTGACCGGACTGCACTTGATCATTTATTAACGTGCCCAGCCGGACTTGTGACTTGGATTACTGTCGGCGTCAACACGTCTGCTCACGTGCCGCCCTCCACGGGATAATGATAAGCAATCATTGTCTGCATTTCATGGAGAACATCTCGCCAATTGCGGCAGGCTGTCCCGCATCGGCCACTCTCCTCGAAAACATGAACAAACTGAGAATCAGGGGAGGTTTCGGTTGGCAATTCCCTCGAGCGTTAACATAGATAAGCTCATGGGCGAGATACAATGATAACGGTAACACCTCTGTATACAGAATCCGGGTTACATGTGCAAATACAGGGAGTTACATGTCAATTGCGTGCCTGATCGAGATGCGCGATGCCGTGCAAGGCACTTATCTATCCTGAAGCGTCTGGAAACTTACTATTAGGGGACTGGCGCGCGACTTTGCGAAAGACATCAATGAATGATCCCAAGTTGCGGCTCTGACTACGTCAATCGACAGTCAATCAACTATTTTATCATGTCGTGGTAGATTACTTTACTACGACTATTTCTGATGGCTCGGTGCCATATATCAGGGCTAGGTCTATCAGCATAGGTACAACAGTACCTGGCTTATAATTAGCGTCACATGTGCCTGATAAATGTTACCAAGAGCTATAGGGTATTGGGGAGGGACTTTTGCAATCGACTATAGAAGATCGCATTGTTAATTTATCGCATTTATCCTGAAAGGCTGAAAATCCCCGCTATTTAGGACTGTCCGCAACACACGGTCCTCTCTAGCGATCGTGTGGCGATTGTGTGGTGATCGTGTGGCTGAGCGCGACCGATCAGTCTCGGGCGTGCTTCTGCATATTGAGGCGCAGTGGGAGCAGGCAAGAACATTACCCCTCTCTCCCTTCGTTCAGCCTGATCACTAACTTCACGAATTGTTTACCATGAGAAACACTTCCTATCCGGGCGCTTCCCGGCTATCTGGCGACGAGATCCGACTTGTGAGAATACTTCCTGGCGAATGGTCAGAACAGATCCGCTGCGATTTGGTTGAGGAGTCTTTGAGCGATGTTCGCCCATATCATGCGCTCTCATACGTATGGGGTCCGAATAAGATTACGCGACCGCTTCTACTCAATGATCACGTCTACCATGTCACAGCCAACCTTGAGTCCGCTTTGCGACACCTCCGTCATCAGCTCAAAACTACCTTTTTATGGGTAGACGCGCTTTGTATCGATCAGACCAACGACGATGAAAGGACGCACCAAGTCGGTATCATGGGGTCGATATACAAGTCCTGCCAAAGCGTCCTCGTATACCTGGGCGATGGAATCGGTCACCACGAGAGGTTAAGGAACCCCTGCGAGACGGCCCCATCCACAGTGGCGTTTTCCTTGGAGACGATGAAAGCAATATCTTCAAGGGCGAAAAGGTTCCACCGAACAGTACCATAATGATGAAGCCGATTTCTGACACTCTGGAAATATTCTCCTTCATTCGGACCCTCGCTACCACAGGGCATCTTGATAGAATTGCAAGCTTCCTGCCAAGTCCAGATGCAAATGAAAACTCGAAACGTGGCGTATTTGAGGCCTTGCGACAGCTTATGTATGCACCTTTTACACCTTGGTGGACACGCATTTGGGTGGTACAGGAGGTTATTCTGCCGCGGAAAGTCACACTTATCTGTGGTACTATCTCAGCCCCGTGGGAGATGTTTGCAAACGCTGCTTCAAACTACTTACGCCATTCTCAGAATTGTTGTGCATCGTTTCTTCAAAAGGCTCCGCGAGATAATGTGAACGTTCTACAAGGGTTCTGTGGGCTCATGCTCGACCTCGAGCATATGAGACAATCATTTGCTGTCTCATCCAACTACGAACTTTTTGGGACCATGACTTCCAATGAGATGGAACAGAGATCTCTTTTGTCACTGTTGAGAAGATTCAGAAACCGCAAAGCTTCCGATTCACGAGATAAAGTGTACGCCCTCCTTAGTCTCGTGATCGAACAGGGAGTCAGATCCAAGTTGCGACCGGATTATGCTTTAAGCGACAAAGAAGTGTTCACCATCGCAGCACTTACTTCTATCTATGATTCAGCATCGCTCTCTGTGCTACATACGGACCTGTCAAGGAAGTATCGCGACGACCTGCCTTCTTGGGTGCCTGATTGGGAAGCTCCTGGGCAATTCGGTGACAGCCTCCGCTCGGACCCATTGTACCTCTATGACACTTGTGCCTCTTGGCCTGTGAACGAGGCGACTGTTCATTCATCAGGAAATGTATTATCTGTTGGTACAAAACACGTTGACTATGTCCACAAAGTGGCGCCGAACATGCTCTCAGAAGAACCTGATTCTGTGGCTGTCACGCTTCTCCAATGGCTGCGAGTCGCAGAGCCTCATCGGTATCCTCAAAGATTAGCAGAAAAGGCGGATAAAGAATCAAGTCCCCACAAAAGTTTGGTACACAAGCTATGGAGAGTTCTGTGCGCGGGCGTCGTCACCGAACCTGGAGGCCATATCCACAAATTCCTACCCATGGACGAACGCCAGTTCGAAGTCTGGTCCCAGTGCTCACATATTTCCCCATTCGTCAAGGAAAACAGGAGCACAGGTGTATCTCTTGTTTCTCATGAGGGTGGTGTGGATTTGCAGCTCCCCGTTCGCGATCCTTCGACACTCAACACACCAGACGCAGAATACTTGAGGATTCTGTACAGATTTGAAAATTCAATTAAGAACAGTAATCCATACCGGTCGAATCATCATTTTACCCGGCTGTTCCCCGAGCAGATCACTCGGGCTACATTAATCAGAAATGTCATGCGGACCTACGAGGAAAACCAACGCGTTCCAGCTATAAATTTCCGGGCTGTCTTTAATACCTCGGGCCGAGAGAAAATTGTTCGTGTTGATTACAAGCTCGAAGATTTCATTGAGTGGGCTACCATAGATCCTCATGACATCCTCAACAATCATAGAGATCCTCCTTTGGAGGGCTGGTACAGTGGCATTTCCGCAGATGAGATCTATTACAGACGGCGAGCAGTTTGGTGTTGCATACCATGGCATTCAGTGTTACATGACACGAGGCCGCTGATATTAGAAAGGCTGCCTGTTGAGGTCAGAGAGGAGCACGATCCTCTAAAGAGACGGATTTCCATGATAGATCATTCTGTCATATCAGCTACAAAATCACGATGCTTGTTTGTCACGGAGAGAAACTGCATCGGATTGGGTCCTGCAGCTATCAAGCCAGGGGATAGTCTCTGTCTTATCAAAGGCGGAAGGACGCCCTTCATCTTGCGACGTAAAGACCCCGTACAAATCGCCAAGGAAGTCCGGCTAGAAGACACGGGGCGAACACCGTTCCAGGACTCGACCTTGACCGAAGAAATATTGAAACTGAAACGGAAATATTCAGAACATGTAAGGTCAGGCGCGAAGATGGATGAGGTGACAGGCTATGAATTGATCGGGGATTGTTACGCTCATGGTCTGATGGATGCTAAAACGCTCGATGAGGAGATAGCCCGTATATCTCAGACTTCAAAGTCCCCTTTTTCATTTCCGAGCTCGGTAACTCAACCACCTGACTGGGAAACTGCCTGGATAATCTAGTCTTCCTTTCTTGGCTTATTTTGTTGACTTTCTTTCAGTAACAGGAGCTCGGAAGGTTTTATGTTCAGAGCTCTCGAATGGGCTATTGTTTCTTCACTTCAGTTCGCAAAAACACTGAATAGATTGCAATTAGCTAAAGTAGTTTGTGGAAACGGCAATGTTCCCAATTAACAGTGAGTTCCACGCTACCTTACAGAATTATAGCCCGCAAGGGTAGTCGCGTTCTATCATTCAGTCTACCATACTAACAGACATATTCTACTATTATAACATGATCCAAATGAAACAGCATGGGTGACGCGTGTTATCCTGATGGGAATACTTGAAGAAGTTGAAGCGAAAAGATCTAAGCGCAATGCTCAAAGACTAAATCTAACACATTCCTCACTTGTTTTCGATGTGACTTCACTTGAGCTGAAGAATACCCCGTCGTTCCATACAGTACCCTAGCAAGCCAGGATTTATACAAAGATATCCTGTCTCAGAGTTGTGGATTGATGTCACCTTCGCGTTCCGAAAGGATTTAAACAGTCAAGTGCGTATGATCTTCGATGTTCTTGATTCTGCTCTAACTCTTCCTCGATCTAGTGGTCAATCCTCCCATCCTGCATATATAACGCGCCAGTCGAGAATCCGGTGAAGCAGATGGAGATAACTTACTCGTGTTGATGTAAGTGTGAGCGTGGAATTTAATACGAATCAGATTTGACACCCTTTTCGCTACATTTACGATCTGGACTTGTGCAGTGGAGAAGCACGATTGAAATTGTTGATCATCGTTCCGATATATCATGCGGTCGTGGTTCGTGATAATTCGAAGATTGAGGGTCTTAACGCCATCCGCACCAAGCTGCCCCTTCGATGCAATCGACGATGTTGAGAGTCGAGTAAAGTTCACCGATGCTCAGCACAAGTGTCACCAAGTTTTCTGCGACTTCAGTGTGATATTAACAAAGAGACAATATGACATTCATGCACCTTGCCTAAACCTTGCTTTGAACCCGCAGTGGACTCATTACCATACCCTCTTTCAGATTGCCGCTCAAACCCTCGTGCGGTCCGTACACCTACAGCTCCTCACACACCCACCCGTCCTCATCTTTTCCATCACCACTACCCTGATACCGATTCGCATAGGGATATCTGCAGTGCCTTCTCGCCAACTCGACACCCTTGTCAGGGTCATCGTCCACCCACTTGACACCCCTGAGCATCTCAGGCGCTTCCCCATGTTCCACCCACCCCGCCAACGCTAGTAGCACGTTCTCCTCCGGCTTCATCTTGTCGGGTTGACCTCTGTCGTCCTGACCGACATAGTCGGCACCCGGACCACGACCATCACAGTGTCCCGTACCCGAGAGTCGGAAGTAGCGGTAGAAATCATCGATGGTAGAAGCATCCTCGTCGCCGGTAGTGTTGACAACAGAGTCATAGTAGTGGTCGGAATTGAGGATGGAAATGAGTGGGTCAGAGGATCCGTGCCAGTGGAGTATCTTGCCGCCACGAGCGCGAAAAGCTTTTAGGTCGGCGTTAAGAGGTCGCAATTCGTCTGGTGCTTCTGTGAGCGACCTAATTGCATCATTGGTATCGTAGTCGGAAGGTTGCCACGACAGGTTACCGGGAGACACGTAGTGGTACCACTCCTCCAATAGCGTGAGAAGAGGCTCACTTTTAAGTAATGCATCAGCAAGACCGACTTCTGATCCGTATGCCGCGCCTGGATAGGAGTAGTTCACGCCGAACTCAAGCGGGGAGAAAATTCGGTCTACAGCAAAGGCTTGAGATGTGGTGAGGCAGTTCTCGCGATCGACAATCCAGCAATTAAGCGGCAACGATTCGAACTGGCATCGACGCGAATCCTCGATGATGCCGTCCGTAACGCCGTCGAGATCGTCGCACTGGCTGAGCAACTCCTCGTGCACTAAGTCCCAATTTTCTTTTGTGAGATACGAGGCGTTCCCATGAAAAAGGCCCTCTAGCACAGCACCATACCACATAACGGTGTTGCCTAGATTGACAGCTGGGGCGCCAACTACGATGCCATCGAAGAGCTCGGGATCGGCCTGGGCAACGCGAAGCCCTTGACGAGCGCCGGTAGCGCAACCTATGTGGTATGACTTGAATGCCTCGCGATCGTAGTATTGTTTGACGACCGCCTTGGCCACGAGTGTAGCTTGCTGGACACTACGCCAGGCAAAGTCGCTGACGACTTCACGTTGGTTGAGCAATGCGCTAGCCGAGGTGCCATTGTGTCCACCATTAGAGCCTACACTCGCGAAGCCAAGTGCTGTGCCGTATGCCATCTGAGGATAATCAATGCCTGTGACTAAATTAGCATCCATATATGGGGAGAAATGGCGATCACTAACACCCATCGAAATTCCTGTTACCGATAGATAGGATGCGACCATCCAACCCATTTGGCAGCCATATCTCCATGATAGTCGAGCTTGACGGTGACGTGGAAATGTTGAAGACGCCACGGCAAATGTCCACAGGCATCGGAGGAGCCGGATTCATCTGACATGTCACTTCCAAGCCCTCGCCTCTGTGGTTGATCACGGATCCTTTAGATAGATACTGCGTAGCCACGACTTGAAACCTTTCTGATCCAAATTCGTTAGCAAGGTTGGCGCAGCGATCCTCTCTAGACCCAATGCTGACAGCCGCGAGCAAAGCGAAGAGCGCAAGCAGGAGCATTTTCAGAGACTGTGAAGTTGATGCAGAGACACGAAAGTGGCAAGGTTCCCAGGAGAGAGTATTGCCAAATAAGACGTCTTCTAATGTTGCCGAAGGATGATTGATGTTCTCTCAAGAGGGAAGGGGCCCTCCGATTCGTTTGCACAACGGGAACGGGTACAATCTCGCGTCGGCAACTGTCATCGAATCAACGGAAGGAGTGCACCCATATATTGTGCTTCTCCGTTTGCGTACCCGCCTCTTTAGCGTGATCTCCCTTCGTAATGGTACAATGCTTTGTTTGCTGATGACAGCCAATCCAAAAAATAGGTCCACTTAGATATCGATATGAGGATCTCCACGCATGCGGCAAGAATATGCTGCGATGTGCAATGCCAGTGGGCATGCCGTATCCTCATCATCTTGTCACGGCAAGGCAACAAAGTCTCAAAGTAGTTGACTTTGCATCACTGCCCCTGGAGCTTCTTCTGCGCGTATCACAGTCCGCTCCGACTGATGCACATCTTCTGGTCGATGCGAGATGCTCCGGGCAATTTCCAGGCTTCCTTCAACACCGGCTATCAGGCTGTCCAACGCCCCAAAGATATCGCCTTGACTCCGATCTCTAGCTTCTATGAGCTTAGACTCTCCCGGCTGACCCTTGCCTTTGCCCTTGCGCTGCTTAGGCACCTCGATGCCTTCTATCCGCAGCATAGAGCCGGAGTCCGGCGATGACTCGTCAAACGAAGGTGCGATTCGAGTCGAAGCGTTTGTGATCTGCCATTCTGGTGACATGGACTGTGCATCGACGATAGTCTGTCCGTCGGCAGCGACATCGATGATGACAAAGCGCTCCTTGGTTGCAGGTAACGGCGGTGGTAGTGGGGATTCGACGGGGGGTTCCTGATCGTCATCATCCATTTCACTCTGATCGTGCCCGTGTTCCTTGTGTTGTCGATCCGATTGCGGCAAATACTCTGTATCGTCTAGACCGAGACTCCGCATCGCCGCTGCGGTCACAATGACAGGGTCGTCGTCGGCGAAGACATAGTGGACGAAGGGATGATAGTGTTCGCCTGTCGAGGTATCGTCTACGACTGTGAAAAAGGGTCTGAAGTTCGGCGGCGGCAACAGCGTTTGCTCGGACGTGGGTTCCGGGTAAGGAATGTCGCCCTCGTCTTCATAGGCAGCATCGTGCGCTTGGTACTCGTCAGGTGGCTCATCTTGTGCTTCCGAGGGCTCTTCGAAATGTGCGATAAGCGGCGAGCGTGGCGAATGCGCTTCCGGCGGTATGATCGATGCTTTCGACGGCCTCGGACTCGCAGGCATCGTGAGTTGTGGGATGGTGTTGAGGCGGCATACGGGTAGGGCTGGAGCTACTGGCTGAGCTCGAGAAGCTCTCGTCTTATCGACTTATCGATAAGAGGTGTGCAGGGTTCAACGCGTCGCGTACCAGACGCGTAGTGCTGGTCCAGTGGTCCAGTACATATGTATGCACGTCATTCAGGATGCAAGATTAGATCTTTTTTAATAACAAGGTACAGGGAGTCCTACTCAAATGTACGGCAAACTGACAACCAAAGGGGTATCTTCCAACGCCAATATGCCAATATGCCAACGCCGAACAGGATGCTTCCGCGTTCCTGCCGCAGCTGTTGCAACAGCGCGAACGAGAACAAAGCAACAGAATACAGAAGTGGGTGCTGCTCGTCAGCGTATCAAAACGCCTCCTTGTAGAGTTCATCCGTTGAGCTGTCATCCATCTACGAACGCTTGGGGAAACACCTCAAGGTCTCAAGTATGCGTACATGGTTGTAGTATCACACGCGGACAGCTATAAGGTTGAAGCGTTCGAGAACCCGATGAGAGGGTAAAGTAAATCACATCGGGCTCGTGTCGGGATTCTGGGCTGGCGTCTCGGTTTGGGTGGCGCCGGCTTCTTGGTTCTTGCTCTTGAAAGCTGCAATTGTCAGCCAGTGCTTCATATGAGAGCAGGATCTAACATACGCTGGCGACACATAGGGCATTTCTCCTGCGCGGCCTCCTGTCTCAACCAAGAGAAGATGCAGTGCTGCCATTCATCAGTCTTTGTTCGCCTCCGCGATTTCGAGCCGCCTACCATATGGAATGAGTGATTGCACTCGCCGAGCACTAGGTCGTGTTAGAACGTATATCAATCTACAAGACTGGTTGGCTTACATAGCGGGCAATCATCACCTGGGTATTTGCACTTGGAGCAGGTGCTGTCGTACGGATTGCGACAAATGCCACAGACGTCATCGTCAGGCATGTCCCACCGCCAGGCCGCCACAGCATTCCACTCCTTGATCGTCACCTTCATCGTGTCTTCGAGATTGTTTGCCGTCGCGCGAGTTCGATGCTATCAGGCGGGGTGGGATGGGACAAAAACAAACATGCAGGGATCCGCGGGGAAGCCGCCACGCCAAGCCTTGTACCCTGGCCTGGAGCTCCGCGTCTTCCCCACTTTTCCTGGATGACGAAATCCGCGCTAATATTATCAACATTCACATATCGCCTGTTATCGGGCATGTTTCCCTTGCAGCAAACACCAAATATCATGACCAAGTCAGGACTCGATCGCTGAACAGCCAGGTAAGCAATCATGTTGCTTTTCGAGCCTCGACGACCAGAGGCCAGGAAGCAAACGAAGGCGCCGCGTTTATCCGCAAGCTGGAGCTATCTGGACACATGTAGAGAGCTATTTGTTCCGGTTTTCGTAGCTCCGCCCATCCCACACACTACCACCAGACCATTGACGTCCCACTCCAGCTTCTAAAATGCTTGTATCAAGCTTCCGCTTCACCGTCCGACCTCTCTCCTCCCTCTCCTCTGTCCGGTCACTGGCGGGAGGCAGACGCGCCATGTCTCAATACACACTCACCTCGTACATCGTGACCCCGGCCGAGCTCGATTCTGCACTCAAGAAGAACGTGTTTAGCAAGCTTTCGACCGCGCCTAGAATTGTTCCGCTCTGCGCATCATGGTTCTTGCCAAACGATGGCCGGACCGGGATCGACACGTTCAAGGAGTCTCGTATCCCTCATGCTCGTTTCTTCGATCTAGATGAAGTGAAAGATCCGCACTCACCCTACCCTCACATGCTACCGTCAGGCAAAGACTTTGCGGATGCGATGGGTCGCTTGGGCATCCGAAAGGACGATAGCGTAGTGGTGTACGATTCGAAGGAGCTAGGCATCTTCTCCGCACCGCGTGTAGCATGGACTTTGCAGATATTCGGTCATCCGAACGTACATATTTTGAACAACTTCCGGACGTGGGTCAGGGACGGCTTCCCCACGGAGAGTGGAGAGCCAGCTGAGCATGAAAGAGTCGACTACCCCGTACCGGAATTGGACAAGAGCAAGGTCGCTGCCTTTGAAGAGGTCAAGGAGATAGTGAAGGATGCAGGAAAGGAGGGCGCCGAGGAGGTGCAGGTGTTGGACGCGCGACCTGCTGGTCGCTGGGCGGGAACTGACCCCGAGCCCAGGGAAGGTGTGCATATGCAATTGCATTCAAAGTACCCACACTAACAGCTCCAGGTATCTCCTCTGGACACATGCCTAGTTCTACAAATGTCGCCACGAACAACCTGCTTCACTCCGACGACAAGACCTTCTTGCCTCCAGCCGAGCTGAGACAGATATTTGAGAGCTTGGGAGTGGATCCCGCAAAGCCCATTATCAGTAGCTGCGGCACTGGCGTCACTGCTGCTATTGTGGATACCGCTCTGACCGAAGCCGGATATCCACAAACAAACAGGCGCATTTACGACGGCAGCTGGACTGAGTGGGCACAGCGTGTGAAGCCTACTGAAGGCCTCATTACAAAGTCACTCTAAGCAAGTGGTTCGATCTAAGACAAGTCCTATCAGAATGATATGCTCACAGTGGGTGAAAAGATCGAGAGCTCTGCCCAACATTGTGAGGGACCTAGCCCTCGGCATTCGCTCAGGATAAGCAACATGTGACGAAATCGTGGCATCGATCAACCATACTCAACTCCCGCGAATACATCCTGACGTAATTGGAAGGAAACCTGCATAGGTGGACTGTCATTCCTTCCCCCTTTCACTGTGGTCTTCTTTGTCGATATTGGCCAGATTCTCTATACTGAGTAGGTTTCTTCAGCGAAGATTGTGTATATTTGTTGATCTTGCTTGAAATTGGATATGAATGAAACCCAGCAAATACCAACCAACATCTCTAAATGCCGCTGCTAATGCACACTCGCGATCACTCCCATCTACCACCTTATTCCCTCCCCAAACCTATCCAAGAAGAACCCACTGTCGATCAATTCTACCCTCTCAATAACCGGTAAACACGTGCGCAGACTCTCCTCCGCACTTATGGCTCCCTCCTCCTTCCATCCCACCAAGCCTGTCTCCACCCTTCCTGGATGCATTGCTAGCACCACCACACCCTCCACATCCACGCTCAGACTCTTCACCACTGCATTCAGCGCCGCTTTACTCGCGCGATACGCGTACCCGCCTCCACTAATGTTGGTGAAGATACTACCCATGCGAGAAGACATGATGATAACTTTTGGCGGGGTAGCTGCAGGTTCGTGTGACACTACGCTCTGGAGATTTGGAATGAAAGTGCGGACTGTAGCGAACGCGCCCCATGTGTTAATTTCGAGGGTGCGCATGAAGGTGGTGCGGTCCATGACTTGCAGCGTTTCGGCCGCTGCGACGTCTCTTTTCTCTGCGAGGACTGAGGGTACGAGACCGCGGATGCCGGCCGAGTGTATCACTGTCCAATGGCAAAACCTTTGGTCAGCATGTATCTTGTATGTAAACGAGGAAGTAAGTGAGCAAGACGGGCTTACGGATGTGTATAGGTAAGCCATTCAGATCGGCGGAAACCTTCTCCAGCGACTCCTCAGACGTAACGTCGGCATTGTAGGACGATACGTTTTCGAGCGACGAGACGTCGGTAGGTAGAGGAGAGATATCCAGTGCGATGACACGAGTTGAGTGCTGCGCGGCGTAGTGCTTCAGAAACGCGAGGCCGAGGCCGGACGATGCGCCTGTGATTACCACATTACGTTCCATGTTGTCAAGATGTAAAATTCCCTCCTTGATTGCTTTTCAAATTCCTATAGCTGTACTTTATGTACGAACATACATCGGAAACAGGTACCGCATCTAGGTAGTATGTCGGAAACGATACTAAATGTAGATACAACGTCAGTAGTAAAACTAACGCCCAAAGGGGTCTCGGCGGTGGATACGTGCATTAGTGCGTCCGTCAAACCCTCGGACTTCAGGGATACCGTGTTGAGGTGCCGGTTCGGCTGGTTGGTGGGGTGTGGGGTAGGTAGGCCGACAACGAGGAAGCACCCCTCGTCCTGGAAGACGAATAAAATCAATACCAAGCACCAAGTTCACTGGCTTGATTGAGATTGTTGTAAAATCGAGAAAAGAGCGAGATAATGTTTTACGAACCTGGGAAGACTGATCATGGGCTTCCACATGACCCCTTCAAGGTATGTTGGTACTTGCTATTTCCTCTGCAGTTGGTAGACTTTGCAAGATTGCCTTTACAATGAACAGGTACTGTTGTGGTCGCGCTTCTCCTGCGTCTGATATGTTGCCATATGTCACGATATGATTATTTAAAAGTACTATAGGCAGTATCCACACAGCTATATCTCACGCTACATATCCTTTCTTCTCCTTTGATCTACAAAACCCCAGAATCAGTTCCGAAGTCTCTCTAACAGTCTATCAGGCATGCGTAATCCCACGCCCCATAGGCTGGATATCCACTCTCTCCCCCTCAGGCACCGCAAACCTCGCCCCCTACTCCCAATTCAACAACCTCACTTTTGACCCGCCTTACGTCATGTTCAGCGCCAATCAAACGCCCTCCGCAAGCCAAAAAGACACAGTCGTCAATGTCGAATCAACAGGCGTCTTCTGCTGGAACCTCGCCACCTATGCGCTGAAAGATGCGGTAAATGCTACGTCTGAGCAGACACCTCCCGAGATTGATGAATTTGAGAAAGCGGGACTGGAGAAGGAAGATGCGTCGCTCAACTCTGTGTTGGTTAGAGGCAAGGAAACGAAGGTCCCGATGGTAAAGGCGAGTCCGATTAAGTTCGAGTGCACGCACTACACCACGCTCCGCTTACCTGGTAATCCGCCCATGGGTGCGGTAGACGTTGTGATAGGAAGGGTGATTGGGATTCACATTGATGAGGGGGTTTTGACGAATGGGAAGATCGATGTCAGTAAGACGGTGCCGATTGCGCGGTGCGGGTACTTTGAGTATGCCGCTGTGAGAGAGGTTTTCGAGATGAAGATTCCGGGGGACGATCCGAATCGGCATGCGGGGTTGGAGGGGAGTATCAAAGGAAATAGTGAAATTCAGAAGAGGAGGGTGGAGAAGGAGGAAAAGAAGGAGTAGAATGGCAAGAATTTCCACTCATGTAACGGGGAGGATTACTGCTCGTGATGTGTGAAGAGCCAGAAGACATACAATATTCCGTCTTGAGACAACCTCCGAAGAGCCATGCTGCTGTAAGAGATAGACTACGTTTTCTGATGATACGGCCCTCCTCGAACTACAACAGTCAACCTTGGAGGCTTATCATCCGTCCCTTCTCCTTGTGGATCCGGTCGGATAAGTATTTCCCGCGCATCGTTCTATCTCTATTGGTGTTGAATGTGCTTTTCCTTCTGACAGTGGTAGTGTTTTTGTTTTAGGCAGCTTACACATTTACTAAGATGCGTTCTGGGGCCAGCAGCATGGTACTAATGAAAAGAGCCATCTTCGAAAAGAGGATCCCCACAAGGACTGGCACATGCAATAGTACGCAAAGCCACCGTAGGATGGTGCGCCGTGTCTATGTTGCCTCTTGGCATCGACCCTACAACCCGGCATGAAAGCGAGTGGAGCAAGTCCAGACGCTTCGAGGAGTCATTACCAGGTATTTGGAAAGCTTCTACGATGTCGCAAACAGCTATGTGGATCTCATTCGCGTCGATATCAGGCCATCCGAGGATACTTCAGTCATGTTTCTGGACCGTTACACCATCTCACACGCATTTCTCGCTCTTTGCTTTCGCTGCGCAACACAACTCTTTAGGAGTCTTTGTGAGATATGACTTACACGTATCGAAGCAGGCACTCAAGCCAGCTCGTTTCCAAACCATGGCCAATTCTTCCCCAACAAAACGCAATTGACATCGAAACTACTGAGCCATGCGTCTGTGTCATTGGCGTAGGCTTTGTAGGTGAAGCGCTGCTTCGCGAATTTGGGAAGGTCTACAACTCCATCGGATTCGACATCTCCCAAAAGCGCATCAACGACTTAGAGAAGTCCTTCCAATGTCTTCCCAGAGTGTCCCTCACCGCCGATAAATCGAAATTGAATCAAGCAACGCATTATCTGATCTCCGTACCAACACCACTCAAGAAGGATCGCTCAGTCAGCCTGATACACCTTCTATCCGCTATCTCCACGACTCTGAACTGCGCTCGCCCTGGATCAGTAATAGTTCTTGAATCATCCGTATGTGTGGGAACTACTCGTCAATTCTTCAACACGTACAAAGAGATCTACCATTGCGGAATGTCGCCAGAGCGCGTGGACCCAGGTCGAACCGAACCTGCACCGAATAAGATCCCCAAGCTTGTCTCAGGACTCACGTCTAAAGCATTGACGCTCATTTCAAGCCTCTACGCCAAAGTGTTTGATCACATCGTCCCTGTTTCATCGCCTGAAACAGCAGAGATGACCAAGCTCTTCGAGAACTGTCAGCGCATGGTCAATATCGCTTACGTCAACGAAATGGCAGATGCCGCTCGCTCGCATGGTATCGATGCGGACGAGATGATTCGCGCTGCCAGCTCAAAACCGTACGGCTTCACGCCCTACTTTCCTGGACTCGGTGTTGGCGGCACCTGCATTTCCGTCAACCCGTTCTACCTCTTCGCAAATAACAAGAGCCTTCCTGTCCTAGAGAAGGCAACTGAACAGATGCGGAAACGACCAAGCACAAAGGCACGCAAGTTCCATGCTCGCGTCAGCTCTTTATTGGTAGGCAAGTCTCCACGGATTCTCGTTGTCGGCATCGGCTACAAGCCGGGACAGTCCTTATTGTCAGGCTCACCGGGTCTCGCCTTCGCCGAGAGACTGCGGAGGATTGGATGCAGCCGCTTGGCTTTTCACGATCCGCTGGTACAAAGCGAGGCCGTGGAATGGATGGAGAAACTTGAGGATGCTTCATGGCATCCATCTTACCTCAAGGACAACTTCGACGCCCTCGCGATCTGCATGAGACAAACAGGCATTGACTTTAGGCTTGTGGACAGACTACATACTAGCAAAGTGTTTGTGCAAGAGTTCAGATAAATCGGATACGCTGATGAATGTTACGATGAGTTGTGTGCATCACAGAACGTTGAATTCATTTTCTTCACGATCAGCGTCTGACTGAAGCTCTGTGTGACCTTCTTCCGCCCTTTGCAAAGTTACCGTCGTAGCCGCGACAGGCGTTACAGCCGCGGTTGCCGACGTAGCCGTAACTCCAGACAAACCCCAAACTGTGGAACGTCAATCAGCGTCCTTGTCCTGCGTGCCGAATGCGTGCGGATCTGAAGGACGATCCCTTTGTCGCGGGAATATTCGGTACCAACTTACCTTGACTTCCGAGATTCTTGGCTACTTTCGTGAAGATTGTGACTGAGATTGCGTAGCTGATGATTTTGTTGATGCAAAAGCCAATGAGAAGCTTATGTGCCCTTCTCCGGAGTTCAGGCTCCAGCACGAAGACTGTGTAAAGATACCATATCGTTGGGAGGAAGGCAATGACGAGCAGTGGCATGATCTGCATAAGCTTAATGCCTTCCGACAGGCCTTTCAGAAATAACGCTGTATTGATGACCCGATAATACACGAAGGAGAGTCGGATAACGTCGACCGATGCAGCAATGCGTGTGATGATGATCATCTAAAGTCACTTGGGTTAGCCTGACCTATCTGCCGAACCGATCCATAAAATACTCACGTTCTCACCCATCCAGTAAAAATAGTTGTTGAAGTATGCATTCGAGCCCCAACGCCGGCGCTGAGACAAGTAGTGCTGTAGAGACTGAGGTGCGATGGTTTCACTGATTGCCTCAGAAACGAACAGCGTGCGAAGCTTCTTGCTTTGAGAAAGCATTGAGTAAGTTAGACGTCGATCGGTACCCTGTCGCGCAATGTTAGACTTCGAGAAATCTGTGAGCGGGCAACGACCTTACAAGATATTGAACTTGATGATGGATCACTGGATATACTGTGATTGGTTCGGCATACTTTCGAATGGCTCCTGCCATCTCATCACGCACTGCTATCATGGTAATGCAACCAGGTAAACAAGAGACTTTTCCGATAAAGCTCTCTGCTCGTCTACGAACTAGATTTCAAGATGGACGTTAGCGCAGACCCCGTGAAGACAGAATTAGACCACAACGATTTAGATGATCGTCACGTTTCGATATCAGTCTGTAGCTGTTCTCTGGAAATACGGGGCAGGAGCGCCTACCATATTGACCATAAGTATACTGGAATTGTTGATACAGATTCCAGAAAGACCACTCGTAACCAGGCTCTAGTTCTACAAAGACGAGTCCGCAGGCGGCTATGGCATTCTTGTCTCTCGCAAGCGCCTCTGCTAGACTCGCTACAGCTCCTTTGTAGATTGTTGAATCAGCGTCCGTGCAAAAGATCATATCGAAGGTCGTGAAATCTTCCCCTTTGGTTAGGACTGGTAGAATGTTGGTCCAGATCTCCTCCCTCAGCAGTCTAGTGTAAAGTGGAATATTATCTCGCGGTATGTTGAAAAGATCGTGGCACAGAACAAGTGAGTCTTTCTTCCCTGTTCTCAGGATTAGCATGAACGCTACAGTCGTCTCAACTCTCGCTCTTACCGCTGTTTTTGACTTTCTCGATGACGATGACAGGCACATCTTCTGCAAACCCTGCCGTTATCTTCAGAACGCCACGTTTGTGCTTGAGTGATACGTAGGGTCTTTCGAAATCGCGAATGATGTGCGTCAGATGACTGCGTACATCACGAGGCTTCCCATCAAGTAACACAACCATGACCTGACGATGTTTCCCAACTTCGTTGTCGCGGAGTGAGTATATTGTCTTCACGATTTGCTCCTCACTCTCGGAGTATGCAGGAATCAGAGTCAGGATCCATTGTCGGGGAACTGGAGGCAACGGCTTGAAGATGCGGTAGATACGTCTTGTTAACAGTCCGAATGCTGAGAGTAAACAAGAAAGGAAGTCCTTGGTCTTGACGAAGATGATGAAAATAAACACAACAACTCCTGTGTTTGCGAAAACTGCAATCATGTCATACCAATGTTGAGGCCAGCAATGACGCACCAGAAGAGGATGCGCTGTTTCCGGAGGTCGCTCCTATTGAGGGTACGAGATCGGTCATAGGGGTCAGGTATTTCAGGATATCCACACCCATCGACCGTATCTTCTGGGTTGATAGAAGGCTCCTTCTCCGTAATTTCACTGATATGTTCCTCTTTCGCCATTCTATCGCTAACCGGCACCTTCTCTTCATGATTTCCGGTTTCCTGGACCGCTATGTCCTCATTGGCCTGTGTCTCCTTCGACACAATGTCACTGACCCATCGTCGTCCTCCTGTATCCTTATTCCCCAACTCTTTCTCGCCTTCTTGATTCCCGTCAGCCCCTCTTCTCTCACAATCGCATGACTTCCGCGAGACTTCGCTTTCGAATTTCTCCCCGCCATCTCTCTGAGCGTTCATCCCGGTCCCTCAGTAATCATCGACCCCAATACCTGACCTTAGGGGACCTCTATACGATCCATCTATCCTAACTTGCTGCCTTCAGCCCATGTGATGCGCATGAGATGACCCGTGGAGTCTAGCAATAAAGCCGATGCGACCGTAAACTTTTTTTCGGAAGATTCCAATGGTTTGAGATGACTCAAAGTGCAGTCTGGAAATCCCATACTTCCAACCATGGAACGATCTGCTCACTGCGCGCGGCTAATGCGGCAACAAAGGGCAGGGATAATCATTCCACATGTGCGAAGTATCCGCCAAACAGGCGCATTCCGCATTTGAAGGACGAAAGACCTACTTAACAAAGAATGTAACGTAATTAGTGTCAGACGAGTTAATCTTTAGCTAGTACATCTTTGACATATGTCAAGTAATCCACTCCATCAGTCACCTCATTCTTTAGTCCTCTGGGACCGTCCCAAAGCATGACTCCGCCGAACTTGTGCTCATTCCACCAACAATCAAGTTTAGGTCGCCTCGCAGCCTGGATTGCATCCCGAAATGTTTCTGCTGACACATAACCCGTGTTGCCGTTGTCAAAGCTCAAGCCTCCCAGCAACACTTTCGGAAACGGCAAGTGTGGCGAGGGTATGGTTTGTTGGTACCATTCCTTGAGTGACTGAGGAAAACCCGGCGTACCAAGTGAACATTTGGCCGAGTTATAAAACCGGATGAAGATGAAGTCCACGAGAGCTAATGTGGCTCTAGATATGGTTCCGTTTCCTGACGTGCATACTGGAGCAGCTGACAGGTAGAAGGGCTTAAGGACCGAGCTGCGATAGGATCGTAGCGAGGAGAGGAAGACGTCGTAATTATCCGAGGAGCCCTCCTCATGGTCTGCGGTTATCAGTCAGTCACTCCAGCTGGTCGCGTGATTTATGAAGACATTACCTATGTCAAAACCATCAACGATAACATCCGGGCCAAATGGTCGTAGAGATTGCGCGTCTTTTCCAGGGCCAAAGAGATCCCACATGACTTTTGCAGCTCTTTTAGCTTCCTCACGCCCCTTGCTGCCTACTTCAAACGTAGTGTTGGATGTCGATCCGCCAATACTCACAAACACTTTCTTTCCCATCCCTTGACATTGTTTCACTTGCCCTCCTAGCTCACTGCAGCGTGCAAGCCCCGGTGCTACATATTCATCGACCGACCTGGTAGCATTGCAGTTTGATGGCCCAAAGCTGATTGATGGGTAGCCTCCAGTGCCAGTGAAACTGCGCACAAATCCAAGGATGACGACGTCAACCGCAGCACTGTTGCAAGTGTCGATCAGAGTGGCGTTGTTTCCAGAGGATTGTGAAAAATATACAAACAAGTTTTGGCCATTTGGTGAAAGTTCTGCCGATGAGAACGGAGCAAGAAATTGTAAGATGGCCACTACTGCGAGGAACAACATTGGCATCTTCATCGTTGATGCAGCAACAACGCCTGATCAAAGCTATATTCTCAGTTGGTAGTGATATTTTGCGCGTGGTAATCAAAACTCAAAGATGGTTGACCGCACGCTTGGGATAAAAACATACTATGCCCTCTTCACAGTCACCTCCTCAGCACGGAAATGGCCGGCAGTCGAGACCGTTTGCAACACTCTTCATCTGTGGTCATCCTCCCTTGCTAGAAGCTTTCGTAGGCTGAATTTGTGGGATGTTTGCTTTGTTTCAGTCTTGCAGATCATCCACTCCACGCAGCCGGTATTGCAACGATCGCAAACGGCTATAGACAGGTTTACAGTTGACGGTAATCATGAGTACGGCCCCAATTCCGGTTCTGGGCTCTTTTTCCCGAGGTTCATTGCTTGTGCCCTTGTTTCGCATCTATTCAGAGAAACCTAACCATCAGCTGCTAGAGGTCCAAGTAACCAACCAACCTCGATACATACTCTCAATCATTGCAAAGAACATGGCACGCACGAAGAAGAAAGAAATGCGAAGGGCTCAGCGTCGCGGCTCACTCCAAATTCTCCGGGAAACACTTGCGCCCTCAATCACGAAAACGACACGCGCTGCAGCTACGCAGACCAGAAACTGGCTGAGACGTGTGTCTGTGGTCCTCGGAGCAAGCGTCGGGGAAGCTCCTGCGGTCACACAACCTCAATCTGAGAGGGTTCGACGAGGCTCGAGGTATTCGGAAGTAGATGCCTTATATCAAGATGGCTGGGGTGCGGGAGTTGTACGTGCGATTTCAGATCCCAAGCGGCGCTAGGTTACTGACTCATTGCAGGAGTACGATGGTAGCGGAAATGAATGAAAACTTACCATGTGGAATCAGCTTCCAATGATTTCGCAGCTACGAGACGACATTTCCTGCAACATTACAGATGTTTGGTGCTGCGACAAGCGTGGCCACTTTCTCTTTCTAGAGCATCAGTCCCCAGAACAACATAACTCTCAACTCAACTCGGTTATGGCTGCATGTCTGGAGTGTTTAATTTTGTTATTGTTGATTGTGCTGGCCGAATGGTTCCTTACTGACTTCAACGATGCAATCCTTAGTTAAGGGCCCTTGGAAGAACTTGAGCCACAAGATTCCAAAGTGTATTGGCACTAATGACTGGTGGCTTCCATCGCGGCGGGAATTTCGCATGGCGCGTGAAAGGATAGGCGGCAATGAAACTTCAGCTCGAGCAAGGAAGGGGTAACACTGCCGTATTCTGATTCCGGACCGAGGCGCTTCATGGGGCAGCGTTCATTCTCTTGTTTACATACAATGTAGAAAATGTGATCCGCGATAGACGCGTTTCACGACTAAGCTCCACACTTTCATGTTATCTTGTCACACCCATAGCTCACCCATTCTGCTCGCAGCGTTTTCTTTTCTGTTTCATTTCGTTACCAGGCACAATACAAGCACACAGGTCCTCGCTAACCCTCTGTTACGCTAATGCATACAGGCTCCCGTGATTTCATCGTCCTCTACACCCGCATCAAGCACATCTGCGAGTAGTTCCGTACCCGCCAGTAGCTCTATCGTGCCAAGTAGCTTTGACATACTAAGCTCCAGCACAAGCAGCTCTGCTCCGGGAGATACGTCCACATCAGCCTCCGGTAGTACCTCGACCATAACGAGGGTAAGGTCTCCTAACGCCGTGGTTGATGTGCTGTTCGCTCGCGACGTTGTCGAGGAAAGACTTCCAGAGTGGTGCCCACCTACAGTAAGCTTCTGCTAATACCATGCAGGTCTGCTCTATTGCTACCGAAATCATATCTGCTACTGTGTAAGCGAAAATGATCAGCTCTTGACATTTGATCGACTGGCTGATCGATCGACATAGTACTATAACGGCAACACAGCCGGCGTTGACGAGTACAGTCACGATAGCTCGAGAAACGACGACTAGGGAAATAACCTCCACCCTGACGAATACAGTATGTCAGAAGATGAAGAAATCCCATTATTAAATGGCTTCAAGGAAATCAGAATGAAGTTATCCCACGTCGATCGCCGCTAATTATGTTATTCTCTCTAGATCCGAGAAACTTCAACAAGAAACCTAACAGCGACCTTGACTCAAATTGTAAGCCGCACCACTCCCCTGACCTCCTGCAGCGTCCGACAAGATGCTTCACTATATCTCTAGATGACCTTGGCTAACACGACGGCTGCAACTAGTCACGAACGACGTCAACAAGTCTCGTAACGACCGTCTCCACCGTAACATCCACCCTTCCTCGTGAAACATTCACACGCTTCTCCACACTCTCCGCTTCGACGACCTTCACGTATCGTACTACCATTACCGCAGGCAAGTATCCTTCCTGCAGTCCGAAAGCAAGAGAATCTTTACACTAACTTTGTGCCTTCGCATTTGCAGCGGCTACACGCTTTCTCACGCAGACAGCACGAACAACCGAGAGTACCAGACCCACGCCTCCTTCCCCGTAATATCTACTCATAGTTTTTAGCGTCCACCCGCAACGTAGACAAGACGAATACAGTGACAACACGTACAACTGAAACCTCCGTCGCAACGCGCGTCACGACGTTGAGAACGACCAGTACAATCTTGACAACAAAAGCCGGCACTACACTCACAGCCCGCGCAACATCTACGGTGCTCATCACGAGAGGCGTACCCGTAACGCAACGGACAACGGAGACGGCTATAAGGACGGCCTTGGTTACTCAGACGTAAGTGAGCTCGTGGATGTGGTGTCAAAATGTCTTCGTGGCAGAGGACAGACTTCTTTCTCGCCGCGTAGAGACATGCACGGCGCATCAATTCAAATGCTTAGCTCACACTGACATTCTTCCCGCCCCTCAGAGCTAGGATGACGGTTACGAATTTTGCGACGAAGCCGGTCACTTTAACGGCGCGCACGACGAGCACGGTTTATACTACTCGATTGGGTGAGTGACTTCTTGTGTGATGCTGTGAAGAATATGGTGGCTAATTTGTTGGGGATGTACAGGTGAGGCGCCCTCGCCGTCGACGGAGTCGGTGTGATCGAGAGGTGGGAGGACGGGCGTATTGAGAAGGGTCGACAAAGACTAGTGTCGGAAAGCGGACGAGGAGAGGAAACGAGGATGGGCCAGATTGTTCGACATATCGTATGCTAGCAACGATGCTTGTGCTTTTTGATATTTGGTATTGTACCTTACGATCGAGGAATTGAGGATTCTGACTAGGACAAATGGATCCAGAAACTCCGTTCATGTGTTATCTTCGTGTTATGAGGCTTATGGCTTCGACGCGCCCAATTCTGACTTCCTCGATCATATAGTGCTTGTCTTATTGAGTACAAAGAACTCTCCATTGGAGTGATTCGGAAATTGTATGGCCTTCTGAGGTCATTTGCGCTCCTTGAGGACATCCTATTTAGCCAGCGCCTACAACTTCTTGATCTGCTTCCTAACCCTCCCGATCTCGATCTCCTGTTGTCTCAACTCTTTTACCAAATTCGAGATCTCAACAACAGGTCCTTCAACAGCAGATACAAAAGATGCTTGAGCTGAGCGTAGGGCAGGTGGCACAAGGACACCGAACCACCTAATGGGATCGTTTGAGGGTGACTTCTTCTCCTCGTCCTTCTCCGTCGGATCGTCAGCCTTTGAAGCGGGCTTATCTGATGTGGTCGAGTCTTTTTCGCCATCCGTATCTGCTTCTGCGCTAGGACCGGTCTCCTTGGTTGCAGCAGAGTCGGCGTCTGGTGACGAGGATTCCTCAGTCTTGGCTTTCGACTCTTTGACTGAACACTCTATGGAGAATATGGCGTTGCCTTCTTCTTCAGTTACTGCGCTGTTACTGTAAGTATTCGTTGATTTTCGCGAGTAATCCCGCATACATCTTTCGCGAAGCCTGCATTCGCTCGTCGTAGTAGTCCTGCCCATATCGAGCGCGTGCATTGTTTGTGAAGTTGGCCCTTGCCAAATCCAAATAGCCCTATAAGATATAGATCAGTACAAGGATTCCGAATCAAACCACCGAAAGACTGCTTACAGAAGACAGGTGCCTTGTCAGCTGCTGCTGTGCTTTCTGATAGGCATCTAGCGTGAGAAGATATCGTTCAAGCAGATCATCAAGCCGCGAAACGAGTTCGTCCTTATTGGAACTCGAGGTTTCTAGCTCAGAAGCTGACCTTACTTCGACGTCTGCCATACTGAACTGAGAAGTAGTGGTGTAGCAGCAGAGTAAACGTGCATCCATTGCGACGTCCAAAGTTCATAGCTCCACGCCACTAACCCCATCCAGCCCCACTAAATCCATCTCTTCCGACCTCACCACGGCCCCTGCAACTTCCTACACACACCACAATGTCGAAACCAAATCCCTTCCTAAACCTCTTCCGGAGGTACTACTCCCAGCAGCCCTTCAAAGCGACCGCCCAATCGCGCGCCCGCCCCTCCCTTCACCCACAATGCCTCCGCCAACGCTTCATCCTCTTCCGCCGCAACCTGGGCGGCGCGCCCAACAGCGGCCACACCCCCCTCGACCCCTCCTTCGTCTCGATCCTCGATCGCCCCGCCAAAATGGCGCGTGTCGGTAAACAACACGGGCCCGGCCTCATTATTCTCGCTATCATCCCGATCACAGCCTTCGTGCTAGGATGCTGGCAGGTACAACGTCTAGGCTGGAAAACGGAGCTCGTCGCGCGGTTTGAAGACCGCTTGACGTTTCCGCCGTTGGAGCTGCCGCTGAGAATTGACCCCGAGGCGATCCCAGATTTCGATTACAGGAGAGTGTACGCAAAGGGACGGTTGAGGCATGATCAGGAGATGTTGATCGGGCCAAGGATGTTAGATGGAGAGGAGGGGTTTACGGTTGTGACGCCGTTGGAGCGGGAGGATGCGCAGGGGAATAAGAGCAAGATTCTGTGCTGTAGGGGATGGATCAAGAAAGATACTGTAAAACAGTGGTTTAGGAAGAAGAATGGGGCGCTGCCGGAAGGGGAGGTTACGGTGGAGGGACTACTGAGGGTACCCCCGAAAGGAAACATGTTTACGCCGACGAATATTCCTGAGGAGGGGAAGTGGTTTTTCCCGGATGTGGAGGGGATGGCGAGGTGGACGGGGAGCCAGGCTGTGTGGGTGGAGGAGACGATGGGTGAGTCTTGCAACAAGCTTGCGATTTCAAGTGGGTATCTAATAGAATACAGTGCCGGATTTGCTCGTCAATTACGAGCGTGAGCCCAAGGGCATACCCATTGGACGGGCGCCGGTCGTAAACCTGCGCAACAACCACACACAGTACATCTTCACATGGTAAGCCTCCATTTCCCATCTGTCATACGCGACGCTAACAATGCAGGTACGCGCTGAGTCTCGCGACATCAATCATGTTCTGGATGGTCGTCAAGAAGCCCATATCCGGGCAAGCCAAACGCGTGCGCCACAGCGTCGACTGGTCATAACCATCTTCCCTCCATTCATCCCTTCCCTTCACTCATGCCCATCCTCTTCCCTTATCGTCTCCATCCGTTTCCGCTTCTGCCTCCTTAGCTTCGGCAACGGCTCCATGCGCAGCTGCTGAAGCAGCTCTCTCGGTAGCAACTTCTGCGCCAGAGAAAAAACTGTACTACTATCTGTAACCTGGCGAGTCCTGCGAGGCCGTCAGCATGTAAACATCATCGCGGTGTAGCGAGTATACAGTGTGTATAGTCAGACTAAACGTAAAATGTACACACCTCTTCAGAAGAGCAATTACGTCGCCCTCTTCGATCATCTTCCGTCCCGCATGCTGCGCATAGGCAGCGAGGTCCTCGCCTACCTGCTCAAAATAGAAATCCGACGTCTGCACCAGTGCCGCCAGTGTGTCCTTGCTGATCTTGGTCTTGCTGCCTTGGGACTTGATGAACCCATTTGCAAGTGTTTTGACGGTAGCGGCCGGGAAGGAAGGGTACTCGTGCCCGAAGCGAGAAATATTCAGCGTTTTGCGTTGCCGGCCTGCGCGCTTCTTGGCTGGAGTCTCGGGCGCGGGTGTTTGCAGGCTGCGATCTATAGCGGAGACTTCGCCGCGGTAGGCTTGGAGATCTTCGTCGTCGTCTTCGGCGTCGGGCTCGGATTCCCAGCCTGCGATCTCAAAGGGGCCGGTTTCGTTGTCATCGGCGAGTACCGGGGCGGTTTCGTCGTCGTTGACTAGTTCGGCGCCGGCTCGTGTGTCGTTTTCTACGTCCTCGTCGTCTTCGATGATGGTCTCGTTGAGTCTTCGTTGAGTCTCGTTATACATGTCGACTTCATCTTCTTCGTCTCCCTCGTCCTCCACAGGGACATGCATACGTGGCGGAATAGTAAACCGAAACGTTGGCTCCTCATCCTCATCATCCACATCCCCAAACACGCCCAGGTCAACATCGCTCGGCCTCCCGTCTCTTCTCCCCGTCAACGCCCGAATCTCAGTCGTAGTATTATCCAGGTCCTCTTCGGCAACCTGCTCCAAAAGATCGTTCGGTAGAAGTGTCCCTCTGCGGTTGATGAAGTTCCCGTCAAGTTCGTAATCTTCCCCGTTGATGGTCAGATCATTCAACTCCCCATACTGCTCGCTAATCCTCTTGTTGAACATGCGATCCAAGCGCGGATCCTCGCTTCTCGCCCGTCGCCCAAACTCAATCGACTGCACCGTCCCATTGTCGTAGTCATACTCCGGCAGTGGTGCGAGGATAGATTGCCGCGGCGGTTCCTCGTTGAAGCTATCATCATCATACATATCATCGAGGGGCATAGAAAACCGCGGCGCAGTAGGCTCGTCATCGTCGATGTCCGGGAGATCGAGCGCAGAATTCCTGCTCCGACCTGACTTTGCTCCGGGGGTGGGCTGGATCGGCTGGCTATCTCGGGCAAGTACTCTGCTGAGATTCCGCAGGAGATCGCGGGGTGTTTCTCTCTGGACCCTTCCGCTTCTCCGACGTACATGGCCCGGCGTCTTCGCGGCATTTGCGCGCTCCCTCAATGCGCGGATCGCATGGGGTGTGGTCGGTGCAGCTCTCCGCGCAGGAAGAGGGCGTGTAGCTGGGCCTCCGCGGGGTGTTCGCGCAGTGCCTGGGGTTCGAATTGTCGCACTTCTGGGTGTCACACCAGCGCTGGCTGCGCGACGAAAAGGAGTGACAGGCTTAGGAGCAATATGTGCGAGGCGGTGGAGCTGCAGCGTGTGAGAATGGTTCGCACCTGGACGGAGTTGCATACATCGTTATACAGCGTAGACGAATGATCTGTAGTCTCGCCCGAGATCCTTGGGCTCAAGCGCTGTTTCTTTCGCGCAGACTCCGACATCGTGTCGTAGGGTCCTTTCAGATCGTTGCGCCTCGTACCTCATGCGCCGGCTCCAACGCACCGTTGTTGTTCGCCAAACGCGTCGCGTCCGCTCCGCTAGCGCACATCCCTCCTTCCTTATCGATAGCCGCCACAACCATGCGCCACAGCCCCGTCAAAAAGTTTCACCCGCCATCACCGACGAGCACTGTTCCACGCTCAAACAACTCACCCGCCATGACAGACTCCGACGCCGAAGGTGGCGTCCCGCTCATTGAAGCCGAGTTTGACTCGCTCGCCTCATCCAAGAAGCGGAAGCGAGAAGCCGTAGAAGGTTCAACACCGGAAAGCAAGAAAGCCGCCAAGAAAGCGAAGAGGAAACAGAAGAAAAAGCAGAAGCTAAAAGAGATTGATGAGGATGATCTGGACCAAGAGCTAGGAGTGAACAGGGCCTTTGAAAAGATGGACAGCCAGTTGCTCGCCGATTATATGAATGCGAGGACGAGGCTGTACGGGAAAGAGCTTAGTAGTGTGGAGTTGGAGGATAGATTTGTGCCCAGTACGGATTCTGCTTTTGCTCTGATGGTATAGGGTATCTAACAAGAAGACAGCACGCACGCTCAAAGACACCACTAGCTATACTGGGCCGCGGACTCTGGAGAACCTCTCCGCGTTTCTCAAGCAACAGTGCAAACACATTCAGGCCACGCCCAAGGAATCTAGAGGAGCACCCCATACGCTAGTGGTCTCCGCGTCCGGGCAACGAGCTGCAGATGTGTTCAAATCGTTGCGAACAGGGCTGCCAAAAGAGGGCATCAGGAACCCGAATGTTACCAAGCTGTTCGCTAAGCACATGAAGATTGCTGAACAAGTGGAGAATCTCGAACAGTACAAGTACGTTCACATGCGTCATCGATGCCGTGAGAGAAGCTGCTAACGTAATGTAGGACTGACTTTGGTGTCGGAACTCCAGACAGGTTGGCTGCGCTATTGGATCAGAATGCTTTGAAAACAACGAATTTGAAGCGTGTGATCGTCGATGTGTCGTACATCGATCAGAAGAAGCGCGGCATTCTCGACATGAAGGAACTCCACGACCCCCTAATCCGGCTCCTGCTACGGAAAGAGTTCGTTGGCGATGGTGACGAAGGTGAGAAAGGTGACGGTCTGTTCATGTTCTATTAGGCGACGGGCAACTCTTCGAAGAGGCGGCGATATTCAAAAGCATGATGATACCCAATGGCACAGGAAGTGCCACTCAATGTTCAACGAAAGCAAAGATAGGTGAATCAACAAGATATGTTTGAATGAGTTCTTTAGCCGTCGGATTTCTGGATTTCTGGTCTTCTCGATGCTTCGTCTTCGATGCTATCTATACAGATCCGTTACTCAATCTCGGTTTAAAAAGGGAAAGCCTTCTATAGTAAGCTACCGATTTGAATCTTCATCCCGCGGCTCAAAATTAAGCTGTACCGTTATTAGCCAACATCAAAAAGTGAACACAAAGCTAGTCATTACGCACCTGATTCCCATTGTAAAGCTGTTCGTTCCTCGGCTCCCTCGCTCGCTGGTCCGCAAGCGTTCGCACGCGAATACCTTCCGAGCCTGACGGCTCTTGCGGCGTGTTACCTAGCGATCGTCCATCGGTCGGGTGCGGCTGGTTGCCTTGCTGTGCACTACCTCCACCTCCCAACACTGAAGAAAGAGTGTTGCTTACGTATCCCACAGCGGAACCAGCAAGATTGAAGGCTCCACCGACGAGGTTGAACACGCTGCCTGCCGGTCCGGAGACAATGCCACCTGCACCGCCAGAGTATGCGTCAGTATACCCTTTGACAGGTACAAGTACGAGCGTCGCTGATGGTGCGAGATCAATGTCGCCTAGTGTCTGACTTTCCTCGCCAGCGGAGAGCTCGCGACTCGGTAGTGGTGCGAGTATCTGCTTGAAGTAGTACGGTGGTTGTCGCTCGTTGGCGTTTGCCGCTCTCGTTGTGAACTCCCGATCTATCCATGGTCGCACGTCGTCTTGTAACGACGCTGTTCGTGGGAATGTAGAGCGAATAGTTGCGCCATCGAACATGCGCACGTTGAGGTGCACTTCCTTCGCATTTGAACCTCGTGAGCTCGCCACCGTAAATGACGGTGACGTCGTAGGCTCCGACTGCGCCAGCTTCTCGCGTTCTGCCTTCCGTGCTTCTGCTTGTGCCTTGCGCTCCGCCTTGTCCGCCTCGATCCGTGCTTTTATCCGCGCAAGCTCCTCCCGCTCCTCCTCTTTCTTCTTTCGAAGCGCATCTCTCGCAGACTGTTGAGCCTTCGACGTCGACGGCTCGGGCTGTGTGGCTGGCGGTTTGGCTTTCTGCTTGCCTTTCGCTACTGATGAAAGCGGCGGTGTCGGTGCGGAGGGTGTGTTGGCGGGTGGTGTGGGCTGAGATGGCGTGGGTATACGTGTTGAGTCTGGTGTAGATGCCGCCAGTGTACTGTCTGCGGATTGCACTGTGCCTGGAATTGGGGGAGCGCCTAAGACTTTCCGTATGCGATTGATGAACTCATTCTGGCTTATGCCGCTGCTGAGTTGTTCCTGTAGCTGTCCGTTCCTACATCATGTTACCACGAGCTATGCCGAAGCCCAAGTACAACGTACTGTATTACAATAAACGTAGGGATCTCCGATATGGTGCAAAAGGCTGAGAGGAAACCGGCCTCTGTAGATCCGGCCTCGAGGCGCAACAGGACGGCTTTCTGTTCGATCAGACTCAATAACTGCACGGTTAATTAGCTAGATGTCCACCTAGAAATGGAGGTCTTGGTAACACTCGCCCAGCCGCTCTTCAACCACTCGTTCTCCCAAGTCGTGCTCTCGGTTCCGCCGTCTATGATCGATGATTAGTCTTCGATCTTAGCCTACGTATACATGAATTACCTTGAATGAAGCAGCCGACAAGCTTCTGCTCTTGTATAGCGCGAGCTATGCCGCTCTGTAAGTTGCCTTCGTGGAACATGATTTACTGTGGCTCTGCTGTGTCGTCTGATGCTGTGGCCAGTTGGTTGGTTGGTCGCGGGGTTAAGGCGGGAGCTTGGAGCTTGCAGGAACGACAGGGATGCGGAGCTTATATCGTGGGGCTCGTACCCGTGCCTCAACTGCGCTGAACCTTGGCTAGGCTACCGCGGCCGCAACTACGTCAATTCATATGCACAAGTCTGTAATGATTCAAGCTTCAGAAGAATAGAAATCACAATGCAATGCTGATCAAGATGCTAGATCTATGGGAATAAAAAGCCGTAATCCAATGTCATCCGTGCCAAAGGAGAGAAGCAGCCCAAAACCACACATGCTCCGTTATCTACACGCAGCTCATTAATCTGCGGATTTGATGCAGTCCTAGAGTAAACCAAAATCCAAATGATAGAGCCTACTCGCCCACTCAAATGCGCCCTCACCCTCGCCTCAGTGTGTGTATGTGTGTCAAAACCGGCTTTCCGCGTAGTTATTCGTGGCCGTGCCGTGGTTTGCATGCTGCTTCGACTCTGGGTCGAGTCGGTTGTCGATTCGTGATGTCGCCGGATGGTATTCAATCCCCTGTGTCCTGTATGCACAACCGCAACCCCAACTACATCCGCCTCTACAAGATAGTGCAACCCTTGCTCTTCTTGACTTTGCCTGTCGCCTGTGGACGAGGGCTGAGTACGGCGCTGCAGCAGATGTCAGCTTGCTAGGACAATTAACGCACTGCATGACTTACCGGATCGCCTCGTCGAAAACGCTCTTCAAATTTCGCTGTGTCAGCGCTGAGCACTCCAGGTACTTCTGGGCTTTGATTTCCTTCGCAACCATAACAGCCTGCTCGTATTGTATAGGAGCCATCTTCTTCTGCCTTAGGCTCTCCTTGGTCGCTTCGTCGTCCCTCAAATCGAGCTTTGTGCCGACGAGGATAATTGGTACGCCGGGCGCGTGATGGTCAATCTCTGGGTACCACTGCCTCTTGTCAGCGAATCGTTTACTGGTATAGACTGCAGCTTTACCTTTGCCTTGACGTTGTCAAATGAGGGTGGGCTGACGATGGAAAAGCAGATTAAAAAGACATCGGTCTGGGGGTATGAAAGCGGCCGCAGGCGGTCGTAATCTTCCTGTCCAGCAGTATCCCATAGACCAAGACTTATGGGCTTTCCATCGACCATAACATTTGCCGAGTAGTTATCGAAGCTGGGTGCGCGTCAGCTGGTAGTTGGGCGTTGCAAGCTCGGGCAACTCACACAGTCGGAATGTATTCTCCGGGGAACGCGTTCGTAGTGTACGAAATAAGCAGACATGTCTGGAAACGATGTTAGCTTCTGGATTGCTCGTAGCGCAGGATGGTACTCACTTTGCCTACAGCACCGTCACCGGTCACGACACACTGTATCCGATTAGCGCCATTTCTCGGTATAGAAGCGGGAATGCGGGTGGGCACACCTTCAGAGATTGGGTGGTGGGAGCAGCCATTTCGCGGGAGCTGGATGCGCGCTGTAATGGGCGTGCTGGCGGTACTTGTAAGGGCAAGAGCGGCGGCTGGTGATATGGCGGGCCTTAGGGGTCTACAGCGGACTCGGTCAGCCTGCAATGCTCGTGTCTTCCAAGGGTCGGCGACACAGACGGACAGATGTGAATTCTGGCAGAGACTGACGGGCAAGAGGTGCGGTATGCAGTGAGAAGGGGCGGTTTATCGCTTGGCCGCAGAGATGGCGAGGCGGGCGAACCGAAGCTTGGAAGATGCTCGCAGCGCGGGCCACTGGTTAGGCGGGGGTCGGGAGGGCGAACAGACGCGCTTTCGCTACGGTCAGTCGTGATGGCTCGGCGTGGACGCGGTGCTGGCAGCGGTGCAGAGGACGAGAGGCAGTGTATGCGAGAGAGAAACGGGCTCCGGTGGGTTTTGGCAGAAGGCAGGCGCGTCTGGACGATTGCGCTGTGAAACTCTTTCGAGACAGCAGCAAGCCAAGGCTTCTACAGCAGCATCACAGCAGGTCCACTCACCGCCCACCTCTCCAACCCTGTCCTCGCCCTCTCCACCAGGCCCCTTGCGGATGGGTGATAGGGCCGCCCGCCCAAGCCCGCACCCACTCGGGTGCCTCGCTCCGCAGCTCGCCCAACCGTCCACCACCCCGAACACCGCACGGGAAGACCACGCGGGCGCCGTCACACACCCAGCGCGTCGACGGCTCTGCTCTGCGCCTACCAGCACCCAAGGAGCCTGGCTGGACGCTGCCGGCGCTGCAGCTTCACGCTTGTCCTGCGCCCTCGACTCTACGCGAAACGCCTGGGAAGACCCTGCAAACGACTACTGCACACTATGATTCAAGCACGCAACCCCCATCACCGCTATCACCTGCGTATCACTCCCTCGCCGCCGCTGCGGTAATACGGACAATTAATCTACATTTTCCCACCCACGCGCCCCCATTCGCTAGCCCTCCTGCTTTTTTCGTTTTCTGGGACGCACTGATCCTGCACGTTGCCGAATATCCATACTGAAACGGGTTGTGATGGAGAACGTGCCAGCAGTCATTCCCAACTCGTCGCCTTGCAGCAACCCTAGGCTGCCCACAGAAGGTCAAGTCGGTTGAAGACTGGAAGAAGGCCCTCTACGCCCAGAAGATCGACATCATGACAGTCGCTCCAGTCAGTTTTTACTCTCACTTCTTTCGTGTTGGCCACTCTGGAAAAGAAACACTTCATGTTGAAGCATTCAAGGACCGAAACAAACGATAGATAAACTTGGGACGTGTAGACCAGGCTAGCAACGATGTGTACAGCGACTCCCATGTATCCACGGCCAGGAACGTGGTGATGCGACGTTTCGGTCCGTACTAACTATGGCGCTTGCTTGAGCACCTAGCCGGAACGGGTCCAGGACAGCTTCTCATCACGTACATTTTAGTGTCGTGCAAAGACCAAAAGAACGTCGAAAACGTATCCTCTGAAACACTCTCTTCCTGCTACTCGCATGCACAGATATCGATGAAATGCTGCATTGCACACCCATGGGCTGCTCAGGGACATGTGGCCTTGGCAATCCTAGTGTGGCCGATACCCAGTGCCTACTTCTACCATGACCCCATCACTCTCGTCTGTTTCTGCAAATTCTATCCCTGGGATATGCATTTCCAGGACAGCTGTCGATGCTTGGAGCTGCCGCGTGAGCTGCGCGACTGGATTTACGGAAAATGGTAAATTAAAAAAAAAAGATTTCAAAGTGCTACTCTATTCGACATTGCGCTCAAGGAAATCAGTGAACGTCAAGCCATCCTAGACATCGAACTGGCATCCGTCTTTCTTACAATATGTTTACTGCAGTCTATCGATATTATATCCCAACACACTCACTTTGACTTCGGCGGGCTGCAGAAAGCTGGAGTCAAAAGAATGTCTACGAAACGCTCGAGGGCACCTTGTCAAGAACGGATCTTTGCGCTCTCCTGAGCACATGCCCCATCTTATCAAGAACGGAACTCTTCCTCTCTTTTACCGCACCCGCCTCCGCATCCTCGTTACCCACTTTCTGCTTATGCAGGAGCATGATTGGGCCGTCTTTCCAACAAGCCCAATCTCGCCCAAGCACATGTCCATCATCCATATCAAGACACGTCACGCTCCCCTCTCTCTTTCTTTGTACACCAGCCTTACGCCTTCCTCTCTTCCTCCGTCTTGGCACCGTCCTATGCACCACCTCTTCCCTGCTGTCGTCGCCGCACCCGTCAACCCTCACTACCTCAACCACATCACTCGGGAAGCTTCCATTCCAGTTCTCTAGCCCCTCTTCCCACGGCAGCACGTTGGCCTTCGGCTTATTTCTCTTCCTCTTCTTCCTCTTCTGCGGTACATTACCCGCTTTCTTCAGCTCGTGCCGAACCAATTTCCCGTGCCACGCGCGCAGCCCACTGATCTTGAACATCAGCGGCAGTTGTACCACCGTGGCTGGAATGTATGCCTCGATTGCTTCGCGCTGACTCGGCTCCAAGGGGTAGGGGCAGCGCGAGAAGAAGGGCCCGCCGGCTGTGCAGGTGTTTGGGTCGAAGGGTTGGGAGAGCGTTCGTGTTGTCGAAGAGGAGGGGCCTGAGGATGAACATGTTGATGACGAGTTCTGTGTTGGAGATATTGCAGCAAAAGTTAAGTGGTGGGCCAAACATGCAGTCCTGTGATCCGCGCGATAGTACTCCATATCTTCATCGTAGTAGTGGCGGCGGAGGTAGATTATTTGGTCGTCAATATAGTCGCAGAGAGAAGCGAGAGAGGAGGGGTGAGGCTGTTGGGCTGGAGTGGGATTTGGGTGCGGGTTCTTAGGCATCTTGGTCTTCCCCTTCTGTTTGCTGTTACGAGTATACCACTGGATGCGCGCCGTGGCTACGAATATGTCCATTCTGTTGGTCTGGTCGGCGTGTTCAAACAAGCTTTTGAAGGAGCTTCGAGTTTGCGATATTTTTCATGTGCTGCGAGAGTTCGCCGATCGAACAATTGATACCGCTGGACGCCTCCCGTCAAGTGGACGGATGATAAGACAGCCGTCTCCTTACGAGGTGTGGCCAACGAACGACAGATTTTGCGAATGAACCCAATTTTTGTTGAGTATCGATAGTAAAAAGACATTGTTGACTGGGCTTGTGCTTGGATGAACAAAACAGCCAGTGAGCTGGGCAGCGAAGTAACCCGCACACCATCCTTCGAATATGGCGCATTGGTATCTGATTGACCGTTATGGGTCACCTTTGAACTGAAGAACCCGAGGTTCTGGAGAGGTCGTTGGTTTGTTGGGTTGTGGGTCTCCACCGCGTGAGTGACAGCTGCTTTCTCTATGCAATCTGTCACACGCATTGAGTGTACGATATCTCAGTCAGTTGAAGTCGCTCGATGGCTTCTTGAGATATTTTGATCTTCCTTATTACTAACCCACCTAGTCGGCATGCGCAAGCTCCAGGAACAGCTCAGAGGACGAGGTGGCCACATCTAGCCTTCCGGGTACCCAAAGACAGTCCGGTACCAGTATATCGGACCCCTCTTTCTCAACAACACACTGAATAATATATACTCGCCTATCCTCAACGGTATATGGCTCTGATATTTATCCCAGATTCACTACCATCGCTGAGAAACACAGCCCTTCAACCGTGCGAGAGACTTGATGCACTGTGAACTGCCCATGAGTCCCAACGCTAGCAGCAGCAGTAACGTTCAGGACAGCAGAGTCAGCTCTGCCACCCCTACTCTCGTGCACAAAGAGTCGGAGCCCAGCATCAAGAGGAGGGAGTCTATCGTCAGTCTTGCGGAAGACGATCCGATCCGAGACTGGGTAAGTGGCCCTTATGTTCCATAGCGAGAGCCTGTTTTTCTTAACTCCTTTACAGGTCTTCTATTCGCAGCTTCTAGCCCCAGAGGAACGGTGTGAGCTGCCCCAGGCATCGTCGGCAGAAGTCTCAGGTTCCGAGACAGCCTCCAAATCCACCGATGCTCCTCTTGTCCCCCGGAAAACGAAAACCAACGAAGAATCAACCAAGATCTCCAAGTAAGCTGAACCTTCCAGATCTCAGCCGCACGCCGGTAGGAAATTCTTCCAGTAAAGCCTCCCACCACCTCTGCCGATCCCACCTTGACCGCTCCTAACATATCAAACAGAGACACTGCTACCGCCTCCCAGCGCGGAGATTCTGGCCAAGTACGACCGCAGATGTAAAGCCATAGACTATCCCCTCTGCGCCCGGTTCCACCCTCTCGTGAATATAGACCAGCCACGAGAATCCATCATCGACGACGCAGCCCAAGAAAGAACGGGCGCCGCATCGCCGCGACTGTATCAGATCCAGCAAGAACACGGCTATCCCGAGACCCTGGGTGCCACTCTTTCCACCATCATCGAGGAACCAGAAGAAGAAGCCAACGGAATGAGTGCACCGCCGCCTTCTCCTGCTTCTTCGTTCACGGGAGACCAGCAAAGAACGAGTATCTTCACTGCCGGTACCTTGGATGTCAAACTTCCAGAGCTGGGCAAGACGCACTTAGGACGCATAGATACGCCTACGCGAGGCTCTACTGATGCACCGTCTGAGCTCTCGTCAGCTGCTGAGTTTGAAGCGAACGATGAGTTGCATCTCGCAAGGTGCGCCTTCTTCACACTGCCGAATGGGAATATAGAAGGCGCTGCAACTCAACTTCCGGCTCAAAGCTCGTCGGGAGGTGCTCGGGAGGAGATTGCTTACCGGAGACCAAGGGTCCTGGTGAAGAAGAAGACTGAGAAGGCGGGTGCTGTGGCGTCGAATGGTGTAGCTCGACAAGGGAAGTCACAGTCGTTGATTGGGAAGTGGGTGTCACGTCTGCGTCGGCAGTAAGGGCATAACGAAGGAATCAAACATTTGTATGGAGTTCTTGGTCTTGATCATTCTGGTGTTTGGTGTTCAGGCGTGATGGGTGATGGGGGTGCACTTGTCATTTATCCCGTGGTATTTTCGCATTGGAACATGGATTTCGATGCCCAATCTCAAATTTAATAGTTAAACGAAACCTCATAAGAGTGCCAATACATGTCCATTCAGAGCTTGCTCTTCTCTTTGCCCTCCCTCTCCGTCTGCCTGCCCAAATCAGTCCTACTCGTCTCCGCCTTCAAGCTCGCTGGGTCGCCCAACTGGGTCCTGTTGACTTTCTTTCCATCCGAATTCGCCAGCGTTCCTCTGACCTTCTGGGAGTGAGGCAGATCGTCATCGTTCGTGTCCGATGACGAGTTCGGGACCAACGATGAAGCGGCCTTTTTGGCTTTTTGGTTCTCTGGCGTGGGCGGGTTGTCGATCTCTGGTTTGAGCGAAACATGGTCTCCTAATTGGGGTGGGTTGCTGTCTGATTTGATGGCAGCTTGTGTCTTTGGGTTGTCAAATGTTCCGCGGACGGTCTTGGAGTGTGGCTTCGACATGATGGTGTGGTTGTAGAAAGGTGTCTATTAATTTGGTGTTTGGACGCTACGAAGGCATGGAGGGTGAGGAGTCTATGTATGGTAGCTGTGAGGAGATGCAAAATGTCTTATGATGAAGGCTTAGATGATAGCCTCGGTATCGCATCATCGACCCAGCATCTAGGGTAAGTGCGCGTTGACGGTTCGCGTCTTTGACAGTTGCTTAGCGCATGTTCATGACGTCTGCATTTTGTTGGCGTGGATGCCCGTAACAGTATTCTCCCTGCCAACAAGAGAGCAACTTCAGATAAGACGACCGTTGAGCTCCACCGAGCAATGCACTGCTTGCGACATTTGTATTGAGGCTTCATTAGATGTTGGATGTGTGCTAATTGGGCATGGAGTGGGCTCACGAGCGTTCGGTCAGCTGAGGAAAAGGACAGGGACTCTCATACACATGTAAATTAAAATCCACTTCGTTCGTGATACTCATCTACGTAGATCGCGAAGTGCGAGCCGGGTCTCCAGAAGGTTGTTGTGGAGACAAGGTGCACTAGCGGGGTCGCAAAACATTGTGACATGAAGCCAGGCGGCCCCCACATGTCGTGTGGTGGCTGAGGGCACAAGCGAACCTCAGCCTCGCAGCAGGCAACTACACAATATTTGAGCAGGTCAAGTCATTTTCACGCGTACGACGCCGCCTGCGACTACCTCAACTGTCATCGTTGATTGCTACCCAGGTAGTGATCGTCCACGGCTGGTCCCACATTCTCCATGGCCGAACATCAAAGTGGCTCCATCCCTGATCTTCCGGACTACGAACACCAGCCTCTTGATCACAGCGAGCCATCTATACGTCTCCTACGCGTTCTACCTACACTTTCTTCCGATGGACTGCTGCAATGCCAGTTGAGAAATGAGAGGCTGGATTCGACCACCTATACGTGTTTGTCATGTACGATACTCCTCCATGTTTTTGGCTAGCGCTAATCAGGTATATAATATGTTAGATATGTGGGGTGAAGAACCTCCAGCGCGATGGATCTCTATCGATCAAAAGAAGATGTCTGTACGACCCAACTTAGGGAATTTCTTGAACATGGCCCGGACCAGCTACCCGGATAAATCCCTCTGGATAGACGCGATATGTATTGATCAGGCCCACACGGAGGAGCGGAATCATCAAGTCACTCAAATGGGAAACATCTATTCGTCGGCAGAGCATGTCCTTGTATGGCTTGGCAACAGTGAGCCATTAGTCGATTTCTTTCAAAATGCTGCTCCAACTCTCGACACGATCCCGAGTAATGATTCACAATATCGAATGCAAGCCCCTCACGACTTCTACCACGTTCATCGTACGCTTGCGCGTGCTGCGCGTGTAAATCACAGCGAAGGTTGGGAAGCCCTCGTCAATCACCCATATTGGACAAGAGCTTGGATAACTCAGGAGCTTGCCTTGGCGAGCACCGTTTCTCTCTTAGCAGGCGATACCGAGTTGAGCATGTCTCGTATTCGCGACATTGCAGATATACTCTGGTCGACCCAGCCAGAGGGATTCAAACTGCAAAATGAAATACTCCAAACCTTCGGATATCACTTGAAGATTAGCTTGGGTGGAGTCAGACGTATTCCCTATGAGCTGACCTTGGTCCAGCTTCTCGAGATGCTCCCGGATCGGAAGTGTGGAGTTATGCGCGACAAAGTGTACTCCTTGCTGTCTATTGCTGAGGATGGCAGGGACGTCGCGGTAAACTACGATCTTTCCGACAAAGACTTCATCTTCGGCCTTGTACGAGCATGCAAACGGACCATGTGTATTTGCTCTTTTGAAGTCCTTGCGAGAGCACTCGGGGACTGGGAGATGCACAAACATGGAACAGCGCGTTCCTCCGTAGCAATTGCTGAAGTCGTGATAAAAAGACGTTCTCGTGGTCGCCTGAAATTTCGACCAAGTTTCAAAGTCGAGGATATTTGTCCATTCTACGGGGGGCAACTATACTTAGGAACGTTATTCAAAAGCTCTAATGCGGTTTACAAAAAGGATATCCCCGGATTACACTCATACGTACGGAAAAGGTCGGTAAAAGATGTATTCAGTCCCAATGGATCAGGAATGAGTCTTCGACCGCTGTCGCAAGGTGATCCCAGCTTGTATGTGCTCCATGTGAGCGTTCCAACACTTCTATCTTCGGGCTTCTTCAAACGAAAACCCCTGTATGAGAAACCCCTTCTGTGCAACAATACACGACGTTTCACATCATCTTTTCGAATCGTGTAAACGAAGTAACTCCGCATCTTGAACGAAACGGTCAGACGTCGAAAAAAAAAACCCTAGCGACGCTTCGAAGGTTGAAAATCACCATGCCAGACCGTGATTGGTACTATTTACCGCTGAATTGGCCTACGATGAGCATCAGATACCCACACTGGGCTCGACTATTTTTCAAATCCAGTGGGCGAGAATTATTACTGTATGGAGACCAAGCTTTCGGAGCAGTACATGACTGATTCAACATTCATTGTTTCCTTCCATTTGAGTGATTTGGTGTGTTCAGTGCTATGTCTTTGCTTCGTTCGGTTTGTAGATGGGCTTGTGGTGTGCTGATATAACGTTACGCATGATATACGGAGGATTGTGCTAGCCGCAGCCCCAAGTATCAAAGCCTGCTGGACTTTCCATTTATGTGAAATTCCGCCTTTCTAGCAACATAATGACTCTACATAGTACTTTAAGAACCTATTGATTACTGTCTCCTTCTTTTACATTATTCCTGCTCTGGAGGACCCACTCGCATTTACTCTTGCAGCAACCACAATATGCTGCAAACAATCCTACCGTCAAAACTCGTCCACAAGATATTCTACTATCCTTTCTAGGCGGACGGTGTCTACTAGCAAAACACCCTTCTAGAACTAGCAGCAACTGTTAAACATTATAGTAAAGTAACTATATCCAATCAGATCCCCACCACCAGCTTCCCCCGCCGGCTCGAAAGCGCTAGCGAAACACCTCATGGACGAGTTCTCACGGTACCCAAGGGTCTCCCACAATTTCGCAATGTAGTTCCACAGATCATTAGCTCAGGTCGGTCTCTAAGCGCTAGACCGGGTATCTCATCCTACACTAACGCCAAGAAGCCAAGATGAGATGCTCCAGACAAGCTCTTCGGTCCGATGCCGCCCCCATTACACGCCTCTCGACGACTTGATAATCAAAGTTACGATTTGAGGATGGAGAATGCGAGGCTATGCTATGGTATAAGATGCTATCCGCCCGTGAGTGCCGCGCGGGCCGGGAGAGGCGAATTGCTCTTTGCTATTGAAAGCCCTTCCTAACGGTGGACTGATCGGTTCGACTACGTCGTCGAATCCAACATGCGGTTCTCTGCAGTTCTCGCCATCGTTGTGGGCGGCGTCACAGCATACCGCTCGAGCGAGGTTCCAAACTACCGTAACCACCGCATCGCCCCGAGCCCGTCCGAGGCTCTCGCAAACTTGAACGTCAGCCAGGCGAACGCTACGTTCGAGCAGTGGGTCTCTCACGACAATCACAGTTTGGGCACGTTTCCACAGTTCTACTGGTATTCTACACAGTGGTGGAAAGGTCCTGGCTCGCCTGTTATATTGCACACGCCTGGAGAACTCAATGCGAGTAGCTACAATGTCTTCCTCACTACCAACAGAACGACTGGTTTACTGGCACAGGAGATCGGGGCAGCGATCATCGTGCTGGAGCATAGGTATTGGGGGACGTCTACGCCAGTAACCGAATTCACTACCGAGACGCTGCAGTATCTCACGCTCGACGAGGCGATCCAGGACTTCGTGCATTTCGCGCGAACAGCCAAGCTACCTTGGGACGACGAGGGAACCGAGAACGCGCCCAATGTGCCGTGGGTATTTGCAGGAGGATCTTACGCCGGTGCTCTCTCGGCATGGACCGCCAAACTCTCACCCGGGACATTCTGGGCACACCTCGCTGCGTCTGCCGTCGTGGAGATCACCGGAGACTTCTGGCAGTATTTCCTGCCTGTCCAGCAGGGCATGCCCGCGAACTGCAGTAAAGACGTATCCCTCGTCGTCGACCACGTCGACGCCATCGGCACGAACGGCACGGAAGAAGAACAATACGCGCTGAAAGATCTCTTCGGCCTAGCTGGAGTCATTCACTTCGATGACTTTGCATCCGCGCTGACGAACGCGCTGTGGCTGTGGCAGGGGAACCAGCTCTTCAAAGACACCGGGTTCTGGGCGTTCTGCGATGCCGTTGAGAATGTCACTCCTAATGCTACGGATGTTCCTGGCGTGGAGGGCGTTGGCGCGGAGAAAGCGCTTGCGGGATATGCGGACTACTTCAATACTACGATTTTGCCAGGCTTCTGTGAGGGGTTCAAGTACTACCAAGGCGAGAGGAATGTGGACTGTTTCGATACGTATAATGCGTCGAGCCCGATGTTCTCGGATACGAGTATCAGCAATACGTATCTTCGACAGTGGGTCTGGATGACTTGTAAGTTTCTCCCCTTCTTGCACTTAGTTTTGACACTGGTCTTCTACTCCAGCGATGAGATATCGACCGAATGCTCTTTCCCATATCGTCACGTCTGTTCATCACAACTAACGAGCCCTCAGGCAACGAGCCCTTCGGCTACTGGCAAAGCGGCGCCCCTCGTGACCGCCCAACAATCGTCTCTCGCTTCTCCAGCTACGACTGGTGGGTCCGCCAATGCGATTTGTACTTCCCACCGGTAAACGGCTACACCGTCGGTATCTCCACTGGCCGCACCTACGAAGCCATCAACGCCAAGACCGACGGCTGGTTCAATACGGATATCCCACGCTTATTCTACGGCAATGGAGGCAACGATCCGTGGAGAGAGGCGACGGTGAGTGCGCAACTGAGGCCTGGTGGGCCGTACAAGGGAGAGAACAGGAGTAGGGTGGAGGTCATTCCGAAGGGTTTTCATTCGAGTGATACGTATGGGGTGTTGAGCTTTGTGGATGAGGATGCGAAGAGGGTTATCTTGGAGGAGATCAGGCAGGTGAAGGAATGGGTGGATGAGTTTCCGGGGAAGGGGGAGGAGTGGCCGATGTAAGAAAGACGGAAGTAGTGAGTTGGTGAGTCAACGACACAGTCGCGACGTAATTGTCGTGCCACTCTACTTTTCGTGTCTCGAATTCTTCATCGATTGGAGAATGTGGAAAGAGCTCTCGACGATGTATGATGTCAGCGGCAGCTTCGCATCGGCGCTAATGCAGGCCAGACGCTCGCTTGTCTAGCCTTGTTCAGATGCGATGCCCAATGACAGCGCCGTCTGCTAGGATGAGCTCATCCAATGAAGGCGCAGCTCCGCCGGGGTGGAATTGGACCGGACGTGCATTGCGCAGCCATCGACGTCTCTCACTTCTGCTGCTTCCGGAAGGTTGAGATGGCGCGCTCTCGAATGTCTCGGCCGGACCACGTGCGTTCTGCATCCATGATCCGATCTGGCTTCGTTCGGTGCTGCTGCGAAGATGTGCCGCTCCCCTCGGCGGGGGAAGCGGAGCTCGGTGGAACGAGTTGCTTCCTGAAACCCAACGCCAGTTAATCCAGGAATCACGCCCCCGCAGCGCAGTATTGATGTACTCAATCACCTCCCTCGTCTGGCACATGTACTCCGCACCGTATAGCTTACCCTGCATCTTCGGCGCGTACCCGCATGGTCGTTGCCTGATGAGCCTATCGATGTTGGCCTTCGAGTTTCCAGATTGAGGTGGGCTGGGGGCCAGCGCCGGGGCAACATTGATTGATCGACGGGCCGGCTATGCACTGCTTGGCCCGAACCATATCGTAAGCGTCTGCTTTGGTAGAGACGGTTTATTGATGATTACTGCATTGCCAGCACGTCGTGTAGAATGCAGTCAGATGGTGGGCAGAGTCATCATTGCTGATAGCTACTGTTCGCACCCTCGACATAAGCGACATGCGCATCATCGACGAGCCTGAGGATGGAGACAGACGCAGCATTGTTGAGTGTGCCACCGCGGCTTCGGCTGCCAGGGAAGTGGCGAGAGCATGATCGATAAACGGGGGGATGTTTCTCATGCGTCGGCTTGGAGAAACAACAACGGCCGGTGACAGGTGCGGGTCGCTCATGCCTCAGGCGACGGGTGTTCGCTACGACGTGTGCTACCGTCTCTGTAGACGACGAGAACGCGGTCAAAGACACCGATACAAGCGATGAGGCTGTACGCGCCGAGATGCAGCATCGAGGCGTGCTGCCTTTATCTGCATCGTCGTGGACGCGAGGCTTGTTAGCATTGGCCGTGGCAGGCGGTGCTCCGCGCTTTCCCACTTCCCTGCCGCCCCCAGCATCAAACCATCAAGAGTGCCCGCTGCCCCTGTCACGCTGCTCCCGCCTGCTTTCCTTCCTTTGTACCTGTGTTGCTCGCCCCGCGCAGTCCTCGCCGTGCGACTTTCATCTGCCCTCAATGTGCGTTTGTTGAATCAACGTCGGGCTACCTTCTTCGCCTGCATCGCTTTCGTCACTCCTTTGTCCGCCTGCATCCACCGCCTAGCTCCACTGCCCAAAGCATCCGGTCCAACTAGAGCTGTCAGTCATGGCTGAGTACGTTGTCCCACAGCATCCGCAATTAAACTCTGCACTTTGCGGAGTTTCGAAACCCATCGCATGGCAGTTGCCGCAGCCCTCGTAGCCAGCGCACCGCTTACATATTGCTTTGTTAGGTTCATTCATGTTGCCCCGTGGGTACACACGGGAGGCAACTCTGGCACCGTAACCCCGTCCCGCCTGAAGACCTTGAGCCCTCCGGCGAACAAAACCGTCACAAAATCTATATCCTCGCCGCAACTTAAGAAGTTCGCCAAACCTCTATTCGAGCGCTCCGACAGCGAAGTCCTCAACACGATACCGGATCCTCGGGCGGCAACGCCAGTACCGGCTATAACGCGCAACAACTCGACCGACTCCACCATGCACCCCGATCTCAGCCAGGAAGTCGCTACCCTGAGCACAAAGCTGATCGATGCGATCAATCACCAGACCAAGCTGGATGACAGCCTGCAGCAAACGCGCCATGAGCTGGACAAGGCAAGGACAAGGCTGGCGCAGTTGGAGCTGCAGGTCAAGGTTCATGAGCAAAAGGTCGCGCAAGGTCTGCTGGTAGAGAAGGAGGTCTACGACAAGATGGAGAAACAAATGTCAAGCGAACTCAGCGATGAGAGGCGGAGGCGGATAGAGGCGGAAAAGGCGAAGAGGAAAACCGATAACGAGGTCGAGACTTTGACGACGGCGCTTTTCGAGGAAGCCAACGGGGTAAGTCTTGGAATATGATACCCGTGTTCAACAGAAAGCTGATCGTTAGTGTAGATGGTATCGGCCGCACGGAAAGAAACCGAGGCGTCCGAAAAGCGCAACGACCAGCTCAAGCAGCAGCTCAACGATGCGGAAGTCCTCCAGAGCTCGATGCAAGAGCAACTGCAGGACCTCAAAGGTGTCTTGGAAAGGATGAGCGCACATGGCGACGACGAGAGCAACACTCTGGCGACGACCACCGCGCCATCAACGCCTGGCATCACACCTGCGGACAAGATGAGCAAAATGTTCGACACAAACGGCCAACCACCGAACACACCTGGTTCTGACGAAATCTCTCCCAATCATCCTCTTCACTTCACGCACCTTGTCCACCCGGTTCTTCGATCTGATCTCACATCGATCAAGGAATTCCAGGAGATGCTTAAGATCAGCTCTCGATCTGCGCCCAACAGCCGTGTCTCAAGTGGCAACTACAGCAGTCTCAACGTGCTAGGACTAGGATCTCTGACCAACAACTCTACCAGTTCTCTTCCCCTCTCAAAGTCGCCCAACTCCGTAGGCGCCAACTCGCCGCGGGAGTCTCTTGCTGGCGCAGCTAATCTCAAGGACGAGAAGTTCTACAAGCGATCTTTGTCCGAGGACATTGAGCCTACACTGCGTCTTGACATCGCTCCCGGACTCTCTTGGATGGCACGTCGCACAGTCTTGAATAGTATCACAGCTGGCTCGTTTGTAGTCGAGCCGGCTCCTCCTCCACCCAAATTCCGAGGGGCAATCTTCCCCTGCTCCCTGTGTGGGGAGGTCAGGAAAGGCGATGAATATGCTAGGAAGTTTAGGTTCAAGTCGTCCGAGAGTGACGACACGCGTCATCCACTGTGCGATTGGTGTCTCGGAAAGGTTCGGAGCACCTGTGACTACATCAGCTTCCTGCGGATGGTCGCTGCGGGACATTGGAGGGCGGAGAGCGAAGAAGAGAAGAAGGCGGCTTGGGAAGAGAGCGTCCGTTTACGAGAGCGTATGTTCTGGTCTCGGATCGGCGGTGGTGTGATCCCAGCATTTGTTGCCAGCCGAGATAGTCCGCGAAGCCCGACGTTTGCGAACGGCACCGACACCCGAGATGTGACTCGAAAGAGTGAGGAGAGCCAGCTCTCTGATAAGCCTTTGGATTCTGCAGTTGACATGACCGAACCGACGGGTGGAGCACGAAAAAGCGAGGACGATCCATTCCAGTCGAAGGGCGAGGACAATGTGAAGAGGGTGTCCATCGGCAAGACAATCATCTCCAGCGAACCTGCCTCCGAAGAGAGTTTAACGACGGAGGAAGAGAAGAAGATTGAACAAGAAGCCGAAGCACAACTTCACGAGGAAGTCCGCAAGTCCCTAGACGTCAGGTCAGCGGAGATCAAGATGCAACAGCAACGGCCAGTTTCGATGCCGCCCTCTCCACAGCCGTTGTCGAAGAAGAAGGACGAGAGATTGAGCCTGACAATCCCTGGGGCTTTCGATTAGACTTAATCAGGTGTACGCCACTTCATCCGATTCCAACTACGACTCGGAAATTCGCCTACAAACGTTCACAGCGCAGACGCCAGCAAAATACGACTATTACGTTAATATATATTTCCGTCAGCATCACAGCACATTTATTTCTGAGAGGCATCATTACATTTCGACTCGTTGCATGACTCATAACATCACTATCCTCCGGTTCCTTGCATATACATTAAAAGGTCTTGGATTTTCTTTCCGTCTTTCGTTTTTTTTTTGTACACTACGATACCAGGAGTCACATCGGTTTTACTTCAACCATTCGGTCGCTGCGCAGACATACAATTTTCTGTAAGATATTGATAGCAGGGTTTGGGCTAGTTCTGGTATGGTAGTGCATTTCTCTAGAAGCAGAGGGACTTTGGAAAGGGTCTCTACTGCTGGAATTGGATGGAGGGTTCGGTTGGATTGAAGGATAGAGTGGGGTTGGATCGGAGTGCGAGCACTAGCAGGGCTTGTTAGGCTATATACTGCTACAAGCTGATAACACATACGCTTAACGACGTACAACTTAAGTTCTGTTCTTTCTTTGGTGTACGCTATGGATTTTGGCTGTTCGGGCGCACATCATTTGAGCATGAAAATGTCGTGCAGTTCGTGAGACTTTCTGAGGTCTCAACTGGGGTATCAAATTATGCTATTTACCATATCATCGATGACATCGTCCGTAACCCTTGATATGGAATTGAGACTGCAAGCCGGTTGTGGCACGCACCCTCAAGTCGTGTCCAGTGTCACTGCGCGTGGGCTATACTTTCGAACTGGAAGCACCTCACCATCATAACCACAATCACCTCAGGCCTTCTTTCCCTTCTTGCTCCTGTCCTTGGTATTCTTCTTCTCCTTCTTCTGCTCCGCAAAAGTGCCCGACAAGAGCTGGTTGAACATCTCGCTGCGTGTCTTCGGTTCGCCGCCGCGCTCGGGAAGGATGAGTTCCTGAGGTCTCTCGTCCTCGTTCTTTGGAGCTCTCTTTGCTATGGGTTGCTTTGACCTCGTTTTGTGCGGTTGCGCGTCGTTGCGGATGACTTTGATGTCGCTTTTCCTGCGCTTGCTGGACTTCTTGGTGTCCTTTGTGTCTTTCTTCTTCTTGTTTTCGATCTTGGACGGTTTGCTGGGTGTGGCGGCGGCGGCGGAGGCGTCTGTATCTTCGCCGTAGAAGTTTGCGTTTTCGCTGTCGACGTGGTCTTCTTCGCTGCCGACTGTATCCATGTTCACGACTTGCGCCGGGCTGTCTTGGTCCTTGTCGTCGTCGGTGTCCTCCTCCTCACCACTGCTATCGCTGTCGCTCCCCTCCTCCACCTTCCTCTTCCGCCCCAGCTCCTCCTGCACCCTACTCTCCACATCATCATCAAACTTCTTATTCACCTTCTCCGCCATCTGCCTAGCCTTCAGCGCCGCCCTCGCCCTCTCCTTTGCCAGCCTCTCCGCGCGCTCCTTATCATACTTCTCATTCCCGCTCAACCCATGCCGGATAAACCTCGCCGCCGCATCCTTGTCCAGCTTCGTGCTCGGCCCCGGCGCGCCCTTTCCTTCGCCCGCCGCCTCCGCGGCTTTTACTTTGCCGAAGTAGTTTTTCAGCCGGGCTAGTTCGGGAAATATACGGTGGGCTTTTGCGTCTGCGCCGGAGGCTTGGAGGGCGGAGAAGAGGAGGGATTCCAGGGTGTAGGCGGTGAGGATGTGGAGTTTGGCTTTGTCGAGGGTGGGGAGGGTGGAGTTGAGCTTTGGGAGGGGGAGGTGAGGATGGGGAGAGGGCATCTTCCAGGTCGTCGATTGTGGAGGCGAGGTCGTCGGTGAGGTCGGGAAGGTTGGTTTCGGGGTCCATGGTTTCGGGTTTGGGAGCGGCGGTCGCGTGGGAAGGGCGCGTTGGCTGGTACGTTTGTTGTGATTTTTCGTTGTTGTTTGGACAATATCTAAGCGAGAGGCTGTCCTGCGCGCAGCGCGTTGTTGACTTGGTCGTGTCGAGAATTAACCTACGTGAGTAAAGTTCGAGCGCAAGAAGCTGTCGAACTTTCTTAGAGCGGGCGGACCGAGCTTTTCTCCGCTCCGCAGCTAGAGCTTCGATCTGGACAACGGCATCACCATTATTCTTACTTCTTCACCAATAATTGCTGCGCCGCAAGAGCCTGTACATAGCGTCCCCTTCTTCACATATGTAATATAGTTTCAGCTTGCCAACCTGTCTTCCTTCTCGCCGTTACAATTCCTCCCAAGGCTACGGCCGAGGATACGCCACATACGAGCCCAATGCAGACCCGGTAGCCATACGAACGGCCGGGTGGCCTTTTATCAGACGAGCGCATTGAGAAAGAGCTGGCTTGGTCCTGAAAGTACAGAGCCACAGGCAAAGCTGGGGATCAAGTGCGCCTACCATTTCTTCAGACGATGCGCAAGACTAACATTCCTCAGGGCGGAGAAAGAACCTCCCTCGACTACAAACGATGCGCCGAAAATGTCTCGAAACCCTGCGGACTTCTACCGGGCGCAGCCTGTGCGGGACCGCCGCATTCACATCATGGGAATGGGCAACGTTGGATATTTCGTCGCGCACTCGCTCAAAGGAATACCGAATGCGCCACCTGTGACACTGATCTTTCACAGTCGCGATAGATTGAAGCAATGGGAAGAATCCCCTCAGAGACTGCAGTGCATCACGGACGGAGATGCAGAGAGGCGCGAAGGCTACGAGGCGGAATTGGCAATACCACGATTGAGATATCACGGCAAAGAGCTTGGGACCAATACTGGCGATCCCTTCGCGGCGGGCTCTTCTGGACAGGCAGAAGTTTCACAAGAACCTAAGCTGGCGTACGGAGAGTCTTCAGAGCCCATTAGCTCGCTCATCCTTTGCATGAAGTCGACGCAAGTTCTGTCGGCACTTTCTTCTGTGAAACATCGGCTACACAAAGAATCTGTTATCTGTTTCCTGCAGAATGGAATGGGTACGGTGGAAGAGGTGAACAAAGAGGTATTCCCAGATGTTGTGACAAGGCCGCACTACATGGTGGGCATCAACTCCCACGGTATGCACAAGACCGATGATCCATTTACGGTCGTACACGCAGGTTTTGGAACCATTTCCCTTGGAATCTTGCCCAACGAAAGGGATCGCGAGTCTGCACCGTACGCCCCTAAGACCAAGTTCGCGGCCCATTCACCTCCACAGCCCGTAGAGCCTGCTCACCCCGCCAATCCGGATCCTTCCACGCATTCCCCCAACGCAGCGGAAGCTGCATTTACCCCGAATTCCAGGTATCTTCTACGAACGCTATTACGCACACCCATTCTTTGCGCCGCAGGGTTTTCACCGCCGGACCTTCTCCAGCTGCAGCTCGAGAAGCTTGCCGTAAATTGCATTATCAACCCGCTCACCGTCATGCTCGATGCGCGAAACGGCTCTATTCTATACAATTACTCTCTCACGCGCGTCATACGATTGCTCCTCTCAGAGGTCTCTCTCGTCATACGCTCTCTCCCCGAATTGAAGTACATCCCTAACGTACAACAACGCTTTGATCCAGGGCGACTAGAGACCGTCGTAGTCGGGGTTGCAAATCGCACCCGAGACAACATTTCCAGTATGCTGGCAGATGTTAGGGCGGGTAGGCAGACGGAAATCGACTACATCAACGGCTGGATCGTGAAGAAGGGGGAAGAAATGGGCATGAAGTGCTTCATGAATTTCATGTTGATGCACATGGTGAAGGGCAAGGGCGGACTGGTACAGCTAGAGCTTGGGGAGGGCATTCCATTTGTAGTGGCCCGCCCTGGTGAGAGGGAGCTCTTCATAAAGGAAGGATTTGGTAACGATGTTCCTCTGGCGGATGTCGTACCGAGGGAGTCGTTCAAGCCAGAGGACCCTGAGAAGCCACGGTGAATTGTATAACAGAATCATATACATAAATTTAGTATTGTACAACTTCAAAGTGAACATAATCTGATGCTCCGCAGCCATGTATGTGAAGCGACGGCAGCAGCCAATCGCAGTCCGTCCGTTCCTCACGTCTGACGGAGCCTCCCTCGGCTTAACCCCGACGCCGATCATTCTCGAATCCGAGCTCCATCTACTTTTGCCATCCTCACCTAAACACTTTACTACCACCGTCAACCTCCATCACCACCGACCAATTTCACCCACTTATCACCGCCAACGCACACTCTTCCAAAATGCCTCGTCAACGTGGTGGATCTGCTCCCCCTCGCCGTCCTACGGCTGCCCCGGCCAGGCCTGCTGCTCCAGCTCCTGCGCCCGCCCGTCACTCGTCCACCGCTGCTGCTCCTCCGGCTCAGCAGCATGCGCCACCCCAGCAGGCCGCTCCTGCTCCCCAGGCGAGCCAGGGACCCGGACTCTTCGGACAGATGGCTAGCACCGCTGCGTAAGTCATATTCCCAATTCTTTGCTTCGGACCGAATGCGCATCGCCTAGGCTGTCTGTGAGGATGCGATAGCCACATTGAATGTCATCGAAGGTGAACAGGTACTAACATCCCTCCAGCGGTGTCGCAGTGGGCTCCTCCATCGGCCATGCCATCGGCGGTTTCTTCGGCGGCGGCTCCTCTGCGCCCGCCGAGGCCTCCCCCCAGAACACCGACTTCGCGCAACAGCACCAGCAGACGCAGCAGAGCCAGCCGTCCGGCCCCTGCGCTGGTGACATCAAGAACTTCAACACTTGCATGACCGAGAACCAGGGCAACTTGACCATCTGCGGGTGGTACCTGGATCAGTTGAAGGCGTGCCAGCAGGCGGCGGCCCCTTACTAGAGGTTAGAGGGTAGTGAAGAGGAAGGGGTGGCCAGAGGTTATCCGATGAAGGAATGGGAGGAAGACTTGGAACATTGCATTTGCATTTGCATTAGTGATTAAGAGCGAGAGTTAGCATGATATGTACAGTATCAATGGCATACAGTCACCACTTCCCAACAGATACTTAACTTCAGTCTTCAAGCTGGTCATGTCAACAATGCTTTCTTAGTACGAGCGAAAAGTAAGCGCCATGCCAGGGCTATCAAGACCATCCTTGGATGTATGCCTCCCGACAAGAAGGAGTCTGATGCATCATCAAGACCACATTTCTGTTGAAGACACCACGAGGGCAAAACATATTACAGCGTGTATCCGCGTGTCATCACCAATGGTTTACAATGAGTCTATCGGGGGGCGCAGGTTAGTAAGCCGGCAAGCGAGCAGGCTGCAGGGCAATTACCACTCGAGTTTGCGCGACTGCAAACCGAGGGTATCTCATCGAAATTACAATACTCTACCATTAACGATATTGCTAGCATCTGCCTCTCTGGTACTGGCTCTACGATTCTCCAAAATAGAACGTTACGCCGGTGTACACGACCACCTCGACAATGTCCGTTTGATTGTGCTCTATCAAACATGGGCGATGACCCGTGCTGGAACTCGCAGACAACTCTACGGTTTAGGTCATGGGCACTCTAATTCCCAAATCATTCTTCTCAACAAAGAGATCAACTTTTTCGCTCATTGATCCGAGTACATCACAGTTCCACCGCCAGATTGACCGCCATGGCTTCTTGACGAGTGGCCTCCATACACATGTCGCAATCTCCTATGTCTGGAGCGAGTGGCGCGAAAACCCGGATGACAGGCTTCCAGATTGGCAGGCACTCCAGGTGCGGCTCAACACACTTTTCGGAGACTCCGCATCTCAGGCTATCAGGCGAGAGACTGGCCGTGCTACTCGCTGTTGGCTTGATTGCATGTGCATCAACCAGGATTCTGCTGAAGATAAAGCATACTGGATACCACGCATGGATGAAATCTATTACGAAGCTCGATGTACGATTCTGCTGCTCCGTGTAGCATGCATGAGTTTAAGTCCGCTATTAGAGCTGAGACAGCGCCTTGATTGCCCCATGTCAGGACCGCTGACATTCAGAGACATCGCACAGATGGTACCACACAGCTGTCTACTGTGCCAGTCATGCACATCTCTGCGGTCACTCGATTCAGATCTTGAGGCGGCTGCATTGGATGCTCTGCGACGCCTTAGTGATGCTACTTGGCGTAGCCGGGCTTGGATTTTACAAGAGATATTGTTGAGTCAGAACTATTTGCTTACATGGGATGATAGTGGAGAGTGGCTATCGCTTGCCAGGGTTGGAGTTATGGCTGCAGTGCTCTTTCGACAAAACCTCCAAGAGACATGGCTTGACGAGTTCGCATCATGGTGCCGTAGACTATGGTACTTGCGTCAGAATTATGATGAAGCACAGACCTATGAGCTCTGTGATGCGAACGTCTTGCAATTGGCTTCCGGTTTAGCTGCGACAGTGCCTTCGGACAAGTACTATGCTTTGTGCGGCATACTACGACTCAAGCACGTGAAGCCAGACTCAAACCACAGCGCAGACCAGGCACTTGAGGTGATTTTGAATGCTCTAGTCGAGGAGGGCAGAATGAGCTGGTTGTATGCGGTCTTGCCGACTCCAGGTGGTGTGTTACAGATTCGAGACGGGAAAATGGCTCCATTCGTCATGACACGACTTGAAGCGCGCGTGAGCCCGAACAAACGACACAAAGCAAGAATAAAAGGAAGTGAGATTTCTCTCGAGGCTATATATGATGGTCAGATTTCGATGGTGCTGCCACTCCCTCAAGTCTTGGAGAGAGCGTTCTCCCACTTGCGAGAAACTCGCAACTTCGACTTTCCGGAAGCCATATCGTATTGTCATCTCGTACCGGATATCATCCGAAGACTATCACTCGACATAGTGGATCCGTTACTTTCTGAGCCAACTTTCAGTCGCCTGTGCAAAGCTTTGAAGGTATTAGACACAGTCAAATCGGAAGCGCGGAAAGGGTGGCTGTGTATCATGTTTCTTGGGTTTATCGATGAGTCGCTGATCCAGGAAATGTGCGAGGGTTGTGATGCGCATGATGCTTACATCATGCGATCAGCTGCTACATCACTTCAGCGGCATTTACGAAAGATTGGCGACAAGTTTGAAGTCGTTCGTTGGACTGTCAACAATGGACAGAACAACTCTACTAGGACTGCTGTGGCGCTGTCTAGCTGTCCTGTGGACGCGAGTACCTTCTCGCTGAGTGGCGACCCAGATTTAATGTTCGTCGCTCGTTTAGCAGCATCGGACAGTTTACCTGCAGAGTTTTTTGGTTCGTTGTTCCTGCTCAATGTGCGAGACACCATCGGTCCTCGTCCATCGTCAATCTTCACTGCATCGTTTTGGCGCAGCAAAGGTCCACCTGCGCCTGCTCAGTTGCTTCGCTTCATATATACGTAAAATATCTAGTCACTCGTACCATCAGGCTAAGAGACAATGAAACGCCATGACTCATGTTGAAAGGACATACCTATGGTACTTAAAGATAAATATAAGCACAATGTGGAGGTTGCCAACACTGTCTTAGTGAGTGTCCACGATTTTCTCCTCTGCACTTCCTAGGTTTGATGTCAAAGATGTCGATTAGTTGCTTTGCGTTCAGACCGAGAGAGTGATGATTGTGACCACTACCGTCATGGCACCCTTTCCATAATCACCAGACTGAAGCCTCGAGACTATAACTTCCACGACAATTCTACTGAGCGCAAAAAAAAAGCAAAAACATACAACAGTGGGTATTCGCTGCTGGTCACCCACGCAACTACTAATCCACCGGTATCCTGCTTATATATGGCTGAGCGGACGGGAAGCCTAGTTCTCAAGATCCTATGGTCGTATGTACAAACTGTTGCATAAATTCAGTTTATGTAGCAAATTTGGCACAGCTAAGCTAACTTGTACAATGTCTATGTTGGTTCACTAGAGGATCTGGTGTCTACTTAGCGTGATTCTGAAGTTTGTCCCACGTATTATTGCACTTGGGAAAGCTATGGCATTCGATAAGTGTACTCACCAAAATGGAGCGAGATTACTCGAGAAGTCATGAGCAGGATCATCCTACGTATGGCAGCACGACACGACCTGCTCCTTGTTGCCTGTGATCGATAGCCCTTGATATATTTGATTCATTTCGTAGTTTGTGTCGTATGGCTACGATCCATTACCAGCTAGGGTCGGTGTCACTAACAGAGAGCTGATTGACAGGCATCGGGTTGGAAAGTCACTCAGGGTTGCCGGTGTGACGGCAGATGATATTGGTATGCACCTTGCCTTTGTGAGAATGGATAATTTCATTCGCAGATTACCTATGGTATATATACAAGGCTTACGTTGACGGTTGAGAAGCTGAAGACGATCAAATGGAAGAATTCTGAGGATTCCACATCTGATAGAGCGGTAATCTAGATTTTCGTTCAAGGTCTCCTTTCGCCAAACTATGCATCTTCGTCCGTCTGCTGTGCCCCACGTGAAGCTTTCGAAACATTTCACACAACGATCGTTCATAAATGTTCTGATCTTCGACGGCTCATGCTCTATGATAGCTGGAAAAGTGGTGCTGAAATCTACGAACTCGGGTCGCACTCCTTATTGCTCGCTGTACTACCCTGTTCCTCATCGTATCCTTCTTCCACGTCTTCAATATACGGTTTACGGTAATTGGAATGCGGTGCGCGATCGTGTTCAGTAGGTCTGCTTCTGCCCCAATGGCTGCTCATGCCCCAGTCCCTGCTTATACCAGGCCGTTGATATGTGCTAGTCTTGTTGTCGTCGCTCTTTTCTTCATATTTCGGAGGAGATTTCTCATCACTTTCCGACAAGTGCCCCAAACTTAGTGAGCTGATTGAAGACTCGCCCACTGAGCTGTCATAATTGGGAAGCGAGGAGTGTATAGAAGGACATGGGTAGAAGCAACCATATTGAGACTGTTGCCCCAAGGCTGGCTCTTTGCCCTGAATAGTGCCACGGGACAATAAAAGGTCATGTATACCACCAGCACCTATGGAACATCCTCCCTCTTCGTTGGATTGGTCGATAAGTAACGAGAGTTCTTCATCTGAGTCGTGCATTAGTTCAGCACAGGGGATGCATCCACTCCCACGAGGACAGATTTTAACACCGTTTACTGAGCGATCCAAATCATCATTCTTTCTGAGCGATACCCAGCGTCCTGGATCGAAAGGCATTGCAAACAACCATCTGATTACACGTCGTACCAACAGCTCAGACTGTACCATCGGGCGGGAAGGTGAGAGTCCTGATTCTGAATCCGACAGAAGCCGCGTTGATGCGATATGCTTGAGAGCGTCATTATAGGCGCGAGAGCTGCGCTCAGGAGGAGCTTCACCTGAATCCGACTTTAAGTTGGCCAAACAATCAGTGGGACCTGGGTTTGTTGATGAGAATTGGAAAGTGACGTGTCGATTTCTGCGATGCCGATAGGAATGAAAGAGGTCAAATTCATGACCACTCACATTTTCGGAGTTTGTATCAGACTCTTTATCCGTTTCTATCACCAGTTTGACCTCTTCGTCCCTCGTACAGCGCAGTTGATTTTTGGTAATGTAATCCTGGTATTCATTATTCCATAATATCTTAAATTCGTCGTCATACAATCGTGCCGCATACACTAGTGGTATAGGTTCCGCGCTGCAACATGTGGGTGGCACATGTTTAGAACCAGTGATTGAGAGGGTGAATCCACGCTTAAGGCACAAAGAACACATGCGATGGCCACATCTAAGCTTCACCGTCTTAGTTGCGGGTAAGTCGTCATCCATACAGATGATACAGTCCACCCTGTGATATTAGCTGAGAACAACTTTACGATAATGGTGAAACGGACCTGGAAACCAATTCGTGAATCACCACGGTCTGTGGACGACGCGAGTCTGGCACGAAAGATACTCTCCGTCGACGAGATACGAACGCGATTGGTCGAGCTCTCTGAGTGAATTTCTGGCCTGACTTGCATGCTGCGTCATCGGAAGAGAGCTGTTGGAAAGTGCTATCAATACTGGAGGTGTCTCTCATGCTATCAATACTAGAGGTGTCTCCGTCGTTTCCAGATTCTGCAGGTGACTCCCAGTTCACAACCCCAGGGTCCGGCTTCGACCGGTCCTCCCAGCGAGTGGTCTCGAGTGGTACCTCGAAGCCAGTCCGTTCTGTGTCCGATCCGTTGGAGAATTCCTCCTCCCAGGGTTTCTTTGATCTTGGTATAGTGGGCATATCCGTTGTTGCGCGTGAGTCTCGTTTCTGTGGTGTCTGGGCATCAGATCTGCGGACTTGGCTCGAATGAATAATGTGGCTTGAGCCATCGATAGTAGGCGCAATGGTCTCGACGTCTGTGATAGCATTTGAACTATAAACCCATGATTAGATTGGGCGGGTTGGCATTGGAATTGCAACATGACTCACCACCAATACCTCATGTATGATTTAAGGCGATCGGAATGTCTTACAATGTGCTCACTGCGCACCCCAATGCTTCGAAGCTCCCTGCGGAACAGACGCCACACTTCTTTATCATCATCATCATCGTGCGTAGTGAGCTGCGATCGTGAGTCTCTGCGCTCTACGAAAGCCTTCAGCGTCGTCAAGAGCTCATGAAGTTGGTCGCCATCGACTCCGATGGCCCCGGGGAGCTCGAAATGTACTACACATTGTTAGTGTAACTTAGTTTAGCACTAGACGACCATGTTTACCATACTTTGTGTCCCTAGAGTGGGTCAATTGGATCTTCAAGGATGTTTCTCGTGTACTGCCTACCGATGATATGGTTGCTGTTCCCGCCAATATTGCCTGTTATGGCACCCTGATTCCAAGCAGATGCACCGTGGTTAGTAGCTCCAATATTCGTGGCGCTTCCTGCTTCTGCCATAACATGACGGTAAATGGGAAAGATCCCCAGAAACAGAAACCGAAACACATGCGTTTGGGCTCTGACCCAAGAAAGACAGCAGGCGGCTCAGTCGGGTACGGCAAGTGGACAACGAGGCACTGACCGGTCGATTCGGTAAAACAAATTGCATGCGTTTGTGGCACCCAGTAGTTGTGACGTACCAAAACTTCCCTGTAATATACAGGCCTATGGTTTGGCGAAAGTCGTGTTGATACGGCCTTATCAAAGCAGGGCGTCTGTACCCCGCCCGAAACAAGCTGACCGGAAATTTAATCTTGCCACATCCCAAGTCAGGGGGATGAAGCAAATTTTGAGGGGCCCAAAAGAAAGAAATTTGCCGTGAAGTTGTTTGGGTTACCTCTGCAACAAACATTGACAGACAGTATGACAGACATTTCTGGATTGGGAGAACCCCTATACACTCCTCCAAATGCGGTCATAGAGTAGGACGAAGCTTGAAACAAGGGTTTCGGGCTGCTATTGAAGCATTCTACTAACAGGAAGTCAGCATCGTGTTTGTCCACGGCCTCGGTGGCCACAGGATCAACAGTTGGACGTTCCAGCCCACGGATGAGTTCCCGAAGAAAATATTCTGGCCGAAAGACCTACTACCAAAAGTCTGCAACAACGCGCGCATCTTGTCATTCGGGTACGATTCGAGATTTGTCGACTTCTTCCCCATCTTTAGCCGCAAAACCCTTCCTGTGGGCACAACAGTGGACGATCATGGTAGTGCATTGCTACAGAGCCTGGCCGGGCTGAGGAGTACGACGTCTTCCGTGAGTATTCGCTACCAATGCTAATTCACCACAATACTGAATAGAGGATACCTAGTCCGACCGCCCAATCATCTTCATAGCGCATAGTCTGGGAGGTTTGGTCGTTGCAAGCGCTCTTGCTAGAAACCATGGAGTCAAAGAGTCAGGGAAACAGCTTGTCGATAGTACATTTGGGATAGTCTTCCTTGGCACGCCTTTCGAAGGCTCTGCGAAAGCTGGGTGGGGTCGGGCAGCCCTCCGATACGTCTCGCTCGTTGCTTCAACCAAGAAAGATGGTGTGAAGGATTTGGAAGAAAGGTCCCAGAAATTGATTGAAATCAATTCAGCGTTCTCTAAGCTGCTAAAAGACCGGGACCGAGATCGAATGAGGCAACCACTTGAGGTTGCCTGTTTCTTCGAAGAGTACCCGACCTTCGTGGCGGGGAAGGACATCGGAATAATCGTTCCGAAGAGTTCTGCTGGATCTTTAGCAGGCATAGATCCCGTACCCATATCTGCAAATCATGCCGGATTGTCTAAGTTTGCAGGAACTTTCACGAATGGATACGTGATGGTCTCCAAGCTGATAGTCGAATGGATCAATAGCTTGGGTGATGCACTCACTGAAACCACTGGCGCGGTAAAGTCAAGCCCCGTGTAAATCGACTTGAACTTGCTGACATGTGCAAAAAGAACTCTGTGGTGATGGGAGCAATTCATTATAATGCTGCTATCGATAACAACAAGGGCATTATTTCCGGAAATATATATTCGACCAAGCAAGAGGGAGTCCGTTTGGTGGGCAGCACTGTGAGTAGTGGAGTAAAAGGCGCACTGTACCAAGATTAACAGACGCATAGAATTATTATGGTGATACTTGGGGTCATTCGAAAAATGGAAGTCCAGCACGAATGTGAAGGCTAGAATGGGATACAGCCCACCGCAGCAATAAAACCCAGAAAGGAGACGAATGTTGGAACCGAGGGTAGCTGTGGGGAGCTAGGGTGCTAAACCAAATGTTTGCTTGCGACTGATTGGTTAGGTAATCTCTAGATAATACGGTCAACTCTTTCACGGGACTGGACTTAGACATGTCAATGATTTCAAGATCATGAAGCGTGCTCGGTAGCTGAGGCAGGGACAGAACCCGAAAACAAGTGTGATAACGATTTGGGAGCCAGTACATCAATCGGCCAGTGTGCTTCATCTCTGCCTGCAGTACGAAAAGACAACGATTGGGGGCTCGTGTGGGTACCACTGACTAAGACATTCCATTTTGTCAACCGCAAGACCGGTGCTAAAGAGAATGTGACTGTCGAAGAGAATGCCTATGAGCTTAGGGCTAAGAGCGAAGCTTATGGGCTCGAAGACCTCAGCCTACCTACTCCCGAGCAGACACGAGTCGCACTAGAGGCTGCATTGGAGTCTGGTCGCGAAAATGCAGTCGCGCAACTACTCACCTTCAACACGGAAGTAGTCTAACCGCTCTTAGACCGCGGGCGTTCAACAGCCATCGATTGGGTTGTGAGCTACGGAGACATCGGCTTGATGGGATTCATTCTCTCAAAACTGGCAGTCAGGGGCGAGGATCGTGTAGACGCAGCACGAGCGCTAGGCTTAGCTGTCAAATCACAGAATATTCGAGCTACAAAATATTTGCTCGGTTCTGGCGTACGTTGCGATTTCAAAGAAGGGGATCGTCCACTTCCATCCGATCCTCGTGAAGAGTCCGATGTCTGCACGCTTGGCTGGGAACCTTCAGATCCAGAAGGATTCATGCCGCCGCTCGTTCGCGCAGTGCTGCATGGTAATATCGAACATACTCAGATGCTACTCGATCATGGCGCAGACCCAAACGTTGGATATCATGATGTTAGCTGGGTTTTCCAGGTTATAACGCAATGTTTACGTGGTCCGATCGACTACCACTGTGGATGTGCCGTACAATTGGCGATGGAGCTGCAGCTCTTCGAGATGTCACGATTGCTGATCAACTACGGTGCTGACATAGGGCTTGTGTCACCGGTCTGGAATGTCCCAGGGCATGAGTGTCAAGCCGTACCGAGAGATGTATACTTGAGGGTGACGGATGCGTTGCGTCAGGTTGGGTAAAATTACCAATGCGAGGTGTGCTGACTGCTCGAATAAATGTGATGCTGACTGCGCGGGCTCCGAAAGGAACCCTAAGCTATGTTGAAGTCTTGGCTCAATTTTGAGTAGATTGTCCCTGGGAGGTTCTTAATGCGAAATTTCGAGACCCAAGTATAAAGTACGCCGGCTCAAGCCACGTATGTGTTATATCCGATCTTTGACCTAACCAACACGCTCCCCACTCATCGCCCGTAGCCCAGCTACAGTTCTGTGATAAATCGCTCTTTCGACGAAGCAGCATCCCCGATAGCTGTGAACATCCGTAGGATCTAAGACTGTACCATTTTCCTCGAGTGCCTGCACGATCTCAAGCGGTCCCAGCTCCATAGCCAACTGTATGACACGCCCAGAAACGAAATTGATGTGCTGATCGAAACCAGGCTTTAGTTCGTGGTATTCTACATTGACATCTGCCCCATGCGCAATGAGCAATCTCGTAACCTCTGTATGGACGTGTTGAACCGCGCGCACAAGCGGCGGTGTAAAACCCAAACCTCTATCGAAGATTTGACCTTCCACCTCACGGTGAGGTCTTTCGTAAGGAGGAACATTTGCATTGCGAGAATCACACTGTACACCCGCGGCAAGGAGGTTGTCGATGATCTCGACGTTTTGCTTCTCCGCAGCCAGAAACAGGGCTTGAGTGGCCGCTATGCGATCTTGGGCTTTCGCGCTGTGAGTGAGGAATGCCTGAACAAGATGTGGTTTTCCCCATATGACTGCCCATTGTAGGGGCGTCCTATGTAGGCCTGTGTGACGAAACAAAATGTTCAGGTCGATCCCATAATCTAGAAGCTGCAAAGTTGCTCGATCGTAGCCGCCTTTCATGGGCTGCTACGAGCGAATCGAGCTTTTGGTGGGCAGTCGGCGAGGTTGGCGCAATGTCGTGTGAGACGTAATCATCTCTACTACTTCGGTGGTAGGTTTCGCATCGACTAACAACCGGTTTCTCCTCTTTGGTCAGCCGATTATAGAAGTGAGGTTCTCTTTCTGTATCTTGCCACATGAGCTCCCAGTCATCATTGCGCGGAACTGTAGGATCAGAACGTTTCAGGTACGAGGTCTCGAATGGCCGTAGGTCTCCACCTGCGTATAACCATGCAGCAAACAGCTCCCGGGGCCGCTTCGTCGGACGACAATGGTGGTTTGTAAGGATAGTCCACCCCGTAATGCTTGTACAAGCTCACATTACTATCGGATACATAACCGGGCGTATAACCAGACTGTAGTATCTTCCGCCAGTCAATATCCCCAAAGAAGGGGTGCGCTTTGATTCCAGCAACTCCGTGTGTCCCAAGTCGCTTTTCAGGTTTACGTTGTAGAAGCTGCACCAAAATCTTTCGAGACGAGGAACTTAGTGTTTTAGGAAACGCAATGTCTTGCTCTAGGATGTTTTGATGTATTGTGTCGGGGTCATCACTGTAGAAAGGGGGTAATCCAGCGAGCAGTTCGTACAGGAGTATTCCCAGTGTCCACCAGTTGACGATCTTGGATCTTTGTTTCTTATTATCGCCAAGCTGTGTACTATCCTGCTCGATCAGTATTTCCGGCGGTGGGTATTCTAACCGCTCTGCAACGCTCGTTTCTTCGCTATTATCATGTCGGAGGAAGAGGTCAAAGCTACACAAGGTCACCATGGAAATCTAACATGACATCTCCAGACCCAAGCCAGTAGACAGTATCCGGAATATCATGTAGGTACTCCAGTGTACTAAGGATTTCTGCAGCGTATAGTCTGGTCGCGCTTTCATCGAAAGATCCGACCTTTTGGAGATGATGGAAAAGGCGTCCGCCGTTAATATAAGGTGCGAACAGCTGCAGCTTCTTAGGTCGTTGACAGGTGAAGGCAAGCGGCGCAACAAATGGATGCCTAATATTGCGTGCTTCCTTAGTGAAACTCTCGTGCTGTGCATATCTTAGGGTTTTTTCGGCCCATGTTGGTCGAAGTTTGCGATCGTGAGAATTCTCCCAGAGCCGCAGAACCTTCCGGGCGGGATTCAGTATTCGAAAATCAGAGGACTCAAAGTCGAAGATCTCGTGTTCAGCCGATGGCGAGTATTCTATATCGACGCGAATTCTTCCGGAACCACGTTGGAGGTTGAACCACTGCGGGCCCGAAGCGGTCACGCCGTCAAAGGGCGATACTGTGGCTACGCCCAGGAATACGTGGTGACATCTGGAACTCGAGGTAAACTCTCTCAAATGGGAGATAGCGTCAACTCAGCGGCTTGTGTAATCTTGAAGCATATTGTACTATGGGCAGATCCCCATTGAAGGCTATCGGTGGCAACCCAGTGAGCATCAACAGATACTTGCGATTTCTTGTACTCTATGACAGCGTAATATATTACACGACCATGCTGGGTTCGACCGAAGGTCTAGGAACCTTGGAGCAAGTCCTGAGATTGTTCCGGCACGGAGAAGCCTATAGCTTCATGGAGGATTACATTCAAAATGCCGTGCGGGCTGGGCATGCGGGGAAGAAGAGGCTGGCTGAGAGGAGTTGTTGATGGAAGATCCGCTGGCGAAACAGCCTGCGCTCTGAATCCTGCAGGAAGGCATCAGGTCGCACAGGTACGCATACGCATAGTGACAGATTTTAGCGCAATATGAGATAAATGGTCGACCTACTCGTGCTCAGTTTCCAACTCATCTTATAAGAACCCCAAGCTTAACTTTGGCAAGCAAATTCGATTCAAGGTATCCTATATCAGTATTTTCATCCGACAGAAGGTGGTCTGGTGACCATATGATGACAACACAGCGATGAGTATGTGTGCTCCTGTACAAAAGTTTCTTGTATATGGTACGTGTTCAAGCGTCGCAGGACGTTGAATATGACAAACGGGGAGACCATAGTGAGCAGTGCGCGGATGTCTAACACGGTCGGAGAGCACCATCTAGGTCAAGTCTTTAGCCATCCAATCATCACATACGATAATGCAGATTAAGCTCATCCAATGAGCGCACTGTGTTGCGAGCTCAAGCTTTCTCACAGGAGTCGGTAGCCGGTGTGTTCGACGGTTTTCAAAATAGCCGCTTATGGAAGGTTGACTTCGAATCCAAGTATCATTGGGAGTTGTACCAAGATTGACCCATTTGGCCCACAGCCAAGTCAACTGGTCCTGTAAGAAATTGGAGCCTATGTAGATGTGTCTAGTTAGACAATCATACCATCACTTTCCCATATAGCTGGACGTTGCTCTAAGCTTGAGAGGCATCTGGGCAACCGAGACCCCGCCCCGCAACACCAAGCATCACATCCAACTTCTCGCGTGCCCCACCAAAATAACCCACACTCGCAACCAGCCATGGCCGACGACGACCTCGAACAGGTACCTCTCCTTCCTCACCCGAGCACGCGAACCTTATTAACACGCTTAGATCCGCCGCGCGCGCCTCCAACAGCTCCGCGAGCAAGGCGGCGGCGGCGGCGCAGGAAACGGCGGCGAAGGCTCAGACCAAGACGCGCAAAGGTCCGTACCCCCATACCCTTCTCCACTCCCTTCTCTCGTTTCTAACATATTCTACAGACAGCGCGAAGCCGACCAACGCAACTCCATCCTAACACAAATCCTCACGCCCGACGCCGCCGACCGGATCGGCCGCATCCGCCTCGTCAAAGAATCCCGCGCCGCCGACATCGAGAACCGGCTCATTATGCTCGCGCGAACGGGACAACTGCGCGCCAAGGTGACGGAGGAGCAGCTCAAGGAGCTGCTGGGTGCGGTGGCAGAGCAGCAGGAGAAGGAGGAGAGTAAAATTGTGGTGAATCGGAGGGGTGGCGGCGGGTGGGATGATGACGATTTGGATGATTTGTTGAAGGATGTTTGAAATACTGATAGAAAGCTGGGGGGTTTGAGGCGCTTTGAGAGGGAATTGTGGTGCAGCTGGAACGAGAGTGAATGTTGGCATGCATTAGCAGGCGTTCAAGGCATATTCCCCATTGCGAATATCTTAGGTATGGAAAATGATTGGCTATGGCAGATGTTTCATTCCTTGGAATTTGCGCAAAAGTAGCTTCATATGCAGGGTATTCTACCATGCTAACTCGTACTGTCTTAACGCTTGAAGCCACAAGAAGAGGTTCACCCGCAGGATCGAAGCTTGGCTTTCATCATGGGTAGCTTGAATATGCTACGCCGAAGGGCCAGTTGAGGAGCGAATCTTGGGTTGATAAGCCTTCAATCCTCCTCGAGCTCCAGCTTCGCGAGCTCCTCCTCCACCGTGTCCAAGCAACCTGCACTCGCAACGACATTGCTGTCCGCCTGCACTCCCGCAAACGATATCGGCGTACCGGGCTTCTTCTCCGTCCACTCCTCACCGTTCGTCTGGTGCTTCCAGCCGTCCCGTACATGCTGCGCAGCACCGGCACCTAGCGCTCCAGTAGCTAGCGCTTTCTCTTCCAGATCCCTGAGCTCAGCGTCCTTTTTCTTGATACGATTGCGGAGGCGGAGAAGACCGGGTGCTAGATCGGGATTGTCCTGCGGGACAGCGTTGAAAGCCGCCTCCAGCTGGCTGAGCTCCTCTTGTGCTGCAAGGACTGCTTTCTTTTCGGGATTTAGCATGTCTTCTGGAATTGCATCATACTGAGAGGCAGCAGAGAGAGCGAGTGGTCCGTCAGAAGAAGGCTCAGGATTGTCGAATTTGAAATCGGGGTTGCAGAAACCCTTTGGATCTAGAATCTAGTTAGTACTCTTCTTGGGCGTCACATGTTTCATTATAGCTTACCCAGCGCTACGTCTTCGAAGAACTCTAGAACGGCCTGCTGCACGATAGATTGCGTGAAGACGCATTCGCCTACCCAGGTTTCTCCGCCACCGAAGACTGGACAGATCGGGGTGGCATCTTGGAAGCCGTCTTCCGACGTCGATTCTTTCGTAGCCGCTATAGCTAACTTTACCTCTGGGATGCTCGCGAGCGGGGTATCAGCGCGGAGACCAGCTCCTCCATCGACAGTCTCCAGCCAATTGACAGGTGATTTGGGTATAGGGGTGGAAGGCTGCTTGGAGATGTAATCCGCGGGAACAGCTTTGCACTGGGTTGGGTCGGCGCTTCCGATTTTGAAAGTCTCCCAGTGCCTAGCGCGAGTGTGGAGGAAGGCTTTTACATCTGGATTGCGGATTTGGTGGCCGCCGACAGTCGACTGCATAAAAGCCATCGCCGTGATTCGATCGGCGTAACTGTAGACTATCGAAGTATTATTACAGGCCCCAAGCTGGGAGGAACATAAGAATCACACTTACAGTTCTGGTCTAGGACTTCAATGAGCTTCTCTACACCATTTTCAATTGCCACCACGTACACCTCTGCTTCAGGCGAGACAAAGTTCCGGTTCTTGATCACCGTGTTGAAGACCGTCTTGATGTGCTCCGACGGTGTTCTGTGGCCCTCAACGCGATTCTCAACTTCGTGGATCTTCACTGGATCGTGCGTGATCGACTTTCGCGGTAAGGCAGTCCAGCTGCGCATCGAAAGCGCCTTGTTGAACTTGTGTGAGTAGAGAAGCTGGCCAGTGTTGAGAACGATCAATCCCGGGATATGCTCATCCTTCTCAATTCGTGCACCATCTCTAGCCAACTTCTCGTGGTGGTCGGGGGACGCGTCCGCCTGTGTACGATTGACTAGGCCTTTGACGAAGCTGACCACCGAACCACCATTCAGACCACCCTCGCGCTGTAGCTCACGGTACGCCAGAATCCCGAGATCCTGGTAGGTGTCGTCGTTGATGATGACGATTACACGCTTCCGCGTCTTCAACACTTCGGCAGGGGGTGCGAGGATGGGGACATGGGGTCCTATAGGCTTGCTGTTGGATCGCGTAGGCAGGTATAGCTCTTTGAGACCCAGAGCTGCTAGGCGACTCATGACCTCTCGACGCTGGCAAACTATACGGATTATCAGCGTGCACGCGTAAACGAGTTGTCGATACACATACCACGCATCGCCTCTCCACGGACTTCGTTGTGGCGTTCGTTGTTCGTATAGAAGAAGTCGAAGAAGTGCTCTGGAGCCTCGATTCTCCGAATGCAACCATTCACGTCAACGAAATATCCAAGCTTATTGAGGTCAGACTGAGAGATGGTATACAGTTAGCATTTGTAGTGCGCCTTATACGGCGTGTAGCCACTCACGGGATACTTCGCATCGGCGTCTAACGTGTTCTCCTGTCGGCGAAACATGCTGACGGTGTTCAGCCCTTGCGCTTCTTCGTTGGTGCTGGGGCCTCAGTGACAGAAGTGGGTGCGAAGGAGGAAGTAACGCTCAGGTCGTGAGTTCGTCTATATACCTTGATGACTGTTTGCTACGTCACGCTTGTTTGCAAGTGTATGGCAATGAGTGAGAGGGTCAGATGTGGAAAGCCGGGTGAGCCCAGGTGAAGGTCAACAGGGAGAGAAGGAGCGTTTGCTGGTCAGTCGCAGTATCCCATGGTGGCGCTTCAAGAGCGGTCCGTATTGGTACAATATTGTATTTACATCCATCAAACGCCACCCAATGCCAGTATCTCTTGCTAATATACACATCTCCTGCCAAAGCTTGCCCTAGTGTGTACACTGCTCCTTTCGCGTCCTTTACCAGCTTGCCTTCTTCACACCAGGGATATTTCCGGCGAGCGCGTTTATTCGGAATTGGTACTGGGATATGTCAGCGCATAGCTTTTCCGTCGCGTTTGGACTTCAGCGTACTCGACCCATCCTGAAGTCGCTGAAGACACCTCTGCCCTTGCCTCCCATTATACACCTGTTTTTGATCTGCGTGAACCTCGTGTAGCAATGCATCTGGGAAAGCTGGAGCTGTGCCTGGGCGCGGACTCGCTGTGGGAACGTCGTGTTTCGAATTATGTATCGGAGCGCTTGTCTAGAGAGCGCTGGTGGTCAGTTGCGATCATTGGTGCATGATGGCTAGGAGGCGCATACCGTTCAGGCTCGTTGGCTTCGTAGACCTTCCGCTTCGTGTGATCACGAATGTTGCGGATCTTGGAAAAGCAGCCAATGTCGAGCGTTTTCGATCGGAATTGAGACATGTTGGCGATGGCGGGCGGCTTCAATCGTTGGAAGACGGCGAATGTGCAGAAGTTGAGATGCGATGGCGATGCCAAGCCTGCTCCGAATCCTCTCCGCGCGTGGACTAATTCGGAGTGGGGCTTGATGCTCTCGCTTGCACTTTTCTGGACAATGCCCGAAGCAGCAACAACGACTTGTTGATTTCAACAAACAGAAAACAGAATGGAAGCGGAAACGAGGCCCCGGACCACACTTATGACAACGACAAAGGGCTGACCGACCGCTTTGCTTCCATCACCCTGTTCAACACGCCAAGTTGCTCCCACACGACTTTTGCCTTGTCGGGCAACCGATCTCTCGATCTACACAAACCTACCGCCAATATGTTCTCCACAGAGGACATCCTGGAGATGTACAACTTGTTTCCTCCGATCAATCGGTCTCTATCAGAAAAGTCCGAAGAACTTCCCCTACTGATCCAAACCAATAGCGGGTATGGTTTTGTTACAGCGCGCAGCTTGCACCAAGAATTTGAACGTTTGGTGGACATGGGAGCTGCCAGAATTTCTGTTTCATCCGCTAGTAACGACCTCAAAGTTGACTTCAAAGTCGTACTACAGCTGGTCAAGGGAAATCCTGTCTTGGCTTTGTTGAGCCAAGACGGCAACAGCATCGTTGCGAGACAAGAGCGAGACGCAATCGTGAAGGATATGGTGGAAGCGCTGGCCAAGGAGCTGGTACATAAGGCGAAATTCACCCAGTCACACGATCTCCACCAAGAGAGCCTCGGAAGTGTCCTCCGGATTTCGAGTATCAAAGAGATTCTCGCAGAAGATACAGACGATTACCTGCTGAGCAAAACATACTCGATCGCTTTAGTTGATGAGATCGATCAGAGGCTAAAATCAGGACTAGCCAACACAGAGTAAGCGAAGTGATCAAATCACTAGCTGAGACTGACCACTTTCAGAACAATTGAGTTGCGATCACAGTCACTTCCAGGAACGCCTCCGATATGGCTCATACGGCAAGGCCTTGACCAGATTTCACGCCTTGATGAAGAGGGAAATAATTATGTATCACAATTGTACATCGAAAAGGAGGCTGATGTGATTCGTTGCATACCTAAAAAGTCCATATTGAGCCAACGAGACGAACTCATTGCTGGGTTGCAATCAGGAGAGATCCTCTTTCTTGATCTAGGGCACTTTGGCCGAACTTTTGGAGAGACGTACCCATCGTCTCAAGCCTTGGAGAAACATTTTTCGGAGTCTCCCTCAATCACCGTCTTAGGCGCTTTCGCAATTTCTACGGCAAGGATTTCCAAAGTTGCTGGTGAGGCTGAAAGCAAGCTTGGTCATCAGGGCTACCTTGACCTGAACGTAAGTAGATTGAATTAGCCTTGTATTGTGCTCATTTTCTCGCAGGCCATTCTTCCATTTGAGGTCCCTCGCGAAATTGGGGGTGCTGTGCTAGACAGTGTGACGCAAATGATTCTAACCGCAGAATCAGACGATGGTAAATCGATTCGCCAACTCGGAAACTACCTCCTGAAAGAGGAATCATACAACATTCAGCAACAAGCACTATTGAACATCGCCAAGGCTCAAGCTGAACGACAGTGGGATCTACTCAAAGAATTACCAGACAAAGATCCCAAGTTCCAGATGGCGGAATTGCTAGCCTTGATTCCAGATGACGAACAAGTGCTACGCACCGTCGCACAGCAGAAAGATTCTGAGATCGCTGCCGCAGAACATTTTTCAAGTGAGATATCTGAACTAGAGTCGAAGAATGAGAACGACTTCTCTACGTTTTGGACTGAGAAGATGTCACCACGAGTTTACAATTATCACGAAGGCCTAAAATCCGTCGATGAGGCGAAGCTTCATGATCAACTTGCCGACCTATTCGCAAATTATCTACAGAAAGATTTGGTACCGGACGTGCTCGCAAAAGCGCGGTCACAAGGTCTGGTGCGCAGCAGAAGGACGCGCAAGAATGTCAACAGATTCGAGGCAACGTTGAAGGCGAGCAAATCCGACCTCTCTGGCATACTCTCAACGTTTGAAAAGTTCAGCAAGAAGCAAGGTCTTCCGGAAACTGGTCCAGAAGCTGCAGAAGAGGCGAAAAAGGTAGCAATACAGGACATGGTGCGACGAATGCAGAAGCCTAAGACCGATGCACCATCGATGTTCCTCAGCTTATTGGTCGTTCTTTTTGCAAAACACCATCCAGGCGTGGTCTATGCTACAGGGAAGTTCGCACCGAAGTTGCTCAAGCAGCTGAGGACGAAATTGGTAGGCGAAGAGTACGAGCAGGTGGAGAAATGGAAAGAGCAAGCGAAGGCAGGCACATTGACCAAGGAGGATAGAGATTTCATGGTACAGATGGCAGACCGAAGATTTTGATCTCTGTAAAGAATGGGTTACTCTTGTGGAAGGAGTTTTCAAAGATCCTCTTCACTGAGAAGATGAGGGGTTTGAAGGTCGTAGCCATTACTGAACGTATACCACCTGATACCCCCGAAAGATCTATACTGGCACTTCAAACGCCCAGATTAATGCGATGGTAAACACTCCCTCAGTGTTGTTGATATAGTCAGGACCAAAAAGTTGCCCAGGACCAGGTTGGGCCTAGTTGCCGCTGACGTAATGCGATTTTCTTCACGTCGCTCTTGGGGCACGGCCCCCTCAGGATTACACCATCCTCCGGCCGATAAATCTCCACCCTCCGACGAGCCGAAAGCCCATCCGAGATTGCCATGATAAAGAGCCGCACACTCGCGGGTCAAAAAGAGTTATCCCATTATGCAGGGGCATTTCGTAGTTGAGCGTTGTTGAGTGACTTCGCTCTGGGCGAAAGATCCGCATACCCTCCTCGCAACACCATTGCAGCATCGTTATATTGACCCTCGAATACACGCGGGGTAGCAGCTTGGGCTAACCTTCATGCATGCCTCGACGTCGACGCCCGTTACGTCCGGCGGCCAAAAGTTCCCTCAATCGCTTGCCGTACTTGCACGATCTAGGCTGAGCCCGGTGCCTCCGACCATGGGTCTGAAGAGCAAGGGATGCATCTCCAGATGTCGATAATATGACCCTCGTCTTATATGCTGTAATTGTTCATCATGCGTACTTTGTTGGATTACTGAGACTCAAGATGCTCGTATGTGGAATTCGACGTTCCGGGGTCATCACCGCCATTTGCCACGGATGACAAAATCACTACAAGAGGCTGCTTAGAAAGCCGCAACGCAGGCACCGCGGAAGTACAGGGAAGGATAGGCAGGGAGAATGACGAGGCTGGATTTCGAAGCCTCGATTGCACCATTGCTGTCTCACTATTGGGCGACCCCGATCTTTGTCCCGAAGATTTTTTCGACCACAACGGTTAGCGCGGATTGCGCCATACTTCTTCACTATGAGACCTTCGCGCCATTGTATATTTACGAAAGCCGATGACGGAGCCGAAATGTGTTCCCTCGCACCATTGCTTCTCTGCTCTCTCTTCTCAACCGCTGTGCTCGACTACTTCCTGCCTTGCACTTTATCCCGGCCCAGAAAGCCACCGTAAAGGTTCAAGAGCACTCAACATTTGCACCCGGCGCCCTCACTTGTGGGGTCTCTCTAGCGGCCTTCTCGCCCCCTCAAAACGATGTCTTCTTCGCTCTACTACGAGGAAGCAAACATGATCCGTGACGACGAATCTGGCTATGCCTCTGGCGAGTCTAGCCATGAGAGCCTGCCCGAGATCGTGTTCTCCAAGGCTCATCTCAAGTACCTTAACTACCAGTTGGCCCAGCTCGAGCCCCAAGGTTCGTAACACTCACCTCATGCTCATGATGCGATCATTCCTAACGCTCTGCCAGATATCCTTCGCTGGTGCATCACTTCCCTGCCCGGCCTCTACCAGTCCACTGCCTTTGGCTTGACTGGCTTAGTCACTGTGGATATGCTCTCCAAGCTTGATGGCCCTCTCAAATCCAACATTGATCTCATCTTCTACGACACGCTCTACCAGTTCCAGGAGACTCTAGACCTTGTCGAGCGGGTCCGACAGCGATATGGCAACACCATCCACGTCTACAAGCCCCGTGGATGCAACACTACGGAAGACTTCGAAGCCAAGTATGGCAAGAACTTCTGGGAAGTCAACGACGAGAAGTACGACTACGTTGCCAAGGTGGAACCGGCTGCCCGGGCCAATGCTGAGCTCAACGTCAAAGCCCTCCTTACTGGACGACGGAAGAGCCAAGGTGGCAAGCGCGGTGACCTCGACATCATCGAAGTCACCGACAGCGGTGTCATCAAGATTAACCCTCTCGCCAACTGGTCTTTCGCCCAAGTGAAGGAGTACGTCGACGCAAACAAGGTCCCATACAATGAACTCTTGGACCAGGGTTACAAGAGCGTTGGTGACTGGCACTCAACCCAGCCTGTCGCCGCTGGCGAGGATGAGCGTGCTGGCCGCTGGAAGGGAAAGAACAAGACCGAGTGCGGCATCCACAACCCCCAATCACGCTACGCCCAATTTTTGGCGCAGCAGCAGCAACAGCAAGAAGCTGAGGAGTTGGTGCAGAAGCTGCAGGAGACTGTGGTTGCATGATCGGCATGTCGTCATCGGAAAATATTCTGAGTGGTTGTTTCTTAGCATTTTAGCATTGGCGTTTCGGGCATGAGCGAACTGCATGGATGGGTCACGAACATTATTGTACTCCCCACGAGATCGAGTCAGACTGATCCTGGGTTGAGTCTTTCTTTTCAAATCAGTCACTATTTGGGCGAGTGAAATCTGAAATAAAATAAAACAATTAATAGAACATACAAATCTTATGTGGTCACTTAGCGTGTGATGTGTGAGCTTCCAAGGTTTCGCCTGCCGCTGTCGCCATTCTGGAGCCAAGGACATGGATAAAGCCCAGCTCTGCCCTCCCCATGCATCCGACAATAGAATGCAAATCGCGTGCAATTGCGCAATCGACCTAAGCAATAGCCGATCCAAAGAGCAACACCGGTTGTAGCTAGTCTAGCTACGGGAGAGTGCTATGGAGAAAGCGCGCCCCCCATAGGACCACAGAGGTATATACTTCCGTCATTCGGCACCTTCCACAGCAGAAATTTCGGGGCCCTGCTTTCCACTTATTTATAAACAACGTGTTCTTCGTGTAAACACCGTGTCATCAGACTTCCAGCCGTCCTGTGAAGTTTGCGTCAACACTCACGATCTGACCGCGCGTCCAACGAACTCCACCCACGACTTTCTTCAAACGGAAGGACAGATTGCGCAATCATCCCCAGGACTCTCGTTGTTCCTACGCATTGCTATAAATCGCAGCAACTACACCTCACACTTCCACATTATTAAACATGGCCAACCCACCCCATGGTAAGCCGACGCCAGGCGCTTGACGCGCATGCAGGCACTAATGGTACCAGGCGGTGTCCTCAAGGACCTGATCGCGCGTGATGCGCCGCGGCGCAAGGAGCTCTACGACGAGGCGGAGAAGCTTCAGGCGATTGTCCTCACCGAGAGGCAATTGTGCGACTTGGAGCTTATCCTCAACGGAGGTTTCTCGCCGCTAGAAGGTGCGTTAGGATTTGGGTTTTCTAGTGGGGTTGCGGCTACTGCCCCTCGTGTTTGCTGGGTTTGCAGCCAAACATGACTCGGGGACGGATGACGGCATATCGCACCCGCTGAACACCATCACTGACTTGTCGCGAACAGGCTTCCTGAACGAGAAGGACTACAATGGGTGAGTAGCTATGGCCGTTTTGATTCGGATGTAAGCTGACCGCAGCCCAGTGTCGTCGCGGACAACCGCCTCGCAGATGGAGCTCTCTTCTCCATGCCCATCACGCTCGACGTGTCGCAACAGACGATAGACAACCTTGGTATCAAGGCGGGAGCTAGGGTTGCGCTGCGCGACTTCCGTGATGACCGCAACCTTGCTATCATCACGGTCGACGATGTCTACAGGCCGGACAAGTATGTGCTGTGGCGAACATCTACAACAAGGAAACTGACAGCTCGACAGGCAAAAGGAGGCCAAGGAGGTCTTTGGCGGCGACCCAGAGCACCCCGCCGTCAAGTATCTCTACGAGACCGTTCAGGAGTTCTACGTCGGCGGCAAGCTTGAAGCGATCGACCGGTTAGAGCACTACGACTATGTTGGTCTGCGATGTAGGTTTCTGATGAACTCCACCATAGAAAGCTTCGCTAATACTGGCAAAAGACACCCCCGCAGAACTACGCCTTCACTTCGACAAGCTTGGCTGGTCCAAGGTCGTCGCTTTCCAGACCCGTAACCCCATGCACCGCGCTCACCGTGAGCTTACCGTCCGCGCCGCCCGCGCTCGTCAAGCCAACGTCTTGATCCACCCCGTCGTCGGTCTCACCAAGCCCGGTGACATCGACCACTTCACCCGTGTCCGCGTCTACCAGGCACTTCTTCCTCGATACCCCAATGGCATGGCCGTCCTTGGTCTGCTGCCTCTCGCTATGCGTATGGGTGGTCCTCGTGAGGCCATCTGGCACGCTATCATCCGCAAGAATCACGGTGCCACTCACTTCATTGTCGGTCGTGACCACGCTGGCCCCGGAAAGAACTCCAAGGGCGAGGAGTTCTACGGTCCTTATGATGCACAATATGCGGTCGAGAAGTACAGGGATGAGCTCGGCATTGAGGTCGTGCCCTTCCAGATGATGACCTACCTCCCCGACTCGGACGAGTACAAGCCGAAGGACGAGGTCAAGGAAGGTATCCGCACCTTGGACATCTCCGGAACGGAGCTCCGCAAGCGCCTCCGAACTGGACAGGAGATCCCCGAGTGGTTCTCCTACCCAGAGGTTGTCAGAGTCCTCCGCGAATCCCACCCCCCGCGTAGCCAGCAGGGGTTCACCATCTTCCTCACCGGTCTCACCAACTCAGGCAAAGATGCCATCGCCCGCGCTCTCAACGTCACCCTCAACCAGCAAGGCGGCCGCTCCGTCTCTCTCCTCCTCGGCGAGAACGTCCGCTCCGAGCTCTCGGGCGAGCTCGGCTTCTCCCGCGAGGACCGCGACCGCAACATCGGCCGCATCGCCTTCGTTGCCTCTGAGCTCACCAAGGCCGGTGCCGCCGTCATCGCCGCGCCCATTGCGCCCTTTGAGCAGGCTCGCCAGCACGCTAGGGAGCTCGTTGAGAAGTACGGCAGCTTCTACCTGATCCACGTCGCCACGCCGCTCGAGTACGCCGAGAAGACGGACAGGCGCGGCATCTACGCCAAGGCCCGCAACGGCGAGATCAAGGGCTTCACCGGCGTCGACGACCCGTACGAGGTGCCGCAGAAGGCCGATCTCACCGTCGACATCTCGAAGAGCAACGTCCGGACGGCGGTGCACCAGATCATCCTCCTTCTCGAGGCTGAGGGTCTGCTTGAGCAGCTATAGATGTAACGTGGTCAACGTAACGTATAAGGATTGTGCTGGAGGGTTCTTAGCACACGAAATGATGGCATGACTATTGTTACTCTTTTTCTTTCTTATTCTTTCAGGATAGACTTGGTACTGGTGTGGAGATTGGCCGGCTCCCTGTAGTGGACGTCTGGATAAGGTTCATGCATTAGGGATCGCCCCGTGCGGGGATAACTTCCCGTAGGCTAGCTAGCATAAAGCGAATCTATTCGTGAGAACCTGGCTCGAATGACAGCTTTTTTGTGGTGAAGTGATATGTGGGCTGTGGGGTTGGCGAGCACGTCAGATGAGCGAAGATGGCGACATTTGGGTGGGGCGGACGAGGCGAGGCGGGGAGGGGATGGGGGTTCAGACGGGGTTGAGGGTTTGATGTGCGAAGTTGAGGGTTTGGTATGCAACGGTAGGTCTTAAGCTGTTCTTGATCCGTGAAGTTTGTAGGACTTGAACTGGCTTGGTGAGAGGCTTGACACCAAAGAAACTTGGGACAAAGTGATGTTGTGATCTGTGAAAATGCTCCTCGATGCCTGGACGTGACCATGCGAGAGACGAAGATCTCGCTCAATGTCTTGTGCGGTGGAAATGGGGTCAATTAGCGTAAGGTTGAGCGTTCTCACGAAAGGAAGCTTAGAGTGCCTTGCTGAGAGAGTTGGCAAGATGTTATGCTATATACTTGAAAAGATGCTCCTCTGTGCATGTTGGTGAAGGTGCTGATGAGGAAACTTGGGGCTGGGGACTTGTGATCACCAGATAGGCGTGCGGCTCGTTGTTCGAAGTTGAACTCTGGGAGGGGGGCAGGTATTTCGGCTGTGTTAGATGGGGGGCCTGAGTTCCTACTGTCTGCGTGTGTTATAGTGTACGAGATTTATTTTGCGAAACTCATAGAGAAGAGGTCAGAAATTGGGAGATTGGGATTGGAGAAATCACTGTTGAAACAACCATGGGGGCTCATGGGATGACTACGATGGTAGTTCGCTATTCCTATATACATGATGCTAATAGAAGTGCCTATACGAGCAACAGCGTAGCACCGTTCAGAAATCCGAATATGGATTTGCTATCCTTGAGAGTCCGTGACCAAATTCGCAACATAATTGAGATGTACAGAGGACACTACATGTTCCTAGGAGAGAGCGTGGCTACACTAGTATATGGAAGCACTTGCCGAAATGCTCCTACTACTATCCGGGTTGACGGGCCATCCGCTTAGAGGACGCGGCTGTCGCTTCTACGCCCGGTTAATCTATGAGACGTTTGTACTTGCACGAAAAAGGAAGCAGACGGGACTACACGGCTCGACATGTTTCTGCGGCGTAGGTGGTGCTAGATCTCGTATATGCTACCATTGGGGGTAGTGTATGTATGTATGGATTGGAGTGCCGTTGTTTCGTCGTACGGCTAGTGGTGAAGAGGCTTCCACTTTGATCGTAAGGCGGAAGAAGCATTTGGCTCGACACGAAATGGGCAGCCTGGACTTTGTCGATACAAGAAGAGTTCGATCGGAACAATCCTCGATAGTAGTCGTCCAGGAAGGGCAGGCATGCTCAACCTCTTGTTTGCATCGCAGTGCGGCGTAAAACATCTCACGTACGGCCGCTTGGAGATCCTGCAGCAAGATGTACGCAAGACACGGGACATCCTTAAAATCCCTAGATCCAGGTTCGTATGAATCCTTCGATTAGTATTTGTTACCCCATAGGACCCCATCTTAAGGTCTCTGGGGTACACGACTCAGAAAGTCTAGAACACGACCATTCGCTTCCAAGTCCCAACTCCGCCGCATTCGACATTTAGCGGATGGAAGAACAGTCTGGAGTTGTGTCCTCTAGCCCTCCAGAATTAGCGCGACAATATATGTTCCTTGCGAGGTCTTCATCCGTTCTGGCTGATACTCAGCGATCATTTACCCGATCCATGCACCGACCAGGATGTTGGGCTGATAGTTGCATCTTCGCGGCAAACCACGAAAGAATGCTAGGCTTGTATCTGTTCTTGGACCGCAAACTGCGAAAGGTGGATATTGGGGTAATATGTACACCCGCGCCGCCCAGGAGCTGGGTCCTGGGTAGTGGATGTTGCGGTCCGGGGGAAACACGTGGTGCTGGAGGTGTTTAAATAGCTAGATAAAGGGAGACAGTTCCCTTGCTTCGTCCAATATTGCGCCTTGCTCGAATCGAAACGCGTCTCTGCAGATCAATACATTGATACGCGTGCAACGTGAAAGATCAACGTACTTTGTCGAATCGTCCCCGAAGCGATCGTAAAACTACCGTCAAAGTCTCACCACGATCATATCCGCTAGCTTCCGAAAGACACGATGAGGTTCATCGCAATGGTAGCATTGGCCATGGCGTCCGTTGTAGTTGCCTCGCCTGCAGCGGTACGTCTTGAAGTTCGAAAAGATATGACACCAATACTGATATCTGATGCAGACGTCCTTGGAGCGCTCAATGAAGGTCAGCCGAAATGCGGAAGGGTCCACGACTCTGACACCGTGTATCGAGTGCCCTTGCACGGGCTGGTCGTCTAGCGATTGCAAATGCGTCAGTCTACTAAATTCGTTCATTGCGCTTGTAACTAACAAAAGGGTAGATTCCCAATGGGTGCTGTTGCACTTGATTCGATGTGGCGGTTGGGACTTGTGAAAATAGACAGCTTTCTTTGAATTGTACGTTACGGCTCTTGTATTTGGGTTAACGAAGTGGGAAACATTTGGAACATGCATTGAAGATCGTCCGACGAATGCCGGTTCACTACTGTCTAAGAGCTATTGTCTTTCGTTAGCATAAGGTGGATTGATGCTGTCATTGAGGCGGGTTATGTAATCGAAGAAGTCCGCAGGACCAATGTCATCGTGATAGGAATGTTGATCAAGAGCGATGCAAATAATACTGCGAAGAAAGACTGAAGTAGGGCCGACGATTGATAACCACTCGAAGTGTCAGAGGCGTAATCGCTCGGAAAGGGCAGGCGCCTTGGCGCTTCTAGAACGCGTGTGGGTGTCGTCATTCGGCGACAACCTACGCGATCGGCCAGCTCCCACCAAACACCGAACGTCGGGATGACAGTAATTCGGATGGTCGTCCCTCGAGTCCTCGTGCGTAATACGTGAGCTGTTACAGATGCAGCTGATGGCTTTCTGCTTCTCTCTTTGATTATTGTGGTCATGCGGAGGTGCAGCTGAACACTGTGTCACTTGTCTTCGCCCTGCTATCCGCCGAGATAAGCCACTGTTGACCTTGATAACTCTTTCTATATGTTAGAACTGTACATACCACACATATCGTCTTCAAGGTCGCCATAGCTCGGCATGCCTGAGGCCGACTCCGAGCTTGTCATGTTCCTTCGTGCGTTGTCGCGAATTCTGGGTTGGGCGTACTTCTTGAGCTGGTCAGTCCTGCGATGAAGTGGCTAAATACAACGAATACTGACTGCGATAAAGGTCTGCCTCATTCTATCCGCAAGCGTTCAACAACTGGAATCGAAAGTCAACTTTGGGGCTTGCAATTGGTGAGAAGACTGTGCAGACAGACTTTCCTGCTCAAAGTGGGAGCTAAGATTTCTGTAGATTTCCCTACGCTTAACATTCTCGGCTTCACCTGGTATGAACTGCAATCTATGGCTGTATCCAAGTGCTGACGAGGATTTTTCTTGTAGCTATGCGATCAACACTGCTACTTTCATGTACTCTCCGACGATACGATCACAGTATGCCTATCGCCATCCTTCCGCGCCCGAGAACACCGTGCAATTCAACGACTTTCTGTTCGCCGCACATGGCGCTTTCATGTGCGTGATACTATACAGTCAATTCTACACATGGATCTGGGGGTTCAGGGTGGGCGCGCGACAGAAGGCATCGAAGGCAGCCCTGGGCATATTCTGGGGATGCGTGTTGGCGATACTCGTCACAGTCTGCCTTGCGCAAGTGCTAGGGAAGGATTCAGGATATGACCCCAGTGGTTGGGCCTGGATTGATGTGGTGAGTCGAAGATCAGCAGTCTCCATGCTGCAATCTGACATATCACCAGATCTATGCGCTAGGCTATGTGAAAATCATCACGGTCGTGATGAAATACATTCCTCAGGCCTGGGTCAACTTCAAGCGAAAGTCGACAGACGGATGGAGCATTTATCCGATGTTGCTCGATTTCGCGGGTGGCTGGCTTTCTCTGGCACAATTGATCCTTGATTCCTCGCTCCAAAACGACTGGAGCGGGATCACTGGCAACCCAGTTAAGTTTGGCCTTGGGAACATCACAATCGTCTTTGACATCATCTTTTTCGTCCAGCACTATATACTTTATAGGCATCCTGCGAAAAGCGCTGAAGAGGAAGAAGATTGGAGCCATGAGCGAGAGGGATTGCTTGCATAGCGCCATCGGTTAGCACAGTCTCCACCGCGGTGATTGGGTTCAATAACAGCTATGCTCGATTTGCTCCGGCTGTACAGTCCTCCGCATGCTAATGAAGTGTCATGGCGCAACTATTGAGCGGAAGCTAGCAGATGGCACCCTCGACACGCGAGTCGCCCTGACGAACGACTGTTAAATGAGAATTTCGAAGCTTGTGGTCCCCCGCTTTGCCGCGTTGAATCCTTCCTGAAACCATAATGCGCACTGGCCTCCGAACATCTGAACGTTTTCGGCGACGTACGTTCTTTGCGGCATAGCGTTCGTGCTACTGAGCGTGACGCGCACGCGTTGCGGTTAGCTCAGCATCCAAACGTGATGATCGTGTCTGTGAGACAGGGATAGCGAGTCAAGCTCGTCAGGAACTCAATGTGCAGACCCTTGCATGCTCACCATGACTCTTTCGCCCATACGTACGCATGCGCTCGGTGACTGGAACCGTATGCGACCAGCACGCGGTCTTGAGCCTCCATCGTCGAGGCACACAGATCTTCACAGGGTTGGCACGGTGCATGGAACTTCCTGCGCATCACCTCTTTTGCGGCGGATCGGTGGCTCGAAATGTGCTGTTGCATTCCACCTCTCCTGGCTCGTCTTTACATCTAACACCAGGCAGCACAGCTGATCCTTCGTGCGACATCCAGAAAATCTCCCGAAGTGACCGAAGAAACTTCGTAGCTTTGCTAGCAGACGGGATCTGATCGTATCTGCGAGTAAATCGCCGGCTAAGATCCCCAACTGCACCACACAGGCGATTAGGCGATCTGGAGACCGGTTATCTCTTTTAGGGCCTTCACCTGCACGCTGCCATCATCGACCCATTGATCGCTGTGGCGCTAAACCGTGGGTCCAGGGGGGTTCCAAAAGTCTGTTTGGACGTCTTGGGCCGAGCCGGTGTCAGTTGCGACCTTTTTGGTACGGTATGTCCCATGCGTCATGATAGTACATGGATGCAGCACACTCCATCAAGTGCGGTCAACGTCCCCTCCTCCAACTGCGGGCAACCCGAACGCAGTCTCTAGACTACAGTCTCTTGGGAGCCGCCTGTCATGCCAATGTTAACGAAGAAGAAGAACAGGCTTTCAGGTCACGGCTTCTTCTCTTCCGCCCCGGTCGTGATCTCGTCGCCGACCAGTCCTGTTAAGCTTTCTCAGCCCGGCATGGGCCATTCGCTTCCGACTAATGGGGGCGGGCATGGGGGTGGAGATCGGGATAGCGCCGCAGATGACAGCATACAAGATACAAAGGCTGCCGAACCGCTCGTGGAGGATTTAGATCAGGTTCATGCCGATGAAGAACACGCGCCTGTACAACAGTTCCAGCCCCCTCTAGGCAAGACGTCTGATTACCCTCCTGGGAGACATCAATCCCCAGGCCCATCTGAAGAAGACGCTGCTGCCGCCCCTCCACCTGATTTTACACGAAGAGGCATACACATACCCACGAGAACTAGGTAAGATCGTCGCAATATCGTCATCAGATCAACACTATATTGACACTTTTATAGTAGCAATACTGCCACACTCAAGAGACGTTTCTTCCGCTCTTCAAGTCTACCTCCAACTGAAGCTCCAACTCGAAGTGCCAGTCCTGGTCTCACTCCAATGCCTGCAACAATTGACTCTGCGTCAATGCGCGAAAGAAGCTTGCGCAGCTCAGGTGACTCCATTCAATCCTACGACACGCAAGCTTCATCTATCGCAACAAACCAATTAGGTCCCTTACAAACCAAAGGCCCACTGGAGGATCATGACCGGTTATCCCCCCTCCTTGAAGATGATCCCCAGTCCTACGAGCTCGTCGCCCCAACTGAGAACCATACCAAAAGCTTCAATTTGGAAACCCGCTCCGAGCAACTATTTTCCAGAGAGCACTTGCAAGCCATCTTTCGCGATACCCCTTCCCTCCTCCGATTCACTGCCTTCCTCAGCACAGCGCGGCCTAAATCTGTCCCCATATTGATCTATTACCTTGACGCGCTCAAAGCAATGCGAGCGATACAGTACGCAAATGCCGTAGCCGAAGCCCTGGAGCCCATTGACGGGCAAGAATTCACCGACCACCCGCCGCGATCCACGCTCAATGCGGTCCTCGAGGACAAAGCGCAGCAAGCTTTCGATATCCTTGTGCGGGAGGAGCTCCCCGCGTTCATCACCCACGTCTTCATCCAGCTCGTCAGTGTCAGCGTGCAGAAGCGCGTAACGGGTAATCTACCTCCCATATTGCGCGAAGCGAGCGAGGGTCTGGCTGAGGTGTTCTGCGTGACTGATCCCTCGAGATCGGACAACCCTATTATTTTCGCGTCGGAAGAGTTCCACCGTACAACCCAGTATGGTGTTAACTTCGCCATTGGCAGGAACTGCCGCTTTCTTCAAGGCCCGATGACGAATCGCGCCAGCGTGACGCGCCTTCACAACGCCGTCTCCGAGGGCAAGGAAGTCAGCGAGGTGTTTCTGAACTAGTACGTCTTCCTCTCGATCCTCTTCTTTTTTTTTGTCTTACAGACCTGATTGCGTTCAGTCGCCGTGACGGCTCTCCCTTCATGAACCTCCTCATGATGGCTCCGCTCCTCGATTCCCGCGGTAACCTCCGCTACTTTATCGGCGCGCAAGTCGACGTCTCAGGCCTCGTGAAGGACTGCACCGACCTCGACGCGTTCAGGCACATGCTTGATATCAAAGATGGCCGTGAGCCGCCTGACGAGGCGAAAGACGAGTTCCAGCAGTTGAGCGAGATGTTCAACATCCAGGAGCTGGACACGGTAAGGCGGCACGGCGGGAACATGCACAGAGAGACACTTGAAGAGGATGATAACATGAGCACGAGGGGTGGAAATCAGCCACCGCGGCCGAGGGTGTTGATCAAAGATATGACGAGCTACGAGGCGCCCAGTCCAGGCTTGTCTTCGAAGAGCGAGGGCAAGTTGCAGGGCGTGTATAAACATGTACAGTGGTATTGCACTTGTATCTGCACTTTACTGACGCAGCGTAGTACTTGCTCATCCGACCGGCGCCCTCGCTGCGCATCCTTTTCGTATCGCCGTCCCTTCGCGTCCCGGGCATTCTCCAGTCTCGCTTCTTAGATCGCATAGGAGGCAACACGCGCGTGCGCAACTCCGTCGCCGAAGCCCTGACCGACAGCTCGCGCGGTGTCACCGCGAAGATTCGCTGGCTCACCACCGCAACCGCGAACCTCGACGAAGGCTCACACGAAGAAGGTCGTCCTCGATGGATCCATTGCACGCCGCTGCTCGGGCAATCCGGCGCGGTGGGCGTCTGGATGGTCGTCCTCGTGGACGATGAGAAACAGCTTGGTCCAGCGCGGCGCTTCAGGCAGGCGCCACCGATACCACATGATGTGAGGAGACCACAACAGCCACAACGTCTTAAACAAATGTCGCCCGATCCCATGGGTTTTGGCACAGATAGCGAAGGAGAGCGCGAGCGCAGAGCACCGACACCGATGTATTCGATGGGCCATATGACCGGCAGCTTCCCGCGGCATATCAACAGGAATGGAGGTCCGAGCCAAGGTCCGAGCCGGCCGGAGAGTCTGAGCGACCAACGAGCAGAACCCAGTATTGCCTCTTTCGCATTGTGAAGCGCCGGCGCGCATATAAACGACACTGACATTCGTCAGGGAGCAGCAATGACAGCGCGGTAGCGGCATCGGATCGCAATCCGTGGCCCGTTCGAGGCAGTAGTATGGGAAAGCCAATGATCATACAACGCGAGTTCCTGGACGTGACGCAGGCGGGGCGTACAGAGAGATCGCGATCGCGTACTGCGTCCATCTCTTCGAGCATATTGACGCAGGATTTCGCTCCTGTTGTGCCGAGGCGGAGGGATTCATCGGGCGCAAGGGAGCAGGACGGAGGATCGTTTTTCTTGGGTTGACGGTATTCGGATGGTATGGATACTTCGGTGTAGTTTTATATCCTGTGCATTTCTTTGGGCGGTGGGTAATGTGGATCTATGAATCATTGTGTCAATAGGAGACCAGAAGGCGCGAAATGGGAGGGAGCTAGAGATGACTCACGTATGCAGCATGTCAATAACTTCTCCAAACTTTTATCCCTTCATGCCAACGTGGAGGATCAGCATGCGAGATTCTTCGCATCCTTCCCAGAGAAAATCTTCAAGTTCCTACCTTAACCTTACCACACATCCTGCGGTAACACCTCAAACTTCTCCCCATTCTCCCTCACATGGGCCCTATCCTTATCCCTACTCAGCGGCATCCGCATATCCAGCGCATCCTCGCCATCATTGTAGTAATCCTTGACCTTGCGATACACACTATACCCCATCTTGTGGTAGAGCTGCTTCCCCACGACATTGCTCTCCCTTACGAAAAGATCGACGAACCACGCGTTGGCGGCATCGCATGCCTTGGCCAGACTGTCCGACAGCGCAGTCGCGTGTCCGAGGCGGCGGGCGCGCGGGGAGACGGTGAGGGCGGTGATGTGGCCGTGCCAGGGGAGGTAATTTGGGTCGGGATTTGTGTGCGGCGAGTAGGGGTGGACTGCGGGTGGGAAGGGGGAGGATTCGAGTTTGCCGAGGACTGGAGATGGCGGTGTTAGCTTTCACTGCTGCTGATGGGAAGAGACGCATTGGGAAAGAAGGAAGGGGGAGATGGGGTATGAGGTAGATAGACGCACTGTATCCTTCGATCTCGCCGTCGATGCCTTCAATTACGCGGCATAGGTCGGGCCATTTGGTCAGGTATTCGAGGTAGAAGCCGATGTTGTAGGTTTCGGTGAAGGGGTCGAGGTTGGTCGTTGTTATGCGTAGGAGATCGGACGTGCGCATCGCGCGGATGGTCGACATAGCGGCGGTAAATGACGGTGTGGTGTCTAGCTCCGGAAGAAGACAAGAGAGCGTGGGGGTAGATAGCAGTGTAGTCCTCGAAGGAGAATTTGGTGTTGACAACATTTGGTGGGGCAGCGCGGGAGTCTCAGCCTCGCCTAAACCTACCCTCCACTAACTTCACCCGGCTTCGCTTGCATCGAGATCGTTCACTTTCATGCACCAATGTGTGGCAATTTTCGATGATAACGCTTGCTCGATTAAGTAATTCGGGTCGATTTCGCTTCGAAGTCCCTCGCGTCTGTAGTACATCGACAAGATCTACCCCAATGTTTACTTTTGTGCTCATCCTTTAAACTGCTTTTCAAATAGTCCTGAGTAGTGACGACAAAGGAGGGTTACCTCCACGAGTTAAAACCCTTGCTCTACGACCATCTGGTATCCTTCAATCCGATTGAATGGCATAGTTTTCCGCTGTCTTCGACACTTCTTGCTTTACTTGCCTGTCTAAGTAATTCACTTCAAGCGACTATCGAGATCTACACCTCAAGCGTATTCCTGCATGTCTCGTGTGAGTACCATGGCATGCCAATCCCGACACTTGTCTTCGATGGGCCGGCCTCATCGGCGGCTGCAGTCAGCCGGATTGATCTGACCGGGCGTCTTGCATAATTCCATGCAGATTTGAAACTGTAGAGCTAGAGACCGCTGTTGCAACGGACAAATATCGCCATTATATTACCGGCATAAGGGTAACTACACTTAGAGCAAGCGGTTGTAGTGATTGCTGGAGTAAGGCTTCCGTTGAGACTCACATGGATTGATCTCTACTTCATCAAGTCATACAATTATAGATCACAATGGCATATAATGTGGAGGTGTGCTTTTTCGATCTGGCTCATGAGAACGTTCGCAAGCTGTAGTGCTCCTGCGCCAATCAATGCTCTTCCTGGGTATATGCCGCTAACATGCTGTTGTATGGCACTAGGTACCGATGGCACTATGTATCGAAGATCCAAATGTTCGTATCGAATGATCATCGCCAAACCCCGCTTTTGAATCGAACTAGATGTGGAAGGACACTGCTCAAAGGCAACACTCGTGTGCCATCCATCCGGATATAACAATGCCGGGCAAGCCGCAAACTACACTGGTTGACTGGTAATGCCTTGTCGGTACTTCGTCACTTCACTAACACAGGTGCACTCACGTAACGAAATCCGAAATTGTCAAACGTTGGACTATGTTTTGCATTTCCAGCTGTGTGGAATCTAGTACCTAGTCTAGTAGCCAATATGAGGAAATTGAGGGTGTCCTGCCCAGGTGGCGTATGACCCACGAGACCAATTGCTTGACGCACTTGACAATTTCTATACGAACTTCTTCTTGTGTACAGTATGAAAAATACATGCTCAATGCCGCTCATTCGGGGTATATGCCTTTGATGCCATGCCGTGACGCTGGGGTATCGAAGTTGCAGACGCCTTCTACAAAACAAAATCTCCACAACCGCTCTCAAAGGAAAACATGCGTCGAAGAAGCAGATGCCGAGAAACCTCGCTTATCCATCGCTCCTTCCCTCCGCTGTGTTACCGCTTCCACTACTTCGCGACGAGACCGTAACCGACGTCGTGGTAGATTTCGCTCGTCTTGACCTTCTCCGCGTTCCCCAACTTCAACTTCTCCAACGTCCCCACCTTCTCCACAGCAACGACGGCCTCAATTCCGCCAGCCTCCTTTACATCTTCAACGGCCTTGACATTGGATTCCGCAATTGTCTTCATCTTAGCCTCTGTGACCGTCGTCACCTTCTCACCATCTGGCTCAGGAACGCCACGCCAGATAGACTGCCAGACCGTGCGCTCTTCGACAATCTTCACCTCTGCCTGAACCTTAGCGTCCGGATCAGGATTGCCGTACAGAATGTACTGGAAGATGTTGGGCTTTCCAACCGCCTTCGTCTCGCCAGCGAAGGTAAGCGTGCCGTAGTACGTCGTGCCGTCACGTGGACGTAGGAATCCGGGGGAGCTTGAAGAACCAAGGGCGTGGCGCGGGGATGACGGCTGTAGTCTTCTCCGTCGTGTGCACGAGAGTCTTGGTCTTGGGCTTCTCAGTAGCCTGGCCAGACTCGGGATGCGTTACATGCTCAGTGGAGTTTGGCGTGTCGTTGAAACGCGTGAGGACGTTCGCCTTGGGGACATCGAAGCGCTTCATGATGCTTGGGATGTCGTCTAGCATGCGCGTGCGGCTGCCGAGGTCGGGAACGGTGAGTGCCGACATCAGGGGCAGGGTTGCGCCCGGATTGGCTGGTGAGCAGGATGTGGATGCTGCGATGAGCGCTTCGATGTTGGGAGCGGACTTGGGGGGACCCTGGGGATTCTCGGGGAGCTCAGGAAAAGGACGAGTTACAGTGACGCCGGGGTTCACAGGCGAGAACGAGGTCATCGTCAGTGTGTCGAGGTTGATAGACTTGGGGCTATCCTGAAGAGGCTCAGGGGTCTTAGGCCGAAGCACTGCAGGGCCGCGAGGAGAAGTACTGCCAGATGCACAAATTTGGACTGCGGCGCGAGCCCGAGAGATTGCTGTACGAAACATGCTCGTGCTGGAAGTTTTACTGCGGGTATTCGACCGTGGGGTTGGGCCAAAGCAAAGTCAAGGCTGGGGTTGAGTCTGCGTGTGTAGAATTGAAACACCAGGAAAGCTATGAGCAGGAACTTATGTAGCGCAGGGTGGATTTTCGAGAAGTACTCGTGAACAGGTCTTCACCCTCACCCCTTCGGATTCGCGGTGAACGTTTTCACTATGTTGCACCGACTGTGGCTCGTGCTCTCCGTTGCGGCCCATTTCTTGTTGTCAACCATATGGCTTTCCACGTGCTTGATTGGGGCCCTTGGTCTGGACGTCATGCTACATGCAAGCTGCGGTGAGTCGGCTTTGGTGCACTGCAAAGAGAACTACGGTGCCTGCTCGTTCATATTAACACCATGTCCCCGTGTTTTTAGCTGTTGTCGGGCTCGACGCATATCAAATATCAAATGTGCTATTTCCCTTCATCATATTGACTATGTTGATTCATAGAGCGGCGGGCCCAACCCAATACACTTGACAGCTCACGGTCGAAACATTTCGAAAATACACACGCCAAGAACAAGTGGCAAGCCAGGCGAATAACCATCTCAAACATTAGGTATGTATATGCAGCAACTCGATTCGCGCGAACGCCCACCAGATACAATACGAACAGAAAGATTTGGGGTATCCAGCGCCAACCAACAAGACAATGGGGAATAATTTTCTGGCTCGCGGCCGTGTCGAAGAAACAAAAGAAATCAAATGCGAAAATATCGTACATATAAAACACAGACATTGAGAACACACAATGCAGAACAGAAGACAAGGGAAAGGAAACAGTGTATGCACGGAAGCCACCCCAACCGGAGCGAAATGGACCAACTTAATCCTCAGTCCACGTAGGAACCCACTCCTGCCCCGGGAAACTCGTAGCCCGCATGACGGGCTCATCATCTTCCTCGGCCGGCAACTCATACACCGGCCTCCTCGTACTGCCACCCCTCTCGAACCCGTTCGCACCGTTCCGAGTGCTGCCGTGCGCGCTACGCAGACTGGGCACTCTCCCCCCACCAGACACGCTACGCTCGAGTTCGCGCGCCCGCGCCCTTGCACGTTCGCGCTCCGTTCTCTCGCGCTCGGATTCAATGCGCCGCAGCTCAGCTTGCTGCAGGCGCTCTTGCCGCTCGCGTTCGTCGTTATCCAGAAGCTGGCGGCGTAGGATGTCGGCGCCCATGTCGGCGGATGAGCGCTGGGGCGAGGCGGCCATGGAGGCAGGCTGTGGGTGCTGCAAGATGCCGAGGGATGCTTGACGCTGGCGAGGCTCGAGGAGCCGGCCGCGATCAGTCACAATGTCGGGTGGTCGTGGGCGGTCCTTGTCCATGCCGTCATTAGGTACGCCGGGTCCAGAGTAGGGCGGTGGCTCGTCTGCTGGGGTAAGGTCTTCATATTCTGGTTCGCCCCGATGTGCAGGATGCACATATTCGGTCGGGGGTGGAGGCGGGTCGTAGAGTGAGTCGTGGGTATGATTTGATGCCGCGTCTTGTGAGATTGGCCGTGTCACGTGAGAGTCTGGGAAAGATGCGTTCATTGGCGTATGAGGTATCTTCGCAGGAAGGGGTGGAGGTGGCATCATTCTTGCCACAGGGTTGACCGGGCTTCTTACGCCGCCTGGATCGGGCGACATGGGCAGAGGGTAACCTGCCGGGCTAGGGCTCTGTCCAGGATGAATAGGTGCAGGCGCTATTGGAGGGCTGGGCAACTGCTGTTCTTGACGTTGCGTTCTCTGAGATTCAGCCTCATCGGTATTAGGATAAGGCTGAGGTGAGCTGCGAGGAAGCAATTCGCGAAACCCACCACTTCCTCTTTGCGGAGGATGTGTTTGCGTTGGCGCCGGCGGCGGTGGACTGGCAGATTGGTGGCTCTGTCCTGAACGAGGTGACGGTGATCGGCCAGTTCGTTCAGCATGCAACTGCTCCTGGGCAGCAAGCTGCTGTTCCATGTACTGTCGCTGGCGCGCGCGCACGATCTCCTGTTCAGTGGCTCCATGTGGTAGATCCAGATTCCAAGGGCGCTCCGACTGGACCTGCTCCGTAATACTGCTCATCCTTTGCTTCTGAGGCTTCAAATTCGTTGGTGGTGACGGACCAGTCAAAGGACCTGGCGAAGGATTGGAGATGGGGGGAAACAACAGAGTCGTTCGAGTTTTGGCGGAGATTAGGGGGGCGACGTCGTCATCGCTGATACTTGGGGTGAGATGGGTTGCATATGTGGGTCGGAATATTGCCGAGTGTAAGATTGAACATTAAGCGACTCTTCCGCGCGAGAGGGTTCGTGCTCTAAGCTAGGCGAAATAAATGCACCTGAGACTTGTGTATACGCCGCTGGGATCTGTGGGGTGTCGTACTGCGGCTCATGTAGAGGCGAGCTTACTTGCCGTTGTGAAACGTTCGGAGTTTGATCTACGGAAGGAACAGCCATCGGGGCAGATACGCTGCGAAGGTTTGGAGGTGGCTGAACTGCAACTGGCGGTGGTTGCTGTTGTGGCGGATGTGGATGGTATTGATTTGGCTGCTCTGATTGTTGTTGGATGGGCGGAAGAGGTTTGATCATCTTGAGGTCCGGCTTGAAATATTCATTAAATGCGGGCGGAACATGTCCATCTGGTCTCTGTCCTGTTTGATGGACAATGGGTGCGGGCGCCATACTTGAATGCATGGTTTGAGACGAATGGTGGGTCGATGGTCTGCTCTGTTCTTGCATGCGTTGCGCTTGCATCATTTGAGCTACCTGTCGGGTATCCATGTAGGCAGAGCCCTCTGGAGCTCCTGAAGGCTGTTGGAACTGTGGTGGTAATTGCGACGGTGTGACTTGAGCCGGATGCTGGAATCCTTGAGAAATTTGAGAGTATTGCTGAGGTAGTCCGGGAGGATGCATGCTTTGTGGTGGCATGGGCGATATGGACTGCTGTTGCATATTCTGTGGAGTAACAGGTAACCCAGCGTGCTGTTGCACGGCTTGTAGTTGCATAGGCTGCAATGGCATGCCTTGCATTCCGGGGAACGGCCTTGCCGCAGGAGGCGGACCATATTGGGTCCCACCGTACTGACGCGGATCGACAGGTTGCTGCTGCAGCCATGCTTGACCTTGCGGGACTGATTGCAGAGGCATTGCACTTGAATGCTTTTGAGCCTTGTGAGCCTTCTTCTCCTCCTTGCTCATCTTAGCCTTGATTGGAAAGGATGGACCACTCGTTGAGCTGCGGTTGAAGATGTTGCCTAAAGCGGAGAACCTCTTCTTCTTGCCGCCAGTCTCCGGTACCTCCGACGTGGAAGCTCGATAGTCCTGTGATCTTGGCGGATTTGGCATGTTCTGCAGAACATGTGGAGGAGGATGTTGCGGAGGTATGCCCTGAGAAGGTGGAGGACTTGCAGGATACCTGAGATCCAGGCGAGAGCCTGTGACCTGCACCCTTGTGCTATCTTGGCTATTCTGTGACTCTTGCCCGAAACTTTGAGGTCGATTGAACGCAGACTTCAAAGCGCTGGATCTTCGCTCCTTCACCGGAGCTATCTGCGGAGGAGTCATATCACTCACACCGGATTGAAGGGAAGCGCTACGCCTTGCATTATCTGGTGCAAGGCTCGGCTGCGGATGTACTCTCTTTTGGAGATTTTGCATCTGTTGCGGAACAGGCTGTAAAGGTTGCTGCGGTTGTGGTTGCGAGACCTGGGGTGTGTTCGAGCTGGATTTGCCCAAACCTTTGAAGACTGAGGAAAATTTGGGCCTTGAGAACTTGTCATCTTTCTTGGTTGACTGCACACCAGGTGGTGGCGAGGGCTTGAGTTCAGGTGCTTGCATCGCTTGACGTGCCATCATCTGTTGATATTCGTACTGATTCCTCGGGGCTGAAGGCGGACCTTGAGGTTGGCCCGGCACCTGAGCTTGAGCAGGGATGTTCGGTCGCGATCGAGGGTCTTGTGGAAACGGTTGACCGGGTATCCACCCCCGCATCTGCGCCTCCATCATTACTCGTGGGTCTTGAATTAATCGCGGATCAGGTGACTTTGGTGGTGAAGGCTGACCATTCAAAACCTTCGGGCTCTCGAAATGCGGTCGCTCGGAAAGGGTCGATGGTGGTGAGCTCGGCGGAGGAGACGCATTGTTGACTGGAGGCGGGGAGACATTGCTATGCGGCGAGGACTTGTTGCTTTCTCGATAGCTGCTAAGTGGTGAAACACTCTTACTCCCCGATTCACCAAGAGAGGGTTGCTCCAACAGTCGACCGTTCGATGGCATTCCGGTGTTCTGTGCTTTTGGTTTCAGAACAGGACCGTTGCGGAGCTGGCTTGTTCGCTGGACCCGCGTGTTAGGAACGCGCGGCGGGGATTGATCCTGGCTGCCTCCACCAGGCCGATTGATCTCATCTTGCGGTCTACCATTGGCATCTCGAGGGCCCCAAACAAAACTCATTGGTCGGTCATCGCTGTATCTTCCCGAACCCTCTTCCATTGGGGCTGAAAGAGGAGCGTTTTTTGCTGCGCTGGGGATAGGAGGCTGGGAAGAGGCAGCGGCTTTGGGCGGCTGCTCAGTCGCCACACGCAAGGGGCGGCCTTCTTCGTCTTTGACGTCTTTTACCACCCCGTTATGGTCGGCATACAAATCAAAATCATCGTTCTCTATTGCACTGTTGATGGTGTGGTCGGGCGCATTAGGTTCTTCCTTGATCTGCACAGGGATTGGGGAGGTCTTAGCAGACGGAATCTGCCGTTGGCGACTTGCCGCGCTACTCGGAGGACGTGATCGAGGACCGTAACTAGAGACTGGGGATAGAGACGCGTCGTCCGCCGTTACCATGGACGATATCTTCGATATGAGCGACTCGGAGCGTTTGTGAGCCCCTGCTTGCGTAAACTGCGGAAATTGTTGCGGGGCCTCCTGGGGCGTATCGGACTTGATCGGAACCACTGGTTTCGGTGCATCTGGATCTGGATCCGACATGAATGTTGGCTTTTCTTCTGAAGATGCCCTCTCTGCCTCGTCTGCCTTTGCGTTGTCGAGTTTTACGTCCGACGAAACGGGGACTGCTGGCAACGCTGCCTCGTCGTGCTCATCGAGATGCGGGCTATCGTCCGATTGCGACAATGCAGCGGTACTTTCTTGTTCCCATGATTCGAATGACGATTGCGAATGCAGATATTCCACGGCGTGAACTACACGGTATGCGCTTAGTTGTTGTGGTGGTGGCTTGGGTCGCGGGGTAGTTTTTAGTGCATCCTCGCCGCCTGTAGCCTTGTCGCGCGACGGCTGCGCCGTGTCCACGACCGTGACGATGAATGGAGTTACGTTCGCGTCAACTGTTGGCGGTGAGGGCGCATCCGGCTTTGTAGGCGTTTTTTCTTCGTCGCTGGCTGCATGCGACGAAACGGGAGAGAGATCGCCGCCTATGAGCTCTGTCTCATACGAAAAGCTACCCTTACCATTTGCAGGCGTCGCACCAGTGAGAGGCATTGGCTGGACGTCATCATCAGAGCTGTCTGAGATATCTGAAGCAAGTTTGGCCGGTGGGAGCATGGGGCTCACGTCAAGCGCGGGTCGTTGCGGATGGGCGTCGGAAGACCGTCGAAGGTAAGGTTGGCCCCCGTCTTCCTCGTGGCTGTCTAAGCGATGAGGCTTTACGAACGACAACGTAGGCGAGACCTCAGGACCAGAGCATGCTGCGCCAGCCACAGCATCGCCATTTGAGTCTGCTATAACCGGAGCTTTTCTAGAGGGAATCGATATATGGTGCAATTGCGGAGGTAGATCATCCTCGCTCTCATCTGCAGACGGCCGGGCTACAGCCTCAAAGTTGGTCTCGTGGCTCGCCGGAGCATCCTTCGGCGATGCAGGCTCGTGATGCAGTACTGAGAACTGGTCTGAAGATGAAAGCGGTGCGTGCAATTGATCCGGCGATTCCCCCAGTGACAGTGGAACAGCGTGGACCTGTACCCAACCATCATCCTGTGGTAGTTCTTGATGCCCGGTGCCAGCAGATGCAAAAGCTTCATGATGCAGCTGCGGAGGAAGATCATCCTCGCTGACGTTAGCCCTTGGCACTTCCGCGGCAGCTTGTAGCGGAGCCACCTTCTCCACACTCTCCACGACTCCACCGTCATCCAGCATTCGAGACTCATTCTTTCGGATTCCCTGATGCCCAGCAGCCACATCAGCAACGTCATCAAGCCTGTCCGTCCTACTCGCGGGTGGTTTCGCAAAAGCAGGGCTTTCTTCCACCTTCTCCATTTCCACCGCTGGTGGCGTCGAATTTCGAATAACGGACTGTAGCAACCTATGCGTCACATGTTCCGACAGGCCCTTGTCCATATCCTCCGGAATTGGGGGTATGGGTGGAACCTCGCCTTCCTGAGGAAATAGTGAAAATGCGCTCTTCGCAGGCGAAGGTAGCACGCCTAGGTATTCGGGCGTTTGAAGCTCTCCTGCCGGCGGCGTAGTTAACAGCGCGCACGGACTTGTGCTCCATGCCGCAGGCGGATGATACGATTGCGGACGACTGTGCCCAGGTGTTGAGCGCGGAGTTGATTCGATGCTCAGCATGACGATGCTACCAGGTCGGGACCTTGAGCGACCAGAACGGCGAAACGGCGAGGAAAACCGACGCCTGTGCTTCTTTTCCTCTTTCACGTTGTCCGTCGTGTCCAATGAGAGGCATCCGAGGGTGTCGAGCTCAGAGACCGTGCTGCCGATGTCCGACGGCTCTTCTGACGCTTCGCGAGACGAGGGTTCCGATTCCGAGGCCTACATCACAATCAACACATGTACTCATCATGAGGTGGGATCACATGGTTATAGAAAGATTATATTGGCCCTAATCATACAAGGAATGCGGTAACATAGTATTGAATTAGGGCCTGGGTGAAAAAGATTGGAGTGTAGATAAAGACGCCCACAGAATTAAGGAACAGCCGAGCCATGAGTCCGAGCATCTGTTGTCGTCCCCATCCACGCACCGCCAGAAGAAAATCGTGAAGTGCATCGTCGGATCATATCGCAAGGAAACAAGAAATTGACAAAACAAGAAATCATTTTTCTACCTTGTCGCTTTTGAAGCGGCTCTTGCCCTTGGCAAAGAGACCCTTCGCACCTGTCATCCCTTTACCGCTTAACAAGCCAGCTGTATGCAAGATATCTTTTCCTTTAGATTGCATTTGATGGCTGGCACTTCTCCCGCCTCCTGGGAAGGTTGGTGCAGAAGTTGGTGTTGTTGGAGTTTGCGAAGTGGATGGCCCGGCTGACTCTGCTTGGGCACTGCCTGCACCATGATGTCTTCCGAACAGTGATATGGAACCGGTGGGTCTATGGCGCATGGTCCCTGAAGTGTTCAGATTCGGCCGAGGTTGTGGGTATGGCTGTGTGGCAAGGTCTGGGTTCGCGCTCAAAGCGGTGCTCACCCAATCGCTCAGTCCATGATCAGCATGCGCCCAGTAATCACGCGTCTTGTTGTAGTTATTTATCCTCTCCACTGGGGACTTGATCTGCAGAATGTCCTTGAACCCAAGTGGTTTGTCCGACGTAGGGGATACCGCTGTAACGGGAGAACTTGCCGTAGGCTCTTCAACACCGTAAATAGGTGCGCTTATTGCAGGGTTGATGGCCGAGGCTTGCGTGGAATCATAACTGGGCCCAGATGAGTCTTTCGTGGTCATGTCTTGACTGGAGCGAACTTGGTCGGATACTGGTGAAACTTCGCGGCTGAGACGAGGCGGCAAATCCACTGCTTCAGGATTTAGGGCAGAGTTTACAACATGGAGTCCTGGAGCGGGGGACGTCGCCCGATCAGCATCGGGTTGCAATATGTTAGTAGATGGGCTCGCAGGATCCTGAGCGGGTGAACGAACGTTCAAATCGGCGTCGCTGATCGGTTCCGGCTTGATAACAGCAACGCCGTGGGTGGGCCCAAAGTAGGGAGCTGGGAAGTCGTCAAGCTCTTGTTCTTTAGCGGCCTGTTCCACAGCAGGTGCAGGAATCTTCTCTTCGCTTTCAGTCTGACTTGTAGTTTCAGGGGCTGCGGTCGGAGTCTGTGCAAGCTTGTTGGATAAGAGGCCTGAGCCGCCATCCTCCCAGCTAAAGCGTGTAGAGATAGATGGTTTTGTGGCATCTACGGGTGATTGCGTGAGAGGGTTTGCCGTGATAGCGTTGCCAGCATCAGAGCGCGTTTGCGCATCACGATCATGACCACGTTCATGTGATGGTCGTGGAGACGTACGATCGCCGTCTGCCCAGTAACTTTCATACTCGCTCGGAAATAAAGAACTTTCACGATTGACAGGTCCACTACCAGCATGCAGCGAAGCCGGGTTATGCTCTGGAGTGGAATTCGTGAGCGTCTGTTGTGGACTTAAGCTAGCGACGATTTCTTTTCGCAGTCTGTCACTCTCTTGGTCATCGGCAGCCTCATCCGTACTTAATTGAGGCAACATGACAGGTCTTCCGGGAGTTGCGCCAGCGGTAGTAGCTGAGCGTGGCTCCGGACTCTTCTCCTTTAAGGGTGGCGGAGGCGGCATTTCCTCCGACTCGGGAGAATCCTTTGCAGGAGGTGTCGGTGGTATTGTCGAAGATGACTCTTCACGGTACAACTGAAGGGGTCGCGGTAGTATGCTCCCGTGTGTCTGTTCTCGGTGTGTTCCCTCGGTGGGCGATGATCCAAGGCCAATAGATGTCTGTACAGCTTCACCGACTGCAGCGCCTGCAGCTTTGAGTGCCGCTAGCGGATCGGCTAGGGATTCTGATAGAGCATTGGTTTCCGATTTGGAAGGATCCACAGATGCGACTGAATGCTTTTCCGTGGTTGGTATTAGGTCAACTTCTTCGAGAGGCGATGTCAGATTGTTTGTAGCGGGAAGGTTCACACTGCTCAGTTCCTTGCTTGGACTGCCTGCGCTGGTAGCATATGACTCCCATTGTCCAGGTAGCTTTGGTCGAAAACTTGCCTCGCGCTCTGCTGGCGGTCTTGCGGTAAGAGTATCTCTGGTAGGACTACTGGCCTTCGTTGGAGAAACTGGTCGCGAATTGTCCTGGCTCTTCTCCCAAGACTGTAAGCTCGTACGGGATGCATTCGATTGTGTAGAGCCACGTCGAGAATGTGAAACATCTCCGAACTTGCCAGCCAGTTCCTGCACCCGACCTTTGCTTGGGGATGCTGAGCGTGACCGTGAGACAGCTTCCGCGACCGAGGTAGGGGCTTGATGAGACTCGAGAAAGGCATCTTGTGACTCTTTCTCGGCCGCGCTTAGTTCCGGATGGTCTTCGATCGAACTCCTCTTCATTGCCTCTGCAATATCTGCTTCGCGCACGTGAGCATCAGTGGGTGAAGTCATCTTCATCTCCTCCGATCGATGGCCCAGAGACGACAGCTCAGCAGTTTCTGGCTCTGGAATATGCGCCTGCGGTGTGATCGCGGGTGACCGCGCAGGACTTCCCGTAGCGTTGGGTGTGGTCAAACCGCTGCCGGGGATCGAAGGACTCGAAACATTTCGCGAATGGCCGGGTGAAGCTTTACGGGGTATTTGATGTGTGCCACTGAGCAGCGCTGCAGATGTTGGCCGGGAGACCGGAGTGCCACTCTCACTAGCTTCCTCAGCGATCACGGGTGTACTACCGTCACCACCTGCCAAGTTCCTAGCCTTGACAGCTGATGCAGCCGAGCTGGGAACTCGACTCATGATGGGACTGATACCGGAGGTACTGTCTGTGTTACTCCTCGAGACTCCGGAATCAGACTTAGAGATAGGAGTCGGTGGCACAGAGCGCTGATCATCGGGACGCGAAAACGCATTGTCTACCACGGAGCGAAGGTCACTATCGAATGTGGACGAGCCTTCCTCTACAGGTGGCAGCACCGGCTGCTGAGCGTTGGCAGCGCTCTGACCGGGCGCGGTTTCCACATATGGACGTTGCTCGTCCAAAGATGCGCGCTCCCTTTCCCTCTCTTCCGCGTGCCTTTTGTATATGTCTGCGGGCCTAACAAAAGGAAGAGGCTTTCCAGGATTGCTAGGGGCGCGATCACGAGGGGACGCGGCGGCAGGTGACTCTACCTGGCCTATGCTGCTCTTGCGCGGAGGATATCGAGCGCTAGGTGAGCCAGTTGCACTCCCGGGATCTGGTAATATGCGCGTTTGAAGCGGGGGAGGCATCGCAGACGGACTGAAGTCTCGCCGGTGCTCTGGTGTATCGCTGGTGTCGGATTGGGCACCGCTCCCCTGCCTCAGCGCGGGATGTATGTACTGTTGACTCGGTGCAGCTTGCTGCGGTTGATGCACGTGCTGCTCCGTAAAGCCCTGCGGTGGATGGCCTGTGGAACTGGAGAAGGCTCGCTGTTCCTCTCCCGCTTCGAAAGAGTTCCTATGAGCGACTCAGTAAGTAAGGGGTGGCCTGAGATTCTTCGAGGTCTTCCAGTAACGTACCTTCGCCCTAGCTGCGGCGGTCCTTGCCGCTGAGGATCTGTGAAGCTCCTGCCAGGCTGATCGAGCCGCTGACCGTATCCTCGCGCTTGCGATGCGGCATATTGAGCCGATGGAGGCGCCGGGTCTGGTTCTGACGCGCCGTATTCATCGTACTCGTCATAGTCTCCCCAGTCGTCTCCGTCGTATGCGTTCTTCTTTGCCTCGACCCATTTCTTCGTTTTCATACGATTAACATTAGTTTTAAAGGACACCGGCTGGGCGGGAAGCGGGTTCTGAGTTCGACGGTCACTAAGGGCATGTTAGCATAATGTCAAGCTCACGAAAGCTGAATTACTGGGGGAAGGGGGAATCAGGCTCTGATCATAGGTCATTTGCTTCTGTGCTTCCCTCCTTGCCCCACGCAACTGTGCTTCCCTTCGTTCCTTCCATGTCCTTCATGGAGCGAAGCTTGTTTTGAGAGCCGCACGTTGCATGTAGGAAAGAGCTCCAAGCGCGCAGTGCCACATCTGACGACAGCTAGAAGAATCTTAACTTACAGAGGCGACCTGGAAGACTCTCCCTGGAAGCGATAGGGCCCAGACATGGTGTTTATGATGATGTAGGATCACCGCGCAGAGCTACCCAGCAGCATGGCCTTCGAACTCCCAAGTTTTGGGATGACGTATGAGCAGGCGGTCGCAGACAATCCGAGAACGCGCACACGGGTATCCGTGGAAAGCGACAGTATCAATACGGTGACAGCGCAGACAGCTGCCAAGTTGAACGAGGTAACGAGGGTGATGGGTGATACTCGGCCGCAGCGGGACGCAATGTAAGGCGACAGGGGATGACGAGAGGGGCTCGGGCTGCCACGAGGTTGGGGATGGCGAGATGGGGCCACGCGCGTCGCAAACACACCAGATGGCGTAGGAAAGACTTGACTCTTGAAGTGATGAAGCGTGAAAGTCAACAGCAACGGGGCGCAATTTGCCTGAGCTGCCAACATTGTACGGCGCGGCGTCCTTAGGGCCAATCCTCAGCGCGGACTAGCCTGCACCTGCATTCAAAGACCAGCGAACCGCGCCCCGGATCCTCGTAAATCATTTCTTCTCTACAACCACTCCCACACGTCTGCGACCGTGTATATCCCTCGACGACTCGCTCGCATCCTGTCCGACCTGCCGATATTCGCTGTAGACCGACCTTTGGCGACTGTGACACTCATAGCTGATAGCAGCGGTACGACCCGAGACCTTGTGAACACGCAGCGTCTTCGACTTCAGGCAACGGAAATAGAACACGCCCACCATCGGCCTCCTGCCAGCTACCTGCGACATATACTACTTCCGGCGGCCAAGTGAAAACGTCCAGTAGTACCTGCTAAGGCATTCCAGTCCCGTGCAGGCGTGACGCCGCCTTCCCTTCGCCGCCTCCGCCGTATTCACACGCCCACATAGCATACGATGGCTGTGTCTATACAAGACCGCACGGACGAGTTCCGCTCGATCCTTGCGCAAGCACAACGGAAACAGGCGCAATCGAAAACGGGAGCGCAGCGACAGTCTCTCTTGACGGCTCAGCAGAAAGCCGAAGCGAATGGCACATCGGCACAGCGCAAGCATTCCGAGTTCCAGCGTAGTGCTCGCGATGTTGCGCGCGGCATCTCAGGCACCATGGCCAAGTTAGAGCGCCTTGCTCAACTGGCACGACGCAAGACACTTTTCGACGATCGGCCCGTCGAGATCGATGAATTGACATTCGTCATCAAGCAAGATATGGCACAGCTGTCACGACATATACAGGATCTCCAGGCCCTTACAAGCAAACAACATCCGAAAGCGAAACCCGGCGCCGACCAAGAAGGCGAGCATAACCATCAGGTGGTTGTCATGCTGAAAGACAAACTTCAAAATGTGGGTGGCAGCTTCAAGGATGTCCTCGAAGTACGGACGAAGAACATGCAGGCGTCGCGATCACGGACCGAACAATTCCTTTCAACCGCGGCATCGCACTCACAGACGGGCCTGGATCCTAGCAGAACAGATTCGCCACTTTACCAAACACCACAACGAGGACGATCACCAGGCGGCTTCCGGAATACGAACGCCGCGCAACAGGATCTTTTGTCTCTTGATCCGTCGGGGTCGTCGGCGCTGACACGCAGTGGCCCTCAATCAGACGCCCAGCTCATGCTTATGGAGGAAGCGCAAGCGCCCAACCAGTACATCCAGCAGCGTGGACACGCGATAGAATCTATAGAAAGCACCATATCAGAGCTTGGAAGTATATTCGGCCAGCTAGCCCAGATGGTGTCAGAACAAGGAGAGCAGATCCAACGCATAGATGCAAACACTGAAGATGTCGTCGACAACGTGGAGGGCGCACAGCGCGAGTTGATGAAGTACTGGAACCGCGTACAGGGCAACAGATGGCTTGTGGCCAAGATGTTTGGCGTGCTGATGATATGTACGTTGACCCCCCAAACTCGACTATCAACCTAGCTGACCAATTGCAGTCTTCCTGTTGTGGGTTCTTATTGCTGGTTAGACACTTGCATCCACTTTCCTATCAGTCATATCTATCATTTTGTGCACGGCGTTGGGATAAGAAGGACGGCATCAGCACCACTGGCTTTTCACCACGCGGAGAGTTGCGTATACTCAGTTTTACCATGTTTTCATCTGCATGTATCATTTTCCAACGCACCAAGTCTCAGAACAGAGCACTTATTCTATTTAATAGAGGCTTCTTCACCCTTGAGGCAAGTAGATTCATATCACAAGGAGACGATAATGTGCACGGTCACATGAATGAGCTCCACTTTCCTGCTTGCGAGACTGGTTACACAAGATGCCGAATGCGGCTGCGGGCTGCAGTGAGGCCCGTCCCTTGGCTGCATTGCATCTGTACGACATACCTGAAGAAGCATCGAGTTCGCTAAACCTGCGGGCCTGGGCTCATCACGAATTGTGCGTACAGGCTCGAGCGCCTGCAGGAGAACGTTGGCAGGGTACAGACCGCCTTTCGCTTTTCCGCCTGCCGTATGCACCAACCTACTCGACTACCTTGAGATATATGCCAGCACGATATACATTCACGTCTGCCACGTCGAAGCCAGAGCAGGTCGGGAGGTGCCGGCTATTTGAATCAGCGAACGACGAGCGAATGGTTATTCTGCTATCCCCCCACGTCTTCACATAACACCATCAGAAGATGCACCATTGGATGCTGGTAGTACAAAGCGCAACTCGATGTAGATTTGATATCCATGTCTCGGCTGCAGGTTGGGGGCGCGGTGAACCCCACCTTGCGTCGAGCATTTGTGCGCTCGAAGCCCTGCACCGCTAGAGCATGGAAAAGGAAGGATGCATGTTTTCGAGTCATCGCGAGGTTTCTTGCTCAAACAGACGGTCTGACATACAGGACAACATCAAAGACTGGTCCTTGTCAACCGTCGTTTGGCGTCCAGAAGCCGAGACTTAGCGGCAGCGGGAGCTTGCGTCCGAGCGACTGGGATGGCACCTTTCGAGTGACCTCATCCAGCAGTGGATGCTCATCTCCGGACGCCCCTCGATCATCTCCAAGGCCGTTGGTTTACGACTCAGGCACGGGCGTCTTATGGAAGTTTTGGCGACGGCGGACATGCACGGCCATGTTCCTGCGCGCCAGGGCGAGACTGTCCGAGTGTGTCTGGGGTCTCCAGTATAGGGATGCTTACGCACGGCAGAGCGGTGAGGGCGCTTCTGGCTCCACTGGCTGCTATCTTGGTTGACAGGAGCGCCGGTGTGGAGCTAGCGTGAATGCATCACAGCGGATGCAGGTCACGAGCACGACCTCGACGGTGCAATGTCATGGCCAACTGCGCGAGCAAGGGCGCGCGACCACGGTCAGGCTGCAAGTAGCGCACTGTGGCGGCGCGTACAGAGAGCGACGGCGGGCCATGGACCGTCCATGGCGCGGCAGCCGGCGGCGGCACGGTGCGCATCGTTCTGGAGTCTATCATGACCATCTCAACTACTGTGGCAGCCGCGGTTGAGCCCTTGTCTATTGCGGTAGTGGAGCCAGGGTCCCATTGGCCCACCACCCACTTTCGTCTTCCCACCGCACCCGTCGTCTGATCTCTCAAATCCCACACAATTGCAGCCCAAAAGGAACTCTCGAGCACCTCTCGTCACGGTGCGCGGTGGAATCGCCAACTCGCCCACCACTGCTACTCCTCCCGCCCGCGCCTACCCATTCCGATCCTCTCCCAGCCATTCTTATGAGTGCCCAGGCGCCATGACAGATGCGGAGGGCGATGATATCGCCGACCTCAAGACTGCGCCAATCTTCGACGACCGGCTCTACTTCACAGAAGCGCTTCGACTTCAAAATGGCGAAACCGAGGACCACGTCAACTCACTACTCACCGCCGCTGCGAAGGAAAGCGGCATCGAGGACCCGGATCTGTTCCTAATTCCTCGCCCCGCCGTTCTCGATATACAGGCCGCGCTATCCACCATGTCGCTACAGAGCGAGCAACGGAGCTCCGTATCTGTCCACTCAGGCGAAACACAATCGACTACCTTCACCTCGCTTCCGTCCCGTAGCTCCCGAGACAAGTCGCCTATGTCGCGCATGCCTCCCCCACTCGTCCGGGCCTCCTTCTCGCTAGACAGAAACGATGCTACATCGGAGAGCCCGCGATCACCTATGCGACATAGGCATTCCACCTCGGGATTTTCAACTTCCTTATCACTCCAGTCTAACATCGCCTCTGTGCGAGGCCAAGCTGCCAGAAAACAAAAGCGTGCATCAGCGCTGTTCTCCATGTTCAGGAAAGATTCAAGGTCAGTATAAAGATATGACTTGGTTTGAGTCTGTGTCTCACGACTTGCGCAGTACCTGTTCCTCTCGGTCCCACCACAGTCATCACTCGAAGCCACAAAGCCCAAAACTTGAATGCGGTCATTCACTTTCGAAATATGCAATCCGGGTACACGTACAAGAGGCTTTGGAAAGGAAAGATGGTGCTCCACCAGCCTGTTGTGGACAGCCGTTACCACGAGATGTATTGGGAATTGTTTTGACAAGCGCGGAAGTAGATCTAGTAGCTGAGAGCGTCTTGCCATCGCCCGACGCGACATCAATGCGTGACTCTGGATACAGTGAAAACGGGCTTTCGAATGTCGACCTGCCGCACGCTCTGTTCACGGATGTGTTCGTAAGCGAACCATCCACCTTACCAGCCACGCCAACCCACGAACCGAACGACGAAGACGAAGCTCGACTCAGGTCCGCCCTCGAAAGTGAGACCTTCCAGAACTTGAGAGTGGAACAAAAAGAACAATTTCGGCGGGTCTCGGCATTTGAGTCAAATCAGCGCAAAGCTCTATCAGCCAATCACCGACACATCTTGGAGCGCCTCGAGGCTGAGCTAGAAGCATCGAAGATCGAAAAAGCAAAACAGGTGCGTCTTGATGTTCGAAGTGGTGTCTCCAATTCTGACCATTAGTAGCACGTTCAACAGCTTGAACGACTCGACGAGTTCCAGTTAACGATGGAACACGATCTTCGCAATGCACACGCTGTTGAGACGCAAAATGTCGCGACAGCTCTAAAGTACATAGAAGCTTACTGCTCAGGACCAAACCCTGCGCATGAGGGGATTGCATATACGGTGACAGAAGAAGATCGAGGGAAACTCGAGCGCCAACGTACCACTCAGGAGAAGCTGCCCGCCAAACATGAAAGTGCTATCAACGTACTGAGAGCCAAGCAAGAGAGGGACATCAAACTAAGACTCCAAAAACAGCAGTCAGAAATGGAACAGTTGGAGGCAGACTATGAGAAAAATAAGAGTGCGCAAGAGTTACAGTACAGCAAGGACTCTAGCCAGCTAGACATGACCATTCGGACGAGAAGGCATAAGTTGGCTCGCCAATGGGATCTGAAATTCGAGATATGGAGGAGGGAATGGGAGAAAGAGAACGAATGCAAGCTATACGGCACGCTGCCGCACGAACTCTGGCCGGAATCGACAGACACGGATGTCTCTATCGATCTTTCCAGCTCTTTGGCAGTATACATCCAGGCCACTGCTTAAACGACTCCTCCTGGACACGCTTAGAAGACACCACATTACCTCGACGGTACCAAGCCCCGCATCTTCCTTTTTCGTTGCACGCAGGAGCGATGATCACTTGACCCCATCTTCGATCTTTTAGCGGTTATCCTCATTCTTCGCATGGCATGGTGTTCTCGGATCGGCAGTTGTTTCGTATTGTTTTCCAGCATCGCACATCACGGCACGGTCGATACCCTTATGCATTACCCATTTCCTATGTTATATACCCCGACCCGCGCGTCGACCCTGTTTGCTGTTGTCTTTGGTGGAAAGGGGGGAGGGGAGGGGGAAAGAACCGACGGTACATTTGCCTGCAACGATGTGCAGGGTTGAATACAACGGTATGGTATCACTGGATGTATTCAAAGGAAGAGTACCTGTACCATTCACGTCGCCAGGCTGAGGCGTAGTGCTTGCTATAGCACATACATAATACTCAAATATATAGTTAACATCATCTTCGCATGTCCACTTTGCAAAGCGATGCTTCGTGGCTTCTCGCAACTCAACCCTCCCACCGTGTGCCACCCCACTACCAGATTCCCTTGTCAAATGACATCCCCACCCATGGTACGCAAGCAGCACTACAGCACGTACCGTACCGCTCCCCACCGCATCGCCGGCTCTCCATTCTACCGCGTCGAAGCGAACGCACCCACCTACCCCACCACGCTGCGCTGGCGTCGTCAACCTCACCCAGGTACCTAGGTAGGTAGAAGTTCCACCACGTGACACCGCGCACCCGCGCACGCGTAAGTGGATCCCGAGTCGGACCCTGGCCGTTGAACACGCGGGCGACGCAGGGGCATGCAGGACGGCACGGCAAAGGAGAATTTTTGCTCCGCCCGCGAGCAAACGAGATTACGTGGGACTGGGCCGGCGTGTCTCAGGCAACACGGGCGAGGCTGATCGTAATACCTGGCGGGGTGATATGAGTAGAGTTTGGAGGTGTGTTGTGTTTATATTATTAGATATGGGTGGATAGATAGGCGGGTGGTATTTCATATTGAGGAAAGACAGGCGGGAGGGAAAGAAGTATTGTTATCAATGGTGAAGGCGGAAACAGCATAGAACAAAGATAAGCGGGAATCTAACTTCGGTAGAATTCGTGGAAAGCTGGGAGTCGATTGCGAAACAGCAGCCCAAGACACGAGCAAGGAAGAGTACGCGGGAATCTACAATTCAATTCAATTCAATTCGCGGCATAAGGTGCAAGGTATATCTGCTAGCGTAACATGCGACAGGGCAACAACATCCTCCAGCTCAGCTCTCAATGTCCGCACACAGCAGTGTCGAACACTATTACGCTCAGCGTAAACCTGGCCCGGGAAAACTCGTAGGTGAGATGACGTGTTCCAGACCAGCCGTTATGAAGGGCATCAACTCGAAACAGAAGGGGTATGCGCATACTCAGATACAAGGAGAAGTAATGCAATGTCGTCCGACCAAGAAAAAAGGTTGTCTCAGTCTTTGCCGAAGACATACGAGATGAAGTATATGGGGTATGAGGTATATCGAGTAACAAAACAGGGTACACATGAAAGATTTTGTACGGTGGTGGTGGTGTCGTTTGATAAGTCGGAGTTTCCCCGTCTGTCCATAGGGATAGGTGAGTGGCGCCGAACTCCTAGGCGTGTCTGAGAATATCGCCTCTAGTAGGGCGTGCTTCGGTGCTGGCGGGCTTCACGGCCGGCGCTGGCGGCACGACCGTTCTGCGCAGGTACTGAGAGCTGCTTGTTCGCCAGTCCATCTGACGTCGTGACTCTTCGCCCAGCGGGCACCTTCTGCAGCCGCAGTGTCCTCCAGCCCTCGTACCACTGCTCTTTGCTCGCCTCGCGGAGCTCCGCACGCCATTCGCTAAAGACACTCTCCCTCAAGCGGACAAAGTCGCAATGTTCTTCGTTGTACGGATCGGCGAAACCCCACGGAAACTTGCGACCAATGACCTCAGGCTCGTACAGATCCGGAGAGATGATGCTCAAAGGCAAGAATGGGCCTTCAGGGTCTTCTTTTTCAATAGTGGCAGACATAGCAGACGCCTTCCTGGTGTGGTTCCTCTTTGCGCTTGGCGGGGAGGTTGGAGGCGATTGTGACCCAGAGCGGTGCGACGAGCCATCAGATCCGTCGTCTGAAGATGACTTGTCGACGATCTTGTTAAGTATGTCCGAGTCTCCATCGCCTGAGCGAACATACGCATCTTCGTCGCGTTCGTCAAATTCGCCTTCGTCGTCAGTCTCGTCGAGATGAAGCGCCTCGAGCGGATCTAACTTTGCGCGCTTCAGTGTGTCCCAGACCAACTTCTTGAGGTGACGCATATGCGCAGTAGTTATTGTATCGGCTTTACTGATGACAGGGATGACCGTCGTTTTGCCCTTTAGCTCACGTAGTACGTTGATATCGAGCGTCTCGTTGAGCCCACCAACAACGTTACTGTTAGGCTTCTTCGACTCGGCGATGTTAGCGTCAAGGCGAAACGGATCCAGGATAAGGAAACAACAATGGATATGAGTGTCTCTAACCCCTGGCGCGCGGATGACCTTTTGCTCCTCGCCGAACGTGTCCTCGAACTTGGACTCCAAGAAAGAGGTAATCGCCGGCAACTGGAAATCAACTATGCTCTTTTCCAAACCCTCGGAGTCCCACAAAGTAACGCCGACGCGCTCATTGTCTACTTCCGTCTCCAGATACTGCGAAGTGAATGGCGAATCGTGCGCAACGGCTGAGGGAGGAGGAGAAGGGGTGTTCGGGCGTTTCTGTACGGGCAAGGCGAGGGCAGTGCGGAGGAACTCGATGAAGGAGGATTTGCCAGAGCTCTTGGCGCCGATGACGAGGATGCTATTGAAGTTAGTCGTAAGTACGATACAGCTGTGATGATGCTCACTTGAAGGGAGTCGGGTCCTTCCTCCTGCGCACGCGACGGGGGCTGTTGACGCCAATGGTGCTGACGGCACTGCTTGCGTAGCTGTATCGGCCGCGGTGGGTCATGCTCTCGGTGCGCGGGTAGGGATCGAAGTCCATGTACGACGACGAGGCGCCATGCATGGGCATGGGCGGTACAGGCACGTGGATGTTCGTGTTGGGCGGCATCTTTTGGTCCATCGAGGGCCTGCTGAAGTTTTGGTTGTAATTGCCCGCCCTGTTGGAGACTATGGCAATGGAATCGGGTCGTGCGTCGTCTCCACCGAAGTGGTCGATCTGGGGTAGCGGCGAGTGGTTGGGAAGGCGCGGAGGAGGCTGTCGCATCGCGGCTTCCCGCTGCCTCGCAGCTTCCCGCTCCTGGGCCAGCGCCTTCTGTTTCTTGCTCATCTTGCCTCCGGACACGCTGCGGCCACGGGAGTCACTGGAGCTCTTGCGACGTAGGAAGTTGAAGCTGGAGCGACGAGGTGCGTTTTGCGCGTCGCCGTTGCTGGGCTGGACGGCGGGTCTGGGGAGGGCAGTGGTGTCGGGGGAGCCTTCTTTGGCCGGTGTTGCCATGGTAGGTGGGCGGTGTCGCAATATGAACGGCTGGCGGGTACGCGCGCGTGTAATTGCGGTCCGAGAAAGGAGGCGTGGGACGCTGTGGGAGGCCGGGTTGCAGTGGGCAGGCTTCACGGCGCGAGCAGACGGGCGCGATTGCAAGAGATTGAAGGGGTTGGTCAAGTGCACCGCCGTTGGGCTCGTGAAATTAGCTGTTCGGGGACCGCAACGATCTTTGGCTACTGCAGGGACAAGGCTCCGGTCGACGCGCGGGCGAAAGCGAGCTCCGCAGGTAGTCGGTAGGGCTGGGGGTCCGGGGTGAAGCAATCAGTGAGGCGAGTCTGCGCAGAGGGCTGCCAGAACTCTCTGAAACAGATGACTGAACAGACGATACGGCCAAAGACGTGGACGCGACGACGCTGCGCGCTTCGTGGCACCATCGGAGGCTGGACATGAGGACCAAAACAACAGCTCAGGGGCGGGTTGCAGGGATGGCACGCCCGCTGCTCTCAGCACATCTCGAACATTGAAACCCGCCAACGGCTTGCGTGCAGTCGACTCGACGACATTCCCCATGCATGCTATAGTACTTTGCGCATCCGGGACCGCGGTGCCTTCTGTTACACTGCCACGCGGTTTGCACGCATCATTGATCAGATTACCGATAGAACAGAACGAATTGCTGGCGAAGGAACGGCAACTCCTGTGTTGCGCATGAAGCTACCGTTTCATCGCCCTGTAGGAGCTGATAGCCAATCAATGTTCATGAATTTTCTGATTGGACGGTAATTGATCAATCACCTCTCCTCTCAAAATACGCTCTCATCCTGATTAAATGAAGACCAGCTTTACCAAAGTCGTGTATATCCTTTAGCACGGTGGCTTATGTGATTATGCCTCCTCTAAGCGCAGTCTGTGTACTCGATAACAGGACGCCAGCTCGTGTGAAACCGTGGACTGTGTATGAGCTAGTATTTGGATACCAGACTTTCTTGGATCAGCCTCAGAGAGACAATATAGCACGATCCAAGCAAAGAAAGGTAGCAGGCTCCCACTTCAACTGGATCTAATTTGCGTGCATACAGAGGGAGGAATAGCTCTATATCGATTGGAAGCTTCATGTGACTCGAATATGAAGCTTTGTGTGATGGCAATCATCTCGTCGCCCCCACCCCAAGTGGTCTACTGTCATCGTGCGCTTTATGCGATCATCAAAAGCGCCGTTTGTCTCGATGTGGCTAAAGATATCTAATTCGTACGACAGCTCGATGGTGGCAGTTAGCTTAGGATTTGCTTACGCTCTGAACCAGTGGGCTTGATCGGTATAGGCAACACCATCGTAGCGTGGCGCAACACTAGCAACGGGACCTCGTTATAGGAAAGGCACAGTCGCCAACAATTTGCGTGGCTTAATCCTCCGGTACGTACAGCGGCGGGGTATTTGATGGCGTAGCGGGACGCTGCGACACCTACCTCGTACTTAAATGCAACTTCTTCTTTAAAAAAAAAACTACATCATACCATCACTTGCACAGGCACCAGACAGCACTCCTTGTGTATGCCACCACGGCATTGAAGATGTCATTACTCAGCGATCACCCGACGGCTGTGGCAGTCATTGTGCTCTTCCTTGCATGGATGGGCAAGTCTATCATACACCTCCGCCAACATCGTAGAAAGTATAGCAAATTGGTTCGTTGCGCCATTTTGGTGTCTCTGGGGGACAGCTAACGATCTGATGTAGCCTGGACCTCCGCACCACCCCGTTTTTGGTCACATGCTTTCGATAGGCAAGGTCACCAGCAAGCTTCCAAACCGCGTCCATCCACAGTCGTTTGGCACACATCTTCAGCAAGAGTACAATTTACCCTCTGTTTTCTATATGGACGTTTATCCTTTGGAAAAACTGCCTATGATAATGGTCGTTGACCCGTAAGTTCCCTTGGGATCAACTTGTACTTATTTAGTGAGATGGTGTAGAGACCTGAGTGCTGCAATTTCTGCAGATCCTATGATGCACAAGTCGCCTGTACGTATTACTACAATGCCCATTGAGATGTAGGCTCATTACGCAACACAGAGATTTCACGATTTCGTTGCTCCATTAGCAGGCCCTAAAAACATGCTGATCTCAGAGGGCGCTGTGTGGAAGCAACAACGAGCAGCCTTCAACCCTGGCTTCTCGATCCAACACGTGATGGAGCAGGTACCAAACTTCCTCAATATTTTCGAAGAGTACATAAAAGCACTTGAAGGCCATGCGGTGCGCAACGAAGTATTCCGCCTGGAAGAAGATTTGACCAAATTAACCGTCGATGTCATCGGCAAAATGGTACTCGATCACGACTTCAACTCGTTCAAAGGGGAGAACAAGTTCGTTTCGGCATTGAGGAATATCCTCAGTTGGATGGAGGATTCGCAGTCGCTCAATCCGTTCCACAGGAAGCACCCGATCCGTCCATGGGCCTTCAAGTACTACAAAAGGCAAATGGACAAATACATTGGTGACATCATCGACGAGCGCTTCGCTGCCCGCGAGACAACTGGATCATCTACGAAGAGGAAAAGAACGGGCGTCGACCTCGCGCTTCAAGCGTACCTCAAGGAAAGCGGCCAAGACATAGAGTCAGAGAATGCAAAGCTAGATCCGGCGTTCAAGAAGGACATAATCGACAACTTGTTGATTCTCGTCTTTGCCGGACACGACACTACCTCCTCTACAATCTGTTACATCTACCATGAGCTTTCCAAGCATCCCGACGCGCTTGCCAAAGCTCGCCACGAGATGGATGAAGTCTTCGGCAGCGGAATCAACGCTTTAGAACAGATTAGAGAGGATTCATATATCATCAACAAGTGCACATACGCGATCGCCGTCATCAAGGAAACGCTGCGTTTATGGCCACCAGGATCTACAGTCCGGACAGGGCGTCCGGATTACTTCATCAAAGACCCCGACACGGGGGAGATGCTACCCACAGAAGGCTGCGTAAGTACTTTCCCCATATCATTCGTGTAGTCATCAATCTAATTCCATCCAGCAAGTCTGGCCCATCCTCCACGTCATGCACCGCTCCCCCCGCATCTGGGGTCCCGACGCCAACGCCTTCAACCCCGAGCGCTTCCTCCCTCCGCACAGCGAGACCATCCCGCCAAACGCATACCGCCCCTTCGAAAAAGGCCCGCGCAATTGCATCGGGCAGGAACTTGCGCTCGTGGAGCTGCGCCTCGTGCTGGCGCTTACGATCAGGGAATACGACATCCGGGCTGCGTTTGACGAGCTGGATAAGCTGGATGGCGATGGTAGTATTTGGGCGAGTTTTGGCGCGAGTAAGTCGGGGCCGCAGGAGTGCTATGGGGATAGGATGTATCAGGTGCTTATGGCGGCGGCGAAGCCTTCGGAGGGGATGCCGGCGAGGATTAGGAGGAGGGATTGGAAGGGTGGGGCGTGATTCGGTTACGATAGAGATCTTGCTCTTGTTGGTATGCTCTGAAGGCCAGGTTTTTATGTTTGAAATGCCTAATGAACATGATGCTGGTGTCTGGGATAGTAACGGCTGATCGTCCGCTTCTCTTTTGACGTTTGCAGGGTGTGGCGAGGGACTTCGACATTGACCGGTGCGGTGGGACTGATAAGGATATATGACAAATTGCATACCAAAGAGGTTGGGACCAATAGGAAGAAGGAAGGATAGTATGAAGAGCAAGAGCGAGGAGATCCCTTTGAGTGTTGCAGGAGAACATTGCTCATCCAAGCGTCATTTCCTCGATCAAATTGACTTTAAACCTGGGCTATCTGCGTATGACCTTCTATTTCTTCGCCTATCCATCGTCTGTCCTCTGTGTATCTATTCGTCTGTTTCATCAGTTGTTCCCTTGCCCTCTCCCTCTCCTCTGCGACTTCGTCCGTCTCCTCTGTGTCTTCGTCTGTCTCCTCTGTGTCTTCGTCTGTCTCCTCGGCCAAGTCAAGTCCAAGCATATGTCTATCGCAACCAATAGCTAACATTCGATCTACCCACCCGTCTTCCTGTAGCCATTCATTCATCTCGACTCGAAGCACTTCTCCAATATTCAGTCCAGCTCTTTCTAAAGCTCGACACCAGTGTTCCCAGCGATCTTGTAACCTTGCGTACACGGATGGAGTAAGACCCTGTTTATTGCGATGATGTATCGCGCCCCCAGCTTCGATCAATGTGAGAAGCTTTTCCTCAAAAATCTCCCCATGCGAAATATTTTCCGGAAGATGGCCCATCGCGTAGTGGAGGGCATTTTCTCCATGATCATTAGCTGCATTTGGATCTGCGCCTAAGTCTAGAAGCATGCGGGTTGCAACCAAGTTGTCTCTCTCTTGAAGATAACAATGCCAATGGAGTACGTCGTCGCTGTCATCCTTAAAACTTTCTTCCATCCCGTTTTGGACAAAGAACTCTCGCCATGGACCCATCTCTCCCAGACTGGGATCTGAAGACCTTCCTGACTCCGAGTAAAACTTCAATATATGCGATCCGCTAGATGCATAGAAAGAGTTAATGCGTCCATCAAGATATGACTGTATCTCATGTTGTCTATCTGGGCCTGGGCTGTAAGGAAAACTTCCACAGCTGAGGTTGTACCAGAGGCCTAACAATATATCTCCATGGCCACTGTGATCATTAGCTACAGATCCGTGGAAAGCAATCAACCTACTTAAAAGCCGAACTTCCAACTCCTTGGTTGTCCAAATATTGCATCATGTCCGCGCGCATTGTGAGACCTGCGTACTTGAGAAGTGTTTAAATCAGCTGCGATCGCTCTTGCCTTCCAGATCTTGAACTTACGTAATGCGATATTATGATACCATCCGCGAAAGTGTCGTAAGGGGTTATACGACCTTCTCGGATCGCAGCGTCGATGTCCTCCACGGATCCAGATATGTACAGCTTCATGTGCAAGCCGGTGTCCTTTACAATTTTGAACACATTGAGCTGTGTGCACAACTTTGAATCCAAATTTATATCTTTGACCTGAGAGAATCGAACGGTGGCCATCATGGAATGCGCTTGAGCGTTCGAAATGAATGTTATCTGACTCTCAACGGTGCCTCGTTCTTGTGTGTCTGCAGTGGAAAATTCAGGAAGTCTAAAGACCAGTGTGCCTATGGCTGTTTCATGCTCAATGATTTTGGTCGCGTATCGTTTTCGTACCGAGGCGAGTCTCATTCCAGGAGCTTCGTTGTTGTCCCCTTGGTCAAAGGGAGAAGGCGTAAGAGTCGCCATTAAGGATCTACCAGATGACTCCGGATAGTACCACGTGTCTAATGACGTAGCTGTAGAATCTGGATGTTGCGCGGCGGTTTCCTGTAGCGCTGAACACAAGAGTTGGTTGAACTCGGACGTGATATGATTCAGTTGCTGCTGTGAGATAGCTTGTCGATGGTGAGTGATGACGTGTACGACTGCTTGATTCAAAGATTCTTTCATAAGAAGCAGCATGCTTAACGCAGATTCCCGGTTTGCGCCACGAAGGAAAATTCTCCGATTGCTTCTTGGACGCCTAATACGTCGAGGCGACGAGACGTGATAGTCTTCCAGTTTTTTTAGAACAAGATCGGTACCTCTTTCCATTTGTCTTCGAGTTGACTCGTGTTCCTTTCGGCTCATATGCTGGAAGCGTTGCAAATCTCTTCGAGAACCTCTTGCTACTTGTTCTTGTTGAACAACGTGTGCGAGAACTCCTGTATTCTGTAACTGTATCTGTTTCTGGTTCTGCAGCAGTGGTTCCAATGCTGAAGTCGTTTGCTGTGAGCTTTGATGTATAGCGTTTTCGATTTTCTTTTGACCGATGGCATTGCGTTTCCTGGTCAACTTGAGTCAGTTCCTGTTCGAGATAAATGAAGCGACTTAGCTGAACTAAACGAGAAATTATATGCGAGAGTGTAAAAGAGAAGAATACGCATGACTTAAAGGCAGCATCGAACCCGAGCGCTGTCTCACGGAGGAGCTTTCACCACCGTGTCCTGGCTTCCCAAGGTAGTACATTCCACAATATGCCATCCAGTATCCGTTCAGCGCCTTTTAGAAGAAAGTCTACACGCACCCTTCCATCAGCGACAATGTGATAGAAAGCGAAGACTTTGAGCTCTCGATTCGCTCTGAGATCTTGCGTATGTCTTTCTCTTCGAGCACGTGTCTAAAGCTCGCCCATGTTTTTCTCATCTTGCCATATCTTGCGGTCCGGAGGGTGAGTGGCTTTATATCGCGTTGCAACGTTATGATTGCGGTGTTGAACTGTTTGACTACTGGCTGTAGCTCGACAAGGTCGGCTGACGGAACTGAAGATCCCGAGTCACGGATGTGCTTCTGGATGTGCTTCTTTAACGTCTCGACCAGCGCAGTAGTGTTCTCAAGGGAGGCCGTCAGGTTCTCGATGGAGGCCGGAGCCTTGTCGATATCGGAGAGGAAGTGGTAGCATTCTACACCAACTCGTAGCACAACGTCGGCGGCGCCCACCACCGCGAGTGAGCTGGCGGCTATTGATAATGGATCGGACATAGTTTCAGGCCCGATGTGGAGAAATTAGAGAGACGGAGAAGTTATTAGATTCAGAGGTTCGGAAATTCAGAGGTTCATAGCCTCGTTTTCTTGGCGCTGCTGCAGGTGGCGTGTTACACAGAGCAGGGCTGAAGCATACGCGAGGCCGACTGCGAAGGCGCAGTACCTCAATAGTCTGAAGTTTAGCCTTGTGACCTGGAGCGAGGCTATACTGTACCACATTGAACATAGTAGCAGATTAGCGCACGATATACCGATGTATACATGCCCACGTTCATAGTTGCCACGGATTTTGTTCGCAGAGTAAGGCGCCTTCGATTCGGATGTTGGGCACTCCTCCTTCCAGGTCTTTGATGCTGGCGAAGTGCGAATTTTTTTTTTTGGTGTTTGCAAAGCCCGAGTTATGGTTTCAAAGCGATGAATTACATTTCTGGCTATACATCGAATCAAGAATACGTAGTAATACATGGGCTGGAAGAGTCAAAGGAGATAGGGTAAAGCAGCGGACCTGAATATCCAACTGACTGCGATAGAGTGGGCACATTTTCTGGGGCACTCCAGCTACGCCTCGCTCATGACAATCTGCTGACCCTTGACAGATTTCCACTCAACGAACCAAGAAGCCACGAACGCAAACGCCGACACCCCAAGTGCACAATACCATACATTAACGATGCCTTCGTTGTATGCAGCATGCAGGAGCGGTAACTGGTTCGGGGGGGGATTATCTTCGCCAAGTCTGTTGCTCCAGCATGTAGTATCGACGACACGTCCAGTCCTGGTATTTGTTGAGCAAGTCGTGATTGAAGTGTGCTCGATAAGATGCTCTGAGAGATGCTGACGAAGATCGTACCGCCGACAAAGTTTCCAAAGTTGATGATAGTGATGCCGATGGGAATGTCTTCGCGGGACAAGACTGTTTGAGCTGCATTGTTACATTGCGCAAGGCTCATGCCCATGCCAGCGCCAACAATTAGCTAGCTCATGTTAGCTTCGACTCTGAATGGCCTTAGAGAGTTACTACTCACCTGGAAGCCAATCGACGTTGCAGTGCTGGTATCCACTCGAAATGTTGTGAGAAGGCCGCAACCAAGTGTCAACAGAGCCGTTCCTACTATGAGCCATGGCGTATAGTATCCTGTTTTCGAAACAATGATGCCGGAGCCGATGACGAAGAAAACTGTAATGAGGAAGTAGCCGAGCATGCGTACACCGGCATCAACCGCAGAAAGCCCTTTGATGGCTTGGTACCAAATTGGCAGGTAGAATGTCACCACAATGAGCGTGGACCCGAACCCTAAGGACACTGCAGTCCCTGCAGCAATACTCCTCTTGCCGATAATTCTTGGCGGCAGTGTCCCGTTGTCTCCAGCCCATATCTGGCAGATAATGAAAGCAAGTATCAGCACAATACCAACAACAAGCGTGCTTAATACACGAGCAGAGCCCCATGTTGAGCCACCGCTCCCCCATTGGAGTGCGATTAGGAGCAATGTCAACCCTGGTACGAGGAGTGCGGTTCCGACCGGATCGTAGGCTTTCACTCGTCCGAGGAGCGACTTATCTGAGTGAGTCTGCGCAGGCGGGTTGTTAGGTACGAGCAGAATCAAGACAACAAGCGCAGCTCCCCCGATTGGTGCGTTTATCCAGAAACACCAACGCCATGACACTTTAGATGCGAAGACCCCGCCGAGAAGAGGTCCAGCTATAGAAGCAAGACCGAACGTTGCTCCGATGAAGCCTTGGTATTTAGGTCTCTTCTCCAAGGGCAAGAGGTCGGCGAGGATGACATTAGCCCCGGTAGTGTTACCTGCACTTCCAATCCCTGCAATTGCTCGCCCGATTATGAACGCAGTGGAATTGGGAGCTGCGGCGCAGATGATCGAACCGATCTCGAATATGGCTACGAGTACAACGAAGGCCCATTTAGCAGGGAAGAAAGTCTATTTTTTTTTGTTAGCAACTTACGAGAGGAAGGAAAGGCAGACGTACGTATACTTTGCCGATTGGCAGTTGTAGCGCAGCAAAGGTAAGCAGATACGCGCTCTCGTACCACGCGATGTCATCGAAAGACTTGAAGTCATTAGATATCGCAGGTATCGTGACCCCAATAATAGTTCGGTCCTATTGGAAGAATGGTGAGCAGGTGTATCATGATGCGGTGTAGGAGAGACATACTAGAGCGGTAAGAAAGACTGCCAAACACAATGAAAAGACCACAGGCAGGACAAGTTTTCGATCGTACTGTTGAGCTTTGTCGCTTTTCGTCTCGCGTTCAGTCTCGTGATTGGTTTCCTTGAGCTGTAGCGGAAAACTGCTGGCCTCTGAAGTTGTTGTGCCTGGACGGCGAGACCCATTAGTTTTGTGCCAACGCATCTCGAATTTTGGGAGAGGATGTAACTACTGACCTTTGCAACAAGAACTCAGAGCATTAAATAAAGAACTTCTAGTGTACGTCTTCTATGTCATGGATACCTAAAAAGGGTGACGATGAGTGAATAGTGCATAGCGCCAATCATTTCGGTTCGGTACCGAGCTAAGCTCGGCTTTTAACCCGAAGTTACTCTAAACGTCACCACCTTCAACACCGCCGAAATGCCCCATTCATAACCTCTGATCGATCACAAGGAAGCAAATAAATTCGCTATACACGTCTTTTGTGGCCAGGATCTTTTGGCGGTACTTGTGTACGCCATTATGCCCTCGGGCAAGAAGCCCGTTAGCTGCATCCCTTGTGCGAAGCGGAAAGTACGATGTGACAGAGTTCAGCCCTGCTGTCATTGCAGGCGAAGGAGACAAGACACATGTGTGTACCCCGAGCTAAGCGGAGCCAGTAATCAGCTCCTCCAGGGGCACACTGAGCGGATCGAGAAGCTAGAGCAGTACATCCGAAGTCTCGGTGGTGACCCGAAGCACGCTGATGGGGCACGGAGCTCACATAGCTCCGAAGATCGAACACCTCAAGAGGCCGCAGGAAGAACTGGTCCAGGCCCAGATGATTTCACTCCTACTCCCTGGTGTCTACATGATGAGCCAACACTTACCAGGAGAGTCCATCGAGCTGTTCGGAGGGAATCTGAACTATTGGCACATGGGGATGGCGTGACCTACATTGAAACGTCCGTTTGAACCCATCGTTTAATTTATCTTTTCTGCCACTGATGTAAAATGTAGGCCAATGTGGTACAGCTGGAAAGGCCATGATCATCCACCGAGCTACCATCCACCGAGCACAGAGGCCTCTAACACCCGGAACCTACCGACAATCTTGAACCAAAGACCGACATTGTACAATGATAAATCTTTCACGATCCTGCCGCCATCGTTGTATCTAGGCGTCTTATGGCCAATCTTCCTGAAGAACGTGCATCCCTTGGTCAAAATATTCTTCGATTGGGAAATAGCCCCTGTGATTGAGAAGGCTCAGAAACTTCCCTCTACATTGACCGTCGAAGAGGCAGCACTGGTTAATGGAATCAGATTAATCGCTACGTTGACGTTGTCTCTCGAGGAATGTCAAAGTAGCCTGTCCGTATCAAGGCATGAGCTTCTGCAACATTGCCAAAAGAGCGTGGAATATGCCTTGACAGAAGCGGAATACACGGAAACGACAGACAAGCGGGTATTGCAAGCATTGATGCTGTATATTGTGAGTCTCTATATCTTGCACGTGCGCTCTGCATCCTGACACAGCTCGTACAGTTGGCTATGCGCGACCGCACACGGCCTTTCGCCATACATGCGCTTATGGGAATTGCCAGTCGTATCGCCGAGCGGACGGGTCTACATCGCGATGGGTGCACCTTTGGTCTGAGTGCTCTACGAAGCGAAGAACGTCGGCGCATATGGTGGCAGCTGCAGTTCATGGAACTTGCTGTCGCGCGAATCGTCGGTGTCCTCAGCCTGACGATCTTCGCCACGTGGGATACCAAGGTGCCGTCGAACCTTGAGGATAGTGATTTCAGCCCGAACACAGAAGTTATGCCCAACGAACGCAAAGGCTTGACAAGCATATCACCTTGTCTATGGAGATACAGTATACTGCAGAGACGTCGCGAATTGCTAGCTAACAGTACATCTGGATCTTTGGCTTGGATAATGTCGCCGCATCTGTCACTTGCAGAGAAGGACGCTCATATTGACGAACTGGAGGGGATCTTGATGGATAGGTTTCTGCAACATTGCGAGCTTGTCAATCCACTGCACATCCACATGCAGATCGGCATCCGCCAGTTTATCCTCGCAGCTCGCAGCAACGTACGACAACCAACACTTGTGCATGCGAAAATCTCCGAATTGCTTCCGCAAGTGCGTGATGATTTGCTGGGAATATGTTCAAAGAGCTTAGAATACTTCGTGTTGAGTCAAACAACTCCATCAATTTCAGGCTTCAGATGGGGGAACGATATTTTCTTCCAGGTATCTTCCTGTAAGTACTTTCGGACAGATTAACCGAGCCAAACTGATCGACTTAGTCGTATATGTGATCCTTGAAGCGCACCAAAGATCTGGCGAGCCCCAGGTCGCGGATTTATGGAACCTTATCGGCCGTGTATACGAAGTTCATGCCGACCTGATGACTGCTGCAAACAGGCCAGAGGTGGATTTCATAGCTCGTATCACAGTAGCAGCGTGGCAGAAGTACGACATCGAGATGCGACAACAGAGATCAGGTGTTCCAGGTTTACCTGCGATGGAGACCCCCGAGTGGATACGAAAATTGTGCTACAACTTCAATCTGCCGCTGACCGACCCTTCTGCGACAACCGAAGAGGCCACAGAGACTCTCAATTCCGATCCGGCTCAATTTCTGCCGGAAAACTTCGACTTCGACATAATCGACTGGTCGGCTTGGGAAGCTCTGAGGTAATCTTCAAAATTACAATTCAGTTCGAGTATAACGTTAATGGTTTACTCTATCAACTGTGCTACTGGGGTTTATCCTCGCTCATGCTCATTGATAACATTACAAGGGGGTATAATTATTCTATGGTAGACTGATTATTGGACGTCAGCAACGCGCAGAGCGCGATATTTAACGAGGTCAATGCACAGTAGATGTTGTCAGAGGCTCGTAAGGAAGTAGTTTGCGGCCGTGGTAATGCCGAAATTTGACATGCACGTATATGATCTTCGTACTCGTACAACCCGGGCTTGCATCCTCCAATGATTCGCATTCTGATGTCCATTCGAATGGCTGCTTACGCGCAGAATCCTAAAATCGATGCTTGAAATCAGGTTGATGCTTCGGACTCGCAGGAAGCTCAACCGGCGCAATTCCAACCGGTAGTTCTTGGGGCGATACAAAAGGATTTACACTGCGGACCAGATTAGCTTTGATACGCGATGCAAACAGAGCATATACGACATACCTGGGGTCCGTCTCGGCATAGTACGCGTATGTGGTTGCGCCGCCTTGATCATTGGAGATTGCGCGCGAAGTAGGATACATTTCTGTATTGTTGTCGTCCGCCTCCATAGACTTCTGATCGAGTGGGAAGCCATTGTTTGTGTATGGGTTGGTCTCGTCCTGCTGGCGCTTCTTGCTGCGCCGCCAGAAGAGGAACGTTATTAATGCTCCGATGAGGACCGCTGCGCCTACTCCTACACCTACGCCTGCACCGATCGCGGCTGAGTTCGAGGAGGGTTTCTCTTCCTGGTCTTCGGTTTGGGTACCCGTGTGGGTTGATGGTGAGTCAGTCTGTGTTGCGCTGGCGGAGGCTGATGCTGCGGTGGGACTCTTGCTCTTCGAAACAGCTGTCGATGGTTCCGATGTTGAGCTTGAAGTCGAAATATGTGTGTTCGTGTACGCCTCACTGATTACTGTGAGGGTGTAAACATCATCGTTGGGGAATCGAAACGTTTCAAACGACGCATTGCATTCGCAGCCGTCGAGGCAGCAGTAGGAGTCCACGTTGGTTTGGTTACAGGCAAATACTGGCGCTCCGTTGTCCGCAATGCTGGTGCAATGATTTGGGCAGTCTGCTGACCCCCATGTCTTGTCGGAGCAGGTCCCTCGATGCAATCGCGCTTTGATTGGGCTGTGTGGATCGCTAACGCAAAGGCCGTTACTCAGACATGCTTGGTTCTATATACTGTTAATGCATGGACTTGTAAGGGAACATGCGCGACACACCTTGTAGCAGCAATGGCTGACTTCTGCATCCGGATTGCATGCTGTCAGAGTCAGTCCTAGGCCTCTCAAGTTTTAGCCAGCGTTACGGACGAGTATCTGCAGGCGATTCGTTTCCATTGGGGAAGAAGCATGTAGCCAGAGCGTGAGAGGAAAGCGACGCGATACAGAAGAATCGACCTAGAAAGCGCATTTTGAGGACGCTGTGGGCGCAGAAATCGAAGCGATGGTTCGAAAGACCGGGAATCAGTGACCCACGGAGGGGGCATGCATGCCTTAAAGGCGGATCAACGCGCCCAGCGGATACCTGGTCAGTGACAAACCATACCGTAGTCTAACGGCCGGAGGATCTCTATCGAATCGGGCTATGGGCCATGGATATCTCCGTTCGAATGCCAAACTGTCCCATGATGGAATGAATCGCAAATTGGTACGCAGTTGGCTTCCTTATTGCGAGAGCCAGACCTTTCAGTCCACTCTCGCATTGGAAACATACACTTCTGCAGGGCTCGCGTTTGGCAACAAGGACGCAGCATCGTGTGAGTGACAAGACCCAAGTCCGAAGCGCTTGGACGTGTCGTTAGCTGCATTAGGTATTTCCCTTCTCTTCCCGATGTCGTTCATTAGGCGGCCCACATATGATTGAAGCTAGCGCGGCCCCTCCCGCGTCTGTCACGTGAGTATTCCCGCTAGAGCGCGTCTGTGTCGCGCCGTCATCCCGATCCCGACATTCTTCCAGCATCGACCTCTCGAAAACAGCATCATGTCGGAGCCGCGAAGGTCGACGAGGGCGCGCGCAAGGGAGGAAGCCGTACCCCCGACCCCCGATCCGCCAAAAGAGACGCCCAGCAAGCCACCTTCGAAGTCACTAAAGCGCAAACGAACGAGTGTCGCGCCCATCAAAGATGCAACTCCAGGCACACCCGTCGCGGAGGGCCCACAGCTACCCTCGCAACCCGTCCTGCCCCTCCGAGTCGTAGAGGGCCAGCCACTACCGACTCTGTCAGAACCGCAGTCACTCGATCTGTCGTCGCAAGAGTATCAGGACATACAGCACAGTGGCGTGCTTAGTGCCTCTCTTCAGCGGTCCCGCGCGATATGGGTGTCTGGCACCAATTTCAGGCTCTTCCATGCGTTTTTCACACCACCGAAGAAGGTCGCTGATCGTACTGAGGAGGACAAGCAAAATATACAGCGGCAGAAGGAGATTGTGCGCAACTTTCCACAAGTGGGCGAGGCACAGTTGGTTATAGAACCACATACGTTTCCTATCCGTCTCTATGGACCGCGGGAGGCTGTCAGACAGGTGCAAAAGAAGGCGCCGACATATGGACAATGGCCAAATCATAATCAACAGAGCCCGTACCAATACAACCACACGCCACCCCAACATCAGCCGCCTCCGCAGCAACGGCCACCGCAGCCCAAACCACAGCCGCAAAAGCCAGTCCCGCCGCCGCAAGCGCCTGCGCCCGATCCTGTTATCCACATGCTGGCACAGCGAGCGGGGCAAGATCCTGAACTCAAGGCTGTCATGAAGATTGTCGCCGCAGGGCAGGCTACGAAAGAGCAGCTAGAGTTCTTTCAAGGACATATTAGCGAGCTTACGAATATACTACAGAAGCAGAAGGATGCAGGTATACAGCATGCTCCTCCACCTCCGCCTCCGCCAAAGCCAGCCACCACTCCACGTCCACAGCCTATAGCGCCGCCTCCGCAATCAGTTGCACCGACACCAACACCACCACCGCCCCCGCCCAAGCAGGAGCAGCAACAACCGATACCGCCCAAACAGCCTGCTCCTAGTCCTACTCCTCCACACGTCCAGCAACCGCAGATGGCTCCAGCACCCCCAGGACCGCTCCAGGCACCTCATCCCGGCAACTACAAGTACAAGCAAACGTATAATCAACCGCAGCAGTACCATCAGCACCATGCACAGCAATATTCCCCCGTTTATCAAGCGCCTAGGGCAACTTATCGTCCGCTGGTGTTTGACTTCAAGGAGGGCAATGGGGACAAGTTCTACTTTCCAACATACAGCTTTATGGAGTGGTTACCCAACAACTCAGGCGCGAAATTCTCTTTCTTGGTCACAAAGATGAAGCCAAAACCACCGCCAGCCACGAACATAAAAACGCCTGCCACGCCAGCACCGAAAGTTGCTCAATCTCCTGCTGCTCCTGCCAGCACTGTGCCCACTCCGACTCCTACTCCAGCAGGTGACGCAAACAATGTGTCGACTCCAAACGGCGCTCCACCCAATATCGCAACCCCAGGACCTGCCCAAGCCACTCCTACAGCGGCGCCAGCACCAACAACCACCCCTCTACCGCCCGCCACACCCTACGTTCCCCCACCGCGAATTGAAGACTTCGACGAAAAGGTTGATATCAAAGACATCGAGTTCTACCAACCTGTCACCGTTCTTGTGATGAGCGGTCATCCAGACATACTTCAGACGCTGCCACGTGCCATTCGTCCGCCGGATGCCGTAGAGAAATACATGAATCAGGTGTTCGACACATGCAGAAGAGCAGAGGAGACATTCTTAGCATTCAGATTGCCAAAAGAGGGTGGCGCGGAGGCTGAGAACGAGGAAAAGAAAGCAAGGAGTGGCGATGCTACGCCCGTGGTGCACGCGGCTGCTTATGATGTCTCCATGGCCGGCGACAGGAGGAAATCGAGTGGCCGCCCGAGGAAGAGTATAGCGGTGTAGAGTCGCGGGCTTCTATTGAAGATGGCCGAACCAGAGGAATCCTACTTGTGCAGCATGAGTGAGAAATTTTGTGTAGGACTATGTAGTATATTCGTGTATGCAGACGTGGTTAAGAGAGAATTTGATACCCAGCAGCTCTAAATCAGCTGTATTACCTTTCTACTACATACTCGGGCTTGATCTTGGCTACCTGGATGTATTGAAGGCCCAGTTGGAATTTTAAACAGCTGGTCGCGCATCATCTTGAGACAATGCGCACGTCTTCTTCTTTACAGCAATTGTACAAGAATTAGTTGTGCTCTAGGGGCCTATTTCGCGGGGCTTCGCGCGCGCCCCTCGCACGGTGCCACGTGACGGTACGCCTTACCGGACTTCGTTGACTCGAGATTCCTTACACTAAGAACCGCACGTCGTTCCTCGGCCTTGAAGAGACCGAAGGTGCGCTTTTCCGAAGCAGCAGAGTGCGAGTGGCGACGGACTCCGGGATTGGTGCGCTGGGATGCGAGACGACCGTTGGCGAGAGCGACCGAAGTGAATACCTGTAGTACTGAGCATCGTGAGACCAGATGTCTGAGTATGTTGAAAGAAATCCTAAAAAAGAATCTGGCGATTGAAGAGCACCCGCTGCATCGACAACTAATAAACACAGTAGAGGGCAAAGCACACTGCACTCTATCCCTCAAATATGTCATCTACAGACCTATACCAAACGCACACTACACTCCCCCTCGCACGTCCTACTTCGCAAGCGTACCCTCTAAATAAACCTTTCACGGCTGTCGCCCGATCCACACCCATCAGCAGCTTAAATTTAACCTCGCGCACCGCCACCTGCCCGACAACTTTATCTCAAACTCTCACATAATCCGCCCCGTCATCTTTTCTCTCCTAACGTTGGCGCAGACCACAGTTTAATCAGAACTCCGCGAATCCTGCAACTTTAATTTAGTCTTACACCACCTTGTATATCAAAGTAGGTAGAGGATTTTTGCCCTAGATTTTGAGATGGAGCGTATGTCCAGCTGCGCAGGGAATATTCGCATGGAAGCAAGTGGAGTGAATCGCGATGTGCAGCCTAGCCACATGCGTGCGTCCATGTGGCTGTGCGCCAATCCAGGATACGTCCTGTAGGCCCACCCTCGACGGGGGCCTTCGTTTCACATCTGCGCTGAGAGGGCCGCTGTGATTGGCTATGCCTACTGAAACGACCAAGAAGAGGGTTTAACGAATCATGCTCGAGAGCGAGAAACATCCTCTCGAGCAGGTAGATGTGAAACGTGCGTGTCCTGGGTTGGAAGGTGACAGAGAGGGAAGGTTACCGTGTGAGGTATTGGTAGGAGGAAGGTAGTGGTGGTGGAGATTTCTTCATTTCGGACACTGCGACGATCTGCAGAGTGTGGGGGAGTGACATGCAAGTAGGCTTTCGTGTCCGCGCGTTTCAAGGCATGTGAACATCGGACAGTCCGAACAAGGGTAGACCCATAGCCTCTCCATATCCTTGAATAGTGACAAAATTAGCTGAGCAATCGTGATATGCAGATGGTATTCACGCAAACACGTCAAGAGGATGATCTATCATGAATGATTTTCATTTGCTTTGTACCTATTCTCAAGCACTTTGAGAACAGTCTGGCTCTACAGTAGAGTCCAAACGCTGGCTATGCTTTGCAGTTACAAAAAGAACAAAGATGCACAATCCCCAAGCTTCGCGGTCTCAGAACCCCCAAAAATGAATCTAGAATAAGTGAAGTAAGAAGAGAATGTACACGAAACAAAGCGCTACCACTCATGGTTTTGTGAAGGAATGGAAGGCAGGATTTAAACACGGCGAGCGTGGAGAGCAGGGCGGCCGTACCACATGCTGCGCTTCTGGATGTTGCCGTTGGAGCAGGTGGTACCGGGGGCAACGGCTTGCCAGACGGCCACCTTTCCGCCGTCGCAGAGACCGAACTGAGTAGATCCGTTGCAGACAATGCCGGTGCCGGAGCAAGATGAGCCACTGGTGGAACCGCCGGTGGAGCCACCGGTCTCGCTGCCGCTTCCCGGGCTAACGGGAGCGCTGGTAGGCATGGCATATCCGCTGGACATGCCAGGAGCAGTGCCAACGGGTGCGGAGGCAATGGGCGCAGAAGCAACGGGAGCAGAGGTGGCGATAGTGGCGAGAGTAGACTGAGCCGGGGCGGAGACAGCGGGTGCGGAGGTAGCTGGTGCAGACTCGACAGGAGCAGAGGCAGGGGCAGACTCAGCGGGGGCAGACTCAGCAGGGGCGCCAGAAGGAGTGCTGGGAGTAGAGCCCTTAGCACCACAGTCGCCGGTGGGGTCCTCGGTATCGTTGGTGCCGCCATCCTCGAGGTTCTCACCCGGGTTGGGGAACTTAACGGCGTGGTTAAGCGGGCTGGTGCAGGTGGTGGAGGCGATGTTGGCGACGAACATGTCGGGAAGGGCATCGAGACCAGAGGCATCGCTCGCACCACCAGTGACATCGATGGGAGCGCAGTTCATGTAGAACTCGGGGGCACCCGACATCTTGGCGAACCAAGACCAGGCAAAGGTACCCTTGCCGTTGGGGATGCTGTCAGGGAGTTGGTATTCGAAGGACTTGGTTCCTTCAACACCGGGGCAGCCACCCTCAATGCTCTTGATGACCTTGAACACGGAGTCCTTGGTGGGCGTGGTGTCGGTGGTGTAGGAGAGCTGGCAAGAACCGCCTCCGTGGACGGCGCTACCGTCGAACTCAAGCTTCTGGGTCTCGCCAACCTTCATCGAGTTCATCTGAGTGACCGTGAAGCCATACTGGCTCTTGCAGGGGAATTGGTCAGCCGTGATGGCGGCCTTGTCAATCTTGACTTGATCGGCAGAGTAGGGGACCGGGTTGGAAATGGTGATATGGGCGTTGGTAGCCGCAACGAAGGCAGAAGCCGCGAGGAGAGCAGATCGGAAAGACATCTTGATAATGTTGGAATCGTACAACGACTGGAATTTGTTTGAAGGAGTGTGTTTGAAATCGAAAACTAGCCCGGCTAGAAAAGAAGAAAGAACTGCGAAGCTGAAGGAATGTAGAGCGTTGGAAAGACTGTGATGAGATGATGGCTATAGTGATTGTTGTGCCAGACGTTTATATACGTCCAGACCTTCCCTCTACCACCTACTGCCTCCCTTGTCGTCCGCCACACAGCCTACCCATCGTCGGAGTTTCCTATGACGATCCCTAATTACCAGTAGTTTCGAACATGGTAGTCCGGAAACAAAACATCAGCCGGCCAGGCATCACCTAATCCACCGTGCCAGCGCCTACGAAGGTACGTGCGAAACTGGGGCTGATCGTCATGAGGCTACCAGCCAAAGGAAGCGCATTTCTTAGGTTGTCTGGCTCAGGTACATTGATGCGATATCCGAGAATGGAAGGCCGGTCCAGGATCACGGCTGTCCATGTTGGTCGCCTCCGTGAGGAGGTTCTGTTTCGAGGTGTCCACCGAATAGGTCATTGGTCATACCGGAGTCGCTTAGCGGGCCGCAGAAAAATCCGGCTGACTGGGGTTGTCAGGATGTTTTAAGCTTGTTTGAGCCATGGCACAGCCATCCTTGTCAAAAATGGCCGATTGGTGAGTCTTTCGTGTCCTAGTTTTCCACTGTGCCCAAGTTCGTAATCATTATACCTGCGTTAAGAGCTTGTCTCTCCATAGTGGAGAGTGCACCTGCATCTGTCACAACTCTCGCACGACGGCGCAGAACATTGGCCTAAGGAAAAGCGCCTGGCTGATTTGATCGAGATGTGGATCGCCTGGTCGTGCGGATGACAGCCCTGTCTCGCCTGTCTCGTAGGTCCGAAGGCGTCTTCCTAGTTGATCCTTCACGAGGCCACCAGAATGCAACCACAGACCAGTGTATCCTTCCTTTTCGGTTAGGTTTCCTCCGAACCTGTTATGCGTTCCGATTGCAGCCCAATCCCGTAGAGGTCTGGTTTGGTAAAGTAGCGTCGTGATTGTCCGCCGTGTTTCGATTAGTGCTGCGCCCCGAGAACGCGGTCATTTGCAGAGACCTGGAAACACTGCATTCCGCCCCCAGGCTACCACTGCCAACTCTTTGTCAAAGCCGAACGAGCTTCGGGCCATGATATACTAACCCCACCAAGCCGCGGAGGCAATCTCAAAAATGTCACACTCGCTGTCCGGCATCGTGGCATAGCCACTGCTCTGTCGTCACCTTCATGCTTCGTAGTCTCAGCAACAGACAGTCTCAGACGCAATGCTGTATACAACTCTCGTACGATAGATCCTGTGCTAACTCAGTCCAAAGTGTGGGTCCAGGTTCCATTGCGGTACTGCAACCAAATCACGCGTACGTCCTGCTACGCTCCAACTTCCGCAGAGGCACACCAGCGGCGAAGGCGACGTGACCAACATCTTTCTCGCCTGCAACATCAGCCACGTACACTTCGACGTCTCGCATGATCCTCGCTCTTTCCATGGCATCCAGCGTACTTCCGCCCTCCGGTATTTTGACGAATGGATTTTCGTACGTCATGCTAGCGACCGGGCCGAAGAACTCAGGGCCGAGTGTCATCCGCTTCAATATCAATGCAACGATACCGGTGATAAGTATGACGTTCGAAGCAGCGAGCAGGAGCGAAAGCCAGGCGAAGTTACAGACAAATACCTCTTCGGTTGTCGTTACGTTCGCCGTCGTCGTGGCACCGATGAAAGGAGCCTGATTGTCCTGGACGCGAGCCTCGAACGAACTCCACAGATCCAGAAACGTCATGTTGACGCTTGATAGATTAGCTGGTAGATATGCATCAACATCGGTGGCCGGCAGGACATCGGGTCCATACAAGGAGAGATTTCGAGATAAACTTCCAAAATACCCTAAGGGCTGTGTGCTCAGCTGGTAATAAGTGTTCAGAAGCAGGCCTAGTCTACTCGAGAACGCCTCCTTAGGAACCGCTGAAAGATCAACGTAAGACTCCCTAGCTTTCGAAAAGGCATTCTGAACAAAAGGGTACGAGGAGCTGTTGGCCAGAAAGCGTTCCGTTGCGGTGGAGGCAAGGACGCCGGTCGCAACAGCAAGTGGAAAGTTTTGAGCGAGTCCGTAGGTTATTAACTGATGTTCCAGCCCGGTATAGTTGGTGGGTCGAGAATCGGACAGGGACCTTCTCATTCGGTCTGCAGAACATACAGTCCCTTGGCAACGAACACCGACTTCTACGTGGGCTTGAGATACCAAGCAATGTGCGACATTGAGGTCGAATTGACCATCTTCCTTGTCGCCTCTCGGATACACCGACTAGAGGACATCATCAGTGAGGATATGATCTGAACGGTGGGAAATATGAACACATCCAACAGATTCTATCTGCTCAACGTGTAATGTATAGAAGGTATTTATGGCAAAGAATTGAGGGCAAGTTGCATTGGCAGGGGAGTACTCACAGCGAAAAGCAGCTTTCGGGGCTCGCGAACTGTATCGTTACCGTTGCGCAGAATGGTAGTATTTTGGTTTCCAAGGAACGCGTCCAAGCGTGCAGTCAATACCCCTTCTGTGTCATTTGTGCTACCATAAGTAGATCGATCGGTGTCGATGAAGAACGATGTAATGCGTTCCTGGGGTTTGAAAGGGTCGTTCTTGATGGACTTATCCGACCAGACCTGACCAGGAACCAGTTCCTCCAATCGTGTATAATTGGTCCTTTGTATCTGCGACGTGATATTGCTCGGATATGGCGACTTTTTGAAAGGCTCGCAGTCGACCACAAGATAAGTCGTCTCGATAATGAAGCTTGAACTCTCATTGAGTGGGAGACCAACCACAGGTAGGCCTACTAAGGAGCTGTAGGCTTCGGGTGTTTGAATTAAGGACTTCACATCTTGCCATTGTCCGGTCATCGGGCTGGATAGGTTTGACGGATTCAAGATCGGAATCTTCACATTTCCCCAGGGATCCTGCTGACTTAGCTTTCCTGCTTCCGGAGCCATAAGAGCCGCGCTATAGAGAGCTGCAGCGTCCGCAAACTTGCCATTATCTACGTATGTAGTGGCTAAGCCCAATAGGGTACTTGCGGGTCCTGTGCTCATATACCGAAGCTTAGTGGACGATTCAGTGCCTCGATGTTCACGTGTCATCAACCTCAGAGAAGCCTATATTATCGATTAGTGTGAGGTGATAGCTTGTCAACCCACAAGGAGCTTAATCAGGAATAGGGGACCCGTACCTGGCCGCCAAGTGGAGATAGGGTCCACAGGAAGAGAAGGTTCACCCCGACAATAGTAAGCCTATGGAGTAGTAGCTGACTTTCCACAGTACCCCAGACTGACTGACTTGCCATCAGCAGTTCCAGGGTACCAAGTTTTGTTCCCCGTTCGGCCATGTAACGGGCTATCATTTTCAGACTGCGCCCGCATATTGCAGCAAAGACGATCGGGAAAATGGTTGGTCCCTAGTCCAGATAAGCAACGAACGACAGCTTTGTATTTGTGTTGGACTTACAAGGTCCATAGCCGACTCCACTTTGGGACCAAATGCGTTGTGCTGGGTCGGTTTTCCATCAACACTGCTACTGCGACAGCGAGCACTAGTCCTTGTAAGCATTATATTTGCATCCAAGGCATGTATTCGCTGACGAATGAAGTAGACCGGCAAGAGGAGCAAGACGATGTCTCCGATCATGAACAGGTAGGACAACTTGGTATGCTTCTTCAATGGCTTGGGTTCCTGTGGCCAACTCGGAATCGAGGTCACGGAGGTTTTCCACGTCTTCGATGTCGACACGTTCGTCGTGGGATGGCTAGGTGTGACTACGCCATGTCGTCGTGAAGGGAACCATTTCGGTCTGGGAAGAGTGATTTTAATGCCCATCGTCGTCTACCTGTAGCACGAAGCGGAAGCGATACGAGATAGTTGGCACACGCAGCACGAGGCTGATGGTCTGCGGCGAGCGAACGCATTCTTCTGCGATCCAGCATTTGCGGCACAGCATTCCAGTCTGCATGGTGAAACGCTACAAACATTGCATCTGCGAAGGGTGCGGCTCCCCATAGCGCGAGGGGCCGAGACAGGCCAATCAGTTGCCAGGGATCGCATTGTAAGCGCCGAGACCACAATGGTGGGAGCGTAGTGGTGCGGGCCGAATGGGGCTGCGAGGCGCAGCTCGATGCCGAAAGACCAGAATGAAAATATGTTGCCAAAGAGGTAGCAGAGAGCTGTCGAGGTTGTGGGTGGCGTTAGGTGAGCAGCGGGAAGGTGCGCCCGACAGCTCCCAATCAGAATGCGAGGTCCCATGGCTGTTCTGTGAGGAGGCACATGTAGTGTATATCGACTCCGTGAGTAACGAACTCTCACGCCGAACCTCGCAACTCGTGAGCGATCGTGTGTAATTTCTACAAGACATCCAGGATCACTGTAATTACTCTCACGCCGCACATGCTACCTAGGTATGCCGCTCCAAGCTCTAGCATGCGAGAGTAAGACTTGCTGTCAGAAGTACAGGAATTGGCAATCGTCCGAGGCATTCTCCACGAAGACGTCCAATCATGCTCAAATTTCCGGTGGAGCAAACGCTCAGTGAACTTAAAGTACTGAATGGCAGCGAACTATAGCAGATCCCGCCCCCATTTCCGCAGGAAAGCTAGCAAACCGAGTTGTTACGGATAGTACCAAAAGCCCTACAGTTGTATTGTGCAGTTTGGGGTAACTTGGCTGTCTATGCAAGAGCTGTCATGGCATACACGCGTAGAGCTTGAGAGATAAACATAGCTTACACATCCCGAATTAACGATCATTGAGCAGATTAAGATTACTATGAATTAAGACTACATTAACAGAAGCATAAGGTCCATCATCCAACCTGCGGCCCAGCGCACCCTCCAATATAATAATCGTATCCATCGGCTGGACCCACAACGAGCGGAGTAAGCCCGCGACTGCATGAACCCGAGGTGCAAGGGTTGACGACATTCCTCTGCGTGAAGAACTGCTCGCAAACATTATTCCCGACACGGAAGAAGACACAGTCTCGATTCAAGTAGCAGTTTCCGCAGCAGGATCGGGCGGCGTCGCGGCTGTTGGCGTCGCTCCTCGCACCGAGCACGGCGTTGGGGCCTGATAGAGAGCGACCGTCGCTAACTTGCAAGGCGGCGACGTTATCGCAAGCTCCGGCTGTGGCAGTGGCTGTTGCGGTGGTTGTCACGGTTGAGGTTTGACTGAGCGTATCGGTTGAGGTAACGTGGGCCGTGGAGGTTTGCGAGTCTGTCGAAATCGAAGTTGTGTGCTCCGTCTGCGTAATGCTTGTAGTGACGGTTGAGGTCGTCTCCGGGGCTGCAAGGGTAATACCGGCAGCATATTTGGTGACAGTAATGGTTCTTGTGCTGGTAGTTGGCGCTCCTGTAGTGTATCTAGTGATAGTGCACGCCGGCAGAGTTCGCGTAACTGTAGCAGTTCTTACTGGCGCGGGTGCAGTAGATGTAAGAAGACCTGAGCAAGAAGCCGGCAGCTGCTGCTTCGCTCCCCTACCAAAGGCAAGCCCACGCTTGCCAGGGGCGGCACATGTTGTTACTGGGGTATATGGAACCGTCGTTGTGGAGGTGGTCGTTGAAGTATCTGTCGTGATAATGGTGATAGCTGTGGTGTCCGTTGCTGTCACGGTGCTGACCTCTGTTGAGGTACTTATGTCTGTAGACGTAGTGGTAACGACTGCAGTCAATGTTGCGGTTAAAGTAACTGTGGGTTGACTGACAGGGTTGCCCGTCTTGGTAGTCGTAGTTGTTACTTTGGCTGTAAACGGGCAAGGCTTGATCGTCTTTGTGATGATAACTTCGGGGCGGACCGATTTTATCGACGTGATGGTCCTAGCCGGAGGTTCGCAAGTTGCGATACGAAGGCCTATCTGAGCAATTGATTGGTAGCACCGCTGGGCATCCTTCTTGGAGAGGTTTGTTGAGTACCCTTTTGGTTTGCAAGCTGGGTAATACGAGTTTGCTGAAGCAGTTACCGTAGCTGCAAGCAAAGTGAGTGCCTGGAACTTCATTGTGCAAGGAGCGAATGCCACTAGTAGGACTGAGGAGGAGGATATTTCGTTGAAGCAGCCGAGGAGACGACTATGAGTTTCTTTTCAATCGTAGGGCGGCTCGTCAATAGTAGTTGACCTTGTGCAGAGGAAACGCCACATTCTTGAACCAGACTGTAAACGCCAAAGCCACTCGCGGGCCAGACTCTGCTGAACAGACGCACGAGCACCGGTTGGGATAGTACTACTATTAGTCAATACTATTGCCGAATTCAACCTTACTAACACAAGATTGATTGATATCGAGTCCATGGACCAGAGTACCAGGCATGATGGTGACATACAGGTTGCTGTAATTCATCGAACACGAGTCTGACGACCGTGTTTTGCGGAGAAGGATAGAAAGTTGATTTCCACTCTCGTGTCGGGATCACCGACATCCGAGTTGCTAGTTGGTCGACTAGAATCAGGGGCAGCCCGTCTCGCTCATCTCGCTCGTCTAACCCTGCTCCTTTCGGTAAGCTCCAAATAGATATTGATCTTGTTCAGACTTCACACAATATTGCGATATCGGTTTGGATATGTTCATAAGGTGTCCGCGGTATGGATCTAAGCTCAAAGTTAGCTACCTATAGGGTATGAGTCTAGTTAGAGTCATATCAGGATACATGTTTGTGGAATATTTGCAGAGTGATTGAGATGTCACGTCGGGGCAAGCCTAACAGCAGGGTCAGGCGAGTTGCCAGCGCACCAAAATGGAATCGAGGCAGACTAGCACTTCCTCTTTCGTTCTAGCCGGACGTTAGTCGACTTAGTAGATGCCCGCTATTCTCCATCGTCTCTCAAGAATCTGGAGAATGCAGCTCATGACTGGAGACCCTGCCGCGTGGAGTCCAGGCGTGCCGGCGAATATACTCGTGGGATTTGCAAGGCTGAGAGAGGCTGCGGGGAAATCGGAAGAAGACTGTCTAGTGATCTTAGCTGTCGCGAGGGTGTTCTTCTACAGTTTGGTATGTTGCTAATTCGTGTCGCTTGCCACTGCGGCTTCGCTATGGGACATGTCCATCGTGTTTCGCACTCGGTATTGGAGAATGCTGCTGGAATTTCTGTTCCACCCTACGACGTCTCCTTTGACTAGAAATTTCACTGCTCTCTATCACAGGCCTGGTGAATTGCACTGAGACGTCAATAGGCCAATACGGTTGAATAGACGGACGGTGAATGCAAATCGGGTGTGAGATTACTATTCTACAAGATTATGCGGTCTTTCCTGCGCTCCCGCAGATATGCATCCATCGAACGGTTAGGACGATGACTTTCTGAGTGCCTTCCTCCATAAGTTGCGTATGTGACATCGAAGGTGCGTGCTCCCTAAGATGCCGGTAGTAATCGTCCAATACGATGCGATTGACATTAATCTTCGAGCAGCCTTCTGCAATGCACTGTTGCAACAACATGGGCTCGAACCCATTAGTCCCGTGCAGTGCTATTCGAACGCGGTTATTTATGTTCGTACGAATTTGGCGAAGGCTTCTCAATCGTCAGCAAACTATATTAGGAGTGCTAGCTTCGAGGAGCAATGCAGCAGGGGCAAGGCATGCTATAGCGTCCTTTGGGAAAGGGCTGAGGGATTACCGTGGAAAATCAAGCTGTGGTCCCCTGGAGTCATACTCTCCGTGGCAGTTCCCGAACGCTGGTGCTAGCGCGTCCACACCGGTCGCAACGAATTCCTCTATCTCCTCGGGCGTTGTCTTGCTACCCTCGAGGTCGGCTGTGTCCATAACCCCATCCTCACCACCCTCAATGCGACCCGGCTCTGCCTCTGTTGCAATACCCCTATGCTGGCAATAGGCGACTAATTCTCTGGTCTTTTTCAAATTGTCCTCTTTCTCGAAGTGACTCATGTCGACCATAATGCTGTCGAAGGGAAGATCATCAGCGCTAGACATGATGAGATTGTAGTCTTGGGCATGATCCATATGCAACACAATGTGGTCTCGCATTGGCGATCGTAGAATTGCATCCGCTGCAGCACGGATAAGCAAACCTGAGGAGTATGTCACAGCCCATGGGAAGAATTGGATGATGATAGGCGATTTGGCGACCTCTGCTGCTTTCACGAAGCCGAGGATATGCTCGATGTTGTAGGCTATAGCAGCGATAACCCCATAGCGTCCTTCTTCGGCGGCACGCAGAACACGGTTGCTCTTATTCGTTTCCCTCCAGTTGGACGGTGGGCTCATGCTGAAGTACCTTCGCGTCGTGGACCTTAAGGGTAGAGGAGTTCGTGGAATATTCAGTGAGGCCGTGAATATTTACTAGGTATTAGGAGAACCTTTATGAGTTACCTAGGTACTTCGCATTACGTAGGTTTTGCCGGGCGCTCGAACCGAAGGCAACCCGAGACGAGGGTTTGTCGCCCTATGCCCGATATTTGCGACTCTGCGGCTCAATAGCTCCGTGACGTCTTGGTATCGCTTCCAGCAATTGCGCGTCTGATTCAGACTCCTTTACGATGAATGGGCCCACAGAACTGACGAATACCAGGCCAGTTAAGTCCTGTGGCATACGCCTCAAACGCTTCTTCCCATTAACATTAAAGGCGGACGAGATTCATGGAATGCGACGTCCCCCTCTTAAACTCTCGTTATCGTGTTACCATCTCACAGACCTTCAAGCTTCAGAGGCGACGTCCAACCTTACCCACTTTTCCCGTAAATCATCGCTCAGCGACTGACGAGGCCAGCCGATCGCCTGTTGGCGATCATCAATCAAGCGAATTACCAATTCACGATGCTGCGCATCTTGCATACTCAAGCCAGCTTACAGGACTCGTCAGCAATGAGTTCCAAAACGGCATCTCAGTCTTCGCCGAGAAGGTGGAGCGGGTAATATACCAATATATAAGCATTGTATGGATATCAACATCGAGGCTGGATCTGTAGTTGTCATTGCTAATCGGCATATTGTATTGGCAAAAGTGGTCAATCTATTATGTTGCTCCAGAAAGCCATGAATGCCTCCGTTCGAGGGTTTGTGAAGCAGCACGAGAATATGTGAAGCATGATGAAGCTGCATTGATACGTCTGTCGTCGTAGTCAGCTTTGCTGGTCCTTGTGGTATGTCTTGGTATCAAGCATACTAAATGCTGGGGGATGAATCCACAGAGGTTCCATGGTTCCAGACAGAGCAGTCGTATTTATTTGAGGAAGAGGCTCGAACTCTTGTGGAAGACTACTCTTCCAGTCGTACAACATGCCAAAAATAGTATCTGCTCTCTTAGCCCGCATCGTTAGGTCGAGTTCGCCACTGGCAACCTCTTCATCAGAGCAGTAGTCCACAGCCCTTGCAAAAAGCCATATGACCCGGGCAGCTAGCTCGTAGGATGTTAGAGCTGCGAGCGCCTTCGTAGGTGTCCAAAAACTGAGGGTTTTACGTCGCTCCCGGAATGCGGCCCAGATGTCTTGCCGAAGCCAGGCCCACCAGACAGCTGATTTCAGCCCACCAGTCTCCCCTTGTATGAGCTGGCTTCTTTGAATCCAAAACACACCTTTCAGATGGCGCTCCCAACCGCTGCCGCTACCTGAATCGTCGAGCATCTCGTACATGGAGACGATGAGAGCAGTTGCTAGAAGCTCCAAGCTGATGGTGTATGCTTCTGCACACATAGCCTTTTGCAAATAGTGTAGAGTCTCATAGTAGTACTGTAAGCCAACGTTGCGGTCGCGCTCAGCTGGGCTAGCGTCGGGACTGATAGACAGTTGCCGGGACGATAGAGCGAGGATCGCAGTCATTAAACCCGCATCGTGCATCTATGTGTTGTTAGTACTTGGACTGTAGATGCCAAAGGAATACACGCAGGAGGTGTAATGCGCACTTACAGCCAGATGTGGTACCATGATGGAGAAGTGTTTTTGAGTATCATAGATATCAATCTAGAAAATCCAGGAATCCGTAAGCAGGACGTGCGTACATGGTGTTTCATGGAAATTTTCGCATACCCATGAGCTGATGCTTGTCACAAAGTTGTGAAACAGAGACCGTTCGAAGTCTGATAGCTCTTTCGGTAAAGACCCGCGCCAAGTATCATGCGAGGCTGTCCCAGAGGACGTTGTATTAGACAAGCAATGTGCAAAATCGGTCGGAATGGCGTATCTCTGTTGAAACGTCTGCCACGATAAGCCTTTCACGAGTTGGGGAGAATCTATATTTTGGGTAGTTTCTAGTTCCAGAGGTGTCGCTTGGTCAATTAGAGGACTGAGGTACTGATTCGGGGCGATAACATCACCAGCCAGAAGACCAAACCACCTGTAGAAGGCTGCATCTGGTGGCGTAGGTGCTGGACGGTAGTTACGGTTAGGATCGTCTGAAATGCAACTTTCGACGGTAGCTGTCGGGGCAATGGCAGGACGCGTCGTGACTTCGGCCGTTTGATCAGAATTATCGGCTATAGGGGACTCTGGCATCTGCAGCGTGCCGGGCTCATTTGGGCTGAGTACATCGCCACTATGAGAAGCACACGACAGTGATTGGCGCGCGCGTGTAGGATAGAGGCAGGCTCGCTTGCTCTTCATACATTGTCCACACTCCGGGAAAGCTTCGTCACATCTCAAGTGTCTTTGCTTGCACGTTGTGCTGTAAGAGCAAAAATGCACTTGTCAGCCGAAAATGTCTAGCCATGTTCTGGAGCATTTAGTGGCTTACCATCCAGTCGTCTTGCGTAAACCTTGCCCACGGGATTTTCGCTTTTGCCGCCGCGCTTCGTTCAAAGCTGCCTTCTTAGACCTTGCTCTGTCCATGTAAACGCCGAGCCGAGTCGGAACGTGGGGATATGGCGACGTGCATGCAGACGACGAATGTCAAGAGATGAAGCCACCGAGCCGAGGATATTGTGGGGTTCTCTTGGGGCTGATCTTAACCCTTGATTGCGTGCGCTACTTGTAGTGTGCCCCCGACGCGAGGGCTTCCGGCTCCACTCGCGGGGTACGTACTAGACATATAGGGTGATCTAGCCGTGCCGCATCCGGGGAGTCGGCGATACTGTCGCCAGTTTCGAGCATGCTTGTTTGACACAGCTAGATTTACCCTTCTTTCAGATTCCAAAGTCTTTTTACTATACCACCATGAGATACAAACCTACTTGTTGGGGCGTATGCGCGCTGCGCGGAACCTCCTTGTCCAACAGACATGCTCACACAAGTGCCTATCGTCCCACGCTTCCGGTATTTTCCCTCGCGGACAAAACTGCAGTCATCACAGGGGGTGCTCGAGGCTTGGGCTTAGCCATGAGCCGATCACTGGTCCTAAGCGGTGCGAACCTTGCCATTGTTGATATTCACAGTAAGTCATATTGTCCTGCCTACGACATCTGCTAGGGATGCTAAATATATCATGTGCTAACCATTGTCGCCCGCATTGGCAGACGAAGAGGCTGCCGAACGGGCTAAGGAGATCAGAGAAGAGTTCCGGCAACTGCACTCGGGACAACCGTAAGAAGATTCGGAAACCACCCAGTTTGTTCGTTAACGGATGCCGCAGTGTACCCAATATCACAGCGCATTATGCTGATGTGGGCAAAAAGTCAGAAGTCGACCAATCGATCCGAGAGGTGCTCGAGGAGCACGGAGAAATCACGAATCTAGTCACCTGCGCTGGGTATTGTCAGAACGTAAAGGCTGTTGATATGACATCTGAACAGATCAAAGCAATGCTTAGCGTTAATTTGGAAGGCACGTTTTATAGTGCTACCGCGGTCGCGAAGTACTTGATAGCAAACAAAAAGCCCGGAAACATGGTTTTTATCGGGAGTATCAGCGGAAGCATTGTTAATGTGCCCCAGCCACAGGCCATGTACAACTCGAGCAAAGCAGCTGTGCGACATCTGGCAGCTAGCCTAGCCGTCGAATGGGCCAGCAAAGACATACGAGTGAACACCTTGAGTCCCGGTTACATGATCACTGAAATAGCGATGTGTGACTCCGCACAAATCTATGGTAGATGCAACAGCTAACAATTCGCAGGAAAGCGCCAATCCTAGCAGAAAATCCGGGCTTGAAGGCTGAATGGGAGTCAAAGATTCCGCAAGGCCGAATGGGTCCACCAGAAGAATTGATGGGAACCGTAGCATTCCTAGCATCAGATGCTTCTAACTATATCACAGGACAAGAAATCAAGGTAGATGGAGGCTATACCGTGTGTTGAGGAATGCTTACTACGAACATGTACTTAATGAAAGGCCGTTCAGGCCGGCTCTCATGAGTGTCCTCTAATAGGAAAAGGTTGGCCTCAAAGAAAGGAAGCAACTTGCTTAGGAGCAGGCAATCCGCATATGTGCTCCTTCTGTGGTTACGATCATTTTCATGCTTGGCTGTCTCGAGGCCCTGTGACAGATATGCAGGTCCAGAAGATCTAGTATCCCGGCGCTATTATAGTGCGACTTCACATTGAACCAATGCCCATGTGGAGAACTGGTCAAAGCGTCTCTTGTACATGAACAACTTAAAAACGTAGCTTTGGCCCTTCAGCACCATCTTTATCCCATTGTGAAAAGGATAACACAATCCTGAAGTCCCCCTCGAGACCGTCAATGGCGTCATCCACCAGCGAGAATGTTGTCATCTATCCCTCACAATATACATCGTAGAAGTTCGAGTACTTCGCCGCCTCACCCTCTAACTCATTGATTGAGGGATCGGCTGGCTTTTTATTGTATGACAGTCACTTTTTGGACATCCTCAGAAGCAAACCGACTCTTCGCATAATTGCCGAGGATACAACGGGAACGTTCGCCCACGAGGCTGGAGTGTATATTCCGGCTACTGACGATATATTCATCACAAGCAACCATATGGTCAAGAACGGGAAGAAATATGTTCAAATCTCTAGAGTGTTCAGAACTAGCGAAACGACTGGCAACACTGATGACACCAAGGAGCCAGATTATCACGTTGAGATTGTGGAACCAGGGCCGGATATCCTTTTGGCAAATGGTGGAGTAAATTACAAAGATGGGGTGTTGTTCTGCGAGCAAGTGTCTCTCACCGAACCTGGTGGTCTGACTTACATGACCACGCACATCGACACTATGACCGGACAGTACCGTAGCACTAAACTCCTCTCGAATTACCATGGCCGCTGGTTCAACTCCGTAAACGACGTTGTGGTGCACAGAGATGGTGGCATATGGTTCACCGATCCGCCGTATGGGCACGAACAGGGCATACGCCCTGTGCCGCAATTACCTGCTCAGACGTATCGCTTCGACCCATTTACTGGAAATGTCAGGGCCGTAGAGGACAGCCTTCAGAAACCGAATGGCTTGTGCTTCTCGCCCGATCAGAAGATCTTGTACATCACGGATACCGCGGGCGTTCGAGGAGACACGACATGTCCGGGGGTCTACTCGCCTGCTAGACCAGCCTCGATTTATGCCTTCGACGTGATCGTTAGTAATGGTGGTCAATTCCTTACGAACAAGAGATTATTTGCGTTCGCAGATCGAGGCATTCCAGACGGAATCAAGTGCGACCTGGCTGGGAACGTCTACAGCGGATGCGGAGACGGTGTGCATGTGTGGGCCCCGGATGGTACCCTACTCGGAAAGATAGTGGTACCGGAAGGATGCGCAAATTTCTGTTTTGGGCGAAAGAGTGAGCTATATCTGCTCAATGAAAGGCGAATGTGGATGGCCCAGTTGTCGCCCACGGTGCAGGGCGACCTCCTAGGACTATGAACATTCAGTCCTGGTGATTGAAATAAATGAGATGACTCGTGCATTGCTCGAAATGAAATTCCACATTGCTGTCAAATCGTGAATGAGTGCATGTTCCTCTGCAGTATTAAATAACCGCTTCGAATTCTGAGAATTCCCTACATACTAAGTAGCTTCCACTCGGAACTATGAGTCTATTGAAGCTGAGATTTATCGAACCAGTTTTAGCAGATACCGATAACACCATTGACTGGAATATCAATGCTCGTCGTGTAGCTCGCCGCATCGCTTAACAGGTATACATATGCACCACCAAGTTCCTGTACCTCCGCTAGCCTCGGAATGCCCCGGTAATACTTGAGTTGTGTCTCCCAGTCTGCTTGCTTCTCCACCCAATATGTCATAGCCGTCTTGACTAGGCCGGGTGACACAGAGTTCACTCTGATTCCCTCGGTAGCCCATTCCATAGCTAGTGTGTGCGTCATGTTGCGGACACCACCTTTGGAAGCGCCGTAAGGTGCGGACGGAACCACCTTGTTCGGACGATAGCTGGCCATAGAGGCTGTGAAGACGATGCTTCCTTTTACGCCCTGTTTGATGAACGCTCGCGCAGCGACACGAGCAGTGTAAAAGGCCCCAAATAACTGTGTAATGGATCAATATTGATGCAGTATCTCGTAGACTGATGTGAGAAGGTCACTCACGTTCACGGCAAACAGCTGTTCAATTTCTTTCTTAGTGAAGTCGAGTGCGCTCTTGTGGTTCGTACGTCCGGCATTTACGACCATCCCATGCAGCGCACCAGCCTGCTCTAAGACATTGTCGACAGCTTTCTGAATGCTCTCTTCGTCTGTGACATCGGCCTTAAGTGCGAAGAGGCGGTCGGGGTAGACTTTGGCGATAGTCTTGAAGTCATCCCCCACCTCGTCTGCGTAGTCTATACTGAAGACCTTGGTAGCTCCATTGGCAAGACAGCATTCCGCAATACCAAGGCCGATTCCGCGATTTGCGCCGGTGACTACAAGTTCGTATCAGCCTCAAGTCCCCTTGATCATTGCATACACACGGCGACTGAGGCGCCCTGGCCTCTCAAAACTTGCGTAGGACGTACTGGCTATGACTTTGCCCTCGAGGTTTAGCTGCATTTGGACGGGAAGGTGTTCAGGAAGTGCGGATGAATTGTCGATGGAGCCCATGGTAAATTGATGGAATGGAGTACCTAGATATCTACCTAGGTATGGAAGCAAATGAACGCAAAAGTTTCTCCGTCTGAGCTGCAATCCGCTCTTTATCAGCTGCCCAGGTCTACCATATACAATTAAAGCGCACAGTAGGCCTTCTATCGAAGAGCCTACCCTACGTATTCGACGAAGACTCGAAACGGGTACGTCGATCCCCGCATTTAATGTAGTCCCCACAATTTTATGATGATGCTCCTGCTCGGATGAGATCAAGCCCTCGGCTCGAGGGCTAGCGGCTTAAGTCACGTGATGCATCCTTTGGAGTCTAGTCGAGGGCCTGCGGGATGAGAGGCAGCGGTTGCATTTAGAGTCATTATACTCGAACAACACAGGCCAACATCGATACTGATACTTCGCACCCAGAACTTTGGTGCCACCCCTGGGGAAATTGTGATTATGAGCGCTTACATGTCCTTCGCTTCGACACCGCGCGTGCTTCTACGTGGTGCTGCCCAGACCCGGCCCGTTCGAACGTTTCAGCGTAGCATCTCCAACAAAACATATACTTTGAACAACGGAACTAAGCTTCCTGCTATCGGATTCGGCACCTTTCAGGACAAGGAGCAACAAGAAAGTGCAGTATATAATGCACTCAACGCTGGCTTCAAGCACATTGATACGGCAAAGGTGTAAGTGCAGCATTGGAATTTCGTGCTCACACGATTCGCTGACAACGCAAATTTACGATAGTTACGACACCGAAGAATTCATTGGGAGAGCGATTCGTAAAGCTGGCGTGGCCCGCAAAGACCTGTTCCTTACCACCAAGCTCTGGTGTAACAGTTTTCACCCGGACGATGTGGAGCCCGCCCTCGATGAGGCGCTCAGCAAGCTCGACACACCATATATTGACCTGTTTCTCATGCACTACCCGTGCACGTTCAAGAGGGGTGATGAGCGCTTTCCCAAGGGCAGTGATGGGGTAATGCAAATGGGAGACACTACCTACGTCGATACATGGAAGGCTATGGAGCAACTAGTGAGAAAGGGAAAGGCGAAAGCTATCGGTGTGTCGAATTTCAGCAAGAGCGAAGTGCAAAATCTTCTGGACAATGGTTCTGTTGTAGGTTCCCGCTTTACTGCATTCTGTTCTGCTCACTGAACTCATTGCTTTCAAGGTTCCTGCCGTACATCAGATGGAACTCCATCCCTATCTTCAGCAAAAGGACTTCGTCTCATGGCAAAAGTCAAAAGGCATCCACATGATGCAATTCAGCCCTCTCGGCAACCAGAATAATTTCTATCGCGACATCTACTGGGCATCTGGCAAGGCCGATAGTATTCGACTTATAGATGAGCCCATATTGAAGGAGATTGGGAAGAAATACGGCAAGAGCCCCGCTCAAGTCGCGCTGGCCTGGGGACTTGCCAATGGCCGCTCCGTAATCTCCAAGAGCGTCATCGATTGGCAAATCAAACAGAACCTCGAAAGCGACTTTCCTCTAGACGCCGAGGATATGGATAAGATTGCTACGTTGGACAAGAAGCTCCGACTCAACGACCCGAGCTCTGCTTACAACTGGAAACTATATAGCGATCTTGAGGGTGCTTGGTCAACATAATTCACTCCTTCTACGCAAGCGATCTATCCCATACATAGACAATATCAAAGTGAATTACAGGCCTAAAAGTCTCCGATGGATATGAGTAATACACTGTATCTCCGAGAACACACTACAGTGTCCTATAACGTTGTCCCTCGTTCCTGCGATCCTTGAGCTCAATGTTAACGGTTTTCGACTCCTATGCAAAACTTTGATGGCTTTTCACCAGGGACGTTTACCAAAGCAAGATTAGGTTTTATGGACTACTGCACATGGGGAATATTGACCCAGCTTTCGCCAAACGCATAGGCAAGTTCTCCATTGTAGCTGGTTCCATCCAGTTTCCCCCCAAGAAACCGCGAATATGCATGAGTCAAAGACAATTTCATCTCTCGATGGCGTGTAATCTCATAGAAAAGGTTGATGTTTTATGCACATACGAGAACGTGGCATCGTACAAGAACATATGTGAAATGCCAAGCCATACAAAGGCATCGAAAGTTAAGAAACACAACACTGGGTTCTTGGTAATACGGTGATGAAGGGTTTTCAACCTTGATTGACTTAATTCCACATCTACAGTCTACTCTGATTGTTCATAACTAGACACCAGACTTGCGGCTTCCGTTACATCGGGCATTCCATCTCTATCAATCATCGAGCCCGTGGGCGCCATGGATTGGTCCCCCTAGACCACTTGCGCAGATATCAATTGACTTGTAGGCTATCATTAAACTTTGGAAACCTCGACGTGAGAATGAGAGCTGCCAGCTTTCGCCTCGATACCAGCCGGGTCTTTGCTATGCACGTTGACGATAGCTCTCATGGACTGCTCTTCCTTAAGCTCCGCGAATTTTTTCTCTGCAGACCACGTCCAGAGTTCATCGGCAGCAAAAAGGAGATCCATCTCCTCGAGGGTTCTCTGATTAGATTCGGGATAGAATGCCCATACTTAGGGCGTCCGTTAGCTTCTACCTGCAGCGGAATAAATTTGGAACAAAACTTACCGATTGGAATGCTGATCACGTTGACTATAGCAAATATGTAAAACATTTTCTCGTTGATCGAGTTGACGATGTATGGTAGGACGAGGGTCAAGGTGCCTGCCGTTCAGCATTAGTTACCAGATCGACGGTATAATGGCACGATCAAGTCTCACTCATCACTCACCATTTCCGATTGACCAACCAACAACTCCCCAAGCCATGCCCTTTGCTCGCACCTGGAGAGGAAAGATTTCTGCAGGATACAGCCATGGAACTGTAAGCCACGTTGCGCCAAAGACGAATGTGTAGATAAAGACCATAGAAGCTGCCCCTGCACCCCATTGATTAGCGCCGTCAATATTGCCGCTGGCTCTGGCATCAAGACCACCGCGGGAAAGCCCTCCACAAAGGAACATGGCGACTCCTTGGCCCACGGAGCCATAGAAGAGCGTCCAGCGACGGCCAATTCTATCAATAGTGACGACGCATATAATGGTGGAGAACATATAGAAGATATTGTTCAGACCAGCCACCCATTGCGTTTTGTCCACTCCAAATCCAGCGATAGAGAAGATGGTAGGCCCGTACATGGTGACTCCGGCAATACCAGTCCAACACTGGAGGATTTGCAGCCAGATAACCAGTTGAACGCGACGAGCGTTATGTAGCTTTCCGCATTTGCGGCCAAAGAACATGGAGAAGTACGAGGTCCCTTCCGCAGTCTTCTCGAGCTCCACAATCGCCTTTATGCCGTCGAGTTCAGCTTGGGCTATACCGCTATCAGAGCCTTCAGTGCCCCTGACTCGCTGGAGGATGTATAACGCCTCATCGTTCCTGCCAACCTTGCAAAGCCAGCGAGGAGATTCCGGGAATGCCCAGCAGAAGACGAGGAGCATGATCAAGGGAGCGATTTGGAAGGCAATTGGAAATCGCCATCGAAAGGCCGAATAACCATTGTCAATGAACCGGACGGCGTATGCAAGCCAGTAGGCTACAACAACACCAAAGATGTTCAGAGTGAATTCCATGGCGATGAAGGTTCCTCGAGATTTATGGTCGGAAAGTTCAGAAGCCCATGCGGGGACAATGCCGTTCAGTATACCGGTGCCAAGTCCATTTACAAACCGGGAACCGATCATCCAGTGGCTGTTCTGGGCAGAGCATTGTAAGGAAGCTCCGAAGATGCCTCAAATAGCACCTAGTCCAATGGAACTGATTCTGCCAAAACGGTCACCGAACCATCCGCCAAACATGCAGCCAACGAGTGTGCCAAGGTAAAAGACAGACATGATACCACCCTGCAGGAGGGAGTCTGTCACGACGATGCTGCCATCGGAGTTGACGCTGCCAAACTTCATGAGATTGACATAGTTGGGACTTTCGTTGACACCGCCCATCATGCCCTGATCATAACCTGGGCAGTATCAGTTTTGAATAAACCCAACAAATACGGATTGCAAACACCAACCGAAGAAAAATATGGACATCCCAGCCAAGCAATTGATGGCAACAAGAAGACTACGCTTTTGCAACTTTGCGTGCACCATCCAGGGATGGGTCTGATCCAAAGTGAGAAAACCCATGATGTTAGCGCCGTGTTGGCACCAGATTTTAAAGATAAATAGGGTAAATTTTGGATGTGTAAAGATGAAAAGAGATTAAAGAACTCAAGAGAGTGAAGGTGGGAGGAGGCGAAAAGCACATATACGTTTAATGCAGCGGAGTTACAGTAATGATCTCGCCGTATACAAGCGCGTGTATCTAACCTCGCATAGTATTAGCGTGATGGTGCTCCCTGATGCGGGGCCCCACGGGTAACGGTATTAGATAGCTGCATATGTGGGTCTGATCCAGGAGGCCCTTGTTCGAGCTGGCTAGAGTGGCGAGAATTGACCCTCGAGCCGAACAAGGCGCCCAGACCTCGGAACCAGGGCTGCTATGAGCTATTGTCGGTCACTCCCTCGAGACGGGATGCCATCTGGTTCGGATCAAGGGTCACAGCATCCACGATGAACGATATCACAGGCGAGCGACTAGCGGTAAAGGTCAGAGAGACTTTCTGTAGCTGCGATTTTGCCATGTCTAGACGAATTATGCTAATCCGAGACGATTCATATGAATTGCAATGCTGAACGAGAGTATCCCTAAATTGCACAACTCTTTGTTAATTTTTACTCCATTCTTGCCTTTATTGTTTGTTCCACTATCTATCAACGACATCCTTTTTGTTTCGTGCGAAGCAGAAGTGGTCTTCTTCTACATATCCCTTAATTTTCTATCGGCATGCCTCTCTTCTAGCCCCTCTTAACACCCCTGTGCTGCAACAATTCTCTTTAAGCAGCAAGATTGCTCTGGTCATTAGAGAATCACCCGTCATCGGCCGTCAGATTGTGCAGGGATTCGCCGATGCTGGGGCTGATGTTGCACCCTCGCTGCCGTAATCAAGATGTCATCTCTACATACAAGCTCCAGACTCTCAAATACAATAAGTCTAATGTTACGTCTCAATTTTGGTAAACACCCAGATGCAGCATTTTCGCGGAATGGCGAGCAAGTCCATAGGGACAATAGGAAAGCAGGTTGTGCCGGTGCGACTAAAGGCTTACTATTCACCAAGGTCAAACCCACCAAATTTCCATCGCTTCAGCATTTGTTCTGATGATTGATCAACACCACGGTCATTCGTTCACTACGGCGCCTTGCTGGCTGGAGTTTCCACTCCTTTTCTTTCGCCTCCTACTACGTTTAGGACCATTCGGAACCACATCTAAACATCCTTCACTCCGGCCAAGAGCTCTCTAATGAAGAAGGCTATAACAACCGTGGCTAACAGCATTACGAAGATGCTCCCAACAAACCATGCTCTACCCATATCTTGGAAGACTACCTGCTGATCGTCAGGAATGGCGAATATCGCCTGCAGAATTAGCGAGTGAGGCGAATTGGCAGAGAGGTGATACTCATAGCCATCAGAGCCATGGGCAAGTATAGAATGGTCAGGTACGTCAATCTCTCAATGGTTTTGTTTTGGTCCAGGGAGGCGCGACTATCCGTCAGGTTAAGGATGGCCTCAAACTATGTAAGAAGTTAGGACTATGCGGGGCATGAAAAAAGCTTCGTGAGGGTTACCGCGTCTTTGTAGCGGCTATTTAACTCAATGTCTTGTGCGAGCTTTGAGGCCACTGCGGTCAACTGTGTCAAGCTGTTTTCGAAGGTATCCTGAGATTCCTGGCACAATCTTTCGAGCGGCTCGCTTCGTGATCGGCATCCCTAGCATGGTCAGCAGGAATATTTCAATGCTGAAGGGGTTTCCAGGATTAAACAGCGATTTACCTCTTTAACCTCGCCGGTGAGTTTGTCTCTAGCCTCGACAATGCTGTCAAGGGATAGTTTCAAGCTATACTGGAGCTTGTACAGAGACTCTAGACTCCATAGTCCGAGTTGGAATTGACGAACGGCCTCCTTATCTTCCGGCCATGTTTCAACCTCCTCGCTAAAGCACTTCTGATGAGATTTAGCTGGCACCCGCCATGGGCCAACTGCAATTGCGGAAAACTCACTTCAAGATTCAAAATGGAGCTGACAACGTTGACTGCCTTTTCGTATTGTTGCGCAATTTCTCCGTTGATCTTCCCCAGAACCAGGAGGAAGACCAGACACCTTGCTGTCTGAGGTTGGTGGATGAAGATCCGGTACAGATTCCTCGCCTCTTCGCTGATTTCTCGCAACTTTGGCTGATCAATCAACTGAGATATGATGGTGCATTTACTGAAATCGCCGAAGCTATTTGTTGCAAGGACAAAGGATGATACTTGGAGCTCGAAACAGGCTATGCGCAGTTCGTGACGGTGTTTGGCCTTCGGGTCGTCTCCGATTGTGTCTACCAATTTATCGAAATGGGCAAGAAGCGATATGGGTTCGTCATCCATGAACTCTTTCCGGTATTGATATGGGAGGGAAGGCCGGGTACCACCCGAGCTCTCCCTCTGCGCTTCTAAGTCGCGGCCCTTTCGGGTGATTCGAGGTGGGCACCAAGACCAGGTCTCATCCTTAGGCTCCTCTAGCACTTTCGTTGGGCGATTACTTCCTGTCTCTTTCGCTCTCCTACGTTTGCCACACCAGCTCGTTACCGTGATCATTGCAATCCACTGATTCTGGTTCTTGAAGGAGAACCTTGATAGTCCAAACAGATGGTTACTGAGACACACGGCAGATCGGGGGCATAGTACATAAACCAACATGTCTAACAGCTGGGGTTTGAAGGCAAATCTGGAGGTGTGATGCTGGCTAACGGGCACTGGCTGCGCTCTCCGCTCCGACTTGGTTTTCGTCCTTACGTTGGGGCTCGTCACAGCCCTTCATGGAGTTAGCGAAATAAGTGATACGAACGGGATACACAGAAAGACTTACAAGAATCGGTGTCGGACATCGAGGTCAACAAGCTGGTCCAAGCTATTAGCCAAGCTCATATCAAAGACAGATATGCTTACACTGTCTTGAAGCCTACGCACCAGCTCCTCCTGGCCACCCCTCCTAACTGCGATCTGGCCATTAATTCTGACTGTGGTAGCCCCAGGTGTGAGACCCGCATACTCAATGTTATCGCCGTTGCTAAGGATGTCTGCGAGGTAAATATAGCGTAAGTCCCCCATACTCTGGAGATGACCCTTATTGAAACCCTCGGCAGGTACCTCTTTCGGAAGTAATACGTATTCGCGAAGCGAATGGGGAAGTTTCACCCTGCCTATATAAGGATGTCGATACAAGTGAGGAGTGTCTTCGAGAGAGTGGATGAAAGTTTCTGGATGATATTCCCGAGGAGGCCTCCATGTTTGGGCCCATTCGATTGGAGGAGCAAGTCCAGCTTCAGGTGTGGTTCTTTCGAGCATCTTCGTTTGCTTGCTCATCAGTGTTTCTATGAACCACATCTCTTGCACAACCTTCTTCGTGCCGTCGTTGTAGCTCCGAGGGGATCCTGACGGCTTCATACCACTTAAAGGATCCTTGAAAACCTGTTTGTGGATGTCCAGTAGTGTTGAGCCAAGGACGGACGTAGCTTCAGAATGCGCCCACCCTTTGCGTGCTCGCAAATGCGACCTATCCCAGCATGGCACCAGCGTGGCTTCGGAGTTGATGAAGTGAAACAGCTTCCCTTTATACAACTCCACTTCTTCCTCTCTCTGGTCTTCGCTCCTCCAGTCACTAGATTTGGCCATGGGTTGATCATATTCCAGGTTGACGACCATTAAACGGCTGTGATGACAGAGAGCGTTCACTTCCCAAGGCCCGTCAATGGATCCGTCTCCTTCAGCAGGCAACCAGCCTGGATTGATTGTTCTAGTGAAGTCACGTTCCTTGACACGCTTCCTGGCAAACGAGGCGACGGTATGTGAGTTTCTGTCTAGCCCCTCCTCCAGGCCGAGTTCATACCCTAGAAAGGCTAGTCTATCAACAATCTCATCGTTGGCCGAATAAGGAGATCTAGACGAGTATTTGGCAGCTGAAGCCACTAACGCCGCATTCCTCAGTTGGTGCACCCTCCTGGGAAGTCTGTCTTGTCGGTTCCAAATTGGAGGCAGATATCCCAATCGGCAGAGTTCCAAGATCGAACCGTATTGATACCATTGGAGTAGTGGTATTTTGTCCTTGTTCACCATGCCGAAATTTTCGTCATTGTTCGGCAGGTGTGCAGCATGTTCGGCTTTCTCCCCTAAGCCCTGCATAAGTGATCGTTCCCAATGGAATGAAGGCTGTTCACTACATAAGGACGTTGGGGTCGAGGGTTTTTCGGATGAAAAATTCCGAATCGAGTACCAAAGCGTGATCATCATGTAGTAGTAGTTGGACATGTCCCCTGAGTTATCGACGTTTGTGAAAGGTGAAGAATTTGGTTCACGTAGTGCTAGGACCAAGAAGCGGACAACTCCTTCTATTCGATTCTGGATGCGCCGTTGTTGCTCCGCAGCAATATCTCTCATTGTTTCTTTATCAACTGGATCTAAATCAGACAGCGACGCGCTATGATTTCCGCTTCGTCCGTCATCGTTGGTACTCTTGCTAACTTGTAATGAATGCTGAATGACTCGGCCGAGGAAAAGATGGACTTTGATGAGGAACCGTATTTTCCAGCTGGGCTCTATAGTTAGACCAAATGCTTTTCCAAATATTACTTGAGCCTGAGTTGTACTTACAATAATGCTCTATAGTCGACAGTCGCTTTGATGAAAATATTACTGACAAGGGCATCGCAGCGTTCCGATTTCTGGGTGCTCGAATGATGAATAGGAAGGATGTCGACATGAATGATCTTTTCGAGGCACCTGCCGATCAAATGAACTTCGGCGAGCGGAGACAAGGAGTTCGACCGCAGGTAGTGCTTGAGAAAAATCGTGTCCCACATAGCGCCTGTCGCCGATTTCCGACTCAGCTTATCCTTGGGGTTGGCACCGACATAGTTGAAAATTTCCTCTGACGAGGGAGGGACTGCTGGCCATGGCTTCGGCGATGTGGAAGACTCGGACAGACAGAAGGACGCTACGAAAGTTGCATTCTTCTTCTTGATGGGCCCATTTCGGGTAGATAGTTTGCAAATTGCGTGGTAAGCGGTCATGCCACATGCCTCTACGCCATTATCACCGTCTGATTTTGAAGGTATCAACAGCAATTCTTCGTATTTTTCAACTTCTGCATTGGTGTTAAGTTGATAGACCCTGGCTTCCAGTTTGATTTCTTCATCTGTATACATAATCTTCTCACACGGTCCTAAACTCGTCGTTAATGGCGGTTCCGACTTGCACGGTTGCTTGGAAGGCTTGTCGGCATGACAATACAGTCCGCTTACAGCAGGGTTCGGGCCAAAATGTCGGAATTGAACAGGTCCTCCGACAGTGAGAACAATGTGAGCGTCGTCCGGAAATATATGACATGTGCTCGGGTCCGCAGCTGACCAGAAGTCTTGTTCAATGCGCACGACTTGGTAGAGTATGCCATCCTTGATGAACGAAAACATTACACAAGTTCCCGTCTCCTTCTCTGTCCCTGAGACCTCTCCTGCGACTCCATGTTTTCTGTTCTGCTTCGCTTTCTTCAATCTCTCCTTTACTTCATTTGCCATGATTTCTTCTTTACTTGCCAGTATTCGCTCGATCTCTTTTTCTGACATGCGCTCATTGCTCAGTTTCCTTTTCTCCTCATCATAAACCTTCTCTTGCATAAATACTCGGTCAACTTCATCTACAACCTCAAGTTCGTGCTGTATTATCTCTTCTGGTGATTTACGCTCGGCGTTCCACTCCTTCCTTTTCTGAACAAGCATCTTGTCCTTGATAACCTTCCATCGATCCTTGTCCATGTCATCCCTGGAGTCTTCGTTCAGAAGAAGTGCGTACTCGTTGAAAGGCCAGCGATAGTTGAAACTTCCCCGTTCCAGCATGTTACCAAGGCGGAAATGCGATCCTGCCTTATTCCCGAATAGAAGCGAAGGATGGTAGGGGGGCTGGTCCATCGAGACTTTGAGCCCGAAGGTAGATGGTCCCCCGGTCTCAAGTTGACCTCTTGCAATGGAAGCATGAAGCGAGGGCGAGAAGTCGCCATTTGCGAATATTAGACCATGTTGAGGAGAGAGCGACGATAGATTCAATAGCTCGCCACCGTAATTGCACCTTGCGGCGTATCCGCGAGATCCAAACTCGAAGGAGGTGGCCGAGAGATGAGAAAACTGAGAGTAGCTGATATATGCGATCCCTGGATTTTGTGTCAGCCCTAATTACAACTTGCTACACGACAAGGTGTATGGTCCAAGATCTTACCTCGACGATTTCGGCTGAGCCAGTTGAAGGACTTGGAGATATCCGAGCCAGTTCCCACGTTCGCGGCCTCCGCCATTATGAGGAATCGTTGTCCGACCGAACGTCGGGCTTCCAGGGTTGCATAGTCGGTAGCTATCCATTATCTATAGTCTCAGCCTGGAGCACGCAAAGGAGCACGCAAATGACGTGAATGGTCACCTCGTGCTTCAGCTCCGCACGCTCACCAGCGCCACCAATCATACATATTCGTGTCAGCACGCAGGGGTTCACTCGAAAAACATTTCACATTTCGCCGAGGACAGGGGATATCAACGAATGCGTCCTTGTTGGCGCGCAGGGTATGCTTATTGTCCCCATATCCGGCTCCGACAGCTCGTTTAGCGGGTCCTCAGCCTGGCCTCTCGTATCCTTAAAGTTGCTTCGTATGAGCTTGCAGGCTTAGCTAGATGTGGGATAAAGGATTAGAGAAGCATTTTGACAACAGAGCGGCATCCCAGCTCGCCGGGAAAGAAGTGGAGGCCAAACTTTCGGAGGGCGATGCTGTTATACCTAGGTATGCGGGAGGCTGAACATTTCAGGAGGCAACAAAAGCCGTCGTACTAGGAAAAAAGTTTACAATTCCGGAGTTTGGCCGAACAGAAGACGTTATTTCCAGCTGGGCTCTCTGCAGCAACCTTCCAGAAATGTTCACGGACCGTGGAAGGATGGGAACATTTTGCCGTTAATGGTCGGCGAAGTGCAGGGCACCCCCATCAATATCGGGATGATAGACATTGGGCGGAGCACAGTAGTAAGGATACCTGGGTAGCGGTAACTACCTCCAAAGCTTAGCACTGCAATGAAACGGCAGTTTTCGGATTGTCATGGAGCTGCAAAACATGGGGAGCTGAGAGGAACCTCCATCAGGTGCGGCTGAGCGGACGGAACGGACGGCCCTTAACAACGCCGGGCAGGCAAGCGACGTACCTGCCCAATAATCGCAGCATATCGATCCCGAATAGTAGTTTGGGATGCGCATCCTAGGTTCGTGATCTGGAACTTCTTTTCTGGCTCTACTGCCTATCTGCCCGTTCATGTCTGTCAAGTACAATCTCAACGAATTTTCCGTATTGTCGACACACTAAGTAGGCTGTACTTTGGCGGCGAAGTGCCCACCCTGCACGAAAACTAGCCTTGCAGTCTTAACCATTGCCACATGCTGCTAGTAAAGAAGGTTAGCATTAGGAATAATTTCGAGACAATAACTTACTTTCTCCGCACCTCTCCTACTATTGGCGTTTCGCCTCAACCTCCAACTCTATCTGCATAGCGGGAAACGCCAAATGAGGCACAGCAACAGCCGTCCACACAGGTCGATGACCCGGAATGCGCTTCTTCAAAGCCTCCACCGTGGGCTGCCACGTACTGCGGATGTCACAGTGGTACGAGCGCAGCAAATACACGTCCTCCCATCCTCGTAGGCCTGCCGCCTGCAAGACAACATCGACGTTTTTCATGGCCAGTTCGACCTGCTTAATAGGATCGTTTGCATCCAGGTCACCTGATTCGGGATCCCAGCCACCTTGGCCCGAGCACTTTACGATGCCGTTGTCGAGATCAACTGATTGGGAATAATGTCCTATTTCGCTGTGCTTTTCACCGGCGCCGGGAGGGTTGTTGTACGAGAGGGAGGACATGTCTCTTGGGAGGGAAATCGCCGCTGCGAGCTTGGTCAGATCGTAATACAGATATTGGGACTGTAGTTGTGAGTTGACTTACGAGGATATTCGTGTTTGGAATGTATCGTGTTGGGATAGTCGAGTCTCAAGGAGCAAAGAGAGCGAGGAGATTTCTGTACACACCGAGTGTGCTACCGCGAGGGACTGAGGGACGACTTATACAAGGTTGGCCACGTCACGTTTTTGAACGTCATCGCAGCCATAGAAAATAGCCACTAAAATTCGTAGTTAATGGCGGGGGAAAAGCTTACCTTTCGGCCCGATTAATGTGTGTATTTATCAGCGCGGCAGAGCGAAAGAGGTGGGTGTCTAATAAAGACGCGCACGAGGCAATGCACCGATCTCCAGCTTTTAAAGTATTTGGGACCAAGGCATAAGTAGTCTGTCACAAGAGGATCACGGGGTGTCGATGATATGTTTTATCACCAAAGTTTCCTTGCGTTCTTTATTCAAGTAAACTCAGGTTTACCGGATTCTATGGCAGAGCCAACGCAATGCCAATACTGGCTCCAGTAAATACATATGGTACCCATACTGTACGTGTTCATATTCTATGCCATACGAACACCAGCATAAATCGAATTGACCACTGATCTAAGCTGGACACGTACACTGGTGCTCTCGCATTACCGCGGGATGTATAGGTCGCATATGTACACCATCGGCACTACCATCGGCATCTTCACCACCGCATCGGCAATCAGCGGCTCCACATGTATACTATCGGCATTACTACCGGCATCTTCACCACCGCATCGGCAATCGACCTCCACATCCCGTCATCATGTGCGAAACATTTCTGCGCATAGTTTCATCCGAGTTGTGACCATTCTGGTGACGCGGCCGTGCAAGGTACACCAACAAACAAGGCTTGCACACGAACGAACACAGAATAGGCGGTGTGGCCTGCAGCCGTGACATCACGTCCAGGAGTTATGATTGCATATACAAAGCGGCTTCACATTGTGTGGCCGAAGCCCTGACTATGCGACAGAATCGCAGCCCGGGGTATCCAAAATAGCTTCTGCCCATCTATACAAAAAGGGCTCGCATACTTTGTGCAAGGGTGTGGCGGTACCATCGTCGAACAGCAGTACACATGTGAAACGAAACTGGACATCATGCGTGACCAGCAGGAAGTAGCACACACTATGGCTCGCTTCTCGCCGCTCCCGCTCTCACACTCTCCGCGCTAGACATCGACTGGAGACCCCGCTGCGACTCGGCCCTAGCCTTAACCGCCTTCATCGGTATCGGCGCCTCAAAATGCTGCACCTCGTTCGTAGTCGAAGTAGTAAAGTTGTTCTTCGCATACGGACGCTTATTTCTGGCTGTTCTACGGCTGGACAACGCGTCTAGAGTGTCCGCTAGAGCGCGCTTGCATTCAGGCCACGTCGTGGAGATGTATATCATGGAGTTCCAGAAGCCCTGGAGAGGTAGGACGAGGGCGGAAGCTAGGTTCAGTCCGAAGATGGAGTGCTCTTTGTCGATGAATTGCTGGAGACGGTTGACGGTTGAGGGGACCCAGACGATGAAGAGGGCGGCGAACATGAGGAAGGCGACTTTGAAGTAGGACCATGCGGCGGCGTTGCCTTCCAGGGCGGTGGTCCGGCGCTTGTGGGTGTTGCGCTGGGAGCTGGAGAAAGACTGGGAGTTTTTGACTTTGCGGTCGGGGACCTGGATGGTGGCGAAAGCGGTGGCGTTGTAGCCAGTGCGAGGGCTATCTTCGCGCCGGGTGGTGCCTTTCATGAGATCAAATGGGCCTGAAGATGGTGGTAGAGTAGAGACATCCGCTGGGACGGATAATTCCTTGGTGCTGGAGAATGAGGCGCGAGAGAGTGAGTCTTGGTCGATGGACACGTGTTTATAAGATGTTTCCACCTTCATCTCGGTCTCGACCTTGATATTTCGGAAGTCTGTTGTGGTGATTGTGTTGCCAAGATCTCCATCTGGTATCTTGGTGAAGGAGCGCAGCTCAGCACGCTTCTTGAATATTTGACGCCCTGTCGCAATGTAGATACACATAGTAGCGCCAATGACGACCCTATTTGTTGTCAGACACGATTTCTTGACAGAGTCTGTGATATGCTTACCAAATAGGAGCGTAGAAGAAGGCGATTCGCATCCATTCAAGATCTTTCCCAACCCAGCACCAGATCGTGGCAGGTCCGATGACCTTCTTCTTGTTTGGTCCATGATGGTTCATGATTAGGTATGCGATAGCGATGCTTCCGGGACTGCCGTAGCTAAAGAGGATGTACCACTTCTCGAGTCGAAGTAACTGTGCCGAATCATACCCGCGGAAGAAAACCAACATGACATTCAGCGCCATGCTGAAGACCCACAAGGTATCTGCCATCATGAACCTAATCAGAGTCAGCAGGTGCCTCAAGATGGAAATGGCAGACTGACCATTGGATCAAGATGCCCTGAAACTCGCACAGAGCTTCGTATGGTGCACTCTGATTTGGTAGAGCAGAGATTGATATCAAAGTGGCGATGTTGCTCAACATATTACCGAAGGACGCGTAGAAAACTAGCCGGTTGATAGGTTTCCGAAAGTAGTGCCATCGGAGAAAAGTCGATATGATGAACAGTGAGCCTAGTATGCTCAGAACCGACATGGTCCGCTCTGAGACCTGGATGGCCAGCATCTCTCTGGCGGTGAGCACCATGGTAAGACAAGGAGTGCCTTGACACTGTATATGGTCGGAGGTATTGCTGTATCGAAACTGCCGGAGCCCGCCAGCAAACCGTGATGCAACGAACTGGTGACAAGATCCCGCCGCGCTCTCTTCAGGTGACCGGAACCATGGACCAACGTGTGAGCTCCCAAGTGTGGCTACAATCTCCTTGCGGTTGAAAATATACTGGGTAGGCTTGCCGCGGGGTTATTCTTGATTTAGGCTGCCGCATGAATGAGCGCAGTACGCCGCAGCTGGTCGCGTCTCTCAAGGAAGTCGTGTCCGAGAGGTGCGAGAAAGAGTTCTCACCTCATGTACTTGCCGGATCTAATTGAAGCCAGACAGCTTCGAGATCGAGACAGGCGGCTGAGTGAAGGGTCGGCGGTAATTCCACACGCGCAGTCCAGGAATGTGGGCTTAAGGCACGCTTATGCCGCGTTTTCGTCCTCGAGGAGCGTTTGCACTATACCGTTTGGGGCAGCGCGTGAAGTACAGCGCAGGGAGTGCGTTTGACGTAAGGTGACACAATCAGCAAATGGAGCTGGTGGCGTTGACTTAGGTGCTACCTGGGCAACTGTGAGAGAGGTGAACAACGTTGTCTGCTACGTACACAGAGCAGCCCCGTTTAACAAATTACAAGACTACAAAGTTACAGAATGAGACAGTGCAGGAGTAGCACTGACCTTGCGACACTATAGTGTACATATACGTCGACTACATGCCTCGTCCCGTTCCTGTCCTTGAGCACGCATAACGGCACATGCTTAGCATAAGCCGGCGTCTGCAATCTACCAACATTTCCTACGCGCAGCCAGTGAGATTCTGTGTGCTTGAACAAAGAGAAGCGCGATGGCGTCGAGAGGCTTGCGCTGGGGTTAGGCTGAGGTATCATTATAGCGCAGGTGGGCGTATAATAGCAACAGCTGACCAGGATCTCCTAGAACCGTTCTCGGACAAAATCCTCTGTCATGCATGCCAGCCGCTCGAAAAACCGACATCCAGGACGATGTTGGCAGCTCACCGGCCTGGTGGCTCACAATGGGGACTTGCCATTGGCGACCCGACGCCCACCAGCGTGGACGCTCGCACCTATTCTTATCCGCCTAAGACACATCAACTCAACTCCACATTCCATTGTTACCTCGACCATCACTTCGAGGTCGTGCTACCGATCGTGCTTGAAACGCATCATCGAAGCACAATGCGCTCTTTCTTGTGCGAGGTGTTCGCATCCGCCATAACCGTGCCACCTCGACGCTTTGTTCGAAGGAGCTGCTTCGGTAAGCCTTACTGCATCGTGCCACGAAACCTTCCCGCATGCATAATCGGTCGTGCTCAGTCATATCCCGGGGGCGTTCATCTTGCGGACATGCGGGCTATGCCAACGCCTAGAACCTGTTATCTGCCTTGTTCATACACCATCATCGCTTGCCCCAGCTGCCCGGTGCCTCGATCTTATCTCATGCTCGCGTGCATCGGAGATTCTCAGACCAACGTCGGACTGAACTCGTGTGGAAGGGGCGATATGCGCAGAGACATGGCGTTGACAGCCTTCGACACGTCGGCCCACAATTGACTTTCGGCTAATCTTGGGTTTGTGATACGATACTGCAGTCAGAAGGCTGCCATCAATTCTTCGACACGCGACACCTCGAGAGCATCCCTTTGTGATTCAAATTGTTTGTCTTGCAGGACCAAGAAATGTTCTAGCTTACCATTCGTCAGGAAAAGGGTATTCGGTTTGCAGGGACCTCGTGGGTACCCTGTCGATTGGCCGTCCCTTGTCAGATGCTCGCTTGCACCCCGCATAACGTTCAGATTCGTCGTCATTTGCCGGTCGACCAGGAGCTTTTCCGCTCTAGTCCCTGAATACCCGCAACCGAGTGCTTGGATACATGCAAGCGACGCGGTCAGGGTCGACAAGACGAAGCAAAACAAAGCCACACGCGGTCAACATACTCTTTTCGACGTTACCTTCGAGTCTGCAATGCATCTAGCGCATGCGCGGGGCATTGGCATCTGGACCATAACTGTGGTCGTTGCCTACACCGACTATCATCATTTTTCGAAGTCTCGATGCACGGATCAAACCATTGAGAACTGAAAGACTTCTTACTGATGATAGTGTACCGAACCTCGCACCACCAGATCCTTGAGGATGGCTGACAACATCTTTGTCCTGCGTACGCCACGTACGACTACCCCAAGCGCCACTTCGCCCGCTGCAGAAGTAGGTAACCGCGACCGACTAAACCTTATTCTGCTACTGGTCCTAGAAGGCTTCACGCCATTGACGCATCCTTCGTGGCTCGCGGCATAGTCCAGATCTCGAGGGGCGTACTCAGTTCGTTTCATGAAGCGGGGTCCCGTCCATAGTGAACTGATACCACGTGCGCGATCCCACACTGACAGCGGGATGATCACAGTCTCCTGCATATGCATCTAGGTCTGCTGCCAAGCAATACTTCCACAGCGGTGGCTGACACCTTGACTCATGCGTTTCTCTACGAACCGGGATGAGCGGGTAGCGAGCAGTCATGTGCCTACAGCTCTTCCTAAGGTTTTCTGATCAGTCGAATTGCTTTCTACCCAACGCAGTTCTCCAGCATACCGTCAATGTCACAACTGACCAGTCCTTTCAGGGAGATGGATTTCAAGTGGATCTCTAACTCAGGTGCCTCTTCATATGTTGCATTAGACACCTCACAGTCTTGCATCGTAGAAACGAAAAAGTAGCAACGCATGGAAGAGACGAGTCTCGAAAAAGTGTTCATCTGGAAGACTATGACGTCCTACAAGCAGTACCCGCACAAGGCAAACGCAAGAAGTGGTCGCTACACTTAGACTCTCAAATAGCCCCATGCTCAAGCTTTCACGACCTCCGCCCCCCCTTCTCTGCTTCCCACTAATCAGATACACATTAGCCCTCACCTCCAACAACGGATCCGCACTGGCTCCCACCCCCTCAACCCTCGGAATAGGATCAAAAATAACATCCTTCTGCTCCTTCAAAGACTCTTCCTCCGCCTTCGTCTTCTCAATCCTCACCTCCCCCAACTCCACTACCTCCCTCTCCTCGGGCCACAACACAGTCGCGTCATCCGTCGTATCCTCTTCCCCCGCAATCTGCACCATTAGCTTAAACACAACAGCACCCTTCTCCAACCTCGGCTCCAGCTCTTCGAAAAGGTAATTACTGCCCTTGGAAGCTAGTTCATCGGACGAGAGCGTCTGCAACCCAGCTACGGGCTCAACCCTATACCTCACAAACGTCTCCTTCCCCTCCGCGTTCGTAAAGACAAACGCGTTAACGCCGAAATACGCCTCGGTTGCGAAACTCGCCGGACTCGGCTTCGGGTCTTGAAGGAAGCGCACCGTCTCGGGGTGTGTGCCCAGGAAAGCAGGGACGGCCTCGCCGCCAGAGCCGAGCGCTTGGAGCATTTCCAGGAACTCTGCGCCTGTGCGCGTGGGGAAGTAGCGCGTGGAGTGGGCGATGATGTCGGTGTGGCGGCGCTTGCCATCGGAGGAGGGGAGGTGGAAGCGGATGGCGAGGCCGCGCGGGTTGGCGGTGGGTTCAGTGTCCGGGATGGAGGGGATGCCCGTGGAGGAGGAGAAGCGCACGGTGATGGGTGTGGAAGGGAGGGTGAAGTGCGGGGCTTTGGAAAGCGCTGCGGCGTGCGAGGTGGGCGTGAAAGTGCCAGTGAGAAGACGGCCTTTTGCGTGGGCGGGTCGGAAGGACTTGATACATCGCCCTGCGCGCCGCGGAGAGCGTCAACGAGCCCCTTGCTGGTTTCGAGCGTCTGAGTGTCGGTGGAGAGAGGCATGGCTGTAGTAGGTTTTCTGTCTCGTGCTGTACTTGGTCTTTCTGTGGCTGGTCTTCGAGTTCTTGATGCGGTTGCTTTGTCCTGGCGAGGCTTCAACCCGTACTCATACCATCCTATATACCCATCGTCCCACCAGCTTACCCATCACCAACCTTGGCCCTTCCAAATAACCCTTCCAAATACCTTCACAAGAATCCTACATACTTCACCCGCTCGGACGAAGCTATCACCAAACAAACAAAGCAGGGCACGGCCCTAGTCTAATCGGTCAAACGCGATTCGTCAGCCGTGCCACTACGCCAGCTTACTCACGTCTGGGATGCAACCGAGGCACCCTGTTGATTTACTCTGCTGCAGCTTGTAAGCAATTTGTAGGTTACGTAAAGGCAGCCGAAGGATGCTATGCTGGCATTCCAATTCGAACGTCGGACTTCGTCGACAACATGTACCTCGTACGACCTGCGTATTTGAAATGGCGAAGTGTAAGTAAATAGGCGAGCATCTGTAAAGATTTTCATTGGCCGTTGTAAGCTAGTACCTCGCCCCCATTTACCAAGATACCAATCTTGGATCAAACAAGAAATCAGAACTGCGCAGATAATGCTCGCTGCATGCCTAGGAATAGCGTGAACCGTAACGTAAGAATACTCCACGTGAGGACTCCAGAACGCCGGTCGTCTGCATTAACCCAGATGACGCCCTGCTTTTAAGAAAGACCGAAAACCATGACGTTTGTAGACACGGTCTGGACAGATCGTGATGTCGATAGAGAAGGACGTGTGTCATGAGAAATGGTACGCGCTCGCCGACCGTCGATATACCGTGATGCGATCCTTAGGGTTCCGGCAACCCAAAGAGGAAACTAGTGATGGGACCTGCGACAGGGGATTGCGTCCGAATTCCCTGACTGATTGGATCTGAAGGTATCCCATTAGTCAGTTCTCGAAACAACAGGAAGTGACAGCTCGGCGCTCAGTAGGCACCTTGTGGAACTTGGTAGCCTCCCATCTGAGCTTGCTGGGCCTGAGCCTGTGCGGCCGCCATGGCCTGGGCATGCTGCTGCTGTCGCTGCGGTAGGTCGTTGAACCAAGGGTGGTTGAGGGCGGCAGAGGCGGATATCCGCATCTCGGGACGTAGTTGCAGCATGCTGTTGAGAAGACTCAAACCGACCTGGTCGATCTGCGGCAAAATAAGCCGCAGATCTTGGGTTGCGTAGACTGGAAAGTTGGCCTTGTATTCCGGGAATTGTGAGATTCCAGGCCATGAGCGTTCCGAAGGCGTACCCATGAGACGGAAGATCTTCTGGAGCTGGTCCTCGTTGGTGGTCCCGGGGAAGAGGGGTCTTCCCGTGTACATCTCCGCCATGATGCAACCCGCCGACCAGATATCAATACTAGTGCTATATGTTCTGGAGCCGAGCAAGACATCCGGCGCGCGATACCACAAAGTAACGACCTCGTTGGAAAAAGTATTGACTGGGATACCGAAGGCTCGCGCAAGACCAAAGTCGGCCAGCTTGAGCACGCCTCGAGTGTTGATGAGCAGGTTCTGCGGCTTGAGATCGCGGTGCAACACACGATTTTCATGGCAGAAGGCAATACCACGAAGCAGGTGGTACATGAAGGACTTGATGGTGGCCGGGTCGAGGGCGCCCCGATCGCCGCGTGCGTCCATGTACTTTTTCAGGTCCTTGTCCATGTATTCGAAGACCAGCATCAGCTTATTCTCAGTGTGGATGACGTCGTGCAGCAGGACGATGTTCTCGTGCTTCAATTCCTTCATAAGGGATATCTCACGGATGGCCGTCGATGGGGTGCCTTCTTCGGAATCGAGGTGGATCTCCTTGAGCGCGACGAGCTCGCCTGTCTGGCGGTTGCGGCCTTTGAACACCTATCTTGGGTCAGCATGCTCATCGCATGACGATCAAGTATCATACGCACAGTTGCATATGTGCCCTCACCCAGCTTCTCCAGCTGCTGGAAGGAGCTGGGGTGTCTGCGGTTGTCCATGGTTGGCGCGAAAGGCGCAGTCTGGCTGCTGTCTAGATTGCGTACGCTGATGGATGAGTCGGTGCGGTTCCCGAGAGAGTGTGTCCCTGCGTGAGTGGGGCGGAGTTTGCTGGGAGGAGGGCGGTTGGTATGCTGGGGATCAAAGAGGATGGTGCTCGCGGTTATGAGTTCGTTTGCGATGCGCAACTGGGGCGGGGTGGAGTGAGCGGGCGTGGACGCGGCGTCGGGGGACTTTGGTTGTGCCGTTGTGGTGAAGGGAAGCTTCGCAGCGTCCCCGGGGCTTTGTAACGTCTAAATAGAAGCAGTGGGTCCCAGCAGCAGCAGCGAAGATCGGTCGGTGTTGGCGCTGGTGGATGAGTCCTCGGATGCTTTGGTGGGGCCAGGCGAGCGCTTGTTCTCGGCCGTTGCCGCCCTGCGAGCGATGCTCTCGCCAATCAGTCAAGCGCGTGCCTTGCTGCGATTGTAAGGATCCCGGATCGCCTCTACCAGAATAGAGACGGCGTTGCTCTACAATTTGATTCGGCTATTCTCTCTGATACTCGAGCATTTGCAATGCTGCTTGCGGGCTTCCCTAGATCTGTAGTACCATGGGAGCTGAACGTGCCACGAGACCAACTTTGGAAGAATCTACTCAAGATCTCCACAGCTAGACGTTGGGCAGCAAATCAACCAAGGCATGTACACATGCAAACAGAATTTGCTGCCAACTGTTGAGACTTGCCAGCATTGTTTGTAGTAGGAACTTGACGCGGGTAGCTGCATGACAAGGGCAACCCTGTCAGCCACCGTACACACAAGGTTCACGTGGCGGCCAGACAATGTATAACTCTGGACGATCATGAACACTTTGGATGAGACATCTTACAGAACTGACACAAGAATGCTGGTCGGGGTGCTGCTGAATAAGACCCAGCAGTGCGTTGCATAGCGGGGAACGATTAGTGGAGCTCTGGAACCGGAGGCGGTGGACAAACGTCACAGCAGCTTCACAGACCACCAACACCACCACGTCCAACGTCTCGCGACACACACCTGCCTTGTGTGGGAGCGCCATGCGTGCACACCTCTTCTGCCGCTGCCCTGTTCCCTACCTCGAACGTGCACCGCCCGACTGATTCCCTTACCTCGCCACGAGAGACCGCCGTTTACCTTCAGATCTCGTCGCCTTTCCCGGGGCCTCCTTTGAAGCTTCACCCGCTCTGAGACACCGTTTGCGGCGCGAAACACCGAGAGTACAAGGCAACAAATTCCGAACCTTGCACCTGCGGGCACGCAGAAAGCCTCTATCAGCATGAAATACAGTCTATACGACCGCTTGTTGGAGCGGGAAGTAGCCACCGGCCGTAAGAAGCAGTATTCTAGCGTACTGGGGCTGTACGGCGACAGACAATGGGCGCAGGATATGGATATTGTGAACGAGCTGGAAGGCCATAATGGATGCGTGAACGCTCTTTGGTACCACATCGCCCGTCAGTCGAACTGCGTGTTGTACTAACAGCTCTAGCTGGTCGACATCTGGACGTTTATTAGCCTCTGGCTCTGACGATCACCGTATCAACATCCATTCCTACCAACCCGAATCTTCCGCATCCCAGTTCAGCCTCACGACCTCCATTTTGACGGGCCACCAGACCAATATCTTCTCTGTGAAGTTTATGCCCTACTCTAGTGACCGAACTATCGTATCCGCCACCGATGATGTACGCATATTCGATATCGAGCACTCAGGACACTCGGCATTTGGCTCTGCAGCTGCAGGACGATCACAAGGAGTGAGGAGACGCGTGGGGATCCATGGCGTACCCGATGGGCTGACGCTGACCGAAGGAGATACCAATGCGAAGGCTTTTAAGAGTCACAAGGACACAGTGAAGCGTATCGTGACCGAGGACACACCCTTCTATTTCCTCACCTGCTCCGAGGATGGCGACGTAAGGCAATGGGATGTGAGACAGCCGTCAAGGGTCTATCCGCCACAGAGGGACAGTATGATGCCAAGCTGGGCTGCAGGTAGCGATGCGTCTGACAGTGTTCCTCCGCCCTTAATCTCGTACAGTCGGTACCACTTGGATCTGAACACGGTTTCATGTTCCCCATCGCAGCCGCATTATATCGCCCTTGGTGGCGCGCACTTGCACTGCTTTCTTCACGATCGTCGAATGCTTGGAAGGGACAAGTTGCGCGAACGTGGTGCCAAACTGGGGGATCCTGGAGGGCATCATGATGATGACATGTTAGGCAAGGCTACCCAATGCGTCAAGAAGTTTGCTCCGAACGGGCAGCGGCGAATGAAGCGCCGCGACAATGGACACATTACTGCCTGCAAGATTAGTGATGCGAATCCAAACGAGCTCGTAGTCAGCTGGTCTGGAGACTACATCTATAGTTTCGATATGATGAGAAGCCCGGATGCGTCAGAGGAGACGGAAGAATCTGGACCATCGACGGCACCATCCAAGCGTCGTGTAAAGGACAAGAGTCGAAAACGTAAACGCCCAAAGTCTAGTATCCTGTCTCAAGAAGGTGCGAACCGGGCTGAGTCACGGCAACGTACAGAGAGCTCAGAAGAAGGTTTGGCATTGCGTGTTAATTATGCGAATGGTCAAAGCGAAGAGATCCGTGTGGAAGCTCCAAATAGTCCTCTGACGCCTAGCGAGACAGCAGAGATTCAAGCTACTGATCATTACCGAATCGCGAAGACTACCATTGGGCTTCTCCCTAAAATTTTCGATCTTTCGGAAATCTTGTCTAGTAACGTCGGCAGCCCCGCCGCCTACATATCGGTCTTCACTTCTGTCCTTGGGTCTGCGGCTTCTGTGCTGCCTGATATGGATGAAATATCCAGAACATGGCGTTATCCGGTCGATCCATCACCGGTCGATGTTGCGGTACAGAACAAGCTTCGTGAACAACGAGGCTCTTTCCGACGGTTCGTGCAGGCCGCGGGCACGCTTGCTCGTGTACTTGGAGGCCAGCTACGAACGGGCGGAGACGCTAATGCTTTCATCGCTCAATACTTCGCCTCGATTCAGCACGCACCTGGCGAAAGACGAGTACCTCAACATGAACAATTTGCATACGACTTTCTCAAAGCCATTCTACTATGGCTTGATAGTGGAGTGCAGTCTGTCATAGACGGCTTCTCTAGCCCGAGCTCGAATCCCCGCATGCCACTTCCCCCGGATGCTGATTCCGATGCAATTGACGAGATTCTTATCCCCTACCTTCTCCAGTTGGCGAGTGATGATCCCATCGTCAACGTAGATGTGTCGAGATTTGAGACGGATGAGACTCGAATCCTGTTCTCGTCTGAGAAAGCCGCCGTTATTGCATTCAGTAGGGCTGTAAAGGTTCCGTTCGCTGATCTGACTGGGGCACACGTACCTGCATCTGGCGATGTGTCAATTGACGACGATGTGCCAGGGCAAGATCGCGCAGCGGCAGTGAGAAACTGGGCGTTCAGGATCGGTAGGGGCTTGTTGCTGAACGCTGCGAAAGGGATCCGTTTCGCTGCAGTTGATCGGGCGTTTGGTGGAAGTGGGCTAGCAGACCCGAGTATTCAGGCCGAAGAGATGGAGCATCGTGAGCGCCAAGAAGACATCGACCCGCTTGAGGAGGAGGATGATGATGATGTTGTCGTAGAGGCGGAGCTCGTGAGCCGCGCCTGGGCTGATCAAGCGACTGCAGACTCGGGATCAGCTGGAACCCCCAGCGCAGCAGCAACTGGTACCAGCGAGAGCAGCGGTCCACGGGTTCAAGAGCCTGAGGAAGTGGTAGAGGAAGAAATCGAAGATGAAGAAGGTGAAGAGGACTCAGATGGTGACGTTGATTCTGGGAACGAAGACCAAGACGAAGACGAAGACGAAGATGATGATGTCGACGAGGACGGTCTTGCACGCACACGAAGCGGTCGCGTTCTGTGGCGTTCCGATTTTGATCGCAGCTATCTTCGGGAGCGCGTTGAATCCCACGTACCTTGCGCGCCGCATACCCGTGTCTACACTGGGCACTGTAATGTCCGAACCGTGAAGGATGTCAACTTTTTTGGCCAGAATGACGAATACGTCGTTAGCGGTAGCGACTGTGGACATCTCTTTATCTGGGATCGGAAGACAGCTCAGATTATCAATATACTAGAAGGCGACGGCGAGGTTGTCAATGTGGTCCAAGGTTTGTCTTCGTCATGCAGGTGAATTGGGTAAATGCTGATCTTAATAGGAAATCCATACGAACCAACAATGGCGGTTTCCGGGATAGACCACACAATCAAGATCTTTTCGCCAGATGCTAACGCCCAACGTAATGCTCGTAAGGGAATTGGCGTCCATTCCGCCGACCGCGGACTTTCTAGCCTGGGGTTCGGACGAAGTAGACGACGAACGCGACGCCCTTCTGCAACCTCGCCTCCTGCAGTGCCTCGCGATCCTTCACTTAGTGATGATGACGATGATGACGACGTTGCGGAGAACGGTCTTAAGAGTCGAAGAGCTATGCATGAGCAGTACCAGATCACGTCCCAGAACGACATGGACAGGAAAGGCGGTGAGTCACTCAAATATATGGTGCTCAGGGATATCTGCTGACTGTTTGGTTCGTTTAGGTCGAGAAGACGCGTTCATAACTAGGGCGCTGCTTGCTCAGTTGGCACAGCGACTGCACGGGCACCAGCAGATCGTCCTGGGTGGTGGCGGCGAAGAAGATGAGGATGGCGAAGGGACCATCGTGTTCAACAACGATGAGGGTTGCAATGTCCAATAAGGCCTTTCGAAGGGCAACTTAATAATTTAGGGAGTCTTAAAGGCTTACACAGCAAAGAGAACGTGAAAACGTCATATGATCGTTGTGTGACACAGGTTCCATCCAAGATGTATCGGTGTGGCACAGAGTTAGAGTAGGCAAACCAAACGCGCTTTTAGGTTGCAATCACCTCACTACTACAACGAAGATCGAACCCAATTAGTCTGCACTGAACCAGAACAGTATATTGAGTAGCTTTTCCCGCCCAGAGCCGAGTCCCATGTTCCAACCACTTTATGCGCCAGCCGCAGCCCAACACCCTAAAATGAGCAACGTGTCCCTTAAGTAGCCTTCTTCTGCTGCGCCTTGAGCGCCTTCTTGCGGTTGCTCCGTATCATGACTGTGGAGAGGAAGCTGCCGACAACGGTGGTGGCCAACACAATCAAGATGACCGGAATGCGGATGGCCCAGACGCGGGGAAGGAAGAAGGATTGGAGGATGTGGTCGTCGTCGACGAAGGGCTGCAATTTGGTCAGATATAGGGGTTTTGATGTGTAATCCGAACGAGTAGAGAGGTAATGGGCGAATGTCTAAGGTGAGAAGGGCTCCGTACCATGAACAGGGTCCAGATGGTGTAGTAGACGAAGACCGTGGTTGCTGCGATGAGCATGCTGAGGCCTACGAGACGGTCGAGCTAGGCACTTGTTAGCGACACATCACTCAGAAGTAGTAGATTGTAGCTTACCATCTTGATTGTTTTAGTGGGTCGTGAATGAGTGAAAGCTACGTGTTGACCGCACCACCTGGTAGTGAATGTTGATGCTGAGCTGGAAGTTCGGGGCATCGGTTAAACCTTCCTCCGGAAGGTCTTGGCGCGTCATTGCCTGCCTCCAAAGTTTCTTGCCGCGCGACATCTCGCCATCACAACTCACAAGTTGCGACCAACTCCAATATACCACTCTCCCACCTGCATGCGCGGTGCTCTCCCCGGACGGCGATTCTTCGGCCTTTACGAGGATAGTCGAGTCTTCGAAAACCCCCAGCAACATGATGGAGGTTGCTTCTGCCGTCCGCATTCCCTCGCCGGAGCCTGAACCGGAGCTTCCAGAGCCACCTCGTAAGCGCGACCGCTCACCACACGAAGCCGGCCCTTCGAAACGCTCGCGACGATTGGACCGGGATGAAGAAGATATCGACCACTCCCGGGACCACGACCGAGCACGCGACAACGACCGCCGCAGAGACCGCGAAAACGGGCACAGGCGGGACGAGAATGGAGACGGTTCACATGAAAACGCCGCTCAGAATGTGCAGGAGGACGACTCGCGGCTCAAGCTCTTCCAGAGTGCCTTCAGCTCAAGCAGGAAGCTCCCCATCGACGATTCGAAGACGCGAGCTGGTGGCGCATATATCCCGCCTGCGCGTCTGCGCGCGATGCAGGCTGCCATCACGGACAAGAGCACTCCTGAATTTCAGCGCATGGCTTGGGAAGCGCTCAAGAAGTCTATCCAGGGTATGATCAACAAGTGCAACGTCGCGAACATCAAGCAGATTGTGCCAGAGCTGTTCTCCGAGAACTTGATTCGTGGACGCGGACTGTTTTGCAGGGCGATAATGAAGGCACAGGCTGCGAGCTTGCCCTTCACAAACATATACGCGGCTATGGTGGCCATCGTCAACACGAAATTGCCGCAAGTGGGAGACTTGTTGGTGCGCAGACTGATCATACAATTCCGCAAGTCGTTCAGGAGGAACGACAAGGCGGTTGCGGTGTCTAGTTCTATGTTCCTGGCGCATTTGGTGAATACGCAAGTCGTCAATGAGATTCTGATTGCCGAGATTCTTCTGCTGCTGCTTAACAAGCCGACAGACGACAGCGTCGAAATTGCAGTGGCAGTCACTAAAGAGGTGGGCCAGTTTCTGGAGGAGATGAACGCCGCGATCTCAAACGCCATATTCGACCTGTTTCGGAACATTCTTCATGAGGCGGACATCGACAAGCGGACGCAATACATGATTGAGGTTCTCTTCCAGGTCCGAAAGGACAAGTACAAGGAGAACCCTGCGGTTAAGGAAGAGCTGGATTTGGTGGAAGAGGAAGACCAGCATACGCATCAGCACCACCTGGAAGATGAAATAAAGGTCGAGGATGGGTTGAATATCTTCAAAATCGACCCAGAGTACGAGGAACACGAAGAGCAGTACAAGAAACTAAAGGCCGAAATCCTAGGTGAAGAAGAGGGAAGCGATGCCGAATGCACAGATGAATCTGATGACGACGAGGAAGATGAGGTACAAAAGGCCGAAGATGTCAAAGATCAAACGAATGCAGACCTGGTCGCTCTCCGCCGAACGATTTACCTCACTATCAAGAGCAGCGGTGGCTTCGAAGAATGTTGCCACAAGCTCATGCGTATCAATCTGCCCCACGGCCTAGAAAACGAACTCACGACTATGATTGTCGAGTGCGCAAGCCAGGAACGCACCTACGAGAAGTTCTACGGCCAGATAGGCGAGCGTTTCTGCAAAATCAATCGTATGTGGACCGACCTATTTGAGGACGGCTTTGTGCACTACTACGAGACTATCCACCGCTTCGAGACGAATCGCCTACGCATTATCGCTCAGTTCTTTGCACACCTGCTCTCTACTGAAGCTATTGGGCTCCACGTCCTTATGGCAGTCAAGCTTAACGAGGAAGATACCACGTCCAGCTCTCGTATCTTCATCAAGATCCTTTTCGAGGAACTCATGGCCAGTATGGGACAAAAGTCGTTAGTAGAGCGATTAAGGGACCCCATGCTCCAGGACAGCCTCACGGGTATCTTCCCTACGGACGACCAGGCCAAGACGCGCTTCGCCATCAATTTCTTCACGGCTATCGGTATGGGCATTCTGACCGAGTCAATGAGAGATTATCTGAAGAACAACGCACCCAAGCCTCAAGCACTACCCGAACCAGAGTCAGACTCCGAAAGTGTCTCGTCACGTTCATCATACTCGTCATACTCGTCGCGTTCCAGGTCGCGATCTAGATCCAAGACGCCCGCAAGGAGAAGAAACAGGTCCATCTCAAGCGATCGCTCATACAGCCGAAGCAGGTCTCCCGCACCAAAGAAAGTCCGCGGTCGCACCCGTAGCCGCAGCTCCTCGTACAGCGCTGCCTCGGACTCGCGCTCACCCCCACCGAGGCGAAGACAATACTCATCCAGCCGCTCGAGATCTCCCGTGCCTAAGAGGCGAGGGCGCGAACCGACCCGCTCGGTCTCGAGATCTCGCAGTCCGGTACGCCGCCGTGATGCTAGTGTGTCCCGATCGAGAAGCCCGGTTCGTCGTGGCGCGAGGAGGTATAGTAGTAGCCCTTCGCGTTCGCCACCTCCGCGCCGCAGACGAGATTCATAGGCATGGTTTGGTGAATTGTGTATGTTAAGGCATGTGGGGTTGCTGGTCTGCGGCACTGGGTTGGACTTCTACGGATAGGAAGGCGAGATTGACATCTAGATGTGTAATTAGGTAGCAGAATGACTTCCTCATCATGAGGGTTGGTGGTTATACCCTCATATGCAGCCTGGCTCTTGGGCACTTCTTTGCTTGTGAGTCTGCTTGTTGTAAACAATGGTGAGGTTGCCTTTGAGTTGATGAGGACATGCTGAAGTGTACCTTGTGTTTGCGAAGTTTGCCTGGTGTTGAGGTGCGTGGCTGGCACACGAGGGGGCAGTTTGCAGTTGTATTTACGGTATGCTTTTACGGTATGTTCCAATTCACTAAATATACTATTTGGACCTTGAGAGCACATGTTCGAGCTACTCATTGCTCATGTCTTCATTCTATTTCGCATTGCTATACTACAAGACACGGAAGCTTCTTGCACAACAAATGCCCGATTTTGTGGGCGCCGCCTTTTCACAAGCAGTCTCACACCTGCAAGGTTGAAGACCCTGTCTCCTCTGTAGAAAGAAACTAGATAATGTAAAGATATCGATGTCTGGTGGAAGAGCTCTTGTTGGACATGGTAAGAGAGCTAAACATGCTGCATTTGTCCTCGTTGTCCAGTTGGTTGATGCACTCCAGATGTTGAATGCACGTTAACACTTTCGAGACCAGGCCTTGTGTCGATAGTGTCCTGTATAGGTTCGGTTCTGTTGGCGGAGGTTCATGTTGTACGTCTACGACGATAGCTTGAGCGTCGGCGCCTATTTGAATAGAAAGACATGTTCTCCATTCCACCTAATGTTGAGGAGTAGAAGTTAGTCATAGGTTATAGGCAGAGTTTTGCGAACAACGAAATTACGTACGTTCAAGGCCAACGATGAATTCTTCGATGACTTGCTGGATTTGGAAGGTCCTAGAGCCTAAAGCGCGAGCGAAAGTCGTTGCTAGAGATGTCCTGGTGTGGAAGTCGCCCTCAAAGGTTATTGACCACCCGTCGATAAGAACCTAAAAACTGTCAGGGAATGTACGGAAGGAGGATAAAGTGCTTACTTGGACGAATTCGCGAATCATGTGCTGGGAGGGCACATCAGCAGAGCCCAGTCGCATAGCCTTAGCCCAGATCCCCATTATGTGAGCAATACTATCATCCAGGACTATGTTGCGTTCTTTGAGCTTTTCTGTAAGTTCGCGGACCGTCTGGTCGGGCTGAAAGTCATTGGAGTTCAGCAGTAGTAGTGATCCTGCAGGTTCTGCAGTGACAATGCTTGCCATTTCTGTTAGTGATCCATGGAAGATGATCGCCTCGGCCGGCACTGAACCGAATATTAGCTTTTCTGCAACTCCTCTGTATCTAGAAACAAATTAATAAGAGATCGAGTATAAATAGGATGTTGAGTTGTCAAACCTCGCCCATCGCGCCTGTCCAATCGTTTTTAGCTCTCTCAATATGTCTGACGCTTTCAGCTGCTGGTGTAGTTTATTAATGCTAGGGTGTTGGCAGTTGAAAACGGCGATCTGAGGATTAACCATGTTTCTATTGAAGGGTTAGATTCTGTGGAGGATAGAACTTATACGGTGCTTACGAGGCATATCCCAGGACTTGAATAAGACTGGTTGCACAAGACACGTACGCGGACGCATTCCCCTGCTTATTCAAGTGCAAATTTGTTAGCAACAGATGGCAATTTCTACCGTCCTCTGTGTTTGGATTAGGCGCTGGCAGCAACTCGCCGTTCCAAATGCTATGCATTTGACTAATGAAGCCAGTCTCGGGACTAAAACTGGTTCGACTAACACTAATTAGAAGAAAGTACAACAGAGATCGTGAAATATGAGGTACCTGTCGCAATCCCACACCCTGAAAGCCAAGAGCTCGAGCTGATGCGGTCGAAGTTGCGGAGAACACTGAGAGGGCGTTGTCTCCAGGTTTTCGGTATTGAGTAGAACGCTGTCCTCGTTCACGTTGACTTCCATCTCTTCTGAATTATTAGATGAGATTGCAAAACCACTAAACCGCATCTCATCTGTGCATACGTGTGGCCGTGATTCATTGAAAGGTGAAGAATTGTTCGAGAAGCGAGTCCGGTGCAAGAGTGCCCTAAAGCGGCGGCGTGTATGCTTGGAACGCGCGAATCTCGCACTGCCAGACGACTGATTCGATGCTACTTCACGGCGTTCGAGCTCGATACCAATAGATCTAGCAGCTTCTTCCACTGCAGCTCTATCGGCGGCGAAGATGTTGCCGGGATCTTGGATCGGACAGTTGTCGATCGGGAGGCAGAAAGGGTACGCCTCCACATTGTCTCGCAGAAACTTCTCTTGTGGTTTCACTTGTTTCCTGCCATCTAAATTCAAGTTATGCATATTGTTGAAGACCTTGGTGAGGGCGTCGGTATCAGCGTCGAAGAATTTGAAGAGCACCGCTAGATCGTAGCGCTGTTTGTTGGTCCAAAGATGTCGTACTGTATACTCTGGCGCTCTCTGGCTTTGGCGACCGCGCTTTTTTCTGATTGGTGCGCACCTAAAGTTCGGTTGTCGGATAGTCAGGCGATGTTGCTGTTGTCCTAGGCCACTGCTTGACGGCATGTGGATTGCAGAGTGTTCAGTGACTGTCCTCCTTGGACAAGGTGTATAGACTTCGTCGTGTAGGAAGTCGGTCCTGTCTGAGGCATAGCCAGAATTGGTGGTGGAATCCATTTGTACTTCTGGGGTATCGAGCTCGTGGTGTTCGTTACCGCTGGAAGCTTGCAAAAGTTGCGCGAACAGGTCTCCAGTCGTGCCCGGTGCTAAGCTTGTTGGGGTGTACTTGGCTTCTATCTCGTCGTTACATATCGTACTCGGGGAGTCTGCTCGGTGGAGGACTGGCAGAATGTTCAATGGAAGTGAGGCTAATGGTCGGCGAATGGTGCGGCTGCTTCGTCCGTTCCGTCCGTTCGCGTGGCCTATCGTACATTAGGTTCTTTGGTAAGGAACTATGATATAAGGCAATATAGATATACAGTGTTCGTTGCACTTACTTTTCGGTTCATGGCTGATTGACATAGGCGAGATTAGGCTAGCCACTGGGGACGAATTCTCAAGAGCTGGAGCGCGGTTCTCATCTGGCACAAAAGCCATTACTCCGCCATCGCAGGATTGCCATGTCCCACTTCCAGACATCGTGTCGAAAATTAAGAATCAAGTACAACAACAGATTTAAGCAGAAATTAACAGATGCGCGTAGGAAAAGGAACAGTTGAGAGAACGAAAGGGTGGCGTTAGGACGAAGGAAAGTGAGGTAGTGAGTTCTGCCGAAGCTCGCTGGGAGCAAACGCTTTTCCATCTCGACACGGTCGCGTCGCGTGAGTACGCGTCGACGTCTCTATACACGTGGTGAGAGTGAAAGTGAGAGTGAAGGAAAGTCTTCTCAAAATCATAGCGCTTGAGGTTGAGCGGATGAAAGTAAAGCTGGCTTTCCAACGAGATCCAAACATTCTTCATGCTGTTCTAAAGCTAGTGGAGTGGAACTCATTTCTTCAGCTTCTGGTAGAATTTGCTTCAGTTGCGATGTTGCATAGAGGTAATATACCGAGTAGTGCATGCGTGCGCGTGCGGATGGCTCGTGTAGACGCTAGCAACTTCCTCTCACCGCTACCCAATCAAGAAGCTACCTGTCAAAATGAAGGCAAACGCATATTGATCTGGGTCGGGGGAAGCCCTCTACTTTTACTTGAAATGAATCAAAGTCACATGACAAGCGCCTTCCTGAGGTCTCGAATAGGACTAACTGGGGATGACGCTCTTTCTTCGTGACGTCTATGTATCACTTCAGGTCCGCTATTGTAGGATATGCTACATTCGATGCTGTCTCGATGATCGTCAGCACCACCACGCTTAGCGTCTTTGTATGTAAGCATACCTCACATCTCGTAGGGAACGCTCGGACATCGTAAGCACACTTTAAACCTTATTCGCAGCCCCTCTACCAAAAGGACTCCACTTACAGCATGACTGGCATCACAAAAGTAGCTTTGGTACAGTAGAGGATGCTGAGCGATGACTTCGTGCGCTAATTCACTGTTCAGTCCACGCTAGCCTTGGCGGTATTAGCCCCGTACGGTTGGGACCGCTACCTCGCCCTTTCAGAGATCGTAGCGAACCGCCCAGGAAGCTACACGCCAATTGACACTTTCAAGGGCCATGACATTAAATTCCGCGACGTCCGTGGCTTCCGAAACTGCGAGGATGTGCTACTGGACGAAGGCTTGGGATTGGCCATACTGTCATGTGATGAGGGCAGAGATAAATGGAATACCGTGATGGGAACATTTCAAGCGGACGGCAGTGTCGAAAATGGAAGACTTTGGCTGTATGATTATGTTGAGACGGATGTGATCCAGCCCCTCGCTTTCAAGAATTTCCCGAACGAGCACGACTTTCACCCGCTTGGCTTGGAGCTGGACAAGACTACCTCTACACTCTATGTTGCCAGCCATGCCCAGAGCGGCTCTTGCATCGAAGTATTCCAGCTGGAGGTAATGTCGAAGAGCCTCACCCATGTTCGAACTATTCAACACCCGCTCATACATGCGCCTAATTCGATAGAATCTGCTGGAGACGGAAAGATATACGTTACGAACGACCATATGTTCCGTGCCCGGGTCTCACCGATCATGAGCAAGATCGAGACGTTCTCTGGTGCGTGATAACTAGGTACTGTGTGGACGTGGACTATCAGCGCAAGAGGATCTTCTTTGGCTGGCTGAAACACACACAAGTACCCACCCCCACTTTCTCGTCCTTGCACTGACTTTGCACCCGTCGGTACAGGTCTCCCTGGTGGCACTGTCGTGTACATTGATCTCAACCGACCAGACGCTGCACGAGTAGTAGCCAGAGTCCCATTCGCCAATGGAATCGCGCGGCTGAATTCCACCACGCTTGCCGTGGCTTCAACATCCAAAGCTGGTGTTTACTTCTACCATGTACAGCCTGACTACGGCTTGACATTCAAGTCTTACGTCAGGACACCAGCAGCGGTGGATAATCTAAGTGTAAGTGAAAAGTCCAGATTGCGTAGTGGAAAGCTGACTCTGCGTCTTTTGATGTTCAGGTAGATTCCGAGGGCACGCTGCTGCTAGCTGGTCATCCCAGTGCTTGTACGTAGTTTCCCTTCACGAATACGAATTGCGCTAGCTGACCTCTGTACCAGTGGAGCTAATGAAGGTCTCAAAGGGTAGACCTCGTTGCGACCCCAATAGCGAGTCCGACGCTGACAGAACGGCCTGCGACTGCACCGCGCCGAGTTGGGTAAGTAGAGCTTTCTTAGCAACGGACAGAATTCAGCCGAAAAGCTGACTTTGTTTAGGCAGCACAGTGGACTGAAGGAAAGGGATTGGAAACACTCTTCAAGGGTGGGCCTGGCGGCTTCTGCAGTAGCAGCACGATGGTACGAGATGTAAGTTTTGCCTTCCGAGTCCGGAGGGGATGTAACTTCAGCTGACCTCTTGGCTCTGCGAATAGCGGAAACGGGGTATCGCCATGATTTCGGGCCTATACGAGAAGGGCGTCATGGTTATAAGGGAGTAGTACGGGTATGGGAAGGCTAGCCTCGACGATTGCGTTGCGCGGGGGACATCGAAGAAAGAGCAGAGGCATCGCTCGGGCGCAATTGCACAGAGTGAAAAGTCGCGTAGGGTGTAGTCGCATAAGGCAATAGAATACGAGTTCAATTCGATAAGCGAAAGGAAAGGGGGTATATCGTTGCAGACAGAGCAGCCATTCTACAAAGACGCAAGGAAAGAGAGAGAAAATCCACACGATAAGCAGCGCTGAGAATCTCAAATCTGTACACCCCACTCATTAAATCTCGTCAGATCCGCAACAAAAGTAAGAACTTGAAAAGCAAGAACGTGAAAGAAATGATGCTCCTGATACTCCAGTCTTAGATTGGCAAAACAGGTGGCCGACGCAATGCATGAAAGCACAGTTACTCAACGCGGTTATGATCAAGAAGAAGAAATATCAGGAACACTAAGAGACGCCGGCTTCCTCTCTCTCGCCTCTACTTCGTCCCCTAGGATCTTCGTACCCGACGCATTCGCGCCGCCATCAAGGAGCGGGAACTCTTTCATCTGCTCTGCATTCATTTGCGGCATAGGCGTGAGTGGAGAGTTCTGCCACTTCGAGACATCCTTTTTCAGTTGCTCAAGCTCCTTCTGGAACCGTTTAGAGTAGACTTCGATGTAGTAGTTTGCTCCGTTGTAGGTACTCCAGATAAACACCACGATAAGGAAGAGGCCGGAAGCCCAGCGAGACCAGAACCAGAGCGGGCATGGCACCATGGTGAGGACGGCGTAGCAGTACTGGATCATCATGAACGCTGGTTCCTGGAGGTACGCGGGCTGTGAAAGCACGAAGCGGCCGAGGAAGTTCTTCGCGTAGGATTTACGTAGCCAGGTAAACGATGTTGGACGGCCGGCCGCGATAGCCTCTCTACGGCGCACTGTTATGCCGAAGTGATAGCTCATTTGCCAGACTGCGTAAGGTAGGGTTGCCCATAGCATCATCTGGGCAAGTCCGTAGCGATGCGGCGAGTCTGGGTCGGCGTTTCGAATGGCCCAAACTGCGGGATAGGCTTGTCGCTGGTACTCGGGTGAGAGCAGATGAACAACGCAATGGAGCGTTGCGCAGGGCATGATATGGATGAACAAACTAACGACCTTGTCCATGGAGTGAAAGACCAGAGAGTTCCGCCACATGATAATTGCTACCGCGTTGTTTCCAAATGCGAGCTGGCAAAGTGATTAGCAGGGAACATCAAGTGCACATTGACAGAACTTACACAATAAGTGCTGATAAATAGGCGTTTCGACCTAGGAAAAACCCAAAGACTCAGAACCAACAGTGCGTTTACAAAGTAGCACAAGTCGGCAAGGAAGTAGTGGTAGCCTGTCAAATCCGAAGTCAGCATAGGTTCCAAAGTGGGCATGGTACATTCGCTCATTTCTCAGCTATGCGAATGAAAGACTCTTTGCCTGTGCCTTGGATATAGACAAGGAGTTTTCCTTTCGCTTTACTGGAAGAGCAAATCCACCTTGTACTCGGAGAACTTGCCTTTCTTGTGGTAGGTGTAGTAGCGGAGGGGCATGAAGTACAGCAGCTGCGCTGTGTACCACAGAGGAAACCATTCAGGACGACCGCCTACAAGGTACCCGGAGACGAATATGTTCATGACAGCGGCAATGAAGGAGACCTTTTCTCGTGCAGTCACGGCGGTATTAGACGCCCACTGCTCGCTTAGACGTTCGACAGACTGACGCATGCGCTTCTTGTACTTGTCTAGTTGCTCGGACTCGTTGGGTACACGTCGTCGCCATTCTTCGATTGCACGGTCTCTTGTACTTGCTGTTCGGGTCTTTGCGGTTTCCCTCAGTCGCTTGCCCTGCGCGGAAACGGACTTCTGCAACTTCTCCATCCTTTCCGTCAAAGCCAGATTCTCGATGAAGTCGAACATCGTGAGCCGCTCGACAGGCGGAAAGAAGCTGGCTTCCTCGGCATCTGAATCGTAGGCAGAGCTGGCAGAGAACGAGTTTGAGCGGGAGAGTCCCGGCGTGGACAGCGGCACCGGGGTGGCATCGTTGCCGAGCAGCGCAGAACCAGCATGGGTGGAATCGCCAGGCAGCGGCTTCGCTGAGTTTGCGGACACGCCTAAGTCTGGCTCGGATCTGAATTTCGCGTCGATGGTGGGGTTCGTCATGATGGGCAGGTCGTCTTCGGGCACGGATCCGAGAGAGCCCAGGCTAGCAGGACCTCGGCGGTGGTAGGAGGGCCTCTTTATGTAGCGGGGAGGGGAGCCTACAGCCATGGTGGTTAGTGGAGGCGTGCGCGAGGTCTCATGGCGTATGAGATGCAAATGGAGAGATAGGTGACTGTGGCAGAACACGGACAAGGGAGGCGGAAAGCGCGTACTTACAGTGTGGGGTTGTACGTATTCAGCAAGACCCTGCGGCGGTCGTGATGGCCGCTGGGATTATTTTGTGGGCGGCGGGCTGGACCAGCGCGAACCTTCGTTGTTTGTCGTCTTCAGAAGCTGATGCGTGGGAGCAGCGCGGCCAGTGATTGGGGCCGTCGACAATGTCATAAGAACGGCGGCCGCGAGCGTGATGGATGACAAGACAGGACCACAAGACCTTCCTTGGTAGACTCGTGAGATGCGTGACTGTGTCACAGCAGGCAGCCGTAGGAAGCCAAATATCCGCGTATCCAGTGTGGCCTTTTTTGTTGTTGTGCCTTGGGCAGCCCGCAGACGTCACCGCACGAAATGGGCGGTCCATGCGCTAGCCACAGCAGCCCATTCGGTGACGTTGCGCCTCAACGGCCTCCAAACAACAACATGGCCCTGATGCCCCCTCGCTGACCGCATCAGATTTGGCACGCTCTTTGGAGCTGCGCCTTCGCTCATTCCACAGCATGCTCGGCTTTACAGCAACGCGCACGCAAGTTGCGACCTACCTCTTCGGCGTCGCGCTCTTCTCCATCTCGTTCCTCGTCTTCCTAAACAGCTCGATCTCCTTCGTCATCACCCAGCGCATCGGCCAGGCGCACAATGTTGGCGATGCAGTGGGCACATTGGGCTTCGCAGACGAGCTGGTCGCGCTGGTTGCATGCCCGGCTTGGGGCCTGTTGAGCGACCGCGTAGGCGTGCGAAGCGTCGCCGTCATCGGGTATATGATTGTCGGCGTGAGCCTGTGGGTGTTCATGGCGGCGAAGAACGTCTATCCGCAGCTACTGCTTGCGCGATTGCTGTTCAGTGTGGGCGCGACTGCTACGTAAGTCGTCGTAATCCAAGTCGGATGTAGATGCTGATTGTGAATGAAAGTGCCACCATGGTCACAGCAATTCTGCCCACCATGACTGTCGTGCAGGTCGTGCAGATCGTACAAGACCCTCGGACTCCTCGCAGGCGCGTGAACGGAACGTCGCATGCATTGGCTCCTTCCATCTCGTCGGAATTGACCATTACCCCCGCACGCTTCCAGTCGAGATCCCCGCCTCGCGACGATAACGACGATACAGTTGTAAGGAAAGATACAGCTGCTTCCACATCGCATCTAGCAGGGCTTGTTGGCATGTTTACAGGATGCGGCGCTCTGGTGGCACTGCTTATATTCCTGCCGCTGCCCACACGCTTTGGACAGGGAGGTGCCGAACCCGCCGATGCTGTTGCCGACGCTTTCTACGTTGTTGGAGCCATTGCGATAGTCGTTGCGCTTGGATGCTTCTTTGGGCTGCGACGTCTCCCTGGTGAGGAAGAAAAGAGCTGGGAGCGTTTCTGGCGCACAGAGCAGAATAAGGCATCCGATACTCCCCAGTCGCGTCAGCCCATTCTTTCATACCCACGGTTGTTCTTGGAAAGCGTGCGTCTTGGATATCAGTCACCGACCATTGGACTAGGCTATGTCGGCGGCTTCGTTGCGAGAGCATCATCCGTCGCCATCAGCCTGTTCATTCCCCTCTTCACCAACACGTACTTCTTGAAAACGGGTCAATGCCGTGCAACAGACCCTTCTGACCCCGCCGACATCAAGAACTCCTGCCCGCAAGCCTACAAACTCGCGGCTATGTTGACTGGCATAAGCCAGTTGATTGCACTGCTGTCAGCCCCGATATTCGGCTACCTATCTGCTCGCTACCGGAAGTACAACCTGCCACTGATGCTCGCGGCCGTAGCTGGCGTTGCGGGCTACTCCGCCTTCGGATCGCTCGCGAGCCCTGATCCTGCAAGCAAAGATGGATCAGGAGGCATCTTTGCAATCGTCGCATTACTCGGCATCAGTCAGATCGGCGCTATCGTATGCTCTCTTGCCCTACTCGGCCGCGGCATCAACGACGACGACAGCAGAAAATCCCAGCTACATACGACAGACGACAACGTCCCCACCAACGGACACCTCTCAGCAGGTACAACACCGCCGCGCAGCCCTGCGATGACACCACAGTCAGAGGAAGCTCCCCTTCTCGGAACGAACTACTCGGGGCCTGCGTCCTCTTCTGGTCCAGAATCACATACCCATCTCAAGGGCTCAATAGCGGGGACGTACAGTCTGCTAGGCGGCTTTGGCATTCTCTTGCTTACTAAAGCTGGAGGTGCCCTATTTGATTCTAGCGGGCCCGGCGCGCCGTTCTACATGATGGCGGCCTTTAATGCGCTGTTGTTGGTGGTAGGCGTTTTGGTTGCGGTGAGAGATGCGTACAGTGGTGCAAGGGGTGAGCAAAGAGGGAGGGAGGTGAGATGATATACCCGAGATGCGATGACACGATGATGGTTGGTTTACGACGACGCCATGTATGGCATGTAATTTAGGTATGAAGCACACATAACATAAGTCCTTAATGTCGAGTCATGTTGGGAACGCTGCCATGGCCTCCGCATTCAGCGTGCTTTGCCATCTAGAGAAGACGGATAGGTCATTGTCTCTGCCGCTTGAAAAGCGCACGGCGTTCTGAAGCGGCATGTACAGTTCAGCTATGGAACCCCAACGGGCGTGAATCATCGAAATTAAATTGCGCCGCTCGGTGTCAGAACAGGTGGCATGTCCGTCACGACGGCGAATGAAGCACAAAATAGTGTTGGTAAGGTCGATTGAGTTGGCTCAGACTACCTTAACCTTCCCGGATAAGAAAGGCTATGTTTCCCTTCTTGTTCAATCTCCTAGACATAATTCCAAAGCGTTGAGCCTTCGCAGCTCAAGCTTGCAACTCAAGACATGAACAGACTAGCATTCACTCCAGCAACTTAAGTGAAAACGACGTAGTGGAAAACCTCCCAATCTGCCCCGAAGCCAAGTTGAAACACAGCCCATTAGACCGACAATTCCGGCCATCCTCACGGTTCCACACCCTGATATAGTCTCCCGCCTTCAATTTCACGTGGCCCAGCGTAGCGTAGACCTCGTCTGAAGTAGCCATGTACAATCTATCTCCTTCGAATACCTCCATCTTGCTCCTGTCCAGGGCACTTTCTGGGATACGCCCCGTCGTCTCGTTCCGCGTGTTGAACGCTATAGCTTCGGTGTGGTCTTCAGCCCAGGCATACACGATGAGTTGATCGCCCCGTTTGGCGACCACCCCGTGATGATCTCCAGGCGTGTGGCTCTTTACGACGGGCATTCTGAGGGGGGGATTCTGCGCTTCGAAGCAAGAGGTTGGGGGTTTGGATCGCGGTGGAGGGACAGCGGAAGGGCGTTTTCCGAGCGTGTTGTGCAGCTCGGTTATCAGGTCGGAGAGTTCCTTGGGTATGTCGCCTGTTTCGATGAGATGGAGGACTTGCTGGGTGGGTGTTATCAATTGGATAGGGTATGGTATGATCGCAGATAGGGAATTGGACTGACTGCTCGAGTGATGCCCAAGTGCATCTTCGCGCTGGACGCAATGGACAGGCGTTCATTGGACGTGGCCTTCGCGTCTGGTTTGTCTGTACTCAACGAAGCTACCATGGTGGGAGATAGGTGTGAGGGAATGGGAGACGACCGAAAGCAGATTGAGATTGTGGGTCTGGACGAGGGGACAATATCGACAGATGAGAGGACGGCAACCTCGATGCAATGAATCGGGATTGGTAATAAGCAGTCTCTTCGGCTGTTAAGGAAACGGTCGAGGGCAGCTATTCGTTTCTAGAGACGGAGACCTTCCAGGTATTATGGATAACATGATATGGAGTCGCTAGTTCCACATTCCACAATGTCTTCACATCGCCAATGCCCTTGCTTTGTCATGAGACGTTGGAGTTACACAGTACGCAAGAATACATGTATACCTATGGTAGGTACCTGCCCTTACATCGATGCTCGAAAGACCCACAAGTGTCCGCCGTTACTAAGTAGTATAGTCAGGTGTCAAAGCATCACCCAACGTTCACATTGCTCATGCATTGGCCTTGATCTAAGATACGCGTGTATAGATTTCATGATGTTGTTCGACCGCTGTGTGTTATGTCTGGCGCTTATTCCTACAGAGTGAGGTAAACTAGAACGAACATAGCTACGCAGTATATGCAAGCAACAAAAAGAGTCTTTCAATATATATCTTCAGACCATGTCGTGACGTACACTGTCGATCAACCCCGTATTTCGGCATTCAGATAACCAAGAGAATGATATCTAAAGATTCTGATTCGCGGGGCCACAAGAGAAAGGAGTCACGTAGACAAAGGAAGCTACCACGCTGCGACTCCTCCAGGCGCGCTATGCACGGGCTGGGAGTGCTTTGTGCGTGTGAATGGAAGAATAACACCCTCCGCACACTTGCCTCCCTGCACTTCTCTCTGGCGACCACTATATCAAGTCTGTCGTCTGGATAGCAAAGCTCTCTGCACCCACCAACACGTCAAAATGTCTACAAAAGCCGACACTCTACCTGCCAGCCAAGGCGAGCCCATCACAGCCTCAGCCTCGCCCGTCGAAGCCCTCCCAAAAGGAACAAAGCGTAAACGGTCCAGGACAGCAGACGTTTCGAAGTCATCAAACGTGTCAGAAGGCGCTCCTGGCCCGGCACCTCCCAAGCCCTCTCCCAACAAGCGACGCAGGAAAGACTCCCCGCTCGCTGCAGCAGATGAAGCTATCCATCAAAGCCAGCCCGAAGACGAGATAGAGACTCAGAAGAAACGCAAGCAGGCAGAAAAGGCTGCCCTCAGAGCTTCCAAGGCTCAAGAAAAGGCCTCGAAGAAACTCCTCGAAGCAGCAGAGAAGAAGCGCAAGCGTGAAGAACGAGCCGCGCTAAAGGCTATCAGAGAGGAAAGGAAGAAAGCAGAAGAGGCAGAGAAGAAGATAAAGCGCGAGCAACGCGCGCAGAAGAAGACTTGGAAGAAAGACTGGGAGGCCTTCGTCGAAGCGCACGATGTGCATGGCGAGACAGTAGATTGGGCGGAGGACGAGGAAAAGGAGGGCATCACGCAGACGGACGCGGGGAAGGTGTACGGGCTGAAAGCGAGCGAGTTAGTCTGTTTGAAACATCACCCGAGGTTCAATTTCAAGTTTGGCAATACGACGAAGTTGTTTGATGAGGAGGAGGTGAGGAGGATGGCTTGGCGCAAGGTTGCTATGCTGGCTGGGGTGCAGGGCGGCGGGACGGCAGAGGAAGAGGATGCGTTGATTGCAAAGGGAAAAAAGATGTGGGAGGATGGGTGAGTTGCTTCTTCATGACGGGGAATTCCTATCGCGACTAATCTTCTACAGAGGAGCGCGTGGAGGACGTGGGACGACGCTTTTGCCAGCGGGTGGGGGAGTTGCGAGGGATGTCGGTTAGATTTTGATGGTAAACGTCAGGTACAAAGGTGGGGGTCCCGCGTTCCTTCGCAAACTGCTCCCACACATGCCACGAGTGATGACTTGAACGATTACGAAGACTACCAGAGCATTTTGATCCGGGAGTTGCCGCATGACGACTGGAGCCGCGGACACTTCGGTAGTGAGTGGTCCCCTGGTCGTCGGCTTAGCGCCTTGTAAGGGTAGACGCCCGCTATTGGTTGCAGAAAGAGGCTTGCATTGGCCTCTTTTTCCTTTCAGACTTTTACGCATCGTTGCACGACATGCATGCAGGTTGACGCTCCTGAGACCGTGAGTGGACTTGTCGCAGATGAGATGGTGTTGCAAACCGCCGTCCGCCTTGCCGCAGTCTAGACTTGAGCTGCTGCGTCGTCAGAGGCTGCGCGGCGGTCATGAATGGCTTGTTTGCGGCGTGCGGCTTTACAGGGCCGAGCGAGCCTGATCGATCAGATCGCTGAATTGCGCGTTTGCGCGTTTTCCCTGCCTCCCGTGAAAAAATCGTCGAGTCTCGCGATCCCGCAATGCTCCCTAAACCTGGTAATTCTGTGAGCCTCATCTGACAAGATCGGCAATTACTGTGCGTCGAACACCAATTAGTCCTCGCGTACTTGATGTGCATCATGCATCTTCTGCGGACCCGCTCTAAGCTTCCCTGCGGTTCCCACTTTCGTCCTCGCCTCGCTAGTCTACCCTGTCAATAGCCGTTGAAACCTATACAAACCCCTGCCATAATTTTGGGGAACGTCCATCAGTGAAGATTTTGATGCCTCGGAATGAGCTGCTGGCGGACGGGCATGGCATTGGCCTTTGTGCTCGTTCCGCCAATACATGACCAATATATGATGCGTTTCCGACTTTTCACCGTTCAAGCGCTCCTTGCGGGCTTGCCGTGGATATCTGCATGGGTGTATGTATCCTGGTAGATCGTAGAGACGCACGCAGCATCGGAGGGATCTGCATCGGCGAACTTCTATCGGATGTTCTTTGTCGGACGTTCGCCGAGGTGTCGTCGGGCAGTCGCCGATGTGCGCCTTCGGACCAGGCGGCTCTATCAATCCGTTGCACGCTGAATCATTATAAGCAAAACCTGACCATCCACCGACACACTGCTAGTAGCAGTGTCTCGTAGCTGATTCAGTTCCGCCAGCTTTGGTTGGGGAAGAAGGGAGCACGACCACGAGGTGTCAGGCACGATGACATAACCATGTGTGCAACCTCCGATCTTCGCATCTGGATCAGACAACGTCAGTTCTTACATCAAACACCAACGGCTCCGCTGCGGGTCCGTACGTGCAACTATACTGTGTAACATGTGATAGTCCATTTGGCCGCACGCTTCTTTCACCGCCACGTTTGAGGCTGGCATACTTCACCTTCCGGATGCATGGCATCGTCGTCATAGCTCATTTCCTTGACCGCGCGTTATGTACGTTGCCACCACCTTTGACACGTTTTGCGCACATGGCGAAGGCAAAGGAGACGACGGCCACTAATGTTTCGTGGCGCTGATGCTTGTTCATAGATTCGGTGGGTGCGGCAAATCGATAATTTGTTTTTCTGCAGGGTCCTGCAAGGAGGATCGTAACAGTCTCTGTTTCGGAGAGGCCACCGATGGAGAGTATTTGTTTCTTGGTGTTGAGCGGAGGCGCGATGAGCGCGGAACGGCATGACGGGTTGACCGACGGCCACGGCTCCGAGCTTTAACCTACTCTAATGCTAATGACACGAAACCAAGGGTGGGCGGACTGAGGTCGGCGCGTCGGAAGCACGCGACAAGCTCTGTCAACCACCAATGGCTTCCCGTAAAAAGCAAGACGAAACGCATCCGTCAGGCCGCCGCGCATACATCGCATACGGCACGTCACGCTAGAACGCCCCAAGAACCGGTGAGAGAGCAGCCCTAATGCGGGGCTAAAATGATCGACCCTCCTCGTTACGAGGAAATGCAGACTAGCTGAACTGGGCATTGGTTCCCTTTCCTTGCACGGGATCTTCAAATCAAAGGCATAGTATACGACGACTGATAAATCAGGTTGCGATTGGGCTGGGATCACTCCTGATCATGTTAGTTGGGCGTTGAAATACTTGCACGTGGCGGTGAAGATAATGACAGCACAGCATCTTGAAATGAAGGTGTGCTAAGTATGATGTATTCGCGTGGTAGCATCCAAGATCTTACGCACGATGACCCATGGTACACCCAGGTACCCTTAACCTCTCAAAAGTCGCTCACAGCAGCATACTCGCGAGGGGAGCTCCGCCCGGACAAACGCGTCTGAAGCGCGTAGACACGCACTTCCCATCTCCCTACAGACCAATAACATGCCCCCATCGAATCGTTCACCCCAAGCGGTCCGTCCCCTAACCACCATCCCAAGTGTTCAGAAGATCCCCCACTCACGACGTGACCCGCACACCCGCGGACCAACCCTCTGATAGCGCCCTCTCCACGCCCCACTTCTGACACATCACCGTGGTAGAAGATACGATGGAACGCCGCTAGAAGCGTCGGCTCCCGGATGCGCACCCTGCCATCTTCGCAACCCTGACCCTGCACCACGTTTCGCACGGCCTCGCACGTGGGTGCCACTCTCAACAACGGCCTGTGCGCATACTACAGTCGTACTATCAGCTTCTATCTTCGCAGTCTGGCTGGCCATCCCGACACGGCATCGGCGGCATCGCCCTCGCCGGCAGCGAATCGCGCCCTGGACGAAGATCTTTGCCCCTGCTATGGCACGTCTAGTTTTAGACAGCCGTCTGCAACCGCGGTTGTTGCGACTGCATTCTAAAGCGTGCATGTGCATGCTGTGAAGCCCTGGAGGGTGCAGCGCGCTACGTCGCACTTATGCGCGCCGTGACCGGTGGTGTGCGTGCCTGGAAGGGGGACGGTGGCACGAGGCGTTGGGCTAGCAGCGGGGCGCATCTCTAGATGTGGAATGCAGAAGCAGAACGCGGCGCGACGCGATGCGAAAAGCGACCGGGGTCATCGCGATGCTGAGCGTCATTGCGGTGTCCTCAGGAAACGCAGCGGTCAAGCGAAATGATGGAAGCTGAACAGACACAGTGTGATAGAGAGTCTATGTGGATATGTATTGTATGTATTTCGTAAAGTCGTAAAGTCTATATGGATGGAAATGCTACTTTTTTTTCCTCCCGATGCTGATGCATAGCGCTGCATGGCCGTTGTGGTGTGCCCTTCTTCTTTCCTCCTGTATGTCTAATCCTACATGTAGAGACCCAGCAGTTCGCACTCGTGGGACTCCACTTCAGCGATGGAGAACACTTAGAGCTTCCCCGCGAACGCCAAAATGGAGACATCGTATGATGCCCCACAGCGCTATGGATGCTAGAGATCCTCCTCTTCGGTACTCGGAGCCGTGTCTGCGATGCTTGACTCGCTGCAGTCTGGTAGTTTGGTGCGTATAAATATCGGCCGTTGCCGTTCGGTACTTCGTCTATCTTGTGGACGGTGGTGTTGCGTGAAATTCGGTCGGTCTGTGGTGGTGAGGCGTTGGAGGCGTCGGATGAATGTCCCATTGGGGACCATGGTCCGTACATCGATCCGCTGGGTCGATCTGGTTCTACCCCAGTCGACGATCTTGTCAAGTGACTAGGGCCTGGTCACTGTCCTTTCGATGCCACTGTTCGATAAGCTGGCGCGCGCGGTACTCGGTCGCCCATCCTATGTCGGCCTCAACACCGCGGAGCAGGTCAAGCACGACGTGGCGCTCGCCGAGGTCGCTCAGGCACTGTCCAGCTGTGAACAAGGGCTGCACTGAATGAATGCGGACGGCATCGTCGGGCCTGCCCAGTGATATGCCGACAATCTCGCGGCTGTGCTTTTGGCAAGCGGCCAGGACGGATTGGTAAGAGTTCAGGCGTTCGTAAACATTGGTTGCTCCCTGCGTCGACTCATGGGGCTTGTTCATGAACAGCTGAATCTGACTCATGTGGTAATATTGCATGGTCGAGGCGCACATGGGGATGCTGTACCAGACCTCGGGAAAGAGGACATTAGGTTCGCCGAATACTGTTGCAGGTCTGGGGTCGACACGAGCAGAGGGCTTGAATGTGATGGGTAGGCTGTCGTGCCACATCTGGAATTGACGTTGGATCGTTTTCCAGTAATCGAGTAGTGTTCGTTGGCGGACGCCAGCCCAGGTAGATGTGCCCTCCTCTCCGAAGTTGTCCCCATATGCCATGAAATTGACAAGCTTGCCCATAAGCCATACGAGGGAGTTGCAGATGAGGTCTTCTCTCATCATGCTGTCACCTTCAGGATAGGCAATGTCCGTGGCATTGTTAGAGATGATGAAGCCATCTTCGTTGAGAAGAAGGCCAAACTCCCGCCATATGGAGAAATCTTCGGTGTCAAGTCGGGTCCTTGTTTTGTTTATAACTGAAACAGTCAGTCTAAATGCCACGTTTGATTTGGGTAATCCTTACAAGCTGCGAGCATGTCCTGCCTAGCGATGTTCCAAAAGGTCGCTCTCCGTGCTTTGGAGACAAAGCCAAGGTTAGCAGAAGTAGCCATGCAGTCAGACGCTGTCATTCGCATAGGCGACGATCGTTCCTGGGCAACGACCAGAAGCGATTTGGCACCATTCAGATGCCGCATCCACTCCTTGTCGGAACCATCAAGGAATTCATAGACGCATAGAATTGCGGAAGCTGCCAAGAGTTCGTCGGTGCTTGACGTAGCCGCGTTGTTTCCGGTCATCCGGTATCGCTTCGGGGAACGATCGTCGAAACCGTTAGACGAATCGCCGCCATCCGAATCTGAATCCGGTGTAGCCAACGCATTGGCTTTCAGTGCCTTCAGCAGAAGGGACACTGCCATATCATAATACTGTGTAGCTTTGTGAGACCAGTCCACTAAATGGGTGTCTGGGTACATCTCCATCTGTGCCTGTCGCGTTACACTGCCGCCCATAACAGGTTTGCGTCCTTGGACGCGCCCGAGGGCCTTGGCAGAGTAAGCAAGAACAGCGTACTTTAGGAGAAGGTTGTCCTGGGCTTTGACCGGAACATATGAAGAGAAATATGTACCTAGGTCAAACAAATCCATCCAATAACCAGGCCCTTCCGAGAACCACCGCAGTAGGTATGCGGTTTCGTAGTCACGGTCAGACATGTAGCTGGTGCAAGACGGGGTTCTTCGACTTGTTGACATCGAGTTGGAGCGAGGAATCTGATCGGGAAGCTGGCCCAATGGTGATGCTAATTGAGGATCAATGGGCGGCGGTGTCATGGAGAGCGAATGATGCAGCATTGGTCGGAAATGAGTGGCTAGAGCGAGTGGTGGTGAGATGGGCGTTCCCACGGACGAAGTTGGTGGGGATTGGAGCATCGAAGGTGTGTCAAGAGCGGGGATAGACTCCAATTCTGGAGTATAGCACATCGGTGAATTGTGTAAGGGTCCTGAGATCGGTGTGCTGGTTGCGGTAGAGAATCTGTTATGAGCTGGCCATGAGGTCACAGACCGCGGTTCGAAAGATGAAGGAGAATCTGCAGATGTGTTTGACATGGTGTCAAAGTCCGGATCCAGGTAAGGATTGGTTGTATTTATGAAGGTCACTAACAGGTCATCAGTACGTTAGAGATGGCAGGTCGGCATGTGGGTCTCACCATTCCGTGGGATGTCGAGCCAGATGGTTTCCTCGTCGAAGGTATTTCGGTACGCGTAGAAGCCCTTGAGCGAGCTGTCGTCGCCCGAATCATCGCCATTCATCGAAGCATTGTGTTGATGGCGGAAGACGATGCCTGAGCTTGGCACACATTCACGCGATGCTTTGCAGCATTGACCGCAAATTGGCTTCTTCTCGTCGCATTTCAGCTTGCGCTGGCGACATGTCAAGCTGCACAAAGCAATGTTAGTATTGCAATATGGTGGGTAGGAGGTGTATACTTACCATCCTGTTCGTGATCGCATAGTGGTAGCTGTAATGTGAGACTGGCCAGCAGTGATGTAAAATGCTCGCTATTTGATATCTTAGGGGTCCACGCGGCGGGTGGCACGCGCGTTATATGTATGAGCACATAGTATTGGTGTAGTTGCAATCTTGCGCAGCTGGTGAATGCGGGGTCCTGTATGGTTCGCGCTAAAGATCCACCTTCACAGCTTTTAGCAACGCGCCATTTCTCAATGGCTGCGGCGGCGATAGTTGCTAGCGTGCAAGGTCCTCAAGCTGAATCGCAATCGCCCTGTCTGGTCTGGGGATGGTAGCAAACCATAGGAGCATGTGCCACACCGATGCAAAGCGCGAAGGTGGCGCGAGCGCAGATTTCGATTCATGGCCGAGTTGGCGCCGCATTCGCGACCTTAGCGAGAATTTCATGCACGTGGGAAGACGCCGGAATATCACCGATAACATTTACCGCTACTTCAAGCCCTTCCCTAGCGTTCCAAACTGATCCTTGAGGCCGGGACGACCCCCTTTTTGTGAGATGCGTAGACCAGGGAACCTGGCTTTCAAGCCACATCAAATAGAGGCGGCCGGAGTTGTCTCCATTCCTTGTGAATGCTCCTCAACCACCACATCATGAGCGGCGCATGTTGCTTCATCCGTTCAATCCCAGCTTCCGAGCACCATCGGTTCCGCATCGAAGCCTTCTAGAAATTCTACCGAATTATCGGCGAAACGTCATCGCCTCAGTCAGATCATCATTTCGCCATCTTTTGCTTCTTCTTCGGCCGTTCCACCATCTCTTCCTCTGCCGGTGCATCGCTATCGCCGGCAGCGTCTGCCATCTCCTCGTCGCTATCACTGCCGCTGCTTTCGTGATTTTCGTCAAATTCCTCGCCGACCTCGGATTCAGATTCCGTCTTGAAATCTTCGTCGACGCTCTCATCATCCTCATCTGCACTTCCGCGATTGGCGACTTCGCCGTCACTAGAGGCGAGGTCTTCGTCTTGGAGTGCTGCGGCAAGGATGGCTCCGGACTATGGGAGAACCCGTTAGCGTCGTCGTGTACACGTGGTGCGCACGGTCAAAGACACTTACATCATCCGCCATCTCATTCTTAGTCTTGATGCCTTTGGCCCGGAAGAAGTTCTCGAGTGGTTGCTGCTCCTCACTGTAGTGCGTGTTAGTCATGCAGGGCTCAGCGCCAAGGGCGACAGCACATACCGATTGATGTTGGAAAACTGATGCTCATTCTGACCGTTCTTCATGGTAAATGTGATGTCAAAGGTACGACTTGCCGCCATAGCTCCCCCAACACGGGACATGGTCACCGATGCGATCGAGTCCATGCTGATATAGGTCGCCGGTTTGGGAACGAACATGAAAGCTTTGTCCAGGCAGAACAAGTGTCCTTCGTTGGCTTTGATAGAACACTTCACTCCGGACTGCTCATGGTGGCTGATGAAGTCCCGTGAAGGCCTGGTTATGCGTTTCCCACTCAGTCCACGGAAGATGTCCGATATCACTACAGAGATGGGGGCTTCGTAGTGCGACTGGAGTTTGTCCTTGTACTTGGTCTCGAGCATGTCTTCCTTCATGTTCAGGTCCAAATTAACTTCTTCATCGCGCTTGAATTGCATGACCAGGAACGGGTATCGAGTCTGACCCTGCCGCAGCGGTGGGTCCAGGCCAATGACAATGAGGGAGTGCATGTCGTCTGGCTTCGGAAGAAGCATGAACTTCTTCATGGCGTCGAATTGTATCTTGTAGTCGTATGTCTTTCCTCGCAACCGGAAAGAATTCTCGTACATGTCGATGTCGAAACGTCCACGAGGCGTCAAATGTAGTATCTCCAAGAATGTAGCGAACGTGTCTCCCGCAACCTCGCCAATTTCGGCCTTCTCTATGAGCGTCTCATAGAAGAGATTGGCCGCGTTCTGTTCCTCGCCCTGTTCGCCATCCTCGATTTCTTCGCCTTCGTCGTTCTTCTCCTTCTTGGACGCCACACCGGGAATGTAGAAGCGCATCTCCACAAGCTGGTCTTTCGCACCAAGGGCTTTCTTGCCGCGGGACTTTGCACCCCCGAGGCTCCCGTTTGTGTCGGCACCGTTCTCGTTCGGCGCTGAGAAGTCGACTGCCACCTCGTTTTTGCCCGCCAAATTCGTATTCGAGATCTCGCTGTATGGCACCTCGAATGCAGGCCGGTTTGCGACGTTGAAGGAAAGCTCCGCCTTGCCAAACTCGGCCTTGCCCCAGTTCCAGCCGCGGAGCGCGTGTTCCTTGCTCTCCAGGTTTACGCTGTACCAGACCTTGAAGAGCTTGGCGATGCGTTCGAAGTCCTGTAAACTGTCAGCCACTGCGGCGCCATGAGTGTTACCATCATACATCTTGCTTGAAGCCGTCGAGCTGAATGATGCCCTCATTGCTGTCTCGTGAAAGCACCTTGATCTCCCATCCTCGCGCCGCCCGACTCCACTGCGCCGAGATGATCTTGGATGCATCTATCGTGAAAGTGCCACCTTCGCCGCCGCTTGTCGGCTTCCAACCAAAGCCGGATTCTGCGAAACGGGTTACACCGTGCTTCTTCGAGAGGTTGAGGTAGATGTCATTGAAGGTCTCCCTTTGAATTCTCCGTCAGCATCGAAATATACAAAGCGCATTACTTTGCGATGGAGCGACTTACATGTTGACAGCGTGAAACGCGCAGAGGTTGACTTGCTGACGTAGAGCTGCGGTGCTGGACGCGCAGGCTGTAAATCGTGAAGTCGCGCGGCGCGACAGGTCCCGCTTACCCCAAAGGTGATAGCGTAGACACGTGATACGACTCCCCTCTTAACAGGGACTTCAACATCCCGCTAAACGCAATAAGCCTTGAATCTTCACTTCAGCATCTGGTTCTGTTTCGGAAACTTAAGTAGTATTGTTCTCTGTCAGTACACATCACTCGACCGCGGTCTGGACATAAGCTACACTGTACATGCCTACGCTAGTTCCATACTTATGGTACGCATCTGTCGGAAGCTCTATAAGATTCTTGTTTTTTTGTCTTTACTTGGTCTCTCGTTTGTCCTCCAATTCATACAACTTGCTTAGTGATATTCAGACACCGCAGTACATGGCAACTTCGATCAACGCCCACACATTGAAGATTTAGGTGATGGTGACTATTGGCTTAGAAGAAGGGCAGAAGGAATAGGTGTTATCTCTAGTGACCATATTATAAGCGGACAGGCGTCCTAGGCTCTATCACTTACCACTGTAGGCAATGAAGGGTAGAGCAGCGCGTAATGCAGCTTGTACAGATCATCGAGACACTGTCTTCCTGCGTGCTGAGCCTAATAGTGATCGGATGACGATAACGCAAAGTCCGAAAGTTTGACTTTGATACCACAGCAATGGACAAGTCCTCAGCCATGATGCTAACATAGGCATGAATCGCATGGACTCAATCGGCCAGGCTGCGTTGTCTAAATGACAACAGCCACCACACCAGGCATGTGTCCGTCGAAATCTAATCGACAGCTCCGGCCCATTCCTGAATCAGTCAGGTAATCACAATGGTGATAGGGATCACTTTCGCCCCCAAGATCTAGACCCGCCTAAGAATGTGATTAGCCCACTAATAATAGGTTATCCTGAATGATACCAGAATGCCTTTGCTCCCAGCCACCGTGTGCTGAAGCGAGTCCTAGCGTCCATGAAGTTTGGAACCGACGACGGCAGGAGCCTCGACCTTGTGCACAGACCACTATTCAAAGCACAGCGGTTACTGCGGGTGAGGGAGAATGAGGACATTACTCTAGGCGTCCAACTATCAGGTTCGTAGTGATGGGCTATTGATATTAGAGTATCTGAACCGATTTCAACAAGCTAGCGTCCAGACGTGGATAGTCTGTGGGAGAGGAGAATTAAGGGGACTGGGTGGGCGCTGTGAGTGTGGCTAGGTGTCGAAGATCGGTATCGAGTCAGGCGATCTGTCAAAACTGGTATACCCAGGTAACAGCAGTACTGTACCAGGGTATTGCCGCATAAGATACGGGCACCATCGTGCTCTTTCTAGGATAGACTCTTTCGCATTTCTCTCCGCTGCAGTCGCCGTCACGACATCGGCGCTTTGCTTGTCGGAATTTTCCAGCATCTCACAGGGGGTTACAGTCAGCAGCCGCTGTAAGCACTGCAGCACCCACGTCGCTTCCTGCAGCATGCAGACATCTCTCCACTGCGCATCGAGTCCAGAAGTCGCAGGTTGCAGGCCATATCCCAACTGCAGTAGCCTTTCCACACTCTTTTCGGCCCTACGACCGGCGGAAAGCTTATCCAACAGCGGCACGAGATGCGGATATGCGGATATGCCGTGCGTTTTCGAAGGAGGGCCGACTGTGGTTTCGCAAAATGTCCAATCGGTCCGCATCCAGAAGTTGTGTTGTGGGGGTGAGTCCAGGTTAGCTCGAGCTCGCTCGCTCGTTGGCGTGGCGGACGGTGAGCGATCGCGGTAGGGTGAGACATGAATCAGTGTCTCAGTAACCGTGTTAGTAATAAGTGCAAATAATGTGGCTGAGGAGACGGCGATCACTGGACGAGCAATGAAGTTGAGCTTTGCTAATGAACTGTAGGTCTGTGCGACATAGAAACCCGAATAAATGCAGGAATGCAAACACACATGCAGGAAACCGAGCGCGTGTGTGAGTACCGCAAGAAGCGTTGCAGTCTCGAATACGCGAAGAGTGACGAACTGAGAGAAGAGGATTGTACAAAAAATAATAATAAGACAGCTCGCGATATGACTGGTCCGAGCAAGTGAACGCAGAGTGAGGAGTCCTTCCTAAGAGAAAATCTACCCTTTCGCGAGAGATCCTATCCTATAGTGCTCGCCTACGCATGGCAGCATTCGTTACGTAGATCGATGTTGGTGTGAGGACGTATCTGGCGGTGTTAGAGGTCTTTGTTCAACAACCAAATCAAGTTACTTCTCTACAAGATACAAGTTGTAGTATTTACTCGAGTAATCGCAGAACTCAAATAGATCATATTACGGCTCATAGTCACCTAGCCTCTTCCACTGCCTGCGCTTGTGTTGCCGGCATTCGCCCTAGCAGAATCAAGCCTCCTCCCTGACTTTCGTTTTGTTAATCTGCTTTGATCTGATGTCACAGAGGAAATCGCAGGGTCTACAGGGCGGGCAGACGTTGACAATAAACATTGATAATGGACACGATCACCGTCAGCACGCATATGTAAGATAGCAAGCTTTGAATGCAAGAATATGCTTCGAATGTAACGGAAGTGATACCAACGACTTGACCAGCTGCCCGAGAAGCCTGGCGAAATGTTTCATGACTTCTCGGACACTCACGATCTTTTCTTGATGGTGCAGCGCTTTACCCTAGATGCATTTTGAAGCGGTCAGCTATGCGCTGTGAAGGAAATAATATGGCTGACCTTCTTGATCAGCCTGCCTCCTGAGTATGGCTTGCAGCTACCTCGTCGCAGTTTTATGGTCTGCTGTCGAAAGCTAGCAGGAACATGGAGAACAGTAACCTGGAAGTTGTCGAAGCCCTCTAGGGGTCGTCGGTGGCAGCCATCACATTGCTAACTCATATCTTCGAACCAGCCTTCGCAAGGCAGATCCCAGGGTATCGAATGTCGATATATCCGTCGATACGCCCATGGTTGATGCACCCGTCGCCGGCACGAAAAAGACCCATGGTGCCTTCCGTTGCGACCCACACGGCGACCAGAACATGGAAATTGACGGCTCTAGCAGTAATTTCTCCGATGCTACCCATGCTCCTGTGGAACGCAAACAGGCAGCTATTCACCAGAGTTCCAGCGATGACGACGAAGATGAGAGTACGTCTCCTATCCCCAAGCGTCCCCGTATAAGCCTGTCCCAACCTACTTCTCGCCAGCCCTCAAAGACCCCGGCTGGACCTGCCGATAAGGAAAAGTCGAAGGATTTCCGATCAGGTATGACCGTGCCGAGAACTTTTGCGGTAAATGCTTGAACGAGTATAAGCAGGCTTGGAGCTGACGAGACAGCAAAAGGGCAGAAGTGGTCACCAATCGCGCATCACCCAAGATTTAGTAGCGACGTCCCGGCCTTCCTTGCTCCCTTTCTTATCGTCAGTACTACTGCATATTCTTAGAAATTACTATCACTTTTAGCATAGTACTGCTTTAGCTAAATGCTCTGGATTACCTAGGTACTGTTTTTCTCTTCATCCGCTCTTATTATAATAATAGCACGACCTTTGACACTAGAATTTCGCAGACGGGGGACTCTTGGATTATCTTCGTCTGCTTATGTGTAAGATAGCTGTTTATACGTTATTGTTTCATAGAAGGTGTAAGTACCTTTCTTCTCACCTTAGTAATTCTGCGTAGCCATGATCAGCGAGGTCTAGATGGCGAGGATGGAAGTGAAGTGGGTGGTGCAGAGATTGACTGCAATCTCGGTGCTATCAAGCAGATACATCTCCTAGCATGGTTCCATCAAAGGCACCTCCACTCAACAAAACACCAACAATGCACATCAAAGCTATGCCCACGAACGTTGCCTGATAGCAGGTGAACAAAGTGCCGGAAAGGGCAGAAGTGGTTGCTAGACAGTCGGTGAATACCTATTGCTGCAGGCATGAAGTCCACAGACGGCCGTGTCTGATAATCTAGCTATGTGACTGTGTGCGTGGTAGGTGGGTTGGTGATATATTTACGTCTGACTATTTCAGCTTCAGTGCCTTTCTAGTTACATAGCCTCGCAGGGGGCAAAGGGAGGCGTCGAGCACCTTTAGTGAGGACATGTTTTTTTGCGTATACTACTGCTAACCTGCCAGTAGCTTATCCAGGCGTCCGTCCCCGTCCCCGTCCCCGTCTGGATAGTGATCTCAACATCGTATAAGTAAGTTCGTGGAGCCTAGCGCCCTGTTGCTTTTTGCTGTCAATCGATGTGGCTGAAAGCCATGTGCTGCGTCGTGTGCCAACATGCCCATTCCCCGTTGAGGCTGTGGGTGCGTGGAAAGACTGGAGCGGCAAATGTTCGTTGCAACCAGAATCGCATCAGCATCTCACTTCAGGACATTATAATTTCCAAGCGCGTTGAGGAAATTGTTGAGGTTGTGTCGTGATGACGCAGCCATAACGAGGGTTCCACGTGCGCGCTTAGGACAGTAAGCAACCTTTAGAGTTCCTTCTTCTTAAGTAGAAGTATACCTCTCTCTTCAAAGATTCTAATACTAGATTTTTAAAACTTCTAATCTTCGCGGTGTTGTGATAGACAAGTAAAGGAGAGATAATCTCGAGGCTTCACCAAAGGTGACACACCACACCCCGGTGGGAAATCACATGACGGCGTGACGACCTCGAGAATAGCACGCGTTCACCTCGTTGATCCATGACCTGAGACTCACGTCAGCAAGTCCACGAAATATCAGTCATCACGCGGCCGTCCTAGCATCGTGCTTGACCGATGGGACGACATCATCAAAGAAGCAGGAGATGGTTCGGTTGTCATGCGAACGGCGGACAGACAACCTCAAAGCTCGAATCGACATGGTAGAGTCAGCATCGAAACGGCTACGCACATCGACTGTCAGTACACGTCAGTCATGCAGCTGTTGCGTGCATCCAGCCTCAGTGCTGTAGATCCCCTGAAGTCTCGACGATCCCCTGCCCCCCCATTGTGATCCCCAGGTAAGCATCCACTGCGAACCCACGTCGTTTGCATGACAACAGAGCGGCTTGCGCAATCGCGACGCTGATAAAGTGGGTTGGTGATCCGCAACGGGAGATCATCAGAGCGTATCATCGATGGTCTGCTACACACCACCCTAAGGCGAACTTCGCGGGGGGCGA